TTTTAATACTCTTACTTACTTCTCTCTACTAAACACTTTTAATACTCTTACTTACTTCTCTCTACTAAACACTTTTAATACTCTTACTTACTTCTTTCTACTAAATAAAATCTAGCTATCTCCCTTACATTTTCTTATAACTATTACTATAAATACTTTAAATACTCCCTCCTACGTATAACTACAATTAAACAAGATACAAGAAATCCAAATAAGCCATTCTTTTTATAGTGTAGCAATTATAGATACCCTACTTCCGCTTTAAATATTCATTGACCTAATTAATATAGATCGGACCCCCCGAAATTAAACGGATCGGACCCCCCTAAAATTTCCCCCCCCACCCAAAATCAAATGGATTAGGCCCCGATCTGTAACTTTATGGAGGGTTAGCACAAGTCAGATTCTTCTTCGTCGGCTCGCTTTACCTTATTTACATCGCTAAGATGGGTCGGATCGGCAGCTGGCGAGCATTAGACAGCCAACGAATCCTTCCTCCAAGTTTACTCCCGACAGCAACACCCGTCGCATGTCTAAACGCCTCATCGCATGAAATCGATACCAAAGTACCCCATGGGGTGATCCGCGGAGGAAAACGCCTCTTCTTGAAGTTATATATGTATCACAAACCATTTCCCCATACTTCATAATCACAAGCTCGCCGGTTCATTGTTCATCACATCAGCTCCGCTAAAAGCATCAAGATGGGAGGTCTACACGCAGTCGAGGATCGACCAACCCCTAAAGAGGTATACAACTGGCGACTATATACCGAGGCCCTGATCATTGCAACAGGGTCCTTGCTGCAAGTCTTAAATAAGCCGACGACAGCGACTACCTCACTGACATATTCTAGCTTCGGTTATGACTCGGCCTTTGTAGGCACCACCATTGCTCGCGCCAGCTTCAAGAGCGACTTTGGCATCACAAAGGCTACCGCTGCCAGTATCTCAAGCAACATCACCTCGGCCTTCCAAGCAGGTGCATTCTTCGGCGCCTTGTTCTGTTATTTCCGTCAGTCGATTTACGTATCACGCGCTCATGATTATCACTGACATCAGCAGTCACGGAACGCGTGGGTCGCAAGTGGGCTTTACAAGTAAACGTCGTGGTTTTCATCATCGGGGCTGTCTTGATGACAGTCGCCACTCACCAACTTTCTTTCATCTGTAAGACAATCCTCGCTCTGCCATCAATATCAAGCTGACAAGACAATACAGATGCAGGTCGTGTACTGACCGGTCTCGGATGCGGTGCCATCACTGCGACTGTTCCCAGCTACATCGCCGAGCTCTCTGTTCCTTCGATTCGCGGTATTCTGACTGGTCTCTTCGAAATAGCATACCAGGTTGGATCAGTCATCGGCTTCTGGGTCAACTACGGAATCAACAATAATATGAATGTCAAGTCTTCATTGAGCTGGAGAATACCCATGGCTATTCAGCTGATTCCAGCTGCAATCTTGTTGGCAGGAGGCTTCTTCTTGCATGAAAGTCCTTTGTGGCTTATGCGCAAGGGTCGCGAGGCAGAAGCAAAGGAGGCCCTTGTCCAGCTCCGTCACCTTCCTGTTGAGCATGAGTGTGAGCATTGTACCAACTCTTCTTCTAGTCTTCCCATACTGACTGCAATCAGATCTCCAAGAAGATGTTAGAGACATGCAGAGCAGATTAGACGAAGAGGCAACGATCGCCGCACGTTACGGCAATGGCTCTCTGGCTTTCATTCGTGGCGCACTCAACGAATTGTCTCGCCCAGGCATGCGTAATCGTGTTCTTCTAGTCTTTTGCGCTTTCGCCCTCCAAAACCTTTCGGGTGCTTCAGCAATCAACTACTACTCGCCAACACTGTTCGGATCGCTCGGCGTGACAGATATCCCGCTATACACTGGTATCTACGGACTTGTCAAGGCTGTTGCATCAATCATCTACTACATCTTCTTCATCGACGTGATTGGTCGTCGTCATCCTGTACTGGTCTCATCAGTGGCTTGCTCTCTCTGTCTGTGGTTTGTCGGAGCTTACGTCAAAGTCGGACATCCTGCAGATGCCATTGCTGCTGGTGTACCTTTGTCGGCATCCACAGCAGCTGGTGGTCGAGCTGCGATTGGCATGATTATGATTTACTCCATCTTTTGGTCCTTCGGTCTGAACGCTATCCCTTGGATTGTCTCAGCTGAGATCTTCCCTGGCTCTCTCCGAGTTCTTACCGGAACCTACGCTGCACTTTGTCAATGGCTCGTCCAGTTCGTCATGACCAAAGCGTTACCGTACATCTTCAGTTCTTTCGGTTATGGTACGTGGTTCTTCTTTGCTGCATGGATGTTGGTCGCCACTGTTTGGACATACTTCTCCATGCCTGAGACTAAGGGTTTGACTATCGATCAGATGGACGCAATCTTTGGATATCAAGGTCATGGGAGTGCAGCTGATACTGAGTACGGTATGAGCAATAAGCAAGGAACTGACTCGGTGGAGAAGGTCGGCGCCACCGCCACAGAACATACTGAGAGGGTACAATAAACACATAGCATAAGTTGCGATTGGAAAATGTTCATGCAGATAAGTTGTTCCACTCGCGACATTTCCCTCGTGTGGCCCTAATCTCTGGGCATCTGTCGCCAGAGAACCGGTCCAAACGTAGCTTTGAGCGCCGAAACTTATCTGATGGTGAACATGAGACTCAGGGACCAAGATAGATTGAAGTAAATAATCAAATAGGAAGTCAAAGTCATCGAATCTTCCAATCGAAGATGAAGGCAGGGTCATAGGACTGACGAGTGGAAGCCGAGATCGGAGGTTCGAGCTTCTTCTCGGCAGCTGCGGCAAGAGTCGACGAATTCACCTTCCGGCATGAACGATCAACACCGACAACATGAACCAAGCAGGAACGGCAACACGGTGCGACTGGGAAGGTCAAGACTTGGGTGCCTAACATGTAAGCGAAGGAAGGTGCGATGCAACGAGCAACGGCCGAGATGCTCGCACTGTGAGCGACTCAATCTACAATGCGCCTGGAAGTCCAACGCCGCACTCGCTGTTGCCTTGTCGCAGCATGCCGTGGACGCGACTTCCCAAGCGACTCTCATCCATCCGACTTGGACTTCCCAAGCCGCCGCCGCCTTCACTGCAGACTCGACGTCGCCCGTCACGTCGCAGCAAGCTCCCGCAGTTGACAACTTCTTCGACTATGCCGGCTTCATGTGGGACAACCCTGAGTGGTGGCAGCAGTACCAGACCATCGACGCGTCTCTAGCCACGACTCAAGTCGACAACACCATGTCCGACCTCTTCAGTTCACCCAACACGAACTCGCCAGCACTCACAGCCACCGAAGAGACGCGCCGTCTCGAGCACTCCCACCCGCATCAACCAGCAGCAGCATCAGCCTCGGCGTCGCAACAAGCACAATCAGAAAGAGCTGGGAACATGGTACAAGACACACAAACGGGGGATCACCTGCTGCTGGACTACTTCTTGCATAGCACTGTCCCCCCCATCCTTGCGCCAGTCGAAACGCGCCAACAATGGTCTTCGATGCGCCGACACTTCCTCGTCATGGCCCAAGAGTCGCCCATGGTGCGCCTGGCTTTGTTGAGCTTCTCTGATCTGCTACTGCATCGTCGCCAGAACTCGACCATGTCTCCCGATGGCCAAAGGTATCATCAAGACTCTTCCCGCGAGTTGGCGAGTAGCGTCACTGGTGCCGGGACAGCTGTCACAAAGCGCGAGCATCTTCTGGCGACTTGCTTCTTCCTCAGCTACGTGGACATCCTGGGAGGCCGAACCGAAGCCGCCCATGGAAGCTTGAAGGCAGCATACACCATCTTTGACCAGGGCGACAAGGCCAGCTTCGGCCCTCTCGAGATCCGAATACTCTCTTGGATCCGGCTACTGGATGGACGCGCTGTCTCTGCAGGAGGCGAAGGTCTGTTCCTTTCAGATGATGAAGCGTCAGAGATGCTTGTACAACCGTCACCAGCTGGCTTGGAGAGTTTACCAGGAGATCTGGACACGACCAACGACATGGATCAGAACGCCGAGATCGAGGATGTCCTGTTCCAAGCACTCTACCAACCTGGCGCTGTATTCTTCCAGAAGGTGCAGTCTTTCATGGGTCGCATATCGAAGATTGACCCATGGCATCGGAGTCGAGGCACCGTCTCCGATGAGACAGAAGTCATGATTGTCGCTGCAAACATCACAAAAGACCTTGACAAACTGTTCGACGCTCGACCTCGACTCATGGACTACGCAGCAAAGGGCCAGCTGACACCCCAATACCTCAACCCCCACCTCTCGCATACCATCACAAGAGCCTTCCGGACATATGCCAGCAACTTCTACGCGAGCAAGGTACACCTCCATCGAGTCGCATACAAGTCCTTGCCTCTGGCACCGGAAACAGTCCTAGCACTTGCAAAGATCAGGGAGCTTGCAAGGATGATGGTTGATACGCCGTCGGAATCTGGTGTCGGAGGCGAGCCTCTGCCGGTGAACATGCTTTGGCCCCTCTTGATGCTTGGATCTGAAGAAGATGACGCACAAGAAAGAGCTTGGATCAGAACCCAGATATGCAGGATGCAAGAAGTCGCGACGAATGCTCACATGACAGCCCAAGTCCTGGACGAGGTGCAGAAGATGCAAGATGCGACAAAAACAAGGGTGGACATTCGAAGCATCATGCACAAGATTTTCGATGCATGTTTTGCCATTGTGTGATTGAACCTCTTAGTATGAACACTTGCTTTGACCCCGTTGTACCGCTCCTACGTCTTCACATCAATTACAACTCATCCATCCAAGGAATACTCTGTTGAGCGCCTCTTCGCTGGACCGTCACTGCTGCAGCGCTGTTGGCCTTCTGGACTGCGCTCGCTATTTTGAAGTCTCCTTTCACAATTTCCATTGCGTACGCGCCGATAAACGTGTCTCCAGCTGCCGTCGTGTCAACTACGTCCACCTGCCCTGCCTGAATCAATCCCTCCTCGCCAGATATTGAGTCAAGATAGAACACTCCTCTTCCTCCGAGAGTGATGATGACATGCTGGACTCCGTAGCTTTGGAACTTGCGAGCAATTGTTGACAAGCCAGACAAGGTCGCGAGGTCGCTCTCCAGACAACTCGCCAGGAACGAAGCTTCCGTCTCGTTCATCACAAGATGTGCGAGGCCGTCGTAGTACTTGGTAGGTATCTTTTGTGCTGGCGCAGGATTCAGAAGAATCGGCACGTTATGCGTCTTCGCGGTCTCCATGACTTGCAGAACAGTGTTCAAGGGTACTTCCAGCTGCATGATGATGAGGTCAGGTCGTGGTGTAGGAAGACTGACGAGCTCCGATGGAGAGAGCGTGTCATTTGCTTCAGCGCAGAACAAAATTCGATTCTCTGCTGTCGCTTGCTCCACCATGACAAAAGCCGATCCTGTCCTTTGGTCTTGTCTGACTTTGACGCCGGACATGTCGACGCCGTGTGCTCGCATACCAGTCAAAATCATCTCCCCGTGAGCGTCATCACCGACAGCACCTATCATTTGTACCGAAGCCAGAGGCGTGCTACCTCCGTTGCGAGATCTTGACAACTTTGCGCATGCGACGGCCTGGTTTGCTCCCTTTCCCCCCATGCTGATAGCAGACGATGATGCTCTGAATGTCTCGCCAGCATCCGGAATTCGACGTGTATATACTGCAATGTCGACATTGAGTGAGCCTATGACGGCGATGATGGGAGGGTCGAAAGTATCGGGCATCTTGATTTCCAGTATGACACAAAGCAGCACAGGAGCAGTCGCGTTCTCCAGCTCGATCGATCACGAATGATATCGGCCACAAAGTTGATTATTACATGCTTTCAAAAATTAGTGATAGTGGTAGTAAGCAACAGATCAAGACAACGGAAGTAGTTGTCGGATGTGGTCGGCGCAAGCAACAGCTGCGTTATTCCCTGTCATGCCGATGATTCCGAGTCGGGTCGCGACGTTCTAAGCCGATCGGATGTCGTTTTGGTGGAGCTGCGGAGTCACCGATCTCACTCCACAGCACCCCACAACTGGCGAGCAGCGACGAGCCGACCGCATACCACATGGATAAGAGTGGATGTTTGTCTAAAGAGACTACCGACACGACAGCTCGTCGCGTCGATGACAACTAAGATGCGAGCTGACTTGGCCTACCGCTCCGATATGTAGTTCCACACTCCCACAAGCTTTTCAATCAAACAATTTCCTACCCTCGAGTCCGCAGTCAACAATCTCGACTATCTACAATGGTTCACAGCACTACATCAAGATCCTTCCCTCCAGGTATCCCAGGTATCCATGTACCAAGCCTCACGTGGTTCGCCGATGATGCTAGTCAAGAGATTGATTGGCCTACGCAAAGCAAGCACCTTGAGTTCCTGATTTCGTCAGGTCTTCATGGCAGTATGTTATTTGTTCCTCATAGACTCTGCACCAGTTGCTTACAGGATTTGCTCAGTCGTCCTCGCCGGTACCAACGGAGAAGCTGTCACACTTTCGCTCAAGGAGAAGTCTGATCTGGTCAGCACAACTCGCAGACTTGCCAACGATCTCGGCCGACCAGATATCACAATCACACTCGGATGCGGTGGTCAAAGCACAAGAGATGTTATTGCAGAGACTAGACTCGCCAAGGAAGCTGGTGCCGACTTTGCGCTTGTGCTCGTACCAAGTTACTTCCACTTTGCTATGAATGAGGACGCAATCGTGGAGTTTTTCCAAGAGGTGAGAATATTCCATCACGTATGTGGGCCGGCGTCTGACTTCTTCTAAGCTCGCCGATGCATCTCCCATGCCCGTCTTGATCTACAACTTCCCCGGGGTCGTCGCTGGCCTCGACATCAATTCCGATATGCTCTCAAAGCTAGGCGCACATCCCAACATCGTCGGTGTCAAGCTCACATGCGGCGGTATCGCGAAAGTCGTTCGAGTCCGCGCTCAATTCTCTCCTTCAGAGTTCTGCGCTCTTGCCGGTCAAAGCGACTGGCTTGTCCCCGCTCTCGCTGTCGGTAGCACTGGCACAATCACTGGTGTCGCAAACCTATACCCCAGATACTGCATTCAGATCTACGACTTGTGGATGCAAGGCAAGACCAAGGAGGCTGAGGCGGCACAACTCGAGCTTGCAAAGATGGAGTGGGGTTTTGCCAAGGGTGGTATCAATGGCACAAAATGGGTCGTCGCAAAACTCAGGGGATATTCGCTCGACGGTTGTCATTGCAGAAGGCCGTACCCGAAGTTTGTGGATGCAAAGAAGCAGGCGTGGATTTTCGAGACGGTAAGCCCACTGCAGGACAACGAGCAGGAACTGGCATGAGTTGGTTTGACCAGAAAGCAATACTGTATACAAGCACAATCACAAAGCGCCTACGAGTCCCTATGAGACTTGTTTACTCTCTTTAAGTGATCGGATACTCCAGTCGATTCATCGGGCCCGTTACTACCTATCTCCCGGGAGTAGCGAATGATGGAAACACATGAGATCTCTTAAGATTGGGAATGCGACAAACCTAGAAGGAACCACCTTGGGCGATTATCAACTACTTTCGAGGTACGGTCTTGCAACTCTGGTGAATGAGTGAATGAGGCTGGCGCTTCGAAACCATCGAGATACGATGACATTCGCTCAAGCCACAGAGTCACCGAGGCAGCCCATGGTACTTTTTAAGGCGCGATGTGAAGTCGCCTGCAGAGTAACTTCCCCACTCCATCACAAATGCTAAGAATAAACCTTATCTGGCAAGCTGTCGGGTGCATGCCGAGCCCGGTGAAGTGCGGAGATAAGGTCGCGTCCTGACGGTTGCCACTCTTGCATTCATCCGGGCCGCTTTCGTCTTTGCGACATCCCAAACCTGAATTCCCACATTCAGATCTTCGACAACACGACTTGCAACCCATCTTACGCAAAACATCCCGGAGAAACAGAGGCGCCACTGCATCAATGAATTGGAATTGTCACACTGAACATGACCTTTCTGGAAACAGAGGCGAAACTCAGTGCAGCCTCCAAGAGCTGTGCCGCTTCATGCAACATGCAAGAACTATTGACGCAGCTCACCCAAAAACAAGGTTGGTCAGCAGCAAGAGTTCACTCAACTACCGCGTTCCTGGGACCTGCATGCGCATGTACAGGGTATGTTTGTAGCCGTTGACAGCGCGCACATGGAGCATTCGCTTGATCATTGGTCACGACTAATCGAGGAATATACCAACTCTGGAGCCGGCCGTCCTCCTGGAACGCGCTATTCGACAGCCGCAGGGAACCTCTCGACCAACAACTTCACCATGCCGGATCTAGGAGACCTCTGTAGCTCCAGAGCGTACTATCACATCGCCCGCAGCCTTCCTTGCATCCCCCACACCCTCCTTGTCTCCCAAGCGCGAAGCAATTGTGCAGACCTTCTAATTTTGAAACAATCTCCGGCCTAGCCACACACCATTTTATGCGGCTTTCATCAAGTTGATCGACGACCAAGCTTTCCCTCGGCCGTCTTCGGTCCTGATCCGTCAACAATCGCTACTTCTGGCAGGAGGTGGAAGCATTTTTCCGTCGAAACTCGAGCTGAATATCTAGCGGGTGCTGGGAACATGTACCATTGGATTTGCGCAAGCCACCTCGAGAGATGCGGCAGCCCAGAGTGCGAGCTGAGCCCAACATCGATCTGGATTTGACTGTGCAGGACGATGTTTCTCTGGAACTAAAAGGTCTAAGCATGGTATCTCCCAACATAAGCCACCTTTCCTTCTATTTCAAGTTGCTCCATATATCCCCCTCTCCTTGAGACATCTTCTGTCGTACATCTTCAGCAAAGAGCAGCCGTACGACATCTTGTGCTTCCATCAGTCGTCCAGCATGGGTCTGAAAACATACTTTCGCAAGCCTGGCAAGGATGCCCAGTCTCCCACTGAGAAGGGAGAAGATATCCCACCTATGCCCACCACACCCGCTTGCTACACACCTCGTTCAAGGGAATCTGCTGGTCTGGAAGGTATCCCCATGCAACGACTCAATGATGCAAAATGCGATGTCATGGTCAATCACGTCTGGTCTGAGCAAGCGAAACTTCTTTGGAACATTGGAAACGACGACGAGGGTGTGGTGATCAAGAAATCGCGAGGCCAATATGTGTGTTGTCCTCCGGACTTACGCAGACCGGATGGTTTCCTGGAAGCAGTCCAGGCACTAAATGTCAAGGTATGTTCTTAACCACGGTTTTCGAGATACTTTGGCTGATTAGACTTAGAGCGCCATGACAGTCAACACTCGTGTCATCAACATCCTCCTACAAGAAAGCCACTTCAGTTTCATGCCGATAGGCGATGACCTTCGACTCCAGATCCTTCCCGACATGTCATGTTTGAGCCGTTGCGCAAAACATCAATTTGCTGCCTTCATCGCTGACAGACGACTCCTGGTAGTCTGGGATGACCAACCTGAGAATCTCATTGCCCGAGCTGAGAAGATCGAAAGAGGTCTCATGGCCATGATCTGGTCAAGCGACACAGCAGATGAAACCAACGAGAAAAGCAACAAGGATAGTCGAGTCTCTATCCAGGAGCTGGATATGCCTCAGAGCGAAGAATGTCTAGCAGAGAAACCACGTCGCGTGGTTTTACTGCACTCAATCACAACTGGGCTCACGCTTTGTTTGATTCTTGTCGTCCTTGGTGCTGGCTACAGAAAAATCGTCAAAGAGATTGCATACGATAACAGCTACACCCGACTGGCACTGATCGCGGTCGCTCCGGTCACGACATGGCTGGCTTTTTTTTTCTTCCAGGCTCTCATTTCAAACATTCTCCAGATCTTCGGCCCGATCAGTCAAGTACAGGAGAACACCAAGTATTACTCTGGTCTACCACCAAAGCGACTCTCAAGCAATGGACCGCTACCTCATGTCACTATCCAGTGCCCTGTCTATAAAGAAGGTTTGCAGACGGTCATCGCTCCGACAGTGTATTCGATCAAGGCTGCCATCTCGACATACGAAATGCAAGGCGGCACGGCGAATATTTTCATCAATGATGATGGCATGCAACTACTGTCAGCCGAAGAAGCGCGCGCTCGTCAAGATTTCTACGAAGAACACAGCATCGGCTGGGTGGCGCGTCCTCGTCATGATCCAAAAGGAGAACACAACCCTGTCCCATTCCTCCGTCGCGGCAAGTTCAAGAAGGCGTCAAACATGAACTATGCTCTCTGGGTCAGTAACAGGATCGAGGACAAGATCAGTGCTGGTGGCCATCGACCTGATTACTGGACACAAGAAGACGAAGTTGCTTCCTACGTTAGGGCCCTTGAGGAAGTGATCGAAGAGGATGAAGGCCGTACCTGGGCAGACGGCAACATTCGCATGGGAGATTACGTGCTTCTCATCGATTCTGATACGCGAGTTCCGACGGATTGCCTGCTCGATGCGGTCAGCGAGATGACCCATTCACCACAAGTCGCCATCATCCAGTACTCATCAGGCGTGATGAACGTGACAGAATCATTCTTCGAAAACGGCATCACATTCTTTACGAATTTGATCTACACGCAGATCAAATATGGTATCGCAAGCGGTGACGTTGCACCCTTCGTAGGTCATAATGCTATACTTCGCTGGTCTGCGGTACAAGATATTGCATACGATTGCCCAGACGATTCTCGAGAGAAGTATTGGTCAGAGTCGACTGTATCAGAGGACTTCGATATTGCCCTTCGCTTGCAATCTTCAGGATACCTTGTTCGCTTCGCTAGCTATACTGGAGACGGCTTCAAGGAAGGCGTGTCGCTCACGGTGTACGATGAGTTGGCTCGCTGGGAGAAGTATGCTTATGGCTGCAGCGAGTTGATTTTCCATCCCTTCCGATACTGGCCAACCCGAGGACCGTTTACTAAGCTATTTCGCACGTTTGTCATGTCGGGAATGCCACTGCCGTCGAAGCTCACTATCCTGTCATATATCGGGACCTATTACGCCATTGGATCCGCATGGTTGTTCACACTGATCAATTATTTCATCGTCGGATGGTTCAATGAGCTTCTCGATAAATACTACCTCAACTCGTTCCAGGTCTACTTGTCGATCATCGTGGTGTTTACAGCTCTTGGAAACGTCTCGCTTGCCATCCTTCGTTATCGGATCGGAGAACAATCTCTTGTACAAGCATTGATCACCAATTTCAAGTGGGCACCACTCATGATAATGTTCATGGGCGGGTTATCACTCCATGTCTCGCAAGCTCTTCTATCGCATCTGTTCAGTGTCGACATGAACTGGGGAGCAACTTCCAAGGAAGTGGAGAACACGACGTTCTTCAAAGAGGTGCCCAAACTGATAAGGAATTTCAGATTCACCTTCTTGTTTTGTTTAGTACTGTCGGTTGGCATGGTACTGCTGGCAACTGTTGTACCTGAGTTTTGGAGGATTGATCAGTTCATCGCCATCTATCCACTTGGGACCATTGTTGTCAGTCACTTTCTCCAGCCAATCGTGCTGAATCCTAGCCTTATGCTTTTCACCTGGTAGTCGCGCTGTGTTGAATATGATGGACGGTACGACGGCAGGTCACATGTCAGGACAGCGGTAGAATCATGCAATAATAATGTTTTGTTTCGTTTTCATACGGACGATTGACAAGAATATGGAGGTTCTGACTTTCTCTTCCTTCGCATTCAAGATCTGCGATTTGCTCTTGACCTCCATTCTTGTGCGACATATATGAGCCAATCGCAAAGTGCATTCGTTGGAAGTTTTTGCGGGATAGGCATCAACAGATCTTACAGCTCCGATAGTCGCACGTCGCCGCTCGAACCGGACGCATTACCTGAACCTGCTCTTCTTGCGCGCGGGACAACAGGCGCACCCTCCCATGCTGTCCCTTGTGGTAACACTTCTCCTTTCATGAGCAGCGACAAGCTTCCAAGCTGCGCCCCATCCTCAACTCTACTCCCTGGCAAACAGACGGAGAACGTCTTGAGGCAAGCTCGGCGTCCAACAGATACATTGCCAACCTTCATAACGCGGTCCTCGAAGAGATGAGTCTGCGCACCACACATTTGGTTGACAATACACTCATCGCCAAAAGTGACACAGTCATATTCTGTAATGTCGCTGGAGAACAGCGTTACTCGTGAGCCAACGGAAGCGCCCATGAGGCGGAAACACATGGCTAGATAAGGCGTTCCGACCAATTGGGATGCTAGCAAAGGCTCAGTGAGAGTCTCCCAGGTGCTTGTGACAGCTTCGCTCAGCCAGACGTCAAGACTCCAAAGAGGCCACTCGGCTGGTTTGTAGCGACCGATGAGAATCCATTTAATCAGAGCTGTGAACGTCAAGGCAGGTAAAGCGAAGAGGAACAGATAGAAGAGTGGTAGCATGAGTAGAGTGCGAACTGCACCAATCTTGTGGTAGCCGTCGTGAGCAATTTGCAGTCCAAAACCAAGGCCGAAGATTATGATGGCGCGCGGTATCACGATGCGGAGACCTTCGATAAGCAGTCGTGCAGCAATACGACCACCAGAAGGTCGGAAGAGGAGACTGTCCTCGTGGCCCTCAGCTCGCTGACGATTGGGCATCAGGACTGGCGGAGATCCAAAGCATGAACTGTTGCTTGCCATGGGCGTGTCTGCAGGAGGGGCTATGGACAGCACACCAAGTAGGGTTCCTGACGCTAGTGTTGTACCCTGAGGAAGCACGGATGCGTTGCCTGCGAAAGCACGGGGTTCGAGTTTGGTCTTCTTGAGTGTTACCTGGTTTCTTCTCACCACACCCTCTCCCATGATAACCGCGTCGGCAACGAAGCTTTCTTCACCAATTTCCAGTAGCTCGAATGGGACATTGCGAGCAGTCGAGATTTCAGCACGCTTGCCAATCTTGGTTCCGAGTGCTCTTAGAAAGGGAACAATGTAGAGGGTAGCGAAGACCGGGTGAAGAACGTCCAATGCAAGGTCCATCAATCGATCGATGAACCATTTACGAAGGAAGAACATGCTGTAGATGCTGTAAGAACCCTCCTTGAGACGGCCGAGGAAAAGATGGCGGTAGACCAATAGCTGTGCAAATACCAGGACCTGGTAAGCAAAGGTAATTGGAATCGAGAGAATTGCAACCTGTTGCCATCCGCTAATGGTTCGAATATCGAGTACATCGAATAGAATCAGTCCAGGGATTTGAGGAAGAAAGTACAATAGTGGCAACACCAGAAACGCGATGAGCCCATTCCCAAGAAGCATGGCTGTTGCCCGAGCTTTCGACGGTCTGGTGTCTTGTGGTCGTGCTGAGTCGTCTGCGTTTTTAATCCTGTCAAGACGTGCAGGTGATCCATGGAAGCGGTGGAAGCTAGGAATTGTCATGCCAGAAGGTACAAGAGAAAGCGACGCGACTTCTGCTTCCTCGCCAACAGTCGTGCCACCTTCAATCGCGCAACGAGATCCAATACTTGCACCATTCTCGATGACGATTCGCCTAAGGATCAATTTTCCCCTCTCGATGGTAGATACACCGAGCAAGACATCGCCTCCTATGACAACGTCGTCTCCTATCTCGACAAGATCGTGACAGGGGCCAATCTGCAGCGCGCCAAGATGGCAAAACCGTCCAACTTTCGCTCCCATCGCTCGTAGAAAGAAGGGGTAGAGTCCAGAATCCGCGATCAACTTTGGGTTTGCCAATGAGGTCACGCGATCCACCAGCCACCAGCGAAAATAGTAGACACCGTATAGTGGGTGCTCACCTGGTCGCACTCTTCCAAGAATCAACCATTTGCTTGTAATGGCCACAACACTCAGAGCAGGTGGGATCACCACGAATACTGCGTAGGCTGTCAAGATAGCAAAGCCGATTCTGCCAGCGACCGCGTGGAAGTCGAAGAGCAGATAAGGAACCAGAATCTCGATCGACTGCAAGAAGAAGATGAAAAGCAGCGGTAGAATCTGAGCTATGCCGCAGAGCACGAATTTCGCTTGTGATATTGGTAGGTATTCTCCGGTCCAAGGACCAGTACCCTCATCATCGTATAGCGAGTCAACCTCGTTGATGTCAACGTAAGGGCTTTTAGTCCTCGGGGAGATATCAAAACGAGACGCGATGTTGGCAGGAGTTCTCGCTTCGTAAATGTCGGCGAGACCTATAGAAGCAAAAGGTCGAGTATTGCCCATACCAAGCTGTGCCTGACGCAGTCGCGACACTAAGATTGCTACTATCAGCGAGTGACCGCCTAAATCGTTAAAGATGTCGCTGTCAGGCTTGATGCGAACTTGTGGGAACAGTGGCGATAAAGTGGTCAACATCAGACCTAACACTCCATCTGCTGGAAGGATGGAGCCCAATGAGTCGATGTCGTCGTCCTCGTTGTGCCGGGCAGCCTGCGCATCTGCTCTTTCAGCATGGATTCGAGCAGAAATCCCTTGCAGGGCTTTCGCATTGATTTTGCCACTTGGTAGTCGAGGCATCTCATGCGACCGAAGGAAGAACGTCCCTTCTGGCCGCATATAGGATGGCAAGCTATCAAATGCAATCTGACTGATGGCGACAGTATCGGGGACAGCACCTTCGCTGAGGACTACGAACGCCTCTAGACGAGCGGACTCCGAGTTGGCATTGGCCAATATAACAGCTGCAGCTTGTACATCCGGTACGGCGTACAGTCGCGACTCGATCTCCCCGAGTTCGATGCGGAAACCACGGTGCTTCACTTGCGTGTCAATACGTCCAAGAAATACTATCTTCCCGTCCGCCTGCGTTTTCACAAGGTCTCCGGTGCGGTACAATCTCTCCCCAGTGCCAACTTTCAGAGGATGAGAGATGAATTTTTGAGACGTCAAGTCAGGGCGTCCAACGTAGCCAAGCCCAACACAGGGACCACCTATGGCAAGCTCCCCCTCAACTCCTTCACGCCACTCAAGAGGTTCGCAAGTCGCCAATGAAGAGTCGTCTGAGACAGGAAGAAGACAAGCATGATATCCTGGTAGTGGCTTGCCGATAGTGACTGGAACATCAGGTCGAAGCTCATCCCAAGTTGCGGTCACGGTGGTCTCGGTGGGACCATATGTGTTTATGATACGAAGACCAGGCCTTGCGATCCGGTTCACCAACGCGGGCGGGCAAGCTTCTCCGCCTAGATTGATCAGACGAACGAGAGATGGGAGCAGAGAACCCCCATCATCGGTCCGCGCGATATTCATGATACCGATCAGAGTTGGAACCGCGTTGACAAGAGTGACTCCGCGACTTGCCCAGACAGCAGGCAAGGCTGGTACATCTCTGCATTCCGCTCGGGTACCTATAGCAAGATGGCCGCCTCCAGCGATTGTGACCCACATCTCTTCAACGAACATGTCGAACGCTGGGCTAAAGCCATTCCAAACAATGTCTTGCGGACTTGTTTCCAAGACTTTTTGCTCGCTGAGAGAGAATATCAGCGCCGCAGAATGGGGAATGGCGATGCCTTTTGGTGTTCCAGTGGTCCCAGAGGTGTATATGAGATAGGCTGCATCGTGGGGCCGCGGACCAGACAATGCTGTACTTTGTGTGTTCAAGGCGAGTGGTGTTTGTGCTTCGTCAATCAACTCAGAGAACCCATGATATCGAATACATCCAGTCGCAGCGTCTCGTTCCGCTATGGCAACTCGCTCTTGTACTTCCCGGAGCTTGTCAGAGTGTGCCATGTCACTAATGACCAGGGAGACCGAAGCGTCGATGATACAGATGGCAGCACGCTCTGCAGGAACGTCGGGATCCAGAGGTAGCCATGTGGCGCCAGAATATGTCGTGGCAAGAATAGCAAGGATGAGCTCGAGACCTTTCTCTAGCCAAATTGCCACTGTTGGTACTCTGTCATCTTCGACATGGTGAGAAAGAGCAGCGATGCGAGTCGCCAATGAGGCAGCTATGGCATCTGCCTCAGCGTAGGTGGTTGTATGAAGGCCGGTTCCAGTCTGAACGGAATACGCGATGCTGTTAGGCTGTGTTTTCGCCATGTGTTGGAAGAGCTGTGGGAGTGTGGTAGCCGATCCTGGCGCGACAGGCTCCGCATCGAGTGGTGCATCTCCAATCAGAATACGGGGATCCATCATGACTGGCTCTGGTTCGATGAGCGGGGCAGAATTGTATAGAGCAAACGGAAGTGAGCAATTTCGTTATCGGTTACTTGGTGATGAGTCCGTTAGAGAGACCGAGCAGATGGGAATTGCAGTCTTGAACGCGAGGCAACGCTTGGAGGGAAATAGATCAAAAAACAGGCGAGAAACGTAAGGCGCTGAACATTGTCCATTTCGTGGTCATGACTGAGTATGACTCCATTTGGCACTGAGGCATTTTGAAGTCTGAGCCTTTGCTTTGGGCTTACGCCTACCCAGAATAGCATGTAGCGAAGATGAACAGGCCGGACCAAATTTGGAATTGGTCAGAAGCTGAGTGACTTGCATGCCGCGCGGCGCCAGATTGTCAATTCCTACGGTATAGACTTTGGGCGCTCGTATACCGCGCCAACGTCGTGGACCCCTCGGGCGGATGGACGGCTTGCGGTATTTGTCGACAAAGTCTGAATCGCCTTTGCGCGCATTGTAAGACCGTCACATCCAAGACACGTATTCATTCGGGTGTTCCCTTCCAGTAACGTGAAAATGTCGCCATGAGTGGAGTCTGTGATGCATTGTGCCATGATAATATGGAAGAACGTTGTTGTCAGGATCTGGAAGGAAACACATCTTGCATCTTGCCAAGCCAATTCAAGCACGTTGATCCCCGCTTCCGAAATGCTTGTGTGATCGGATCGAGGCGCCGGCGCGATGATTGCGTGTTCAAGGTTGGTGCTTATTTAGGACACAAGATGCGACACACAAATCAGAGATGACTGGGAACACACGTTCGCTCATCTAGTCACATTCTCACGCCCTGCCCTTGAACTTCACTTTTTTTCTCACCTTCTCACCCTGATGGCAATTCTCAAGAAGGCATGCCGCCAGTCTAGATCGCGACGCATTGGTACTTCACACTCACTATTTGAAAATGTGCCTTAGACACCTTGTGCATCTCATGGCTGCTATACTCTCTCTAGGATTGCCCTTGTCTGGCGATCTGGACATTCTCAAGACTCACATAGTATCATCACAACCTTCACGCCTGATACTCCCTGCTTGTTACGCTTCGGAGCTGCCTCAACAGAAGCGAGGCCTCCCTGAACCAGGCTGGATAAATTCTCTGACGATGGAAACACCTTCGCCACCAAGACGAGCCATAGCAGGCTTGGTCAGGCAACGTAGGTGTGTCGCACTACCCAGTCCAATCACCTGCTTGTTCTCTGTTAAGGGCTACCTCCTGCTCTGCTCTTGCACAGCTTTATCAGCCTCTTCCAGATTTACACAAACGATCAGTGCGGTCTCGACGTTTCCCGCCGCCTGAACGATCTTGAGGAACCCCTCACCGTCAAACGAACAACGACAGCAGGGGACATGACAATGTCATGATGTATGAACAACACCTTCCCAAGTTTGAGCTGTGCCAAGACAGCATCTTAACCAGAAAGTCTTCTCTACAGCGCATGTCGGTCGCTGTGGCTCTGTTATGTAGTCAACTACCTTCTGTTCCGCATCATTCGTGATTGCAACAGTCAATTTATTGATCGGCAGGTTAGGGTCATACCGCGCGTGCAATATCATCGAGTTAAATACGGACACTGAGATGTAAGGTATAGCTACCATTTCCACAATTGTGATAGTAGACGATTACGAGGTGGAAGGGGCTGCAGAGCGTTGGATATGTGATGCTCCTGTATACGGATGTCAGCAGCAGATGATATGTTCATAGTCATGGTCTCTTCTTACAGGATATCTGCACGAGTGGCCTAGTCTGGGCAGTTGGCCTGGACCTGTGAGGCAATCGCAAAACAAGAATGACCAAGGCTCAGAACGCAATCTCTAGAAGGGAAAGTGATACACTGTAGGGGAAGCATCGTCAAGACTATCTCTGGTTTTGTAGTTGAGTCCGATAAATCTTGTAGTCTGCCGAAAGACATGGTTTAGGTAGTGTAGAGCTGAAGCTTTTGTAGAGTAGAATTCAATGATGGGCATCCGGCTCAGGACGCTGGAAAGCTCTAGCAATAACATGTTTCAGGAAAGTCTTTCACGGATGGAAGACTTAACTTTCTAGAGAAGCAGACTTTCAGAGGCGTCTAAGATGTTTCGCGATTGTTGGCAGTCACAAAGAGATCCAAGACATGTCATGTCAACAAAGAGTGCAGCCAAAGGTGACTTGAGACACAAACCAGGCCAACGTTTCTAGCAGCTTTAGCTTCCATCCAGCACAATCTCGGTAGTCGGACTTGTTACGAGTACGAAGAGCCCTCATCTTTCTTTTGGACAAAGCCTTCATCATGTACGATTTTCAGAAATACCTGAAGTATCGACTGTCGCTGGGGAGGACCTGATTTGAGTGCATCATCAACCAATTGGAACATTATATTAGTGACGGCGTTCCTCAGTATCGGCCTCGTTGAAAGCAACTGCCATCTGCGACAAGTCCGTCGAAGGCTTGAACGAAACAGCAAAGCAGCTAGTTCGAGATCGTCCAAGTCATTGTCTACAATAATCAAGCGGTAGTGAGTAGCGAGCGAACGCTCTCTGTCCCATAATCGTAGCGAGGCACCGTCACCAGCGATGTTCTTCGTTGGTAAGAAGCTGTATTGCTTACCACTCTACAGGCTACTCAAGTACTGCATTCAATGGCAGATCTCTTGAAGATGAGCCAGCGTATACAGTCTTGATATGTTCAGTAATGACCCAGTCCTGCTTGACGGTATCCCAATTCGACAAATCTCTGCGAGCCAGAGGAAAAGTGACCTGCACAGTCTGACCAGGATCAATAGTCACGCGCTCGAAGCCACGAAGAATGATCTTTGGGTCAAAAGGCCCACCAAGAGAAACATATAGCTGAGCCACTTCATCGCCAACCACTTTGCCGGTGTTGGTCACGTTGACTCGGACATGATATAAGATATCCCAAAGGTACAAATTGCCGCCGTTCGGACCAGAGGAGGGAGAATGCTCGAAGCTTGTACCATTCAGAGCGTTCTCAGGTATGAAAGAGTCATCGCCAAAGCCTGTCGCACCATATGATTCGTTCAGCTGTTGAGCCAGGGGTAGACGTAGAGAGGAATTCGCGTAACATTCCCAGGGAAGGTATGAGCTGAGGTATCGTTGTCGATGGTGCCGTAGGTGGGTGCAGGCCCAGAGAAACCAGTAGTTGGCTGGTACTTGGCAACGTTCAACTTCTCAATGACCAGTCCCGAGTACTCGAAGGTGGTATAGCTCAATCCAAAGCCGAACTCGTATACTGGCGTGACATTTCGGTGATCGAACCCACGGTAGTCAATAAAGACACCTTCTTGGAAATTGTACTGAGGCACTTCTTGGTTTGGTGTGTAGAGAACGTCAGTGCCATAATCAGATCTGTTGCGACCCATGGTGAACGGCAATTTTGCTCCGGGATTGACGCGGCCGAACAAGACATCTGCAATCGCATATCCTGATTGTTCACCTTTTCCCTTGGTCAGTAATCGAAGTGCAGTAAGATTCACGAGGCTTACCTGGCAGTCCAGCCCAGAGAATCGCAGTGATGTTCGGATTGTCCTTGTACTGATCAATCTCGACGGCGCCAACCGAGTGAATTACCAGCACAGTGTTGTTGCAAGTGGCAGACACATTCGCAATCACGGCGTCAGCACCTTGCCAAAGGGTCAAGTTCTTACGATCACCAAGGTTGCCGTCGACGTTAGCAAATCCTTCCCCAGACCCGGCATTATCCCTAACGCGACGAGCCAAAGCATTGATCTGAGTGAATGCTGAGTTGTTGGTGATTGACTCGTACGATCCGTAACGAGAGACAACTTCATGCTGAATAGCTGCATCTGGGCTGATCAAATAGGGAGAGCTCGCTTGACCACTACCCCAACCAACTGCAAGAGTACCAACATCGCAAGCATGATTGCGACAGCCGTTTGGACCGAGAGGGTTTGAGCCGGCGTCTTCTCCGAACACTGCAGTCAATCTTGCCATGTTGTTGAGAGGCAGTGTGCCATGCGTGTTTTTGAGGAGCACGGTCGAGGCTCCCCCGATCTCACGAATCAATCGTCCGTGCTCACGTCGCACATCAACATGTTGATTGACCAACCCAGTGCCCCAAGTCGAGCCGACATGTGCGTGCACCGGGCCAAACGTATCGGGCGTCCATGACTGGAAGTTTGGATGAGGTACTTCGGTGTCTCCGCCCACCAAATACCAGCCAGCCAGGATACGGACGACCATGTCATCCAGGCGCCATTGCGGAACCGTACCATTCAAGACTGCAATGGTGAGATTGGGGCCGAAGTAGCTCAAGCCATCGCCGAAACGGATGTCGCCAGCCATGGTCTAGCTAATCCGGCAAGGATGGCAGACACACCGCTCGCAGTGGCTTGCCAGTCACTCATGACGTACCCCTGGAAGCCGAGTTCAGACTTTAGTACGTGGTTGAGCAGATAGCTGTTTTGGCAAGCTTGAGAATTGTTGACCAAATTGTAGCTGCACATGACAGAAGCAACCCCAGCCTTGACAGCATCTGCAAAAGGCCAGACATAGAGTTCATGAAGTGTTTGATCATCGATGTTAGAAGATCCAGGCTGAGTGATGTTGAAACCATAGTCTCGAGATTCGGGAGTTTGCCGGAAATGCTCTTGTTCGTTTCCGACGTAATGTTTGGCACTTGCTTGTACTCCTGTGCTTTGTATGCCACGGATTGAGTCAGCGAATAGCTTGCCAGTAAGATAAGGATCAGGACTGAATCCTTCCCAATTGCGACCTGCTGTGGGAGACTGGATGGTGATTCGTCAGCGTCAAGATCCTGTGATAAGCAGAAGAACTTACCCTCCCCAATGCGCCAGCATTAGGTCCAAGCTGGACAGTGACCCCCTTGTCGCGACTTTCAAGACCCATTGCCTTGCCTCGTTCATACGCAAGACGCCTGTCCCATGTGGCGCCAACATTGATGCCAGCAGGGAACAGACTGACGAAACTGTTCGTGCATCAGAAGCAGTTTTGGTGGAGCAGTCATGAACCGTGAACTCACTCGGTGTATCTCACGCCAACAGGCGAATCTTGAAGACATTGTCCACGGATACCGAGACGAGGAATACCTCCGGTCTGGCCAACACATTGTTCTTGCTGCCAGCCGGACCCTCAATCATGCTGTCAGCCACGCTCACGAATATCACTGAGAAGATAACAAGAACTTACCAGTCGTCAGATTCACCTTTTCTTCAAGAACCAACTGCTCGACAATCGCGATGGCCTTCTCGTAGGCAGTTGCCCATTCACCAGCCCCCGTGCCCCAAGGGCTAGGATATCTTGGTGGAGAAGTCTGGTTGGTTTGAGCTCCCAAAACCACATTTGGATTCGGAGAGATGGCGTCGGGATAAGTGACATTGGGAAACTGAGCCATGTCAAACGATGTTGAGAATTTCCAACAAGTGAGTAGTTACCGGAACTGCATTGTCACTGGATTGTGCTAGCGTCCAGCCAATAACAACAGCCAGTGTGAACATAGTCAGACGCATGTTGAGAAGCTGGCTCCAAAGGCTGTACCTTCTAAGAACGCGGAGGACCTTTATATATACTTCGCAGATGCTGATCATCGCTACTCGTTGCAGTCCAAGAAATGATTACCCGGCTGGTGTCTGGGCGAAGGCTGGTGATGATGTGTGGAGTGCATGTAACATCATCCTGTTGCGAGCCAAGCCCAATCCTACCAGGAGGGGTCACAATCCTACTCGCTTATGTTGAAAGCTTTGAGCGCTCGATGTATGCAGCGTGATCATATTATTGATGGATAACAATGAGACTCAATGCTGACACGACGATGTTGCAAGACGCGAGGAGGGAGGAAGACGCGGTGTTTGACGGTGTAAAGGCGGGGGGCAAGCGGCTAAACTCTCCGGCACTTCGGGCCAGCTGGCCGAGCCCGCATCGGACTCCCGAAACGCCGTTCTTGCTCATGCTGCTTCCTTCGATTTCGCTCCCACCAACTTAACCGGCGGACTCGTGTCGTTTGACCGGCCTGTCTGTTCGCACCCTGGTTCGATTCACACCTTTCAGCCTTCGTAATCACTGCTTGCTTTCCTCAGGACCCATCAAACCTTGGCTTCCTTCTTCTTCTCCTGGGCCAGCTCAGCAATGACCTCGAGCGCGTCCTCCTCCCTTCCAAGGGGTACAAACAGATGATCATGGTAGAATCCACTGATCGGATTGACGCCCATCCCAGCCGCAGCAAGCCTGGTCGCGACGACAGCAATGAACCCTACAGCATCTAAACTCGACGTGACGTCGAGCGTGATTTTGCGACACGGAAACGCGTACTCAATGCCATGTGACTCGGCATAGTCGCGTGAAGTAATGACTGTGATGCCTTCGGTTTTGGCTTCGCGGAAAAGCATCTCCACTTCTGTAAAAGGTGGTAGTTTCGTTTCGTCCGGGATCACAGCGAAGACGTAGGTCGTAGGACGGAGGGTGGTTGTCAATGTCGCGAGCAGCTTCGCAAGCGACAGCTCACCAGGATGCGTTGTTTGTGTCGACATGGTTCGGAACGACAAATCTGATGCAAGAGCGATCTTACATGATGAGGAGAGAAAGCAACAAAGTCACGCTTCGCGAGGCGTTGTTGTGGCATTTCTTCGGAAGAGCTCGTCGGAACATGCCTCCGGAAGGGCGTTCCATTGCCTTGTGTCAGCGTTGCCGACCCCTTCATCTACACGCGTCTCGCAACAACTGTATGGGCTTGTTACAGCTATGTCGTCAAACTCACACGTCTGCCGTAAGTAATGTCAGAAAGCTCAACACGCAAGATGCACCAAACAAGACGACACTGATTGGCAGCTAAGGATAAGTCATAAAGCCATATTTTGTTCCTCGTATATCTATGCGACTCTCCTTCTCACGCACTGCTACTCCTCGAATTGCTTAGCATGTGCGAGTGTTGACTCTGACATCGTCAATGACCAGACCGTTCAACGTGTTGACAGCAGCCTCTCCACCAGGAACAGAGAAAGTGAAAACAGCAAACTGAATATCCTCACAGCCCTTGACAGGACCAGAGTAAGCAAGCTGCTGAACAGCAAGAGCAGAGCTGGGGTTGAATTGGAACTGCTGGGAGCAGACCTGCTTGGCATTGCTGACAGAGTTGTCGCTGCCCTGGTATCCGGTCACCTCGACATTGCAAGCCTGGTTGAGGGCAGTGGCGCCTTGGCCAAGGTTGAGGACGCAAGAGAAGTAGAAGTCCTTGAGGTCGAAGGACTTGGTCTTGCTGTCTTGGTAATTGGTGGTGATCATGGGAGTACCCTGGAGCTCAGACACGAGGTTGGCGAACGCATAGCTGTAGCAGTCTTGTCAGTCTTTCTGGTTTCCATTTCATGACTGGGGTATCTTCGTACTTGGAGCCGGAGTGGGGAACGGGGCCAGGGAGCAGACCGGTCTGGATGACTGTGGCGAAGTCAAATGCCTGGAAGTAAAGGCCCTTGTAAGGAGTGGGGACAGGGCTGAGGTTGACGAGCGGGAGGGCAGTCAAGTCATCAAACTTTTGGCTTAGTTGTCAGCGTTGATTCTCCTCCGATTGACGAGCACATCACCCACGTTGGCATTTTGAGAGACAGCAGGGCACGAAGGCTGCTTGGAAGTCGGAACGGCAGCGACAGTGGCAGCGAGAGCCAGAAGAGTGGAAAAGAAGCCAGGCATGGTTTCGATGTGTTGAGATTGTTCAGTTGAATTGGTGATGGGCAAGGAATAGATAGAGGAGTAAGAAGCTGAGTTCAAGTTGTGATGAGAATACTGAGCAACGATGCTGCTCCACGCGCCTTATATCTTCGCACTTTGTGTTGAGCTTCTAGGCGACACATCATGGCATTTCGGAATATAACAGGCCAACGAATTCGAGCGTGAGCCTCATACAGATATGATCTGCTTGTACCTGGAAGGAACGAGAGACGTGGAGCTCGTTCAACTGCAGGGTTTCGTCACCGTTGCTGCGTTGTTCAGAGAAAAGAGAGAGGAAGGATCTTTCTCTATGTCATGGTGGAGAGTGTGGAGGAAGCACACACCGCAGCCGGTCAGATCTAACCAAATGCGTCGATCGCATCGGATCTGATTCAAAGTTTGTCAAACTTAGCTGTCCTATTATCAAAACGTCCGGAGAAGAATTCCGTGACTACTCCATTGCACGACGCAAAGATGTGTATCACTTGCTATAATTTTGAATATGCGCGACTTGGTCAGGAATAGGAAAGATCCCTTTCCCGAGAAAGCATTTACATAGCGGAGTAATTGGTGTCGCATCTGGCCGAATTTCATGCTTCTTTTTCGCACTTCCGCATCTTGCAGATCATTGTGGAGCTCGACTCGCGCGACGAGGAACTTCACAAGTCAATACGCACCGGGCACCGGGCTGACATTCAAACATGTGTTGCCCTGATCAAGCCTTTTACCGCAGCTTGGATGACTATGTCATCAACCAACGAGCTAGAGGCTGAAAATATTTGCGGAGTCCTGTCTCATTCCTCAATCACTTCTTGCACTCCAAATTCAAGATGGGGTGCCCACATTGAGGTCAAATTTGCGGTCAGAAGGATTTCATTCACTTTCACAATTCATGCAGTTCATCCTAGATACTGCGAAAGTACAAATGCTTCACAGCCGCGAACCTTGGAAGTCGAGCCTTGAATCAGACGCCCATTGACAATCGTAACCACTGCACGGCTTCCATTGGTTGCAGCGATGACTGAAGGGATACTCACTGTGCCTTGGGTCCCGACGGGCGATTCGACAATCATGGTGACAAGTCCAGCCTCGTCGATCCGCCATTCAACTGCGATATCTCCGAAAGGCGTGGGCTGACTTCCTTTCGCCCACGTCAGACCAAGCGACTGCGGTGCGACGCGCCATTCACGGAAGCCTGGTGCTACAGGCTGGATACCTAGAACGTTTCTGCTCAACTCCGCGGTCGGTCCCGATGACCAGGCATGACACAAAGATGACCCGTCGCCCAAACCTGGTCTACCGTCCAGATCCAAGGTCTCCCAGAAACAACCGGTGTAGTTGGCGTTGGTTTTCGAAATCATTGGCAGCCAAAGATTGTTGAGTAGATGGCTGGCTGCTTGAGCGTCGTGAGCAGCAAACGCCGCACGCAGGTGATAAGATGATGCGTAAGGGCTGATAAGCTTAGAGAAACCAGTCGTTGTGTTCGAAAAAGGCAATGTGCCATGATCCACAAAGAGAAGACGAGACATGGCTTGCGAGATACCGAGAGCCGTGTGATTGCCTTGGGGAACATTGGCCAGGATGACCATAGCATTAGCGTCTTGCGCGATCCCCTGAGGTTGAGCTTCTGAAACAAAGTATGCGCCTGTGAGGTCGCTATAGAGTTGTTTGTCGATGGACGTCCGGAGGACCCCAAGAGTCTTCTCATAATCAGTCGTATTTTGATCTGCCGCAGCGAGCATTGGTAGCACTTCTTGCAGCGCAAGTGCGTACACAACATTGAACTTTGTGACAATGCCTGACTGCGTAGGGTCATAGTAGTTCCAGTCACCACCGAAAGTTGGATCGGAAAGGTTAAAAAGTGCAATCTCGAGAATCTGCGAGGATGCCCAATCAAGCATACGAGTGGCAGCAGGTGCATATGCTTTTGCCGCTGCAACATCTGCACTGACCGTATAGTATTCACCCATCGCACTGAGCAGATTGAACGAATAGCCAATCAGGCCTGTCATGTTGATATTGATCAAGGACTCTCTTGGATGCTGCTGGATTTTCACTGTGGGAACAAAGTAGCCTGCCGTCATTTGATTGGAAGTCAGGAGACGAAGGGTGTCGTTGATGTAGTCAAGCTGGTAGTTGCTGGTCGCTATGGTGCGTGCGGCGATGTCCAAGTCACCAGCGTACGCAATCCTGTCTCGGCGAGCACCATCAACGATGACATTCAGAGAGTTTTTACCCACCAAAAAATCTTCAAGAGCAGAGTCGGACTTCAAGTCTGAGGAATAAATTTGATCGTCTTCGGAGGTGACCGTGAGGTTGGTGAAGAGTGCAGATTGACCATTAGCGGCGCCGATGCCGAACGAGCCATAGAACTTGACCTTCTGCGAGAACGAAAGGACAGGCATGTTGTTGATCAATACCGTAATGTTCGATAGATTGATAGAGGCAGGCACGTTATGCCAGTGACTTAGCAAGCTACTAGTGACGTTCAATCTAGCAGTCTGCAACAGGGTGTCGACCTCCGTTGAGCCGCTGTATGCCGAGATGGTCGAATTGGAAAGGTTGACCCAGACGTATATCCCATCACCCAGAGTATCGCTCAAGACTTTGAAGCTGAAGCCGCCTGTGATTGGTTTGACCATGAAATTCATTTGATATGAAGTCAACGCTTGCGCCTGAAGGCCGGCATAAGGCTGAGGAGCCGCACTCTCGATGAGAGTACCTTCAGAACTGATCTGCCAGAAGTCTGGGATGGATTTTGCGGCGATCATGCTTAAAGCAACAGTTTGAGCGCCAGCACGCCATATGTTAGTCCAGTTTCGATTCGAGCAATCAAAAGAGGCTCGCGGTCGGGGCGTATAATAGGATGGAATGATGCCCACTTCTGACAGTATAAGCTCGCCAGGAGATAAGAGCGTAAGAATCTGCCATCTGACTCCACCCTGGAGCAGGCGACTTGTGTGGGTGGAGTTGGACGCGGATATGTTGTAGTGTTGGACTCGGTAAGTGTTCTGCGAAGCAGACATGGCAATTGGTCCATCACTCTGCTCTTAAGTAAGCGTGAAGTGACCGAATGAGAAGCGACAATTGCACTGACCTGTATTTGGTTGAGCAATGCTCTTGATTCACTGTGAGCGACGCTGAAGAGAGAGATGTTCCCGATGGCGTGTACGACATTCAAGGTTGGGAATCCGGTAATGTCTTGACCATGGTCTAAGACGAATCCAGCTGGGTAAGAGCCATCAGTCCGAAGATGAATCATTCCATTGCGTTCCCGAGCAAAGACTGCATCGTCTGCTCTGACGAGAGTCGACACAGCCAAAAGAAGCGGCAGTAAGATCATCATGCTTGCGGTATCAGGTTAGGTGAGAGATGTCTGCTCTTCGATGACCAGACAGACGAGCTTTATGTATTCAAGATGGCTTGTCATGATGTCGATCCAGGTCCGGGAACTCTGTGTCCGTAAAATGCGTATGCATGAACCGCATGTCTAATTATTACCCCGGACTCCCAAGGCGTCCAGCTTAGCTTCTGGAAGTGTCGGATGCGCAAATTGCGTATTCGCTTGTTGCTCCGCTGACTTTTGCTTGATCACAAACCTACTAGCAACTTGACAGCGTCAATCTGGACAGAGAGGGCAGAAGATGTCTGCGATATCCCGGCCACCAGCGAGTTCACCAAGCACAGACCACCGTCCCTCAGCCACCATTTGCTGCGTAATTGATGCAACAATACGCCGTAGTATGTACATATCAGCAATGCGATTGGCTTTTTCGCTTGAAAAGCTTTGATGTAGTCATTGTTGACAAACGCCGGCCATGATGTAATTCCATCCGGAGTGTTCGATCGTTGATACCGACGCCAGGCAAGCATCAACTTGTGGGTCGCGTCCTTGTAGGCTTCGCTTAGCAGGACATCCTCAGGATCCAGGAGTTCATAGAGAGCTCGAATACTGAGCGATATTGCATCTGCGTCTTGCTCTCTGGAAATCTGTCAGATCGACATCTCAACAACAGCAGGTCATCAAGCATACCCGTCGTGATCGCGAGGTGAACTCGTAGCCCAGAAAACACTGAGATCTTCTCCAAGAAGATCAGCAAAGATCTCACCAAAGGGTCCAGACTTGAGTTCTTCTTCTGCCTGACGATAGATAAGACCGATGCCATGAACATACTCTCGCATCTCCAGTATACTCTCGCACGGGTCGCGCAGTGTGTTACCGAGTAGAGACAAAGCAGTCAATTTGGTCAAGACCGAGAAGCCGAATGCTGCATGGCAGTTGTCTGAGGTAATCTTGGTCAAGGCAGGTCGAAAGGTCTCTAGAGCTCGAGTTTGGTAGCCAAGAGCGTATTTCTGCCATTGCCATGGTGCATATCCTGATGACTTGGCCTCGAGAGCTGCTTGATGGAGACAGGTAAGTGCCATGAGACCGTGAAGCAGAAAATCGCAGGCGAAAGCTTGTTCCGGGAAGATAACTTGCCAAGTGCGCAAATCGTGGCCGCGACATATTGTTGGGGCTGTGTGGATGGTGTGGAAATGGATGAGACACAACTCCTGAGCTCTGGGTAAAAGTTCAATTGGCTGGTCGTCGTAGAATTGATCTTGCAGGCTGCATCGAATCTCGCGCTTTTGACAATAGCCACATATCGGTCTCACCTCGTCACACTACGTGAACACAGCTGGTCAGCGGACGAAGCACTCAACGACTTTACAATTGGCAAGAATTGCGAACCAGAACATCCGGATCTTGTACGTGCAGGCGTTGCCCTGGCACAATGCAGGTTCTGCGTCTTTGTATTTTGAGACCAAATCGATGTACGTACTTTCACGTGGCGTTGCTTACATTGAGCGCAGCCTCTGCGCGATTTCGAATGCGACTTACGCGTTGTCATCACGGTTTCTGCCTGTTAGTCGATTGCAACAAATTTGTGCTGATACGTTGGAGGTGCAGAAAGTGTCGTGATCGTTCGGAGACATCACAAAAATGCGGCGTTGATTGAGACGCGAAGACTGTTGCCATCAATATCTTGGCGATGTTGGCAACGCTCGAAAATTTGTCTCCAGCTTGCCAGTTTCGCGCCTTCCTCATCGCCTCAAACCTTGGAGCCATGGTAACTTCGCCCTGCCAGAACTCATGCGACGGTGGACCTTTGTTCGCACACTATTGGAGCTTCATGAAACCTCTCCAAAGACCTCGAAGAGTGAAAATACCCCGCGGATCAACCGCCTTCTGAATTTCCCGCAGCCTCTCCGCGTTGCTTTCTCCATACCCGGCGAAGACTTCGTCTGCTTGGCCAGTCCAGGCGTAGTTCATGTACGTAAAGTCGCTGGATACATTGTACTCGCGAGCAAGTGACTTGACTCGGTTCACGGTATTACGTGTCATATCCCAGACCGCGGAGTCGCCTTGTGCTTCTGTCCAAGATGTGGAGACGAAACAGACTGCGAGGTCGTCAGCGATGATTCGAAAGAGCGACTGAGTATCTGCCACGTACTGATCAGGGGTTCGCCTGTGTTTTTGATACCCAAAGCGTTGCCTCCCCGGCGAGACATGGCTGCGATGGTGTTTGCGTGGATTGGGTAGCAGATGAAGTTGGGAGTCAGGCCAGCTACTGTATTGATGGCTCTGACCTCCTCGCGGAAGATGTCAAGTGCTTTACTATGGACTAGTTGCGACGGCGACATGGTCAGAGTACCAAACAGATTGCTAGGAAGAGACTGTCAGTCAAAAACACAGATTTTCCAGGTAGGAGGAGTGATGATACCGAGTCACACCAAGCGGCGGGCTCGAAGCAAGATTGGCAACCGAGTCGACCGTCACACGTCTTGAGACGTGTGGAACACTGCTGAGGCCACTGAAGATGGAAGCGTTCATGATAGGCTGAAGATATCTTTGTGTGCCGCTGAAGGAGAACTGATCGCTAGTTCTGTTGTAAGTATAGTACAGATCAAGACTCATGTCCACATCACTGTAGACATCAGGATTGGCCCAAAGCTCGTAAGCTTCATCAAGGACCTCGTTTGTGTAGTTCGGGGCGTATGAGAACTGTGCTTGGTAGATGGGTCCTTGAGGGAAGATGTTGATGGTGAAGGTGGTCACAATTCCGAAGTTGTTGCCACCTCCACGCAAAGCCCAGTAGAGGTCTGTATCGGAGGTCTCGCTCGCTGTTACGATGGTGCCATTGGCAAGAACGACCTGAAGAGCATTAGCAAAGTTCTTCCCATCGCTCTTCTCATTCTCCGGAGATTACCTCATACTCATGGATATTGTCCAGCGCCCAGCCGTGTCTGTTTGCGAATGGCGAGGAACCACCACCAAGAGCATGGCCACCGACTCCTACCGTACCGACACGACCTCCGACGAAAGAACGATTGTATGGCTCAAGAGCAGTATAGACCTGCACAGAGTTTGCACCACCACCAACTCGGGCACGAGTGGCATTCGCGATCACCTCGACGGTACTCAAGCGATCAAGGTCGATTGTCACACCGCCAACAGAGTTTGAGTCATCTGCACTTCGAGAGTGGCCGCCACCCTTGACAGCAAATCTGCACCAGTTCTTCTCAAGGATGTTGATGATACGAGCGACCTCGGAGGCATTGAAAGGCTCAACTCGACACGCCGGGATCACCTCTTGTTGTTTCGCATCCCAGATGGTGAAGTTATCATTTTCGGGATAGTGCAGGTAGGCGTCGCCGAAAGCTGAACGAAGGGTAGAGCACTGGATCCTCTCAGCTTTTGATCAACACAGAAAATAAATGGAATATTTTACTGCTCTCTCGCATCCAAAAGATGTCACATTACTTCCGTAAGTGATCGCCTCAGCCAAAGTACTCAGCAAGACGATACCCAAAGTCTTGAAAAGTCGCGTCATGACTGCTTCGATGTCGTTGTGCAAAGAATGCAAGATTGGTTGCGTCGTGATGCTTTATATCAGCATCGTTCTGCGGCATACTTCCTTGCTCACGACGGAATACAGCGATCCGACTCAACACTCCTGATCGTCTCTGAAGTTCCAGCCATGCTCGCTAGCTCTACCATTGAATGACGACAGATGTGCAAGCAATCAAAAACGCGCATAGAGTCGTTCCCTTGGTATTCTTGGCAATGGCTTCCCCAGCCAAAATTTTCGGCCGAAAATGTGAGCGGAAGCAAGGCCGCTGTCTTCAAAGTCAAAAATCAGGTCATTGAGAAGGAGATACAACGTGAACTCCGGACGAATACTTAGCAGCGGATGTGATACTTGAGATTAAGTCCGGAGTCAGAAGATAGTCGCTATAGGCATCCCAACAGCAATTCAGAAGCCAGAAGAGGTGAAGTCGGGCGAAAGTGCACTGAAGCAAGCTTTGAGCACCACGTACATTGAGGATATTATCTTGGTCTGTAGGCAAATGACCATGGAAAGATCGGATCAAGATTCAGAGATTATTTGCTTTGCACCGTACAGACCAAGAGCAGGCAAAGACAATATGGACATGTTCGATAGACTTCAAGTTTTGAGATTCTCGCAAATCTATTCTACGCATGCCCAATGATGTTTCTAGGAACATACAAATCATCAATACTCTTGATCTCCTCAGCAGACAGCTCGAAAGTCGAAGCCTGAATCGCCTCATCAACTCTCTTGACAGAGCTCAATCCCAGAATCGGAGCACTGATGAACGGCTTGGCCAAGGCGTATGCAATAGCAATGACAGCCATTGAAACACTTCTAGCTTTTGCAATTTCTTCAATCTTCTCGTTGATCTTCTTGTCGGCATCAGTCATGGGTTGTCCCAGGAAACCTTGGCCTTGACCACTTCCTCTGGTGCTTTCGCCGAAGGACTTCCAAGGACGAGTCAGGAAGCCCATGGCGACGGGGCTCCAGGGAATGCCTCCCATACCGAACTTCTGACACGAAGGATACATCTCTCTCTCTTCCTCGCGATAGATAGCATTGTACAAGTTTTGCATGGAGATGAATTCGGTCCAACCGTTTGCGCGAGCAGTGTACTGGTACTCCAGCAATTGATGGGCGCGCATAGAGGAAGCTCCAATGTATCTGACCTTTCCAGACTTGAGGAGGTCATGGAGAGCCTCCATTGTCTCTTTGACAGGTGTGTTGGGATCAAAACGATGGATCTGCAACAGGTCGACGTAGTCCAGATCCAATCTCTTCAAACTGTTCTCCACGCTCTCAAAGATGTGTTTTCTCGAGAGACCATACTGGTTGACATAACCCTTATCATTTCTCTCCTCCTCAGACATCGACAGAGGCTCTTCGAGACCAAAGCCTATAGGAGCCCACACCTTTGTTGCAATGACAACGGCATGGCGGTTCCAGTTGTTTTGCTTGATGGCTTTGCCGAGGATGACTTCAGAGTCGCCGTTGGAATATCCATTCGCGGTGTCGAAGAAGTTGAGGCCGGACTTGTAGCAATGTTGTAGAATGGGGAGGGCTTCTGCTTCTCCAAGAGCCCACTTGTAGCGGCCTTCGGGGTTGCCGTAGCTCATACATCCAACTCCAATTGGAGAGATGCGAAGACCGCTTTCGCCAAGTCTGACGTACTTCATGTTGATGGAGAAGAAGGTCGGAGGGTGATCTAGGAGATTCGGTGTAGTGAGGTTCAAAAGTGAGATGTCGATCAATGTTCCAGCGAGGGCTCTATATGTAGTTCCAACAATTGTCAAGGTGTGAATCGTCAGGGTAAACAATACCGGAGCTATTCAAGCTTATGACCTATCTCCAGAGTTCAGTGAGCCCTCGGCGTTATCACCCCAGCTCCGATGCTATGACTTTCTACAAAGCGTTGATTCGGTCCCTGCTCCTACTGTACGTCACCTTTAGGTTTTACGAGAATACGGACTGGAAGTTCAAAATATAAATGGGACTTCATAGCTTCCAACACCTCTCGCTGTCTTCTCAGAATCAATTGCGACCTCATCCGTTGTTTATCCTTACGTCTCACTTGTCCCTCGTCATGATTTTTCCCCGAGCATATGGCGCATTTGTGCTTTTGAGTGCTTCGATTGTATCGGCTCTTCCCAAGCGTCAATCTGCTCCAAGCAATTTCACCTTCAGCACCGTGGGCACGGTTCCTGGAGCGGTCAACCTGGAAAATTTGGCAGTCCGACACAACGGCGATGTCTTGGTGACCTCTATCCGCAGCAATACTCTCTTCCAGGTCTCTCCGTCTAGGAACACGACTGCTAGTGAGGTGGTCCAGATCCCTGATGTGACCGGACTGACAGGCATTGTCGAACTCGAAAAGGATGTCTTCTACGTCGCTGGAACCAACTTAACAGGCTCCAGTTCCTCTCCAGGGTCAAATGGTGTTTGGAGAGTCGACCTGCGCAACTCCTCGATTGATGGCAATGGATGTGTCGTACAGGTGATCGCGCTATCACAAGTGGCAGACCTCTTATCTACCCAATTGATCAATGGATTTAGTAGTCTTGCACCCAATGACACATCCCACCTCCTCTTTTCTGACTCTGTTGCCGGCTTGGTCAGCATCCTGGACGTGGAGACTGGCTTGTCAGAAGTCGTCGTCAAAGATCCATCCATGAATGTCGTTCCAGGAGGATTGAACGTTGGCGTCAACGGTATCGAAACGTATGGCGATCGTCTTTTCTTCACCAGTCTCGATCAGCACTTGTTTGCATCTGTGTCGATCTCATTGTCCACTGGTCATGCTACTGGACCTGTCGTGCCAACCGTCAATATCACCGGCTCGGCAGATGATTTTGCATTATCTAGGGATGGGCGCACAGCATTCATTTCGTTGAATGGGGGCAATGCAATTCTTGAGGTCGATATTGCATCCAAAAGCAGTCGCTACATCGGAAGTCCTCTGCTTGAAAGCATATCTTCTGTTGCGCTGTCTGGAAGCAGAGATCAGTTCGGATCGGAGTCATTATACATCAGCGGAGCTATCATGGTGGACAACACGACCACTATCGGTGGTCTGTTCAAGGCGCAACCTTGCTTCGGGGTCGGATGTGCTGTTCAAGGAATCTGAGCAGAGGATTTCTGGATACAAATTGGCAGAAGCGAGTAATGGCTCTCATCAAAAATTAAGCTTGCCTGTATACCAGAGTCAATCAACTTTGCAAATTCTGCAGGAAATCATGCTATCCAGGCTCCAGAAAACGTAAATCAATCACACGTCGGTGTGATTTTTGATGATCATGTTTGCATAGACAGTTCCTCGGCTTGGCATATGGGGAGATTGAGTATGCGAAGTAAGCCAGACAGCATCTTCTTCCTGGCCCCGCTTTACCACACCATTCTTCGATTCCACCGACTCGGCAACCACGTAGCTCCCGGACGCCTCATTTGCAATCGTATGAGTAGTAACTCGATCCCAATACTTTGCAACGTCCTCATGATACATGGACATATGTAGATTTATCATCTTCAAGCCTTGGACACAAGACCCAGCAAATCCCTCAAACTCTCCGGGCTGCAGATAACCTGGGATACGATGGATCATCTCTTCTTACACTAGGTTATTTGTCTCGGCAGCAACCGTCACACTTCCAGATCTTGGTTCCATCGTCAGGGCTTAAGTCCTCTATGTCTTGGTCGCTGTACGGAGGAGGCAGGATGTAATTAGAAAGGAGTGAGCGACAAACGCGAATAATAAGTAGTGGACGACTACGGGTGAGCTAATCCTGTATCCTTGGCGTGTGCTGACTCATCTAACATGTGGCGAGATCCAGATAATCCAGGCAACCAGTGAACAGTCTTCCGTGGGTGACTTCTTTCGCTTCGAGGCTGGCTTCCAAGCGGTTCCTCTGTGCACTCAAGATCGCTGACGTGTGTGTATGATCTTTTCTTTAGCCATTGACAAAAGGCATGACCTTTACAGCTTGGACATCGGTCCGTCAGACTCCGTCGTCTCTTCCTTGGCCACATCCAACAATTCGGAGCCCGACTTCTCCACCGCGGTAGCCCAATTCGTCCTCGGAAGCTCGAAAATGTCTGTGATGCGAGCATATGATACACCTCCAAGCTGGCCAATGGGTCTCAACACATTCAAGTCGACATGACTTCTTTTCTCGTCAATCGCATTCTCAGCAACCCAGAATCTGGTGGCTTCGATGATTGCCAATGAGCTATGAGGTCCCACAGAGGGCCTGGAAGTCTTGTAGTTGACGACTTCCGTCAGCTTGCCTTCAATCGACATGACGGATTCCTTGACTCTCGGTGGCTTGACGGTCGTGCTGTCAGATTTAGTGAGGCCAGAGAGCGACCATTCAGAAGTGCCGTACGGTGCGTCCACCGAAGTCGCATTGACGGCTTCGATCATATCCTCCGATACGATGTTCAAGACGCACTCTCCGGTTTCCTCGAGATTGCGCAACGTATCTTTTGGTCGATTTGCGCGTCCAGAGAAGCCAATGACAAAGACTGGAGGGTCGTGGTCGACAACTTGAAAGTAGCTGAAGGGTGCCAGGTTTAGCTTGCCTTCTTTCGACACTGTGCTCACAAGACCAATTGGTCGTGGCGCAATTCCGGATACCAGCAAGGTATAGTTGTGGAACATAGGCCGACCTTCTTCAAATGGATCGATCTCAACCTGCGACTGGTCTTGCTTGCCCTTCACGCCCTCGCCCCATTTCCAGTCCGGCTTTCCTGGTTTGGTGACGCTGATTGTGGATTCTGGTTTCCAATCCGGCAAGTTCTTTTCGGTACCTCCAAGTGATGAGTAGTCGACTTTTGGTGTTGATTGATTGTGTTGAGAAGACGAGAAGGAGCGATTCATATTTGCAGGGATTCGTCTGGCCGTTGCGCAAAGATTTCTCCGAGACTCGCTAATGAATGCCGGTCGCCATAGAAGAGGACTGAACGATTGCATGGATGCTACTTCGGGCAGTCGAGAGAACAGAAAGCTGAGAATCAATGGTTATCGACGCTCTTTTGCAGATTGAGATTTCGATGCAGAGGACGAAATGCTAAACGCCTCCGTCGGAACGCGCCCTCCGAACATGTCTCCGCGGCAAGATATCGGCAAATCTGGCCGTTTGTCCGATGATAAGCGCGCTTTACCGCCGTGCCGCGTTTGTTGTGCGTTGCGCACTTCCCACACAAAGTCGTCTTCTTCTTCGTGGTCTACATTTCAAAAGGAAAGTGAGATTCACGGATTGGTCCTTACTTGTCTCTGGAGCGAGAAGTTGCACCATCCGCGGACCCCGTATCAATATGTCATGAAGGATTCAGGATGCGAAGCTTAACTCAAACTTGTTCGAGATAAGACTGAGGGGTTGTCGCTACTTCCTCCAAAACCCAGCCTTGCCCTCAACCCGCTCTCTTTGCCAAAGTCACAGTCACCTTACTGAACACACTTCGTCTTTGAATAAGACATAATTATGCTGTCTACTATCACACTTTACTCACTGCTGCTTCCACTGGCTGTCGGCGCCGCATTGAAAGACACTCAGGCCCCGCTGGTTCAGAACTCTCTAGACCCGTCGCTTGAACATGGCAATTTGACCGGTCTGCCCTTCAAGAAGTTTTTAATCGAAGAAATGGGCGATGTCAAATACTTGCTTCATCACCATGCCGCTAAAGCACTATTGGGGGACCGGTCGTACGTCCTCCTTCGTCAGGCAGAGATCCAAGAACGAGAATCTGCGGTCTGGGAATATCTTTGGAATCACGACTTGTACTGTGAGGACTGGCCAGAGTCTTCATCTTACTGGGATGGACCTCCCAAGATCTACATGTCTGATGGTCGCGTTTTTGATGCTGATCCGGAGCATGTGCCGCAAGATGTGATTGTCGCTTTGCAAGAACTGGAGGAGCAGGAATCAAAGCGTCGCATGGAGCTTAGACGTCATCGTTACTGCGAACTCACCAGGCCAGATGATGCGTCGGATGATGTCGTCGAAGCTATGCCTGACACAACTGAAGACGAATGGAAGATCGACATCCCAGAAGAGTACCTACGATACCTGATCCCCAGAAGTGTTCAAGATGAAGAAGACCAGAGAATGGACAGCTACTGGCAAGAGAAGCAGAAGGAAGACGAGAAGAAGATACTGGCCGGCAGAAAGTCCGTGAGAAACGTGGAGTTACCTGATCTCAAAAGGTGCAAGAAACTGGACAAGAACTGAAAATCGTCCGAGGAGGAGTAACGCTTGGGTAGGAATGGTTCGTGTTCTAATTATGATACAATGGAGTTTTGCAGGTTTTTCGAAAGATCAATTCGCAAGACCATTTCTTCCTAGGCTTCAAGGAATGGTTCCGTCGCCAATCTATTCATATTTCTCGTTTTGTCAGACAATCCAAAACTGCCATACAAGAGAGTGCGAGACATGTAGACGCGTCGAATACGATGCCCTGCAGTGATCCGTTGCGCGCCGGATAAGCGGAGCCCTGAAACAAGCTTTCACAAGCATTTTGGGAAACCTTAGTACACGAGCAAGCGATAACACCTTCTCGATTGGGCACCTTCCCAGTCAATCAGACCTTCTTCTCAATCCCAACATGTTAACGGAGTGACTATTGCACCTCTGAATCACGACGCCTACAGTGACAAAATTGCTGCGTTCGACCGACCAAAACTATTCTTACATCAAGTACTAAGATCAGATCGCAGCATCCAGCGAAAACTACAGTTGCATGCGTTCGGTTATAACAATACGGTATTCCCGTACCCCGGGAACTTCTAATCCGAGTTCATTACTTGTTTCCAGAGGATTATCGCGCTGTATGAGTAACGCTGCAACGCTGTCCGGCATGTTCGGCACTCTACATTGCGTACGCAAGTCTTCTCGATAACAACGCCATCCCAATCACCATGCCCTATAAGTACACTCCCTCTTGCTCCGTGTACCTGCATGAGACCTGACTCGACACATCAACAATATGGGGTCTCAAAATCTTGCCAACCTCGCCCTAGATGGTGGTGATCCTCGCGAGCCAAAGAACCCCACGCTGTTTGCGCTTGACCATGGCCATGAGAGTGACCACGCCGAGGGTTTCGTCATTGAGGCGGCTCTGGTTCGTAACGACCCGACCATATTCTTCGAAGAATATTTGCATTACGCCGCCATCACTCGCGCCGAAGAGAAAGAGTACGAAAAGAGTATCGAAAAACCGCCATTCTCAATACTTGGTGTCATCAAGAGCCGTTTCTCCAAGGGACATGTCCATCGATCCGACGACGATGACGATGAGCCAAAGTCACAGCATCTCACTGCTTCCACAGTCACTGATGCAGATTGGAGACGCGCATCTCGGGCAACGAGAACGGCAAGCTGGAGCTCAATCTTCTTCTTGATCACCACGGATATCCTGGGACCTACTGGTGCTCCGTAAGTGGTGGTGGACCTGGGGGCTAGATGTCTTTGCGGATCCTTTGACTAATTCATGATAGGTGGGCCTTTGCAAACACAGGCTACGGACCAGGCGTCGCTCTCTACACTGTCTTTGGTGGATGCGCAGCTGTATCTGGCTGGTATGTTTATCTCGTCTTCCTCGACATGGACTCAGACCGATACCCGATTCGTGACTTCGGACAGGCCTTCTTCCGTGTGTTTGGCTCCAAGATGAGACACATCGTGAACATCCTACAGACACTTCAGATGTTCCTACTGGTCGCCGTCTTGATCCTCAACAACGGTGGTGCCATCTCTCAGATATCAATTGGAGACAACGGAGTGCATGGCAATGGGCTTTGCTTTATCGTCTGTCTACTCATTCTCACTATTCTTGGTGGAGTGCTTGGTCAAATTCGCACCCTTCAACGATTTGGATGGCTTGCCAATATCTCGGTATGGACAACCGTCATCACTTCTTTCCTCGCAATCGGAGCCGCTGCTGTTTCAGAACCCAATTACGCTACAATGTTCAGTTCTTTCGGAGGCAAAACATCTGCCTACGGTAACACAAACTTCCCGAACGACACTGTCGGGAGCCACATTCCCATCCGCACGTTCGCAGGCACTCCAGAGTATGGCTTCGCTTCAGGCGGTACAGGGTTCCTTGGAAGTTTCCAAGGCATTGATCAAATCGTCTATGCTTACGGCGGCGCTATGTTATTCTTCAACCTCCTTGCCGAGATGCGCAATCCTTGGGACTTCTGGAAGGGAATGTTGTGCGCGGACATCTTCATCTACTTGGCTTACATGTTCTTTGGCATTTTCCAGTATTCGTATCAGGGACAATACACTTACAACACTGCTATTCAGAGTGTCAGTGCGTATGGCTACCAGACTGCTGGTAACATCTTGTCTATCGTTGGTATGTTGATACTTCGTTCTCCACCTGTCTGTCACAGGTACTTACACCAAATCCACAGGTGGTCTGATCGCTGCCGCTCTATACGGCAACATCGGCATAAAAGTAATCTACAGTAACGTTCTCATGGAAATCTTCCGTACGTATTCGCCCTCCCCTTCAATCCTAACCACCTTGACCAACCTCCTGACACAATTCACAATCAGATTTCCCACCCCTGACAGCTAAAGCGGGAAAACTCATCTGGATAGTCCTCGTCCCCATCTACTGGTCCCTTGCCTTCATCGTCGCCGGAGCCGTCCCAGAACTCGGCGACTTCAGCAGCTTAGTGGGCGCCTTCTGCATTGGAAATTTCACCTATACCTTCCCAGCGCTTCTGATGATTGGTTTCCAAATCAAGAAGGGTGCTGTTCTTCCTGAAGAGGGATTCGACCAAGCCACTGGGAAGTACGTTCGTGTTGATAGTGGTGTGAAGAGATGGATGCGTGGATATCGCAAAACGTTTTGGTTCACTACAGCCAACATTGTTTACTTCTTGGGCGCATTAGCGGTGTGTGGGTTGGGTTGTTATGCAGCTATCGAAGCGTTGATTACGGCGTTTAGTGGTGGTAGTGTAGCGACGAGCTTTAGTTGCAAGTCTCCTTATGCTGCATAGGGTTTCTATAGCCCTGATCAAAATCTTGCCAACCCACTCTCTTCTGTCCAGCTCACTACTACTCGCGAGACAACCATCTGGACTCGCGGCAAAGACGGAAGCCCCTCCGTCGCCGACACACAAGCAAGTCATGGTGTTTTCAACAGCCTGATGATGTGCTTTCGACACGCTAACTCGTATCATTGCGTAGTATGGACAGCTAAAGCTGAACTCTCTGCTCAATGTCCCTCATCTTCTCTACCGCCTTTCTCGCGAGACCCCTGCAGTGCTCATCAATATCTTCCTGCTCTGCCAATTCTGCAAATCGCTGCTTCCACAAAGCCCAACGATCAGCATTGAAAGCCTTTCTCATCCTCTCATGAGGTTCGGTGCTGTGAATCACGCTTTTGTCGAAACACAATCCGAACAGCTTTTCACCCGCAATTGACATCCACGCCTCAGCAGGAGGAATGTACATTTTCCATTTATCTGCCATTTCCCTCTCATCATCAAAAGGCAGTTCAATCTCATTGAAAGCATCATGTGCATGATACATCATGCCAATTCCGAAACTACCACCTCTCTGCATCAACGTCGCAACAAGCACGGTGGCATTCAGCAATTCCTCTTCCTGAGAATGCCACTCATCATAAGTCATACCATCAGTACCATTGATCTCTACAGTCACATCAGTCAACTTTCTTCACAACCAAGCATAGATAGAAAACCCAACATACGAACACCATGCTCCGCGAAAATCCACCCGAAATCTGGCATTCCTCTCCAAACCACCTCTCCAGATCTGATAACTTTATACCCCTTTTCATTGACCACATCAGGAAGTTCGCGGATTGCGATTATAACATCGGCCAATTGTTGTGTATGCGATGCACCGAAATGTTTGGTCGCGTCGGCGAAAAGACCCCAGATAGATCCTACACTTGCTCGAAGGCCGGAGATTAGACGAGGGGAGACGATTTCATTGATGCGAGATGCGGTGGAAGAAGCGGAGAGTTTGTTGTTGAGTAGTTGTTCGAAAGCGGAGATGATTAGAAAGTTCTCCTCCTTCTCGAGGGGATCTTTTTGCCATTTCTCTTGAGAAGCGCGTCGGTTTTGTACCCAGGAAGATATTGTTGTAGGCATGATTGTTGTAGAATTAAGGGGGGGTATGTCAGGATGTCACAAGGATATGTTCATGATAAATGTATCGGTGTTTCATGTCAAGGGTGGCGGCGGTGAACGCTTTGAGTAGTATTTGAGTCACGAAGGGGTGTGGCTTGGCAGTTCTTTTTGGTAGACCGCATACGTATCTTGATCACCGACGCTGCTCTTGTTCACTTGTTCCTTTGGCGACAAGAATGCATCTTGTCTGAGACCAGGCGGACAGCATTGCTGTCTCTCCTCCGTATCTGGACTGAGGAAGACATGAGGAGGCGAAGCTTCTTTCCCGACTGGCCAAAAGTCGTGTCTAACCATAAGCTAGTTTAAGCTCGCGCTCCTCCTTGTCTTCTCCTTCTCTCCTCCTTCTCTTCTCCTTCTCTCCTTTGTATAATAGTCTATAAACTAGAGTACAGTTCTCTTGGACCCTATTAACTCCTTACTTTCTAGCTACATAAACTTCGATCATCTCATCCGAAAATAGCTTTCCTCTATATAGAACATGGGCGGCTTACTATCGACTTTCCGAACTGAATTGCCGTTAGAAGTACGCGTATTACAACAGCACGCCGTCCGCCTCTTGGACCTGCCGCCGGAGATTATTCTAGAAGTGACCTATTGACTTTCACAAGACGACATTAAGCATCTGCGCGCGGTTTGCAAATATCTGGATGCAACCCTACTCGCAACATTTGGAGACCGCTATTTTGGTCGTTTACATCTGATACCCACACCGACGTCCCTCGACATTTTGACGCAGATTTCTACGCAAGGCCGCGTAAGTGATCATGTGCGCGAGCTGTGTATATGTTCTTCTATCTACCAGTTTTGGGGTCCTCGGCAGACGCGAGCTCGGGCTGCAGTCAGACGGACCAAACCGCAGTTGCGCGTTCTGAGTGAGACTGAGCGTCCATACCCTGATCCTTCGTCGCCAGAACAAGAAGTAGCTAATGTTTGCGCTGAACTCGTGCGCGGTGAACAATTCCGGGAACAGCTCACAACAGCGCTTCGAAGTCTCAAAGTTCAACGGATCGAGGTGCAAGGATGGCCGAGGAATCCTTCTCTAGTTCTCGGACTCACGGAACTGATGCACACCACGGGCAGAAATCCTTTTGAAGACAACTTTTCTGGCATTTCACCTGCCTGGGAGTACGAGACGTTGAATATGGTGACACGCATGACGGAACTAGTATTTTCTGCTGTCAAGGGAAGCGATACGCCTTTACTCGCCATGATTGTCGATAGGATCCAGATCGATCAGCTCAAACTCACTCCCGACCTTGGAAGCAATCTCCTGCACCTCAAACATGTCGAGTTCAGCATCGCATTGTCAGATCAAAGCCTTCAGTTTTCAGATCAGAAAAGGCGATTTGATCTTTTTACTCTGGTTAATCATTTGCTCTGTCTGGAACAACTTTCTTTGTCAAATTGTCCATACACCAGAACGATTGGGTACCACTGAATGATGCTCTAATGCACATTCACCCTCAAAAAGTCAGAAGACTTTGTCTAGGCTTATTCTGGGATGCTGCACCGCAAGTGGTGGACTATTTGAACAACTCCTTACCGAATTTACAGGATTTAGAGCTTCAATTCACCACAAGCAAAGATGGCAACAAAGCATGGAACGAGATGTTTTCTGGACTACGAGATGTCCTGTCTTTGGAGCACCTGAGCATTGATGTCGATGGTCATATAGGTTGCTCGCTACGTATTGGTAATACGCTACGCAGAAGAAGACGTATGATTCCGGATTGTTGGAGTTGAACTCTGCGTTCGTCATACTGGAATCAATGAACGGCATCTCGTTGGGCTTTTTTGTGAAATGTGAGATTTCCTTGTATGTGTCTAGGAAGTGTCAAATATAAGCGCGTGATTCTAAAGGTATATGTGGTGATTGGGGGGAAACGTACAGCCGGGTATGTCGGCGGTTTCGTCCTGCCAGAAAGATTCGCTTGTGATGAGTATAGAATGCGTTGGAATGAAGTGTAGGAAAATTAAAATCTTAGCATGAGAAATATTTGGAAGAAGAATAACCTGTCCATGGTACTCAAGCAGCATGAGCACCCCATCTGATGCCATTCATCGTTTTGTCCTCATCTTTTCCAGGCCACATGACCTGACCCTTTCGCACTGCCAAAATGTGAGCAATGGCTGTAAAGAACCACATAATGACAAGAGCAATGGTAAGAGCGCTGCAAAGACCATTGATTCCAGCGCTGGACAGAGCACCTCCAGCCTGGATAGTAGCCAAAGTCATGCCGGCATTTGGGAACACAAAAGCCCACCAGTTCAGAGTAAAAGACATCTGTTTGGCTCCAGCAATCACAGAGATCGTCGACACACAGAAAAACCAGAAAGAGAAGAGGAGTAGAAACAAACCAGCCATAATCCCCAAGACCTTGATCACATCTTCGACGAGAAGTGAGGTGATGCCAAAGAATTGCTTTCTCTCGAAGACTGCTGGTGCTTGTCGGCCGAGGGAGATGAGGGCAGCTGCAGTATATCCGGCTGGTCCAACGGAGACGTACATGCCAGGACGAGTGGAAGGGTCAGGGAGGGCGCTAACCATTAATCTTTGAGTGTAGATGGCATACATCATCAGAGCGACACACCAACCCATTCCCTGGAGCATGACGCCAGCAAGCCATATCGGAACGGCCGCGGTATGCGGTTGACTCGGAATGATGGTACCTGCAAGTGGCCCAATGACTAGCAATGGATAGATGGGGAAGATCCTTCGATAAAGTGTCAGATTTTCGTTCATTACGGCAGGCAGACTGAACTGAGAAACAAGACGAAAAGAGGTGCTGGAAAATAGAGGAAAGAGGAAGAGGAGGAAATGAACAGGCGCGTATTCTCAGAGCGTGATTCATGATGCGAAATCCATCGATGTACGTACCATGCAGGCATCGCATTGTTCACCTTCAGTCGCTCCAATTGGAACAGAACGTAGTACTGTCCAATGCCGACAATCAGCACAGCAGCCACATACATCCAGAACAAGATTTCGAGAGCCTTGACAAGCCACGGTCCGGTGTTCGGTACACCATATAGTTGTATGCAATTGAGGAGTAAACTAATCGTCACCCAGTAGCTTCCGAAGAAAAGAGACTCGACCGGGTGATGGAGCGAAGCCAGGAATTTCTGCGGTACCAGAATGAATCGGGTAATGATGATGGCGGTGAACGCGACAAATAACACAATGGCCAAGATAAAGAAGATTTTGCCAATGGTTTGTAGACCAGTGAAGGTGTTTGGTGTTTGACCGAGGACTACTGCGAGGGCTCCGGTAGACATTGTGCAGGCGAACCAAGGCCAGGTGAAGTGAGCGACGCGATCTCGCCATGTGACAGTTTCCGGTGGATAATGGTCGATTCCATTGGGGCTGTCGGCCGATTCTGGGTCGTCACACTCGCGATAACCATCGCGTTTGCGGTTTGAAACCCCTGTTGTTATTGACCCGTTCTCTGACATTGCGGGCAAAGATTGTGGGAGTGATGGGATGAGAGAGAAGTCCGGCCAGATACAAGAGAAACAGGTAGCTGTTCACTGACTAGGTGCTTCAAAGTCCTGGCTGAAACCCTGGAAGTTTAGATGGACCACTCGTCATTCCTGTCGCCCGACTCGCACTCCGTGGGGAGAGAGTTGACTTGTTTCTGCTGAACATGGTTTCCCATGACTACTTGGCGCTTTGATAACCTACCAGACGTCATCCTAGATTTGACCGTTGAGCTGAATTTGCAGATATCGTTTCAAACACGGCAAGTTGTCGTGTGACAAAGAGTCGCATGCTCTGTGGTTTTTTGAAAACCTCTATACGTCAAGGTCTCTTCTTTTCCAGCTCCATGAGAGATGCCAGGATGGTAGAAGTTGTGACGGTGAGGTCCAAATAATTCCGTCGATCGACGCGTAAGGTTGTGGCTGCCAAGAGTTCCAGGGCTAGGGTCGAGCGGACATGACGCGATTCGCCGAGCGCTGCCGGATGCCGCCGGCACTCAGGATTCAGGAAGCGACGAGATTCTGGGAAAGTGCCCTCAATTCCTTGCAAGTTGCAAGTTGCAAGACTGCGAACAAGAAGGCGCGACGAGTCTTCGACAGATCGCAACAAAGCCACTCGATTCGATGCAAAGCATCCAAAGATGATTTCCACATGCTGAATTTCGACAACCGTCGGGAGCCGGTCGCATCGACGGGACCGACCTATCAAGAGGTTTATACCATTGCCAGGTTCTGTGAAATGTTGGAAAGACGATATCTCGTCTCTCAGGCAAGCAAATGGTGCGATGCTCCACGACTTACAGTTTCTTTCTCATCCCATGGACTTGACCGATTGAAAGCCACGAAGTTCAGGATGGCAACAACCGTCGTCACACAGCACTGAAATACTCGGATCAGCGATTGATCAAGGAGCTTGACATGCTGCTGGCTGTGTGCTGTCGTAAAATCCTTGCCGAGTACAGGAAGGTCTGAAAAGAACGACGTTGCGACCATTCTCCTCTACTGGCTGCAAGAATAATATGCCCTTTCTTTTGGTTGGGCTCCACATGGATCGCGTCTTGCCGACAGAGAGATATTTATCATGGTTAGCGAGATTGTCGAAAACAAGACCGATTGGGATGGTCGAGAACAATACGAACGACTTATCAGCTGTGGACGGCACAATCTCGAATTCCTCATCGCCAAAATCACAACCGCAAAGCGCAACACTTTTCTCACTCTAGATATCGCCATAAAGCCTGGCATTGCGTGCTCAGGTCAAGCTACCACGCCTCAATGCCCAGTGTCTTGTTATACTTCATCCAAGAAGCCCGCCCAGACAATCTCACCCCAGAATTCCTTGTGTCGCAAATACGTGGAGACGGCAAACCACCACTTTCTTACCACATGTTCCAAATCCAGGTGTGCTTTTAGCTTCTTGCATAAAGATCTAGTCCTCGATGTTCGAATCAAGCCATCACAGTCTCGAGTGGCATCACATAGGTATTGTCGAGATGTTGAAAAAGAGAAACCATTCAAAGCCGCGCTCCCTTGGCAACGCCAGTCCAAGAGATTCACACCGTCGTCAAGAACAATGAGACTTTCCACAAACTGTTCTCGGGTTACTTGGCCTACATCGTCTTTGTATGCGGTACTTTTTTGTTCGAATCGGTAGAGGTAATAGAACGCCTCATCTTATGATTGAAGATGAGGTGATTAACTTGGCAGGGCAGGAATGGTTGATATAAAGAATGGGGACACCAGGGCATTATAATACGGTGTCAGAGCCGTGCTTTCTCCTGTGAAGTTGTGTTACAGAGCAAGATGGCGGAGTTCAAGACTGCCAACCCCGACCACTATCCCATCCCTAGGGATGATGAAGAAGGCTTGACAATTGAGAAAGATTGGACAGAGGAAGAAGAGAGAAAGGCGAAATGGAAGTCAGTAGAGACTTCCAACCAATCTGGACAGGTTGATGCTTACTCCTTTCCAGGCTTGACCTCCTTGTCATGCCCATTTTGACCCTCGGTTTCTTCTGCCTTCGTAAGAGACTTGTCTGCTTCCCACACCGCACGAGCTAATAATCCATCATAGAACTCGACCGTGGCAACATCGCAAACGCCATCACAGACAACTTCAGAAGGGATGTCGGCATCACTCAAAATGAGTTCAATGTCGGCCAGCAGATGTTATCTCTGGGTATCGTCCTCTTCGAGATCCCGTCCAACATGATTCTTTACCGAGTTGGCCCTGGCAAATGGTTGACTCTACAACTCTTTCTCTTTGGTACCGTCAGCACCTTCCAAGCTTTTCAGAACAACTACGCATCCTTCATCGCCACTCGCTTCCTCCTCGGACTAACAGAGTCTGGCTTCATTCCTGGCGGTCTGTGGACAATATCGACCTGGTATACTCGCAAGGAAACGGCGAAACGTGTCATGGTCTTCTACTTTGGCAATCAATTCGGCCAAGCTTCCGCTAAGCTCCTCGCTTTTGGCATCCTCCACATGCGTGGTGTCGCTGGCAGGCCCGGTTGGTTTTGGTTGTTCGTGCTCATGGGTGGCTTCACCTGTTTCTGTGGTTTCATCTTCGGCTTCTTCCTCCCTGATTCTTTCCGCAACCCGTGCTCGACCTTCCTGCCCAAGCGAGCATTGTTCACGCCTCGTGAGATTCACATTCTCCGCAACCGTGTTCTGCTCGACGACCCAGCCAAGGGCAAGAAAAAGAAGAAGATTGGTCTGACCGCTTTCAAAAAGGCCTTTAGCAACTGGCGCATGTGGGTTCATTTCTTGATCACATTGTCGAACAATGGACCTCAGCGTGCGTTTGATACCTATGCCCCTTCCATCGTCAAGGACTTTGGCTTTGGAGGTCTTTCTGCCAATGCTTTGGCGGCTGTTGGTCTCTTCCTTCAAATCCCCGTCTCGTATTCTTTCAGCTATGTTTCTGATCACTAGTAAGTCCTCCTCTTTGCACCGTCACGATGCTCGATACTTATATTCCTTTCCTCAGTTCACGGCGCGGCGAAACCGTCATGGCGGGCTTGAGTCTCCACCTCTTCGGCTACGTCCTCAACCGCATCTTCACCGAAATAGACAACCGCGGCGTCCGCTACTTTGGCGTCGTCTGGACCCAAACCTTCGGCACCTTCTCCCACCCCCTGAATATCACCTGGATGTCTCTCACCTGCACCGACTCTGAAGAAAGAGCTCTAGCAATGGCGATGGTCATCATGGGCGCCAATATCGCCGGTATCTACGGCGCTCAAATCTTCCGCAGTGATGATAGTCCGAGATATCGCAGGGCCTTTGGGGTTAATATTGCTGTGTTGGCTGTGGGTGTTACGTTGGCGGTGGTGAGATTTTTGGATGATAAGATTAGGAGGAAGAAGACGAAGAATGCTTTGCCGGAGGAGGACTCGGGGTCTGGATCTGAAGTCTATAGTGATGGGGTGGTCAAAGTGGCTGTTCCTGCTGATGAACAGCCGCAGCCTATTGCGTTGAGTGGGCGAAGGGCTTCGTTGTCAAAGGCGGATATCTGATTGGCACATGATTGTAGAATTACAGTGGCATCAATTGTTGGCAGTCACTGTTTCTGTTTCTAGATGCATCGTGCGATAGATAGAAAGAGGAAAATGTACGTTGAGAGATTCATACTCAAGATGCTCTGCTGTTTCGGCTCGGCTGCCACTTATCGATCACGTCACGTTGGGTGTTGCTGGCTTTTTGTTTGAATGGTAACCTCGAAGGTAGTGATCTGGGTGCACGTTCAGAAATCAAAGTATCAGAAAGCTATTTTCGGTCGTCGACGACCATACTTTGGCTCAATTTCTCCCAAATTTCTTAAGCCGAGTACAAAATACTAGAAAAGGACATTCTATAATCTCTTGGAGTACAGCTACCCGTCGTTGTCGCTATATGATAAGAATCAAGTCAGAAACCATTGCCAGCCCTACAACCCTGTCCATGCACACCATACCACCTTGCACAAAATGCTCAGACCACACAACGATATCATGCATAAATTCGGCCGAAGTATTCCTTGCATGCATGGGTACAAGACCAAAAACTCGGCCGTCCTCTGGCGAATTTAATCAATAGCGTGGTTTTTAGTATTACATGACTGTCTGCCACCTCTGCACTTCTTCTCTTTTCTTCGCTTTTTTGTTGTTCGTTGGTACAAAATTTGGTTGTTGGATTCGCGATGGCGGCTTCGGTGTTGCTGTATGGCTGGTACGTCATGATCACGGTAACATCTCTTGCCTTGAGGTGAGTACAGCTTGAGACGAGTACATTGACGTGAATGCGCTGCGGGCCTGTAAGAACTGGTTGTCTGGACCTGGACCTGGGCAAGATTAAAGATGAGAATGCTTGCTACTTCCGGAGTTCATCAAATCCTAAGCGTACTTCCTCGGTATTGCCTCCTGGAACCAAAGGAATATCTGGATGTACCGACGAACACGAGTCCAGCGATAACTCCAGCTCGACTATCGAATTCACCTTCATGGCTAGTCTCTTCGATACAAATGACTTCTGAGCGTTGCGTCTGCTCAAGATCTCACTGACGGAATGAGATACCTGGTGTGGTGTGGTGTTCTGATGGCTGTGGCAGTTGAGTCGAGACAGACATATCCCAGCACGTCAATATCTCACCTGAATGATCGCGGATCCAGGACTCCGGCAGAAATGGTCGATATGAGGACGAGAGTACCAGGTGCTGGAACATCCATTCGAAAGGAACCCGATGAATTCGAATGATCTGGATCATTTGCTTCAAGCGACCAACCAAGCACGCGCACGAAACTTCCTGGAGCATATCCGACCAAGTCCAGACGGTTGGACACAGCGTTCTGGTTGACCAGCGGCAACGAACATGACAACCCTGGTGGATGTCAAATCCAGGACTACCGCCGCAAGCGCACCTCAAAAAACTACCGGATAATGTCTTATCCGAGAAGAGACAAACCGGTGTGCAACGGGGATGGCAGGTAATTTGCCAACGTTCATGGAGAACATAGGCTATGTCGTGAGATCGTTGATTCGCGGGTCGTGATCGCATAAAGCACGGATGATAGGAGAAATGGCACTGATACCGCTGGTCATGGGCTTGCTCGCTGCATCATCCAGAGTCCATTCTTGTCAGTCAGCCAGGTTCAATAGATCTGATGGCAACCGGCTCCAGCTTCCAGGAATGCCAGGGACGACAGGAATACATTGAATGCCTGGATGGTCTCGAGATAAGCACGATACCATTCCTGTCGACGAACTTACGGTACCGACAACAGGGACTGCTGGCTTGCAGCGGCCCTTAAAACGTTTGACGGATGTCAGCAACTTCGCGTCCAGCGTCTGCCTGGCGATGGCGATGGCGATGGTCGAGCTGTTTCAAAGCATCAGGATCTCGTAAAATTGTCCAATGACACACTGCAAGGAGACAGTTTGGTCAATGCTGTCGAGTGATTGCTGTGCGATGTGCCGACGCCTTGAAATGATGCGCCGACGGTAATAAAACCTCGCAGCTATGCGAAAGCTTCGAGAAAAGCCTGCCGCAAGCTCACCCGCACTTGACCGAATCAACCAATCAACTCGAGAGGAAGGTCCGAAGCCGAACCAGCCGATCGTGGAGGGAACGAGCCTTTCTCGAGTCAGAATGCGGGGTGTCTGGGGAGATCCTCTTGACAGTCGACGTTACCCTTGCCTTGCAGACTCGATTTTCGTGCGCAAATTGACCTGGATATAGAAACCAAAACTTCTCTGTAAGTCTATGACAATTACTCGATCTTCTGACCCACGGACGGCCCTTTCATCGGACTCTAAAGAGGTCTTGGCGCGAGGCGGCAGACCCAAAACGGCAAGTCTAGACAGGGTCCACGCTATCCACCTATTAGGCTGAGTCGATGGAAAAAGTATATCTAATCAACTCGAACCAAGCTTCAAAGGGGTTGCCAAGTAAGTATGACCGAGTTCCGAAGTATTAGCAGCACCTTTAGATCCGGGACATTTTTTGACAAGCCACTTACATGCCTTGTTTCCCTCTGTTTGTCCGCAAGACTTTCTTGTAGCGTTCAACATGGACGAACAGAGCATCCGGTCGTCGCAGCGTGTCTCGCGATCATGCGTCGAGTGCAGCCGGCGAAAGATCAAGTGCGACAAGAAGATCCCGTGTAAGCCATGTGTGCGCCGGAATCTCGCCCACGAATGCCAGCGGCCCATCACCCGCGTCCGGGGCATGCTTACAGTGTACGTCCAGGCCATGTCCCCTCTTTCAACACCCCTCTGCTTGCAGTCCGTCTGAACATCAACTGACCAAGTCAGGGCGAGCACCGTCGACCGTCTGTCTGCAGACTCCGAGGACAATACCGTCGATGAACTGCTCAAAGAGCGATGCGCTCTCCAGGCGCAGATCGCCGAACTCGAGACTGCGCTAGCCCTGTCAAAACCATGTGGGCATACTCACGGCACTAAACCAGAGTCGCATCAAGGTCAGACGTCCATGGCCGCCTTCGAAGACCTTGTACCTGCTCTTGAGCAGTTCGACCTCCAAGTGTCGCACGATTCGGACCCTGTTGCCTTGTCGGAAAAAGACATGGCCGATCGCCTATACGAACCCTCGACCGACCCCGTCTTCCTCCTCCTTCCATCGAGAGAGATCAGCGAACAGCTAGTGACGTATTCGCTAAGGACGCTTGGTTGGTTACACGGTGCTGTGCATGCGCCCGAGTTTGTCGCAGAGCACGAAGAGTTCTGGAACCAAATACACAATGGTGTCCCGCTAGACGCCAAGGATCGACCTTGGCTCGCTCTATACTTTGCTCTTCTGGCCACTGGTCTGCTCTACCTAGATCCTGAGGAAGTGCCTGCCATATCGGATCTACCTCAGCTGAATCTTCATCAGTATCAGCAACATGATGAGATGAGATATGCCGTTCACACGTCACGCCTCTGGTATGAGGTTGCTCTGAAAGAGGTCGAACGCTATGGCTGCTCGGGTTCGCCATCTTTGAGAATTGTACAGGCGCTGTCAGTACTGACTCTCTGCCACTCCAACTTTGGCGAACCTCAACGAGAGTGGCTGTTCACCGGCTGGGCAGCCAGTATCGCGCGCTGTCTCGACATGCATCGTCTGGGCAGTGAGGTTGCTCATGCTCGACACTTAAGCAACAGGCCTGAATGGTCGACTTTTGAAAGACGCGAATTGGGTCGTCGCGTTTGGTGGACTTATGTAATTCGAGACTGGTACGTCAAGGCCACTCACTAGGACTCAAGCCCTCCATACTGACACCTTTTCTAGGCTAGGCAGTTGGTCTCGCCCACCTGCTATCACTCCAGCCAGCTTTTGTTGCAAGTTCTCGACTGAGAACGAGGCTAACCATGATGTGATCATCGAAACACCAACGCATACTTCAAGCCCTTCGCCACTCGTTTACCAGTCCGTCATGTGCCGATTGTCGTACATCTTTTACATTTACATCAAAGTCAACACGCATCAGAACGCATCCAAATTCATCAAAGCGCTGGAGGAGATTGAGATTGTCAAGAGGAACCTGCCCTTGCATTTGTCGAACAAATTCCCTGCCAACATTGATGACGAGGAATGGGAGGCCACGCATAGCTGGATCACTTTCCAGCGATTCCTCATAACCCATGGCATCGAGTTTATGTTGCTCAGCATCGCACGTACCTTGGCCATGGGAAATATCGGCAGCGAGCAAACCCGTTATCGCGAGGCAGCCATGGCTTCAGCTATGAGCATTCTACACAGCTACCTGTCTCCGGTGCCGCGAGTATATAAGCTTGTCTGGACAATTTCGGCTTCGACTGTTGCAGCTGCGGTATACACATCTCTGGACATACTCATGAACCCCCAGGACTACACACCTCAGAAAAGACAGGAGCATGTTCATCTGCTGAAACAAGTTGTCCAAGAATTGAGCAAGTACAGCCACGTCGCTATTCACGCCGCAAAGGGCTCGGCATCAATTCAAAAGCTCCTGGCACGTCTTGAGCAGAACTTCTCCATGTCCCACCTCTCTGTTCATGACATTCTTCGCCATCTGACGACCCAGGAGATGCCTTCAGCCGCTGGCACAACAGGAACTGTGGCAGATGGCTATGTCCTGCCAGCCCAGACGATTCCAGTACCTACGGATGGCTGGAATGAGATGATGGTTGGTCATGATATGACTATGCCACACATGGACCAAGGCCATATCGATGGACTGCTCGGTCCTTCCGACACCTGGGACAGCTTCATGGAGTTCCCGACTTTCCATCAGCACTACAACGGGTGAAACAATACGCGAACAAGATACCAACAAGCGGGACAAACGTTGAGTAGAGTCATCTACATGTCCACAATATCTGCCTCCTCTGTTCGAAGCTCTTCGACAACTCGAACTCCGCTCGCCAGCCGAGAAAGGTTTGACGCCAGAACTGAAGCAAGCAACTTTCACCACGTCGTCAGTTCACGAAACTCGGCTCGCTGTACCACCCGATATCCCAAATAGCGTGGGCGCGGATTTACGACAAGCAGCCTCCAGCCTTGTCTCTTAGTTTCCGTATCATCTAGAACTCTGTTCGCTGCGACTGTCAGCTGGGATGGTGTTCAGAACATGGAGATATGATGGGTGATGAGGCTTTCACCCATGTCCGCCGTCTTAGTGCGGTACACGGCATCTCAATCAATGTCTAGGTCCGGTTTGTCAAACATCACAGCTTCTAGGGAGATGTGCCTTATTCAGGAGTAGCAATGTTGTCTTCTCTTGCTCGCAAGATGAGCGAAGGAAGAATGGTCCCGAGGACTCTGTAGCATTTGAAGCTTCAGAGTAGAACCGAGGCTATCTAGTTGGCCCACTCGGTAATACCAGTCGCGATATATCCTGAAGACGACACATGAGAGAATGCTTAGCAGAGGCACTCATCAAGAACTAAGGAAATAGCCTAGGCTAGATCTTACCAGACATTACAAGTTACACCACTCCCAACATGATCCTATATTGCAGTCGCATATAGTTGACGAATTGAAGTGTTGTCGTCGAGACGATGATCTCGAGATTGGAGAGTTTACAAAACGCAGGAACAACCTCGGCTCAGGGCTTCTCGGAGTTCGGACAAACCCTGAGGCTCGCAGCTTGGCAGAACTCGGGCGAGCGCGGGTCAGCTCCAGCTTCCCCGGAGACTTTTGCACCTTCCTCCACATGCCGACAAAACATCAAGGTTGCGTGTCAACACTTGCTCAAGAACTTTAGTAGACGTACAATGTAAGCAGCGGCCGGGTGCGGTCGAGCAAGATCATGTATGTGAATAACAGTCGATCTCTCTGGCCCGCTTGAGATGGAGCCATGAACATAATACTCCACCCTTTCGCTGCTGGAAGAAGAACCCTCATCCACCTCGACCTCCACCGCACATTCACATCCACAATCATGCCCGTCGCATTCCAAGTCGCAAACACAGCCACCAAGCCCCCAACTATCGGCGACAATGGCTACCAAGGCTTCAACCCTCGTAAAGAAACCCTACCTCAAGGCTGGAAATTCAGAGAAGACGCTCGTCCGCTTTCTGAAGATATGATCGTTGAGCATGATGTCGCTGTCAAAGTCCGCGATGGCTGTACTTTGTACTGTGATATCTTCAGGCCTGTGGGGAGTGATGGTGCTGAAAAGGTGCCTGCGATTGTTGCGTGGAGTCCTTTTGGCAAGAAGCATAATGGTATTGAGATGATGTCGAAGGTCGGGTTTTGGAAGGATTGATTCATGGTGTAAGGCTGACTTGTCACAGGTGAAATGGGGTTGTGGTGTACCGAAGGGAGCGCTCAGTGGTCTTGAGAGATTTGAGGGTCCTGATCCGGCGGAGTACTGCCCGAGGGGTTTTGCTGTTGTCAACGTCGACGCAAGAGGTGCAGGTGATTCTGACGGTTCTATCGTCATCATGGGCAAGCAAGAGGGTGAAGATGGGTACGATTGCATAGAGGAGTTGGCGAAGATGGACTGGTGAGTCTATACCATCTTTTTCAGGTTTTCAACTTTTTCATGGTTGTTTTTGCGATTGTTTACACAACCTTCTCTGGCACTTCCGCAGACGTCTAACTTGTTCTGCAGGTGCAATGGCAGCGTCGGTCTTGCAGGCAACTCACATCTCGGTATCGTTCAATGGTTCATCGCCGCTCAGCAACCACCATCGCTCAAAGCTATCGCCCCCTGGGAAGCATGCGGAGATCTCTACAGAGAACAGTTTGTCCGTGGAGGTGCCTGGGACAATGGCCTTTTTGACTTTATCATCGAGCACGTCATTCGTGGCAAGAGAGGTGTCGAGGACTTCAAAGAGATGTACCGCCGTTCGAACACAATGAACCCGTACTGGGAGGACAAGCGCGCCGAAATCGAGAAGATCAAGATCCCAACTTACGTTGTCGCTTCTTACTCGAGTTTCGTACACACCATGGGCTCTATTCGCGGCTGGATGGAGGTCAACACAGAGAACAAATGGCTCAGATGGGATCCTTACCAAGAATGGTTCGATCTTTGGTCTGTCAGAGAGTCGATTGATGAGCTCGCCGAGTTCTTCGACCACTTCTTGAAGGGCAAGGACAATGACTGGCAAAAGACTCCGAAGGTCAGAATGTCTTCTCTACCTTTCGGAGACAAGGATGCCGTCTACCCCATCGAAGTACAAGATTTCCCCATCCCCAACACCGACTACAAGAAGCTGTACCTTGGCGAGAAGAATAATCTCCTCGAGTCCGCACCTACCGAGAAGAGTGTCGTATCATACAACTCAGAAAGTGGCAGCAATCCCGTTGCACACGCAGCATTCAACCTCCGCTTCGACAAAAAGACGAGATTGATGGGTTTGCCCAAAGCCGTCCTCTACATGTCTTGCGACGACTTGGATGATATGGTTGTCTACGTCTTGATTCGCAAGCTTGACAAGGACGGAAAGGCAATGATTGCCATCAACATCCCCTGGTCTCACGCACCATACCCTGACACGGCATCTATCCCTGAGTCCGACTACAGCAACCTGATGATCTACTTCGGTCCTACTGGTATTCTACGCGCCTCTCACCGCAAGACAGACCCCGCAAAGGCATTGCACCCCCAGTATCCCTTCCACACTCACGACGAAGTGCAGAAAATCACTCCCGGCACCGTCGTCGAGCTTGAGATCGGTCTCTGGGCCATGGGCATGGACTTTGAGGAAGGTGAATCTTTGAGCGTCCAGGTTTCGGGCGAGTATCCTCTAGTTGATGAGTTCAAGGGTAGAGGACCCAAAAAGGCTCAGGTTGAGGAGAGAAACAAGGGACAGCACAATGTTCATCTTGGTGGTGAATATGCCAGTCATGTCATCTTGCCTTTCGTTTGAACAGACGGCTGAAGTAGTTGCAAAATAGATACCCCATGAGAATCAGCACATCCTTAAGCAATGTCGCAATATCCATCATTAGGCAATACCGGGTATGCTCTGTGAAGAGGCGCAGCAAATCTGCAAAGAGCGCACAAACTCCAAATTTTTGGCGCAATGAAGCAATGCAGGACACTGTATATCATGTCGTCGATACGAGGCTCGGAGAGGGGAAGATGTGCACCCCGCAGTTTCATGATCAGCATCATGAAGAATGTGAGGGGTCTACTACGAATACTCATTTAGCCTGATATGTTTGCATGCATGGGAGAAAACTATGGTCGTATTGCAACCTCATATGGCAAGAGGCTTCAGCGGCCAAGACTCCCTGCAACAATGGTACGAGGATAAATACATCGCGACTCGCTCCTTCCTCAGATCTCTTGACCAAGACAAATCCTGAGTTTTGCAAAAAGATGAAAGCTCTTTCCTTCTTCACGGCTGCCAGTCTGACTGGAATTGGCAGTGCACAACCTGCAAAGCAACAGAACTCGACCATCTACAACCCCATCCTTCCCGGCTTCAACCCTGATCCAAGTTGTGTATTCGTCAAAGAATGGGACAACACCTTCTTCTGTGCAACTTCAACCTTCCTCGCCTTTCCTGGTATCCCAATCCACGCTAGCAAGGATCTCCAAAATTTCAGACTCATTGGCCATGCTTTCAGCAGACCTGAGCAACTTCCCGCTTTCGGCAATATCACTGGTCAGCAGCAAGGATGGTACGCGCCGACATTGAGATACCACAACAAGAGATTCTGGATCATCAATTCTTGTGTCGGAGCTGCCACGGGATATTGGAGCACTTCTGACCCATACAATAATGATGCTTGGACGAACGTTACCCCGACCGAGATTCCTGGCTACGATCCTGATCTCTTCTGGGATACGGATGGCACTGTCTATTCGGCCTTTGCCAAGACTGTTCAGAATGATCCTTTCACGACTGAGATCCACCAGGTCAACATCAGCATGCCCTCCGGAAACACAACTACAGATCGCTTCTTGTGGAATGGAACTGCTGTTCAACCTCCGGAAGGGCCGCACATGATGCTCAAAGATGGTTATCACTATCTTCTCCTCGCAGAAGGTGGCACGGCACAAGCTCATCAAGTCACCATTGGTAGAGGCAGGTCTGCTCAAGGACCTTTCGAAGCCAACCCGGCCAATCCTATCCTCACTGCATACAATACCAGCCAGTACTTCCAGACGGTCGGTCATGCCGATCTCTTCCAAGATGCTGCAGGCAACTGGTGGGGTGTTGCATTGGCTACTCGCTCCGGTCCTGAGTACGAAACTTGGCCGATGGGCAGGGAGACCGTTCTGTATCCTGCTAAGTGGGAGAAAGGTCAATGGCCAGTACTTGGAGGACCTGTCAAAGGCAAAATGTCAGGTCCGTTGCCACCAGCAAACAGGAACATTCGCGGCACTGGTGCTTTCATCAAGGATCCTGATTACTACAAGTTCTCCCCTGGCTCTTCCATTCCTTCGCACTTCAGTTACTGGCGCTTTCCGAAGACCGAGAACTATGCCATCTCACCCAAAGGCCACCCGAACACGCTGCGACTCCTCCCTTCTCGCTCAAATTTGACCGGTGATGCCACTGCCCTCCCGACCGATGGTATCACTTTCATCGGCCGCAGACAAACTGATACTCTTTTTACCTACAGCGTCGATGTTGACTTCTCGCCCTCTTCTGTCGGTGATGAATCAGGAGTCACACTCTTCCTCACGCAGGACTACCACGCTGATCTAGGTATCGTGCGTCTCAACAAGACTGGAACATACCTCCGCTTTCACGCCGAAGGTCCAGGTGCCCCAACAGATACTGTTCTCCCAATTCCGCAGAAGTGGAACAAGCAAGTTTTGACATTGCAGATTCAAGCTTACAACACAACACACTTCTCCTTCTCTGCTGGACCAAAAGCCGGTAGAATGCAACAGATTGCTACTGTTCCTGCTACCCTGGTATCCAATGGGTTTACTGGTGAGTCTTTCAAGCCCTCGAGAATTGAAAGTCGTATACCATGCTTACATTGGGATAGGTTCTTTCGTCGGCGTTCATGCTACCAACAATGGTAACACAAAGAGCAACACTCCTTCGTATATCAGCAACTGGGTCTATCAAGGGCAGGGACAGTACATTGGGAATGGAGAGTTCTATCCTAGCAACGGAAAGAAGGGTGGAGCTGGTTTCTAGTTGGGCGTGACATATGAAGAGAGTCTCTACTTCCTCGAGAGGTGTTACTCATCTGTATTGCCGGCTTCTCATTCAAAGATCGACAATGTTCCGAAAGCCAAAATAATGGTATAGGCTAAATTGATGGGGCCCCATGTTCTCCTCAAGATCGTCGTTCCCCACATTCTCAGCTACCGACAGCCCATGTATCATCAGCCCTCATTCAAGACATATATATATGTAGGGAGGTTTCCCTTCCAAGACTTTTCACATCCATCATATCATCATGCGCATTCTTCCATATCTTGCATTGATTGGCTTGGCCTTTGCAGAGGACGGCCTCAGCGGATGGCTACGATATGCTCCTTTGCCTTCCTCGGTGTCATGGCCGTATATTCCACACAACATCGTCGTTTTGAACACCACAAAGACTAGTCCAGTCTACACAGCAGGCCAGGAATTACAACGGGGTATTCAGAGTATCCTCGGTCAAGACTGTTATGTATCATCTGACAGCACGCACGAGTCCATCATTGTTGGCACTCTCGATGCATACGTTAATGCTTATGGCAATCTTTCTCAGACTGTTGATCTCAAGGAAGACGGCTTCTGGCTTAGCACGGAAGGCAACACTGTCCAGATCCTGGGTCAGAACGAGCGAGGCACATTGTACGGAGCTTTCGAATACCTATCAATGCTGGCACAAGGAAACTTTTCATCTGTCGCATATGCATCCAACCCCGACGCTCCGATTCGCTGGGTCAACCAGTGGGATAATCTGGATGGCAGCATCGAACGCGGATTTGGTGGCGCTTCTATCTTCTTCGCTAATGGATCTATCGTTGACGACTTGACTCGCGTCGCAGAATATGCTCGTCTATTGGCTTCTGTAGGCATCAACGCCATCGTTGTCAATAATGTGAACGCAAATTCAACAATTTTGACTCCCGACAATATCAACGGCCTTGGTCGTATCGCCGACACAATGCGACCTTATGGTGTACAGATTGGTCTATCTCTATACTTCGCTTCCCCAACACAAGGCGTCAAGGGCCAAGCGAACCTCACGACCTTCGACCCTCTCGATTCAGAAGTTGTCACCTGGTGGACGAACGTGACTTCCCAGATCTACGACGCGATTCCAGACATGGCTGGTTATCTGGTCAAAGCGAATTCAGAAGGCCAACCGGGACCTATCACCTACAATCGCACCCTCGCAGAAGGAGCGAACCTCTTCGCAAAAGCTGTGCAGCCGTATGGTGGTATCGTGATGTTTCGCGCTTTTGTGTATAACCAACTCAACGAAAGTGACTGGAAGGCTGATCGTGCGAACGCCGCCGTTGATTTCTTCAAACCTCTGGATGGAGAGTTTGATGATAATGTTGTCGTGCAGATCAAGTATGGACCTATTGATTTCCAAGTCAGAGAGCCCGCGAGCCCGTTGTTTGCGAATTTGAGGAAGACTAGTATGGCGGTCGAGTTGCAAGTCTCGCAGGAATACCTAGGTCAGCAGACTCATCTGGTCTACCTGCCGCCGCTTTGGGAGACTGTGCTGGGTTTCGATATGAGGGTTGACAATGAGACCTCACTGGTCAGGAATATACTTGCAGGCAGGACTTTCGAGCGTTCACTTGGTGGTTATGCCGCTGTCGTCAATGTCGGAACCAATCAGACGTGGCTGGGAAGTCATTTGTCCATGGCAAACTTCTACGCATATGGAAAGCTTGCTTGGGATCCTACTCAAGACACGACGAAGATTCACGAGGATTGGACACGTTTGACCTTCGGCCTGGACCAGAATGTCATCGACACTATTACTCAGATGGCTGTCGAATCTTGGCCGGCGTATGAGAACTACAGCGGCAATCTCGGCATTCAGACATTGACCGATATCCTCTACACTCACTTCGGACCCAACCCGCAATCCCAAGATAACAACGGCTGGGGACAATGGACACGCGCAGATCACGACACTATCGGAATGGACCGCACTGTCTCCAATGGCACAGGCTTCTCAGGCACCTACCCACCCCAAATCGCAGCCATGTACGAAAACATCTCAACCACACCTGACGACTTACTCCTCTGGTTCCACCACGTTCCCTACACGCAACGCCTCAAATCAGGGAAAACAGTAATCCAGCATTTCTACGATGCCCACTACGCCGGTGCAGAAACCGCTCAGACATTTGCTGCACGCTGGCAGAGCTTGCGAGGCAAAATTGACGATCAGAGGTTTGACGAACAACTATACCGTCTCAAATACCAAGCCGGTCATTCCATCATCTGGCGCGATGCCATTGTAGATTTCTACCACAACATCTCCGGAATCGCCGATGACCACAATCGCGTCGGCAATCACCCTTGGCGCATAGAAGCTGAAGACATGGACCTGAATGGCTACAAAATCTACACCGTCAATCCATTCGAAACGGCATCCAAACATCACGCTGTAATAACCTCTTCAAACTCCACTGTTGGCTCTATATCCACCACCTTATCTTTTCCTCCCGGAAAATACAACATCGGTGTCAATTTTTATGATTTATACGGTGGAAAGTCGAGGTTTGAGATTCGGGTTGGTAATGTGACGGTCGGGATGTGGAAAGGGGATAGTGAGGATTATCTTGGTCATACGCCTTCTATTTATTTGGACGGGCATTCGGCGAGGAGGATTACATTTGGAAATGTTGATGTTAGGGAGGGGGATTTGTTGGAGATTGTGGGTATGCCGGATGGGATTGAACCTGCGCCGGTGGATTATGTGGTTTTCTTGCCGGAGGGGGTGCTTGATTGATGGTAGGATGCTGTCGGATATGCTAACAAGATGTTACAAACTTATCATATTTATGAGTAGGAAATATGATGAATGGATATGTTACGGCTAATACAACATCCCATTGCGCGGACACAAGTTTTCTGGCAGAATATAAGGCTTTCTTGGTGTGTTCTAGCCCACTGGCCTTGTTAGCAGAATGAGAATAGCACACTGAGGTCTTGTCTTGGACTCATGATCGTTTGAGATTCGCCAAGCTCGCAGCACCTAGAGCAATTGCTGCATGGAAGACGGTCCGACTATGCATCGCGAGCCTCTGGAGCATATTCAAATTCAAAGGCAAGATGTAATGCACATCATTGTAGAAGTGTGATAAATACATGCACATCATCGTAGAAGTGTGATAAATACATGCACATCATCGTAGAAGTGTGATAAATACATTGTTTCCATGGACAGGAAGCTTCATGCTGTCAATACTGCGGAGTATGGGTTGCATCTTCAAACAAGATGAGATGTTTCACTAAGATAGTGGTTCTACACGGTGTTGAGTAGCAGCTTGTTGGTCAGTTGAAGGCTATCCGTTGTCGATCGGTACCGAGTTCATGCGTCCGGACCTCACTTGATTAACTTTCTGGGCTGCCCATCTGGCAACATTGCGGAATTTGATGGTCGTGCTAACGTAGCGACATCGACTTGGAGCTGCAAGCAGCTTTTGCAACCCGGTTTGCCTGCATCGCACTGAGCAGGTTCTAACTTCTCAGCACCTCATGAAGTTCAAGTTACGAAAAGCTTTACCTTGCGTCGCTTTCGATGACACGCTTCGCATCCCTCTCGACTCCGGACTGTGTTCGTCTTTTTGACATAAATTGGAGCAGGACCATACATCGAGACATAGAACTCGACATGCGAAGGTGTCACGGTGTGTGGACGGAAGTTACAAATTAGGCAGGAGTGCAGCGTCATCGCCAAGACACGAGTCCGACGCGTCGCGTAATCTTGCTCGGCTGTCCGCGCTCGCCGCGACCACCAACCTCCTGCTCTTATCCCACATGACCATCATCATCCATAGATCTGTCTCATCTCCGTCGACCTGATATAACATCAGGAATATCTAGCATCTTCTTCGCCGTCGACGCACCTTTCGTCAACCATGACCGCCGACCCATACTGCGAGCACCTGGCTTCCCCGAACCCTTGGGTTCTTGGCCTCTCCGTGTAAGTTTCCCCAAGCCCCATCAAGGTTCCATCAGATTCTGATATTACTACAACAGCCAGCTTGTGATCGGTATCCTCGTCTCTTATATACCACAACATGTGAAGATCATCCGACATGGCACCTCTGCGGGCCTCTCGCCGTGGTGGGTTCTACTCGGCACCATCTCATCTATCGCCGCACTCGCAAACATCCTCGTCCTGCCGGCTAGCCAGCATGATATGGCATGTTGTCGTGAGATTTCTGGAACTGCCTGCGGAGCTGCACTTCTCGGCGTCGTACAGATCGGCGTACAATGGGTCTGCTTCATGACCATGTAAGCTGCTTTCTTCATCTTTGTTCTTCACATGAGAAGCTGACAACAGCAACAGTATGGTACTCTTCTTGGTCTTCTTCCCCAGAGATGCGTTTGCGCAGACTCCTCCAGAGCATCTCAGCCCTGATACGCCCCGCAAGCGTGATGCTGTAATTGTTGGTGTTGTGTCTCTGGTTTCTCTCCTCACTGTTGGCCTCATCTCCACAATCTTTCTCTTCCGCTTACCCAGTCACCTCCTCAGCTGGGCAAATTTCCTTGGAATCCTTGCCGCCATACTTTCCTCCGTTCAATACATTCCCCAACTATACACGACTTGGAAGGTGAAGCAAGTCCTGAGCTTGAGTATCGCAACTATGGTCATACAAGTCCCAGGCGCTTTCTTATTCGCCTTCAGCTTGTGGTTGAGAGTCGGATGGGAGGGCTGGAGTACGTGGTTTGTCTACTGCGTGACTGGTGTCTTGCAGGGATCTCTGCTGGTCATGGCCATTACCTTCTACAAGAAGGAGAAAGACGGACAGGCAGGGGAGCATGAAGCCACAGAGACAGATCCTTTGCTGGAGCAGTCCGGCAGTCACAACTGATGGCCTTGAGATCATCTTTGACAATTTTTTGTATTTGTATCAATCTATTGAACTCTTCAAGCGACCGCATCAACGATGACTGATTGAAGTTGTCTCCCTCGCATGTATCTGGGACCTGTGAAATTCTCAGTCGCTCCTACCACTCTTATCTGGATCTTTATCAAAAGTTTCCCCAGGTCTGGTGAAACTGACGGGCAAACTTCGCCCTGACCCTGCTTTGGCCTCTTGCTTGGCACTTCCAACGCCGCTCAGACAAGACGACCATGCCACTGCCATCAAGCAGCGACTCAGGTCTCATCGCGAAATGATTGTGCAGACACGCGCAAAGATACAGGAATGATTAGTACATGCGACATCCTGTATTATCCTCGCCCGAGGCTTCGATGCGCTCGCGGTATGTCCGCCATCCTTTCTCGCACTTTCCCGCGTGCGTTCTGCCCACGGACATGGCAATCATCGCGTCTGTCATAACAACAACTTGCCAACGCCGATGAGTGAGCCTTTACGTGCGGGACCCAGCTAAACCTCTGTCTGTAGGCGATGATTTCGATATCGCACGAGTCTTCTGCACTTCGCCGCACGAATCGACTGCTTCGCAATCCACAAAGCGCATGTGGAACCAGACCATAGTTATCACACAGGACGTCTTGTATACCTCTCCTTTCGCTCGCAATCACTATATGTGACGCTCCCGGATCATTCGCACCGTGACAATACCATATGGTCTGTGAGGGAAGTACTTGTCTGGAAGCCCAAGTCGTTGTCTTACGATCACACTGATTCCCTGGAGTACCTCTCCGTTCTTACGAGGAGTACGACTACACTTCGAACAGGCACTAATTTGGACCCTTGCCTCTACCTTGTCAACATACTCTTTTCAACTCCTCGGGACTCAACATACGCCAAGGTAGGATAGCTGAAAATGATCACAGTGCGTGCTATCGAGCAGGAATATAATCTTGTCCACGAAAGAAGACCTTCGCGATAGAAACGGCTGTGATTTGTTCAAGTTTGACTGGCTGCTGACCTCCCGTGGTCACGAAAGTCCCAGCGTTGCTGCTGAGCCCGAATTCTTCCAAGAAAATCCACGTGGTGGCGGCGGATCTGACACCAACCATCTCACAATCAACTCACAACTCCCCGGCTCAAGATTTGACTCGCTGGCTGAAACAGACAGAGTTCTGATCCTACCACAATATATCAAGCACTACCGTCGACCTCACCTTGCATTTCGTTTCTCTTCCTTTTCTGACATCTCCGCACAATCGAATTCTCTTGATACTCTACTTCAGAATCATGTGCCAGCCCAACAGCCTCAAGAAAATCAACTTCGAAGAGATTAAGATGTTCTGCCAACTATGGGAAGAGCTCTCGCGCTCAGAAATCGGCCAACAGCTCTGGCACCGGGCGCTTGAGGAATTCGAGAGCGCTGGTCTACGAGCTTCTTTTTACGCCAACGACTCAGACGTCAAGATTTTGCAAGCGAACCGCAGCTTCCTCCGATCGATCGAAAGCATTTATCAGACCACTCTCCGCTACGTGGATACTTCGGAGGAGAACAGCCTCAAGCCAGCCCACTTGCCTCCGTACGAACCTTATGCACGGCAGACGTCTGCACCTTCAACGACGCAAGCACGACGGCCAGAGAAAAAACAGATGAACCTCAAAGAAGAAGATGAAGAGTACGATATCATGGATGACACCGACCTGGAAGACTGTACGAGGGGGATTTCTAGGATGAAGTGTCAAGAATGAATGCAGTGTTTGTCATTACTAGAGGAACGAGAGGAATAAAACAGAAAATTGAAGAGAAGCAAAGGAGCTACCACAAGATCGACAGCACGAGTTCTGATTTATTCACACAGAAGCTGTGTGGATATGCTCGAGTAAGTTGTTGATATTCGTGTCCATGATTTGATAGCACTTCTCACACAATTTTAGTCATGTTTATCATCATCGAGGGCACCAAACGGTACCAGTGTAGGATATATTGACCGACTATTCAGCTAAACGGCATTGTAGCATCGATGCGACTCGTTCACCAACACCCTAGGCCATATTCAAAGCCTAGTGCTTAGTGCATTTTAAGATCGCCATGTAGCAGGTAGGTGAAGCGCATATCATAATGCATGAGACTTTATCACTTAGCGCATCCTTATACATGGTTAGTCATGGCTATGTACAAAGGCTACCACCAAAGGTATGAATTCCAACGAACCCCCTGTGGAGGCAAATTCATATGAGCTCTCCATCGTCACTTTACGAATTCACATTACTCTCGCGAATCTATGTTGTGTCATCTTTTCCCATTGGTTGAGTGAACATAACGGGTAGCAGTGTTGCGTGGTCGAATGAGTCACGTCGGTGGTTGCGACGTTTGATTCATATATGAGCAAGTTTGCTCCTTATTCAGAATTCTCACGTCCATTATATATACCCGCCTCCCCCCTCCATCCCTCCATCTTCTTTTCTTTCCGTTCTTCCCAAGACGCATCGCAAAGTCCTCATACAACTTTTGCACCAATCCCATCGCATACTGCCAAAAACAAGTCCGATCTTCGAATCGCATCACCAATATCAAACATCAGCATCAAATTCCTTGCAACAACTTTGCCCACTTTTCAAAAAGTCGCATAACCTTTCGAAACAACAAAAATCATGACATCTTCATCTCTCGCATTCTCCGGCGCTGCATCGAGCGAAATCGCAGCTTCATCAACATATCGCCGCGCCATGAGCAAACAAGCTTCCCGCCACCTTTACAACTACCGTCTCAACACCTCTGAGCCTCAAAATGCTTATTCTTCAACATCAACATCATCACATCACCGCAAAAGCACTCGCACACATCAAACCGGCCTTACACAAAACCATCATGCGTCACGTCAACTCACCACTGCCATCGCTCCTCCACGCCGTCATCCAGGTGTGGAACTGCCAGAAGCAAGTGCATCTCAACATCAAGCAATGTATCTCGAATACCTGGATCTAGTCGCTGCAGGAAAAATTACCGATCCTGCTAGTCCTCCTGATTATCAGAATTATGGGATCAGGGATGGGGAAGAGGAGGTGCCAGAATTCGCACCGCCGAGTTATGAGCAAGTTTTGGGAGAAAATGGTGGATATGAGGATGTCAACAGGGGAAGTAGGAGTAGCAGGGGAAGGGATGAAGAAAGAAGAAGAAGAAGAAGAAGAAGGGGGGTGGTGTTTCGACCAACACAATCAACACAACCTTCGCCAGCAACACAACCTTCGCCAACACCGGCTATTCAAGAATTACAACTCATACGAATAACCACTCCTATCCCAACGACTCTACCACCTCGACCGAAATCGGTGAATTTCTTCTCTAGACTCGGCAATAAATTTAGAGTTTCAAGGGCAGGATAGGGAGGATGGGGGATGTAGTTGTGCAGTACATCAAGAGGGTGTATGGGGATTGAAGCATTTATGGAGAGGGGGAGGACAGGGGCGGGAGAGGAAAAACATTCGCTACTCTTTTTTCCCTAATAAAGGGGTTTTTAACGAGAGCGAAGCCACAATCATTGAATAAAGACCAGTCATTACTTTATACAACATACATCACATCGGCAATTCCTATCCCTACTACTCCTTGATTTGAAAGATACCCTCCCTATATCACCCCTGTAATTCTGGAAAATCTTTTAGTCTCTCCCCATATGTAGAACTATTGTCACCCGTATGGCTGTAGAAATGCATAATGTTTTTGAGATCAGTACAGTCGTCCACTGAGAGTGTAATGGTTAGCTGCTCTCTGCGGACGACTGCAGGGGTTTTGAAAACGATTGTGCATTTCTACAGATTGAAATAATACTAGGTATGGCTGTGGGAGATGGCTGGAAGTGACGAGATTTAGCACATGGGGAGGGGAGGAAATATTCATATTGAACTCGAATCTATATCCTTATGTTACTGTGATCGTACTTGCTTGCTCTTTCTCTCCAGCTATATATGCGTTACCATTTTTCAGATCTTGATGACAACCTTACCGACATGAGCGCCAGAGTAAAGATATTCAAACGCTTTCGGTGAGTCGTCAAACCCGAACACTTGGTCAATGGTAGGTTTTAGATCCACCTTCTTGTCGGCCAGAAAGTTGCACAGATCTTGATGATCTTGTTTTGTTCCCGTAGCGATACCCTGCACATGTGCAGACTTCATCAAGATTGCCATGGTGACATCGGGCATTTTTTCAGGGGTGCCGCCGAGGAAGCCGACAAGAGAGATGGTGCCGAAGCGTTTGAGTGCTTTGAAGGATTGATCCATGGAGGAGGTGCCGACATTGTTGACGAGGACGTCTACGCCTTTGCCATCTGTGAGCTTGAGCGCTTCTTCGGCCCAGTCGGGGGTGTTGCGGTAATTGATGGAGTGGATCTTCTGACCATCTTTTGCGAGCTTCTGAAGACCGGCGAGCTTTTCGTCCGAGGAGGATGTCATGATAGGTGTTATACCGAGAGGAAGACAGAGAAGGAGTGAGAAGAGTGAGACGCCGCCGGTGCCTTGCATCAGAGCGGTCTTGATGTTTGCAGCTTTCTTGGGGTCATCTTGGGCCAGAGAGGTCCAAGCTGTGGTTCCAGCGCAGGCGATGGTGGAGGCTTCTTCGTAGGACAGGTGATCGGGGTTCTTGACCAGTGCGTCAGATTCGTAGACGGCATAGTCGCGGAGAACGCCATCGAAGTCTCCACCCAGTGCTCTCATCTCACCGTCTGGGGTGTTCCAGCGGAAAGTAGGGGAGACGTGATCACCCTTCCTGAAGTCTGTGACTGCGTCTCCTACTGCGATAACGGTGGCGCCGGCGTCAGAGCAAGGGATTCCACGGTGATCGTGGGGAGCGGGGTATCGGTCGTGGATCATTGCGACATCGCGGAAGTTGAGCGAGACAGCATGGATCTGGATGAGGACCTCGGTGGGTTTGAGCTCCTTGGGGAGGGGCTCGGTGGATTGCTCGATGTTGTCTCTAGCTTCATTGCGACGAAAGACGCGGGCGGTGGTGGGAAGAGACATGATGGGGGATGTTGATAGGAAAATAGGTTAAATCAGAGTGCCGTGAGAGCTACTGTCGAGGAATGAAAGTGATTGGCAAGTACTTGACCTTTGTTTATGTAGTCTTTTACAAAAAGCACATCAGACTTATTACCTTGAGCTGATTAGCAAGCAGGCGTCTGAGTAAGACGACATTCTTGTCCTCGATTACGTCGATGAAAGGTGCTCATCCTGCACGGCAATCAGAAGGAAGGAACGGAAGCAAGAATCAAACAGGAAAGAAAGGTCGCGACGTACGGGCATGTTGTATCCCGCAGCGGAGGAGCCTCGGGAGCGCGGGAGCGGGATGGAGGCCTCGGACCGCTGCCTTTCCGGCGTCGCTGCCCGGATACGAGGACTCCGTGCTCGCCAGGCATGCCAGGCCAAATGTTTATAGGTGGGTAGAGATGCCTACTTTTCTTGGGACAGACTTCTGGTCACCTTGACAAGCAGTTGATGAGTGGATCGTTGTCAAGTTCTCGAGCACGTCTTGCGATGGGCTGTCCAATAACATGATTCGGCTTTCGACAAGGCTATCTTGCTGGAATGAACGGCCCAACACCGGAGCGCATTCATAGCAAACCTCGTTCTTGAGGCACGAAGCGCAAAAGGTATTGTTGTTGTGAGCTCCATGGAAGCAGCGTGATATTGTCGATGAAGCCGGTCATCTGTTGTTGGGAACAGCGAAGATGTGGAGAAAGGCAATCGTGAAGGCGCAGATCCCTGCCAAGCTGAGAAAGTGCATCGAAAACAGTTGGTTGCTCTTTCCTTCGTGGCTCCTTCCTTTGCAAAGCGATTTCCTTGACGAGATCAAGGCCAAGCTTGATGCAAAGAAGCAGCCATTTCGCAGAGGTAGGTCGAATTTGAAATCTTGTCGACAGAAAAAGCCGCTTTGGGACAACAAGATGAAGACGGTTCGACGGTTCGGCGGCCATCGACGATGTCGGGTCCAGACCCTACTGGTGCTTTAGTGAATCAAAGGCTAAAGTCGCAAAAGCACATCTGCTAAGAATGCTTGTTGCTGAGCATCTTCCTCTCAGTCCTAATAGGCGATGGGCTTGCAATGACCAGACTCATGGCGGGCGACGAACACAGCTCCAAAAAGCGAGCTCGACCGACCATGTCGCCGTCGGACGACAGCCAGGAAAAGACGACGACCACGCTGGCCATGCGCTGCCACAACGACGTCGCTCTACACAACTTGGGCCTGCTCCACTTCCTCGACCACGACTCCCGACTGACCTTTATCATCGACACTTGCGACATCGTGCCAGGCCACATTGCCTACCGTAACCCCGCTCTCGACCGATGGCTTTCCTCGACCTGGAACACGCCAGCCTTTGCCGACTGGACCACCACCTTGACACAAGACTCGACGACGGCGAGCTATGGCGGAAAGAGATGGACATGCACACTACAACAAAAGAGGTGGCTCATCGTATGCGCCTTGGACGAAACACTCCCGTCATCAACGACGACGTCTGAACCGACTCCGCCGCCGTCAAACAAGATACAAGGAAGCGCCGACGGCACCATCTCTCAGAACAGCTACACTTCGTCTTCAGACTCTCGACGACATTCGGTCGCTTCATCATCATGGCGCACCATGTCTGAAGACGGCGGCAGCCGCTTCCTCGATTGGACCCAAGCGCCCTCTCCCGCCATGTCGGCCCATATGCACCTTGTGCGCAACTTCCACTGGCACCAAGGCCCACTCGGCAGCATCCAGTCATGGCCCGACGCCCTCCGCCAGAACGTCCTCTCCATCATGGCCAACCCAGACCCCCGTCTTCTGCTGTGGGGTGAAGAGCACATCATGATCTACAACGAGTCTTGCATCTCCATGTTCGGTGCAAGACATCCTCAGGCAATGGGTTCAAGAGCTGAGGAAACCTGGTCTGACATCTGGTCCGAGATGCGCCACATGATCAAGTATGTCGAGGTCGAGGGAAGAGGCACTCGACTGAACAAACTCCCTCTCGTCATGACGCGCAACGGATACACCGAAGACACCTTCTGGTCCTTCAACCTCATCCCTGTCGTCGGTCCTCAAGGCACCACCATCGGCATCGTCGACGAGTTCTCCGAAGTCACCGAACAGGTCGTCATCGATCGCCGCAGAGACGCCATTGTCAAACTCAACAAGGGCATTGCAAGAGTTAACAGCACAAAGGAGTTGTGGTTTGAGTTCTTGGAAGGTCTTGAAGGCTGCAAAGACGACGTCCCTTATGCTCTTCTACACACGGTGCCCAATGCTGGCAACCCGTCATTCCACGACTCGTCCTCGAACTCTTCCATGTCTGCTTCACAGCGATACTCTCTCGAGGGTTCAATCGGCCTGGCAAACGGTCACCCTGCCGTCCCTCTTAGCTTTGATCTGGCCGACTGCGCCAATGACAAGGACCCTCTTGCTCGCGTCTGTCACAAGGCGTGGAAGTCGGGCGATGTTGTTGTTCTGCAAGCAAAAGACGGCACCCTGCCTGATAGCATGGCTGTCGCTGTTGCAGATCGAGCGTCAGGCGACAAGGTCCAGACTGTCTGTGTCATTCCCCTGCCAGACATCTCTGGCGATCACGTCATGGCCTTCCTGACCCTAGCCCTCACTCCACGCCGGCCCTATGACTCGGAAGCCGCCATCTTTGCTTACTATCTGCGCGATATTCTCGTCAAGTCTGCTTCGGCCATTTTCCTCCCCGAAGAGCATCGCCGAGCTCGTCAAAAGTTCGAACAGGTCGAAGCTTCGCTAGCACAACAACTCCGCGCCACCACTCTCGAGACTGAACGTCTGGAAAGCCGCTTCGCAAGGATGGCTCATCTCGCCCCTGTCGGAATGTATGCCATCACTCCCGATTCACGCACCACCTTCTACAATCAAGCCTACCTAGATATCACTGGCATCACAGAACAGGCTATCGAAGCTCGCACTGATCCGCTCGAGTACCTCCATGCCGATGACCGCGAGAGGGTCGTGAATGCTTGGATCATGTGCCTTGAAGACAAACAATCCTTCACCATAGAATATCGTATCTCCAAGGAATGGTCTCAGACAGATGCAATCTCCGGAGAGACCATGACTGGTGATACTTGGGTCTTGGCCACTGCCGCTCCAGAACTTGACGATGATGGCAATATTATTCATGTTCAAGGCTGGCTGCTCGACATCAGCGGTCAAAAATTCCACGAAAAATCGCGCATTCAACAGATTGAGAATGAACAATCAGAGGATCGATTTGCAAGAATGGCTGCAGAAGCTCCCATGGGTATGTATCTGCTTAAACCTACTGGACAACCCCTGTATCTCAACGACGCATACTTTGACATTATCGGTTTCACCAGAGAAGAATTTGAAGAGGCCGAAAGAAGAGGCCTTGGTTGGGCAGATCAGATCCATGAAGAGGACAGAGGCTTCGTTGGAGAAGCATGGCTAGCCTTGGCTCAAGAAGGTGTCCCCCTCAATCTTCATTACCGTGTCAAAAAGCCCTGGAATTACATCGACGAAGCGACCGGCACTCAGATGACAGGCGAGACGTGGCTGCAAAGCACAGCCTTTTCCGAGATTGGCCATGATGGACAAGTGGTTGCTGTTCAAGGTTTCGTTTTCGATGTCTCTCTGAAGAAGTTCTCGGAACGTCTTCTCAGCGAGCGATTGGAAGATGCGCTTGAGCACAAACGACAAGCCGACAGATTCATGTTCGTACTTGACCCATATCCGCTCTGTGATTGATACTGACTGTACGGCAGAGACATGACCTCACACGAAATGCGCAACCCACTTTCCGCCATCTTGCAATCCGCTGATGGCATCTTGACATCTCTCGAGAACAACAACCGCCTGGGCATATCGACTGGCTCGGAGACACTCAGCAGCGAGGTCCTCGAAACTGTACTCGACTCGGCTCAGACCATTATCCTTTGTGCTCAACACCAAGGTCGCATTGTCGATGACATTCTGACCTTGAGCAAGCTTGACTCAAATCTGCTGGTCGTCTCTCCCGATACTGTGGATATGCCAGCCTTGATGGAAAAATGCTTCAAGATGCATGAGGCTGAATTGGTGAGAGCCAAAATCGCCATCGCTTTGAAAGTCCATGAAGGCTACCCGAATCTGGCAGTTGGCAATGTCATGCTGGATTCCAGTCGTCTGCTTCAAGTGGTGATCAATCTCCTCACAAACGCCATCAAATTCACTCAATTCGCCGAGCGCAAAGAGATTACAGTACACCTCAACGCATCGACAACGCGACCAACAGAAGGCATGTACGACGCGCCATATGTCCCATTCCGAGCAAACAGACCCGAACATCAGTTCACCGCTGAATGGGGAACTGGTGATGAGATATTCTTGTCGCTTTCAGTCGAAGACAGTGGAAAGGGTATGAATGATGAGGAATTGAAACTACTCTTCAACCGCTTTTCACAAGCCAGTCCAAAGACGTACAAACAATATGGAGGAAGCGGTCTGGGCCTCTTCATTTCCCGCGAACTCACCGACCTTCAGGATGGGCAGATTGGTGTTCACAGCGAACCCAACAAGGGCAGTACATTCAGCTTCTACATCAAAGCCAGAAGAGCAGTCGAGTTCGACTCCCACATCGCAGATGCACCACTGACAACGCCTACACTCAACACACCCGTCACTTATACACGAGATACCGCTCACCTGAGTCCTCGAACTCTACACGCGAATCCTGACGTCGAGACACACAGTGCTGTTCGCAAACTATCCGCCATCAGCAACACCCACACGCCAGAATCCCCACACCTTCATGTCCTTGTTGTGGAAGATAACATCATCAATCAACGTGTTATGTCTCAGCAATTACGTCGTTTGGGTTGTACAGTTCACCTTGCAAATCACGGTTTAGAAGCTTTGGACTTCTTACGCACGACACAATTCTGGCGGCTTACCATCACCGAACAACAGAAATTATCTGTGCATGAAGAAGCACCTAGTCCGCGCACTAGATCGCCACCTCCTACTGCTGTCCCACTTTCAGTCATCCTCATGGATTTGGAAATGCCTGTTCTCGGCGGACTGGAAACGGTGAAACGTATTCGCGCATTACAAGATGAAGGCGAAATTATAGCTCATGTTCCTGTCATTGCTGTCACGGCCAATGCCCGCTCAGAGCAGATTGCTAATGCCATCGACCATGGAATGGACTCTGTGGTCACAAAACCCTTCAGAATCCCTGAATTGGTGCCGCAGATGGAGGAATTGGTCAAACGGGTAAGGCAATATGGTAGAAATGGGAGTCTTGGTGCACAGAGGAAATCTCTTAGTGGAGGGATTTGATGGATGTGTTTTTCGCTCATGATTTTGGATGGTAGATGTTCAGGGTGCGGAGTTTGGTCGTACATGGCATTTCTTGAAAGGGGTTTTTGGGTTTGGAGAAGATAATACCAAGGGGATTACTGGAAGGATGGGTTAGTGATGGGTTGCGGATTTATACATATCCGTAACGTTGTCATATGAGAAAGAAGTTTACATTTGTCATCACTGCATAGCGTAAAAGTGAGGGTTTAATATTTCCTTGTACCATAACATGCGTGGCGTGTTGTTTGTTTTATAAGATCCTTTTAGATGGCGAAGAGAGGCTAGTTAGGTATTTGATGCGAGCTTAGAAGTTTAGGGGAAAATCAGGAAGAAAGCGTAGCGTAGAGATAGACGATTCGATAGGTAGGAATAATAGACATAGAGAACGAATAGAGGTAGAGATGAAGAATTTGACAGATAGAGGTAGTCTAGTTTATGGATAAGTCAACTATGATCGCGCTAGGACTATAGTTAGAAAAGCCTCTTATAAATTAACACGGATAGATGTTTTTAGTGCTTACGCTCTAGTATAGGGTGTTTAGTAAGGCGGATATTAAACATCTATATAAGTATTTAATAATTACGGGGTCTAGATGACCGGATAAGAGGAGAACAGGGTTAGTGTCTAGTACCTTGATCTAGCGGCAGTCGTACCCGGCCTGGCCTAGGAGTACAAAGCAATCCCAAACGACGAGTGCTACTCCCGTCTGCGAGCTATGCCTATTAGTGGTCTAGACTCCTTTCGCGGCAGCTTAAGGATACCTAGCAAGTCTAGCAGTGAGATGGACTCAGGAGTCATGTAACCTGCGAAAATTGATGGGCAGTCGAGGCCGAGTCTGATTGTTTGAAGCCTCGCGAAAAGTAGCATAGCCGTATCGTGGTCGAGAAGCTATGCTAGTGCATTATAATGTGCAAGAGATACATGTCACCACCAAGAATTCTAAGGGTACAGTAAAGTGAAGTCAAAAATCCTGTGAAGCATGTGCGAAAATGATAGGTAGCTAAAACCGAGGCTTCAGAAAAAATGAAGCCTTACCTAAGACCAGAATCTTAGTATAGACATAATTTTTTGTATAGACGTCCTTTAATCTTGTGGCTTTCGGGGTAGCATTGTCTAGCCTAGAGGATATACCTAAACCGACGCCGACCTCGTAGGTAGCTCTAGTCGTTAAGAGACAAGACAGAAAGGTGGTCAAAACGTGTAGAAACGGGATCGGCCAAAAGTATGGTCAAATCTCAACCGATTTCGACCAAAAGTAGTCTAAAATGATCGTGAGCAGAGTGGGGTTCGAACCCACGCTCTTTCGAACTGGCGATTTAGATCTTGACCTAAAGCCAGCGCCTTAACCACTTCTGGAGTCAAGCACTGTAGGGGCTTCAATACTAGTTGTAAAAAGCATGTTTAAATCGCAAAGACAAGTATTGTAATGTTTTATATAAACAATTAATTACTTAACAGTATATCGCAGCTCTCCGAATTCTTTGCATATAAACAGACCTTTTTCTCTTGCTATTCTTTGGAATCCATCGTACACTTGCTAATACAGACCGAACGTACTGAGAATACGGCCTTTCAAACTCTGCTGGTGCACGTGTATATGACTCGACGATTAACTGGAAGTGTAAAGCGCTCCCGTAGCCGATTCGAATCTCGATGTTTTGCATTAGGGGAAAGGTTGCATTGTGAAGGAGTTCCCAGTCTGTGTGGGATGCTGATCTGATCCAAGTTCCTACAGCAGATGTGTCGGTAAGAAGCATTGTAGCGTCATCGAGATCAAAGTGTAGGAGAAGATGTTGGCCAGTAGTCAAGCCTGACCGAGGTAGCATTATTTCGGTCGTCCTAGAGGACCCGATAGATACGCCACGGCGCCCAAAGAACATCGCAAAGCTTAGCTTTGCGTAGTAAGAGGCGGAAAATGTACCCGAGTACAGCGAAGTTCTGTGTCTGAGATTGATCGACGGACAAAGCAGACTTCTGTTGGTGGCGAGTTTGAGAGATGCCTCTGCTTCACGAGAGCAGGGAACAAGAGCTGCTACAAGATCTGTTGAGCCCCGGGACAATGATGTTACCTGCCATTTTGGCATGCGGAATTGTACTGTCGCCATTGATGTGTGATGGACATTTGAATGGAGAAGCATGGTTATATAACTATTGCGTGATGCGTCCGATTGATGATGTTTCATGGTGGTGGGAACGACTGTAGTATCCTTACTTCGATAGCTGCAGTGAGACGATTGGAAACCTCGAGGACTCGTTAATAGCATGAATCATGCTTGGTGAAGATGTAGTCCAGGTTCTTCGAGTATGAGACACTGACAAAGCTTTGGGTCGTACAGCCTGCATTCGCGACATGTCCTTCAAGCACAAGCAGAATTCCAAACCGGTCTCAAGAACTTTGTAAGCGTAAAGATCGATGTCTCAAAGTTCAGATGGCCCACAAGGACTGATAAAAAGCGATATGTAAGCAAGAGCTACAAACCTTGTCTCCACGGACCATTGGGAAGAATGAGCCAGCTCATCTATGATGTGACAGTGTCCACCAGGTCTTATGTACATGCGTCAGTTGTCTCGGATATGTTTGGATGCGATGGTAATCATGGCGTGACCTTGTGATCCCCTAATCTCAGATCATTATTGCGCTTCTGGCAGAAATTTTGGGTAGAAAGGCACAGTACGAGAGACGTGAGCCTCGATGAGATTTGCACCCAGCTATGGACTTCGACAATCGATGGACGCAGGTCCCGATTGACAGCTGTTAGATTTTCAAAAGAAAATAACTCGTCATCAAGTTCGGTTGCGTGGCCGAGTGGTCTTAAGGCGCTAGCTTTAGGTTCTTTCCTGAATCGCTAGTGGGAAACCGCGCGAGTTCGAATCTCGCCGCAATCATCAACATTTTTGCTCCAAGCGAATTACAATCCCATCATACTCTATACTGTCATTGTAGGCACACACAAAGCATCGACTGGATTATTTTGCCCTAAGAATCGAATCGATCACATGCTACCGCGCATTTGTCTCAACTCCTCCTTTGTCTCAATACCCCCTGCCCCCAGCGCGCATTACGTACACTGCTCATGGCAAAGGCTTTTTGTGACTGGCCACCCTCAATTGCACTGGTACCGAAATTCTTCTGCAAGACGCTGGTGCAGGTCCTTCATCGAACAGCGATAACTTTTTGGCTCTCGTTGAAAACTGCATGGGTGCTCAAATGACGCGAAAAGGGTGAAAGCATCCAGCAATGTCCACATTGCGTCCCATCCCGATGATACGTATCCTTCAGGGCCACCAGTACCAGGCCGATACTCAGCAGCAAACCTTCCACGGTGAAGCAGAGCTGACAAAGTCGGGGTTGAGCCAGAGAACTCCTCGGCGGATCTCCCAAGGTTGCTGTTGAGCAGTTGCCTTTGGCTTGTAGTGGCGCTCATGTCCTCTGAGGGAATGACCGCAGGCAATTCATCATTGTACAGTGCGTCAGGGCCGAAGAGGTTCCAAAGAATCAACCGGCGGATAGTGCAACAATCGAGACGACGGAACTGAGAAGACGAGATAGATGGTCCTTCGAAGAATGTCTCTGAATGTTGCGCATAATAACATATTGGCACGACAGAGGTAGACGCTGGTAATTCGTGCGTCACACGAGGAGGTTTTCCAAGTCGAAGAAAGGTGTTGCTCTCGCTTTCAGTCCAACGATATCGACAGAAGCCGAAATCACACACAGGGTGATTGCCGGAGAAAATTATCAATAGCCCTGACCGTCTGTATAATGGGTTAGCAGTGCAAAGGTCCGTAAAGGCTATGAACTAGGAACCTGCCTTTGCGCGCATTGAGTCATGACTCGAGCAAAGAAATGTGAGTGACTAGACCGCATCGCGTTGGCCAGGTCCTTGCGTGCAGATCCTTGCTCGTCGTACTCTTCTTCTCTTGGCTCTGAAAGTGCCTGGGACAGATCTTGTAACTGGGCAAGATCCTCGTCTTGCAGGTCAGGCATATTCTCGGGCTTCGATTCCAGCGACTGAGCCAGGGTTCTGTGAGGACGTGGACCGATCTTTTGGGGATGAAGATTTTCTTCAACAATCTTTTGCACATGAGAAACCCAGATACCTTCTTCATCCATCGCCATCAAGTATCTTTTGAACTCTGGTCGGTCAAAGGATTGATAATGACTAGCCTCTTCAAAGAAGCTATCAGGGATCAGCCTTTCAGGGAAGAAGAGAAAAGACACGCGTGGTCTCGACATCTTGCTGGTCGAAAACGTAAACTGCACAAAGAAAAAATCGAACCTAGAGTGGGGAAGTTAGCCAATGGTTGCCTCAACAAGGCATCAAATTCTCACCTGTTTAGAGACGAGAACCAGTATTGCGCTTTTGGCCCGTCGTTACGGGTGACGCAGACCTTAGTCAACTGATCGTCTGCGTTCCTTGTCCTAGAATCGATCTTGTGTTGTACAAATACTTGACGCCAATCTTGACCTTGATCAAAGGCTAGAAACGGCGAGGGTGGAAACGATCCCGATATGGTGGGTAACAGAAGTTTGAAGTCGGCTAGACGAGGTTGCAAGCCAACAAGATCCACGAGCATGGAAGTAAGAGCGGACGAGTGATGAACCATACGGTATATATCCATAGCTGCCTTGTATGCCGTAAAATTGGAAGTATGCTCGGCAGGCTTGATATAACGAGTTGATCTAGTCGTCAGAGGTGACCAATCAGGAAATTCCACCAGGGTCCAAGGATTGATGTAGACGCCTTTCCCCTGCGCGGAAAGGCGTACACGCTCAATAGCTTGTGGCAGAAGAGAGATAGGCATGCGATATGGCGCGTTGGTCGGATCAAGACGATATGTTCGAAGCGGAAGCCTAGGAGCTCGGCCATTATTGACAGAGACCTTCCGGTTCTCATCTCCACCCATGACTCCGGGATCAGACTCGAAATCGACGGTTTGATGGTAGTTCGGGATGAGTTCGACGAAGTTGGGATCTGCGCTACTGACACAAACGTAGAATGCAGACCGTCGCCTCTGGAATAGTGAAGACACGTAGTGGTGCAAAGAGTTGAAGCTGGCTTTCATGTCGAAGAGCAACAGTTCGTCTGCAGTTTCAGATAGACGACTGGCCTGCTCCGTTGCCCAAAGGCGGTCTGCAAAGCTACTGTGTGGATCATGGGAATATTTGCAACTAACGGCGCCATCTGCCAGGGCGAATTCAAAAGCTCGAATGACATAGGGCGAGCGGAAGAGAATAGAGAATAGATTTCCTTCCGCAACGCAAGATCGATTGCGGAGAAGGAGATGGTCGATGGGTTCCAGCATTGATGCCCCTATGGTAAACTACTCTAGAGGGTGAGTGTTGATCGCAGCTGCCGGGGGTGAACGAGATCAAGATCCATGAGGTCAGGGTTCTCTATGGTTCAAGTAATATGGTGTGAGACAACACCTCAATCAGCGACCTCAAAGAAAGTAAGACAAGCTTGCAATACAACCCGTGCATTGATCTATCGCTTTTACTTACCACCATTGTTTGATAATCATTTTACACCCGCGAGCATTGAAGAAATCATGGCTTCATCAACTCCAGCACCGCCAAAACGAGCTGCAGAGGATCCGACAGTCCAGAGAGAGCACAAGAGACCACGAGCTGTGACGACTTCGCAGGCCCGCGGAGTGACGCCAGTCGAAGATTGCATCGTCGCGAGCGTACTATGGACCAATCCAGGATCCACTGTTGAGGGTAATCATGGCCTGTTCAGGAGCTTGTCACATACCAAAACCTTCGAGGACTTAAGGTCACATCTTCAAGCACATACACGAACTTTCGAACTTTTCGACAACGCGATCATACAAACAAATCTCAGAAGACTGTTGATCGATCAAGTTATTGTCATGGCTATGAATGACTACACATGCAAAACAGGCAAAGCTGGTACTTCATTTCTGGGCAATCCTTTTGCTGATACCCACTAACATATGGTATAGGTCGCATGATGCATTGTCATGGTCATTCTACCCATGATACGAAAGAAATGGGCATGGTCGTGTACTTTGCCGGTCGGGGGTGGAGTGTCGGACAACGAGAACATTACACCAAGGCCAGACCTTATGCTCGCCTGCAGATGAGTGGAATGTTTGCCGGTTACCACTGGAAGGAGTACGTGCAGAGGTGACGCGATACAAAGAGTTGTGCTGACACCATTGTTAGTCTCGACACCACCACCCTGAAGGTGCGCATACTGGACATGAAGCTCATGATCAAAGACGGAGGAAAGTGGTTCAAAGCCACTTTCTTCCTTCTAGCTAAGAACTTGGGAGAAGCGAAGAAGCTCTACGGCAATGACATTGTGATCTGGTGGCTTGATCACAAGCTGTACTGCACAAAGCTTGGAGATATCTTGGGTTCTCTGCTACTTCCGGCCACTTACACGTATCCTGAACTTGCAGATCCACCCCGACTCAGACTGCATAACAAATTGTTCCAGGGTTTTGTTGCTGGCTACTTGCAGTTCTATTGGTATTATGTACCAGGGTCACAACAATGTCAAGAGTGGGGGGCATATCGCGAAATCACCAGTGAGCGCCTAGCAGAGGGCCTGTATACAAGGTTGGTGGATGAGTTGATGGAGGAGGACAAAGAAAAATCATCACTCAAGAACTGGAAGGAAGCTCTCGTGGAGATGAATCAGAAGGGGAAGATGCTCAGCCATGTTTGAGGGGCTCGGATATGAGAAGCTGCGGATTTGATTGCTTGTGGAACATCACGACCCCCACGTTTCACTTATATATCTTTGATTGGTGCATCGCTCGTCACGTAACACAAATTATCAAGAGTGTGTTGTAAGCCGCATTTTCTTTCCATCACTCTCAACATTGCTTTGCATTCACCGTCCCTAAACTCTCGGGTATACTGCCAGATATCAAGCAATGTGCCTTACAAACTTGGCTTTGAAGCGAGAATTCGTTGAATCTATACGGTCCCTTCTCAAAAGTCCTTCAACTCGTATGAGTTGTGGATTCCTCGCAGAGATGGAGATCTTCGAGAAGCTCGATGCGGCCGGCGTACCCTATATTCGAAGTGAGTACGGACAAAAATCTAGTCCGAAGTTCTCTGCTAACGTCTCAAGGCTACGAAGGAGCGACTGTCGATGGCGCGTTCTTCTGTGGTACCGAGAAGGAGCTTGCTGATTTTCAGGCCCGCTTCGGACCAGATGACACCTACGACAAGTGGAGATGGGCTTTGGACCATCAGGGTACGATGTTCATCACATTCGATGTTAAATATGTGTCCCTTCGAGCATCAAGAACAAGAATGCAGGACTATTCTTTCACAGAAATCACCAGGGCCAATACCAACAAGAATGCCGAGCTCTACCTTCTCTCTTTCGAAGGTGTGGCTGACTACACAGCCATCGTCCCTAAGCTTGTCTGGGAAAAGGCCTCCAGCGTGTCCCACGGTATCGACCCCCTGATTGCGAAGATTCCATCATGGTGTTTTGGTTTCATGGTTCATGATGATGATATTCGTACTGTTGTCCTCGACATGATATCTACATCCGTCAGCCAAAGCGGTCACGTCCGAAACCCAACTGTCGGTACAACTCTGACAGGCTATCGTCCCAAAGCGACGACCCAAACAAACTATCTCATTCCTACTCTTGGCGGTCAGGCTCGCGCCCGATCGGCTTACGAAGCTGTCACATGGCTGTGGACGATGTTGGATGAGATGAAGCCCCGACCAAAGGTCCACTTCAATCCTCTTGCACCCTTAGTCTGTGATTATCTCTTGGAGATGCCAGGTCTCCAACACGCATTGAGAATCGAGGCAAAAACATCGCAAGCATTAGGAGCTCACAAGACAATCACTATGGAGACTGGAGAGGCTCGTTCACCATTCGCCCCTGCGCGTCAATGGCATTTCCTAATCTTACAGGGTGGGGTTGGGATATCTGCATTCATTTGCATTGGAAGACACGAGGTCCAAGACAAGTGGCAGGACCAACCTTCCTGGAGGCATGAAGATTATTCAGAGTTCTTGTTCGAGGGACCAGATGCGCTTGAGCGTATAATCAACCATATGCGTTCCAAATACTCGGAGGTAGTCAAAAAGGTTCGCCAGATCGCAGTAACTGCAAGTCTCAACGCTGTTGATCTGGAATCCCTTATTACTTCAAACGCCGCCGACAGACTAGCGGAAGCCTTGAGAAACACCACATCCATATTACCGGCAAGTCTGGTTTTCCACTCCCCTGGGTTACCCTGGGTAGCAGCAGCGCTCAATGGACAATGTCGTCGCGCGGAACGTGGTATCTGCTTTGCATTGGATTCAGGTCATCCTGTGTGCAGTCATGTAATGCTTGACTGGCATTGGACCCATGAAGAAGGCGAACGTTACGATACTGAAGGAAAACTTCCTGTGTTTCCATTTTCTCAGAAAGCTATGGATCTACCATGTGTTCCTCTTGATTTTGTCGATATGTCCGGCGCCAAATCCGCTCTACCACTGGGTATGCGGGAATACTACTGGACGATTCCAACAATCGAGCAAAACTTCCTTATGATTGGCAGTACTTTTGCATCACAAGATCTGGAACCAACAACAGAGTTCACGCCTTCCAACTACCTCATGTTTCCGTCCCAACACCTCAGTCGTATGGACGGAAAGGTTCGTAAGCCGGTGTCCACTGAGGGGTATGATGGCAGTGCTTTCTTCCGCCGTATCTATCAAGCGTGGAATGCAGCTGATCCAGAGCTCTGGACGAGTCAGAGAACTGACGTTCTACCTTTCAACCAAAAGAGCGTGTTCATCAATGACTCAGAGGTCGACCCCAAAGACTACTTTGTGAATCTCCAAAACGGTAGACTCAGGGCTCAGATATTTGAGATTTTCGAGGAGGGCGACGAGATGAGGATCAAAGGATTCCAAGAGATTCAACCCAACAAACCATTCTCTAAGGCTCTTTACCGCAGCACATTGAGAGTCATGCACCAGGCTGCGTGGGACTTCGGTGGTACGTCTTGTTGCCTTCACGCTCCGATTATACATGATTAGCTAACAAATATCATTAGTAAAGCGTAAGCCATGGAAGGAAGTCGAAGAGACACCAGAATGATGTGTTCGTAGCATCATGGTAGGATTTGGAAATGGGATTGTGTTGCAACAAGGTGTTGTGTGCCGCGTAATCGTCCAAGCATCTTAGAATTGCCCTCAAAAATAAAGATGGCTCTGACTCTTTCTGCTCTTATCGTCTGCCGGATAGAAAAATGAGCTTACCAACCAAGCGAGAAGTGGCTCAGGCCCTGGATCGCATCACAGGTGAACTCAGCAGTGATATCACCGCCGACATTGCTCTAATCTGTTCCGCTGCCAAAACCCCCGAGCGCCGGCGATTTGTAAGTGTCGAATGTGTGGTAAAAGCAGTGAACTGACCAGAGGTCAAGATCCAGGAGTGGTGTCCTCTGGTTAGGCCAGACGAGAATCACGATCAAGACTCCGTATCCGATAGTGTCATCACACTCCGGAAGAAGCTTTGGGCGCGAAATGAGTTCGTAGCTCACCGCAAGACAAAAGCGATCCTCGTGGGCAAGCCGCCTGGATGGAGTCAAATGATGTTCTGTCGACTACTTGACAGAATCCACCCTTTCCCAAGCTGCCTCGAGGAGTCGAGACAGGAGATCATGGCAGCCTCAGGGAATTTCGATCGTACGTTCTAATGCAGCACGATGCAGCACGAGCTCACATCAAGAAGATTATGCAGACAATCGAACAGGAACAGAAGGTAAAGTCGCTCACATCGCGTCCCTTCCGGCAGACACAGACTCAGAAAGCATCACACGTACTGCTGCCTATTCGCTCTGCCAAATGATGGTGCTATCGGTGCTCTCTAGAACAGAGAAACTTATCAGGGATGAAGTCGAGACTGAGACGGCCATTGACCGAAAGGAATTGCTCATGAAGCTGCAGCACTCCCTATCCAGATTCTGCGGTATGTGTATATCGATTGGAGTCTGATCACCTGCTAACAACGACAGAATGCTTTCGCAAATGGCAGGGTTGAGATTGACCCAGACCAACCACGGCTGCTGCCTTCGCCAAACTGTTTCCCGACAGCTCATAGCAGGAAGCCGAATCTCTTTGTAGCCCATGGAACGGGGTGGGCATATCCATACTTCGAAGAATCTTGTCTCTGGTAGAGCAAGATGAGCGGTCAGCGATTGAGACGATATTCAACATTGCTCTTTCCGTATCTCTTACGATATATGATGACAAGGGCTATGTTTTTTGGGGACCTTTCGGCCGTTTGGACAACCAATCCAATATCTCCTTCTCTTGTACTCCAGTGAAAGTTGCACTTCCGTAGAGAAGCAGACTGGCGCGATACATCTCAGCCTCTGTGAATAGTTCTTTCTCTGCTCGGTAAAGGGGAGTATCGAAGTCGGTCTGGGTGGTAGTTTCGATTTTGGTGAATGCGGAGCGACGGTCGGTTGTTGAATCGAAGATCTTTTGCTTCAAGGGGTCGGAGAACACTAGCGCTTCGTGACTCCTGAGGTCGGGGATGACCAATCGAGCCAGTTCCATAGCATGATGATCTTTGAGAAGATGGATGACACGGTCGACCATGCCAGAAGCAGCGGAATAGATGTTGGTGGTGCCGAGGGTTTCCCATAAATGCTCGCAAGCAAACTGGAGCTTGGCTCCCCAATCAGCGCATTGCGGGTGCTTTTCAAGGTCGTCCAGAAGTTTTTGAAGCGTAGCTTGGTCCATCATCATGATAGAACAGAGATCCGTGAACCAAAGCCGATCTGAGTGCGCCTCTTGCAGGGAGTTGTCAAGCACGTGATATGCAGGTACGCGCCCGAAGCGCTCGTTTGAAGAAACCAAGCAAACTTTCTGGACGGCCATGCAATGAAGACTTGCGCTCGACACTGTACTCATAATCTACCACAACAATGTTAGAGTCGGAGAGTCGCCAAATCTCCATCGCAAGCGAGGCTGCGAGTAAGAAACAGAAGCAACCAGCTAAAGACTCACTCCTTCGCAACCTACCTATCTCAGGCCGCCACTTCTGGAAGGGAACCTTAGCAGAGCAACTGTCTGCTACTCAGCTAGACAACAGGCCGACAAACAAGTCCAAGCGGAGTATGCCCGGCAATGAGCTAACGGTCATGGCGCTCAATGAAGTAGCGATCTCGCATGGTAGAGGTTTCTTCTTCCACGTCTTGGGTAGAGACTCATGGACTTCTTGGCCCACTGAAGATATGCACCCCAAGAGCCGAGTTCCCCAGCTTCCTGGGTAGGTAAGCCTTCCAAAGCTCAACTGCACTAGCCTACTGACGCGTGAATGAACAGATATCAAATACCATCGATAGTCTACATGAACTATGTCTGGTCCGATACTTCTCGTGCCGCCTTTCTTGCCGAAAGTCATCGAGGCCGATACCTCAAGTCTGATCTCATGACCAATCCGCCACCAGACGCAATTCCGCTGTATGCAATTCAGTACACCTCTCACAGCAATCAGGCCCTATACATAACGCCCGTCGACTCCCTAATTCTTACCGCAACCAAGACCTGCTTCTACCTCCTCAAGTGCTCAGAGTTGGAGAAGGTTGGCGGCCGCTGGCCTCCCAGAAAGCGCCCACCAAAAGGACCCGATCCGGAACAGAGGCTGAACACCGCACCCTATCTTTGGGACGGAACGAAAGACCCTAGGAAGGCTCAGGCTCTACAAAATTGCCATATGCTAAGCCTGGAGGAAGTCTACAAGAATGTGGTCGTACAGTGCACTCCTACAAATCTGATCTCCACGTTCTCCGCAATGGACTTTCGGCGCCTCATACCAAGACCTCTCGCTCCAGAGCTCGGCCTTCCTCTCGGTACTCCCGCCATGGATCAGAAGTTCAAATCAGCCGATCCACCGAGTAGAAGGGGGGAGATACACGCTCATGCACCACGCAAGACAGAAGGGAGGGGTATCAAGAGAAAGCTCAGTGATACAACAGAAACTACATGAAGCTTGAATGCTTGCTGGAGCCGTATATAGTGGATTCATGAAATTTTCGCATCAATACCCATCATGCTTGAGCCAACTATCACCCCTAGTCACTTGTGCGTAAAGTCGCGAAGAGTCTGCGTCTTCTGCCGCCCAGAAGACACTCGAGTGACTTCTTCACGACATGCTTTTTGTCCTTTCTCGAAGCTGCCTTGAGTGATGCTCTCTGTGATTTCGATACCCGTCTTAAGGTATCAGATCCTAAAGCGTCCGCTGTCTCTATGGATGTCGCAGCATCCAACAGAGAGACCGTGAACGCATGGAGATCGACGATTGTGGTTGGAAAGTCGTCCTCTCTGGCCACACCATTTATCTCTCCTAGCTGAAATCCCGTACGTTGAACGGCCCTGCGATAGCGTCGCTCGGTCTGGGACCAGTGTTCAAGCTTTTGATCATCGACGCAGGCTTGGTACATCTCTATCACGATCCTACTTCCAGGAGCGCTTGAAAGAGACAAATACCTAAGAGTTCGTCGCAGATTGGGGACTCCTGTGAGTTGAGGAGAACCGGTACAGATGAGGAGCTGGAAGTTATGGCAGTTGTATGTCTCGGTGATCGTCTCTAGAAAGAGCTTATGGAGGCTGGTTCCAGGCGTCGGTGCAGACGGCGAGTCAAAGTCATGAGCTTTTTGACACTCTAAAGTGACTGTAACGACAATTCTGTTCTTGTTTACGGCTCGTAGTAGGTCGGCAAGGGCTTTTGCATCTTGTCCAAGCGTTAATACTGGTTCGCTTTGCTGTGCTTTTGCGAAAGCCAGCGCGCGGGCGACGAACGGTATCTCTCGAGTGTCCATTGAAAATATGAAAGATCGGAGTCGCTGTTCTGAAAAGATGGAAAATGTTTCTTGTTGAATACTCTTGCCAGATCTGCAGAACATATCTCCTTTTATGTATTCTGGTCAATATGAGTGGCTAATTGTTGTGAATCATGGTTTCACATCTATTATAAATCACGTATCTCTGCCTCAAACATCATACAAAGAACATGGACTCGTAGATTCGAGGCCTCAAGTGAGTCTTGTTATAGATGAAACGGGAAAACTTCCCGAGCAGTTGGCCTCAGATAGTAATTTCTAGGAAGCAAGTCTCAAAATCGAGAAAAAGCACTATCATGATCTTCATCAGCTCCTTCCACAGTCACACTCATGTTCAGGTTTTCGGGATCTGGGACATGGCTACATCCTGACTCGTCTATATTACTGTATGAACACATTGTTGCACCTGTTCGGCTATCGAAGTGATGAACCGCGAGTTCAAAACGTTGAGACACGAGGTGGTCTGATGGCAAACCAATATTGGCACGACCTTAAGCCCGCCACGGCTTGTAGGGTTCTGTAGGGAGGCTCTGTTTGTGATGCCATCTGTAGGTGCAAAGCATGATGATCATTCGAGTGTAAACGAGATTCAGCTTCGGGCGTGTAACCTTTGTAGACGCGAACATGTTGAGTCATTGATCAGATGGCCTGATATCCGGCCCTGCAATGGCTTTCGATGTCCATGAGCTATTCTCGCATCGCTCCAACGGCAGTCTACATAGTCAAAAGCCTGTTGATTACATACTCTTCGCTCACTGCATGTCAAGGTGTGCTGTAGCTTATGAGTGGCAGGATGGTCTGCAATAATACCAAGAAGATCGAGAATGATATGTGTGTGTTTTATCGTACCGAACTCGTTGCCTATCACACCATCCATAACCCGAAAAATGATATCTCGAGCATCGTAAGTTTGAGTCTGCTGAAGCAAACAAACTTATCTCCCAATTCCACTCAGTACCGAGTCGCACAACTTCACAAATCTCAAGTACACACCGTCGAGGGCATTCATCTTGTATCAACCAGTGTTCCAAGTGTTGGAGATATTCTCGACCACATATCCTTTCTGAAAGTGTCGTCTAATCACTCGGCCAACACGTCTTGTGAAACCAATACTTATCCGTTCCCACTCTCTCTACCCAGCTTACCTCATACAAGACACCGTCAGCCATGGAGGGTGATATCGAACCTGCGGAGTCCATAGCAGGACGACCAAATGTTTCAAGCATTCAGACCCCCTACACGATCCTATCTCCCTCTAACTCTACCCTTACAACGACTGGCCATCAGACATCACCCGAGCGATCATCTATCGCGAATTTTGTTGCACCGGCAGGCGAGTCCTACAGCTTCGGGACCAATGCCTTCTTTGCTTCCGGATCGAATCTTCAGAATGTCACGAGCACTCTCAAGACTCTGCCCTTACTGCCCTCTTTTACCCCTGTCAGTTCGATGGCCGCTGTGCAGATCTTACCACAACAGTCATCTGCCGGCCCTCTTGCCTGCGCCTCGAATGCGTTGGTTTGCGACTTCGGATATCTCGCTTCCTCAACCCCTCACGCGAAGGACCGCTATGCTATAGACGCCGACGCTACCAACCTGGCGGCCGCCAGCCACACCTGGCCACAACAACGATTCCCAGACCATCCTGTCCATCCGTTACACATGCTACACACCTTCGAGTCTGGCCTGTTCCCGAAAGCCCACTCGACACGCCAGTACAATTCAAATCCCCCACTTACTCCCTTTGCACTTCCATCTTCAAACCCTACCAACATAACCACGACCGACCAAGCTCGACCACAGGGGGCGGATCCCAGTCACGCTTCTGTGATATCACATGCACCAGTCCAAACTTCCCTTGCCCTGGGAGTCGATGTAAGAAAAATCCCAAGATGGGGAAAACGAAACAAAGACTATGAGAAGGTGTGGATGACAGCCATATTGGAAAAGGTCATAAACAATCCCACAGGCGTTGCAGTCAAGTTTTCCAAAGATCCGATTCTGAACCATATGTACCAGAAGCTAAGCCGTTGGCGCATATCTTTTGACGACGATGAAATGGCTGCGCGCGGTCCGGCTTACCAAGGAAAGAAGCGCAAGAGAGAAGAACTTGAGAGAAAATCGACCGCCCAGGAACTTCATGTTAGCCCAGAAGGTGATGCAACAAAGTCAACAGGCCCAGCCTCACCTGTCGTCGATGATGCAAGTGGGCATGGTTCACACTCTACGGAGGTTAACCTTGAGCAGCCAGACACCACAGACACTGCCGATCCTCTTGCCGACAAGAAGAGATTGATTCGCGCTGATGAAATTCACGACTTTGCATTTGGAGGCGGTGCCTACCTTGACTGCCCAAAGTGCGCAGAAGGTTTTGATGAGTTCTGGATGTGGAGCAAACATCTAAAGGAAGAATGTGGTATCGAATGCGGTATCTGTTCAGTGAACTTTGAAGAGGTTTCTGGTCTGCTCATGCATCGTAGCACGTGCAAGGAACATCTGATGAAGGTGTCGACCTTGAAGGAGGAAATCGCGCTTGGGTCATAGGTAGCCAGCTTACAATGGATGTTACAGGGAACAAGCAGGTCGCTAAATTGCATTTTCTCAGTCTGTTGTTTTTATACTGACCCATGGCATTGGACTCTTTTCATCAACACACACCTCTTCCTGATCTCTACATCACTTTATACTTATGATCATGAAACAACTATCTTCTGATTTAATCAGGGCCGCCCGGTGCCTATGACTTTATGCCATACTGTGCTGGGTGTTGGATTTCACACAACACTCGCTGGAGGGCAAAACCGGGCCATGTGGCTGCCTATGACATGTGAATAACACGTATGAACGACACCTCGCATTCCTTGGTGGAACACCGATCCTCTTTGCCGAAATTCTACACCGACACACCTCTGCATCGATCACCGACTTCTCTTATCCACGAAAATATGGTCACCACAACCCCGACAGAACCTGCAAACAAGAGAATGAAGCAAAGCGCGATCAAGAGATCAGATGCCCACAGCTCTGACGGTAGAACTTCTGTGAACACCACTGATGCAGTTGGTATCAAGCAAATCCCGAAGCGTCATGCCCGCAAAGGCGAGGTCTTCAACAGAAAGCGCGCTTATGTTGAAAGGGATAAGCAAAAGAGAGAGAAACCCTATCCGCCGGTGTCTGTAAGTATAGAGGAGAACCTTAGGTTCTATGACCTTGTGATGGAGCTTGCTGAGGACATGAAGGTTAACAAGGATACTGGGGTACGTTGTGGTATGTTCCTCTTTAAGCGCTTACTTACCTGTAAACAGTTCATGAAATCTGTCACAATTGTGGGAGAGTTTGAGGGTGACTCCGACGGGCCCTCGATAATCGAGGCTCTGAGGACACGATACGAAAATTGGATGACCGAGTCGACAAAAGACAAGCAGAGCGAACATGAAGAGCTCTCTGGTCCTCCCCATGTCAGTGCTGGTCCCTTCTCCGACGGATCTCTCTTCCCAACCTCGAACTTACGCGCAGAAGGTATGCAAGTTGGATAATGGTTCAAGACGCTTTTCTGACAAGTCGAACTCAGATTCCGCAGCACACATCGAGTCTCAGCACACGCTTCCATCCCCTGACACGCCGGTCCAAGCCCCCATACCTGACGACGAGAAGATCATGCAAGAGAAGCAAAAGAGATTGGCGTCTGAACTTGCCTATGCACACGACTTCGCAAAGGGCAAGTCTCCACTTCGATGCGCATACTGTCAGAAGTGTTTCCTCAACAAACCCACCTGGAGTGGCCACCTCAAGTCATGCGCTGCATCGATCTGCAAGGTTTGCGACAAGTCCTTCAGCGGCCATCCGAAACGACACCGTGAGCATGCAGACCACATCAAAAAGGTCACTGCACTCAAAGCCGAGATCCAGGGAGCTCTTCAGGCCACCGCCCAAGACACATTTGATTGAGGACATCAGACTCAGGAGTAGAAATGATCCACAAAGGAGACATTTGACTGTTGCGGAGCTTGGAATGGTTGTTTCAAGGGTGCTTTGTTCTGACTTCGTTCTCTTGTTTTTGGAACATACGCAGTTTGGATTGGTTGTTTTTTTTTGGGGTGTGTTGACTTTCACGTTTTTTCGGTGACGTGCCGACATAATCGATATGTTATCCTCCACAAGAACGTAGTCTCCTGCCATCTTCAATAATGCTCGCTCTTGGTAAGCTGTTGGCACTTCCACTGTTTTTGCAGAAGTTCAGTGCCCCATCCGGGTCGTGATCTCGCTGTAACCAACACGTTTCACTCAAGCATCTTTTATTTTTCTCTGCACCTTTAATCTTCCTTTTTGCTTTATTTCAATAACCTTGACAATCTTACACAATGTCGACCCGATATGACTGCTCAGTGCTCGACTTGAGTGAGAAAACTCCAGAACTGCACAAACACCTCGCCAAAATACTTTACTGTCTTGAAGACTATGAGTATGCGGTGTCCCAATCCGAGATCGACTCTTCTTTCGCCTTATTGGCCCAGCTCTATCCACTGCTTCCCGATAAGCCTTCCGAGCTGTACAGTCTGCTATGTACCATGGGCGAGGCTCTGAAGAATGCGAAGTCTGCAATGCAGAGTCTTAATGATTTCATCGAGCGCAAGCAGGTTGAGCTCCGAGCTGGAGCCCGCGCGGATAGTGCAAGAAACGCCGACAAGAAACCCGTGGCTCTCTCTATCGAGATGGGAGCTGGCAGAGAACTCAAACAGGACTTTCTGATCTTCGCCCACAGTTGGTTCAAAGAAATCTCGTTCTCTTTGAAACCATACTGGACCACCGAAGTGGTAAACATCATCAACACGCATCATCACCCGGCAAGCGAGCACCTCGGATACCAGCGTACGCACAAGCAGTTGATCGACATCATTTGCAAGATCAACATCATTACTGGAAAAGTAACTGGTTGAATGTCACTAGTCTCTACGCTCCTGATCCACTCATTCTGATTGGTACCTACAGTCAGCACGTCCTCTGAGACTGCCCAATCACTATTCAAAATCATACCAGTAGATATTTTGGCACGAGATTGCTATCCCCCTCCTATGCAGAAACCCTCATACAAAATTCGTCGGTGCGCATGCCATCCTTACAGTATAACGACCATATTGCCCCCCCCCCCCCCCAAACCCCCCGAGGGAGGCTTTAAAAAGTGTTCTTAAGTATGGCGAGGTGCAGTTCTATATCCTATACGAATCTCGAAAGATTTAGCGATGGATGGGAGGGGGGTAGCAACCCGGATGGAAGGGGGATAGCATTTACGATTTTGGCAAATATCCTCTGCAACAAGCCAAAAGATATTCCAAAACCAGCCTGACCCATGTGGAGTCAGCTGGAACGCTCAGCTGTTGCTCCATGATTTGGCAGAACGAACATGACACAAGCACTGCTTCTCATCATAGTACCAGAAGTGGATGCCTCTCCAATTCGGTCTCGTACAAAGCCCCCGGATTCATGTGCTGTGTAACGTTGCCCTGCTACGTTCGTCTCCAATCGTCTGACCTATCAATAGATTCAGTGGGCTTGCGCCAGCCAGAGACAGCCCGAACTTGGAGCTATGATTGACTATCGAATTGTGACTGACTTGCATGGATGAATTTGGCTAGCCCATCATCACATCACAGACAAGGTTTTACAATGTATGCGGTAAGCATTTCACGATTTTCGTCAAGCGAATGATGACGAGTCGGGTCTTGAATATGATAGATTACGACTTTGCTACTGGCACTGGTCAACATGAGTATAGTAGACCAGATTCAGTCTCTGAACAGCCTTCGCGGGCATTCGCAGAACCGACAGTGTTCTTTCGAGATAGCAACCAAAAGCCCAGGAACAGAGACGAATGACCAAGCCCCGAAACTTGTATCCTTGTATGACTCCCAAGTCTATCTGAGAGCTCGGTCGTAAGAATTACCTTCGCAACGCCTGAGTCCGCCGAAGCACGTCGATCCTACTTGAACTTGGAGTGGATTCATTCTCATGGAAGTGGAAAGGTCTCTTGATGGCTGTTGGGGGTGGCGATGGTTGTTGGATAACTCAGCGCTGGGCGTGTCTTGAGGAACACAAATCTATCAGAGACACCAACTGATCAAAAAAGCATAAATGAAGCATGAATTGCCTAGACTTGACCAAAGTCACATGTCTTTGAAATTCAGCCCACAATGATGCTAATTACGGAAATGTCATCAAGACTTGACTTGCAATTGTGTTCCAGGGCTCCCAATATGAGAATTATAGGATCAGAGCGAAAGGAGAGTAAAGCCTTGTCTGAGTTGAGAGCAGTTCCTAGCCCCATACACGTGCTTGAAACTCGCGTAGTAGGAGATTTAGTTTTGAAGGCAAGCTTGGATACTCACGATTGTATCTCTGAGGCCTTTTGGATCTTCGAAGTCCTTGGGATCTTCCTTGATGAGGGTGAGTAGGGTACTTAATATAGCTCTGAACTCAGATCTGGGTACATCCTCGTTGGTAGTGCTGGGCTCGCGCATCATCCTGTAAATCTCTTTGAGTTGCGGTATAAGGCTTGTTTTGTCTAGTCTTTGACCTCCAGCCATGAGACAAGGTCCGCACACAGTGACTACGGCATGCGGTACCGAAAGACCTGCTGGCATGTATAGAACGTCACCAGGAAATAGCAAGATACACCGAATGTTCTCCGGAGCAGGTGTCTCGAAGTCTCCTTCTTCGGCACTCGGATCAAGAAAGAACCATGCCTTGATGCCCGCCAGACATTTAACCCAGGTGCCATTGAAAGCATCTTTGTGGAATCTTGACACTGTAAGTATGGTGCTGAAAACGTTGAACATCCGGCTAAGTCCAAGCAGTGTAGGCTTTTTCAATCTCCTTTGTATCTTATCTCCAATCCCGAATCGAGGATGACACATGAATGGCGGATCCCCCTCTTGTGAGTCTACAAGTGGTACCTTCAGACAGTTGATGGGATCAAAGTCAATTGAGCCAGGGGTTTTGCGATCGAGAAAGAAATCCTGCTCGAGTTGTTCAAGGGTTACCTTCCGTGCGCTCGGCTCAGACCCATTGCCTTGAACGTCCATCTCGTAGTCCAGTCCGAGCTCATCCACAAGCGATCTGAAAAACCATGATGCTCTGGCCACATGTTCACAATCTTGCCCCCGGATGATAATCGGCTTTGGAATGATTGACGCATGATTCACGCAATTCATGGCCTCGGCATTGGTGAAGCTCCATACATCAGCACGGTCGCGGAGGGTCTCTGGCATTTGCTCGTTCCATTCAAGTGCCATACCAAAGGATTTGAGACGAGCAAGTGCGAAGTCAAATAGTTGGTCTCTGTTAAGCTTTGGTCGATCGATTGCTTGATCGAGGGTATCTTGCATATAATCGTACGCTTGGGTGAGAAGCTCCTTGGCACGATGTTCCCGTTCTTCGTGCTGCTTGCGCTCGATGGGATCGCAGTCTGCCAGATAGATCTCAGCTCCGGGAGCGCGAATTAGAGTGACTGAATTCTTCTGGTGATGGTTTTCGTCATCTTCAGTGATATCAGGATTCTGGATCAGGCGTCTCCGAACATTCTTTGTTCTAGTGGTAGCCCGTGCTGATTTTGTACTCCCCACTTTGACAATCTTCATAGGTGCCGACGGTGCAAGCGCATCGGTGTTTTTCGGGCTGTGGGATACGCTGTTGACAATCTTCTGGTGTCTCGGCGACAAAGTAGGACTGATTGAGGATCGATGTGATGACAGTGGCGAAGAGTTACGGGATATCTGCTGGTCCCTGATAGCAGAGTTAATGGCTCGCCAGTTTCTGAAATCGATCTCATCATTGTGGATAATCATCAGCCCATAGCGATTGATGACCTTGTTATCCAGCTGGGGAGCACTCTTCCGGATCTGATCCAGATCGGTTCCGCGGGTCATTGTTAGATAGCCATCGTCGACCACAGCCTTCCAATTTTGCTCCTTGAGACGGTGGTGAAGAAGAGCAAAATTCAGCATAGATTTAGCGACCACCCAATCAGAGACTCGATTAGATGCACTGCGTGCTGATCTCCAGAACTGTTTCTCACCGGTACCAACTTTGTCAAACCATTTGTTCCGAGAGGCAAAATCAAGAAACACAGACCCCCAGTTTTCCACAGCAGCGCAACATGCAACGGTACGTTGATCGGCGGCGTTGCGGCTTGCGTCTAAGTGGCGTTCTGCTTCCGACAACCGCTGAATTCTGGCACATGCTTCTGAAGCTTTGATCTGGTCTCCGAACTCGTCTCCATATCTTGATTTGAAGACAAGATGCAGCAGGACTGCGAGATCCTGACCGTTCTGATGGGTTTCTAGATAGTAAGTAACGAACTCATCACGCAGAGCGGCGCGCTGTTCAGCATTTTTTGCACCGTTCAGACGTTCCAACAAAGTCTGAATGAGTGATCCAGGCTTGCCGTCTAGAAGTGCATGTTTCCAGGCGAGCTCGTGAACAGTCATCATCAAACAAGTAAGTTGAAAAGTAGGATTAATGAAGCAGCAATGTATTTTACGAGTAGATAATTCGTCGCTGGACCCTGAATCTGCCGCGACAAAACTGGTCTGTGCGCAGAAGCCCCGTGAAACAACTCATTGACGCGTCCGTAGTGTACGCAATCTAAGTCATAATCATATTGCAGGCCTGGTCGACCGGAAAGAGAACGAGCGAGTGTTGGTTGGTGCCAATTGGGGTATGGCGATTGGTATTTGAGGGGGTTTAGGAGGTGGGTTTGATCTCGCTGTTCTCTTCCCGGTCTTGGCATAGGCACGTTCCTTCTCTCATACCTCTATATACATGTCTCGCAAAAGTGTTGACAAATGCTGACTGATCTCTTCCAACGCTCCAGATCCCTTGATTTCCCTATGTGTTGGTGATTCTGCCAACTTTCTTTTCGAGCCTTTTCTGCTAACTGGATAATGCAGATTGGATTCAAGAGCTTTCGTTGATCGCAGTTTGCGGTATCATGTGGCATCTGACTCATCTCTTGCCGATAGTCCGGTGTACGCGAAAGCGGTTGTAATTCTGTACAATGGTGTCGACTGTTTCGTTCGGTGGCCCAGTTCTTGTTGTAAATTGCAAGGCTGTGATCTTGCTCTCGTTTCTATTCTTGTTCTTATTCTTCTTCTCGTTTTCGTTTTCGTTTTTGTTTTCGATGTCGATTTCGATTTCGATTTCCAGTCTTTGTATCTCTGACAAGTTCGTTCGTAGAGTGGTGGATGGGTGTTTTTCTGCTCTCGATGGTATCTATCGTGTCGCATTGGGTGCGCCTGCTGTGCGGCAAGCGACGATTTAGCAAGCGGATTGGTGGCATTCTGCATACTCGGCGAGGGTTGGCCAGACCCTCGACAAGACGTCAGTTGCATGTCCGAATTTTTGCATAGTCCAGCACCTTTTATACCAACTCGTCGATTTTTGACGAATGGCGTACCTCGCAAGCCGCGTGTCGAAATAGTAACACCACCAACACCCGCTCGCGTTCCTACCGCGACATTGTATGACTTTGTAACATGTCACTCCAAACCGAAACGCGCCTCAGTACCAGGTCTCGACTGTGCCCCGATGGATACAGACAGGTACGATACACATGTAACTATGCACAATAGCTGGCGACTAACAACCTGAACATGTAGACCGAGTCGTCGAGAGCTTGTCGACTCGCGATTCTACCAGCCGAGATTATCTTCTAGCAAGCTGTTACCTACCTTCGTCGCCCGCACGGCTACGGCCAAACTATCGATAGCACCACCTATCACAGACGACCCCGTTGGTTCAAGAAGATTACCAAGTTTGGCATCTCAACATCAAACATTAGCGGAAAGCAGTCATGAGCAGCGATCGGTTCCAACGGTAAGACTTGAGTTGGTGTGTTTTACAAAACTGTAAGCTAACAAGTCTAAATAAGGTGCCCATGTTGCCAAGTTGCGTCAAACTCGATCAGAGTCCGAGTACGTCCCAGCACCACCGTCTCCGCTCGACACCAACACTACTATCTCAAACAGCCGTAGAGAAAGCGGGAATCCCATACGCAAGTCCAAGTTCAAGTATATCTCCGGAAAACCATAATATGGAGCGAAAGCCTGGCATGGTCGGAAAGGATATCGAGGCACATGAATCGGAGTCAAGTGCTCGAATGGACACGAGAAAGAAGTCGCAAGACGCCAAATTGACAGATGCGATCTTTGAAGCACCTGAGTCCTCGCACATAGGTGCTGGCCACGGCCAAAAGCTCTCTTCCTCGCAGATGCAGTCATGGCCCATTGCAAGGTCGAGAGAAGACAACGCACGTTACAGCATCTCTCAATCCGTGGAGCAAGCTCCAGCACTGTTCGACGAAGCTTACTTGCGAGGGTTTTCACATCATGTGCTTGCACTATGCCGAGCGATACTCATCTTCTTCTGGCAAATGTGGTCTTGGTTCTTCTCCACGATCGGTCCCGTCGTGTGCATCTTTATGGTTTTGGTTGTGTTCTTCTTGATTTCGACAGAAGTGTTATGGTCATCGATCGTAGCGCGGCTCGGATCGCTCTGGGATAACTCCTGGTTCCTGGTCTCCTTTCTCGCCACAGCTTCTAGGAGTATCACTACCGCCGTACAACCTCTCGTCTGCCACTTCCCTGTCTTTGAGAACCTGTGTCCCGATCCGTACAATACCTTCGAATCTTACGGTAGTCACATTACAGCAACCGTGTCGGCTTTGAGCGACAACCACGATGAGATCCATACCACCTCCCACTTGCTAAGAACTTTTACGGCTATTTTATCATCCATCTATGTGGCAATTCCCCCCTCTGACAACGACTTTCTCGACAAATTCTTGCAGGACTCACACGATCTTCAAGAACTGTTCGATGCATATGCAAGCAAGAACGTCCTTCTGCTCGACGACATCAACTTCAAATCTTCATTCCTTATCAGTGCTTTGCAGACATTGCTCAATTCGCCTTCGCACTTCTATGGAGGGTGGGCAATGGGACTGATTGGTTATCCTAATCAGTATGCTTCCTCCAGAGACTCACTGACCAAGACCCTGCAGTCTTGGTCTGACGGTGTCGATGATCTTTCGCGAAAGGCTGAAATCATCACACGACAATGGTATGCCTATCAAAAAGCGCTAAGTCAACTCAGCTTCGATATGAAAACGAGAAGAGAGCGACAAGCGCTCGGCTGGTGGCTTGACTTCAGTGGTTTTCCTGTTACATTGAGTCAGAAGGCAACCCTTGGGGATTTCCGCGCGTATGCAAAGAGTGTCGAGACGATACAGAGGACGTCTCCTCCCTTTATTCGCAATGTTAGTATCAACCTCAGCCTTGCCAAGTCTAACATCGTTGATGCAAAGGCAAGGATGCCGCAAGCAAGGTTGCACCTCACGTTTGCTTGGGAAAAGAAAAGCCAGGTATTTGTGATTTTGCTTGCAGACTTGAGAAACAGCGTCGCGAAAACACAGCTGTCTCAGCAGGAGCGCGACCTGTCCAACAATGAGAATGCTAGATTTCTCCGGATTCCGCAGACGACCCAAGGATATAAAGCCTGATATTGTAGCTTTGCAGGTCTCGGAGGTAGGTTGACAGCCAGGGTCTCCCTTGCTGAGAACCCTCCGATCCTGTTAGTAATATTGAGAGGCTCTTGGCGCCCAAGCTATCCGAGGAACGAGGCTCTTCGCACGTAGGTAGACAAATCAAGTTCTTTTTAGCAATCACAATCTCTCTACACGACCTCCGCGAGTTCGACGTCGATATAATCACAAATATGCGTAAGCAATGCGTAAGCATAATAGTCAAAAGGAGAAGGTGTGAATCATGATCATGACGATTTGGTTGTCCAACTTGTAAGTCATGGTACCAAACTGCCATGCCTCCTCAAATTTGCTCCACACAATTTCCCCGCAAATTGAAAAGTTTGAACAAACAGGGGCGATCAATAAAAAACTGCCCCATCACATTGATGCAAATCCCGCGTCACCCTTCATGTCCCTCGTCCGTGTCTATGTTTGAGACCAGGAAGCACTACAATTGTTGTCAGTTGGGCTAGGCTGGCCATGTTGAGCACCAGGACATACCTCATGCATGCGAGTCCATGCTACGACGAAGTTGGCGAGCGCGACTGATGGCATCTCGCAAGTCATAGGAAACACATGCGCAATCGCCTTCCAGGTAGTGGATGTGGCTCGCGTTATAGTCGCAGAGATGCGCGATTGCGACCTGTCCTATCCAGAACCGGGCATAGGCTGAGAGGGCGTGGATGATCTGGTCACGCGATGTGGAAAGTCCAGCCTGGTACAGATCGGATTGATAATCAGCGTTTGCGAGGTAGCCGGCAATGGCGATGAGCTCGTCCAGGACTTCAGTGGTGGGACCCTGCATGCGTCGAGCAGCGGCACCAGATAGCGACGTTCCACTGCAGAATTCGGGCCAAGCCTGCTGAACTTCCAAGACTGCGGCGTACAGGTTGTGGTTGTTAGCACGGATGTGCATAGCAAGGAGAGCGTTTAACAAACGTGCGGGCATGGTGGGTTCAAAGCGAGCGTGTTGACAGTCCGCGACTCAAAGTGGGTTCGCCTCTACTGATATGCCTTCAAACTAGTATGTCAGTGGTCTGGCACGGCGATAATGACGATCGCTGAACTCAGGGACGGCTTCAGACTGATTGCATGGTTTGACACCACTAATCTTGATTTCCCTGATCTTTTAGAGCGCCTCGATGCACTCTGTAACACCAAGCTTGCTATTCCCGACGAGGCAGTCGCTGTTTACAGGGATCGATTTTAGCAGATCATGTAGCAACATGATTCACTGCTTTGCCTAAGATGAGGGTTCGTTCGAAATGCCCAATGAATGTTTCTTCTACTCCTGGAGAAGGACGAAAAACCAGTTTTGATGATTATGCGGCGCGGCGATCTTGGTCAACTCAATTAGACACCTGACTGATCAGCTCTTGTCAAGCCAACCAGCCATGTTGCTGTTGCTAGTAAGGGCGCGAACCGGAACAGTGGTTACTTCACAAACAGACTTGGATTCACTTGTCCAAAAGACTGCTGAGGATCAAGCACCTCAGGACCTATGAACAATTTCCACAACGATATGGCGTTCTTAGTCAAGAAAAAAAACAGGAGCTCCGTGTACGGTCGAACAACTCATCACCTCGACTTCTTTGCCTATATGGTATGAGCATTCCGGGCAGCTGTTGTCATTTCAGAAATTTATTCTTCACTCCATACAATCATAATGGTTGGTCTACTCCTATCTACCTTCATTTTGCTATGCGATACAGCCTTTCTCATCGCACCCTGTTCATTGTTCCTGTTGGCGATGTATCCCAGGCCTGTCAAAGTCTTCCTTTTCTGGCTTATACATGGTGTCCTCGATTTTGTCATCATGTTGTATGTTTCAGGCGGCAAATCTTGGGAATTGCAGAAGTTCAGGACTGAAGCGATTCGCGGACAAGTCTATCACCTCGAGCAGGCTGTGCTCAGTTCCATCTCTGGCGGCCTTGTCAACAAAAGCGGAGAAGTGATTCTTTCCGATGCTTCTGGGACATCTGTGAGATGCGGTGTTCTTATCGAGGGCGATGTCGAGTCCTGCGCCGATCATCACGTCGACGATTATGGGATGGTAGTCGTTCAGGGCCGCAAGCTAGGACGGGCTCTTCACCTTGAAGATATCAATCATGAGGAGGAGAGCATACTCATACAAAGCCTCCAGGATTATATCACAAAGGAGCTCATTCCCATCAGCCGGAAAATTGAAGAGGTAAGATCAAGTTTTGCTAGTACTGATGCCCACGACTGACGTTCCGTAGGCTGATATGGATCTCGACAAGAAACGCGACTTGGTTCGTCAAGCTCATCAACATTACGAAAACGCTCTACGCAGACTAGACCTCGTTCACGGCCTGTTCAAAATTACATCGAACGTCACGCAAGAGGGTTTGGACGATTGTATTCGAGGCGTGTGCAAGCTCAATGAGACTCTGATTCAGGCTTCTGATACGACAATGCCCCCTTCGAGGTGGCCTAGGGTTTCCCAAGCTCAGAATTCTGAGGCTGCAGCAATTCGCGGGCAGCGAGATCGTTCCTAGGTGAGACACTCCAAAACCTTCTTTCCAGTGCGATGACTGACCATTATTGTGCCTCAGCAGCTTGGCCAAGATGCCAGAAGAAACTTCTTCCGATAGTATAACACAGAGTTGCAAGCTCAGAGATCACAATTCTCTTTCACACTAAAGATCTATTTAAACAACTCCAAACCTCTTGTGTTTCCTTCCTTCTTCGCCTCACCCCCAACATCACATCAACTACAAAATCACATCAACTACAACCTACCTCCAGTCTCATACCACTCACAACTCAACCTCCAATGCCTGGCACCATCAAGGCCCCCAAGGGCATTCCCAAGTTTCCCAAGACCACCGTCACCTACGAGGACTCGCTGAAGATGGGCATCTTTCTTGAAGAAGCCCACAAATCGAACGTATGTTTATATCGTCCGTTCTCGGTTCTTCTTCTGCTTACTTTGCTTACACAGTATGACCTGCGTCCTTTCGCTCGTCAAGCAGGTCTGAACCCCGTTCAGACCACCTCGTTCTGGTTCCGCATGATGGAACTCTTCCCAGGTCCCGCCCAGGTTACCGTGGACGCCACTCCTAACTCTGACACCAACTCCGTGAAGAAGGCTGCCAACACCACCCTGGATGCCGCTTCGACCGCTGACGCCGACGCTATCAAGAAGGCCGCCAACACCACTACGGATGCCGCTTCGACCGCCGACGCCGACTCTATCAAGAAGGCCGCCAACATCACTACGGATGNCAGCGAGGGAGAAGTCGCCGTCAAGCACTTCAAGTCGGGATAAGGTTGATTTGCTGCTCTTCATCAATCCTCGCATACTCCTTAAATGCTCATGGCTTGGCTTGGCTTCCGTGGGGTACTTATTTTCTTTAGTTACATCGGCTTTTGCCTAAGAAAGCAAGATTGTTATTCACTCAGGGAGATGAGGCTATCTCGAACGTTGTTCATAGATTGACAAGCCACATTGTGCTTCTTATTATCCTACTCATCATGTGCATGCTGTATCTACCTGATTTCATCGATTGCTTGAGTACTATCTCAAGCCAAACAAACTTGGCAGAAGTTCGAGGCGCCAATAAGGCACGGGTAGGTTTCAGACTCAAACGACAGATCTTTCCAATTCAGGGGTGCGCTTCGATCTGGCAACCGGGGGGCTGTTTGACCCTCCATCTTCAGCCGACATAGCATCGAAAAATAGAGCACTCAAAGTCCTTCAGCGCTTCTGAATTCTAACACGATCGTTGGTTTGAAGAACACGTCTCAAGCGACTCTCCAATCAGTTTCACCCCGAGAGCCCATGCGTCAGCTCATGTCTTGCTGCGTGGCTAGTCTAGATCAGTTCGACTATTCTGGCGTGTCTTCAAGACATGCATCGAGACAAATCGGAAATGGCTTTCTCGCATGATAAATACTCTCACACAGTCCAGATGCCATCGTACCAATCATCACTCATTTTTGTCAATCAGTCTTCTATCAAGACCACATCAGCCATAACCGACAGCAATTAAGATGGAGCCGAATTCGAAGATATGCGAAACCGAGATTGCCCAAGTGAGCACTCAGAAGCCCATCAAATGGGACGATCGAGTTTTGCGAAGCTTCTACGAACTCATGTCTCGCGAAATGCTATCTAAGCACATTCGGCCTTCCCCTACCGCCCTCGCTGATCTTTGGAGCACGCACCAATGGCCACGAGAGCCAAGCCAACAAGTTCAGAAGGTGGTGTGCAAGATCTTGCGCTGGTTTGTACGACACACTCCCGACTTTGTGACCGAAGAGCAGGTAGATGAACACTCAGGGGAATATGTCTCTTACTGGCCCGAAACTGCCTTGGAGTGGGTCACTAGTGATACCTGGGTCGGCAATTTCAAAGGGTTTTCAGTATCAGAGGATGATAGGAGGGTCACGAGGAAGGAGAAGGAGAGATATATCTCCGAGACCAAGGCTACTACCGCCTGCTCCGCTGTGATCACTGGACTCCACGACTTGGTAGAACTGGACTCTCCGACCAATACTCAGGGTGAGTTAGATGTCGACTTTGAAGATGAACAACATAGGCCGCAATCTGGAAACCAAGCTCAGCCCGGGACCTTGCCGCCCGCTGAGCAGCAATGCCATCCAGTAAAGCCTGAGCAGTGGTGTCAATACCCACCAGATCAATCTAGAGAACAACAACAGCACCAGGCGTGGTCACCATCTTCGCTCTTACAACATTCGCCGTCAGCACAGCAAAACCACCAAGATCACTCGCAAGTACCGCGCCACTATAACCGTTGCCAGACGCAAAATTACGACAGTCCAGAGCCATCTTGTGACGGGCATATAGACCCTCAACAGAGCTACCTTACACACGCGCCTCAGCACAGCTGCTCACAGTCGCTTGGCGAGAGCTATCTACCTCGGTCTCGCCCCCAAGAGCACGATGCCCGACAGTACCTTCTCACTCAGTCGCTTCATCGCAGACTCGCCCCGTTACCCCGGTTCGACGACGCACACCCAGAACAACATTATCACCCACCACCGGCTCCCATCGGAATCACACGCTTACATCAACACAACAATCCGCAGCGACTTGGATATGATCATCAGCAATCGTCAATGAGGCAGCAACAATCACATGCGCCTTCAGCTCGAAAGGAAGAAAGATGCTTCAACGAAGCCAATTATACTGCTGCACCACAGCCCCGAGGTCTGCCCTCGAAGCTTCTCGGACAAGGCGTTGGATCCAGCTATGATCTATTCACGCCATTGCTGGAACAAGATTCTGCATACATTAGCAAGACTGAAGGCCACGTCAGAGTAGCAAGCAAGTTATCAGGATATAGCCCTAGGGCTCCAGACTTTGAAAGAGCAAACGACAGACCGAGAGCGTCCAGATCAGCGCCAACTTCTTGGAGGTTGACCAATCCTCTACAGCAGAGTTGGCCACCCGCAAGCGCCAAGTTCGAGGGTGATCTCCAGAGCTCTTGCCGTGTGGATACGCAGCCACCTCGAAGACCATCACGACCGTTCTCGGGCGGCACTGCTGACGAACGTTGTTTCCGTATGAATGAGGGCGGACAATCCAGACAAATTCAGGCAGATGAAGACAGATCTGAAGTGCTCAGAAGGGCGAACAGTCTCTATCAGGAGGGAGATGTAGATGATCGTCTTGCTGCTGTCGCACTGACGCTTGGCTGCCTTTTGAGCCGGGACAGAGACAGGGCTGATGTTAGGCAGGGATAATTGCGGTTGTAGACTTCTTCAGACACTCATGAATCCAATCATCCTCAAGCGTGGCTTCTGCACTACTTCTCGGGAAAGGCGCAGAAACTAATTGCACGCTGGCTCAACGTAAATGGTATTTCTATGGCCAATCTTCTGCGTGATTTTGTATCAAACCAATTTTACAGACTTCGATATCTTTAGAAACGGAAATCGTGGCTTTTCACCCGCAGAGATGAATGGACTGATCGCTTTGTTCGGCATCGAGACAGGTCTTATGCTCCTACACTACCACTGATTATATCGCACCACTTTCAGCGAGTCTTAACTTCCATGGTTTTGTACTTTTTCCGATCGCGCCCACCTCGGCTTGTTATCCAAACGCTGAACATGTTTTTTTCGCAAGATCAAGATGATCACTCGCTCGCAAAACGACTGCAGGACCACATACATTATATCGAAGACGACTTACGTGAGCTTCATCATGAGATGGTGGCATTAGGAATAAGTGAAATCGAGCAACGCGGCTTGAAAAAGTTGATACGGAAACTTTACATCACTATTGACTGGCTTGAAGGAGAACAGAAAAAGGATTCACTTGAGCAAAGTCTGAACAAGGATGACATTCAACAACTGAGAAACCTTTTCTGGTCCGTCCAACAGAAGCTTGACGAGTCTACAAAACTCCAGACTCAGACCTTGAACAGACTCGACAGCTTTGGTCAGCGGCTTGAAGAAATGCAAGCAAGGTACCATGAAGACCAGACACATATGGAGGAGAAGATGCAAGATGCCATCGATGCAGCGCTGAGAATACACAGTGCTACTTTCTTGTCCTACATGTCCGAAAGACTTCATGAATTTGAACAGCGCTCAGAAGCTTGCACTCAGAGTCAAGTTCAGAAATTGGTGTCAAAGCACCGGTTTAATGGCAGGAGATGGAGGTGTCCCAGCCCTACGAAGCTTTCCCGGCAGCTTGAGTCTCAAAGGAGTCTTTTATCGGAGCTGCAAGACCTTGGTGAAGAGTCGGACAGTACGCAGACAAACGATGGTGAATCCTTATCAATTAGCACCACGCCTGCTACCGAGCCGACCATCGATTCCAGCATGACAGATAGTCATCAACAGCGGAGCGACAGGGTGAAGCGGCACAAAAAGTATGTGGTCTCTCCTAAGCATCAGTCAAAGACTTTCACAACACGCGACTTGGATCGTGGTCCTATGGTCTTGCCAAATCAAAGCGCTCCGATAGCTCCTGACTCATCGTCCTTGAAGCGTATGCCACAGAATCTATCAAACCATTCACCAAACTACATACCACAGCTCCTAAGCACCTCAGCTTTGCCCATAGCAACCAAACATCTTCCCAGTTCAGCTCGAAGCGGTGAGCCATTACCTGGCCCATACTTACGCAAGCCATTCCAAGTCCGCACGGCGGTTTCCGACTCGGCAAACACTGATCAGAAGGGGGCGTACGCATCCAAACGACCACTTTCAAACAACAACAACACGTGGAGTTGTAGAGCACCAGACGTCCTACATCAGAAATCGCAATGTTTTTCGAGTCCCGGAATCAGTCGTGCTAGAGGTCTAGTGATGAAAGGGACACCGGACGTAACGAAGTTTCACAACACTTTTTCAACCATGAAGTCACACACATTTATAACGACACCATCAGCAATCGATAAATATCCTCAAATTAGTGCAGAGACACCATGTCAACAGATCTACAAACATCAGGGCCGTCAAAATGCAATTATCACCGACCACACCAATCGCGAGAAAATACAGGGTGTAGCTAGATTCGCCCTCACTCGCCCACCCGACATCCGATCTGAGTGATCAATTAAATTTAGTTACACCATCGTCTGTAGCAAGTTCAAGTCGATTGTCTACTCCACAGCAGTCAAAAGAACAGCGTGACTCCTTGCCAGACTGGACCATTCATCACGGGTCCGCCTCCAATTCGGCGCTACTCCACTCCGCTGCACAGGGCTCTAGCAACAAAGCAACTGAGTTGCAGTCCAATGTCAGCCCAGAAGAAGAAGAAGAAGAAGAAGAAGAAGAAGAAGAAGAAGAAGAAGAAGAAGAAGAAGAAGAGGAAGAAGAAGATCCTCCGGTTGAGACTGCATCTGAAAGCTTCCAACCGGTGCCCGAGACACAATGCGCAACTGTGGAACCAGATTATATATAATGATATTTTTATTGAATCAGATGACGAGGGAGAGGAAGAAGACGTGGCGCAACTTGGAGGTAGGGGCGTCAATATCTCCATTCTAGGGCGACCCAAGTTTTCAAGAAAGAAGTCCAAGTGTTTGGCAGGATAAACAGAAGAATCTCAGGAGAGTAGAGCCGCTGGAAGACGACCTTTTTGATGTTGTCCGTCTGTAAGGCTAGTAAATAAGTAAACTTGCCAAGCTATCAGGCTGTCAATCAAGAGGTAAATCATCCCTGGGACGGCAATGGTCAGTTTTATCGTTGAAAGTTCTGGAAAACGCTCACTGAATGATTTTGGTCACTCACTCAATTTTTGCTGGAGCCTCGTCTAGTAAACTGTCAAACATAGCGAGATACGAATAGCCTTGGCCCACTTGAATCGGGAGCTAAAGCGAGAAGTCTTGGAATATACAACGTTACTTGAGATCCTGGACGACAAAGCGTTCTTTCATAATCATATTACTTCTGAACTTTCCAAGATACATGACTGCCCGATATGCCCCCTTCAAGACTGTTGAGGAACAGAGAGTGGTCCGATATAAGTCTCGAACTCATCATATGCCACTCGGCTGAGGTTGAGAATAGTCTCGAGCAAAACCTCCTGTACTTCAAGGCTGAGTGTCTGGTACAGCTGAATTGAGGGCGGATAAGAGAGGACACGAGTAAGATCCCTCTCGACCCTAGCCGTGCCAGCTCGGGCCATGTACTATACAGCGTCAGCAAGTCCTAGTCTCTCGTGAACAGTTGACACTTACGCTACTGTTAAGCAGAGGTTGATCTGCCATGACCCTGCGAATCACCTCTTGTACGATGGGTTCCAATGATGGCGTCGAAGTTTGGTGCCTCTTCGGAAGTTTGTCTGTTCCGATGACAGAAGAGACTTGGGGGCCCTGGAAGTCTGTAGCTGTTCTTAGTGCGGAAGGCGAGATGATAGTCTCAACCTTTGTGGTTGGCATAGGGACACTTGCCCTGCGGGGACCATGGCTTCCCTCCGCCAGTGCCTGTAGAGTCAAGCGTGTTAATCCAGTTGGTCCGAGACGAACCATTCGATGAATTGTAGGGCGTGTCTGACCACTAGCTACACCATTCGTATCTCCGTTCCAGTCGGAGCGCAGCCAGTCTAAGGTATGAGCGGGCCAAACGCTGTCTCCAATCTCCAGACGGCCATTTATCTTGCGGACGTTGATGTCCATGACTCCAATACGGGTTGCTTCGCGCTCAATCCAGGCCAGGAGTTTTGGTACCAAGTTTTCTAGCGCCGCCATGGAAGCTTTGTGCCATCCGAGATCGCATATCAAAGCAGCGAATTCGCTAGGACTAGGCTCTGCTCGTCTGGACAACTGGTGCCTGGCCATAAAGGCTCGGATTCGAGTCTTGCTAGTGGTAAGTAATGTCAATCTAGCTCCTTGGACAAGATAGAATTGAGATAGACGGCCTTCGATATACTGAGTTGTTGTCAGCAGAAATCCGGACAAAAGTGGCACTGCTCGCTAAAACGTACGATATCCGTTTTGAATTCCTCCACAAGCTTCTTATCACAGGAAGCAACAATTCGCGAATTAATATCTCTATTACGCTGCATGATGAATGTTTTGAGATGAGCGGGAGTTTTAGAAGCGTGTGAGTCCAGCTCGTGTGTGTTCTGCTGTGGGTAGATTGTGGATTTCGTGAACGTATCGGCACCCTTTTGACAAATGCTTATATACTCAATGGAATTGGTCGGCTCATGTACTATGGTTCCAGACACCATATGTCTTTGTGCGTCCGTCGCAAGATGTCTCTACTTTTTGATTGTTGTGCTGCTACGAGTCCTACGTCTATACCACTTTTCTAGTTCTAAGGTCTCAAGGTAGAGAATGTCGCGATCTGACACACGAGTCTTCTTGAAGCTCCTTCACTGGTTGATATCTGTGCGAGACTCGAGAAACAGAAAAGAAACGCTTGGATTTGTAAAAGGCACTTTGTGATTGTCGAGGCTCTACCAGACAAAGCGATAATGTCCACAGCTGTAGAAGAATCTCCAGTTATAGAAATCTTGTCTCAGACTCACCCCGGCTTTGTGTTCGCATCAATATTGGTCTTGCCTCGGACCCTGTCTCACGAATATTTAATCGAAACCGGGTCTGATAAATCAATTTCCTCCCTGTCGACTATCTTCTGAGATTGATGGGAAGGTGTGGTTGATAAACGAGGGTGTCCCACAGCTTCAAGATCCATCATACAACATCCCTTACGACTATCTACAATGTCTGCATGCTGGACAATCTTCCTGGCTTTGCCACACCTCTTTTCTTGCCTGTTTCTCAGCATTAATATCATCATCATCGTCTCGGCTTTTAGATATATGATTACACGCTCTCAACGCCTATCCAAGATCCTCCTTTCTCCTTCTCGACTTCTGGTCTGGGAACAGCGATTGTCAAAGCTCTCTCGTGTGATTGACTCTGCGAAGAAAGGAGTAGCTAGCCCTTTGAAGGGCCACACTGTTGGCAGATATTGCGCTGTACGAGACAGACAGGGGAAGCTGAGTGGCGTTGTCCTCGACGGAAAATCACTCTGGTGCGATGGTTCCATCGTAGACCGCTTTGGTCTGGCAATCCGGGATGGCATCTACCAGGGTCAGGCTACATGCCTGGAAGACCTGACAGACGATCAGGTGGAAAGCATGGTTTACGACGTTCTGCATAGCATGGATCGTCAAGTCGATCGAGCTCTGTCTGTAAGTACTCAGACCTCTGAAATCATGTTTACTGAGCTAATCCCGATCAGCAGTTTGCCCGAGAGGAGAAGTTCGTCTTTCTCCGCAGCGCACATCAACTGATGACTTCTTGCAAAGCTAAGCTTCAATTCGCGCAAGACCTGACACAAAATCGACCCGGCAGCTCCCATGACTTCGTGATGGAGCTATCTTACAAAACACAAGAGATTTTTCGCGTAGCTTCTTTCCTTTCTCCTCGGAGTTTTGCAAGGACTCAAGATGGAGGCTACAAAACAATCATCAACTGTGAAGGCACACTAGACAAAGAAACACTTCGTCGAGTTTTGAGAGCATGTGTTGAAGAGTCAAACGAAGGTATGACGCAGCAGTTACACGAAATCCTGGAGGATGCTTGTCAATTACTTCTTACCGACCCCGCTTCAACAATCGGTTATGCGATCGATGCAGGAGCAAGGATTAGGGCGTCATTCGCTAAGAGTACCTGAATTTGATATAACAGTAAGAGAAAAGTCTTTAGAGGCACCGGCAGTGGCAGGCGAAGGGCGGTATGGAAGGCGTAGCATAATTTATATCATCATCACAGATCAAATGGCTCAAAATCAAGTAATTTTCAGTATACGAAAAATGTCTCCGCATATGATATTCTTCCCATCTCCTGCTTTTGTTTGGGAAGGGCGGATCATTCTGGGTGTGTATGCGCAGCACGTTGGCTTTCGAGTGTGGTCGCTTGACTCTACCTAGTTGGTTCTCTCGGGAGCAGATGAGGAGATGCCTTGCTGGGCCTTAAGGGTCTTCTCGGCCAGGGCGGCGACGTCAGATTCGGAACCATGGTCCTCGTCGATCTGTAATAACGTTTTAGCCTCTGTTTTGCCAAAGAGGTGGCTTGTACTGGCGCTCACCTTTCGCTTCTTTGCAAGTCTACTGCCGAGATATTTGATGTTCTCTTCATCGTCTTCCTCTTCCTCTTCGTCGGTCTTGTGATTGTGGTCCTTGGCGGAGAGAGGCGAACTGGTAGTAGACTTGACCTTGGGAGTGGGCTTTGTAGCGGGCGTAGACGAGGTAGATTCAGTTGTAGTAGTCGACTTGGCAAAGGCGGTGATCATGTTGCTGAATTCAATTCGAGCCTTGCAGTCGGCCTTGACATCGTCCGGGCTGTAGCCTTTGAGGCTTTTGTAGGTGGTCATGGGATACTACATCTCCGTCAGCTGTAATCCATGAAAGGGTTTCAGTCGACACTCACGTTGTCCATGATCAAAGAGTGGAAGAGGATGTTAAGATTAGCCGAAGGGTCTTCCTTGTCGTTCTCGATCTTCTGAGGTTGAGGTTGACGGCCCATGTTTGCAAAGACAGAGGATAGCAAAGTGAGACGGAGGTGGCGCAAGAAGGAAGAGAGGAACAAGAAACAGAGAGCAAGGAGAAGGTGCACAAGAAACCTAAGTGACAACAACACCAACTCTCAATTTGTTTGTGGGCTGCAGGTTGCCGTCACACATGGGAATAGCTTGGAGGAAATCGCCAAAAAATCACATTTCAATAGAGAACAAACAAATTACACACACGACAACTATTTGGGTTTGCGTAATGGCAGAAATACAAAATGGAGACTGAAGATATCGCTGCTTTCTCTTTTTTTTTTTTTGGCAATACTTCGTAGTCTAGGAAATTCACGATGATCAACGCCATCCGTGCATAACTCTGTACAAAAGTTGTGCCGCATCTGTAAAAGGCAATACATCGTGCTGTTCCAACAAACCCCCTCCATTGACTATGGACTCCTTCTCACTTGATTTTGTATTACGTCCGATTTGCAGTAAACTTCACGAGATGACTTCTCACTAACAACCTTCCCGTGACTCTGGAGAAATCATTTCTTACAAATCCGCGTTCAATGCGGTAAATACTAGTGTGCAGCTACATTGTCTCCTAAGATCTTGCCGAGCATGGTGTCTTAGCTTGAAACTGGAGTAGCTCGTGTTTGGAGTGACGCTTACTCTGGAGCCTGCTGCCTGAGCACAGTGTTGGTGTCTTACTGCTTTGCGACATGTGTAGGAACTTTCACATCGAATCCCGAATCGGGCAAGAAGCAGGCATTACCGAGCTATAAAACAAGATACAAACCATCCAATCGACTGATTGACGACATTCTGATTTTCCTTTTCGTGATTTCGAGCCAGGCCTTCCGACTCACACAAAATGACATTCACCGCCACTTCGAGTGAGCGCCGCATCATCCGCGTCTTAATCCAATCACTCATCGAGAACCACGTACGTCTTGCATACTTGACATGACGGACAAAGCTGATTACCCGCAGGCTTCGTTCAGTCAGTTCCAGATGGACGAAGAATTCCTATCCGTATCCGATGCAAACAAGACTCTCGTTCGCATACTCGCACTCTGTCCATCCTCACCGCCTTCAAATTCGACTGTCGGAAACTCAGACGCGAGTACAATACGCCCTGACACGAAGGTCTCACCAGCTGTTGCCCATTTCCTGCTTGACCAAGCTCAACTGTCCGTTATTGAGATCGAGAATACCACTCCATCCACCGATATTGGCAAGAATCTCGACTACCTTGGTCTGGTCAGCACGGTCATCCAGCAGTTCGACTCCTCACAGGTGTCCTTCAAACCAGAAATTGATGCGTTCTCTCGCCATCTCGCTCGACTGAGACAGCGCTTTGTAAGCCTCGACAACCAATCAAGCTCTGCTGCGTTCGCCCAACTGCAAAAGCAAAGCATCAAAAGAGAGTACGCCAGAGTCGCTTCCAGCTTCACCAATGTCGCCTATGCCTGGTTGGATCAGGCCGACCGGGGTTTCTCAACCCTGTCACTTCGCTGGGGGCTGGTCGAGAACATCGAGTACTCCGAAAAAGTGCTCTTGGATGTCGACGCTTTGCAGGTAGGCTCTAAGCCACACACTTCTTCATGAAGCTCTCATCGACACATACTGCCAGGCATCGATGACTCTTGGCTCGAACGTACGAAGATCTCAAGAAGGAGAAACAAAAGGACCACGCGGTTTTCATGTGATACCGGATTATCCTATGTCATAGTTCAGGTTCCAGTACGACACAGCCAAGGACCAAGAAGGGATGGTTTTTTGTTTTGTGTTTTGCGTCTATGAACATGAGAAAATGAGCATTAGAGAAAGAAATGGAAATCAACTTGCCGCTTTGTACCACCATACCATGCTCGAGACTGCCTTGATTTGTTTCTATACTTATCTACTTGAGCATAACTCTGCTGCCTTCGCAAACAGTATGTAACTAAAGTATGTAGGGGACCCGAGGCGTGACCTCGAGTAGTTACACAGGTATGTATGCACTTGTTCCTATCCTGAGCAGAAGCTCAAGGGATGTGGGTATAGATTGAGAATTTTCGTGTCACGTGAGCGCTACATACCCTTCTACCCATCAGAATGGCTCCCTATTTAATGAGTCCTCTAAGTGTATCTAGTATATTCCAGAACCACAGGCAGGTTCGCCTGGTCGAGGCGCGTCCGTAGAGCTGACAATCGTCATGATCGGGCAAGTATTAAGCTGGCAAATGGCGATCGAAGATTCGGAAAGAAAAATTTGGATATCTCAAGTGAAAAAAACCCTTTTCGGGAACGTAGAGTGAAGGATGATCAAAGAAAACACCCGGGCACATTGGGCGGCGACGGGTGCGAAGTCTAGCACAGCAAAGTCCCATAGAACGCGAGAAAAGCACAAGGGAGAAGCCTGCTCAGCCAAAAACTTGCTTGAGATTTGAAATTTCCGAAAACGCCGAAAAGAGTCTTGGCACATTGTTCCCGTTCCGTGCTCCTCGGTCGCAGTGAGTGACCCTCGTACCGTGCTCAAAGAGACGCATAGCAAATCGTTTATCTTCAATTCAAAGCACCCGAATTCCTGACATCGGGCGAATGCCGAGAGACGGCTGCAAAGAATGCTCGCGACGCCGTATCAAATGCGACAAAGGCGTACCCGAATGTGTAAAATGCACGAAAAAAGGCATCAAATGTACAGGCGTCGGGCGTCAGATCAGGTTCATTGAGGGTGTGATCTCGAAAGGAAAGCGCAAAGGGCAGACATTTCCTGATGTCGGAGGCTTCACGACCAAGCTGGGTCTTGAATTGGAAAATGTATTCATGTCAACGCCACGTTTGGAACAACATACAGAAACGGACAAGGAAGTTGAGCGAGTCTCAGTCGAAACAGAACATGGTCCTCCGAACACCGACATCGACGATGACGGTGCCGAGGAGATACAGCTTGTCCGCTACCAAGGACAGCACGACTTACCTGCCTGGACTTTGCCCGACGATGGCACTTTCATGCCATTCTACTATGACCCTGGCGCCGATTTGACCTTGGAACTGCTGAAGCCTGGGATACAGATGCTTTTCAACCACTGTAAGCTGGAACTGCTACTTTTCATCTGCCTCGTCAGGAATTTGACAGCAGACAGTCTCGCAAAGCATTGCTTCAATCATGGTCGTCTTTGACAGCGGATCCAACGGATATCGCAACTTCCTGCTCCCTCTAGCCTACGAAGACGACCTCGTACAACGTGCAGTCTCTGTTGTCGCTGCCTTTCACATGGCTCCACAGAGACCTGATCTTCTCCCAGTGGCAGAGAAAGGACTTTCATCCATCATACAGAGACTGCGGGCAGATGCGTTTGCTGGAGAGAGCAACAAAGTATTCAGCATGTCCACTTGGGCTACAGTCATTCTGCTCCTTGTAGGAGAGACTGTCACAGGATCTCAAGATTTTGTCCATCTGTATCCAATGCTTACTAACCTACTGAGTCACAATGAGGTACTGGCACCAGAGTTGACTCTTGTGCAACGAAGATTCTTGCTTCAGCAATCCAGAATGTACGTTGTGCACTTTGTGAGCATTAATCTCGAGCTGATATGAACCACAGATTCCAATTGTTCACACCTCCTCTGCTTGACTCGTCACAAGGCTGTGAAACTTTCCAAAAGGATTTGAGCTTCTATTTCGACTTCATGTTCTCCAAGGAATGCTTCGGTGATCCGTGTGTTGCCGAGGAGGCGGTTGTCTACCAGGATGCTATCAAGCAAGCGCGACATATCTATATGCGGCAGGCTCTCGGAAACTACCACTCCGGACAATTACACGAGGACGTCGAAAAACTACGCCTGATGGTCATCCCCATTCGATCAGACAGTCCGGGCATGCATACCTTGCCTTGGGTATACTTCATCGCAGCAGCATCCAGCGAAGACCAGTATCATAGAACGTTTTTCACGAGCAGACTTGCACAGGTCTACCAGAAGACACGAATGAACAGCATCCTGGTCGCTTTGAAACGTCTGGAGCAGATCTGGTTATTACAGCCCAGTGGCGAGTGGGCAAGAAATCCCAGTCTGGTGAACCCGGTCCTGATCATTTAAATCACAAAATTGAGTTCATCACTTGGAAGATGGCTGGTAGGGAATTCTTCATCATCATACACATCAAGTTAAAGATGTGCAGATCTGGATCTATCAAGGTCTCTCTTGACTGCCAATGCAGCCCGGGTGCCCTCCTCAATGGCACCATCAATGAAGCTTCTCCAGCCTACGGCCCAATCAGAGTTCGCGAAGTATATGTTACCTTGCGGTGCTCGGAGATCCTCGAGATGTTCGGTCACGAGACCTGGTGGTGAAAAGAACCACGCTCCCTTTGCGAACTCATCATCCGCCCAGTTGTGGAAAACCTGGAATATGTCAGCAAAAGCCTCGCATCACCGGCAACACAATCACCCACCACTCGCTCGACGTCCATTGGAGTCAAAGCCTTGAGCGCATCCATCGTCTTGTCGATGTCCTTTTCTGGCTGCAGGTGGTTGTGCTGACCACCAAACGCCACAATATGAGTGTTTCCACTAGGAGTTGTGCCATCGCCAATGGCGTACATCAGGCTGTTGTTCGGATATGTGATGCCGCTCCAAGATCTTAAGTCGCGATCGCGAACTTCTGCATGCACCTTTACGCATTTGTTTACGTGTTCGGTGGTAGAGGCGTCCAGCTTTCCAGCAGCCAATGGTGGACTGAAAGTGACATCCTTCAAGATGTTCATGGGAATTGCTGAGATCAACCTGGATGCTTTGAAGATACGACCATCTCTCGCAGTCGCTTGAACGCCATTTCCATCGTCGTTGATACTAGCGACAGGTGTGTTGAAGGCATACGACAAGCGTCCAGTCGAGCAAGCTTCTTTAAAGAAGTTGATGGCAAATGACGATTGGCCGCCCTTGAACTTGTACTTGATCAAGTACTCGATGCAGTACTCGTACGAGTAGTTGCACAAAGCCCACCAGTGCAGGTATTCATAGAAGCTAGTCTTCTCTGGTGTGCTACAACTGCACAGTAATACGAAGCCAAGTAACACGGTGTGTTCTTCAGAGGAAAGATCATCCTTGATCTGAGCGATACGATCGGCGACAGACATTTTGTCATATTTCGCTGCCTCCGGATTGTGGCTTTCGCTGTGTGGGAATGGCATCACAATTCTGCCATACTGTCCATCAACGTTGGCGAACTTTTTGAGAGCCGATTCCATCAACGCATCCTGGAACAACTGAGCATCAAGTCCCTCGTGTGCAGATTCATCATGCCTCACCTCGTCCTCATGGCTCATATTACGGCTTCCACTGGCAGAGTTCAGCGAGAAATGGTTGACACCTCTGGAGTAATCATGCGAGATTTCCAATTGGTCGCGCATCTCGTAACGAGAGATCTCTCTCCAGACGTGTGGCTGACCCCAGCTGACCCAAGTGCCACCCATCTCGAAAGGGTAGCCCTCAATGTTGCTTGACCATGAGCGGCCGCCAATTCGATCTCGCGCTTCAAGTAACAGTACTTTGAGACCTACACACTTGTCAGCCGGTTTTATGTACAGGCAAAGCTCGAATTACGATGAAGAAAAGAAAACAGCATCGAGGTCAAGACATACCTGACAAAGCTGCATCTCTGGCTGCTGTGAGGCCGCAGTAACCCGCGCCAACGACAATAACATCATACAGCTCGTGCTCGGTCTGAATATTTGTTGGCGGTTGGATGACACCAATACTGGGGACTCCTTTCACGAGGCCAGATGACTCTGTCCATTGATACCCGTCTCTTGAACTCATCTTTTGTCTTGCTGGATGTTGATCGAACGTTCAAGAACGACTGTCAGGAACTGCTCAAACATTTATTTTGTAAGTGCATTCTTTCAGGCTTCCAAGTTGTTTATATTGGTCATATCATTACCAATGGTTATTCCCGTTCCCGCCTATCATCTCTGTTTCCCTGAGCCGTCCACATGGACCATGCCCAAGGTCTGAAGCTTTCTCGCTTTTATTTCTAAATCGGGCTTAGTTCTCCCTTTTCTTTCCCGATCCGGACAGTCTCACTTTTTCTTCTACTTTGGGGACTCATCCTATATCACTTCGAGCGCACTCCACGCAGTCAACGTTGGTATATGCTTGAGATAGGGAACGATCCTACTATCTTGATAAGTAACTGAGACGCGTCTACCATTATCAATCTCGACTTCACTGGGGTGAGATACGACCGCGGCCAGAGAAAACAAGCCATGACAGTACCGCTCTCGTTTCGAGCGGGGTAAAGTTACCCTAGACCTCATGGTATCAAGCCAGGAATAGTTGTGTATCTGAACGGAATAGTTCCTCACTGCTCAGATACCTCAGTCTTTATCTCTACAGTGTAGTCCAACATAAGTATCCTTGACATTTCCTTCCCAAAGATTCATACCGTCAAGCCAAATTTCTATATCTCACCTACTATGTATTCCGGTGATCAGAAGAAGATGTCTTCAGACAGTACGTATAGTCTTCCATTATCTAATATTGTGTGATACCGCAGCTGACATCTTACGTCTAGGAGCGATAAGAGCGGACTCGACATTGAACAAATTTGCGAGGCATGATCCGGAGCGCGTTTCGGTGTCAATAGGAGACGTCAGCGAACTGGGCCTCTATCCACGTCCAGAGCGTCGACATTTCAGTGTGCTTAACATTGTCGCTCTGAGCTTCAACATCTGCAACAGCTGGAGCACCATCGCTTCTAGCTTAGCCATTGCAATCTCTGCCGGAGGACCAGCAACGCTCATTTATGGTATTCTGCTCTCGGTGACTGCATACTCAGCGACCGCAGCATCTCTCGCCGAATTGGCATCCTGCTATCCCACAGCTGGTGGACAGTAAGTCTCTCCTTCGTCTTCCGCTGGGCTAGTCTGACATCGTTAGATACCATTTCACCTCGATACTTGCCCCCAAAAGGTTCAGTCGCGGACTCTCCTACGCATGCGGATCTATCGCAACATTCTCATGGATAGCGATTGACGCCGCAGCAACTCTGCTAGGCGCGCAGATGCTCCTGTCAATTATAAGCTTCTACCTTCCGAGCTATGCGCCCGAGGCCTGGCATTACTTTCTTGTCTATCAAGCCATCCATCTGGTACTTTTCCTCTACAATCTCGTTGCACTGGTCAAGACGCCATGGGTGCACAACCTTGGATGTAAGATGTTACTTCTTGAGCTCTTTACATCCGCTGATGCTGACTATGTTTAGTACTGCTCACCCTATGTGCTTTTGTCGTCATCACCATTACCTGTCTAGCTCGCTCAGAGAAACGCAGCTCGGAATATGTCTGGGCAACGCTGGACAACAACACCGGCTGGCCTTCTGGTGTGACTTTTCTCACTGGACTTGCCACGCCGGCCTTCATGTACGCTGGCCTTGACGCTTCCATGCATCTAGCAGAGGAATGTACGGAGCCAGAAAAGACTGTCCCAAGAGCTCTCATGGCCACAATTCTGATCGGCTTCATCACTGGATTTGCCTTCAGTATTGCCATGTGCTACGGCATTCAAGATCTTGACTCACTGATCTCAACAACGTAAGTGTGAACATCCTATGGTGAAAAGTAGTAGCTGACAAGTTTCCAAAGCATGCCCATCTACGAACTCTGGCGACAAGCCACCCGCAGCGACACCGCAGCCACAGCCTTCCTCGCAACCTCCCTCACCATAATCTTCTTCGCCGTCAACGCCATCATCCAAACATCCTCCCACCTGATCTGGGCATTCGGCCGCGACAACGGTCTCATCTGCTCAAAACAACTCAGTCTCATGCACGCAAGCCTAGGCGTCCCCGTATGGGCCCTCATCGTCGAAGAGGTGGTTGTAATCATATGCGGATGCATTTATCTAGGCTCAACTGCCGCATTCAACGCTTTGATCAATACGGCTGTAATTTTACAGATCGTTTCCTTTGCCATCCCTTGCGCGCTTCTTTTGCTCAGAGGGAGAAGTGAGAGGTTTTTGGCAAAGGGGAGGTGGTTTTGTATCCCCGGGTGGCTCGGATGGGTGTGTAATGGTATCGTGGTTGTTTATGCCGTCATTGAACTTGTGTTTTTTGATCTGCCGACTTCGATTCCGACGACCGGGTCGAGCATGAGTAAGTCTACCTCCTGGTATATCTCTGGGGATATTGCTAATGCGACACAGATTATACTTGCGCTGTTCTGGCCACTATGGCTGTGTTTAGTGGGATCAATTGGCTTGTGTACGCTCGCAAGCACTACAAGGGTCCACGTATTGATCTGTCTTCTTAGAGTGTAGAGATGTTATCAAGATGATGTAGACACTGTGGACTATTCTATGACGGTTTCTGTCCACTCGAGTGTATGAAAGCTTGCTCCCACAATGTTCCCATCAAATGTTCCCATCAAGTTTCCCGGTATTCTGATCGGCTTCCGACAGCTTCCGAACAGATCCGAGAGTCAGGGTGGCACCACTTACAAGCCTTGTCGAGACAATCGGCGGCATTGTCAGTCCCCCACGAGCATATATCATTAGTAAACAAGCAGCATATATCTTGCGGATAATGTTTGATATACTAGTATATGTATTCTAGCAGTGGGAATACTCGTCGCCGAGTGATTAAGCAAAATGTGTTTTGGAAAGTGCTCATCTCGGAGGACGATCAAGAACTATGTAGAAAAGCACCAGGTTGTGGATGAGACCTAAACTCTACTCAACGATGGCAATATCATTTTGACATACTTGGAAAGTACATCGGAGTACATTTAGGCTTCTTCTGTGGCGATTAAGGGATTCAGATAGAACATATAAGATCATTTAACCATACACAAGACGTGTATGATCGAGACAGGGTGAGACCGCTTACAAGTCAAATTTCATAAAATTAATGCAACATGTGCTTTGTATCTAGGGCAAAAACATCCGTCACCTATAGACCCAACTCCTTACTGATCCATTTCGCTTTCACATCCGTCTCATTCGCAGCTTCTCGTGCCCACACACCTTCATTGATACTGACTCTCAAGGCCTTTCTGTCTGCGATGACCTTCTTCAAGATGGCACGATCGACCTTGATGTCAACCAGTGCACCTTTCAGCAAAGCGCGGCCATACTTTGGCTCAGAAAGAACTCTATACTTGTGCTGTTCAATTGCACGCTGTGTTTCAATCAACTCGTAAGATCCTTGATCAACCAATTCCTTGATCTCGACAATGCCGTCGGTGATTTTGCGGGCTCCTCGGAGGGCCTGTCGCAGGTGAAGAAGTCTGTGTGCGCGAGCCTTTTCTTCCTCGCTGCGAGATGGCTTTTTACATTTGAAAGGCCAGAAACAGGGTCGTGGGAGAGTGAAGGTGGGTCTTCTGGGCAGCAAAGTCCAAGGCCATTGCCTTGTTCCAAAGTCCGGTTCTAGTGTTTTCACCAGATAGTAGTCGATTTCTGCGAGTAGCTTTTTGCGGGTTTTCAGGAGTTTGAATACTTGAGCGTCGATTTGAATCAAGTGCTTGCGACATTGTTTGGGTTGATTAACAAGTGCTGTAAAGGCGCTGTTGACCGATGTGACTGTGAAACCCATGTGCCATAGCGAAAAGCTTCCCCACGACTCGGTCCAAGGTCCGTAGGAGATATCCCTCGAGAGCTCCTTGACTGCGGAGTTGGAATGATCCAGGACACAATCCAAGAATGTGTCCAATCCAGATTGTAGATAAGCCAGGTGTTTCAAGACTTTGTTGCTGTAAAACTTCGTATTCCTTCCAGTATCCTTGGTGACTTCGGTTGGGTCCGATTTTCTCAGGTACTTGAATTGAGCCTTGTTGACTGCCATGTCGTGTCTGAGCTGGAGATCGCGGATCTTGGCTAAAAGCTCGACCGCGCGTGATATGTTGAAACCTTGCTGAGTAGAAGGTGTGCTGTCCGAGTACTTGTTGGTCGACTCCTGGACTGTGGCTTGCTGAGTAGGAAATGTGTTCATGATGCTCTGCATGATAGAATCAAACTCCTGTCCTGGATTCATGCTGATTATTGGCTCCTTGACCTTGTGTTCAAAAGCACTGCTGATAGAGCTTGCTGAAGAGAACAACGCACTTTTGGCCGAGGATATGGGATTCTCGGTACGGCCACTTGTAAGATGGCCCTCAGAAGTCTTGAAAGAGTCCTTTTTCATCGTAGAAACTAGAGGGGGCACAGAAGACCTACGAGCCCTGGTGCTGGTGCTGAATGGATTCGAAAAGACGCTTCCGACCAAGACAAATGCTTTACTGGCCTTTGAGCGAGGTTTCTTCGTTGCCTCCTTTACACAATCGACAAGTCCTTCTGACCCAGAAATCTTGCACAGAGCTTCCTTGACTTCTCCTGCTACAACTTTTGCGTCCTCGGCTTTGTTGGACGCATCACTGACAACATGTTTGCAAGAATCCCACACGTCCTCAAGAGTTGCCTTTGCGCTTGTCAAGTCGAGTTTGGAGGCGACCTTGTCTGCGGCATTATGACAATGGCTCACGACATTCTCAATGGTGAAGTTCATGTCACCTTTGCAGTTCAATCCGGCAGGGTTGCCGAACCTATCACATATCGTATGGTGTGCGCTGTGGAGGGTGTCATCTCTGGGTAGATACGCCAAGCCTTTGATCATGGCAAGAAGTATCAGGATCGAGATGAGTGGCTGTGTGATATTAGAGAAAAAGAAGTTGCCTGCCCTTTTGAAGCCGAATGAATCGAACCGAGCCGAAGTCGGTGTGTCTGGTCTGGGCTTGATCCACGATGGAGAATGGGTCGGACTGAACTGGTCATCCTCATCCTCAGTGTCGTACCCCGTGGAAATAACAACTCGCTTTCTCGGAGTAGTCGATCTTGATCTTGTCCTAGGGGTTGAAGAGGCCATGGCCTTGGCTCGGCGATAATTCGAGATTAAGACTGGATCTTGGAACCTCCCATCCAGTGCGGTTCCTGGAGGAGCGCAGTAAGTGCTGAGTGGAACGTAACGTTGGCCATTAGGGTGTCTAAAATCAGGGAAAGGTACTGAAGGCTCCCCGTTGATGGGACTGACTGTAACATCGCTGAGATCGGATGGGTACTCCAAGGTGTGTTCGGCCAAATCAGAGCGTCTGACATATGATGTAGAAGGCTCACTCTCTCCCCTTTTGGTTCCATGGACCTCCACCCATGTCGGCGAGAGGGAGGCACTTTTGGGTTCGGGGGTTGGCTGACTGTAATTGGGGTCTGCGAATGTGGATGTCGTTTGAACATTAGAGACTGATCTTGCAGACTTCGAAGATCCCTTCGCCGGTCGGCTTCGGCTTCGACTTCGGTTTTTGGTACGTGTTTGTGTGATAGTCGACATGGTTACTGCTGTGATGCGGACGTGAGAAGAAGACCCGAACGACACCTACCTGGACCATGAATACTCAGTTCATTTTCTAAGCTCTAATTCCATGATTTCCGAAAGCAGAGAAAATGACAAACTTGGAAGACAATGTGCTGTTTGCGGAAATGTTTACCATCGACATTCCTTCGGACCTCGCGAATCCCCATGCACATGAATTAAGTATTGTACTTTGAGATGGGTTGGAGGCATGGTGAACTCTGTTAGTTATGACGACTGCTGTTACTGAGTACTTGTCAAAACGACATTAATACAGTGAACCACGAAGGTCGATAGGCAGAAGAAACCCATAAGCTGGAAGCGTCAGTTTGCCATGTTTTCCGGCTCTCAGGTGCAGGCTGCAGCAGTAGGTTCCCTTGCTGCAAACGCTTGCGCTCTGGAATGCAGACTATCCTAAAACCACCTGTGCATGAATTGCATTCCTCACTCACCTAAAACATCATCATCATATTGTCTTGCCAGACATTCGGGCCTTCGCACATCCTTCAAACATCTCCCAAGTTGTCGGCCGAGGAGCGAAGGAGCTGAAGTCGAGTTGCTGACGAATTCGCGTCACATAATGGAGCCGTAACTTTTTCTCTCGCCTCTCCGCAGGGTCTTGCATCGCATGAAGAGATAAGGGTCGGGAGTTGAGCGGGAGGTCGGGAAAGGCGCAGAAGCGTATCTACCATCCGTTTTGTCTCCATAACCCGTGCCTTCCGTGTCCGGAAGCCTCGAATGGCCTGCCGCCTGAGGTGGTGAGGAAAAGGGAAGAGCACCAAGAAGGAAATTCTTGGATGGCTGTGACGCAGCAAGCGGAGACTCATCCGAAAGAGCCTCTGACGTAACCCACCCATATCGTGCTCTGCCTCCATGAAGCACGCGTCAACCGTTTCTCTTTTCCAGAAATATTGATGCCATGAGATTTCATGATTTATTTTTCGTCGCTGTGGAGGCTGGAGATAGCCACACGTTTTTGATGATTTGCAAGTTGACGTTGCTGAACACGTTTGCTGTGTGCTGATCAATGAGATGATTTGCAAATGGTGTGTGTTGATCCAAGGGTCTGCGCCAGGTTGCGTGCGTGATGATGTTCAAGTCTTCTTCGGTAGGAGTTTACCAGATCTGTCCTTGATGCTGCGTTCGTTGAAGCAAACTCATGTATGGATGTCAAGTTCATGATTTGCGAGATAAACGACGATGACTGTTTCCCCGGGATGCGAAACGACGAGAGCTGCTCGAATCTACAGATTCCTGCGTGGCTCTGACCGGTAGTTTCTGTTGCACTTTTCTGGAGTTTGCTCCAACATCATGGTTGTATAGTGTAATGGTTAGCACATCGGATTCTGATTCCGGTAATCCCAGTTCGATCCCGGGTACGACCTATCGTTTTGCTCTTTTGCGGGCTCAAATCGCATACGGAAGCGTAGGGCGTCAACGAGGCTGTCGCAGATTCTTTTGGCCGAGAAGCGCCTCTACGGAAGCCACAATTCGTTCGGCGCTGAAGGGAATCAAAACGCCAGCTCCACAAGGCGGTCTGCTTGGCTTTCCAATATAGACTTTCCAATGTTTAGGTGGAGCAACGCACTTTTCTCGTATCCTCAATGATTTCTAGAAAGACGGACTCGGATTCCTATTCGTGCAATTTCTTCCTGCTCGATGCACAGCACATGTTCTTCTAGACCGGGGCATCGAGGCAGGAAATTGACGTGGTCGCACACGGCAGAGTAGATGAAAGTTCCAGCGAAGCGAGATGGTCGTGGATCACCGGAAGATTTCAGTGCGTCATGCATGGAGAGGAAAATTCGGAGAGAAAAAAATAGATTAAAATGTGATATTAATTGTACAAAAAGGGTATCCACGCTGTTCGGCGACAGCAGTCATAAAAATCGTTGAAGCAAAGTAGGGAAGAGAATAAAAAAGTCTGTTCTTCCAAACTCGTAAAATACGAGCGATGTTGAGTCTTGGAGGAAGAAACAGTGAACGGCTTCTCGGCGAAATGCTCGCGAAGCTGAAAAGAGCAGAAAATGTCCACCGCAAAACCCGTATGCAGACCTGTCAAACAAATTTGAGAAGAAGTCTGTCTGTTTCCGGTCGACCGCGGACAAGCTGAGCTTGAACCGTTGGGTGCTGTACGGACATGTGTCGCGGCCGTGACTCGGTACAGTCGGGGTGGCGGCGGAATGGACAAACCGCCTGGTCGCTAGACCCTGACTCAGGATCCGGGGCGCCCACCTAGTCTTCTCTCCATGGCCGAAAAACTGAAGAAAGCTTTGTATGGTCGCGGTGCTGATCTGGCTGATCAGGATTTGCCAGTGTCGAACGTCTGTCGATAGAAGCTGTAGGTTGTAGGTTGGCTGATGTGATGATGGATGGAATGGTCCAGGAATGCTCTCGGAATGGGTGACGAGTGTGTGATTGGTCGACGAAGGAGTGTGTTGTTATGTCTTGAATCCTCGAACGGCTTTCAAGGGGCGTTTCTTCTTCTGGTGGAGAAGGCTCGCATCAATCCTGAGATGCTAGGCGAGGTAGGTGTAGTTGGCGGACTGTGGGTGGAAGAGGCGAACTTGACGCTCTCAATTGAGCTCTTGGAACTGCTGCTTGACGATGGAGATCTTTGGCGGTTCTCGAGGCAGTCTTCAAGAGTGACGTTGGCCTCAGGAAGCGATGGAGGCGTGCAGTCGTCGAGCAACTCAGTGAACTTTGAAGTGACCATATTGGCTGTGTGATTGTTATGAAGGCTGATTGTTGTGGAGTAATTGAAGTTTGGGGTTGGAAGTGTGGTGGTATGTTGATCGTGGGATGATATTTTGTATGCAGAGGAAAATCAGAGTAAAGTAGAAGAGGGATCAACAAGTCCTTTGTACCATTCCATCTGTACCACGAGCCATGCGAAAGGGTCCAGCCATCCCTGCAGGCACAACGGTCATGGTGGACCATTGGAAAGCCTAAAGTTCGGCTCACGTTACCCTTAGCACGAAAGCTAGGCCCACACGTACACAGGTCGCTTCGCGGAGGGGCGCGCAAAGCAGATCTTCGGAATGATGTCGTGGTTGATCAACAGGGCATTCGTCTTGAGGTTTACGTACCCAAGCTCCAAGCACATCCCTTCGCCTTGTCCTCTCATTTCCTTCCAATCATGCAAGCCTGTGTTTCGAAATATGCGTCATGCAAAGATTGTGCAAAAGCGCAGCCGGCATGGCAACGTTGGCAAAGAATATCAGCCACGTTGACACGCAAAGGACACGAGATGGATTCCGTAGCCCGTCGCCTATTAGCTCTTTTACTACATCTTGTCGATCATTGGATAGACAAACATCTACATCTTTACAGTTCGAATCCTCAGCTCGCAAAGTATTATTCCGCCTGCAGATACGTCGCAGAAAACAAAGCATTCGTAGAGCGGGGAAGAGAGTTCTCCTGTTCCATTGCATCAGACAGGCGCCATTCCCATACTCGGCCGTCCGCCCTTCCGTGCAAGACGTGACCTCTCCCTCTACAATTTCTGCTTGGTCATGCGACGTGTGCAATGTGAGTAATAATCCAAAGGACGACAACGGCTTTCCGACTCGGACGTATTCGCAATCGCCACCCCGGGCGCAAGGCAGTTTACCTTTGCGACACCGGAAAACGATAGAGTAGAAGGACCCGTTATCCGAGTGTGAGGCGAGTCTCGCAAGGCTGCGACTTTGCGACAAATACTCGAATACAGCGAGAGTTCGCGGATGGAAGCTACCCCTCGAACGTACCTGCAGTCTTTCCCCTTTCTACGCCTCCTACCGCGGAATTGAATGATGGTCAATGTTGATGCGACGGAGGATGCCAGAAGAATTTAGGAAGCATATTCTTGCATGTGGAATGATAGGTCTAGAATCTTTTCCACGAGTCCAATCTATGAGGAGCCGGAAGTTTCGTGGTCAGGACTGTTGACAACTGTGCTATTTGTAGATAAGAATCTACTGATAGCCGTTGCTAACGGGGACCGCGACTGTTCACTGTTTGCGAGCGACGCGCACCTGCAGACAAGTCACCTGTCAGCCTTGCACAATTCCAACATCAAAGTCACCTGTCGCAAGCAGATGCTGAAACGAGATCTCAGTATGCATGTCGAATGCTCTGACTCACAAGAATCGGTGGATGTCAACCTGGACAACGAAACTCAAAACAAACAAAACATCCAAGCGTGCTTCAACACATGACCACAACGTTGCGCGATCAACTGATGCGCACAAAGTATCAATGCTCCTTTTCTCCTCCCTCTAATCCGGAGAATATTCAACAAACAAATCTGGAGAACAGGAGGAAACCAGAATTCTTTCTAGAATGCGATCATCGAATTTCCGCACCGCCGTCTTGTGGTCTCAGGGAGGACGGAGGGCCTGTTCCGAGGTCCGAGCGAGCCCTTTAGGCGTCAATTGAACACCCAAGCGACAACCCGAACCCGTCTTCGAGGCCGAGTGTTTGTGGTGCGGACGAGTGCAAGTCCCTTGACAACATAACGCCAAACCATCTTGACAGACCATCAAGTATGGTACAACTAGCGGGGTGTGCGAGCTTGAAGGACCTTCATTTCTTTTCGAGTCGACTGGTCATTAGAAGCCTACGGTAGTTGGGGTACGTACCCAGCCTTCCGGCTTGCATCTTCGGTTCGGCTACTTGATACTCGAGTTTATTATCGCTCCCCGATTCACATTTCACCTTCATGAAGATCAAGCTGACTCTGCTCTGCACCACTTTCCATGTTGCTCCGTCAGAGGACAGCCTCAACATGACAGATCAACAAACAAAGCTCTTCCCCGTGCCGAGCTGCATTCAGCCGGACGTCACATCTCACCGACATTCAACATGCTTCTCACAGACCAACAGCATCAACTCGGAAACACGACATATCAGTCCTCTACCACATGGGGCTCTGTGCCAATGCTAACTCTCATCATTCAATGACTCCAGCACTGCTCGTGCTGTTCCCCACGGACACAGCATTCTAGATCAGGCTTCTCTGTCGAACATCGAGAACACACAAGGCGAGCCACAGCTGTGGAAAGGAACCCGCATGATGGCATGACTCTTCTAAAAACGAGCAGAGTATCAGCTTGCGTTCCATGAAACTTCCATAACCCACTAACAACAGAATGTTGGACGATCGGACAAAACACGACTCCGCAGAAGCGTTCATCGAATATTCTCCATAACTCTTCATGCTAGACTAATCTATACCAAGTACCGACTCCTAAGAACTGCGTCTCTGAAGCGCACGTGGTGGTACTCTCGACTCATTCGTCCAAGAACACCTCTGCAGGTTGTCCATCTAGTCCTCTGCATCCCCGTCGTCTCCGTCTGCGATGACATGTGCGGTGGTTGAACTCACCATGTTCTGCAGCCGCCTGGCGTTCGAAATCTTCTTTTCGTCACTTGCAGCGACCGTGGATGAAGCAGTCACGATAGCAGCATTTGTGCTACTCGCACCTGTCGTGGTAGGTCCCCGGCTTTGCAGCAATTCTCGATGCAGCGACAGAAGACCTTGTGTCTTTGCAGGAACGGGTCCCTCTTGTACCTTTCTCATGGCTTCCTGGACTGCTCGTTGTCCCACTCGGGATTGGTTGATCTCAACCTCTTGTTCTCTGGTCCCGGTCTTCTCAACAACCTCATTCGCAGATTCGTTCCCGCGCGCATTCTCGATTCCCGTCATGTATGTGTAATTTCCGCACGTTGACGTGCAACCTTGCTGGCAATAAGGATCCGTGCCACCACAATAACCCATCCACGCGTTGATATTCTGGGTATCCGGCATAATTTTGAATTGCGACGATGATCTTTTTCTGCGGGTTCGACGCATGGCGAGAATGCAAAGAAAACATGGGGTTATCTGCAGTAAGTCTTTGTTTTCAATCAGAAAACAGGCACGTGGAACTTGATCGATCTGGATTGGTGTGACTGAGCTGTAAGACAGGCTGTAAGGTAATGTGGTACAGGGGGAGCGCATGGCAAACAAGGTTCACTGCTGTTGACGGTTTCTGGACATTTCACGTTTGGGGCAGTGACACGATTATCGTCGCACAGGAAACGCCTGCTTTAAGGTACATATCATTCTTTGCGTGGAACTTGGATCCAACGCATGGCTGCGAGTCAAGCAAATAGATTGTGACAGGAAGATGTGTATGTATAAGGAGTTACATATAAACACGATAAGAATAAAGAACCACTGATGTAAAACAGAAACTCCACTGCTTTAGAACCCCCAAAAGACAAAACGCCCAGCCAGCCATGCATACAAGAAATAAGAAATGAAAATGAAGCAAACAAGCCCGGCATGGAAAATCTTCAGACATCCTCCACGATTCCAATATGTCCATCTTCGCTCTTGACGATATGCTCATCAAACACCTTAGCGGCAGAGGTCAAAAGGTCAGAGGGTTGCGTATCCCCGACAGCAAAAGTCAAGCGATCGGAAGGACCCATGCCATCGACAAGAACATAGATGGGCATGAGTAGTCAGATGCCGGTTTTTTGGAGCAGGCCGGCTGCCATCCAAGGCCATCCGAGAACAGTGCTGTGTTTTTGATCAGTAAAGGTAGAGGAGAGAAGGGAAATGGATGGGGGATGACTTACATGATGAATGGTGTGTAGGTGGCTGCAGTGCGGAAGGTGCGTCTCATCAAGATTGAGTTGTCATGTTTGTGGGGCATGAGGGTTGAAGTGTTGCGAGCGAAAGGGTGTTCTTCCTTGATGAGAGTTCTCAGAGTGCGGAAGAAGGCACGGGTTTGGGTAGGTCTGAATGCCATTGTTGTGGAGTGTTGTGTGTGGGGTTTGGGTGTTGTGGAGTAAGAGTGGTCGAGATGGATTGGATCGAAGAGTGGAGATTGATTGATTGGTAGAGAGGAGATTGTTGGCTTGATGTTTTAGTTGTGATGGTTGATGATAGAAGAAAGGGTTACACAAGGAAAAGAAAGACAGTATACTTATAGAGGTGATAGACCTACGACGATATGCGGGATGAGAGATATTCTCGGAACAGGACGACAAACAAAAGCGTTCGCAGCGGACAATTGCAGCGACATCAGCAGATCACCAGATGACAGGCGACAGCACGAAGCCGAGTGTTTGCCGCATACTGCCAAGTGGAAGGCGCGTTCGACAGGTCAGGAATCTGGAGAAGTCGGGAGAGCGCGGCGCGAAGGCCACGGAGTCGAGGTGCGGCATAGCAAATTCATGGAAGGAAAAGGGATGCTGACCGACGAAGGATTGTTTGCGTGATTCGTGAGGTGACAAGAGTGCAGAGCTGGTGATGGACGGCGTGATTGTGGTCTGTGCCTGAGACTGTGGTGTGATGCGCCAAGCTTCTCACGGGCGACTCCGATTATTGCATTTTCCACCTTGATGTTGCAGTACTTCCTTCTTGCTTGTCGACTCCATGCTGGTTTCTGACATGGTTCAAGCGGACCTCATCGGCAGTCATGATAGAAGATCAAGGAGAGGTGAACAGGTCGACACGCACATCTGTATCTCCGGCGCCCACATCTGCCGACTGCCGCATTCACCATGGCAGCACAGCTAATCAAGTAGACTTTTACGACAAGAAGGAACATAATCTATCTATACGATTATCACTACCTACTCATCGCCCTTCCCCTCCTTACGCCTCCGGTACTCCCTCAACAATTCTTCAAACTCCTCGTCCTCCCCCGTCATCCTGGCTTCTCTTTTAGCCCAGGCCCTATCATACTGCCTCTCGGCCCTTTGACCCCTCCTTTGTTCCATCAGCATGGGCACCATACTCGCCGTTTCCCTCAATCCTTTGATGAGATCCTCGTCAAACATCCCTCTGCTTCTTACCAACTTAGTCCACCAGGATGACTTCTCATCTTTGATCATTGTTTTGGCCAAGTTTGCTGAAGTATATGCTTTAGATGTCGAAGCATGAATGGCGCGGAGGTGAGGGTACATATCTTGAATCGCGGCGAGTAGTTGCTCTTGATTTTGCGCTGGGGTGAGTGGTTTAGGTGTTTTCTTCTCGAAATCGGAGAAGAGCGTGCGTCTGGAGGGGCGAGAGAAGTCGATCGGGGAGGCCCAGAGGATGAAGCGTTTGAACAGGGACTTTCGTCGACGACTTTGAGCTGACTTGTCTCCTTCCTCACCCGAGGCTGGTCCGTCGGACTTCAACAACAGCCCAGTCTGCTCGAACAGGACACTCCACTCTCCACCCAACACCTCGAGTCCATCTCTCAACCCCTCGAGCACCATGGCATGATTCCTGAAATCGTCCTCCACAGCTTTCCGAAACTGGAGCTTTGAATTACCAAACCATTGCTTTGGATTGTATTGAACACCAGTCTGGGTTTTGTTGTTGATTTGCTCATACAACTTATCGACATGGTACGTTCTTCGCCGCATGATCTCGAGAAGGATTTCTTTGTTGCTGTCGAGTTTCTCGATGTGGTCTTTGAGGTAGGCGACGAGTGTGATGAGGGCTTCTATTGTTTCGGAGCGAGTGTGGGGTGTCTTCCATGATTCCGGTTTCATAGGCGACGATTCTGGCTCTTCGGTCTGTTGGCTCGGATCCGTGTCTGTGGTCAGAGTGGCTGACTCTGACTCGGCAATTGTTGCTTCGGCTGCTGTCCTATTGGAGGGCGAATGAACACGACCCGGCTGGGCAGATCGAGATGACTGCTTTTCACGGACTGGCGTCTCATGAAGCAACGCATGTAACCCTTTCTTCGCTTTCGCAAGCAGATCCAGTACGTCGTCCAGAGCTTCCGGACTTTCTGATAATGCATACAAGACTCCTGGGATGGCATGCCGGATGGAAATGTCACGAACCAGCAGCTGTGTCTCTGGAGGAGCTTTACAGTCCAGGATCTTCGGAAACACTGGCATTCGACACAGACCATATTTGACACCAGCGTTGACGTAGTTGAGATTCGGCCAGGCATGATACGGTGTTCTCTTGATCGAGTAGACAACGCCTGCAGAAGGATACCAGAAGAGAACCAGCCAAGAGAACATGATGCCAGCAAGAGCAACCATGCCAATGAAATGCTCTCTCTTCGGCACCTTCACTCGATGTCTCGGCGGCACAGACCTCGATTCGCGAAACCACTCGTCCAACCAAGACTCTCCGTATCCCAACGAGGATGACCGCTCACGCAACCTCGATCTCGATCTCGATCTAGATCTCGAGCGACTTGCCCCCAAGCCCACAGATATATTCTCCAGCATCTGACGTCCGCGATACTTGTTCCTCCATGCTTTCAAGTCAAAGTTCTCATCTGGAGCGAAAAAAGGTCTATCAGGATATCGGATTTCTGATATGGGTGGTGATGCGGTGATTTCGGCTAATTCTTGCCATCGGGGTTTTGCATTCCTGAAATCGTGGAGGTCTGTTTGGGCGAGATTGAAGAGATCGGGAGTTACTCGATATGCCATTGTTTAGTGGAATCAAAGGTATGGCGAATTTGACGATGGAAAGACAGGGACGTCGAATGTTTTCATGCTATTGCTGACGTTGGTGACAAGGTCTTGATCTCCGATTTCCGAATGCGGAAGTTGAAGAAGCTGGCATTGGAGTGAACGCTTCCTAGCATTCCTGCCATGTATATCTGACATGGAAATCTTGGCGACTCTTACGAGCTCGAGCTTCGATCTCGCACTTTGCAACATGTCACTCCCTTGAAAGACATATACGCAAAAAAACACCACCTGATAAACTGCTATCGTTACAATGTCATCTATCTGCCATTCTAATTCTCTCTTTACCTCCATATCATCTATCTCATGTCCCACTATTCCTTCCCAACCTCTTCCAACAACCATTCAACATATGTCAAAAGTCTGACTTTAGCACCAGTGAATAAAGACTTTCCACCTCCCGGTGTCCCTGCCAATATCCTCGCTTCTTCAAACGCATCAACGATTTTACCATCGAAAGAGGAAATACCATGAGTATATGCTGTTTTACGCAATGATGATCTTTGCGCTTTCATCTCCTTCTCAGCAGCTCTGGCAAAGGTATATGCTCTGCGGATACTGGCTTGTGCATTTTTCAATGCCGAAGACGTTTGGATGAGTTTATCGAGGAGGGCTTTGTGGTCTTGATGCATACGTGGGAATGTAGATTTGGGCTTGGGCTTGGAGGTTGTTAGCCAGATTGATTTGCTATCGGTGGGGTTATCCGCGGTGTAGATTAGGCGTTGTGTATGTTTGTAGAGTGTATCGCATGAAGTGCCAAGTCTATCTATACGATATGACATTTGCTCTAGTGGTTCGAACCAGCTTTTAATAGTGTTGGTAACGGCGTATTGATTATTAGTCCAAGGAGCCGTAGACTTAGCTCGTGGATCGTATGATTGGACGATCTTGGTTGCATCACTGTTGATCTGCTTTAAAAATCTATCTCTGTCGTCCACGAGGCGGAGCAAGTCGGTGCGGACGTTGGATGTGAGTTTGTAGACTGTTGTTCTCGGTTTGCGAGGTCTGTGGTAAAACTCCAGTGCATCGCCCTGGAACAAAATTATAGCATCCAGAGCGTCCGGAATGGTATTCGTATCCCTGGAGATGGCGTGGACAGCCCCGGGGATCAGATAGTTGATAGACTTCTGAGCCGGTCCCAAAGCATCGCTATTGTGTAGGTTGCAATTGAGAACCATCGAAGTACCTGGAATTTGACATAACTGATGTTTAAATTCCTCCACCAATCGAAAAGAGGCCCGGCGCTCCATTGGCGTAATCCTAGTCAAGCATTGCCAAAAAATAAGCAACAGCTTAAGCAGAAGCAGCAGTTTGACGAGATTCCATTGAAGTGTCCACCATAAAGATGTTGGCTTGCGGGTTTTCTCCACAGCAGTACGGTGTTTAGAAATACTTCTCACACGTGAAGTAGATTGAGCTCTCTTGCGAGGTGGATCTACTTGGGCAGGAGAGGGAAAATCCTCGTACTTTTGGTAGTCGCGTACATCGCTTCCGAAGGGAAAGAGTTTGCGGTCAGAGAAATCGTCGCCCTCGTAGCGAGGTCCATCCCCCGAACGTCGTGGCTCAAAATGTGAGAACGTGGCTGGCATTGTGTTTATGATGATGAGTGAACGATTGAGTAGAGCGGAATGCAGTCAAGACGGTGAAGAGCGAGCATAACCATCCCGAAAAGATATTTCCGCATGCGGAAGCCGCTCATCAATGAAAATTCTTGCAGCGTTTCAGCTCAAAGGACGATCTTTGAGAGTTATCCAGGAGTGGGACTCACATGCGAATCGCAGCCCAGCTTTTGGAGAGAGTACCTATGGATCATCTATACGAAAAATGTTTCTCAAAACTCGTGGTTCATGATAAAGATTGCTAACTCAAATGAAATATCTCCCATGATGTCTTTTCAAGATACACGTCGTGTTAGTACTACCAAGTCCTTCCACGACATTCTTACACCGCCATGTCATTACAATGATCAGATTCGCCTCTTCCCAGCTTTTAGGAGAGCGGCAGCACAATTTCTCCCTTCAACAAGCCCCTTATACACATCATCATCAAATGGAGGAACAGGAACAGGTCCTAAGAACCCAACACGCTTCGACCGAGGTTGCTCTTCCATTTTCGCTCCGACCGCTTTAGCCATATTGTATGCTTTCAATGCACTGGCCTCTGTCGACTTGACCAAAGACAAGACCTTCTGGATCTTCGCGAGGGTGATTCTGTCGGTCTGCAGTATGCGTGCGTCAGCTCGTGCTTGTCTGTCTCTAGTCCACAGTAATTGCTCAGTCTCTGCGTGCAATTTCTCACACCATGCAGTCAACTCCGAGAGCCTGTGTCCCAGACTTGCTATATAGCTTGGCCATTTGTTAACAGTGTCGATGACTTTATTCTCATGTCCTTTCCAAGGATCCATGGACTTTTTCTGTAGTTCGAAAGAATGTATTAGTGATGTGGATTCGCGGCTGATCGTATGCAGTATTTGATCTCTGTCATTCTTGATACGTCCAAGAGCCCGTTTAATATCGCGGTGTTGCGTGATGATTGAGATCTTTTCCTGCATCGAGTCACGGGATTTGCCTGGAAAGTGTGAGATGTCGTTTGTTGGAAACTCGTCGTGGAGCTTAATTGCCTCGATGATATTGCCATGGTCTTCGGATAGGATATGCACGATATTAGGGATTAAACGTTCAATTGAACTCTCGGACAATCTGGTGTTGCCGAACCCGAAAAAACTGGGCAAAGTTTGCTGTGCAGTTTGAGTGCTGATGGCTGAAGTATACCAGGTAGTGTATACCCCAGCGATGACCAAAAGCCATGCTAGGAAGCCAGGGAGGCATCCTCGTGTTGATCTGTGAGGAGGCTTTTGAGATGATGAGCGTCTAGGAGTAGTCCTCCTGTATGAAGGTGAGCGAGATGGAGCACGAGTCGATTTCTTTTGTCTTTCGCTATAGGCACGAGGTCGACGAGACTCTTCCCGATAGTTGTATTCTACATCTCGCCCTGCATCAGTTTGTTCAATGACTTCGCGAGTCCATTTAGATGTGTAACGAGATCTAGCTTTAGGTGATTCCTCCCTAAACATGGTTGATAACAGTTCGATGATTTACGGTCGTTCAAAGATTGATCTACGAAGCGTGGAAAAGCGCGTTGGAGGAATGTAAGGTTGATGAAGCGGAGATGATCCAAAGCAAACTGTGATTTGGCGCGCGTCCGTATGCGGAAGCTGCTCACCGCTTCAGGCCCAGTCTCAATGACCCCGTCGAGAAAATAACGAGGACAAAGCATCTTGCTCGTATATGTGTTGTAGGGCAGACATGAACTTGTTAATCAAGTAGCTAGAACCATATGAGACATTCTCTCGAAAGCATTAAGTAGCATACGACCTATCAACTTGAGCATCTACAAGATACTCTCAATCACCCGTTCGTGGTACATCAGTCAATGTTGGAAGCCTTGGATATCCTGATCCCTTGACTTCCTTCCGTAAACTTGCCATGATTGGCTCCAAGAATGCCGGTCTCTTGCCCGTAGCAGCTTCCTGTTTTGACAACTCGATGTTGGTGCTGATGTGAAGCTTCATCTCGACCATCTTTTCGAGGACGTAATTGTGTGTTCTCTGGAGTTCTACAAGCAAAGATTGCATTTCTTCCAGATTCACCACCCAGTCGTGGTCTTCAACATCCACTTCGTCATCATCTTCTTCTTGCCTCTCCTCCGGATGGCGGAACAAATTCTTCATATCGCTAGACAAACTTGATCGTTTGGGGACATGCTTACGCCGCCCTGTAGCCAACATTTGTCGAACGGCTTTGAGGAGCTCATCTGTCTTTTCCCTGACACCCACGAAGGAAGCGGAGATCTGGGTAAATCTTTCAATCGCGTCTGTATAGCTGTACTGGAGGTCATACATGAACTCTTCCCAATCACTTCCATATAAGAAGCCGAACCGGATTTGCGCTGGAAGCTTGTTGTATGCTGACAGTCGTGCTTTACATTGTCGCTGCATCGATGCGTCGTATAATTTGTAGTAGACGTTTTGTTGATCCAAGTTGGCCCATAGGCGTGACATGTGATTCATGACTCCCCTGCCGGTCTCATACTCAAGGTCAATGCCAGAGGAAACCATGTCGCGGCGCTGGTCATTTATGGAGAAGTATACCTGGGTCCATTTGTTTGGATACACAGGTTTTTCTTTCCTTGGTTTCCACCTTTTTGGCTTCGCTTTGGTTTGTTTCTCTGGTCGAGGGCAATGCAGCAGGGTTGACATGCCAGATATTTTGCACATCTGGTGCTTCAAACCCGCCCCAAGGCTTCCAGGGATGCCTTTGACGGGGCCGGTCAAATTATCGGAGAGTGATGGCAGACCAGCAGCGGGATTCCAGAACAGCGCCGCGCTAGGAACCTCCCATATCCAGAGAGTCAGTGCAGTGAGAAGCAGAGGTACAGCCCAGTCCGAAGTAAATATTGCCTCCAGAGCACGAAAGACTCGAGGGAAGAACGGTAAAGGTGGAAGATTGATGCGTATGGTTGGATCACGCTGACGCGATTGCGGACGAGAGCGTGAGGCGGTATGTGTACTGTAGGCGGATCCTCGCCCAGGCGATTGTGATCTTGGAGCGCTGTCGTGGCGATACTCATCCATGTTATCGTTGAGAAGATCATACCGACTTTGGGAGTCGGATGCCAACTGGTCATAATATCCGTGTGAATCTTGCTCAAGCCATTGTAAATCATCCTCGAGATCATCTTCGAGATCATCCTCAAAATCATCCTCGGAGTTTGCTTTCGAGCTTCTGAATCTACTCGATTCTGGGAAACGGGTGTATGCCGAATTGGGCTGTTGGTCCATGTTGCTGCCGTGTTGTAAAAGTAAGCTCGGGTAAATACATCGATGATGGGAGGCAGAAGAAAGAACACTTTCAGAGTGTGACGCTTGGAGAATTGTTGTTCTCAGCCGTACGCATTCCTCCCCTTACGATTCGGAAGCAAGGGGGTGGAACTCTGGAATTTGAGATGTCGAGTCTTGCATGGATGTTTCTTGTTGATTGTGATTATTTCTTCGATTGAAGAAGGATCCGTCTCGTATGATCAGCCACTCCAACGACTTCCCTGAACTCTTCAATAATCGCACCATTCAACCTTGTTCTCGTGCTGGACGTAACTAAAACCTTCTGAAGCTGGTCAAAAATTCGGACCTTTGCACGATTGAGCCTGTGATTGATTGTGTCGATGTTCTTTGCAGTAGATTCGAGTAAGTTATGAGTTTGGGAGAGAGCGTCCAGGAACTCAATATGTTTGCTGACGATCTGGCGCGCGTGCTCCTCATTTGTGGTGATCTTGGTCTTCCACAGCCAGAGTCCTTGTTCAGGTTTCTTGTTATTCATGGCCACCAGTGCTTTGCTTTTGAGTGCCACGGCGTGTTTTCGAGTTGAATTGCATATTTCCTTTATGTGTTGTATCGAACCGCTCAGCTCTGTCAGAGAATGCGTCCAGGCGTCGAGTGCCAGTTTGACATCCCGGCGAAAGTCATCTCCAATACGATCGCCGAATGCCAAGTGTACAATTGGTGGCAAAGAGCTGTACCATTTTCTGCCCTTAAGCTTTTCGTAAACATCGACGATGGAACTTGAGCTTCTGGCGACTCTTCGAAAAAGCAAGTCCATCTCAACATCGTGAAATTCAAGCTCAAGTGTGAGGTCGATAATTTGGTCTTCGGTCTCGGCGTAAGAAGAGAGATGTGCTGAAAGTGTTTCCAGAAGACGGCATGTACGGATCCATTCACCAGGGTCGTCGGCAAGTAACGCAATGCTACCGCTCAATGACTCTGGGGGATGGACCTCGCTATTGGGGTTGCAATCAATTATATGAGACAAAACAGGTATTCCGCATAGTGTTGAATACGACGGGAGGTTGGACCGGTGGAGCTGTGTCGACTGTGCGGTCGTAAAATCTGCCAATCGTATCCGGATTGAGTAAGGGATGACAGCAAAGCGCCAGACAGACCGAAGGAAGGGTATTGTCCAAGCAATCAGCACCAGCGACGCAAGCACAACCATAGTCAACGTCCATCCCGCAAGGCCAAGGGACGACGATGACCCGAGTCGCTCAAATGCCAGTGGCCAAGCGGATGAACCTTGTGTCGACAGGCGGTCTCTTCTTCTCCTGAAGTCGGCGCTTTTGCGCTTGAAAGATGGCGATGGCGCAGTGCTGACAATTGGCGGTTCACTCCGCTGACGTGCTTGAGTATGAGAATGAGAGGAATTGGCGGAAGTAGTCCGTCGCCATGATTGATGTGATCGCTGCAGCTCTCTGGTGTCGTCAAAGCCACTCGATTCGTCGCCCTCAGCCAACGGCCAACGGTACTCATCTTCCTGTTCTGACTGTAACTCAAGTGTGTGTCTTGCTTCAGAGGTTCCGAGTCTACTTGATTCGGGAAACCGAGTAAAGGTAGGGCCTGATTGTCGATACATGATAGTAACGCTGAGAGCGGTGATGGAGACGAAGGAAATACATTCCCTAGTTCTGCTTGAGAGAGAGGTAGGGATCCGCTACTCTGCTAATGATCATCTGACCAAATCTAGAGCAAGGAATGCAGATTGCGCAATTTCTTGGAGGCTGACAGATGCAATGCAAACAACGCCAAGATTGTGAACTCGAGGACAACGGTAAACGACTATCCATACAATAAGGGTAGGAAACCACACCATAAACCGAAACAACCCGAAAGCCAGCATTTGCGACGCGTTTGACGGGGAAGTCTCTTCGCTCTTGGAGACGAGGCAATCCATCGCCTTCCGGGTGTGATTATCTATGCTGACGAGGCATGATGAACGAGGATGGAGGGGAGGAGGGAATAGAGCAGGACGGAAGGCATCTATATATCGTCATTCCCTCGTCCAGAAAGGCTGGTGCGGAGTCCCTGTCTCTAGCTAGATACATAGTTTGCAGTGCTTTGAGACATGCATGACTTGTCTAGCTCGAGATCAAACCGACAGAGTGTGTACTCATCACAGCAGTGATACCCGTTGTCCAGGAGATGATAAATATGGCGTAGGTGCGGATGTCCGAGATCGTAGAAGACAGGACCATCCCATCAATGAAGTCCGTGGCCGTCATGGATCTTCGACATTCGAGCGTGACGATCTGAATCCGCCTTGTCGCGTAGTTGCATTCTGTACGCGAGGAGTTCTAGGGACAACGTCCTAGCCTCTTCCACATCAACAAGAGTGGCTGGGATATGTCTCGCCCTCTTTCCGATGAGCACTCTCCAGTCCGGCTTGCCAGCAATGATATTCCTTTTAGCTTCCCGCAACGATGCCAGCGCAGCTTCAGCAGCATTGTGATTTTTTCTCAACAGATCCAGTGCATTTTCGACAACGGTGTGGAGATGGCTGATCATTTTCAAAGCATGTGTTGAATCGCGATCGAGCGTGGTTGAAAATTTCCAGAATCTGATTGCTTTGTTCGCTTGCTCGATTTCGGCTTGGTTTGACTGTGATTGCTCGGTCTCGATTCGTAAGGTCTCTAGACTGTCTGACATTGTCTGACATATTAAGAGCAGCATCTCACTTTTGTGGTGCATCTTTGCAAACTCAGTGATGAAGATACTGAAATGGGTGACGACCTGGTTGTGAAAGCCTCCCCATATGGTGCCCACGCCCCTCCAAGGTTCTCTAGAGGGGACCGAATCATCGGCCTGTGTCCCCTTTGTAGACTCGCGGAGCAGCTGAGTCGTTGTGTAGTTGATCAGTCGAAGATTGGCGTCAAGATCACGTGCATAAGAGGGTATCTGCACCAGTAAAATGTTCACTTCTTTGACCAGAGTATGAGTAGCGCTGTAAGGCAAGTTCATGCTTAATGGCAGAAGATCGCGACGAAATTCATCAGCAAGGTGAGTTGCTTGAGTCAGATGGTCAGGAATCTCGACCAAAGCCTTGACAGTATCCGAAAGACGATTGAGATTCCTTTGATTGACAGTAATGTCCGGTTTTGCAGTGTTGGGTAGACCACAGTCCAAGACCCATGGAACGGCCGGCATCTTACAAAGGCCAATGGTCAAGCCTGGGCTGACTTGATTTAAGGATCGCGTGAGGTTCCGTGTCCAGATTGAGTAGGGCATAGAGGCAAAGCCCCAGACAAGCCGAAGAGAGGGAAACATCCAAGCCACTAATACTAGGAGCGTAAGAACAACCATAGTTGATATCCATCCCGAAAAACCGAGGATCGAAGAAGAGTCCCGTCGTATGAATGAAGGTTTCCTTGTGGCAAAGCGGTCATCTCTCCTGCTGGAACTGGCTCTCTTGTGTCTCGGAGATCCTTGATAGCCTCTTGAGAAAGCTCTGCGTTGATTCATTGGTGATTCCAGATCATCGGTTGCGTTTGCAGCTGAGTGAATGCTAAAGAAATGCCAACAAATGTTGTAGACAAGGCGCAAACCGATGATGTTCGAAGGTGAGAACAAGGCTTGCTGAAAGCAGAGGCGGGTCATCATGCCTACATTCCTCAAACCCGGGAGTGAGGGGCAACGCAAATTACGCAGACACGAAATGAGTCGCCACAACAAGAAGATCTACATGGAAGAGATAAAATCGAGTATGCTACCAAAGAATAAGCTAGAACGCTAACAAAAAGACGCCTCCCCGAAGAACAAAGTGAAATAAGAATCAAGTTAAACCAGTGTGTTGACCCCACTGACTGTCCGAGATGACACTGCATAATCATGATCCGCCTTCGATACTGGCGCGTATATCAGCCCTGTGGATTCCAGCAAATCGGGCGTTGTTCATGGTAATCTTCAAATCCTCAAGGACTAGTCCTAGTGTGACGTCAACCGATGTCGCCCTTAGAGGGCTGAAGAGAACCAGTAGGTCAACAGTGGCTTTATCATGGGCTGATCTAATCGCCGTAAGCGCAGACTCGACATTGCTGTTGGTGGCTACCAGTAGCGGACTTGCTTTCTCAATCACTTCGAGTATTTTCTCGTGCTTTCGGATCAGATTTGCAGAAGCAGATTGTTTAGAGGTCAACGGGATATTGGACTGGTGCATCCAAAATCCTTGCTGTTCGGTTTCTGAGCGTAGACCGCTGTTTGCTTCGACATTGAGAACCTGTATCTGCTCGCGCATGTCCTCACAAGCATTGATCAAGATCCCCAGTTTTCTTTGCAGATCACTAAGACTGATAGTCCACTCTTGGAAAGCAAAGGCAACACTGCGTTGAAACATGACGCGAGGCGAGTCACGAATTAAATCGAGACACGAACTGTACCATCGCCTCTTCGGTAGCTCGGCATAGCTGGTAACCAGCGCAGTTATAGTTCTGTGTACAGAACGTAACAGCGAGTCATGATCGGCATCATATCTTTGAAGTGCAACGATGACCTGGTTGACCTCTTTAATAAGAAGCTGGATAGTACCGTAGGGTAATCCGATTGCAAGAGGAGCTAGATCTCTTCTGAATTCGGCGAGAAGCTTTGATGCTTCGAAGAACTCTTCAGGGTTTTTGGTAAGCTCCTTGATACCATCAGAGGGATGATCAAGATTTCTTCCAACATGAGTAACCGATGCCGGAGTTGGGTAAAGCGTGTTGCAATTCATGACCAAGGAGGCACCCGGAAGCTGACAGAGATAGAATGCGTGACTCTGCCTGACTGGACGATTTGAGTATGAAGTACAGGCCGCTATGAAGGATACACCTGGAATGCCGCATATGCTGGTGATCAGTGTCTTTGGAATCCTTAGCACCCAGCTCAGTACTCCGAAAACCCAAGTGATGATTGCCCAGCACGATTGGACCAAGGGAAAAATCCAGACCATAAGAGACAGGAGCGAGAGTGAAGCAAGCAACAAAGCCCAGCCCGAGAGGCCGAAGAAGTTGAGAGGTCTCAGTGTCTCAAAGGTCCAGATAGCGTAGGTCTTGATATGAGTCCTGAGTGATACAGACGTTCCTCTGGCCGAAGAGCGACGCTTGTCAGAACCAAATCTCTTGGACTTGTCCTTAGATATTCTGCGGTGCTTTTGCGAAGAGCTTTTTGCTGACCTGACAGGCGAGCGTGAATCTTCCCCTGATTCATCGCCGTCCGAACATGAAGTAGGGACCTCTGAACCGAAGAACTCAAAATCTTCATGATCACTCGGAGAAGGCGAAGGAAATGCTGGCTCCTGATGATTGCGACTGGCCTTGCGTTTCTTTCCGATGAATTTGGAGAGGGATTCTTCGGCAGTAGTATCCGCTCCCGAACTTGAGTATTTGTGTCCGTGTCGTCGAGTCATGGCTGATAAGAGTGGTTGATGAATGTACACAAACGAAGTCGAGATAGGATGTTGGACGACAGGCTTTTATTGTTGGTAAATGAGCTTGGACTTATGGACGTAAGACTATGTCCTGATCAGAGGTGAGACCAATCATTCGAAAATGTGGTCTGTCTTGTGTTCGGACTGATCCGCCCGCCACAAGTCTTGGAAACCAGAGACAAAATGCATGTTGCAACAGCAGGAAGCCTTCGCACAGTCGTGACATCTCAGAAACACCAACAACGCGAAGCCCAAAACTCCATATCTCGCCGTTCCAACAGACAAGCAAGCGAACACCTGACAATGAACACCAAGACAGCGATCTCACATATCTGGAGTATACAGCTTCCCACCGCCTGGTACAATCTCTACAGCATCGCGCAATGCTTTCCGATGCGCCCTGAGCTCAGACGTGAGTTTTGATACTTCTTTCAAATCCGCAAGAGTGTTGGTGATGTGTGTAGCTCTTTTCCCGAAGTATTTTTTCCAGGTGGGCCCATTCGCGTTGATGCGTCGCTCGGCTGCCTGCATGGACGCGAGACCGGTCTGAGCAGCATTATGAGTGGTGTTGAGTAAGCGCAAGGCTTCTTCAATCGCGGTGATCAGACCTTCGGAAGTTTTGATTGTGCCAGTGGTATGTTCGGGAGCTTTGCCCAAGGATCTCCATGACTTGGCGGTCTTTGCTGATGTCGCTTGATCGGCTTCGGCTTTCAAAGATTTCATAGTAATGGAGACTGTCTCACATGTTGATAGCAGTCCCTTGGATCTGCTGTATAGGCTCGTAAACTTTGTTGCCCAATCGCGGAGATGGTGCACCATGTCGCCGTGGAAGCTACCCCACTTCGTTCGAGCGTTGATCCACGGTGCGATGAGCTCGAAGATGTTTTCTGTCCAAGGCTGCTCGTCGGAATCCAAGTCGCGCAACCTGGCAGAGATCTGCGGGATCCGTCGCAAAGTCAAATCAAGATCAAAATCGTAGGCAGCTATGTGTACCTTCAGTAGAGCAAGTCCTTCTATATACTCACTGGAGGCATCCAGGGGCAACTGGTCAGCTAGTACTCCATGGTCATGCATGACTTGGTTGACCAAAGTGTATGCTTGGAAGATATCCTCGGTGTTTTCAGTCAGCGCTATCACAGCATCCGAGATCCTATCACGGTTTACTTTATCAATAACCATGAATGAGTCCGTGGCATCCGGCGAAGCACAGTCCAAGACCCATGGAACAGTCGGCATCTTGCAAAGACTGGTGGTCAAGCCCGGGCTGACCTGATCCAAGGATCGCGTAATGTACGTCGAAGCCCATTGAAGTAGCGAACCCAGTACCGCAACATACTGCCAGATATTTGTGTTCCGGTAGGCCAACAAGATTGCAAGCACCAGAGTTAAGGTAAGAATGGCAATCAACGCCCAGTTCGCATATCCCATGCCATTCGATTGTCGCGTAAGCCAGTCATTGATATGGTGTCCGCAGGTTGTCGAGACTGGGTTGCGTCTACGGGATTGTGAGCGTGATTGGTGTGCCCGACCGGAGATGGGCCTATGGCGCGATCTTGATCGGTTCATTGTAGTTCGGTGACGCGGTGTCATTTGTGCATCTTCAGGCTCGTAGTAATGTTCTCTTTGGTTTTGCAAGCGTAAGTTGTACGAGGGATTAGAAGTAGCTGATGGCGTCCCAGATTGACGCATCGCGTTCGTTCTGGTCTGTCGCGATGCTCCAGTACTTGATAGGCGATGGTCTGCCCACATCTTGAAAATACAATTGTGATTGTGGTAGCGGAGAGATAAACTGGGGGCGCTGCACAAAAAGGGCGGAGATGAGAGCGAAGAACTAGAAGCGCGGTGCGAGCAGTTCTCAAGTCGCAAATTGAAGAACATTCCGCAATCTCCTGGTTGAGCTACCCCTGTGCTCGAGAGCTGATCATTGATAATAGGTTTTTGATCTCTGCGACGTAAGGGCACAAGCGCTGTTTGCAGTCAGTAAGTGTCAAGAAGACAGAAAATGTGAGTCTGTAAAGGACGGCATTTCGAGCAATTCGAACGCCAGTTTTGAAGCGCTGAAAACAAGAAGGAGCCTTTGTCCTCGGCACGAATCTTCGCCGACACGCATCTGCATAGACTGATCGTTAAAGAGACATCACATGCGCACCTTCCAACCCTGCTCCTCATGATCCAAGAAGCTCCATTTTCGTGCGGTATAAAAACCCTTTGAGAGGGCGAAATATTAGTATTCTCTACAATGATGAAATAGCACTAGCCCATCTCTGTTCATCTTTTCTGTTTACCTTGTTAGCATCTTATTCTCTACTACAAACGTTCAGGGGTGTAACTTACTTGTCGAAATGCAACAACATGCCAAGCACAGGTACGAGTTGCAACTGATGCTTCCTGTCCTTCTGCTCCAAAAATTGCAGTAGCACATTCTTCAGGTACACGTAGTCCACACTCTCACCCTTGGCGTCAGGTCCACCTGTGGTGGCCACACTACCGTTTCGGCTACCCATGGGACTACCGATACGTGATGACTCTAGTGATGAGCGAGCAGAAGGTTGAGATGTTCGACCCTTGAGCGTTTTGATCTCATCGGCGAGTGCCTTGGAGGATTTCTGGAGAGAAGCAAGACGGGTTTCTGTATCGGAAAGGGTCTTGCGGAGGTCGGTCTTCTCTTTTTCCAGAGAGTGCGAAGTGCGCTCGTGGTCATCAAGTGCATCACGTAGTTGTGTCATTGCACTCCTGACTTCCGTCAACTCCTCGTTCGCTGCGTCGGTCTTCTTCTCGAGCTCGACCTTCTGTTTCCGCCAAGCAGTCTCTTTCTTCTCGAAATCTTCTTTCTCGTCGTTGATGGAAGAAAGTTGTTGTTCTGCGTCCCGAAGCTTATGTTTAAGATCTTCAAGTTCACGGGCACGGCGACGACCAGCGGTCGATGCTTCCTCTTCAGCACGATCGCGTTCTTCAATTGCGACGTCCATTCTTTCGCGCATCTCCTTGACACGAGATTCAGCACGACCTTCGACGTCAGCTAGCAAGCGTCGCATGGTCTCGGCTTCTCTACTACGCTCGCTGAGAAGACGATGAGCATCCGCCAACTCCTCTTCCAAACTTTCGCATCGCTCCTTGACTTCCTTCATCTGAGTAGCAAGTTCGCGAGTCTGATCTTGCATGCTGTCCATCAAAGATTGGGCAGATGCTTGTTGTGCGGACTTGAGCTGCAGTTCCTCCTTCAGACGGCCAGACTCTTGAGTCAAGGTGGAGACCTGCTTTTCGAGATTTTGAAGCTTCTCGCGTTGCTTTGAAGACTCCTCTTGAGCCTTGGTCAGATCCTTCTGGAGCTTGTCTCTAGATTCCGTAGCTTCCTTCTGTGACTTCTCTGCCCTTTGAAGGTCCTTCTGTGATCTAGTCGTCTGCTCTTCCAAGGTGGCAGTGCGCTCTGCATTCTGCTTGACCTTGTCATTCAGAGACTTGATCTCGGCATCTTTCTCCTTAGCCTGAGTCTTGTAAGAGGAGATTTCTGATTGCAAGTCCTTCTCCTTGGCTTCCAGCTTGCGAAGAGTTCCGTTGGATGCAGTCAAATCCTCCTTGGCCTTCTTGAGCTCGGTAGCTTCTTGACGAAGGCTTGTCAACTCTGGCTGAATCTTGTTGAGATGTTCTCTCAGAGCCGTCAAGTCCTTGTATCTTGTCTGAGCCAATTCATTCGCGGCCGACAGGTCAGTTCGTAGAGATGAAGTCGTTGATTTGTGTTCGTCGAACTCAGCAGCCAAGCTCTTGTGCTTCTCGCTAGAGTCAATATGACTTGACTTGAGAGACTCGGCTTCCTTCTCCAGTTTTTTGTTGGTAGTCTCCAGAATTACCTTCTCCTTCTGTATCGCTGCAAGTTTTGACTCCAACTCCTTGCTTGAAGAGCCAGAAGATTGCTTGAGCTCATCTAGCTCCTTCTGAACCTTGGCTTGTACCTCAGTCTTTGACTTGATTTCAGACCTTAGGTCATCGCATTGCTTCTGTAGAGACTTGCATCTGTCTTCAAGTTGCTTCATCTCCTCGGCACGCTCTCCAGAATCCGAATCCTTCTGAGCTTTGAGCGTCTTGATCTGATCTCTAGCGCCACACAGATCGTTGCCAATGTCCTTCAGCTGTTCTCTAAGGTCATCGATCTCCTCTTTGAGATCCTCTTCGCCCTTCAGCTTAGCATCGAGTCTGTCAATAGCGGCCTCTTTCTTCTCAATCTGAGTGGTCAAGCTTTTGATCTCTGCGTCCTTCTGTTCAATCACAGTCTTCAACTCTGTGATCTTCTCACTACTTTCCTCTGAATCTACATTTCTGCCGGGAGCCAACTGGCCGAGTGAGTTCACAATGTGTGCTCTGGCTGCGGACAATTGCTCGGGTGATAGAACAGACTCCTGCAAAGTTGGCGTCTCCTCCGACTTCTCTTCAGGCTTTGGTGAAGGTGCAGATGAGGGTGGTGCGCTTTCTGAGGCCTCTGCAGGCTTATTAGCAGCAGCAGCACCGCCCTTCTTCTTTTTCTTGTTCTTGTTCTTCTTCTTTGCTGCTCCACTTTCCGCTCCTTGCGCAGGTGGGGCCGTATCCGGTGTAGCAGTAGGAGTAGACTCAGCCACGACGACCTCTGATGCTTCTTGCTCGGGGACCTTGCAATGGCCGCATGCCAGAATCATCTGATAAGCATCGTCACGCTCCCTCTCGGCAGCTTTCAGCTGACCTCGAAGGGCAGTCAATGATGTGTCTTGAGTGGAGACTACAGAGGCAGCTTCAGCAGCAGCCTTGAGACCATTCTCGCTCTTCTTCAAGTCGTTGCGCATGCTGTCCATGTCCTTTTGCAACGACTTCTTAACGGATTCAGCATCGGTTAGCTGAGACTTGAGGGTTTTGACCAAGCTGTCCAAGGTCTCCAAGCGCTTCTTGTCAGCATCGCTGGCCTTCTTAGTGCTTGCATCCTGACCGGCCTTGTCCTTGTTCTCCTTCTCCAGCTTGTTTAAAGCATCTTGGGCAGAAGTGGCTTTGGCCTTGGAGTCCTCGATCTGGCTGTTCGCAGTTTTCAGATCAGAGCTTGCTTGACTGAGCTTGTCGCCGAGAGACTTGATGCGGGATTCTAGAGGCTTCTTTTCCGACTCCAAGACATTGTCAACCTGACTCAATTGGGTCTCGATCTTGTTGATAGCATCTTCGGAGTCGTTGTACTTCTTCTCCAGTTCAGATGTCTGCTTCTGCAACTCCGAAACCTTTTGTTCAGACTCCAACTTTTGCTTCTCCAAATCAGACTTTTGCTTTTCAAGAACGGCCACCTTCTTCTCGGAATCCGAGTCAGACTTGTCTTGCGATTCCTTCGCAGTTGACTGGTCCTTGGTTGCCTTTTCCAGCTCGTCGCGGGCCTTCTGACCGGCGTTCTGGGCGGCCTCGAGGTCGGTCTCCAGAGTGGTAATCTTCTCGTTCAGTTCTTCAACTTGACGGGTCTTCTGGTCCAGCTCTTCCTGCAGACGTGGAGCCTCTTCCTCATAAGAAAAGAAATCCTCGCTCTTTCTGGTAGACTTGGAATCCTTGTCGTCGACTGACAGGGTGACTGCGCCTAGAGGATCCGTCTCGGTTGTAGCTTTGTTCTTCTCATCCCTCTCTTTCCTCAGACCAGCAGCTTCGTCAAAGGCATCCTTTGCCCTCTTCTCAGCATCGTCAAGTTTGCGCTTGATGTCGTCCTTTTCACCAGTGACTTTCTTGTACTCTTCCATGACCATGTCGCCCTTGAGGTTGAGTTGCATGAGGTATTCGACCAGAGCGGAGGGATCGGCAATTGAGGTCAGAGGGGTGTTTTCGCGAAGAGCGGCTTCGAAAGGCTCGATGGCTGTGACCCTTGCATGAGCGATGCGGTATGAGCGGAGAAGTTCGGTGTAGCGAGATTCGAGCTTTTCGAGCTTGCGCAACTTTTGACGGACATCCTGAGGTAGCTCTTCGGGTTGCTTTCCCCCACCTTGAGGCTTGTCAGTGACAGGGGCGTCGGATTGGGCTGGCTCTGTTTCGTTGGTCGCAGTAGCTGATTGATCGGATGAGGAGGCTGAGGCTTCGGTCACGGCAGGGTTCGGCGTAGCGGTACGAGTGGGAGCTTCGTCATCTTCAATGACAAACTCGCTCGGGTCAGGACCTTTGGCGGGGATGCCACGATTCGAGTCGGCGCGGGCACGATTGGCAGGACGGTTGGGCGATTCTGTTCTCGAGACGCCTCTTCTAGCGGCGGACGAGGGAGTTCGCTTTACAGGAGACGAGGTACCAGATTGGCCTTTTTGACGGGCTTGTTCCTCGGCGATCTTGGAGTCCAGAAAGGAGTCCAAGTTGCCTTTGAGGCGCTGAGGGTCGAAGTCAGGAGGAGGTCGTGGACACCTTAGCGTCAATGTAAGAAACTCACTTGAAACATGATGGGATGCTTATGATGGAATAAACAGCATAACTAAGGAAACAATAGATGGCAAGAAGAGAAGCGAATATTATTATTGTTTGATGAAGACGCAACACGTTGATGGACGGGCGGCTTTCCGAGGCGCGGCCAAGTCTGACTTTCGGCCTGTGATCGGTCTTGGGAAGGAGCACGTTGGAGCTTTGGCGGCAGGAAGGAGCGACCGACGCGTGTGGAGATGCTTCGTCATAGCCAAAGACGCCTTCGCGTTCTTTCTCTTTACGTTTCTGCTTTTGCATATCCATGCATCTCTCATAGCAATAATGGTTTCATTCTGGCCCTTCAAGGTATGCATTGTTCTATTATTGCCGTATGTTCTCTACTGACCCTAACTGTCTAGGGTCACGACTCTACCTCGGCAGCGTCATTCGAAAAGCTGCTGTCTGCCCTCTCGTCCAAGATCAACAAAGAGAGCGCTCACAATGATCGCCTGCGCCAGAGACAACGTCGCTACAAGGTGCTATGGACGCTATATACCACTTTTGCCTACATCCTCGCCGCTGCTATCCTCATCCTCGTCACCGGCCTACCGAACTGCTCCGCCATAGAGTACACCGGTCTTGCCGCCTCACCACTCCTCATCTACGGCGTAAGGACTGGTCTTGACGCATACTTCAACTACCGCCTCTCGTCATCGCAGAACTACCTGAACGGATTGAACAAGCAACGCGACGATGCTATCACAAAGCTCAAGGAAGCCACAAAGTACAACTCGACCCAGCAACTGCTCGACAAGTATGGCGGCTCCACTCCCACAAAGTCTCCTCAGCAAAAGAAGCCACAAGACACTCCCACGAAGAAGCCCCAGCCTTCTTCAGTCAGACGTACAGGACTGCCTCCACCACCCACAGCAAACATTCCTGGACGCCAACTCCCCCCATCATTCAACCCCATGACCCCACCTCAGCAAGGTGCACAGTTCCAACCTCTTCCCCCTCAGCAACAACAACCTACACAACCTCAACCAGACCCCCAAGCCGAGTTCGCACCAAATGCATTCACAGCACCCGCTCCCCGTCATACAGAGTCGTACGCTTCCTCAGGCCCCAGATGGTACGATCGCATCCTCGACGTCGTTCTCGGCGACGACGAAACCCTACCCAAAAACCGCATCGTTCTCCTCTGCCGCAAATGTCGCCTCGTGAACGGCCAAGCCCCACCGGGTACCAGAAGTTTGGAAGACTTGGGCGCGTGGAGATGTAAAGAATGTCATGCCTTGAATGGACAAGAGTCGGAAGCCAAGGCAATGATTAGGGAAATTGCTGGCGAGTCAAAGGTCGACGATAGCAAGCCGAAAGAGATGCAGGAGGCTTCTGGTGCTGAACCGTTGGCCGATAAAGATGATATTGAGGCGGACAGTGATAGCGAGCAAGACGCCGTGGACGAGGACAGCCTCAGGGAGACGCCTGCTGCCTCTACTAGAAGTAAGGTCAGACAGCGCAAGAAGTAGCGGATCTTCTCATCCATTCATCACTAGCATAACGGAAAAGCATACGTACAAGCAAAAAGCATCAAACAAATAAAAACAGTTGGAACATGATTGAAGTTCTCTACCTTTATCGCAGCAGCCGAATAACAGCAAGCAGGCTTCAGTCTAAGCTCAGCTTCCCCTTTATCTCACGATTTCAAAAAGTGACCACTCGATGTCTGGACCAAAACGAAAAGACAGCAAAGGACAGCGATTGATTTAAAGTGCGATGAGGAGATTCAAAAAAGAGCAAAAGCAGAAATGGACGACTAGGGGATCGAACCCTAGACCTTCAGCATGCAAAGCAGACGCGCTACCACTGCGCCAGACGCCCAATCATATATAAGCCTGTTTTTTAACACCCTATAAGAATCTGGGAACAACGCTCTTGCCAACCATCAAGGTGTTCGTGTCTTTGATTCATTCCTGGTGTTGACGGGTTGAAAAGGAGTTGAGGAGTTGAAAACAATCATGCATTCATTAGTCGAGTCCATATCTACAGAATCGCAATCTACACCCCTTCCATCTGCACCTCTCTCTGTTCTGTGCTTTCGAACTGCTTGTTCATCTCTCCTTCCTCGTTCTTGTCCTTGTCCTCCCTCACCCCCTCCACCTTTTCCAATTCCGCCAATTTCTGCTTCGTCTTCTCCACCTCTTCTTGCTCCCTCTTCTCCCTCTCAACTTTCTCCATAGCCGCAAATTCTTCGTCCACATCTTCTTCATCCACTTGTCCTCCAGTGTTGGCTTCATTGATGACACGGCCAACTTCATCCACATTTTCCATTTCCTCGCGCAGACGATCGACGACTTCTTCTACTCCTTCCGTGCCGCCTACTTCTGCGTGAAGTGATTTCAACACCGCTGTTGATGCGGACATGGCGGATACGATTGCCACTTGATCGGCTGCTGATTGGATTGCCGTGTATGTTTCTTCCAGCTGGGACAGGGTGGCGGATCTAGTGTGTAAGGTTGTTTCGGCGAGCTTTTTACTGCGGAGGGCGGATTTGGCTTGGATGGTGCGTTTTGCGGCGACTGCTTCTCTGGCTGTGATGTCGAGGGTGGTGATTCGAATGGTCAAGGCGTTGACTTGTGTTTCCAATGCCGAGATCAAGGTGCGTAGATTTGCGATATCCGTGTCGTGTTGGGTTATTGGTTGAGGAGTGGTTTCGGATGGATGTTTGAGCTTGATTGTTGTAGAGGTGAAGGAGAGGTATGGTTTATCGCGGGACAGGTAGCGGAGGAGGATTGTAAAGTCGGTGCTGCTGAGGGCGGATTCAGGGTGGTCTGTGGTATTTGCTGTTGGATCGAGGACGAGGGCGAATTCTGATTCGAAGAGGTCGCGGGAGAAGATGCGGGAGGTGAGCGATTGATCGAGTTGAGAGGCTTTGGCTATGATTGCATTGGCCGCTTCCTGGTGCTGGTGTTAGTGGGAGGTAGAAGTGTTGAGAGAGAGAGAGAGGTTGTACCTCGACATTGGCCATGACGACAAAGTTGCCGACTGACAGCTTGTCTGATGTACCGAACAGTGATGCGACTCCGACCTGTTTAAGGCCCCAGCTCACAAGCTGCCATGGTGAGGGTATCCAGGTCTTTGCATAGACACTCTTGGTCGAGTTCAGAAAATCGTCCAGCGGAACAAAGTCGCGCTTGTCAAGAGCATCCTGTATGACAGCACCTAGAGCCAGCGGCCGACCCCATTGTGTCGAGTTCAAGGCACGAGACAGATCTTCACCGCTGCCAAAGGCGACGTGACTCGGGCGTTCAGATGTCGTGGTTGTGGGTGGTAATCGTCCAGCGCGTGCGGCAGCCGTCAGGCCACGTAGCCATGCTTGAGAGTTTGCTTGGTATCCATCCGGGTTTGATGTCTTTTGTAGGCGGAAGTCCGAATAGAGAGACTGAAGGCGGTTGCGACTGCTCGTGGTATTAACCTTGTCTCGCCTGAGAGAAAGACGCAGACGAGGGCATGTACCTACGGAATGCCTCCTCGTGTGTTCGCAGAAACTCTACAAGGTCGTTCATGGTGATTTGGTCGTTTTGGTTGTACAGGAAAGAGATGCGCGATGCGCGATGCGAGATGCGAGATGCGAGATGCGAGATGCTTGTCTCGGATAAGAGATGCAAAACAATGACGCTCGTGTCTTGGCCTTCACATGCGTCGTCGCGCTTTCCTTCCGCATCTTCATCTTCTACAACAACCAATTGTTTCTACCTACTCGAGTATCGACTATGGCTTTGTTACTTCGCCAGACCTTTCAAACGGCCTTCCGACCTTTCAAACTTAGCACTATCCTCTCTTCTCAGTATTCTGCCTTTTCGTCTTGCCGCATACTCAACTCTCCCCAGCCACCATCTGATGCCGCATCAGATCGTGATGCCATGCGTCGAGAGCGAAGGCGCAAGAGGCATATCGAGAGATGCCAAAATGACTCCGAGTTTCGAGAAAAAGAATTGGAACGCGCCAGGGCATATCACAAGATGCGCAAAGCAAAGGACACTGAATGGCGTAGAGAGCATCTGCTCGCTCCAACCAGACGCAGGTTAGAGAACATCCGTGCAGATCCGTCTTTGTATCAGGCATACCTAGCCAAAAGTGCCGCATTCTTCCACAAATATCGTCTTGAGCAGCCGAGATATCGATGGCGAATTGCACTTTACGGTTGGTTCAACCGAAATAAAGACCATCTGTCTCAATTCACGTGGAAACGTTGGGAGCCCATCTACTACCCTGAAAAGGTCGAGCGGACGTGCGCCGCTTGTGGTGAGTTGAGGTTGTCTGGTACAAAGCTCTGGTTTAGGAGAAAGTCGTCCGACTCTGCTTCTGATTCTCAGCATGAATACGACTGCTTTCCTTGCTATGCCTTTTCAGATTGGTCAAGCATCGCGCCGATTCAGACAATGGGAAAATATCGTTTCTTTGAGCCCAGGAATCCTGAACTCATTGCCGTGCGTGATTCGCTCAAATCACCCAAATCCGCACAACAGGAGGATCCCAAATGATCTTCTCTCTGGCGTGCCCTCTTTGGACCATCATGCCAACATCAGAACAATCATGCATCTTGATGGCTGTGTGGCGAGGCACATACCGGACTACCATATCGATCACAAGGCCACTTCCACAGTTCAAGCAGTACTCAGGACCATGTCTTGTCGACTTGCAACGACTCTGAGGGATGGGGTCATCTGTATCTGTAACAATGCCAACCGGCACACACACTGTTTCATTCTGCGTACTGCATTCTCTATCTACCCCCGAGAACTCCAGGACGTTATCCTTCAGGCAAGCCCTCCGCTCTTCATTCATCGTCATCCCGAGTACCTCTCATCTCTCGTAACCATTTCACAAACCAATTCGGTTCATGATCGAATCCCTCGAATTTATCCAAATCGGAGGCATTGGGCCCTGGTGTGGCGTCGTCGATCAACTCAAGATCGGGATCCACCTCCACTCTGTCAAAGCAACTGCCCTTCACACCTCCACAACATCTTTCTCCATAACATCCTCCCTGGAAGACAGTTTTCATTTCATGTGCCGTCTTTCTCCACTGCGCTCTCTTACAACTGCCTTGCTGCTTTGCACAAGTAACATCTCCGAAACCAGCTCTGATGATGTAGAGATGGTGTTCAAAGAAGACGGGTTCCGCGGACATGTGAGCGTCGAAGAACTCGGCGTCAGTGGCGGTGATGTCGATGGCGGGAGAGCTATGAGCTTCGTTGTTGAGGGCGGCGACGAGGTTGACCAAGCAATCGTCAATCTCTTGAGGTGGGATGACGGCGCGATTGACCATGGAGCCCAGAGGTGTCTTTACGTGTGGTCTCCATGGAGGACGAATCGGACTGGCGGCGGCAACGTTGAGGAAGCCTAGGAAGGCGACCACGAGGAGAACGGACTTGTTCATCATGTTTTCGATTTGAGCTTGAGTTGATGTTTGTTGAGTTTTTGTGATGGAACTTGGGTTTTGTGGTGATGGAGGAAGTAAGTGATGATCTCGGTTTTATACCTTCAGGCGCAGATATTTTCCGTGGTGACTGGCTGCTATGACTGGCTGGAATGACTGACCTCCGTGCTGACATGTGCATCTTAAAGTCAGTCGGGATTACCCACTTTCCGCGCTGGAACAGCTATACGAACAAACTCATCGAACCTCACGCCCAGGAAGACGAGGAAATCGCTATTTATACCGCCACCGATTTGGAATCATTTTAGCATCGATTTTGATGGATTGCACACTTGTCGCCTTTGCTAAATCCATTCGATAACGGTGCTGCCTTCTTTACAAGCAATTTTTTCCCCATTTCGAGGCGAAAATCTTGTATCAATCTTGATGCTCGTAATTAAGCAAGTTTGGCAAGAGTCACCGTATCAACACATTCTCGCGCTCGAAGTCCATTGCTCTTTCCCAACCAATATCTCCCTGTTACCGCCTCCGTCTTCAAACCCTCATACCACCAACGAAATCAAATCCATCAACACAAGCAACAATGAAAAGCATCATCATCATCACCCTCACAACTCTCTTCGCCTTCAGTTAAGCCCTTCTGACACGTCCAATCCACTTCTCCACCGATAGCTCCAAACACCCGCACGATCAAGTATTCCGCAGACGAGAACACCCCCCACCATCAACCCCCCCACCACCATCCGCCCCTCCATCGCCACCACCCTCCTTCTCCTAAAACTCAAATTCAACAATGCAATTTCCGCCGACAAGATCTCCAGCAAATCAAGCCATGACCTTTAACCCCCACGTAGATATCAACACCTAAGTCGCCGCAAAATTTCTCACACATCGACTACTTTTTCCCTAGAAATTTGTCTTTTGAATTCTAAACAAATGAGGGTTTGATATCCGCGACGGGGGTGGGACGATTAGTGGTGAAATTGACATCATTGAGAATGGAATACCTCAGAGGAAGGAAACGATGGAAATGGAAATGTGGAAAGAAATGAGGGCATGGTTGTGAAAATAAAAGGACGCAAGACACTGATAACACAGTGAGTGGTTTCGTCTCTTGGATTTGAAAAAGGTTTGATTTCCTGCATTTCTTGATAGGGGGGGGTATTCAGCGAGTGTTAAGCGCAGAAAAGAAATACACAAAAGAGAAGAAAAGGTAAAGACTTGGTAAAGAGATTGACTAGCCAGGACAACCAGTTCTGTCCCCAATCCTAGTGCTTGCCATCCCCTCCATGAAACATTCTCCATCGCCATGAAAATCCTTCCCCTGATATACAATCCCTCCATCCGTGGAGATATTCAACAGAAGCAACCCAATGACACAAAAACGCCCAACCCCCAACGCTTCATAAAGATTCAAAAGGCACAGTTGAAAGAGAAAGTCAACATCGTTTAGACATAGACATCTCTCTCCTTGGCGACTGGACGAGCGTTGTGATCCTTGGTAGTCCAGGAACCACTGATGGTAGTCTCACCCACACTGGAACCGTCGAAGGTACCGTTGCGAGGACGAGACGACAGTGAGAGACTGCGCAGACGTTCGGAGTTGGGTTGTTTCTTGTTGCGGTCGGTGTATTTGCGGTAGAGAACGCGACAGGCGGGTAGGCAGGCGCAAGTGATTTGTACGGCGGGTTCGATGGTAGTCCAGATGGCAGGGTTGACGAGGATCCCTGTGATGGGATTAGCAAATGAATATTGATGTAGAAGGGGAAGAAGAATGGAACATCATGGAAGAAAGAAGGGTAACGTACAAGTCGCGTCGTGTCCCTGGTTCTTCAACTCGACCAAGACGGCCAGACGAATGATTCCAAAGACCAAGGAGCTGTGTAAAAGTTAGTCTGAGGAAACGTGTATGTGAGAATAAAAGTGACTTACATGACCCAAAGGAAACAAGCGGCGGCCACACCAATCTTCTGCTTGAAAGGCAGCTCAAGTCTCTGAATCTCACGGAAAGGCAAGAGAAGGATGAGAAGATCGGTGATGACGTTGGGAATCTGCATGCCGTAGTAGTAGGGAACGAGAGAGATACAAGAGCCAGGAGTGAAAGGCTTCCAGGCCTTGTGGACGGGTGTGCACATGAAGATTCCGGTAAACATGACGCCAGTGCACCACATGATCATGATAGCAATCAAGGTACTGGTCATGAGCTTGAAGTCGCGGTTGGGGAAGAGGCGTCGGTATTGATAGAGAATCGAAAGCTTGGTGAAGGTGACGCAGAGAGGGTATTGGATGACACCGGTGAACTGAATCTTTAGGAAGGCATCGAGGTCGGCGGCGCTCACGGTTGCTGCAGGACGACCCATTCCATGCTCGATGACTGTAATAAAATTAGATATGATTATGAGGTAGCGGAGAATAGTCCGGAGTATTTACGCAAGGAGCCGCTGATGTCGAGACCGATCTTGAACATCTACGATCTCATATCAGTAATTGCGGAGTAAAGCCTCGACAATCTGATGACCTTACCCAAGCGATGATGATGAGCCAGTCATCGAAGTAGAGGCGGATGCGCAGAACATGTCTGGCGAGAAGGCGCAGGCCGAGAGCGATGGTAGGAACAACAATGGCGACGACGGTAGCGGCAACGAGTCTGTGGGCAATGCTGCCGGTGTGCACTACCTCAGTAGAAGCGGCTGAAGTCGACATGGTGTAAGATTGTTCTGACAATGTCGTTACGCCGAGTGTTGATGATGTCGTCGATAAAGCGCGCAGAGACGAAAGATTAAGACGCCGAAGCTCGAATTAAACGAGTGTGAACGCGCGTGCAAGCTTGTGCCGAGTGAAGCTTTTCAGAAGATGAATTGACAGCGGGCTTGTAAATGAGTTCGGGGGTTGAGCTTGTGAAAGTTGCCTTCTTCTGCCTCCAAAAGTGTGTGACGAAATGATATCGAAGGTGGTGTTCCCGAATGAACTTATCTTGCATCTGAACCCAGCTCACGCCTTGTCATATGGGACCACCAAAGATTGGGAATGTGCTAGGTATATCGGTCCCGAGTACGGAGTACCCGATGGACAGGTTACAGCATATTGATTAGGGTAAGAGGAGGGGAACCAGTCAGGCTTATTCGAGGGATCGATCTAGAGCGAAGTCCAAACGAAGGAATCTCCAGTGGGTTTGTTCCTCGAAAAGTGCTTGGTTGCATTCACATATGTATTGGATCACCCTTTTCGAAGAGTCGTGGGATTTGTGTCTCAGGCAAGAACATGCCGACAACCGCATCAGGGCTTGCGCCAGCCTCTTCGATGGACCCGTGGCTACGTAGCCGGAGACCTACTCGCTGCTCGAAACAGTCGACTGCGCATGGGTGCATGGAATCCAACTGTCGTCGCTGCAAGCAACTGACAGCACCTGCAGGTCATATCTTTGGCTTCGCACCGTCGCCGGGGAGCAGTCTGTGCAAGACGGAGAGCCGCACTGTCGGTGGAAGCTACCGGGGAAACAGAAAAGGGTCCATCTTGCATGCACGATCTTCCCTCATTCCGGCTATGGACATGACGGAAGGTCGCAGAACTGGGAGATTTTTACAGGCGCCGTGCAGCAGGCAAAAAAGAAACACGAGGGGAAGATGGAAGTGTGGTTGGGCTGACAAGCGTTGTCGATCACTTCTCTCGGTTGAACCTGCCATTTTCGCTTGCTACACCCTTGTTTGACTTGTCAAACCTGCTGCACGACATCTGTTTGGGTTTTTACATTTACACTTTCGGACGGAGCTCCTTGCATACCAATTCTTGATTATTTTGTCATGAACGATTGCAGAATGCTTGATTCTACGCTATTTGGTCATCTGGGATGATGTTTATACTCTATGCTGCAACAGCCATCATTGCTCCCTTGCTCCACGTCTTTACTCTGGTTTCATCAAGACCGTCATTCACCTTGCGCCTCAAGACCTCGAGAGTTGCCGCATCCACATCACCGACCTTTGATCTCATGTCTAACCAGGCAAGCACGCCGGTTCTGGTTACAAGGCTGGTTGCACCACCAACGGCAGCCACTCTGTAGGCAACCTTCAGCACTGCATCCTTGACACCCTTCGGCGCCGATGGTGAAGCGAACAAATCCAGAATCTTCTCCATGCAGTTGCGGGGGAGCAAAAGGTGAACATCTTGGAGTGTCCGTGTGCCGAGGATTATAAACTCGAGAACAAACTCAATCTCTGCCCAGTGCTTGTCATCTTCTTCGGGCGTCTCAAGCACAGACTTATCAACCCAGTAATTAGCCAACTTTCCGACATTCCAGATGGGACCCTTGTTTAGGTACTTGTTGACCTTGGGATACATGAAATGCGAAGGGTCTTGGAGAATACTGAGAGCCTGCGTAGCGAACACACTGGCGATGTAAGGAAGTGGTTGTTGTGCAATGGGGGGCGACATTTCGGAGACGGTTTCTGAAAGCTCACCAAGCAAGAGATAGATCTGATCCTTGTCGTCATTCGTGGACTCCTTCACCTTAGCCATGAGTTTGCGAATCGCTGCATGTGCTTGCAGTCTGACAGAACTATCCTTTGAAGACAAGCACAGAATGAGGCTGTCGATGTCGCCGTTCTCAAGGGACTCCTCCAACTCCTTTTGTTGCCATCTACTCAGCTCAGGGTGATTATGCTTTTCGACAGGAGGCTCAGAGAAGGCAAGCGGTTGTCTTGTTGACTTCTTTTCAGACGAAGCTGCTGGCCCTGCAGTTTTATCATCCTCTGACTGTCTGCGAGACGCGACTGATCGAAGTGTAGGTTCGAGCTCGATTGATGAGACGACAGGTAGGTCCGACACTCTTTGTCTGATAAGCTGCAATAACTCGACATCCTCGCCCGTAAGCTTGAGTAGCTCAAGGAAGCGAGAGAACCACATTAACACGTTCGAGCGGTCAGATGCGGCCAGGTTAGAGGTGAACGGAATCTGTTCCAGGCAGACAGTGACTAGCACGCTGAGGATCTTGCCGTGATCAGATCCACCAGCCAACTCGTCGAGATCATCAAGATACTTGATTGGCTTTCTGACAAGGCGACCGAGACACTCATCAATGAAGGTGTACAGGGCATCACTCGGCTTCCAAGCCTCATCGTCTGCCAGACTGGCAATCAGAGCATTTACTGGCGGTTGCTTCGTTTGTTGTTGGAGGATGCCATGCTCGTCAATAACTGACTGAAGCAAGTTGATGAACTCAGACCCGGTAGATTGGTCCACGGGAGTCTGTGCGCTCAAACGAAGAAGCGTGGTGAATGGAGAAAACTTGAGCGAACCCTGTTTGTGCCACCAACGCATACCTGCAGAGCATTGGGCAATGACGAGTAGATGTTGCAACTCCAACAGACGGAAGGCGTAATTCTCGCTATCTGAGGTTACCGTCTCGACTCTCGACATGGCAACAGTCAACGCCTGGGAAACATCGAACTTTTCTTCCAGCGCGGCCTGCGGTGTAACTTGATAGTACATGCGAAGCAGTCTTGAGATGGCCTCCTTCTGAAGAATGTTGTCGTCTGAGACTTTGCGGAAAGCAGCAATTACATCCTTGACGTGAGGGCATCTTTGACAGAATTCCGCAATCAGTCTGATAGATCCTTCTTTCCAGAGGGGGTTGCCTTCGGTCGCTGCAACGTTGAATGCTTGCAGAACTTGCTGCAACTTTTGGAAAGCAACCACCAAGATACGAACAGCAAACAAAGTGATGAGGTCGGAGGACTGATTCAGAGACTTGGTCAGGATCCTTTGAGTGAGAGGTAGAGGCAGAATGTTTTCGATGGCAATTGAGACTGGCGGAGGGCAGCTTGTGTAGTGATCTTGCGCTCCGAAGTACTTGGGGAAAGGAACTTGGACAGATGAAAAGAGGAAGGACGCGTATCCAATCCATGTGTTGGTGAGTTTTGGCTCGAAAGAGAATTTCTCTCCCCTTGCGAAGTAGTAATCTGCGATGATCTCAGGAGCAGCAGTGAAGATTGAGAGCAGGATGTCCCTCTCTTCTTCGCTCGCATATGGTTTGAGAGTTTGCGAAAAGCCGGACAGGATAGTGTTCCGTACAGTGACTTGGCCTTGGAATTTGTTGTACCAGTCGACGGAGTCCAGTCCAAGGTCGAGTGCGAGGTCCGCGTCGACATCGTCATTCTGGTCTCTGGTGTGTCGCTCGCTGCCTGGAGGGTACCAACCACTGAGACGTAAAAGACCAAGAGAAGGTGTGGTACTGACAAGCTTCAAGAAGGATATCGTTGCTGACTTGCCACGGATGAGGGTAGAGTCGTCGCCGGTCGGGCTTTCTGTGGCGGCGAAAGTGCGAAGAGCAGCAAGAACACCGGCCAGAGAGCGTTCGCTAATCGTCTGGGTCTTGGTTGCACGAGCGATAGTCTCATCACGTAGGATACCAGTTTCCAGCGTTTTGAAGGTTTCTTGAAGAGCGTCGGCTGAATCGTCCTTTAGGTGGTCAAACAAAGCCTTGATGATATGACCATTCTTGAGAATATCAATCTTGGCGCCTTCTCCTTGGTACTTGAAGTTCGCAAGCAGATAACGGACGGCGTTGGAGCGTACGGAAGGACCAGATCCACTCTTTACCAAACAGAGATTACGAGCCACAATCTTGGACTCGAATGTGAAGTCACGTTTTGAGTAGACCTGCTTAGCCATAAGACCGCCATCAAATGAGACCATTTCGGTGAGTATACGGAGCGAGGGCGAAATAACATGTTCCTTGTGCTTGGGGGCAGAGACACTTCTCGAGATGAGCTTGAGCTGAGCATGGTTCAATAGAGTCTTGATAAGCAAGATGCCGTATTCGCGAGATTCGAGAAGAGTAGCGATTGTCTTTAGGAGTAAGGCCAGAATGGATGAGACGGATGAAGCCAAGTAGTCATTGTTGGTCTGGTTTGCAAAGCCCCAAGCTTGCATAAAATCGGGAAGATATTCAGCATCCTTGTCGCGAGCAGCCTTCAATTTGGCAGCATCCAGATAGTCGTTGAGAATGTTGATCTTGGCCGGGCGATTGGGCTCGTCCTTTTCGTAGAGGATGAGCTCCAGAAACTGCTTGAAAGATTGGATACCATTTCTCAAATCCTGAACACCGTCTTGGCTGAATGAAAGAAGTTCCTGAAGCTGGCGAGCGGAGAAGATATCTGTGGCCGGGATCACAGCGACCGGAGGCTGTGTTTTCGGGCGCTTGTTATCCCTTACTTCTGAGCCATCGGACTCTGCGAATCTTTTTGACATCTTATAAAAGTTGGTTGATATGATGAAGACGTCCAGGCCTTGCAGAAAACATCATCCTGCGACAGGCTTGGCATCAGATTGGAGAAGTTTTTAGGGTTTGGCGGAGATGGCGGGAGCATCCGGCGATTGGAACGGCTCGGCATACGTGAAGACGCTCGGACATTCGGTGGTGTTGGAGTGTTGGAGAGGCGGAGAGGCGTCAAGTTCCTCGAATTGTGTTATTCGCGCCGTCGTGTATATTGTTCTGGGAAAGCTGTCGTTTCGTGCGCGCCATCATCTCGCGACGACTGTTGCCTTACAAGTTTCTCCGGGACAGGAGTCAGATCACCACGGTTGGCCGATCGGCATTGCACGCGACATAATTCTGGAATGAGCGATCTCGATAAAGCCATCGCGCAGTTGCGCTCATGTCGACCCATACCTGAGACGCAGGTCAGAGAGCTGTGCTACAAGGCACGAGAGCTGCTGATCGAAGAGGGCAATGTCGTCACAGTCAATGCGCCCGTCACGGTATGCGCTCCTTCCCTGCTCTCTACTCTGACTTTCTTCTTCTGACGCATGGCAGATATGCGGTGATATCCACGGCCAGTTCCACGACTTGATGGAGCTCTTCCGCGTCGGCGGTGATGTTCCCGACACCAACTATCTCTTCATGGGTGCGCATCCTTCGCGACTTCCGACTCCAGCTTCCTTCCTAACTCATGAACTCAGGCGACTTTGTCGACCGCGGCTTCTACTCGCTCGAATCCTTCCTCCTTCTCCTCTGCCTCAAAGTCCGCTACCCCGATCGCATCACCTTAATCCGCGGAAATCACGAATCACGTCAGATCACCACCGTCTACGGCTTCTACGATGAATGTCTGCGCAAATACGGCAGCGCCAACGTCTGGCGGTACTGCTGCGAGGTCTTTGACTACCTCGCTCTGGGTGCTCTGATCCTTGGTGCCGCCTCCGAACTTGGTCCTACTTCTGCCGAGCTGCCTTCAGACGCAGGCCAGCCCATACCCGAATCTCTCGAAGACGTCGAGATCGAAATCATCAACTCACACAACCAAGTCATGAACCGCTTCCCTCGCGCAAAAGCTTCGACCGAGTCGTCGGTGCCCAACATCCCCTCAAATACTGGCCCCGCTGGTACAGGCGCAACATCATCAAGCGGCGGATCTGTATCAAATCCTGGAGGTGCCGTGTTGTGTGTACACGGCGGTCTAAGTCCTTTGATCGACAGCATTGATAAGATCAGGCTCATCGATCGAAAGCAAGAAGTCCCCCACGAAGGTGCCATGTGCGACCTTCTCTGGTCAGATCCAGACGAGATAGACGGCTGGGGTCTATCACCACGAGGAGCTGGCTTCCTATTCGGTGCTGATATCGTCAAGCACTTCAACCACAAGAATGACCTCAGTCTGATAGCCCGAGCGCATCAACTCGTTATGGAAGGTTTTAAGGAAATGTTCGACAACACCATCGTTACTGTCTGGAGTGCTCCCAACTATTGTTACCGCTGTGGAAACGTCGCCGCCATCTTGGAGTTGTCAGAAGATGGAAGCAACGGTGGCTACACACCACGCAGCAATGGTGAAATTGACCGATCAGCAGGGATTGTGTCTGAACTGGAACTCAAACAAGGGCCTGGCAGGAGGTATCGCGTCTTCGAAGCCGCGCCGCAAGATTCCAGGGGAATGCCTGCAAAGAAGCCCGTTGCTGATTACTTCTTGTAATTCTCGTCGGACCATTCATAGCACCTCTGCCACCGACTTGTTGTTCGGTCACCACATCCACGACCACGTCGTTGTCGTTCTTGTCGATGGAATCGACTACCATTACGCAATGCACCGCGATCCCCCGATACGAGTCGCATTGGCAACTGCCACTTCCTCGACAAGCCTTTCCATTCCTCATCGGCCACTGTACAGCACGGCCACGAGAAGTACCATCACAGTGGTGTCGGGAATTGCTGGGCCGATGGTCTCGAGATCATTTGACTTTGCACTTCGACTCCTCCGCCGGCGGTCGGTGGAGTTCTGGGCGCGCCATGCCCAGCGTGAGAATCCAAAAGTAACGGAAAAAGAAGGGATATACCTTTATTGATGACTACAACAACGAATTTCCTCAATTCTTCTTCGACATGGCATTGCAACCATCAAGGTCTGAGCATGGCATTTCTGATTCTTTGTCTCAAATGCAATAGGACTCTCGATAGATACCCCCTTTCCACACAAGGATATACATTATGTTCTTGACTATACGTTCCAGAATTTCTCTTCTGTCCTCACAGCACTGCATGTAAGCAATTGTGATATATGCATGACCACGTCGTTTCTTCATCATTGTCATTGATGTTGCCATAGCGTTCCTTTCCCACGTCCCCCTATCCTAAAATCTGTCACATTTAGCCATCTCCTGCGGCCACGCCTGGTGTCGTAAAATGCACAATGTTTTTCAGATCGGCATAGTCGTCCGCAGAGAGGCGCTGACTATCACACTCTTAGTAGAAGGCTGCACTAATCTTAAAAACATTGTGCATTTCTACGGCATTGCGCGTGACAAAGTTCTGCACACGGGGAGGCCCGAAAAAGCCCCGCACGCCAACCCCCAAACAAAAAAAAAAGTTCTCACCTTCCACCCATGTTTCTTTTAGGTCAAACAAGTCACAAAACAATGGCAAAAGAAGTATCTTCCGACACGGGGAATTGAACCCCGGCCTCCTCGGACCTAGTTGTTTCTTTGGGGAGAAACGGTTTGAGAGCGAGAAATCCTAGCCACTAGACCATATCGGATTTGATCGATGAAACTGTGGTAAGATCGTATATCTTATTTCAATCTTTGGAGGAAGGAAGATAGAGAGGGGTTGGTGGTGCGACCTTGCTTACATCGGGTAGTAGTGTATAACGTAGACGTAGCCGTAAAGAAATTGATCTGGCACCAAACTCGGTCCCGCCTATAAGGCCTTGCAACCATACCTGCAAAAAGGGCAGGATACTTTTGATGATCAAGTACATGTCCATTGAGAGCGATACTGCCCCTTAATCTCTTCGGACCTACATCAAAAACCAAAAATCATTGTGCCTTTTTGCAGGTATGGTTACCCCTAAAGGGGAGAGCGAAAGAGTGGGTGATTGTGCGTCATTGTTTGGAAAGATCAGATAAAAGTACAAAATCCAATTAAACGTGAGAGTATGGAAGTGATGTAAAGCACAGCGACAGTGAAGAAAACTAGCCTGCTCTGCTCATCTGACTGTATAAGATCTGCCAGGCTCACTTTCCCAACTCTCTGACCTTCAACCCTCCGTATCCATAGAGTCTTCTGTACACTTCACCCTCGACTTGCTCCAGCAACTCTTTGAGAGCCTTTTCTGTGGTAGTGCGGAAGCTCGATGACATGAGGCGTTTTCCTCCGTCTTGAGGGCGCTCGACGATGTGGGCGCCGTGGAGACCGCTGTAGGAAGAAGTGACGAGCATGAAGTTGACTTTCTCGGGGTGAAGGTAGCGGCAGTTTTCTAGTGAAGAGAAGGCATTAGCGACTGACTGGCTGATGAGGGCAGAGTGAGTGATGGGTACCGATGATTTGAGTGCGCAGACCGATGATGCTGTTTTCGATGTTGTTCATGTTTGGCGATGGTGTGATTTGTATTTCATCTTGTCTTGTTGGCTTGAGAATTGATGGGAGCATGGTGGGGAAGAATGTTGACATAAGATTGAGGAGAGAATTACAAGTCGGCGTTTGTAGTACGTGATTGAGAGGAGAAAGAGACTGGAGTATGTCGAGCAAGAAGTCAAGTGTGAGAGCCAGCGTGCCACGATGACCCTCACTCAAATTTCAAACCATTCACTGCGGCAAATGAACACCAAGTAACTTCTCAGCATTCTTGTAACAGATCATCTCCAACTCTTCTTTGCTCACCATACCGCTCGACTCGACCTCCTCAATGAACTTCAACCCCTTCTCATTGCCACTGAACGGATAGTCAACAGAGTATAAGATTCTGTCTCTTTCACACATCCTTAGCAAACAGCTCAAGGGCGCCAAGCTGAACATTCCAGAAGTCGTGATCCAAAAGTTTTCTTTCCACACTTGTTCAAGGCCTCGCTTGTTGTCTGGTGCCCAAGATGCGGAGGTTGATATGATACGATCGAGCTGATAGGGTAACATCTCACCCATGTGACCAATGATAATCTTCAACTTTGGGTATTCGTCGAAAAGCCCAGATGCCCAGAGACGCAGAACGTGAAGCCCAGTCTCAGAATGCCAGCCCCAAGCTGCTATGCTCATCATGATCGCCGCCTTTTCGCCAAAGTTGCCACGGTAGTGAGGCATCCACTCATCTGCTGCAAATGTGGGATGGATATAGATCGGCACATCCAGTTCTTCGGCTTTCGCAAAGACGGGTCGGAACGACTCGCCATCGTAGAAGGTACCATTGCAGTGATTGTTTATCAGAGCTCCAACAAACTTGTGCTGTTTCACGCAGCGTTCGAGCTCGGAGGCTGCAGAAGAGGGAGAAGCCATGGGTAACAAAGCAAACGCGGCGTAGCGTGGTTGGTCTTTGATTGCGGATGCTAAATTGTCGTTTGTCGCGCGGCACTCGTCGGGAGAAGCATTGAGAGGGCTATGTGAGAGTACTTGCAGTGATACATTGCCGTTGTCCAGGGCCTCAAGACGGTCAGAACCGAGAGAGGTAAGCTTGTCAATCAGAGGCTTAGGGAATTGTGCATATGGATCCTCGCGCCCTGTGTCGGCGAGATGCTTGCGGACATTTTGAGAGAGGTAGTGCTCCTCTAGAGTAATCATCGGAGGCACCATTATGGTTGCCTCTATCGATGTCGCTCAGGGCTTGAAATATGAAGCTATTGGTGGTCGATGGGAATAGGCAAGAACATAGGAGGCACTATGGATTTGGGTAGCAAAAGTTGTTTGAACAACGTGAATCAAGCGAGAAGGGGTATCCTGGTCTGCTTCTGTTCTTCCCATGAGTCTTTATAGTTCTTACTGACAATCAGAGGGTCGCGGGCAACAATGTCCGAGTGTCCGACTCAACAAATCGTGACATCACGGGCAATCTTTCCTCCGTACCTTCACGGCGGAGCCAGGCAACAGCAAAGTGAGTGGTGTACTGACCGTATTCTTCATCAATAGCGCACGCGCGGCCTTCCAGATGTCATAGAAGTTACGTTCGGGCATAGGAGTTATGAAGGCGACAAGAGCTGAAAGCCGTCAAAGGTGGGACAGGTGTCGGCAGAAGTTCGTGCCGAGTCGCCCGCTAAACAAGAAACAATACTGTCTTAGCTGTTTGCACTTCGAGCTTGTACAAAATATCTTCGTTTAGACTCTGCCGGTCCATTCATCATCAAGAGCAGGAGGTTGGCGATCACCTCCAAAAACTTCCGTAATGTGCCAAAGTTACCCGATTCGAAGAGTTCGGTAGCTTACTCGAAGGAGAAGTCCAATGATAACCCTTACCTTACAAGATGCTCCATCAGCGCTTGATTTCACTATACATTCTTCTAGTCAACAGCAGTAAACTTCAAGATTGATCCTATAGATGCGAAAAATGATAGAGCGCCATTTGAAGGTGTACACCATTTAAGTAATCCGATCCGATTCTCTATAGCGGAATTTGTTATTGATGTGTCGGCCGCCGTAATATACAAAGATAGTAAAAAAGTTAAATAGTTAAAGCTTTCTATAAAGAGGCTTGAAAAAGGGGAGAATTAATCTTACTAGACGAGTCCTATATTTTTACTTAGATAAGCTAGTGCATACCTATACGTGTAAGTCTTAATTAGCTCTTCTTCTTTATCACTATCCACGTCGACAGTACAGAAACGGCAATAAGAAGAGGAACGCCAAGCCCGACTCCAATTCCGGCCCCTAGCCGAACCGCTCGCTGATGTCTCCTCCTCAACCTCGCCTCTGCACTCTCAATCGCCTCTCCAGTAAAGTAGTTACCGACCAGAAAGCTGTCGCTGTTGTCGAAGTAAGGGTAAGTCAGACGACTGTCGTGACCAAGCGGCCGTCCATCCTGGCCTAGCACATCCGGCTGAGCGACGTCAAGCTGCATGAGCACTCCTGTCGCAAAGCGTGCAAGGACCGCCTCGCGACTGGCCTCGGACCCATTCATGTACGTGAAATTGTCCAGACTCGGAGGAAACGTGATTGAACTTGGCGGAGGTACAGATGTGTCTGGTACGGCGTCAGCAAAGATCGTGGCAAATCATTGGGCTGACTGACTGTATTGCCAAAAGATCCGACTCTCGTTCACGCAGTTGCCTCCGTCTGTGATGCATGGCAAGTCCCAGGTCAGCTGTACTGGGTAGTTTTGGTTGGCACCTGTCCATGAAACATTGTACACGGCTCCGCGAAGTATGATTGCAGGTGGGCCGGCATAGTCCTTAGGGATCGTGGGATAGACATTTTCAGGCCATGAACAGTCGTTGTGATTCTGGCTTTGGCCTTCTCGACCGCACCAGATGAATGAAGTTAAGCATAGCCGTGTGTATTCCGGACAGGTTCTGCTGCTCGCGTCAAAGGCTCTACATAATCTCGCGAGTGAGATTGTGAGAGCAAGTATTTGACGGAAGAGGACCATTGTTGGATGGAAGATGCTAGGAGGCGCTGTATCACGCGAAACACAGGCGTGCTTTTATTCTTGATTGCTTTATAGCACATCCTCTACTACGAGCTTGATGGAGTGGATGATATCATGTGCTTGGCAAAAGTTGATGATTCCTGTTATCCGAGTCCTGTCAGGTATCTCTTATTAGCTTGCTAAGGGAAACAGACTTGGGCTCGGATATTGACAAATGTTCATGCTCTTGGCGAATGTGGAAGGATGAACTTGACGTGATGTACTCGCTTGGCATTCCTACAATACCGGAAATAAAATAATACCCGCCCGAACGTCGCAAATCCTACCAGCCTTGCCTTTCTTACAGTACTACCACCTTTACCGTCTGCCTCTTACTCGGACTGTGTACTTCTAGATTGTTTCTCTGTCGTCCTCACTAGCGACCGGCTTATCGTGACACTTGAGGTCAAGCTTAGAGGGTGAAGCGAAAGTTGGGCCGATGATTACAGATTGCATTCTTTCGATTGCTTCCCAACCGTCCGCTCCGGCTACTGGCCCACCATCTTCCTTAACATCTACCAACCTCAGAGGGAAGTACGACTACCTCTTCTCTTCTTCCTGCGCGCAGCTAGAAGAAGAACCGAAGCATAGTGGACACTAAACGAACATGTCTGTTAAGTTTCTGGACATTGCACCCGCACTACCCGCAAGCGTAGCATTGGTCTACGTTACCTCCTTCACAAATGTGTGGAATCACGTACTGCCTTCTTGGATTAATGCAGAAGCCAGCGATGTCCAAATCAACTGCAAGCCCCAAATGCTCGACGAGGAAGCCAAAGGGCAGAATCCTACGTCGATACCCGATCGGAAAAGCCCGCTAGAAGCGTCTTCTTTTCTGTTGCACATGGGTCACCACAGTCTTACCACTACCAAATTCTTCAGCGACGATCAGTCCTGCTCGATTAATGCATGTATTGGTCAGCTTGGTCTTGTGGTTGCTGAGCTCGCTGTCTACTATTACCGCACTGGCATCTGGGTCCAAAATCAGCTGATCCTCTTGGGGGCGTGTTGGGCTGTATGATGATACGATCGCTGTGGCCAACGCTGCACCCTGTTTTCGATGAAATATCATCTTTGCTCATTGCAGCAACCGCAATCGGTGCTATACTGCCGCAAGACTCGCCCAAGGAGTCGAAGACGTATTCTGCGGACCAGAAGACCAGCGAGTCCAGCACTGGTGCGTCTTTGACAACAGGAGAGGAAAAAGAGCCACAGCGCCTACTGGTCCACATGCACATCTTTAGCGTTACGGCGCTGCTCATCTTCCTGCTAGATCGCCACGGACTCTCAAGTCCCACTGGATATCTTGCGTGGCGGCGTCTTTGGATACCTATCCTCCTGATCACACTTCGGGGCGCTATCGAAGATTGGCGTGTGACAGGGCAATACAGTCGGGCTTTTACATCGCACGTACAAGCCTGGATCCACAAGACTTATGCGTTCATGCCGCAAAATGCCTATTGGGGTATCTATCGCCCCCTTTCCGCGATAGCACCCTTCCTCATTTGTGGCGCGATGACCAGTTTTCTGACTTCATGTCTTGGATTTCAATATCTGATTCTAGGACTCCCGCGCACTGGCCCCTCATTCAGGGATGGAGGGATGTTGGGGGCGATTGTGTATGTGAGCGTTGCTTGTGTGGTTCTGGTGCTGAGGGGACGGGACATGGGACAAGGTACTGATATGCGTATGTGGAGATATAACATGGCTATTCTTGCGGCTTTTGGACAGACTGTTACGGGGTTGGTGGGGTTTGCTGGGGTGTTGTTTGTATTGAAGTGGTCATTTTGAAGTGGCCGTGTTAAGTGATTTGAAGAGGGGGGCAGTGCTCTCAATGGCTTGAGGGCTCCATGGAGTGGAGGAGAGGCTTCACTCCAATAGTGTGGAGTAAATTGGAGTAACAGGTGGCCACTCCATGGAGTTCCACCCTCCCCTAGTGCTAAACTTTGTCACGCGTGGAGCTGTAGAAATGCACAGTGATTCTGAGTAGGACTGCTTCGCCCACAGAGAGCGGCGCTCTAGAGCTCTCTCTCTGGATCTAGCTCTGGTTTTCAAAATCATTATGCATTTCTACAGGTTTTTTAATGTACATCGCTGCGACAAGAGAGTTGATGTGACGAAATCCGGCACACGGGGAGGACGAAGCTGCCTGAAGGGGATGTCCCTACGCCGAGTCAGGCATAGCGACGTTTCTTTCAAGAAGGAGGCGAGCTTCTGCCGGATCGAATATCTCCGGTCGCCTAGTCTCAACTTCCATGAATCCTACCACTTTTCCTACCTACCCTTCTATCTCTAAGACCATGTTTACTCAATCTAGAATTCCAAACTGGCTATTTGATAAACGTACCCTCTCTATCTCAGATACTCCTACGCATGTATTCCTCTACTCGGATTCAACCGAAGCCGTGCTTTCTACGGCTAATAACTAGAGTCGTTAGCAATATAGTTGATGGCGGCAACAATCTACCCTCTGCTTTAACCTAATTTGACGACCCTATCTAGAGCAGGATACGTGGTTCTTTTGGTCCTACCGATGACGGCGTGGGTGTAGTACATCATTCACTGCGGCAAACTGACACTAAGTAACTTCCTGGACGACCCTTTGTATTCGAATGATTGTGCATATTGAAAGCTAGTTCATTGCAGTGAGTGCGAGGAAGGAATAGTTCTACTACCTTTGTGACAAGGCTCATCGTGCATACCAAGTGGAGCTCGTCTTGTGCAACATGACGAGCACTCGTTCTGCAGTAAGAACGGGATCATCTCTCTGGATAAAGTGACCGCATCTTCCGGCCATAGCTGGTCCAGCGCGTCTTTCCTCATCTTCCGTCAGTCTGGTCAGGCCTTCATTGTATTCATGCCAAATCGGATTGATGTACTTGTTGACAAGGGCTTGAGGAACCCCATAGCTTCTCTGCAAAACATCAGTGACCCTGCAACCGATGGTACTCTTTGATAAGAACTAACCTCATTCTCCGCTGCGAAGGTATCTGGATCATGACCAATAACTGTGATCCAAGGTGGTCCGTCCGGACCTTGCAATTTGGGTGTGTACGCAAGTGGTAGAAGCTCGGGAAGACCAGACCTGTCCAATCCTTCTGCATTGGAAGAGTAAACGTCGAATATCGTTCTGTACTTCTCCCTTATGTGGCGTAGCTGGTCGGTAGTGGTACCTTTGGGCAGCTCCTTTTCGTCGAACTTTGGATCATCCGGATCCGGCCAGAGTGATGCAAGGTCGATATGCGCCATTATAGAGTCCAGGAATATGAAGCCGGAGACAGTACCAGGATGAGCGGCTGCGTAGAGGCGGGCAAAAGCACAGCCTATCGAATTCCCGACCAAGATTAGGTGTCTGGGTGATCTAGAGTTGAGCTCTTTCTCCGTGAAGGCCTGCAGAAAAGCGTAGAGATCTGTAACGACATCTTGGACATCGTGTGTACCGTTTGGATCTCTGTCGGACAAGCCCTGACCATATCGGTCGTAGGATAGTAGATGTGGTCGTAGATTGTTAGCTTCTTGGGTCTTTATGGCGATTTGCGATATTGTTTCTGCCCAAGAAGATTGTGGTAGAATCAGACCGTTCAAAAAGACCACGAGGGTTTTGTTGTCATCTCCATCTCCAGCTGCGAAACTGTAGCGGAGGCTTGCAGTGGGTTTATGCGTGAGCTGGATGGTGCCGAGCTTGGGGTTCACAATGGGTTTGTCTGGATAGTGAACGGTGCCGAGCTTGACTTTGACAGAAGGTGTGGACATCATGGACATGATGAAGGCGGGGCCGAAAATGGGCTTTGGAAGGATGAATGGCATGTATCAAGTATTCTCGGTCTCAATGCAGAAGTGATAGTTCTGGATTGATAAGGTAGATATCCGGTTGCTGATGATGAAGAAAGATTCAATGGAACGAGGTTTGAGGTGCAGCGTCGGGCTCCGTGTTCTTGCCTCTACTCGAGTAACAACAGACAGGAAGCTGCGTTCATCGACGTGACGTACTCTTACCTCACAGAACCATGATCCAGAGGTATATGAACATCTTGCGTCTTGGCAGCTCCCGGTCTTCCTACATGACACGAATGAGGAGAGTTGACCTTGGTCTGTATGGAGGCGGGGTTTGTTTGAATGTCATCGGAGATAGTAATTTCCCTTTTCGACCCCCGTCGGATTTAAGCCACCACAGCGTCTGCTCACCTACTCGATCACCATGATGACCACTTCTCGTCCGGACGGAAAGTTGACCAACTATCTCCGCATCCTTTAGCAAGTATCGAAGTATTTTCAACTACATAAAAGCAGGTCCTTCCATCAAACTCGAGCTTCCTACTCCCAAATCTCTCCACAGCAGTTGAAGACTATTAGACCCTTTCCTCAGAAAGTATCATTATCAAAACACTATCTGTAGAAAAGCACCAATGGCCATCCTCCTCACCGGCGGCACGGGAAAAACATCCCTCCACCTCGCCGCCCTCTTACAACAAGCCAACATCCCTTTTCTCCTAACCTCTCGCCGTGGCCCCTCAGCCTCTTCCCTTCCAACCGTCAAATTCGATTGGAACGACGAGACCACCTGGACCAATGCATTCAGCCATCGTTTCCCTAGGTCCGAAAAAATCACAGCCATCTACCTACTCAGTGGCGAGCTAGCCGAACCAGCACCACTGCTCAACAAATTCATCGATCTTGCACATAGCGAATATGGCGTCAAGAGATTTGTATTGTGTTCAGGCAGTACAGCTGAGATGGGTGGACCATACCACGGCAAAATATGGCAGAAACTCTATGAAGAGAAGCTAGAATATTGCGTACTGAGACCAAGTTGGTTCATGGGTATGCACCATCCCTACTTCCCTCCCCCATCTCTCCTTTCCCCAATGTAAAGAAAGCTATAGACTGACGTGATCATTGTGGACAGAAAACTTCTCTTCCCCAGGTCAAGGCCATTTCGAAACAATCAAGTACAAAAACACAATCTTCTCCGCCTGTGCCGATGGCAAAATCCCGTTCGCCAGTGCAGAGGATATAGCAAGAGTTGCTTTCCACACCCTCACGGATGCCACCCCTCATAACCGCAGCTACCGTATCCTAGGTCCCGAACTCTTGACCTACGATCAAGTAAGCCTCCCTTCCCTTCTTTCCCAGCCCTCCAATCCAACCCTACTGCTCTGAATGTTTGGGACGTCTTACTAACTCATCACCACCACGACAGATTGCAGAAAAGTTGTCCATCCACCTCTCCAAGAAAATAACCCACGTCAAGTTGTCACCTGAGGAAAGAATCCAAGGATTCAAGGATGTCGGATTACCTCCCCACATGTCATCCTTCCTCACAAACCTAGAGATCATGGCTGCAGAAGGTAAAGAAGCTTGGGACGGCAATGATGTTCAACTCGTGACTGGAAGAAAACCAATGTCGTTTGATGCATTCGTGCAGAAGAACAAGCAAGTTTGGGAATAGTGATGATAATGAAAAGACAGGAGTGGGTGGCAAGGAAGAGAACGGAGGAAGAGAAACCCAAATTTTGCTTCATCTACTCAAAAAGCAGAAAGTTGCAGATTATCCAACAAACGAAAACAATATAAGCGTATCGCTATGCCAGGGGGTGGGTTTTGCCACGACCCTTAAAGACTAAGAAAAACCAAAACCAAAATCATAACATCATTTTTTGTTCCGACCAACCCAGAAGCCCTGCTCCTATACCCGTAAAGGTCACCGAAAGAAATGGACAGAGGAGAAGAAGTAAACTATCGAGCCCAGATGACTGCAAGCCAACCAGGCGTGCGTGAGACTCGTGAGCCACGAGCGGCATATTCTGCAAACTCAACACCATCGACGAAAGCAGCAACATCATCAGCGCCAAAAGATCTTTCCAATGCAGAGAGCCATGATTCGACATCCTTGATCTCGCGATCCGAGGAGGTGCGGCGATGGTGTGCGGCATGTGCTGCCACTGCTGCACCAGCCAGTGCCTCGCTTTCCCGCCGTTGCTCACCAGTGAAAGCATGTATGCCTTGCAGCGGTTCTCTTGAGTTGCCATTTGAAGGCGTCCAAGCTGGTGTCTGAGGATGCGAATGTGACTGAGGTGATGCGTCGGCATATGCGGCTCGGAAGCCGTGACCTGGATAGTTGCCTGGTGTAGAAGAAGCCGAGGCTGGAGGGAATGCGTTGTAGAAGCGGAAGTGCGGGTTGTTGCTATTATTACCAGGCGCTGATTGTGTCAGACTCCTACCAGCAGCCACGGCAGAAGCAGCTGCTGCAACACTGTTGATAGCGTTCCAACGTTCTTCTTGCTGTGCATGTGCTTGTGCTTGTTCGGCTGGGGTCGAGAAGGATTGCTTGGGAGGTGTATTACCAAGACGAGGGCTACTGATGTCGGATCTCGGAGGAGCAGGAGCGCCGTTCGGTCCATCTGCGAGAGCATCCGACATGTCAATATCAGAATCTCCAGAGTCGTCCGAGTCTTTCAGTGCTCTCTCTAAGAGGACTCTTGTGCTTTCGGCATTAGGAGGGTGTAGCTGAGCAGTGGCGATGCTCTGATCATGGAAGACACCAGGCAATCTGGCTGCAGAATCTACCCATGTCTTCCTCAACCGTGAGAAGTACTTGTGTGAGCGTTTGACGGTCTGGAACCAGCCGCTAGCCATGTATAGGCGATTCTTCATCGAGGCGAGCATCTCAATAGCTTTACGAGAAGCATCTGCACCTGAAGCAACACCGTCATCCTTGGCGGTGCGACGAAGATAACCTTGAGTGTCCATCCAAGGGAAGTTGATGACATAAACACCAAGCAATGCAACGTTGTAGAGAGCGAAGCCAACCAGGGGAGTCTCTACCACAACGCCCCATTCCTGGAACGAACCGATCAAGTCAACGATGTCACGGGCAGCAGCGAAGCACTCGCGAGCGCTGTCTTCCCAGAAGCCATGTGGTGAAGGAATAGTATCGAAGCGTGAGCCATCGAGGGGACCTGATGGCTTGCCATGTCGGAAAGGAATGAAGGGGAGGAACTCGCGGGTGAGAAGAAGTTGAGAGAGGAGGAAAGTGAGGTGCACAAGAGCGTAGGGAGTTGAAGAGTGGAGGTTGATGTGCGCCGATGTGTTTTGTGCCGTTAAGGAGTGGTGTCTAGGGAGGCCGACTTTGAAGTCTTCGAGTGTTTTCCTGAGACCGTACCACTCGGATTGTGGGTTCCATGGTGGTAGAGCATCACGTCTAATTTGGTCAGTAATCAATCATAGCATAGATATCAGATTGACTTACTTTCTGCCTCCTCCACAGGTCCAGCGCATGACTTTACCGTGTATGTCCAGGACTTTGATATATCGACTGATCAAACCCTCATCAGGACCAACCTCCCAACGGCCTTCGGAATTTCCAGGAGAGGAGGTTCCGTTGTTACCATCTGGAAGTGAGGGTCTTTTGTAAGCGGGGTTCATCGGGTCGGTGGCTAAGGAAGCGCGACGTTGACTCTGAACTTCTGCTCTAGAGGTGTTATCCTCGCTCAGAAGCAGAGTGCGAACCTTCTCGCCAAATAAAAATGCATGCTCGCTAGCTGGCAACTGAATGCGCAAGTCCTTGGCGTTGATACCCTGAGGTCTGTATTTGCCATTGCTGAAGTAACGATCAAGAATGAAACAAGCCCATAGAGTACGACGACGGACTTCTTGTTTGACGAAAGCATCGTTCTGGCAAGTCGCGCTGTCGGGCGAGGCATTACCAGAGTCAACAAAGCCTTGCTGCTCGACAGCCCGAGATGGTAACGAGCGAGAAAGAGGCTGATCGTCAAGTTCCTCTTCGTAGTGCAATCCCATAGCCTGAGCAGAACGAATAACAATACCTAAGTGACCCCAAGCTTTAGGGCCTCGGTTCATGCCCCACTCGTGCAAGGCCAGCATCAGCATGGCTTGAATGGTGGAAATGTCGTGCAGACCCAGTCTATCGGTGGTAACGGCATTGAGCTGAGCTGTGGCTGCCGTGGCATAGAACTCGGCGGCTATCAGAGGGTCACTAGGACGGTTGGCGTTCCGTGATGAATGATGGGCGACAAGTATGGGGTGGAAGCGAGATGTCAATGCTAAGAAGGCCAACAAGAACTCGGTAGGTGCAGGTGGTTGTACTGGAGGAGCAGGGACGTTCGTATAGGGTCGGTATTGAGATGCTTGGGCCTGGGAGCTGGCCTGGCGGAGAGGTTTGAGGAATGTTGGGGGGTGGATAAAGGGGAGGTCGGCGGAGAAGTGCAGCTGGAAGATGTCGAACTAGATGTTGGGTCAGCGAAGAATGTTATGCAGGAGCGGTAGGTCATCTTACCAGTTCCTTCCAGACAGCAGGTGTCAAGACGTTGGGGTCCAAAGCATCCGAGGGTAAGATGGAGGGTTCGACGAAGGTGGGCAAGGGTTGACCTGGTAGGCCGGCATTACTTTTACGTTGCTGTCGGGACTTCCGGATCTGACACGCAGTTAGTATCCTGCATGTAGCTGGCCATAGAAGAAAGGGCATACCTCTTCGGTCATGGGATCAATCTTGGGAGCAGGTCCGGTCAGACTGTTCTCCCTCTTGCGACCACCGGTAACAGGCACCGGGTAAGTGCACTCCCGGTTTCCAGCCTCGCAAGACCGGCAAGGAGTACCGACACCACTGTTGACGCATTTGACCTTGGATCGCCGGCAGCGAGCACATGCTATCGAGGACCGCATACGTGCTTGGGCATGCCGTGTTTGTTGAGCGTTGCCGGCTTGCTGTTGCCGGGATGCCTGATCCGAGCCCGGAGCTATCGCCGGTGAGGGTTGGGTGAAGCCTTGTGGAGTGGGAAGAGGGCGAGCCGGAGTTACAGTCGAGACCAAATCGGGACGGGGACTCTTGCGAGGCCGGCCATCGTAGTCGTCGCTGCCGTCGGGAGAGACGGAGAAGCGGCGCTTTGGCGACGGCACCGAGGGCCCCGAGAGCAAATTGGCGAGGGCGACTGAGGAAGTAATGGTTGCGGCGTGCGTGAAACGCGTCACGACTTGGATACAGCAGGCCTGGAGGCACGCAGAGAGTGCTGCTCGAAGAAACGGAGCAACGGAATATCTGAAGACTGTCGGCTACCAGCTCGGCGATAGTAGCTCAATCAGCCGAGGGAAAGCGAAGATAGCGAACTTTGCGGAGTAACTGTTATCGAAGCACAGGCGCCAACGAGAGACGGCAATACCTGTTTGTGCAAAGCTGCAATCGCTCAGGTGAGAAGGACTGTCGGTCGGAAAGGAGGAGGGAGGGAAAGGGAAGGAGAAAGAGGAGCCGGGCCCTTGGTCCTCTTGAGCCGTGGCCGTCACCAAACATGCGACTCCGAGTACAGCCTGCTTCCATATCAACTCTTGGATTAAGCCGACACGGTCCGACTGCTCCACATGCTACAAACCCGAATGCCGCCCGAGCTGTTGATCCAACCCACGGATTTGACATGTGATCTTACTCGCACTGCCTTTTGTGCCTCCCGGCCCTCCAAAGCCCAGTCCATATCACTTCTCGCAAAGTCCCACAAACTCTCACGACTCCCGATACTTTTTACCGTCCATTTTCTTCACCCGAACATGCAACGCTGAGCGGTAGGGCTCACTCGTCTCTCCTGATGTCGTTGTCACACGCTGTCCCCTACTTTTCTCTTAGCCGCATTCCTTGCTCCGGTTGGTTTGCTTAACCGCAACCGCCAGACCGTATCCCGCCAATTCGGCTCCATCGTGCCTTCGACTCGGCAATTCATACTTGGACGAGTCCCGTCCACTCAGCTTCTACAATTTTACCCAGACCAGTCTTTGGGGAGACCTTTGTGTTACTCCATCTGCCGGAATGTCGTACAAATACCTACCGAACCCCGCGCTTCATTGGCTGTCCATCGCCATCGCGCGGCTACTCCTCCAGCGAAAATATGCCCCCGGATTGTAGATTTCGTGTTACCTTCCTGAACATGCATACCAGATTGTCTCAATCTGCATGGTGATGGATGGCAATGCAACCTTGATCGCTGATACGATTTTGCACATGGCATGATAGTATACCAGAAGTCTGGTCGTGCCGTCTACCATGTCAAGCAAGGATTTTGTCAATCCTGTCATTCTTGTTGTGTAATTTGCGTGATATTCTACACTGTGATGCTGTGACCGACCAGAATCGACAGGCCCTAGACCTTTGTTGTCGTCCATCACAACACGTACACACACATATCAAGCACTCACCCATTGCCAGCGACGACTGAAGAAGCTGCAAAAATTCAAGGTACTTTTCAGACATGGCGATTTGTCCATCAAGAGCGGAAATCTTCCGTGCTCTCCCTGTGTCCGTCTACCAATTCAACAAGCATTGTGTATTTCTACAACAGGTCAAGATTGTGGTCCATGGGCCTGGAAGCCCTGCGTCTAGATTTTGAATATAGCCGGTGAGGCCCCTAAACCCAAACCAGAAATTGCAAGCACGACAAGCACGCATTGGAGCAAGGTTACGGCACATCAGTCCCAGAGCCACGGATCAAAACACACACATTCTTATTTTGCGATTCAGCAATGTGACGTACTCTAGCTATGTTGTGTCAAGCCATGCATTGTTTCCCGTGATAACCCTTGCATCCATAGACCGACTCTCTGAGCGGCTGCAACATCATGACCTCAGCGGCTAATACATACCCCCCTCATAGAACTCGTGCTCGGGCTCCATCGAGTTGGCGCGAGCATCGCAAGGAGAGCTTCTTGGTGTGATGCTTCCGTCACCTGAACTATCGTTCTGAGTTCCGACTTGCCTTTCGTCAGCAGCGTTCTCCTCGTAGGTCCGAAAGCTGAAGATACCATCGTAGGCGTGGTTGGTTTGGATACCTGAGGCACGAGTAACAGGGGCAGGTTCCGCACTTTGAGCAGAGCTTTCTGAGCTACTTGGCTGGGGGGTGTTGACATTGTGAAGCTGGATGGGAGCGAGGGTATGGTCTGGGTCATGGTACTGTGGAGGAATGCTTGGGCGTGGCAGAGGTAGGCTCTGGCTCTCGGTGTTGGCAGTAGCAGGAGCGGGTGGCTGGCTTGATGCAGAAAGTCTTGCTGAAGTAAGGCCGTGGGTACCGGAAGGGTGCAGCGTGCCGCGGTAGGCATTGGACAGGTAGCGGCGAACCTCTTCACCATTGGCTCTGTTGGCAGCAAGTTGAAGCGTGTCCATGACTGCTCCCATTTTGATGTTGTAGATCTCGTTCGCCAGAGCAGCGTTGTGCATGATCCATTGACTGTTACCGGATGTGAGACTGTGTGAGATGAAGGCACTCATGCTGGTTGTAAACAGCTCGCTGGGGCTTGGATCAAGAGCGCAGTATTCACGTCGATGGCCGAGCTGTTCGCAGCCACCACACTTGACCAGAGGTTCCTGACAAGGCAAGGGAAGGTGCTGCAACAAACACAGTTAGCGATCATTGGGCGACCTCTTAGTTGAGAACAAGCAGCGAACACTCACCCATTTCTGACAGTTGTGGCAGAGAGCGAAGTACTGAGCGCATATTAGTGACCCTTGTTCAAAAAGACATGGCTGGGGCGAGATAGCTTACCTTATAGTCAGGCTGCAATCTGTGAGCACCCAGGTGGCAGAAGTTCCAAGTGTGACCGAGGGCACCGCAGTTCAAGCATTCTTCAAGAGCCTGCTGGCAAACGCGAGGCAGATGAACTAAAAGTGTCAGTCTAGATTCATAGCTTGATCCGAAAATCTGGGGCGACATACTCTGATGGCAGTTATAACAGAGATCCGACATCTTGGCAATGCTTTGAAAGTAAATTGGCACTAAGGGTAATGAAATGCGCAATGGAGGATCCGAGCGTCGATGAGGTTGAAGAGGAGCGGGAGCAGGGTAGAACGATTGGCAAATATGCAAAATGGGAAACGCCGGAGGCAGGAAGTGGGTGAACGCGCTTTCCCAAAGAAATTGCCAGGCAGACGTGCGCCTCTTGGGCCAATCCGGACATGAGAGGTAGCGTTCACCGAGGGCAATGCTTCTCAAAGTCATACCTCCTACTCATCTATCGCTTGTTCTTCTTCCAGTTTCCACCTTTGCCACCTTTCCTTGCAGCCGGGGGCTTGCGATCGAACAGCTTCTCTCTGCAGAATCCTGCATCTGCGAGCCTCAAATAACTTGTAACACCTTGATCCACAACAGCCAGGATAACGCTCTTGTATCCATTACGCAACTTTTGATACAGCTGTACATCTTTACGAGGTGGCTCGTATGATTGAGTGTCGATAAGAGCACTCAGCTGGGCAAGCGTTGGAACAGAAGTCTCTCTAGCATTGATGACTGCGATGCGGAAGTCAGGCGTGCCAGGGTCGCTTTTCTTGTAAGTTGTTGAGCCAGGCTTCCACAGGTGGTATGTAATTCTGAAAGCAGGATCTGTCGCATTTGCGGAATCCTTTGTTCTGGATGTCGGATCGTAGCTTGGGATGATTGCAAGACGGCGATAAATTTCAGCTGAACATATTAGTAGGAAAACACAAGCATTGTGCCAGCAAACACATACCATAATTGCGATAAAGCCCTGGTTTTACCAACGGTCCAGCTTTCTGCTCCGTTTCTGTTGCGGATCGAGGGATGAACATGCTTTGCCACTTGTCCCTGAGCAAGCCCAGGCTCCAAGACGTGCCTTGCACAGGCGGATAGCAGTCGTCTCCAGGATCACTGCCCGGACCGTCCCAGCTCGGAGCTCTGTGGACTGTATAGCCTGATCTCTTCAAACCAGAGTATACAGAATACTTCTCGAAAGTCAGAGCACCTTCGCCGTCACCCTCCATGCCCAAGAACGCAGCGTACGCGCCTTGAAGACTCATGGGCAAGCCCTCACCATCTTCATCGTCCTCATCCACTGGCCATCGAACATCAATAGTTCCTCGCTCAAGCAGATAGATGACTTCTTCCGGAAGCAACCAGATCCTGTTCTCTCCAGCGGTACGGGGTCCGAGTGGATCTTCTTTGGCAGGGAAAACTTTCCCCATACTCTTGAACAATGGTCCTTTGGGATCCTCTGTGTACGCCATGTTGGTCTCCGGATGGTAGTGAGCCAGAACATACTTCTTCGGTTGATGCACACGCTGGAACGATAGTGCTGTGTGCATAGCATCCCTCGAATCTGCCAGTGTTTTCGACTGAAGGTCTGTGTGGTGAGGTTCAAAGTCCTTCTCACCTCTTTTCGGAATCTTCGCATCATCGCTGCTGTGAAATATCAGTGAAATGTCAACCAGACTGTTGGATGGGATAGAGGCGCACGAGAAGTTCAGAAGGAAGCGAAAGTCCTGTGTCTCATCTGATAGATCGAGGTCCCCTACGTCCGGTCCACGTGGAATGACATCCTCATCTGCGTCCGCCATGTCGACCTGAGTCTTTCAACAAAGTCGATGGTTTTGTTGGATGGAAGTGAACAATAAAAGTGCCTGATCGGATTACAACTCGCGCACGAATTCCAACAACTCGACGACAACCGCTTTCCAAGACAGTGACGCGTCTTACTTGTTTTGTTGGTCTCTGTCTCGTTGCTTCTTGACGCGACTGTTCTGATAGCTTCTACAATCTGCCTTTCACAGACAACGACCATCTGACGCGCGAAAACGCAGTTGCAGTCAGAAAATCACATTCGCGCCTTACTCTTTTCGTCAGATTTCCAGCGGCTAATTCAGCCCTACCCGTCGGGGAGCTTTCCTCCACTTGAACTTCACTCCGGCGCACCCTCACCGCACTCACTAACGGGTCTTCCCCCGTTTGAGCATCGAGCATCGCATTGTACATCGCATTAAAAATGGCTCGTCTGTCAGGCTCAACCCAGCCTGCAGGTTTGGGCAAGACCACCACCGGCCTCGGCGGTAAAGGACTCGGCAAGTCCACTGCCAAGCGCCATCGGTGCGTTATCCGATCTCGATGCTACTTGGGTGACCCTGCTAACGGTTACCACAGTAAGATCTTACGCGACAACATCAACGGCATTACCAAGGGTTCGATCAGGTAAGTACCTGACTTGTATAGCGCCTCGAATATGCATTAATCACTCCCAAACTCAGACGCTTGGCCCGCCGCGGTGGCGTGAAGCGCATCTCAGCTACCATCTATGATGAAGTTCGTGCTGCACTGAAGGACAGACTGAAGCTGGTGCCCACCCATGACACCCAACATCCAAATGACTGATGACTGACATTTTACGTAGCTTCTCCATGACATCTGCGCTATCCTGGGTACTTACGGCTGCATCATTTTGCCTTCTTTCACTAACAAGCCGTACAGAATGCACCGTCCGCAAGACCATCACCGTTCCGGACGTCGTCTTCGTCCTGAATTGCCATGGAACTCCCATCTACGTGAGCTCTCACTGATTTCTGCAGACGACAAGAATTCTAACAAATGGCAGGGTTTCGACACACCTTTCCGCACTCGCAAATGAACACTCTTTACACAGACGTGGAACTGTTTAATGAAGACTGATGGATACCCCTGAATAGGCGTTTAGCGGCGATGTTTAGAAAAGCAAGGAAGCACAGGTCGTGGTATACAGACTGGTACAAAGGAGTCATTCTCATTCTCATCTCACTCCCTTGACGCAGAGGCATTCGCAAATGATTGGCCTCATAAAATTGGGATGTCGTGCAGTGTTTGCAATTGGCGCCGAAACGCCATCCGTTTGTTGCGGAGATCTGTTGATCTTCTTCAGACGTGGGGAAAGCTGTTCCTCCAACCTTGAAACCTTCCTTCCCGAACCAACCACACTCCTTGCAATATCCGGGTAGTGGCTGTCATCATGCACAAGCAGGACCTATCGTTTGCCAAACAGGCTGCCCTGTGAGATCAGTGAGCACAGTGTGCACGAGAGTGGTGGTTGAAACGCCTGCGCGCGCCGCCAAATGTTTCATGTCTTAGGTGCATGACAACCAACACCGCAGATGCTTGGTTTGTGAAATTCGCACAGAGGCAAGTGGCAGAGCAACCTTCACCTTCCATTCATGTCCGTCCTCGTATTCTCCCTTGAAATAGTTGGACCAATCCTATGCGCTTTCCTTCCCGAAGCACCTTTGAACTTCCGTCACCCACACTCCTTTGTACAAACGCACCAGCATTTAACTGCTGCCATCACGCTCCTTCAACACTTCTTTTCTCAGATTCATCCACGCTCTTTTAAAACCCTTTCGTATTCTCTTCTGCCATGTTTGCACTGCACTTCTTTTCTTTGCCCATCATGAAGATCTCTTCAATTGCTCCTGTGCTCGCCTTGATGGCTGCGCAGAGCGTCAACGCACACACTCTCTTTGCCGAACTCTATGTCGACGGCCAGGCTCAAGTAAGTAGATGTTTGATCGTCCAGCCGCGCGATGTTCAATGCTAATCTATCTCTCACAGGGCGATGGCACTTGCATCCGCATGCCCTCGGATCCCAACACTGCCACCAATCCCATCCCCAGCCTGGACAGCAGCGACATGGCTTGCGGTGTTGATGGCACCAAGGGTGTCGCTCGTGTTTGTTCGGTCGACAGCGGCTCCACCCTCAGCTTCGAGTACCGCGACTGGCCCGACAACCCATCGGTCGGCAGCATCGACATCTCCCACAAGGGACCTTGCGCCGTCTACCTCAAGAAGGTCTCATCTGCCATCGACGACGAGGGCACCGGTGATGGCTGGTTCAAGATCTGGAACGAAGGCTATGACGAGTCCGCCGGCAAGTGGTGCACCGAAAAGCTCATCGACAACAATGGCCACCTCAGCGTCAAGGTTCCCGAAGGCCTCCAAGGTGGTTACTACCTTATTCGTCCCGAGCTGCTTGCCCTCCACAATGCCGACAAGGGTGATCCTCAGTTCTACGCTGGCTGCGCCCAAGTCTGGTTGAACTCTGATGGCACCCAGCTTCCTCAGTCAACTGTGTCCATCCCGGGCTACGTCGACTACAACCAGCCCGCCACCAGCTTCAACATCTGGAATGAGAAGATGGCCCTACCCTATCCCATGCCCGGTCCTTCCGTCTACACTCCTTCATCTTCCGCCAAGGTCGGCAACCAGAAGCTGAGAGTCTCCCAGCAGAAGCAGACCGAAGGTCTTGCTCCCAGCAACAGCATCATCACCAATGGCAACTGGAACGGTATCGAGCTCGCCAGATACAACGATCAGGAAGGCTGCTGGAACGCCAGTACCGCATGCTGGGCTCAGTCCAAGGAATGCTACGACACTGCTCCTCCTACCGGTCACTCTGGCTGCAAGATCTGGGAAGGCAAGTGCCAAGACATCAACGATCAATGCAGTGCCAGCAACTACAAAGGCCCTCCCAACTACATGAAGAACCTCAACCCCGTCGTCAAGCAAGTCAAGCTTCCCGCCGCAGAGGCTGCTCAGACTGGTGACGGTTCTTATTCTCCTGCCTCTTCCGCCGCCGCCAGCAAGCCTGCCACCACGTTCAAGACTTCGGCTCTTGTCGCCAAGGCCACTGCTGTTGCCCCTCCGTCCAACTCGAACGCGCTCACCGTCTCTACTGAAGGCAACTGCGGCAATGGCGTGACCTGTAAGGGCTCAAGCTTCGGCGACTGCTGTTCTAGCCACGGTTATTGCGGCTCCAGTGACCAGTACTGCAGTGCTGGATGCAACAGTGCTTTCGGCACCTGTGGTGGTCAGTATAAGAGAGACGAACACAACCACATGCACGTCCACAAGCACAAGCGCGCTGTTCGTATCGGTGGCGACGCCAGAATGATGCCATGATTTCCATGACCTACTCACAATGACCAATCAACAAAAACAGGGGAGCATTGGGACGGGGAGTTTCTAGTCTCTGGTTTGGAGCATATGGAGGAGGCTGTTGTCAAGGGATGCTGTGCGTTTCTTCATCATCGGGCCTTTGTGTTTTCTCCTTTTTCTTTTTTCTCTTCCTTCACTTCTTCTCAGGGATGATGTCTCATCATACTGCTTTTGTAGGATAGTTTGTAACCTTCCAAATTCGAAACAAGTTTGTTTTGCTTGCTCTTTTGACCTGTGTTATGAATGTGATCTTGTGCCTTTCAAAGGTGAAGGGTGGTTATCTTGCATAGGTTTGCGATGGTTACAAACGCCAAGTGGGCATCTAATCAACCATCATTCAAATGCATGGTTTCGTGGATCCATGGTTGGTACATCACGTTGTAGTCGGACCAGGAAAAATCATGGGATGAGAGCGAAGTAGAAAAACCTTGTAGCATAAGAAAGGGGGTATCTTTATAACGAAAACGAGAAACACCAGTGCCCTTGGAATACCATCAGCCACTAAACCGCACCAACTCCCTCCACATCGTAGAGAAAACATTCCTCAGCGAAATCGCAGTGGAAGAAAAAAAAAAGAAACCAGAAAACACCTCGACCACCTTGAAACACCACCTCTAAGCATCACGATCCTGACTAAGTCTCTGAGCCCAACGATCCCTATATCCAGAAGGTCTTCTCGCACAACCTCTCTTGACACCCACATCCCTGACATGAATGACCAGCAAAGCGAGCGCCAGAGAAGTCCAAACGTCATAGCCGGAAATGCTGAAATCGAAAACACCGACCGTGCGTAGATATCCCACCGAATCGCTCGAATCGCCACCGGGTACAAAGGCCACGATACCGACGAGTCTGTGCGAAACCAAGGTACCATAGAGTGGTGGTGGCGTATTGAAGTCAGGACGATTAGGGACGGAAGGGAATGGTGTGGTGGAAGTTTGAACAGTCCAATGTTGATGCAAGGTATGCAGACGACTCAATAGTTCATCCTGCATGGCTTCTACGTCTTCATCTCTGCCACCTGCATGGATTTTGATGAATGGATGATTGGGGTATTGATTGTTGGAGTCCCATTCACCCCAATCCATGTAACGGCGGATCTCAGCCACGATGAGATTTTCCGGACTCTTGTTTACGAGAAGTTTATCGCGGACTTTGGGGCCGAGTTGCATGAGGCGGTTGAAGGCGTGTTTGGCGCGGAAGTCTGCGGAGCGTAGGGTGTTTATGTAGCCTGGATGGGTGTGGTGGGGAGGGAGAAACATGCCTTCTGGCATCATGGGAAAGTCGAGACGCCAGTGGTTGGCGAAGAGGGGTTCGCGACCGCGGTTGTGGATGCGTTGGACGAGCCAGACGTTGTTCTCGGGCCAGTTGCGATCGAGCAGTTGTTGCTTGGTCACGCGCTCGTCTTCGAGACTACCGACGCGGGCGCGTGAGTCGACAAGGATGGTGTCACCATCGATGGCTTCCTCGAAGAAAGACTCGAAGATGGAAGCGTTGTTGTTTGAGGCGATGATGGAAGAGTCGTCTTTGTCGTATTCGACGTCGAGCGCATCGTTGTCGCTGGCGTCTGTGTCGGCAAAAACGATGAGGTCCTCATCTCCATTACCATAGACAGGAGTGTCGTGACGGGGAAGGACGTTAATCACATCGTCCTCTTCCTCTTCCTCTTCCTCAACACTGTCGATGACGATGTGAGGAACTACTTTGGGCGTCTGTCTGATTATGGTGCTCGGCAGAAGAGTTTCCATGCCTGACAGAGGCCTGTCTGAGCGGATTGTCGGGTTGTAGATACTGTAGTCGTACTCAATGCCATCGTCGTAGTCTCCCTCTCCCTCAAAGACTTGTCCCATTGTCTCTGGGGTATCGAAGGTTGGGTTGTGGACATCGTGGTCGTAATAAGCGCCTCCCTCCTCGTCCTCGTCACCACTGTCATACTCGTCGTCCTCGGAGAAGATGCCATCGCTTTCGTACTGATCTACAGGTCTTGCCAAGTACTCTAGCTTCAGGTCTTCCAGGCAGATGGCTTCAAGTTCAGCTTCGCGTTCTGCACGTCTTCTCTTTCTCTGGTCTTCGATCTCGGTGAGTCGCTTTCGTTTGGAGCCGGGCTGTGTGTCTTCGGGAGTAAGTGGTTTGTATCCACCAACGTGGCGTTCGGGGGTGATGAACTTGTACGGCGACGCGGTGGACGGTCGGGCGGTGCGAGTGACGGTAATTCTTTTGTGCGCGGCAGCCTGCTGCGGCGACACGTATCCCCAGAAGGCCGCCGAAAGTCGTTCGAAGAGTCGAGGCGGCATGATAAGCGTGTCTCTCGGTTGTAGCGAATTTTGTCTCGAGGTTCAGTCGAGTCTTTGTGCGACCGTCGCGATAATGTTTAGGCAACCAAAGCAGGGAAGGAAGCTGTGTCAAGATGCGACAAGGGTAGAATGGAAGACCAAGCTTCGAGTACGGTCGAAGCCGAACAGTGAGTGATCACTCGAATCAACAACAGACCTATTCATAATTGTCGCAACCGATTGTCCGGCTTTGTCGAATGCTCCCTCGTGCTCGTGGACGTGGATGCAATTTCCCCGCATGCGGTATACAAAGCTCGGGCCACACATTCTTCGTTCTTTCCGTTTTCGGAACCTTCTTATCTTATCGGCCAGACACCTTGATGTGCCCTCGACGGCATGCTTCGTTTGCAATCATAGCCATTACAATGCACAATTGGTCTCCATTCCCGGGTGGCCTCCACTAAAGGTGCGTCGGGATAATCATCACCTTCAATCAAACCTGTCCACTTTTCACGCTTCTCCCAAGGCCGTACGAGCACCCACCTAGCAATCATTATCTCACCTGCAGTGTCTATCTTCGTAAGCAGAGCAGAAAATCGTTCGACCGAAAAGCTGGAGATGCCCAATGTAGTGAACATCCATAATATCTAAGCTATCATACATCTAGCCATCGACACCAACCACTTGACTTATAAATTGAAACGCGCGACAGCCACACCATTCATCGTGCTTTCTGATCTTCTTTCTTATCCTCTAAGCCTTTCCGCTGCATAAGCCCACTTCTCCAACCCCATCCAATGCTTTGACCACATCTTTACACCTCTGATCAATCCACTCTACGCTGCAGCCAGGTTTTTTCGGCTCCGTAGACGCATGTGATGGTAGTCCCCGGATGTACGTGTGAGGTGGATGCGATGCAGTACTTGCGCTTGCGATCCTCGCATCTGGAATTTCCACGCTCGGTGGGCAGGTAGGCGAAGCGGTGGGAGGTGCCGGTGTTGGCACGACGTTGACGCTCAGTGCTGGATTCACGGTTGACAGCGGTGCCGTGATGGTTCATTTGCCTTCCTCGGGATTCATTTTTTTGGAATCTGTAGCGTCTTCCTCATATTTACCTCGTCAATCTCAAACATCACCAACCAATTTCCCCATCAATAGCGCATCAACCATTTCTCCCTTCTTGATAGATCCTTCTCCGGCAGGTAAACACAACAACGCATTCGCGCCCTTGAAGCTTCCGATCCGCGAACTTCTCTGCCCACCAGTGCTCAAAGCATGTAACAATCCGTCCCCACCAGCCTTGACAACAGCACGGTGAAACTCATCTCTCTGCCTATCCAACCTGACATCCCCATCCAACTGCACCTTGACCCTCGCACATCCTCTGGGCTCAACCCCGGCCATCTGGTGCAAACTCGGCAGAACAAACAGATGATAGGTGACCACGCAACTAGCAGGATTTCCGGGTAGTGAAAATACCACCTTGTCGATCCTCTCGCCGGAGTTTGATTTTACAGGAATGGTGGCGAAGGTGGTAGGTTTTCCTGGTTTCATGGCGACGCGGCCGAAGTGGATGGAGCCGCCGAGTTGGCGTTCGAGGGTGGGTTTTAGGAGGTCGAGTTCGCCCATGCTGACGCCGCCGGAGGTGATCATTACGTCGACTCTGCGGGTCGCATCGCGGAGGGTTTGCTCTAGGGCGCCTGGTCTGCGGTAGTTTGTCAGCTTTGGTTTTCCATGATGAAAGAGGATGTCAGAGGAGGAGTGGCGTACTTGTCTGATACTATACCGAGATCTACGGCTTCGAAGCCTGAGCCACGGATGGCGGTTAAGAGGGTGGGGCGGTTTGTATCTCTGACTTCTCCTCTTTTGAGATCGCCTTCTCTGTCGTGGTTTACGATCTCGTCGCCTGTGCTGAGGACTCCAACGATTGGTTTCTTGTACACGGAGACCTCTTTGACGCCCACGGAAGCGAGAAGACCAAATTCTCCACCGATAGCCGAGATACCTTCGCCTTTTTGCATAATGACATCGCCAGATTGAACATCAGAGCCTACCTCTCTGACATTTTCTCCAACTTCGATCTCATCAGTCAAGATCTCGACTTCCTTTTCCTCGTTACCGTCGTCGGTTTTGGAGACGAGAATTGTGTCTTCGACCATGACTACAGAAGTAGCACCGGGAGGCAGAGGAGCACCAGTAGTGATTCTGGCAATCTGTCCCTTCTGCAATTCTTGATGTTCGCCAGCTTGAGCATGAGAAATCATGGATACAGGGAAAACTCCCTTGGTTGAGGGAGCATCTGAGCCGGCGATTACAGCGTAGCCATCTACGATGCTGGCGCGGAAGGCAGGGACGGATTCTTGCGCTGTGACGTCTTCGGCTAGGACATGACCGACAAGAGATTCGTTGACTGGAAGTTTGATGATGGTGGGTGAGGGAGTGTGCTCGGCGATCTTGTGGAGGGCGTCCTTGACCGTGAGCATTGGATAGGGCGATTGTCTGTAGCGTCTACTGGGTCCTTGAGCAGGGTCGTTGGATTGCTGAGGTCGTTCTTCCGGCGCCGTGTGGGCTTTTGGCCCCTGATGTCCTCCATGTCCAGGTCCATAATTATGCCCACATCCATGGCCACCATGACCATGACCATGCGAATGTGAATGCCCACCACCAACTTTCTTCTCCCCACCCTTCGCACTCACTCCCGCCTCCTTCTCCAACTTCTCCACACCCCCCTTATGCATATTCCTCGAATCGCCCCCCTGCGCCTGCAAACAAGCATGCCCCAACAACTTAAACACCGCCTCCAAATTCTCCTTCGCACCCTTCGGACTCCCCGGCAGTGTCAAAATCAGACTCCCATCCCTAACCCCAGCAACAGGTCTACTCATCACAGCAAAAGGCGTAACCTCCAAACTAGCAGCCAACATCCCATGCACCAACCCCGGCGCTTGTTTTTGAATAAGCGGACCCACGGCTTCGGGCGTTACATCTTTGACCGCAAAGCCAGTGCCGCCGGAAGTCACGATGAGGTTTACTCCTTCAGCGCAGGATTGGAGGACGGCATTTTGGATTTTGGTCACGTCGTCCGGGATGATTTTTGTGGCTGTGATTTCCCACTTTGAGGCGCCGAGCGAGGTGAATACTTTTTGGAGGGTGGGGATGCATTTGTCTGTTGAGGGGTCTGCGGAGGCGGTTTCTGAGATTATTATTATGGAGGCTGTGAGTTTTTGTTGGTCTGCCATTGTTGCTTGGGATTGTTTGGTTGGGATTGATGGGTGGTTGGTTGATGGGATGAGGTCGAGGTCGAGAAAGCGGGAGTTGTTGCGGAGATGCTCGAGAAATCAACAGGAATGAATTGATTACTCAGATATCTTCGAGCACTCTCTATCTTTTGATTCAATGTTTATATCACTTAAACAAGGGTGCACGTAATGGTGATCACTACAGAAACATGTCGAGACGGTTCAGATAAATTGTTTCAATCATTTGCTATACAAGGTCTATACACGGTGGTGATGATCCACTCAATTCAGATGCTTTCAATAAAAACACAACATGGCTACCCATTTGCTTCGCTCCGGACGCCTACTAATGCTGGCTGACTGGCTTCGTTTGCGACAGTATTTGTGAGGCAGTGTTGAGTTGCCCTTTTCTTTCTTCTTGTGGACTCCATTTCATTATCCCTTCTCTCCTCTTTCATGACACACAGCGTCCAGGGTATCGAATAGTTTAGTGGAAGTCGGCAGCGGGACCGGAGAGTAGGAGACCAATGATGAGACCGAAGAGTCCGAGGACTGAACTGAAAATCTCAATGACCAGGATCTTGACGAACCTGGAGCGGAATTAGTATGACTAGATGCGATCGATGGAGAGTGTTAAACGTACAAGCTGGGGTCAGCAGCATCTGCAAGAGCAGCACTGGAACCGTTGATACCAACAGACACACCGCAGACCAAGTTGCAAGCGCCGACCAAGAGACCAGACCAGAAGAGGGCGAAACCAGTGTAGTAGTTGCTGCCTGATCTTGCGGCATCAGAGCCCACCGAGGCCAGCTTTGCGGAAAAGACAATGGACATGATGACACCGTAGATGGCGACGACTTCGCAGAAGATGATGGAGATCAAGTTCTTGGTTCGGATCCTGGGAGCCTTGACACCACCACCGAGAATCGAGGAGCCGGTGATGAAGATACCCCTGTAGTGTGTTGTCTCAGTCTTTTGTTCTTTCTTTGCAGCTCCTTCTGGATATTGTGTGTACTGACCATGCAGCTCCAACGACCGAGAGACCAATGCAGAGGCCGATACCTGTGCTAGCCCATGCGTGGGGCGAAATGCTGAGAAGGAAGTCTCCAACCTGGGGTGCTTGTCAGATCCATGTTCGGCGGTACTTGTCGTTCGAAGGTGCATACGTTAAAAGCCTCGCCCTCTCCATTGAACAGCATGTCTACCGTCTGATTAGCTTTGGGTCCATCGCGTCCAGGATAGTGGTAAGAAGCGTACAAAGTCCGATGACTGTCAGGGCAGTGGTTGCGCCATAGGCGCCATATGTGAGACCGCCCATGTTTGATTGATCAAGGACTGCGCAGTCGTCGTTGAATAGAAGGCTGAATATCAAGATCCCGCGTCCCTTGGTCTGCCAACGTTGGAGGTGACGCTTCGGGCAACCAGGATGATGCGCTGCGGCAATCTCCGTCACTTTCCACGTGATATGGATCTGATGTTTCGAGTCGACGGCAACAACGTACTCCTTCAACTATTGGGGACTATATGGCAGTACAGACAACAGTCTTGTGAAAGAGAGAGAACGGAATATCTCAAAAGAACATGCTGGCGCAGAAGTAGGTAAACTCGCACCAACTAAAGCGACAAGAGCCTCAGCCTTGGCATACCCGCACCTCCTCATCAAGGTCGCTGCCCCAAACATCTAACTCTGGCCGTCCACTTTGATTATTCGAAAGCCATGTCGGCCTCTGCACCCAAGTGGCTGTTGTTCGCAATCGCCAGTGGAGCCTGCGCTGCTCTGAATGGTGTCTTTGCCAAACTGTGAGACATATTGAGCTCAATTGCGCATCCTCCTTACTCACTACTGCAGCACTACCACCCATCTGACTACAGCATGGGCTGAGTCGCTATCCCATATCTTCGGCCTGTCCGGACCTAACAAATTCTTCGAGTTCCTTGTGCGCGGTGTACGTCTATACGACTTGCGACCCACTCTTGTTCAGAGATATTAATCTTGCTACCAGCTCTTCTTCGTCCTGAATCTCGTCTTCAACGGCATCATGTGGGGACTCTTCACACGCGCCCTTACCTTGGCGACAAGTACGACCAGAGTCAGCGTCATCAACACGTCCGCCAACTTCATGATCACCGCCGTACTGGGCTTCCTCATCTTCTCCGAAACACTGCCTGGATTGTGGTTGCTTGGGGCTGCCATGTTGGTCGCGGGAAGTGTCATTATTGGAAGAAGAGAAGAAGGCAAAGAGACGGGCAATGCAGGAACAGCAGGTGCTGAGCCCACCGTCGTCGCACCGGACAGTCCACAGAGCACACCTTTCGCCGATGAGCCAGATGCTCCGTTACATGGACATGGACGGGATGAAGATTCGGGCTTCAAGGACACACACAGCACACACGAGTTGGAAAACACTGATAGAGTGTGGTCAAGTTAGAGATAGATGATCGCTGGTTGGAATGTGATATACATCACAACTCTGGCGAGAAACAACACGCCGTTCCATTTCGCCCTTCGCTGTCCGCGCAGAAACATTGTGAACAAAAGTAAAAGCAGCAAAGATTTAGGTACATGAATTGCATCATAGTCCGCTCGGTTTGGAGCGTTTTCTCGGGGTATGTGGGTATAGAGGGTGAGGGTATTGGGAGTCGTTGGTCGTTATTCAGCGTCTTATGACTATGAGAGCACAAGCAATCTAGTCGTGTGACTGGACCTTGTTGTTTCCCTTGACAGCCTCGGCATATGTGGGAGGGTTCGCGGCATCATCTCTCTTCGAGGCAGAAGGCATCTGCTGGTCCTGACGGTACTGCTGGGGTTGCGAACCCTCGGGCTGGTTGCTAGGGGCGCCGCTGATGGTGCCGTATCCGGGACCCCTCGAGCTGCTGACTGAAGGGCGGTGACTTTGCTGGACGTAGTAGTATGTCACACGGCCACCTTCGGGTTCTTGGTCGACCTGCTCATACGTGGGGTCGGGGTAGCGCGAAATGATGTACCAGGCGTGGAGGAGACCAGGGAAGAAGCCCAAGCAGCAGAGGGCGATGTTGATGAGAGAGTCTGCCGAGCAGATACCGCGCTTGACCCATACTGCAAGCTCAAGTCAGCACTTGAATCATCTAGAGTTGACCCTTCAACCACTCGCTTGGTCCATGCTGCACCGGTGGCTGCGCGGGCTTGTGGAGAAAGGGACCTGTCGTCGTCACTCACCAGCGATGGGCGGGAAAAGGATGGCCAGGAAGCCCAAGAAGATATCGCTGCCGCACATGTTGTTCGTTTGTTGTTTGTCCGATGTGTTGATCTGTTGCTTGAGCGAGGGGGAAGGGGGGTCAAAAGTCGATTGAAAGCGGTTGCCTTCGTCAAAAGCCCTCACGCGCGATGACGCGAACGCTAGCGTGTGGCTCAGCCCTGCCGGATCATTGTCATGCGCCACACCACAATACTGAAACCACAAACATGGAATCTTCGAAGCTCTTCATGAGCTGATTAAGAATCTGAGGCGAGAGTCAAATACCCAAATATCTCATCCGAGGTAAACGTTGAGATGCGATGGTCCTATGAGCTCTGCGTCGGTATGCATATACATGGTGCACTGCTTCGTACACCGCATTCATGCCTGTATTACAAGTCGGTCAAGTCGGTAAGGTGTGATGAGCGAAAAAGACCCAACTCAAAAGATATTCGAAACCATGGCATGTCTCCTTTCACCGCTTGGGTCAACTAACTCGGCACCTGAAAGAAACATCCTTGTCCATGGCCATGTGTCCAGCATCTGATCTTATGCAAACATCTGCTCGCAGGTTCAACAAGAATCGTTTAAATTGGAAAATCCTCCGATGAAATGATTCCACCGATTCTTTGCAGCCTTGCTGCCGACTTTGATGCCCCAGAAAAGATGAGGCTGGTGTTCTGTCCACCCACTTTCCCCTCTTTCCCATCTCCGCAAGCCCCGGATATCCGTGGCACCTTCTTCTTCCTCGGTTGCCGAAGCCGATCTTCGTTTGCTGTGTGCCTGATGATGCGCAGTATTATCTGCTGATAAGAAAAGGTCGACATGCTGTTCCTGACAATCTTCTTGTCTTTTGTAACTCGCAATCGTGTTGATCCAATCACTACAACATGAATGCTTTGAGGCGTCAAGTTTATGCTGTGAATGCACCGATACAACGATGCTTCTCCACGTCAAGTCAGAGGCACGCGACCTATGGCTTTATCGGATTGGGTCAGATGGGTATGCGATTACGATCCAAATCCTTATCAGCTATACCTAACACCAACCAGGCTATCGTATGGCTCAAAACCTAAGAGCCAAGCTGCCCAGTTCCGACAAATTGATCATTCATGATGTGAACAGCGAAGCAACGTCGAGATTCGCAAAGGAGAACTCAAATGTAGAAGTCGCTGAAGATGTCAGAGATGTCGCAGAAAAATCAGTAAGTCGAGTCCCTTGCCATTTCCAGCAGTCATCTTGCAACCCTACTAAATTGTAGGCATGTCTTATCTGCTGAAATCATGCTGATGATCGTTCCAGGAAACAATCATCACAGCACTCCCAGGACCATCTCATGTACAAAACGTTTTCAAATCAATGCTCAAACCACCAACACTCCTCCGTGACGGCGTGGACCAAGAACGTCTCTTCATCGACTGCTCAACCATCGACCCCCTCTCCTCCGCAGACGTCGCCAACGCAGCCCACTCAACCGGCCAAGGCAAATTCATCGACGCCCCAATGTCTGGCGGTATTGTAGGTGCCCAAGCAGGCAAACTCACCTTTATGATCGGGGCACCATCAGAACTCGTCGACCGCGCCACTGAAGTTCTGCTGATGATGGGAAAGCGTGTAATTCACCTCGGACCTCAAACTTCTGGCTTGAAAGGAAAACTGGCGAATAACTACCTTCTCGCTCTTAACAACATCGCTACCGCAGAAGCCATGAATATGGGTGTCAAGTGGGGATTGAATGCTTCCGCACTGGCTGACATGATCAACACGAGTACTGGAAAGTGTTGGCCCAGTGAAGTCAACAACCCCGTTCCTGGTGTTCTCCCTGATGCTCCCGCTAGTAAGGAGTATGCAGGTGGCTTTGGCACGGCACTGATGAACAAGGATTTGAAGCTGGCCATGCATGCTGCTCAGCAATTCGGCATTGAACCTCGTCTTGGACCCATGGCTGCTTCCATTTACGCCGCGATAGAGGGTAACCCAAAGTACAAGGGCAAGGACTTTTCGGTGGTTTACAAGTACCTTTGCGGAGAGTAGACGGAATTGATAGCGATTGTGTTTCAAGGAGTCGAGCGTGCTTTCATATGCTAGATATGTAGACTTTCAGGGGTCGTCTTTTGCAGGTGCTGGTCACCAATATCACTTGCTTTTACATCTTGACTTGCCGAACTGCAGACAAAATTCCACTTTGCGACCGCCGGACACTGCTACACTGTATTTGCTCCTCTTCCAGCTCTCGAGAGGATAAAGCTCAAAGGAAAACCTGACATCAATTCCTCCTTCTCCTTCGTGACAGACCACCATCATCTCGACAATAGAGAAGCACATGCGTCATCATCCCAAAAGGTAATAGGCACATGATACGCCAAAAATCCCGACCTCCATCAATCCAGGCAAGCAGCTCCAAAAGATTGCCTGGCCCCGGTATGGACAGCAAAAGAGATGATTCCGCCCGGGTTCGAACCGGGGACCGCCTGTGTGTTAGACAGAAGTGATAACCAACTACACCACAGAACCATTTGATGGAGAAACGATCCAATTTAGCACTCATAACTCTAAGCATAAACACACGTGGCAGCCACGAGGAGTGAGTAATTTCTCGTGATTCAACTCATCCAATGGTTTAGATACTACTTTTCTTATAGCTTTAGACTAGGACTTGAGTCATTTCTTGTATGACTTAAGGGGCCCGCATGTTCTAGCCTCGTGGTTCGGGAGTAGCCGCTCCTTGCTGGCATACTTTATAATCTAGTTTCTTGAAAAAGGTTACAAGAAAACTGCATACTAGCATATTGCTAGAGGCAACGTCTTCATCCTTGCAAAACCAATACAGCAGGCTCGTAAGTATAGAAGCTTAGGAGCAATAGGATCAGCAAGAAGACGAAGCTACGGTGGCGCCGCAATGTCGTCGATTATCTTAAGAAGCGTTGTTAGAGGCATGACCCTGCCTCATTCGATGCCATAATGTCGCTGATTGTCTTTGCAAGTCTTGTCATTGTGGTGACCTTGCTTTTACGTCACTCAGTCACCCTCTCGAAAGAAAGGACGGCATTGCCGTGCAGCCGTACACAAAGCTGTCTGAGAATTCCTCAGAGCTTGCGTGGCAGACCTTCGAAGAGGTCGCAGTCTTCATCAGACACCTGGTCGGGCGAAGCCACAGCATAAGTACTAGACTCTTTAGAGGTTGTCGAAGAAGGCGTCTTTGGCCGAATCGCGAAGTCGAATGCGCCACATGTGCATATCTTGTCGTGTTTGTTCATGGCTCTGAGCACGCGCTTGCTCCTCTTCTCACACATATTGGAGCTCTTCGATGGAGTATGCCCAGTCTTGATGTACTCGAAATCGCAGCTGCAGCCTCTTGAGCCCCTATGCTTGATCAGCACCTTAACGATGGATCTGCACTTGGAGTCGATCTTTTCGCCGCCACGTCCTGGTCTTTGTGGTTGGGATTTACAGGTAAAGAGGACCAGTGGCTCCTGACGAAGTACGGAGCCTGGAACGTAACCAAAATTTAAGGCGTATTGATGCCACGTCCAGTCATCTCGACGTATCTTGCGGACGAAGTATCGCGAGTGGGCACAAGGACACATGCGCCATTGCTCCTCAAAGTCCTTGTAAGATGGTGCGTTTCCAGATTGTCGCTTGAGTGCGCATCCCGAGTCTGATCTGCTGGCTGAGCCTGTATTGTTCGGCGTGGTGTTGACTTGACCCATCCTGTCAATTTTAATTGTATCTCGTGTTCGATTATGTGATGCATCATGAGACCCCAGAATCGAAGCAAAATGCTCGAGGGCCTGCTGTTAGTCATCCACCTCAAACTTGCTCATAGCCTCACCTTGCCGAACAGTCAAGGTTCATGCTGTTCGACAAGGTTCGTGCTCGAGAGCTTGATCATGTGGAGCTCCATATTCCATCACCGCAGAAGTCTTCCGTACGTTTGGCATAAAGTACAAGATCCATCAACCGAGAGAGAAGTGGATATCAAAAATGGCCACCACCGTCGATGCATGTGACTCTTTGTGGGCATCCAAATCGATCGACCCAGAATCATCAGCATACACATACACAGGCAGGCCCGACTGGCGAACCAAGCCCCTGATACCACGCGCCGTGGCAGAGAGCATCACAGAAGCTGTACATTCAGCAACAATCACCGCGTCTAAACCAGACCTTCCTCCGGCATACGACGATATCATGACCCATAGGAAATGGACTTACAGATACAAGAACGCCTTCATACGCGAGTCCCACTCCAATGGCAACAAGGAAACCCACTATGGAGTCAGCGATGATGGAGGAAGTGAGCCAGTTGCATCTTTCGTCTGCAAAGGAGAAACCAAGATTTCCAACTCAAACATCAACCACCAGTGCAGAAAAGTGGTTCGCAAGCTCTTGTATCACAGAGCGAAGATGGGTCGGAACTGTCACTGTGATTTTGAGTACATCAAGACCGGCAAAATAGAACGCAACACGTCGAGGCTGTGTACTTGGACTCCAGGCAAGACTGGAAAGTCGGTGTTGAAGCAGATGGAGAAGCATGACAGGAAGTGCTCTTGTGGCGCTTTTGACTTCTCGAGGGTCGGATGAGTCGTGCGTCTCTCGATCCTGCATCCCGATGCAAAAACACTCTGCATCACTTCAAGTAGAATTTCTAGAAAGAGCGAGCGCGGGAGTAGATGAGGAAAGAGGTCAAAGTCGGAGAAATAGCCAGGCAGAGAGTCAGGAATTAGCGCCTGTTTCTCCACACTTCGGCAATAAGAAAACTATCTCCATACATGCATCTTTCGGAAAAAATAACAGCTTCAAGTCTTCCATCAACTCAACACATCTAAATACAAAATGACGCGCACCAAGAAGAGCGCCTACAAGCCAGGAGCCAAGGAGAGAGCAGACAAAGCCGCAGCTGCGAACCCTCAATCTTACAATGCTCCCACAACGACAGAAGGAGGCATTCCGCAATGGAAGCTCGGCAAGCCGAAAGACTTCTACGATAGATTCGTCAGCAAACGCCAGCCTGCCGTAATCCAGGGCAAACTCGAAGACCTTGAGTTCGTCACCAAGAACTGGTCTAAGGTCGACTACCTGCGCGAAACAGCTGGAGATGCACCCGTCAAGGTCGAGCCTATGCACAAGGAGAAGAAGCGCTACGGAACCGACGTCGAGCGCGTTGACACGACATTTGGCGCCTTCCTCGATTCCCTGAAGGAAGAGAAGGACGAATACGACTATCTCACGACCCAATACTCCGACGATGAAGACGACTTGGACGACGATGATGAGGACGACGAGGATTATGATAAAGAGAAGGAAGACCAACACAACGAGATCGCGAGTGGTACATTTCCTCAACCCATCCGCGCTCTCTTGACCAAGGAAGTCCCCATGCGCCCCGAGGTCATGGGCAACCTTGTGCTCCAACAGATGAACATTTGGCTTGGAAAGAGCAAGGCCGGCACGAGCTCAGGCCTGCACCACGACTTCCACGACAACCTCTACGTCTTGCTCAAGGGTCGCAAACGATTCGTTTTATACCCACCTTCCGCCGTCCACCATCTCGACACCTACGGCAAGGTCAAGAAGATCCACACGAACGGCTTGATTGCCTACAAGCAGCCTGGAGAGGACGAGGAGGATGACGACGACGAGGAAGCGAATGAAGCCGACCAAATCAGAGCTGATGGTCTTGTCGAGAGAGATGCCGCTGCTCTGAAAGTTCAGGCCTTGGAAGAGAAAATGGACAAATTCGAAGCGACTGGAAAGACAAAGGGCCTTGATAAGGTCCAGAAAGAGTATGGCGAGGCTGTTGAGCGTCTTATGAAGTACCAGACCGCCGACTTTGGCGAACTCGGCGAAGACGACTTTGACGAAGTCTCTTCAGAAGAGGAAGAAGACCCCGAGGAGCTCAAAGATCAGGTTCTGCGTGATGCTCCCAGCAAGAAGCGCAAGGCTGACGGAGAGTTGGACGGAAGAGACACCAAGACCGCAAAGGCTGGTGCAGAAGACGACCAAGACTCGGATGCCAACGACGACGACTCGGACGCCGATCTCCTCGAAGCGCTTGAAAAGGCCCAGAACGGCCAACTCGACGACCTCGGCGATGATGAGGATGCATCAGACCTCGACCTGATGGAAGCTCTTGAGAATGCACAAGGCGAAGACGGTCCATCCGAGCCCCTCTCATTCTCTCAAGTCTCGACACAAGAATTGCATTCGCATCTCGGTCTCACCTCGCCCCAGAAGACCTCTGACGCTCTCGAGAAGGCAGGGAAGCCCTACATTGTAGACCTCAAGGCTGGTGACATGTTGTACCTGCCCACCAGTTGGTTCCACGAGGTCACTTCGTTCAGCGATGAGAGTGACGACAACTTGCACATTGCTCTCAACTACTGGTTCCATCCTCCGGATGCAGCTTTGACAAAATTCGAACACCCATACTCGGATATCACCTTGTGGAAGTTTATGGAAGAGAAGGTGAAGAGCGCATACCACAGTCTGGTCGAGAATGAGGACGATGACGAGGAGGAGTAAATTTTGAGATACCCCTGATATGACAACAATTCTTGCTTTCAATGCTGTAACGCACTCGCGCAACACCTGCCGCAATGCAGGAAGATTTCCATTGTAGCAAGAATGTCCAGTGAGAACTTAGCAACAGGACCGCAGACTAGCGTAATAGACTCCGCGATCTTCAGGGGGATCGCGAAGGTGCTCCGACACATGATAGGGTCAAGAACCTTCGACGTCCGCCTCGCCACGCTCAACAGCTGCTCGCATGAGTCGCTTCAAGAGTACTTCAACGCCCTTACGCTCGTGATGCATGAGGCAGCACGGCGCTCCTGGCAGAAACCTGCCCAATGTAGTCGTACGGCCACAGTCAGGGGTGCGTGGTCTCAGTGGACGATGGCACTACCTGGAATTCCATCGTGCATTGTGATGCGATAATTTAGCATAATCACGATCTCGGAGATTCCACCGAGATATTATAGCTTTGTTTCTACATTTGTGCGGGAACGCAGTAAGGAGGCAAATGATGTTGAGTAAACATCTCTTGCTTCCAATACTGTCTAGATCCTCTTAATGATGGAAGGCGCGATGGTGCAAGCTTCGATTGGTCATGTTCAGAGCATCCACAACCAACCAACCAACCAACCAGCTTACCCTAGTAGTATGTGTCACACTGCCAACAGCAGGACTTTCACTAGAGCTTGCTGCGAGAAATTTAAGCACAACTTGAGCTTTACATGACTCTTCAGACCACCAAGACTCAAATTCACTCACGACGCGCAAGAGAAAGCCATCCAAAAGGTTCTTCCCTCTCGAGAGCAACATACCTTTGATTCACAACTAGAAGATCGTCTCACAGGACTATCGATCGACTTCATCAAAAATCACGACACTCTCATCCTTTCAACCGATCACATCTACTCGATCACATCATGGGTAATCGCAACAGCAAACCACAAACCCCACACGAGGCAGCGGCACTTTATCAAGCACAAGAAGGCCGATCGAAATCTCCTGCGAAGGACCAACCGCCTTACGAAACCATAGAAGAGCCATGGAAGGTTTTCTGGTCGCGCGGGTTTGGCGTGCCGGGAGTGGTTTACCACCGCGAGATCTATCAACCAGACGGATCCAAATGGTGTCGATATGGTGTCGCCCAAGACGAAAGGCCGCCACGACCGAACATGAGCTTCACTTGCACCGTCCAGCTTCGCAACAAGTGGAGCAGCACGATGTTACTCCACATGAAGTGTGTGAACATAGGTCAGAAGTTGCTTCTTCACCGACGCAACTATGGGTGTTCGTGTGATCTTGAGTACATCAAGACAGGACGCAGCTCGCAGAAGAACACGAAAAATTGTGCGAGGTGAGAAGTTACTGGATAAACTGGTGCATGGAGTCGCATGACAAGAAATGTGCTTGCGAAGCATTCAGATTTGGGGTGGATGATGGGTCTGCTGAAAAATTACATCGCCCTAGGTTTGCTGCATGGCTCGACCCATGATACAGCGGCACTCAAATTCTACATGGACCTTGATTTATGATTTGTGTAACGAATTAACTACTCAGTGACTTCTTCTTCAGCCTCCATTCGAACACCAGAATCACGAATGATGAAAAAGAGATAAATGTTGTCGATTGTGCTCCCGTTAGCTTCACCCCAAAGGGTTACTAGACCGACACACCACGGTGAGGTGGGAGCTTGTGCCGGAGCCTGCCACTCGTGCCAACTGACGCGCACGCCACTACCCAGACCGCAATGGCAGAGAGGGGTTGAACCCCTCTACCATGCGGAACTGAGCACAACGCGCATGCTCCCAGCGGCACTGAGTCCAAGCCCCCCATCTCCGTGCCATCACGCGTGACTTGCTCCTGCGACCACTCGTGCTGCGTCACCAGAGGGAGACGATGGCGTGTGGCTGGCCCTCTCAGACAGAGCCTCTGCATCAGTGACCGGGGCCACTGATGGGAGGTTGTCTGAGAGGCGTCAGCCACCGCGCATCGCCTGCTACCCCTAGTGACTGCAGCCACGAATGGGAGGAGACAAGCCCGGCGAGATGGTCGAGATGAGGATTCGAAGAAAGAAGAAAAGGGGCAGAGGGGGAGAACGCTGGACTTTATAGTCCCCTTTTGCTTACTAAGCTGGATGACTGGATGAACAGTTTACTTGCTCTGCACACCACGTGGCTTCTCATGTTGACTCATATCAGAACAGGACGCAGCTTGGAGAAAGACGCGACCAATTTTGTGGGGGTAGAAGCAGGAATGGTGTTCAAGGCGACGAGAAAGCTCGACAACAATGCCGAGTGCGATCCATTTGGACTTAGAATCCCTGGAAGGATGCCTCAAGAGGCCGACACTGAATGCTGGTGCGTTTCATGTATGCAAGCATTGCTCGATAATCAAGCACCTGAATCTATCCCAGCCTCCCACCCAACGATCGAACCATCTATCAAAAGGCACGATGATTTTGGATCTGGCGTGATGGTCCAGAGAGAGCAGTCGAAAGTTCAGCTCTCTGTGGACATGTCACCGATCACCAAAAACATCTTGCCTTTTGACAGCTATTGTTCAGCAGGGCGTTTCGACAGCTGAGAGCTCAGTTCGCTAGGTAGGTCAAGGAATGCTGTTCATGTTGCGTCTCGGTGTTTTTCCGTCATTGCACAGTACATACACTGTTAAGCTATTTATACACGTTTTACTGGCTGACACCAAGATTCGCCAGCGATGCAGAGCACGTCCTCAAGGATAAGCCTTATAGCCGTCTTATGGCAGTGTTTCTATTGAGTGTAAGATTGTTTCGGCCAAGTTGGCTGTGAGTCTATGCTAACTTAAAGAACGATACTCCACTTTGAATACCCAGCAATACTCTTCTTCTTTGATGATGCTCTGCGGAACATCAATTCGCAAGCCATCTGCCACCTTCTCCCACGTCAAGCTAGTCCCATTGCCCACACCTACAGCGCTTAACTCGTCCCCTTCCAAGATAGGTATTGGTGCATCGATAACTAGCGTGCCGTTCATCGGTTTCTCAAGCGATAGAATGTAGAAGGCGTCATTGGTCTGCGTAAATCTTAAGCTCCCAGACTCCGGGGTAATGAACCAATAGGTAGTGTTGAAAATTGCCTCAGCATGGGTATTGATCCATTTACCTGCTTCACGGAGGTTATCTTCCTCCTCCTTGACAAGACTGCCATCTGCCCTAGGCCCTATATCGAGTAGGAAGTTGCCGTTCTTCGATACCATGTCTACTAGATCATAGACTATTGTGCTTGCGTTCATATAGGCCGATGGCGAGGTAGCGCGATTATAGCCATAACTATAAGGGTCCATGCCTTGGTTGCTTTCCCATTTTCTAGCCTGGACTGTAGAGAAGGTGGCGTATTCGGGGGTGTCAAAGTCTGCAGTATGGGCAAGTCCGCAACGCGAATTCATAGTAACTTGACGGTCTTGAGCGCGTGCTTTGTTCCACCAGTCCGCGGCAAAGTCGGCTGTTCCATTTGCAGCGCCGCAGTCGCACCACATGATATCGGTGGAGTAGTTGTAAGCCAGGATTTCCATCTGGGGTACCATGACGTCGGCTATGAAGTCGTTGACAGGAACATGGCCGGTATATGGCTCGTCAAGTCCAGTGTATGGGTTCGTGGCTAACATGCCTGGCCAGGAGGTCGAGCTGTCAGTGGCTAACTGAGAGAAGCCGTAGGGTCCAAAGTCCGGATTGAACCACTCTGGTAGAGAAAAGTAAGTGCCTCTGCGTAGAGATGGCTGATGCTCAGCTGCTGCGTCGAACAACTCGCCCAGTATGTCTCGTTTCGGCCCGTAGTGGATTGAGGAACGATTGCTTGTTACGCCCGTATCGAAGTTGGCGAAACCATCATGGTGCTTTGTGGTGAAGACAAAGTATTTGGCTCCAGCGTCTGCGAACAAATCCACCCAGGCCTTCGGATCAAACTTTGAAGCAGTGTAGTTGACAAAACTATCATCGTAGTTCCAGTCTGGGCCGAACGTACGTAGTCTGTAATCATAGAAGTCAGAGGCATCCGCCTCAGGATGATGGGTGGTGTACCACCAGAACCATTCAGCGTAGCTCTCATGAGGCGTTGAGTTACCCCAGCCAGGAACAGCGTAAGGACCCCAGTGTATGAATATACCGAACTTGGCTCCATCATACCAATCTGGTGCCTCGTGTTGCGCGAGACTATCGAGATCGGTAGACCATGCCGAGAGCCCAAGCTCCAACCCATGGAAGGATTGACTTTGCTGCAGCGACCCGTCGTTCAGGGTCACAGATACAGGACTCTTGGATACACCTTTGATACCAACATTGACCCGTTTCTGATCTCCGGGACATAGTCTTTTGAGGAATCCTGGATTTGCGGCTGTAATATTGCCACCTGATAAGGTAATGTTGAGTCCAGCACCCGAGACGCACTCCGTACCTGCATTGTTGACCGTGACTTCGACGATTTGTGTGCCATTTCCTATCCACTTCTGTGTGGGGCGAACGGACTGAACAGACACTCCAGAGCCTTCCCATAGAGAGACTGCGAAGACGTGTAGTCTTCCAGTTGTTGTATTAGTAGTAGTAGGTAGCGAAATCGATGCTAGAGCCTTATCGCTCTGTAACGCATAGCTATATTCGTAGATGTGTGTGGTGTTGAAGTTCGTGTCGTTACTCGTGTACCTGTAGGGAAGGATGATTTCTCCTCGGTTGATGGTCAAGAATGCAAACCAAGGCTCGCTCCTTAGTTCAGAAGTCGAAGTAGTATTGTCATGATAGGTAAAGGTCAAGTTGTCTGACACGGTCTCCAGCTCGACGTCTGAGGCCACTAGTATAGAGGCTGAGAAGTAGTTCCGCTCAGGCACGTCAATTACTTGGCCTGTACAGAGCACGTTATCCGGCTTACGTGGGCCACGATAGCCAGGGAAGTCGTATATAATGCCAGTCTGGGTAGATGAGTAAGAACCGTTAAGAGCGACCCCAGGTGCTGGGTAGGATTGGTTCAGAGGATCAAATGCTGCTTCTCCAGGATAAGTGCCAAACGCCTTATTGTTGAAGTAAGCTGTGAGATCGATAGGCGTAGACTATGTCCGTCGTTAGCTAGATCTCTAGTGGTAGCACAAGTATTCTCCGAACCTTCGACACAAGTGCACGAGGCCTGACTGGGGTAGCTAAACTAGCTGCGGCGTTGACTGCCAATACGATACACCAAGCCTTGATATGGCCCATCTTAGAAATCGAGGGCATGAAGATGCGATAGTCAGTCCAGAATCAGACGAAGACGTTCCTTCAGGTCTTCTTCTATTGCACCCAATCATCATCCTTATCTTCTAGAGTCACAATGAGCCTGTAGCGGAGACACCATAGCCTAGCATTGTTGCCATAACAATGGTACAGTAGCATCGTCAGGTACGAAATGCGCGACGTGCGATCTTCACTACCTTGCCACCGATACCCTATCCTTGTTTGGTTGCAGATGAACAATGATCAGCGTCGCGATAGGCCAGCATCTCAAAGCATATTCCTCTCCAGGTCGGCAAAGTTAGGCGACTCGATGGGCTCACAAGCTCGGTCAAGTCGTTAATTATCTGTAGCTTGAAATCTATTTCTATGCGTGAGAATCAGCCAAATTGGTAGAGCTCATCTGAAGAGGCAGGTAGGAGAGGTTGGTGATGGAACAGCACTGCCCGATTTCGGACGCGTCATCGTGCGGCGCGCCCAAACTTCGCACTTTGCTACTCCAACTCTTCCTCATCGACCTTATCTTGATTTACATCAACACACGCACAGCTTATCATGACTTTTTCATATCTCGGTATCACGGCCTAGCATTCGTAAGTTGATGCGACGTTGGACTCGAGTGTAACTTGATGTCCCATGATCTTCAGCCTGAGGAGACCATCGTGCGGAGTTTCGGCAATGCAGTGCAGCCGTGTATCACACCTGTCTTCAGACATACCAGCCCCAATATGAAAGGTAGGTCACCTCTGTTGTTGTGGGCATCTCTAAGTATCTTCGTTTCCCAATTACTTCGCATCTTGATGACAAGTTTTGTGCCATGTTCGCAAAGGTTGCTCTTGTCTTGACTGCAGCACTGTCCTTGGTGGATGCTCAATTCAACAATCCAACAGGTGTCGATATTTGGTGTGGCAAGGCGTATAGAGATACGTAAGTTCTCTTTGGTGACTAGAAGCTGTTGCAGCAGACTGCTCACAATCGCAGCAATGCTTCCTTCAATCCAGGAGGCTGGTTCCAAGAATCTTCAAAATCCGACACACCACTTGTTGACTTCAAAATCAAACCTCGGATGAACTTGTATCTGGAAGATGATACAATCTCCAGCTTCATAGTCGATGCACCTGTGTCTTGGTACGTTGGCCATGCTTTGCCTGGTGGTAACACGTCAACATCAAGACAGGGATCGAAGATTGTTCTCAACATCATGACCGGGAACAGATCTCTCCATCTGAATCAGACGTCAATCAAGCTTGGGTCAACCAACAACGAGATACCATTCGATCTATCATCGTTTTCAGCAAGGTCCGAACCGCACAACATCACAGTGACTGGTACACTCGACGGCCACAAGAATGTGACTTTCACCGCCACGACTCAGCTTAACAAGCTGCCGCTTCGCTCAGACAATGGTACGGCGACTCGGCTTGATAACCTGTATGGTGGCTTGTCTGTTCGAAAAGGGCAAGCCAAAGAATGGACTTCTCTGTTCCCTTACACGTATTATGTCCAATGGAGTCTATACTGGTACGCCAACCTGACAAACCTCGACGAGTTTGCAGCAATGGGCTACAACGTAATTCACATTGTGCCCACTGGCGACCTTGGCGATACACCATTTCCCTGGGACAAGTTTCAACCCTATTTGGACCGCGCAGACGAGCTAGGTCTCTACTTTATGTACGACGTACGCTGGGATTATGCCAATCTCACCACAATGATTGACCAAATCCATCACTTACACACGCACCCGTCCATTCTTCTATGGTACACGGCAGACGAGCCTGACGGCAAGTCCAACCCTATCAACTCGACTGCTATAGCCTACAACACTATAAAGGCAATCGATCCCTACCATCCTGTCTCATTAGCCCTCAATTGTCGAGACTTTTACTACGCCGATTATGCAGCAGGTGCTGAGATTGTTCTCGAAGATGTCTATCCTATTAGCACGAACACCTCGTACTCGACCGTCTACGATACACCTTGCAACGCTACCTATGGCTGTTGCGGCTGCGACGACTGCTCAGGCAGCTTCACCGACATCTCTGATCGTCTAGACGAATATACTGCCAAAGACAATCTGCTTGGCTGGCAAAAGATCCATTGGGCGGCTCCTCAAGCATTCGGAAACGAGACATTCTGGACTAGATATCCTACCGCTGCCGAAGAGGTCGTGATGAACATGTTGAGCATTAATCATGCGGCCAAGGGAATTGTGATGTGGGACTTTCCTACGAAGGCCAAAATTCTCGAAGTCACCAACAAGTTGGCTGCTGTTCTGACTGACGAGAAGGTGGCGAAGTTCCTGATAGGAGCGCCTTTGACACAGAAATTGAAGGTGGCTGGTGCTGAGAATATCGATGCTGCGGCCTGGACCAAGGATGGCGAGGTGCTGGTCTCTATCGTCAATCTTGACTATGGAAATACACCTTCCAATGTGACGGTCACCTTGCCTGAAGGCATGAAAGTTGCTCATGTGGAGGAAGGTCTCTGGGGGAATGCTTCGTGGAGTGTGCACGGTGAGAAGCTGTCTACAAACTCGGTTATGGGCTCAGAAGTCTCCTTGCTATTGCTGAAAACATGATTGGTTGCGTTTTCAGATAGATTTGATATCAGTAATGCTGACAATACGCAACTAGCATTTGACCCAATTCAAGGGAAGCTGAGCTTTCTTCGTTGTCCCACGACACCACTTTTGCGACCCATGTTCATATACTCATTGAAAGAGATGTTACTGTACAAGGTCATGGTTGAACACTTCTACTAGGCGTGTCAAACAACTTTAACCGGGCGAAAGGACAAAGTTCAACCGTTGACGATCAGGTGCTAATTCCGATAACGGCAGCTGCCCCGCATCATCGGAACATTAGGGTGATTCGTAGGCAAGAGCGAGCCGCGGTCACGATGATATTGTGAAATAGGTACAGTGTACACGGAAGAATACAGTCGTGGTGCTGTGTAACGGAGCTTGTTGTCCTTGTCCTCTTGTCTCCACTACTTTGAACCATAAGCCAAAGATGACTTGTCTTCTCGACCTCTCACACGAGCTTCTCCAGGGCATACTGAGCGAGGTCGACGGACATGACCTTGCAGCATTGAATGCGACATGTCGTGCCTTCAACTCCTTTGTCAAGGGCAATAGAATACTCTGCAAGAGTGTATATCTAAGATCTTGGGTTAGCAAATTTAGACATCCTCCAATCGTATACAGCACTAATGCGGAAGATAGGACTCCCCAGCGGAGGCCGAACCTTGCTGGGAGACGTCGGTACGCAACTTAGTCGCACTCAAGAAGCTCCTCGAGAGCGAAAACCTCGAGACTAAGGTTCGAGAAACCAGAAAGAGAAGATGCAAGTCGTCAGAAAACTGATATACACCAGCGCGAAGCTTTCGAGTGGGCAGCTCCCTTGATCACACCACTCTTGACTGTGAAGGATGGTAAAAAGAACACCCGCTTCCTTGCCGACCTGTTCAAGTCACAAAACAACATCGATGCCTTCCTGGCTTCTTCGTCGCTCTTCGAGAGCGCTGGAAATTTGACGCAACAACCAGCCACCACATCAGAGCTCCGCCAGCTCGCCGCTAAACTACACTGCCTGTATGGCGTGCCCATCGATTGCCAGATCCCACCGATGCTCGTCCACGAAGACAGCGACGACAACTCTCCATCTCCATCCTATTCGGTTCTTTGGCATCCAGACTCAGCTGCTGAGAGCGTTCAGATTCCGACAAACAATTACGCCCGTGCCGTAGTATACGATCTACGACGGTACACAGAAGAGAGTTTCTGGGGTCCTTTCAAGAGCGACGGAAGCCAGAATGTCGACTGGGAAAAGGTGGAAGCCATCATGGTAGTCCTTGGGTACAACATGCGCTTGTTCAACAGAAGAGCACCTCATGTCTTTGAGCCTATATGGGAAACACCTTTCAACGGCGCCTCGCCTAATTCATACGTCTCTGCTCCGCCGAAAGGTCTTGTCCGAGAACCGAGTCCACCTGGCGATCTGGACATGCAGGATCCGTACGGTATCACTGGAGAGTGGATGAGAGTCGTCTGTTTCCTGGATTACCACGACTTATTCGCATTCAACTTCTTACACAGTGTTCCTGCTGATCAACCACGGGATCCGATCAACACTCGCGAGGCAATCAGAATTATTCGTCTCAAGCTTCGTGTGTCGGCAATCGAACCACCTGGTCCAGAAGACGGTCAAGACTATCCGGTCGTTTCTTTCACAGGCACAAGCTGGAGTTTGCACGCAAGTTGGGACGCGAACGCAAACTCACAAATCAGAGGTACGTTCAAAGACATCCTGGAAATCCAGCGACTGACAATGTTGTTAGGTGTGGTCCGTCAGACACCGGAAGGTGAGATTCGCTGGACCACATTTTCGATATTCCACAGGTACGAGACTGATGTTTTGTTGAGATTGTTATTTTCTACAACTACTTTTCCTTCATCCATCATCCGGTGTGGTCTAACGGCTAGGATTTCTCGCTTTCACCGAGGAGGTCGGGGTTCGATTCCCCGCACCGGAATGTCTTCTTTTGCTTCTTTTTGCACTTCGCCTGCAACCCTCGAACCACATTCCGCAATCTTTTCCCTTCTTCTTTCCTAGTCCTCAATTTTTTTGTTCTTCTGCGACACTGAACATAACCACATGTGCTGACCCATCACAACAGCGAAGAACGCTGGCGAAGCGAAGGCATTCAAGTCGGCGGCATACGCTCAGGCAGAGGCGTCCTAGGCAACTGGTTCGACAAAGATTTCGACCGCCACGGTCCCGCTGGCCCCACCGCATTCTGGAAAGTATCAGACTACATCGAAGATAAAGACGCCGAGGAAGGTGCACCTGATGATGCGTCTTTGGGCGATGATGATTCGGACGGTGATACTGAATATATGAGTGATTGATTGAAAGATCGAGGTTATAACTGGAAATGGTGTTTGAAGATCTTACGAATTTGGGGTGTTATGGAATATGAATGGATTGGGCAGAGGAGGGAATACACGAGGCAATGTTTGGTGTTTATGGCGTTGTGTTGTGATTTGGGTTCAAGTGTTTCTAGATTGACACGATTCAAGATATGATTATCCCTTCCATCTCTTTGCGTCCTCCCCGTGTGCTAATATCTGTCTGTCACTTCCAGCCATCTCCCGCTGGCCACGCCTGGAGTCATCTAGACGTGTAAAAATGCACAATGTTTTTCAGATCGGTATAGTCGTCCGCAGAGAGCTGCTGACTACCACGCTCTTGGTAGAAGCTTACCCCTGACAATGCTGAGATTTTGCTGTTCTACAGCCGTACGCGTGACAAATTCTAGCACATGGGGAGGGTCATGTGAATTTTGTGCTAATGTATTGATTCATGCTCAACCATCCTGTGCTGGTTTGTATCCTCTCCATCTCACCTTCCAGATAGAATCTCATCAAGAAGATCTGCGATTGGCATATCAGGTCCTTGCATTGTATATCAATTGAACGTTCGAGAAATAAAGGGGTATCAACAACATAAAAAGCGGTAAGAAGCGAACAACAAAAGAGAACCTCCATCTCATACTCTGATGACGACTTTGACACCCAACCCACTCGCTTCTCTGACGCAACAACCCAAGCAAGTCTTACCAACTCTACCCACGACAGCGTTCTCGCCAACCTTAGCACACCAAGCCCTAGCTAGTAGTTGCAGCTCGCCTGTACCCCTGCAATCTAACACTACAGTCTCGTCACCCAAATGTACTGTATCCGTAAAGTCATCTGCCAGGATGGTTGCAGCAGGGATGACTTCGATAGCATACGAGCAATGCAAAGGATGCGTAGGTGGTTGTGGCAGCTCTTTGAAGGATGGAACACGAGAATGTGTGCGCGAGCGTGACTTGGGAGATGAAGTATTGGTTGCAGGTGTGGACGGTCTGGAAATATTTGGGAAGCAAGGTGTTGCGGAGATGAAGTGGACATCGTAGAGGAGTGGCAGGGTTACTTTTTTCGGTTGAGAGCTGCGCTTGGCGCTGAAGTCAAGACAGGCGACTGCAGTGGGGATTGGTGCGAGATGTGCATTGTCGTTGGTGTTGTCATCCGAGGGCAAGGCAGCGCTGAGTTCGAAGCTGGTTCCTGTGGGTAGAAGACTGAATCCATGATAGCGTGCTTCGTTGCCTAGGACGATAAGACCATCGACAGGCCAGGCGAATTCTGTGTCTGTGATTGTGCTCTTCTCGCCAGGTACGAATGCAGAGTCAGCTGCTAGAGCAGAGCTATCGGCGATTCGAGGTGTGGTAGAACTAGGCAGATCTTTGACTTCGAGGTTGACCCATCCATCCTGTTGATCTACAGGTGCACTGCTGCAGGACACCCAGCCCATGCAATCGGTCGCTCCATTGGCAGCTGCGATCACTCTGCCTACGATACAACTCTTACTCCAGTAACTGCGTGATTTGTAGACGAAGCCTTGATAGAGATTAGCAGCATCACCTAGTGCTGCCACTGCGGATGGTGAGTTCTCCAGTAGCGTCGAGATGAGCAGATGTGAAGTGGATTCGCCCGGCAGTACGAAGCCTGTCAACCAAGATCGGCTCAACCAGCCACCGAGGTCGAAGCTATCAGCTCCATATGCTGAAGCAGGTAGAAGTTGTAGCGATTGCGCCGTGGCGGTGCGACCGATCTGTGGCCGTTTTTGGAAGTAGTTGTTCTGAACAGGAGATTGACCCGGTGTTCCCAGCGGTGCACCATATACGTTAAATCTGCCTGCGTCGCGTGAGTGTCTTCTAACTCTTTCGGCAAAACGTTCTTGAATCTCTTCAGTATGTGGCCAGGCGAGTGTTTCGGCGAATTTCAACAACCCCTGCACCTGCCTCTTCTCGTGCTTCGGATACAGGATCGGTTCCACGCGGCTCTCGTCCAAGCTTTCTCTTGCAGTAACAAAGGTAGCAATTGACATCACGCTATTGCGGTAAGGGATTTCGGCGTCTGTTGGAATCTTGGGTGCAATGTTTATGCTGTCAAGAAAGCGTTGCGCAAGCACCAGGTCCCATCGCAGCTTCCTCGAAAACCCAGAAGTGGGGAAACCAGAGAGCTCGACACGAATTAGTAGCTCGCAAGCCAACGTAATTTGGAGGAGCAGGATATCGCGTTCGCTGGGCATGGTCGGTCCTTCCACGTCAACAACAGACTCGTCATCGAAGTCCGTTGACGGCCACAAGATCTGACCTAGACGTATCCGGTGCTCGACAAGGCTAAAGTCATACCAGAGTCTAGTCGTAACCAAGACCCTTGCAAGCGCTACTACCTGGCCGTCCAGGTCCGTGAATGGGGGATCGTCTTCCTCTCTCTCAGGCTCCGTAAGTAGATTAGAGAACAATTCGCGATGAAACTCTGCAGCCTTTTGTTCATTTGATTTTCGCTCAGAGTGTTCGCTGTTCCTGGGATGTCGACTATCACTGATCTCGCGCAATCTGTTTATCATGTATTCGAGATTGAGACGTCTCAACTCTAGCTGTTCGGGTGACGTGATCAACATCTGCCTCTTTGTTCTCAAGGTCTCTTCGTCGTCCTCGGCGCAGCGTTTGCTGTCTGACAAAGGCATCTGCAGGAAGTATTCCAGTCCGATAGTTCCAGGTTCACTGCCGTTCAGACTCATCATGTTTGGTACTTCCATCATAGGAATTTGATTGTCGGCGTCCTCCGCTACTAGGTCTCGGAGTTGTCTTGTCCTTTCGCGACGTCTTAGTGTGGCAGCTTCGAAGGTGCCATGGCCAACATCGACAAAATCCTGCGGTTCGCCACTCTCCTCGTCTAACTTCCATCGATAGCTGACCCTTGGTCTGAGGGATTTGATAGCAAATTCCGGTGCTCCGGCAAAGTAATTGATAAGATCCTCGTGACCCAGTTGCTTAGGGCTTGATCTAGGAGACTTGTGTGATGGTTTTGCGATGTTGCCGATGTAGTACTGTCCGACGACTGAATCCCTAGACGGACGTGGCAAGTCGCTTGACCTCTTACTTCCCCATTCGGTTAAGATGTCAGGCTCTGATTCCACCACGACGGAAGGGACGTCCAGGAGCTGGCTTTTGCGACGGCTTCTCTGTGAGTCTCTCTTGCTTGTGCTTCGTTTCAGTTTCGAGGCAAAGCTCTTCAATGCCTGGCGTTTGGAGGTTCGTTCTGGACTGGTCTGCTGAGAGACCGGCTCTTGCAAGATAGCAGCAAAGTCCACATGTTTCGTCATATCGTAGGCCGGCTTTGAGTAGTGCGAGATATTCTATACCTTCTAGCGATGTTGTGCTGCCCGCAGCTAGAATGACAATGACAAAGACAAAATACAAGTGGGAACGGAAGGACTGAGATGTCAAAAGATAAAACAAACCAGGGCCATCCGTTCGCGACACGAGGCGCACCACGCAATTACATACATCTCATCTCATCGTCCCCCTGCCGAGGTAGCCCACCACATCATTGAACAGATGCGTGGCCAGGCGCCACGCACCATTACCAACAGCGGGGAACAAGGACCTAACGCATCCATTCGAACGTCCTGGGTAAAAAGGCAGGGAAATCACAGGCAGTACTGTTGTGGCTTAGGCCTCTTGCACACCCTAGTAAGTCGAAAATAGAGAGATCCGCCCTATGGGGGGTGGCACGTCCTGACGAATAACAGACCGCGCACCAGGTTCTCGGTGTACCCGCGTGCACGATTCAAGAAACGAAGTTGCAGTTCGTCGCGCAACGATGGCGCATTTCGTGCATTCTTGATCCTGCCAAAAGATCGTGAGGAGCGGGAGCTGTTATCAGGCGTCTGTGGTTTTCTTATCCAGCGTATGGGACAATACTACCACCACTAGCTATCAAAAGGCACAATATTATCGCGAAACCAAAGATGCTCCCCTGAGAGCTTTAAATACTCCTCCAATGGACAATTTTCAAGTTTCCAAAGGATTCCCGCAATTTGACAGCTAGAAAGTGGTTTAGTAGTTGTGTGAGAGTGGCTTCATATGTTGAATAAGAGAACCGCGGGCGCTTGATAGTAACTCCTTAAGAAACCTGCTTTGTTTGAAACGTTGGTGCTTTGGTACAGAGGAACAAGGTGGGGAGGACCGTGCGAGCAAGAAGGGCAAAAGAATGGATTGCAAAGCAACAGTGGATGCCGCAATCAAGCTGCATCCACCTGTCATGGGGCTGTCAAATCTCGGGCAATTTTTTTGTGTATCTTGATTGTAGGGCACGTCAAGTTCTTTGAAACATGGTTTTCGGGACATTTTCCTTTGCGTAGGAGGCTGGCTGCGGGATGAAAATCAAGATCTGCCATGTTGTTGTGATGAAATGGTTCCGAATCTAGCAATATCTTGCGCTGATCCGATGAAACATTGGACGTCTGGAGTCGCACCTAGCTACAACTCTTTCGCAACCATTGTAAGGCTTATGACAAGGATTTCCGCATCTATATGCTTGTCCAATATTGCGTGTAGAATACTCACCTGTATATTGTAGTCCCTGTCAATTACCGCGCGGCCGAGTGCGGGTGTGTTTCGAGTGCTTCTTATACACGAAATGAATCCGATGTAGGTGATATGAGAGTTCATGTAACTTGTCTATTCTGTCTTTACTTCATTTCTAGGTCGGCCGTTCCATCTCCAGAAAAGCAGGATGCAAGCGAATAACGGCACGACCACCCAGATCTTTCCGATTCCAGTGTTCTGAGCATCTTGCTGCAGTCATGCCTTGGAGGGGAGCGGCTTGTCGCCGAGATCAGGGACTCTCTCCTTAATGTAGCGCTCCAGGTCGTTAATTTCCTGGGGAGCGGCGGAGTGAGGCAGACCCTTGTAGGTCTTGAAGTCGACGTTCCAGCCCCATTCTTGGAGGACCTTAGAAGTGGCCTGGCCCCATTCGTAGCGAACAACCGGATCAGCATCACCGTGACCCATGAAGATTGGTGTTTGCTGTTTGAGATAAGCATAAGACATATCTACAAGATGAGGTGCTCATCTATGGGGTGCGGAGACGTACCTTGTTGGGATTCTCGCTAGGAATCATCTCTCTGAGCTTGCCACGGAGCAACAAGTAGCAACTGAGTCCAAAAATACCTCCAAGACGTGTAGGAGCGGTGACTCCGGACATGAGACTCATAGCACCGCCTTGAGAGAAGCCACCGAGGACAATACGTTCTGAGGGGATGCCCTTCTCGATCTCCTTGGCAATCAAAGAGTGGATGTATGCCTGAGAACGCGTGATACCAGCCTCGTCCTCGTTCTGCTGGATATCATCGAAAGACATCTAAGAGATAGATACAGTCAGTGCCATGTTCGTGTCGTTGATCATGGAGTGGAGAAGATTGAGGGTAAGGAAGGATCGTGCAAACATTTGCTGAGTTGCGAGGCCTTACAATGTCGTACCAACTACGGGCGGTTAGGGTCAGCAAATGCTGGATGTTAAATTATTCGAGCTGTCTTACCCGGGCATTTTCATTCCCATGTTCTGTTCGCGTCAGTCAAGCAACGTAGTACACCTATAGGCAAGTGTTGTACATACCACAGAGATAGGAATCTCAGGTGCGTTGGGGAAGATGAAAGCAGTCTCATCGAACTTGCCCTTCCACATGTCGGCAAGGAAAGACCTTCAACGTGATGAGTATCACCGTCGACTTTTCTCTCAATGATATTGCGCTTACCATCCATGGCCACTAGGTAATCATTAATGAAGTGTTCTTTAAAGTTGATGAGCAGCTGTTAAACTCACCTGTCGCCCAAGCCGTGCATGACGATAACCGAGGAGGTGTGCCTTCTGGCAGCGGGGATCACGATTGCAGCCATCTTGTCAAAATGAATTAGATGGGCTTGTGTTTAGTCGTATAGGTAGGTTCGATGTTGCCGCTCACAATTCAGAGACCAGCCAGTGACGCGCACGGAATGAGACGTTATGAAGCCGACAGAGAACTTTATGCAACACTTGCCAAGTCTTGCTTGTTTTATGCAGCACATCAGCTTATGATCAAACATCCGATGCTCGGAAGCGAACATGCCGAACCCTCGTAAGCATCGCGGAATCAGAACCGCATATCATAATCCAGCAACAAAAAGGCGATATGATAATCAAGAATGATCTAGACATACAAACCCCTCCACTTGCCTTATAAAACAAGCATCAACAGCTGGTACACATCGCAAATGCAACATATCCGCACCGGTATCTTGACCTCGATCATCTGCCTCATCCTGGCTATCGCCATATTCCCTATATCAACCCCTCTACTCCGCTGGGCCCGGACACTCACCAGAACCAGTTCTACAACAACTTTGAAGAGCACTGCAGCAGTCGTTACAAGCAAGATACCAGCAAATCTCTACTCAACATCCACAATGCCGCGTACACCAGTCTACTTTCTCTCCCACGGAGGCCCCAACATAATGGAAGACTTTGACCACCCAGCCTACTCCAAACTCCAAGAAATCGGCAAGGAAATCACCGGGAAAGTGAAACCTAAAGCTGTAGTCGTGTTTTCCGCACACTGGCAAGCAAGTCCCGACAAAATACAAGTCAACACTGCGGAGATCACGGATTTAATTTACGATTACTACGGTTTCCCGGATCATTATTATAAGGTCAAGTACCCGAATGTGGGAAGTAGGGATTTGGCTGGAAAGGTGTTGGGTGCGTTGGAAGGGGCGGGGATCGAGGCGGAAGGGGTCAAGAGGGGATTGGATCATGGTGTTTTTGCGCCTTTCACCGTGGCGTTTGATCCGAAGACGAACCCGCTGAATGTGCCTTTGGTGCAGGTGTCACTTTTCGATAGCGATGATGCGGATAAGCATTACAAGCTTGGAGAAGCGATGCAAGGGCTGAGAGAGGAGGGTATTTTGGTTATTGTAAGTGGTATGGCTGTGCACAACTTGAGGGACATGTGGAAGGCCATGCAGCAGCCTGCTCCCATGCCTTACAGTGTGAGCTTTGATGCTGCGTTGAAGCAAGCAGTTGAACAGAAGGTATGTGTTGCTCCAAGTATGAGTGTCGAGAAGAGGCATGTGCTAACAATCAGATACAGCCAGAAAACAGACAAAAGGCGATGGCCGAATTGCTGCAGAGAAGTGATGCAAGAAGAGCTCATCCATCGTTTGAGCATTTGTTGCCCATTCATATCGGTGCTGGCGCTGCCGGTAGTGATAGCGGAAAGCAGTTGTGGACTTTGCCGCAAGGAAGCATGTCCTGGGCTCAGTTCAGATTTGGCGAGGTCTCGAACGTTACAGCGTGATAATGGGGAGATTCTTTACAACATAGTCAAAAAACACAATCTCAGTATCGTCGATGAAGATTTCGAACACGTCTACAGCTGTGCATCTTGAGTTTGTCGCATGACTGTAATCGTGGCAGGATTCGGCGGGTGACTGAGAAAGACGGTCGCAAATTTTATACAGTAAAACGGAAGAAGGTTGTTTCGAACGGGGTATCTATTGAGCTTGTTGGACCAGCTCAGCAATCTTGCTCTCAATAGCCTTGTTGTCGAGACCTGTGTTTATCGTGTCAGCACTTTCCCCTGTTTTCCAAGCTTCTCTCAACCAAGACATACCCTTCAGACTTGCACTCTTCTCCTTGCCAAAGTCTAGTAGACAACATCATCAGCGTTTTGCTCCAGCGTAAATAGACCGTGTTGTAGGGTTGCTAACCGTATCTTGCCCAGACTCTCGGCTCGACTTCCAAAGCTTCGCGGATCAGGATGGGGGTGTGAGGGTTGGCCTTCTTCATGGCAGGGTATTGCTGGGTGAGGAACGAGCTGTTTTCCAGTGTCAGAGAATCGGTTGCGCATCGAATGGAAGGTCTGCGAGAGGATGGCGATTTACCGGACGGCGGCGCTGGATTCCGAGGTTTGGCAGTGGTGGAAGCGCAGCTCCTTGAGCGCCTTGGAGAAAGATTGCTTGAGCGACATGATTGTATGTGTGGGTTGAGTTGAGTGTTCAATTGCTTCCAACCTCGACTTTCGCGACAGTCGAATGTCGCTGTTGCTGACCTACGGATTCGAGACAAACAGGGCAAACACTTTCTCGGAAACGGCAGGCGCTGACACAAACTCCGCTCTTGCTCCGCATTGCGGCATCGGGTCTGATATCGCCGGAAAGCAGCAGCGAACCTCTCTTTCTTCGCAAGCGCAACTTCCCTTTCAACCTTCACCCAGTCAATTACACCAAAAAGACAGCCATCATGTCTTTCAGAGCCGGTCTCCGTTTCTTCAATGCCTTCCGCCAACAGGCTGCCAACACCGGCAAGCCCATCATCCAAAGACGCACCTATCAGTCCGCGGCCGAGACCAATGCCACTCCTCCACCAAACCAGTCCCGTCTGCAACAACTCTGGAGCTCGCCCGTCGGCCCCAAGACTGTTCACTTCTGGGCTCCTATCATGAAGTGGGGTCTCGTCCTTGCTGGTGCCGCCGACTTTGCTCGTCCCGTTGAATCGCTTTCCCTCTCTCAGAACGGTGCGCTTATGGCTACTGGTTTGATCTGGACCCGTTGGTGCTTCGTCATCAAGCCCAGAAACCTTTTGTACGTGGGAAAAATATACCAGTGAGCTTCCAAGGGATCGAATGCTGACAAGGGTAAAACAGCCTCGCTTCCGTCAACTTCCTCCTCTTCTGCGTCGGCGCAACACAGGTCTCGCGTATCCTCCTCTGGCAACAAGCCCAGAAGGGTGACTCTATTCCCGCTGAGCTTGAGAAGGCTGGCAAGCAGGAGGGCAAGGAACTCGAGGCTATCGTCAAGGACCCCAAGGGTGCTTTCGAGAAGGCCAAGAAGGTGTAAACACGTTCTTCTAAACCTCTCCCCAACAACCTACCCTCAAGAACTACATGATTCTCATCTGCACTATACGAAGCAGATATTACGCCGCAAATGGCAATACCCCTCACACCTCACCCATCTGGTCCGCTGGACCGAAACAGAGACAGCAAGATAGATAATAGTCTTGGTCTAATGCGAAATCTCATAAACTTGAATAACCTTGCTGCCTACGAGAAAATCGTTAAGTCATTCTTTGCTCCATGCAAATTCAGCCATGCGCCAACCCGACCAACTCATGAAAATAACATCAACCACTTTACTTGGCGAGGTTAGTAGGAGCAGGGGCAGGAGGGCCCTCGGGAGTGACGTATGCCTATCAAAAACATTAGCCATTGCAACAAACACATTCCGGATCTCGAAACTAACCTTGGTCATACCACCATCAACGACAAAGTCGGTGCCGTTGACGAAGCTGGACTCATCACTGGCCAGGAAGACAACAGCGTGTGCCTGCTCGATGGCTTCACCGAAACGTCCGGTAGGGAAGTGAATCTCGCGGCGCTGACGCTTAGCCTTGTCGTCACCCAACCAGTCCTGCAGGAGAGGAGTGTTGAGAGGAGCAGGGCAGAGAGCGTTGAATCTGAAGCCCTCACGTGCGTGCACAATGGCAAGCTCACGGGTCATGGCGAGGACAGCACCCTTGCTAGCTGTGTATGCCAACTGAGGTGTGGCAGCACCGACCAAGGCGACAACGGAAGCAGTGTTGATGATGGAACCCTTGGTCTTGTTGTGCTTGCGCAGTGCCTGCACTGCGTGCTTTGAGCCGAACCAGACACCCTTGACGTTGATGTTGTGAGTGAGATCCCAGATCTTCTCTGGTGTGTCGATGGCGTCTACAATCTTGTGAGCTTTGGAAGATCTGATGTTTTTTTCGAAATCACTTACCTGCGTCGTCGGCGTGCATGATACCAGCGTTGTTGAACATGACGTCGAGACCACCCCACGAGTCGACCTTCTCGACGGTGGCAGCAACATCGGACTCCTTGCTGACATCGCAGATAGTGGTCTCAATCTTGCCGGTAGCGTTGGGAACGATCTCCTTGACCTTGGCGACGGCCTTCTCGAGAGCAGGTGCTGAGATGTCGCACATCAGAACTGAGGCACCCTCGCGGGCGAAGAGGATGGAGGTCTCAAGACCGATGCCACTGATCCGATGTCAGTACGAATTCTCTCGTTGACCCATGCTTTCGATGAGGATTGGTGATTTTGATGGTGGCAAGATATGCTTCTCTCTTTCTTTCTTCGAAAGTGATGTGATACAAAGGTGACAGGGAAGAAGAAAAGAAGACTTACCCAGCAGCACCGGTGATGACGGCGTTCTTGCCAGCGAGACGACCTCTACCTTCGGCGCTCATGATTGCAGATATGTCTTATCGAAAAGTTGTGTAAGTAAAGCTTGTGATTGAACCTGGGATCTGAGCAGCGTCAGAAGTGAATTCGTATGACCACTTGGACCAATCCTCACCTTGAGAGTGCAATGAGGTCAAGTGAATAGCAAGCAGAGGAGGCGATTGATGTTGAATGGATCGAAAAGGAATCTGGAGTTGAACATGTGTTTCATCAACTGCCAAGGGATGACTCGCTATCGCTGGCGGTCAGTGAGTCCGCCGTCCGGGCCGAGATCGGGTTCGTTTTACGTGATAATGGTGGGAGCAGGTGAAAGCAGGCGACACTGAGGCGGACTTTCTGTGGGGTGGACAATGATGTAATCACGAATCGGACTTGATGCTCAGAGTTGACAGAACTGCCTCTGGCAGAACCACACCTTGATTTAATGTTGGTATAGCCAGATTACTCGTCTTGTCTCTACAGAACACGGCACGTGAGGGATGGAAAGACATCCAATCGGCGGCCAGAAAACAAGCCCTGAGGTGAGACGCAGTCACGCAGCAGGAAGGCACGATCAGCGCTGCAGGCTGCCCCGCATTGACGCTTATCTTCGGCCAACAATCAGGTTGCGTGTGCAACTTGCGACTGGTTGGAGATATCCATAACAAAGACATATCGCCTCCTTGTCATTTCGTCTGAAGCTTCGATTCCTGAATCTCTGGATATTCGAACTCAATATGGCGATTTCTGACGATCCCACAGCTCTCACCCTCGAGGACCTCCCCGAGCTGCTCAAGAACGACACGAGTGTCAAGCTTGCAGGATGCGACATTGACGGTATCCTGAGAGGCAAACTCGTCTCCAAGAAGAAGTTCCTCTCGATTGCATCTTCTGGTTTTGGCTTTTGCTCAGTCATCTTTGGCTGGGATATGCATGATCAGACATATTTCAAGGAGCTCAAGATTTCAAACAAGGAGAATGGCTACAGAGACCTCACAGCGCAAATCGACCTTGCCAGTTACAGAAGAATACCGTGGGAGAACAATGTACCTTTCTTCTTGGTCAGTTTCTACGAGCCTGAGGGCCAGTCTGTTTCGGCTTGCCCGCGAAGCGTCTTGGGAAGAGCGGTAGAGAAGATCCAGGCCAAGGGCATGAGTGCTATGGCAGGAGGTGCGTATACTTGATCTGCTACCAACAACCAGCAGCTGACCATGATTCTTGCATAGCCGAGTACGAGTTCTACCAATTCAAATCGCCCTCCGATCCTACTGCCTCCGAGCGCAACTCGTCCAGCACAGCCAAATTCCTCCAGGAGAATCCTCCCTCCGCCCTACCCTCCCTCACCGAAGGCATGTTCGGGTACAGCGTTACCAGACCGGTACACAACCAGGATTACTACTATGGTGTCTACAAAGCATGCGAAGAGTTCAGATGCAACATCGAGGGATGGCATACCGAGAGTGGTCCTGGTGTCTTCGAGGCCGCTCTCGAGTTTGGCGAGATCAGAGGCATGGCAGACAGAGCTGCTCTTTTCAAGTGAGACGCAAACCCTGCCCAGACCGACTTCCGCTAACACAGTCATAGGCTCACCGTCAAATCGATCGCCAGCAAGTTTGGCATTACACCCTGCTTCATGGCCAAACCTCGCCAGAACCTGCCAGGTAACAGTGGACACATGCATGTCTCATTGTGCGATCCGGAAACGAACCAGAACCTCTTTGCACGCAGCGAGCCCGATCCCAATGCTCCTTACGAGGACATCAAGCACCTTTCTGACCTCGGTCGTCACTTCCTCGCTGGTCTAATCGAAGGCCTTCCGTACGTCATGCCTATCTTCGCCCCTACAATCAACAGCTACAAGCGTCTTGTCGAGAACTTCTGGGCACCCGTGACCGTCAGCTGGGGGTTAGAACATCGCGCTGCCAGTATCCGTCTTATCGCTCCCCCCACCGCTTCTCCCAAATCCACCCGCTTCGAAGTCCGTGTTCCAGGTGCAGACACAAATCCTTACCTAGTTTTGGCAACCATTCTCGCACTAGGATGGAGAGGTGTGGAAAAGAAGCTGGAGATTCCAATTCCCCCTCTGGGTAAGGGCGAGGACGTTGGCGGTGCAGCAGACAAAGGTGTCAGATTAGCCAAGAGCTTGAGAGAGGCCACCGACACGTTCAAGAGCAAAGACAGTATTGCGAGAGAGGTATTTGGTGATGACTTTGTCGATCACTTCGCCGGCACTCGTGAGCACGAGCTCAGACTGTGGGACGAGGCAGTAACGGATTGGTACGTTGATCTGTCTTTACTCTTTGGTGGGATGTTTACTAACAGCCTTGTGTTCACAGGGAGTTCAAGCGCTATATCGAGACTGTTTGAGAACAGAACTAGTGTTGCAATGGCCTTCAACACCAACAAGCCTCGAGAGACTTATGTTGACAGGCTTTGGATCTATGAGGCACGATTCCACTCCACAGCTTTCTCTCTGGTATGTTCGATGTCCTCCATGTGCTCGTCGATTTGAAAGAAGACACCCCAAACGCGACAGTTCTCATCCACCCACAGCAGCAACTACAGAAAGAAGCAGATTCCCAAAGCAACACAAGTCCCTATGCGAACACGGGCAGGTCCTCAATTGCCAACAGGAGAGAAAGAAGTTCCATGCCATAAGCAACCACCGTCAACAAATCCAGGGCCTCCACCGACAAGGCTCCCTGCTACGATCAACACTATGCCTTTTGATGGACATGAGAACACACAGAGCTCTCACTGGAAACCACATGCTACAGCCTCACCGGGGAAAAAACCACTGCAAAAATGCAAGAAGGTTTTTGAATCTCTTGATTTGAACCAAAGAGAGCTTAGGGGCAAGCGTCTCTCTCTGGAGGTACACTGATATCGTAATATGTCTCTGCATTTTGACAGGGCCAAATCAAACCTTACTGGGTGATGGAGATATCGATCAAATGATGCGGTAATTTGCATGTATAAAGACTCTCTGCAAGTCTTTGGGCAAACGGATGGAGGAGAGCATCGCAAGACATTCTCATATTGGAGTTTGCATTTCTTCAAGAGTTCCAGACTTTGATAGTCCCGGTTAACGAAATCTGAACGGTTAACTAGTGATTACTTGTCGGGTTTAAGGCGAAGATGATTGATATGGTTGATTCGCTAATGTTTCTAATTAGGAGGAATTCATCTCCGGTCTCCATCTTCGCTTGCATACTGCGCTAAGTACGCTTAACATGCATCTCGAGTGTCGTAATAGCATCTCTAGCTGCGTTAAACGGCACAAGGCACGGCCGGATGTACATGTTTGCAATAAATAAGATGCCTCTTCCGCGGTTCGCTTCTAGAACGATGCCGATTAGCGCATCGACAGTTGCGTCGGTATACTAAGTGTCTATATGGATTAGCTCTAAGTCAAGCACATCAGCGTTATATCCACCAAAATTTCCTAGGGCAGTCTGTTAGTTTTGTTTGATCTCGTCCTAGAGACTTGTCATAAAAGCGGATAGGGTTAATGGCGCGGATAGCTATACTTTTTCTTCTTCTAAGTCTTCCTCCCTCTTAGGCTCTTCGTCGTCGTCGTCGTTCTATAGATCGTCATTCTGCGGATTAGAGAACCATTAAGGAAACGACGTGTTGTCGCTAATATCGATATCTCCTCGCTTCTTAGATCTACGCTCGGAGGACATAGAGACTTTCTAGAAATGGCGCTTCTTCGAAGATTTAGATGCAGATGTCGCTACAACGATTTTGCTAGGAGTCGATGCCTTCTAGGGAGATGTCTTTTAAGACGAAGGCTGCTATTGCGTCCTCTAATCGGAATTAAGCCTCGAGGAAGTGTAAGGAGTTTTGTAAGCTTTTGCTAGTACGGAGCGTATGTCGCGAGAAGCGCTAGATTGCTCGGAGGGTCTAGTGTCGCGAACGTCCTTACGTTTCGAAGTGTAAGGGGTGTTATACGGCCTTTCGCTATGGCCGGATCGCGGACAGTTGTCACGAGAAGCGCTAAGTTACTATAAGGGTCTGTCGTCGGGATGATCATAGCGATCTTAAGTGTACGGCCTTTCGTAGCCAGGGTCGGATCGCTAATAGTTGTTACGACTAGCGTTAGATTGCTCGGGTAGTCGACTATCGGGATGCTCTCTGCGGCCTTCATTATATAGTCTTTCGTAGCTAGGGCAGTATTGCTAGTAGTTATCACGACCAGCATTAGATCGCTCGGGTAGTCGATTATCGGGATGCTCTCGGCGGCCTTCGTTGTACGGCCTTTCGTAGCTAGGGCCGTATTGCTAGTAGGTGTCACGAGACTGCTCGGGTAGTCGATCGTCGCGATTGTCGCGGCGCCATAGTTTGTGTTGTTCTTCTAGTCTACGGTGCGGTGGCTAGTAGGTGTCACGAGGAGGACCTTTAGGAACGGGAGCTGTATCTGATTCAGTAGGGAAAATGAAGAGAGTGCGATGGGAGACTGGCAGAAGAACACTGTGCATTCTTTCAGTCATTTCAGGACATCGACCAGGAGAAAGAGGAAGTGTCTCCAATTCAGGAAGCTGCAACATGGAAGCGTTCTTTTGTGGTTTGCTCCTGCTTCACTGGAGTTCTTAGGGACAACCCGAAAGCACAAAAGGAGACGCAAAAATGTAGAAATCGCAGCATTATTGTGGTTCTAGCCTTTGGCTGGATAAACAAGGGGCATCCGCAATACAACGGACAACAGCTGGTATAGAGGCTGGTGGATTTCCATAGTTCAATCGTCTTGAAAGACCATTGATGAAGAGCCCGGTCAATATTGCAAGGCCTAGAAGTGAAGCTCAGCGTCAAATGTTTGTGTCTTGCACGCCCATCTCCTCCGGCTTTGCGCGCGTCTCCTGGATTCTTTCTTCCTTGTGCATCACTCCAAACTTGATTGATTTTCTTGCCTTTCCGCAGCCATCGTCATCGTCATGAACAACAGCAGCAACACCAACAACCAACAGCAGCAGGCTCACAATGGTGAAGGCCCTCGCCCAAGCCTTGCCGAGCGCCAGTGGTGCACATGGCACCACAGGTGGGTCCGTCACACCTTTGAGCAGTGTGAGTGGGGTGTGCAGCAGCGCGCCCTGGGTCATCTTCCTGGCCAAGTCCTCCCTCCTCGCCCTAATCGCAATAGGGCTTCTAACCGCGCTGTACAACAGCCTCGCCGTAACAGGCGTGCCGACCACAGAGATCCGGGCTTGGCCGAAGTCATGGATACGGTGAGAGATCTCGCGGGCTCTCGTGCTAACAGCCGCATCGCAAGGCGGCTCACTTTTAACGAGCAAATTGCCATCCAAAGCGCAGGCATAACAGCAGTCGCTGGCATAGCGACTAGTATCGTGAGTGGTGGTGCCAATCGCCACAACGTATCGCAGGATGTTCTGCTACGCCGTTTCCGTGACACGGTGAGGTCCATCGTGGACCGACACGCCTCGCCTCGTCAGGCACCCAATGGTCGCAGTGGCTCCACCACCTAGTCGGGCTTCTCCAGTCACGAGTGCCTTCCAGGCTTCTTCTCTTTCTTCTTCATGGGCTTCACGCCACGTAAGAGCTATCGCTTCAAACTTGTGGGTAGTCTCTTAGGAGCCCTATCACGCGAAAGTGGTCTTCAAGATCACGGGACATCTCAAAAAAGAAAAACCAAAAACATTCAAGAAAAACACAAAACAATCACCAAAAAAAATGTACGAGTGCCCCCCCATCTTGATTCTGGCTTGCAAGCCGGGTTATGAAGGGGTTATCTTGCAGCATTCAGAGCAACATACCTGTCAAAGCGCAGATGTTGTGTTTTGAGGTCATGTCCACAAAGGAAGGGGGTCGGCTTTTGACCAACGCATGTTGATTGTGGCTCCCCCGTTCAGTGCGATCAATGAAACTACAGATCAAAATGCACAGTGCTATTGAGAAATTGGAAAACGTCCAGTGAGAAGGGCGAACAATTCGAACTCTCAGCGGATCTTCTCTGGATTGTCAATAACATTATGCCTTTTGATAGCTGTATCCGCAAGAGTGTTTGGTGCTTGGAACAGTCGAATGTTCTTGATGTCAACTCTTCAAAGGACTGAGTGTCGCATTGACGAGTGACGTTCGAAGAGATTCGGCGATAATAATTCGGAGGTACCATTATGTCCGAGGTCAACTACAACATGTCACATCATAATTATCAATCTTCCCCCTTCAACTTTTTGAACACATCCATTTTGATTAGGAAATAGCGATCATGGCAACTCCATCCAAGTACTCCGACTTTGACCAAAAAGATGTTGTTTACAAGACCGTTAACGACCAAGATATATCAACCACGATCCTAGTACCGAAGAATATCACGCCAGGGAAGCACCCTCTGCTGGTACATTTCCATGGCGGTTTCCTGATTTGTGGCTCGAAACTTTACGAGGAGTGGCATGCGACATGGACGATTCAACTCGCAGCTCAGAAGAATGCAATCTTGGTCACACCAAATTACCGACTCCTACCTGAAGCCAACGGAAGAGAAGTGCTCGACGACATCAGCGATTTCTGGTCCTGGGTGAAGACGTCTTTACCATCGGAAGTTGCAAAGATGGCAAGTGGAGTGGAGGTAGACACCACCAATACGTTAGTAGCCGGAGAATCAGCAGGCGGCTACCTAGCCATCCAATCCTCCCTCCTCCACCCATCCGCAGGCATCAAAGCCGTGATATCACAATACGGCATGCTCGACAACAAAATCCCACATTTCACCCAAAAAGGCCAAAAACACATGGCGGGAGCACCCCAACAGCCCGAATCAGAAGTAGATGATTACCTCCAAGATATGCAAAAAGGAGCTGTGAGGACGGAAACCCATCCGTGGGAAATGTGGTTGTTCATCTGTGCGACCGTGCAAGCTGGAAGGTATTTGGAGTTTTTGGGCGATGGCGTGGGTGTGCATGCGATTGATAATCTTGAGACGGCTGAGAGGGTGCCTGCATGTTGGATCATACACGGCAAAGAAGATTCGCTTGTAAGTGGGGAAAGGAGCGGAAGGAAGGGTCTCGATGACAATTTACTAACTCGGAGAGAAGGTGCCAATCGAAGCGTCAAACAATTTTGTCGACAAGTTGAAGCAGACGCATCCTATTACCCCGTTGAGGTATACGATACAGCCTGGTGAGCATGGATTTGATGGTGCGGTGAACATGGATGAGGACTGGGTCAAAGAAGGATGTGCTTGGCTCGAAAAGTATTGGCCATGAGCCAAAATGAATCAAAAATCACGATATCAGTGTACTTCAGAGAAAGACGCTTGCCCCTGGGCTTTAGCTCGGTGTAGCCTCTCTCTACGGCGTACAAGAACGATTCGACTATGAGTCTCGAATACTCGTTACGACCGTCTGCTTTCACTATGGCGTATTGCTGTTGCGAGTCGCCGGCGATGAACATATGCTAGATAGTCTTCTAGTTAGACATGTAAGTTGTTGCGAGGTTACCGTTAAGCGCCATACTAACTTCGTCGATTAAGATATAGACGGCTAGAAAGTACGTTCTAAGCCATTCGTGAGCGGAGGTGTTAAGCGTAGCACACATCACGTCGATGGTCTTAGCCTATTCGATGGTCAGAATGTGCTCGAAGTATAATGCCTTAGTCGTTAGTGCAGGCGTCTATTAGGACCGATTGTTAGATCTAGTTAAGCTTCTTGTTCTCGCCGTACTTATAGATAGCCTCGGCCTAACCAGGAGGCATGTTCTTAGCCTAAGGATTGCAGACTTTGATAGTTCTATTAGCCTTGTAGAAATAGAAGGCGAAGTCTGGTCTAGAAGAGGTTGCAGTGTTTGAGGGTATCTTCGTCTCACGACAAGGTCTCGAAAACAGCGGTAGAAATGCAGAGATATGTTCGCATATGAGTGAGTTGTCCAATGAGATGTGACGGTCTTGCAAGCTCTCTTTGGAAGGCACAATCGAACTGAAAATCATTGTGCATTTTTACAGACCTGTTTGCGTGACTCGGCCTCGCCGGAGCGCCTGCCACTTTGATTCGTTGATAGCACAGTGCATCTTTTTTGCTTTGGTACATTCGATCTAGTGTGGTACTGGTAGAATGAGATCATAAATTTTGTAGCTACAGATAGCAACGAACAGGGCTTCAGAAGTAAATCATACAATCATACAAGCATTTAAGCGGTCGAGTTACCCTTAGAGATCAAAAGGGTACCGAAGACATTCGAGTTGGGAACAGCCTTGCCAACCTTGCTCTTGAGGTAGCAGGCTGAACCAGACAAAGAGGAATCGATACAGCCAGGGGTCTGATCGCAAGCGGCAACACAGCCCTGGATAGTGCTGTTGACATAGGCCAGCTTGAGATCACCGCCCTGGTGGTCAACACCACACTCGACGAAGTACTTGGAAGTGCCGACGTTCAGGATGGTGTTGTTCCAGCTTGGGCAAGAAGGCTTGTCGGTAAGCTGGGCGTGCTTGCCGATGGGTTGGGAGATCAGACGTGCGCCGACGGCACCAGGCTTGGAGACGGCAGCGCCGACAGCACCCTTGAGGTAGCAGGTAGTGCCGGAAAGTTGGACGTCAATGCAGCCGTTGGTACCCTCGCAGGCCATGATGCAGTTGTTAAGTCTGTCGGTACCGTTGACGTAGATTTGGGAGAAAACACCACCGGCGTGGTCAGTACCACACTCGATCTTGTAGGTGCTGCCGGTCGAAGGCGTGTATTCCAAAGTGTTCCAGCTGGGGCAGCTAGGTGTGGCAGTCTTGTTGTAGGCACTAAGACCTAAGGTGTCAAGAAGGACGCCAAAGTTGGGAATACCGAGACCAGTAACGGGATCCCAACCGACTCTGTTGATTGTTAGTACAATTCTAGGTTGTAGACGAACAGGAAACCATGACTTACGTTGCGTTCCAAGTAGCCCAGGGAATAATTGATGCACCAGGGATCTTAGCACCAGTCTGAGCATTCACACCGTTACAGCCGGTAGCAGCGCCTTGAGTGACATCCGTGAAACCAGACTTGAGGGAGTAGAAGAGAGGGTTGACGAAACCAAGTGCAGGCTGGCCTGCCTTGAAGCGTGCGTCGTTCAGCAGTCCTATCCAAGCGGCCCAAGCCGGGGCTTTAGGTTGGTAAGTTAGCTTGGTTCTTGAGTAAAAAGGGATTGGTATACCATCGAGAAACTTGGGGGGAAAAAAGAAAGAAAAATGAAAATCAAAAACTCACCAGCAGCAGAGGTACCAGAGTAGAGAGCAAGAACACCGTTAGCGTAGACAGGCCAGTAAGGGTTGGAGCTATGCGCTGAAACGTCAGGGAAACCACGGGCGCTGAAGTTGGTGAATGGTGTGTAGTAGTCCTGAACACTTTTGCTGATGTAAGAACCAAGGTAAGTCTCGACGGCAGACTCCTGGTACCATGCACGAGAGAAGTAGTTGCTGAATCCTCCTGTCGATCCATCCCAGGCTTCCTCGTTGAATCCTTGAGTACCACCAACGGCAGTAATGTAAGGGCAAGTACCGGGGAAGGCAGGAGTAAATTGAGGAGTCTTCTTGCCATCGTTGGATTGGCAAGGAGCACCAACACCAGTGTCGCCCGAGGACTCGAGAATGGTGATACCACGAAGGCCCATCATACCAATTTGGTTGCAGACATATCTGGCATAATCGATAGGCACGGTCTGCTCGTCATCTCCGTAAGAATTGGAAATAACCTGGGGAAGAGCCTCATTAGACTGAGACAGGAGGTATGCGTAGTAGTCGAGGTAAGGCTCGTTGGAGTTGTCGGCCTCGGTTGGGAGGTCCAAGTTTGTGAGGAAAGGTGGCGAGCCTCCAGTAATGAACTCGGTAACAGGCAGGGGGTGAGCCAAGCCGAAGATGTTTTGGGCGTCCAGGTTAGCCTCGCCGATTGTGGTGTACTCAGGCTCCTGGTGGTTGACACCGCCGTTGATGAGAGTTACGTTAAATGACTGCTTGGGAATGCCATACTTCTGTTCGTAGAGGAACAGGTCGGCTTCGATGGCAGATTCGTTCAGGAAACTGCCGAAACCGATGCGACTACCAGAAGAGGCGTCTGGAACATAGGTCACATTGTAAACCTGCTTCCAGCAATCGGGTCCGAGGTAGGCAGTTCCGCGAGCAGAGTAAGAGACACAAGCAAGGGCACGCTTGGTCAAGCCTGACTGTGGCTCCGAAACTGGCTCACGTCTCTCGACGCCAACATTCTCGGGGAGTCTGAGAGCACTCTCCGCATTCGTACGTCCAAAGAAGGTAGTAGGTGAAACGAAATCAACGTGGCTAGAGATCACGTCAGGAACGGAGTACTGCAGCGTTCTCAGCTTCTCAACTCCAGTAGATTCGTCCTTGAAGGTTGTGAAGTTGGCTCCGAAGACCTCGTTGGCGTTACCGATGGTGGTCTTGATGGTGACGTGCAGGCCACGGTCAAGGCTGTTGTCAAGGCTTGCAGTCTTTGCCCAAGATGTGACAGCATCAACGGAGCCACTTGATGGTGCGAAGAGAGCGTTGACCTGGTCGGCAGTGTAGTATTTGCCGTAGTTAGGGCTTGATGGGTCAGAAACCGACTTCAAGAGACCCTCGAGCTGGTCGATGTTCTGTTGCTTGACTGCAAGCTTCAAGGTGATGGACTGAGAGGCATCGGGAGTACCAGAGACGGACCATCCTGCTGGTACACCCGGAAGCTGGTCACGAAGAGATGCTGCCAGAGCACTGGGCACGGTCAGAGCCGCAATGGAAAGAAGAGAAGCCGACAACATATTGATCGACGCGAACAAAGAGAGTACGACTGGATGGAGGGACCACGAACATTCCAGGGAATGATTGCCTGTTCATACCCCCTCACGGGTACCTGCTGAGCTCCATGAACTTCCAGTAGCACCTGTGCTCTACAGGCGCCGCTCCACAAGATAGCGGAGTATATCTGGGAAATTACAGAACACGATACCTGCAGATAGCGTTCGGTCTACTGCGGGAACTTAGATAGCAAGCATGGGGTATGTGCTCAGAACTCGAGTGGATGGCACGGCGAATGCTTAGACGCGATGCTTAAGCCTCTGCTGGAGGCATGCGAAGTGGTGGAGCACGAGATCAAGACTTGGTCTCAGGGGCTTCTAGAGGGCGATCAGTGCATGTTCACCATCCCTCACCTGCCTATTCAGATGCAAAGGTCGCGACGAAGGCCTTTACGGCCGCAGATCCGTATACAAGCTCGTAGCCACAACTTCGGTTAGATAGACCTAGAGCAGCGGCCAGGATATGGAGGAATAAACTCTGTAATTTGCGAGAGAGGCACGCTCAGCACGCGACATGCCTCATAGCAAGAGCGATAGCGAAAGAGGAAGGTGGAGGTGGAAGTTGGCGCGGAATACGAAGCGCGACGGGCGGCATCGGCCAAGCGCGTCAAGAAGCTTATTGCCTTTGACAAGTTTCGACCTTTAATTCCACCATCTTGCTATCACGGAATAGGAGACCTCGGATCAAGGAGTGTGAGTACAGACCGAGGGTTTCTTCTGCTTGAAAAGGTATGCATGTATCTAGCGCATAAAGTGTGATAACTATCGACAGGCAAACTAATGCTGAGCAGCGATAGTGCTCTCAGTAGACGAATTGTCGCCACGAATTGGTTCTCATCCTTGGGTATTAGGCCCATATTCAAGCACTCATGTCTGATGAAAGGAGAGGTAAAGCAATGGATAGATCTCGCTGGCTCGTATGATCGTATCTGCTCCAAATGCTCAAACATGATCGGATGCCGGTTAAAGTACGAATCGATTTCAAAGAACGGCATCTTATCTTCCGAAAATCTACATCGCAGAAAGTGGTTCATGTGCAATATGATCTTCATGACAGGCTTCATTTGTATGCAGGTACCGCTGATCTGCAGGATACTTCAACATCTTGCTATGATAAGTTTGTACTGTAACTACCAGTCCTGTATGCACATGCACCTGCGAATGCGAACGTCTCGCACCACCGTCAACTCCCTCAGAAGTTGAAACAAAGCAGAATTGAGCCTAGGTTATCCTCCAAGCATGCCACCACTGCGCTGAAAACACAGCCAGATATCATAAAAGAAGCCACCGAACAACCAGAGCAATGCAGAAAAGGAAAATTATTCAAAAGGGAATCGTGAATGTCGTGAAATGGATTATTCGCTCAACTCGGCCATTTCTCTTTCTTTGGCCAGGAGCGCTTCTCTCATCATTGCCATTTCTTGTTCCAGCCTTGCTCTTTTTTCCTGTCGCGATGGTGTCAGGAATTCACCCGCGCCCATGACAGCCAGAGGAGCTTTGTAGTCTTGCGCTGAAGTACTGGAACCAGGTGCGGGCGGTGCTGAAGAAAGCGAAGGATCTATGTTTTCGGCTTCGCTTCTATCGCTGCGGTCGCTATGAGGGTATGCGGGAGAAGGAGGTTGGCGCGCCTGATCTGAGGCGTTGCTGATGGAGAATGAACGCTTGCGCGAGACTGGCGGATTTGAAGCTTGGGCAAAAGCGGGCTGCTGGGCCGATGTCGGGCGCAATGGCTTGCCGAAATGCGTAAAATCGACAGCGATTGGGGCGCGGGAAATGCGAACAGGCTCGAGTGAAGCAGGCAGAGGAAGGTGGTGAGGGTGAGAGTGTTCGGGGTGTTGGTGTTGCTGCTGCGGCTGAGGGTAGAATGGCGGTACAGATCTTTGCACGGGGGGAGCGGGTTCGGGGGGAGGCGAGATGGGTTGCGTGTTGTTGACAGAGAAGGGAGCAAGATGCTGGTCGTTGGTAGCAGGCATGACTCTGCGACGACGCTTGATTTCCGACTTCTTCATGCCTGAGGGGCGGTGTACACCGTGAAGCTTGTAGTAGAGACCTAAAAGATTGAATCAGATTTGATCAAGATAAGATAAGAAATGGCATTCGTAAAACATACCGCAGGCATTGCAGATGGTGTGTCCGTTGTCGTCGCGTCTCCACAATGGCGTAATTGTCGTACCACAATTCTGACAGGCGACCGTGACGCTGGCCGCCGGCACTTGGCTTGGCCCGGGGCTGTGTTGAGCGTGCGGATACGGGCTCCGGCTGGCAGCGTGTTGACCTTGAGGCTGGCCTTGTGCGCGGCTGTCGTTTGCTTGCGCCAGAGCAATCTGCGCAGTCTTGCTGACGCGGTTGTTGTATGCTGGGCATCCGTTGCAGCCATCGTGGCCTCCAGTGCCGTTGCAGCGACCTCCGCCGGGGCATGTGCCGTTCGATGTTGTGTCGGCGACGTATGTTGCTCCTCCAAGCTGTTTGGCCGATGGCGATGAGCTCTTTCTATTTCCTGATGCCGTCGTCTGCTGATCTTGCTGCTGCTGTTGCTGGCCGGCTGCCGGTGCTTGGGCTCCTCGTTTTAGGTTGACAGGGCGCATCTGGTTTCGGGCCTTGAGGTAGAGTCCGCAAGCGTTGCAAATCGTGTCGCCTGCTGGTGAGCGTCTCCATAGTGGTGTTCTCGTTGTACCGCAGTTGCTAGTGCTTGGTTAGTATGAGAATGACATGTCGCGGCTAAAGATGGCGTACCTGCAGACTTGACCTGCTCCGCCCATGCCTGTATTGAATGGTTTCCTCTGTTTGACCCATGTGAGTTCGTGGATGGACGGGAGTTGCAGGTTTTGTTGTTGCTGATGATGTGAATGTTGCGGAGTGAGCTGCTGTTGTTGCGCCGAGAGACTCGTCTCACTGCCTCCATCATCAGACAACCGCTCGACATCTCCACCACTTCTGCTGCCTTCGTCGGCTGTTGATGGTGTAGTTCGGCGGTCGGCTATCGGTGGAGCATGTTGGATGCCTTGTGAGTGCTCGATCAATCGTTCGGCAAGTTCGAGTTCCTCTTTGGAGCGTTCGGTGGACAAGCGTGGACCGGCGACTGGGGACGGCGCGAGTGTTGTTGCCGGGTTGGACATGATAGAAGATGAAAATGATGTTTGGTCTTGTCGAATGAATGCGCACTGCCTCGGGGGCAGAGTGGAATAGACGAGAGAGAGCGCCAAGACGAAGGTGCTTGGGGAGCACGCAACTCACTTGCTGCAGCCTATTCTATCGTCGTCTGACAACCTGGGGGAATATGGTGTTTCTTGGCGACCTGATGATTGATACGGGAGACGACTGTCGACAAGCTTTCGCAACAAATCGAGTTTGATGGACTGTGCCTGTTATCAGATATGGCTTCGAGACGTGTACGACGGTATGTCGAATTTGCCTGCGAGGCCGAGGGAGCAACAGGAAACAGAGAGTACGAGATCACGGTCATGAAAATGCCTTTGATTTTATTGGCTGAAAAAACAGCCAGTCAAATCAAAGGCTATGGTAATATAGAAGAAGTGACTCCACTTTACCGCTTTACTTTTAGGCAATGGAACCTTCTGAGCGCTTTCGCTTATCTTGGCATCTCTGGTGACATCTCAGCGCTGTTACGGCATTTCAACTCTCGTGATTAGCGACACCGAGATGTGCCCGTAGGTCACGGTCGCGCTGCCCGGGTTGCGTCTAGTTGCAGCGCTTTACTTAACTATGTGCTTGTTGCCTGCTAAGGACTTGATGTTGCGTCCTCCCCATGTGCTAAAGTATGTAACTTTAACTCTCAAGCCGCGGCGATGCGCATCGTTCCAGCCATCAAAATGCACAATGATTTTGAGTAAGAGCACATTGTCCACAGAGAGCGGCGGTCTAACGGCCTCTCCTTGGACCTAGCTCTACTCTCGAAAATCATCGTGCATTTTGACAGCAGCATTAGTGACAAACTTTAGCACACGGGGAGGGTTGTGGTAGAAGTTCTTTTGATCTAGACACCTGATATGATAATATGCCACTGTCTGGGAGTGGGTTTCCTGCATCGAATGTGTCGAATTGCACAAAAGCACATAAGACTTACAAAGAATGTGCTCTAAAGGATGACTAGACCCTAATTCGCCGCTGAGAACAAACATCTGCCTCACTGAAGTTATGTATCAAGATCAACAATGGTGCTGTTCGTGTTCCGATATGGTATTGTAATTCCCGGACAGGGTTGTCCGCTTACCATCAATCACATTTCGGCCTCGGTCTCCGGCCATCTGACGAACCATGACGTATTCTACCCCATAGCTCGATCTCTCTCGAGCTCTCGATGGTGCCTCACCCGGGTGGTTTCCTGTGTGGAGCTGTTCAAAGCCAAAACAACGATTTGCAGGTGATTTGGAAGCAAATGCGTTTACCCGTTTCCTCTTCTACGTGCTTTCAAGTCCAACTCTTCAACTTCTTTCCTTTCTCCGCTACACTGAACTCCATCACCTCTCAATACCCCAGAAATATATACACAATGGCTCAATCTCACGCTTGCTGTACCGTTCCTCCCGTCATTAGCAAGGGCTATGATGCCAAGGGTACTTATACCACTATCGATGGCATGAAGACCTATGTCACTGGCCCCAGCGATGCGAAGAAGGCTCTCTTGGTCATCTACGACATCTTCGGTTTCAAGGACCAGACTATCCAGGGTGCCGATATCCTGGCTACCAGCGACAAGGAGAACCAGTACAAGGTCTTCATGCCCGACTTCTTCGAGGGCAAGCCCGTCGACATTAGCGACTACCCTCCTGACACCGTATGTGCTTTGCAATCGGGCCACTGAGATCGAAACGCTAACAACCATTACAGAAGGAGAAGGGCGAGCGTCTCGGCAAGTTCTTCGAGACCACCGGCGCACCACCCAAGACCGTCGGCCGCATCCCCAAGGTCATCGATGAGATCAAGTCGCAGAACCAATGCATTCAATCCTGGGGCATTGTTGGCTTCTGCTGGGGAGGCAAGATCGTGAACTTGTCTTCGCAGAAGGATACTGTCTTCAAGGCTGCCGCTGCCTGCCACCCCGCCATGGTCGACCCCAACGACGCTGCTGGTATTAGCATTCCTATTGCTATGTTGCCTAGCAAGGATGAGGACAAGGAGGCTGTGGAGAAGTGGGAGCAGGGTGTCAAGACCAAGCATCTTGTCAAGTGGTACAACGACCAGGTCCATGGCTTCATGGCTGCTCGGTAAGTTCTGCGTTGATGATTGATGGAACGAAACAATGCTAATGATGATTGTAGTGCCGACCTCGAGGACGAGAATGTCAAGAAGAACTACATGGATGCTTACGGCGTTCTGTTGAACTTCTTCCACGAGCACCTGTAAGTGCCTCTCTCACACTTACGAGATGTAACAAGTGCTTCGCTGTGTTGGTAAGCAGTTGGATGTTTGCGACATGCTTCCGATTGAACAATCATGCTGACAACTCTCTATCAGGACTTCGGCCAATACAACCAAGCTATGAAGCAACGCAGACGAATACAGTAGTCAGTAGTAGATGAATCATGAACACTTTTTCTCAGCTTGTCGTGAAAGTCGTGAATTATGTGTGCAAGTATGAATGTCGTTTCGAGCTCTGTGAATGTCGAGACGTGATCAGATGCCCTCGTCTTCGACCTCCTCTATCTCGACATGCCTGAGTGCCTTCTCGGCTTGTTGTCCTCTAGTTTCTCCTGGACCCATTTTCTCGAATTCTGCCTCTTTCTCCATCTCATCGGCCACCTTTCTCGCATCGTTATAGCCTACCTCCTCGAGCTTATCCGCTTCTTCCGGCTCTAGTAACCGCCTTCCTTAACCCTTTTATCTCGCAATATTTGAGCTACCGTATTCTGCACGAACCTCGACTCTTCCTCAAGATTGCGCAACACAGGTGCAGAGCTGTGTGTCGTTTGCGCCGGACAATAGGGATAGGAGAGAAGTTTTAAGTTGTTGTTTTTTGTCTGCTTTGTGTTGGGCGGCGACGGGATTAATGGAGCGTTCTTGGTGTGGGGTCAGATGGAGCTGGCGGTGATGGTTGAGTTGGGTGTCTCTATGCGACAGTGACTGTGAAGATCCAGAGTATTTTACTTTAGAGGTTGGTTTGCGAGAAAAGTGATGGTCTGTCAAGGCGCATTCAGAGATTCTAAATTCTGACGCAAGTTCGAGAAAGCTGCTTGTGTTTGCTCTGTTTGGTCCTTCCGTCACCAGCTCTCTCTCTCCAGCACCAGCTTCGCATCAATGCTTGACCATCCAAATACACAGTTATTTTCAAATCAGCCAAGGAGTCCGCTGAGAGCAGATACCTAAAACTGTACTATCTCTTGTATGGGTTCTTGATCATGAAACACTTCCTGCCTTCTAATAGATCAGATCCCTACGCGACTCCCTCCACTCGAGCCTCGGGTTACAGTGTCTACTGCAACTGCTGCCGCTCGCGCATCGCTGGCCGAGATGCCTAGAAACCTCTGCATGGAAGCACGAGAGCATTATCAAACGACGTAGTCACCGAACGAAACAACAACTAGTCTAGATCCTTCACGAACGACACCAGGGTCAATGTACCAATGTACTGTTGAGTTACAACGAACAAGCACCGGGCTTCTGGACGCTCGGCCTTCCTCTCAAAACCCTCGAACCTCGATGTCATGTACGGATGCAATGCAGGATGCACTTAGAAATAACCGCGTGGGTCTGATATGGTCTAGAGCACATGTCAACGGTTGGTGACCTGATAGAGCCATCGACATGTCTGGCAGTCTGCACCTCGGTCTTTGAGTTGGCTAGAACAGCGCAAGCTCATGAGTTGCGGAATTTTGCGAGCAGCTAGACAGCCAATGCCATTGATGGTAGCATATGATACTTGGAGCAACTCTGCACGCGAGGTTGGTTTAATGCTTCCATGCCTACTGGCCAGGGACTTTCAGCGGTCAAGACCGGACACCAATACATCACTTTGCATGTTTATAGGTGTGTTTCTGAGGGTGTGTGGTGGTACACACACTTCATTGACATTTGATTAAGGGTATCTGTTACTAGTAGGCACACAGGCCTCGACATAATCATATCATCATAGCAGTCACAGCTTGAGAGCTTTACTTCTCTGCACATCGAGTTAGCATATCATTGCTCCTCTCAAATGAGTAGATCGACAACTTACTGTCGCTGGAGAAGGTGTTGCTGGCAGCATCCTTGGCTTGCTCAAACATGCTGGAGCCCTTGTCTCCGGCCTTCTGCGAGTCCGACTTTGTGCTGTCGGGCTGCATAGAGCTAGCGGCGCTATCCATGCCACCAGAGGCCTTGTCCTTGTACTTGTCGCCGGTCGACTTTTGGCTGTCGGGCATGACGGTCTTGGAGACCTTGTCGGTGAAAGATTCGCGGCCTTCGTCAGACATGTTGATTGGTATGTGGTGGTGGTGGGGTTTGTTTTGTGTATTTGGTAAAAAGGATAAGTTGGTATGTGGATGAGACTCCTTACAATTCACCTACAACAGCTACCTTTATATAAGACCAGGACGAGGGGTCGTGTAGAAGTACAGTGCGACAACCAAGCTCACCTCTCACCCCTCTTCTACCACCAACGTCATTTGGGTCTGGTGGTCTGTCTGCTTCAGCCTTGGATAATGTCCTACATGACCCTTGTGATCAGGTTTGATTGGTCTCATTGATTGAGGCTCCATGCGATTACAGCATGGGTTGATAGGGAGGACCAAGGTCGAGATGGGAAAACTTGATAGTCGATAGCAAGCGGTCGTGATAGGAAACGTCACACTGATGGACGTGCCTCGAGTCTTTCATATGACAGACGCATGGTTGTCTGAGCCTCGTCTCACGTGAAGTCCATGCTCCGGCGTTCTCGAACGTGGTGGACATGCAGCTCGACTCGACACACAGAGCATGACGTCCGACAAGAGATGCTGCTGTGAGATTAGCGCTGCCTTCGGATAACGACATGTAGCATAACGACACGGTCGCCACTCATAGCTACAGCATAGCTACAGTCGGTATCCTTGCGCACTAACATTGCTGCCTAGCACTTGCCCGTTTTAAGGGCCGATCTGCTAGTTAAATCGTCATTTTCGCGGGTCAAAGTTAGTCCGATGTAGGTTAAAAGTACGTCATTTTGGGAGACTATCTACTATAAGTGTCTAACTCCAAAAATCCTCTTATTTTGCTATATGCGCGAGAGGTAGTATATAGAGGGAGGAGGCATATTTTCTTTATTACTATTGCTATTACTATATTGCGAGAAGGGGTATAGCTAAGACTAAGACTCGCCGACAGTAGATTATTCTAAAGGGCGAAGCGTATAAGAGGGTAACTACGGTAAGAGGAGCGTAGATTTAAGCGAGGGTAGTTTAATTGTCGAGGGTCTTAATAAGTTAAATAGTGCGAGCGTAATAGCTAAGTTTAGTAGTGTTATAAGGCTCGATTCATCTAGCATAAGTAGCCGCTTAGCTAGAGTCGTCTAAGTGCTTAAATACCGAGGTTAGGAGTACTAGAAGTAGTATTAAGAGGACTAAGATTAAGAGGACTAAGGTTACGAAGGCTAGAGGGTATTAACATTAATAAAATCGTCGTTATCTATATCTTCCTCTTTAAGTTTAATGTTATCGCGGAGCTCTATAGTGCTAGCGAGGGCTTCCTTCGTAACTAATGTAGAAACTTCCTAGTTAGTAGAGGGATTGTCTTATTATTACTTTATCTTATTAAGAGTAGCCTTACGAAGGCGCTTCCTTATCTTACCTTCTACTCTTATAATAAGACGACGTACTTCTACTCTTTACTTACGTCGTTTCTCTACTTTACGAGAGCGCCGGAAGGCTCGCCGGTTCCGGAAGATATAGATAAGCTTATTCGTTAAGCGACTTAAGAGGCTAGATCTAAACTTATTCTAGATAAAGTTTATGCTCGAAAAAGACCGCTTACTCGGCACCGAGTTCGCTAGTATTAATGCTAGTCGTTTAGCAAGAATAGCTAGATCTAGGACCTTCTTACGTACGAAGGACTAGAAGGTTCCTACTTCGGTTCGTTACTAGAGGAATTCGCTTGCAAATGGACCTAATTTGTCTTTAAAATTAGCGAGCTAATTATAGAAGTCCTTATGCCGGTACGAAGGAACATGCTACTCGAAGAAACGACGTACGCGTACTTAATCCTTATTATCGAGAAGGTCGTATGCCTTAGGGTTAGTAAAATTAAGAGCGTACGTAGTAAAGTAAATGTCGTAAGTCTACTTCTTAAAACGAGCATTAAATAACGCTAAGACCTGCTCCTTTAAGGGTATGTCTATAGCCTCGTAGTCGTTTCTTAGATCCTTCTACCTATTAATAACTATACCGACGGTTAAACGGTTAGATTTAGAGGCTACCTACGCGTTATACGTAGGCTCGAGGAGCTTATAGAGGAGCTTAGTCTAGCGCTAGAAGTAAGGGTCTCGAAGTCTCTTATTAACACGCTTACTAATAGGATCCTTACTATCCTTCTTCTTCTTTAAGCGCGATAACTAGAGGTCTTTCCGGTTAAGTATTAATAGCGAGGTAATGATGTCCTTATTTAAAAGGAGCATATCTAGCCCGCCGAACTAAGTTCCCTAGCGTGTAAGTACTGCCCTTACTAGAGCTCTAATTTTAACCTCGTTATCGCTCGCTCTAGCGACGTAGATAGCCTAAAGTTTTGGCGCATTACTAATATAACTAACTACCTCGTTAATAGCCTCTATCGCGGCCTTAATCTATAGCACTAGTTAAATTAGATTACCGAAATGTAGCTATAGACTATGCGCATTATAGAGAACATAGAAGACATACCTTATCGATAGGTTAGCTTTAATTAGCCGGTATACTAATCTCTAGGTTTTGTAAGTATCTGTATAAAGGCTATTCTAAGCACCTAATCTATCGACGGTTAGCGAGCTAATTTTTTGATATAGTAGATTAAGCAGCAACCTAGCATCCTAAGTCGATTCCTTAGTGTTAGTAGTCTCGAGGTAGAAGGCCTAACCGTCGTTAGCATTAAGCGAGATGTTCGCTATCCTAGCCTTATTCATTAATGTCAATTTATTACTAATTAAGTTTAGGTATGGCCCTTTAAAATTAAGCATCTATAGTCTCTACAATTTAATCATTTTATCTATTTCCTTACTAACTACCTCGTAGTAAGCATCGAGTAACTTAGTCGCTAGTCGCTCGCGACCCGGAGGCTTATAATCTAGATCTAGACCTTAAATAAATTGCTTAAAGGAAGGCAAATTCTTAAAGGTCGAGAAGGGTAATCTAGACTTATAAATCGACATAGCGTATAGCAGATTAAGCGTAGGCTTTAACAGCTTTTCTAGCCTCTCGTATGCTATATTAACACTTGCTAATGCCTCCTCGACTAGCTTCTAGTCGTCTATCTTCCTTAGCTTAAGTAGCGCTTTATTATCTTCCTTACGCTAGAGGGTAAGGCCCTTTAGATGTTCGATAAATTGCTAACATTTAAGTAGATGTTTCCTCTTCCTTCCTACTTAATTCCGGGCCTGCCTTACTCTAATACTACTACTACGGCACTAACGATAGACATCTATAGGGGTAACACTAGTAATTCTATCCTCGTCGAACTGCTTTAATACGAAGCCGGTCTGTAGCGCTATGCTAAACCTATGATTTAAGATCCGCTAACTCTAGCGATAGATTAAATACCTCGTGCTACGCCATTGACGTCATATAACAACTAGCTTCGGCCAACTTTCTGATACCTACCAATGTAGCTATCGATTTCCCTCCTATCAACGACCAAACAATACCTACAGCATAGCTACAACTCACGGATGTAGCCGAAGGCAGCTCTATGTGAGATGTGCGACAAGCAAGAGAGGGCGCGAAAACCTAGGTGTGCACCATCTCCTACTCCCTGTGTAAATTGCGATGCGAGCACTAACCCAGGTTTTCGCTGTTCTTGCCCTTTGCCCCCGCCGATATTGTTGCCGCTGCTGCCATACGACGCACACCTTCTTTTAGCTGCTCCCTGGCATCATCCCAGCGCATTGCGGGTCTTGCCGTCGCTTGTTTTCTTGGGGATTGTCTTGGGGTGACCGTGATAGTCGCTCTTTTTCGTCAGAACTGTCTTGCCATCGCCGATTTAGCCTTGCGCAGAGCAACAAAAAATGCTACTGTACATCAACACACAAGCGTGTGCCTTACGTTGCGCCCGCCGAACATAGCCGCCGGCAGCGCTTGCAGGCATCGCACCCGACTCGCTATCATCCTCGCTCTAGTCTTTTTAGCAGCCTGTCGTGTCCGTTGTGTTTCATGAGAGGAGGCCCCGGTTTTCTTACCAGTCGGAAAGGTCAAGACAAGTCAAAGACAAAGGGCCCCACAAATGCATGTGGTCTTTTGGCGAGGAGGAGTGTGAGAGCGACCGACGGCGAGTAAGCAAGATGCAGCATAAGGCTTGCGTAGTGATGTCCGCACAACGGCCGCTGCCAGATCTGCATTTTCGCTCTCGGTCACAACCCCGTAGGAGGGCATGTCATTGGCATGCTTCCTGTCCACCCCCAACGCCAGGGCGTTTCCTGTTGGCAGGAAAGTGGACTGTGGCTGTGTTTGAGAAGACAAAATGGAAAGAGGAGGAGATGGCTTTCCGGGCTGGATGTCATTGGGCAAAGGCCAGAACAAGGGCACAAATCGATTGCAACGTTTGACCCTCGAATCCTTAAACATTGCACACACTTTCTCTCTTTTGGCACGGAGGAGATGGAGTATCCTCCTGCCTCCACTTAACGCGCAAAGCCTCGCTTTGCTATTACCTATATCAGTGATCGGATATAGAATTTCCCAGCTCCACTACCTGGTCTCGAGTTGGTCCCCATATAATGTCTGGCCCAAAATACGTACAGGGCGCACGCGCAATCTCCTCACTTTCCCCTACTGACATAATACCATAGATCCTATTCGTACATCATCCAAGATCCGAACTTCTCCGCAATAAAAGATGTGGTTGATTGGTAGTGATTGGGTGGACGATGATGCATCGGCATGCAATGACCCGTGAACCGGAAGAGGCCAAAAGTCATCGGAGGAGCAGTCCAAATGAAAAGCTCGGGCGATCATCAGGTCAGAGCAGAAAACCGTTTGAGCTCTTCTGTTGCCAACGCTAAACGAAAGGAACGCTGTCAAGCCTCAGAAAATCAGCCCTCGCAAAGCCTATGGGGCATCTGGGCCCTCCCTCATCCCTCATTTGCTCGCGCTTTGATGGTTGGACATGTTTAACGACACCACCTCTCCTGATGGATGTCATGATCGCTGCTGCAGACATTGCATGCACTCTTATTCCCATGTCCACGTGTATTATTGAACTCTCACGGAGAATGCCATTTTTCTCAAAAAGAAGATCAGAAGATCACTCATTCAAGGTGACTGCTTGTGGTTGTATCGACGGATGAATTGATCTCCGATTTCAATGCGGGCTCCGCATTATTGTGCATACGTGTCGGTTGAAAGGGCACCTTTCCTCAAAAACTGTAGGCAGGATTACTGATCAAGGATCACGCCCTGATGCGGACGATTACAATCGTTCACCTGCCTTGCGTTAGACTCTTGGAAACTGTTGGTCATTGGTCTGCAAACGCTAAAGCACACCATAATTTGGCAGGTCCACAAGATCGTGGAAGAGTCGTGGGTTTGCGCAGAGTGATGATCCTAATTGCAACACTGTGAGTCTGTGGCGTTCAATTGTACGCGCTAACAACGGCTCCACATCGTCAAAGTCGAAGGGGAAAGTGCTCGCGTTGTGTAGGTTTTGAGGGCCGAAGGAGCGCAACATGAGACGCTCAGTTGTTGAGGAGGGAGAGGTCAGCACAGTGAACTAGAACTCCGAGAAAGGGTAAAAAAAGCACATGAAGAGAAGAACTATCATGTGTACTGATTCCAACAAGAAAGCAAACTACTGTATGTGCATCAATCCGTCACCAGATTGATTCTCCCGGCCCATTAATTCCTCCCAAAACACAGAACTCCAAGTCTCCTATTGAGAGACCACCCTGTCGTGTGCTGTCGATACGTCTTGAAAACGCCTGATAAGATACATATCCCATCCTGATTTTTTACACCGCTGAAAACGCCCAAATGTAAGCCCAATGAAAGAAAGAACCCATAAATCTAGAAATTGAAGTGAAGCTCCTCGAAACGTAGTCGGAGTTGTGGTTGATAGGTCCAAGAGCAATTTCGCTTAAGGTCTTTTGGAGTATCCGCTTCCGGGAGCATGGGACATGGGGTGCTGTTGGTGGTGATGTAAATCGTGCTCTGTCATAGATGGTCCGAGCTGCTGAGGATGATACCACTGCGTGGGCAGAGAGTCGTGTCTAGACGAATAGTCCATACCCATGGGGGGTTGTTGCTGGTGCTGATAGAAACCCCACTGAGGAGGGTACATGCCAATAGGAGTCATGGTTGGCTCACTCGTGACAGGTGTCATAGATGATTCTGACATGGTGCAGACTGGAGGAGCTCCTGTGTCGAGAGGTGTCAGACTGTAATGCGCTGATCCTGGTCTAGTGTATTCGATAGGAGCTGCAGCCGGTGCAAAGTTCCCGAGCTGGGGTTCGATGTGTCCATACGACATGGATCGCAACGGAGGCTGCTGGAGAGCATACTCATCTCTTTGCGGCGGGAAAGAGAAAGAAGGATATACGTTGGGAGAGTGTTCGGCTGTTGTGGTGGAATAGTTGGGGTATTCACCCATCTGCGACGAGCTCCAATGCACAGGGGTTGGGGGCTCGGTTCCTGACATGTCATTGGTGTAGATGGCGGGATAGCCAGGGCGAGCGAATGCAAACTCGGACGCGACGGGTGCTGTTTAAACTATCAGCTCTGATTGAGTCAATGCGATGCAACGAGACTTACTGCCTGTAGAGATGCCTAACCCCGTGGCAGGGTCGACAGAGCCATATTCCGGTGGCGCATTCGATGCGAGATGAGGGAAACGGCCTGTTTCATGATCATGTTCTAGTTTTGAGCCCGGAGGATGCATCTCGGATGGCGAGTTAGAAATTACTGATGAATCCTTAGATCCCTTGGTTTGCGCGCGACTTTCAGGTCCACCGGCTGAATCAACAGGATAGAAGACACATTCTTTTTTCAGTCGAATGCAGTTGTTGCATCGGCCCATGTCGTCGCTCTCAGCCAGAACGCAGCGGATCTTTCTGCGTCTACAGTGCGCTGATGATAGTTAGTATATGCCACACAGTACCATAACGAATGTGTTCTTTACTTACAGCAAGCAATTGATATGCGCTGGTAGCCTAGCTTGTTCCTTCTCTTGTCGAGAGCTGTGGGAGAGAGTCCCCCCGCCTCCTGAACAGAGAGGCCGTTCAACTGCGGAGTTGACGAAGCGCGTTTGAGTATAGGGCTCATCTTGACCTTTGAATTCTTCCGTCTCTTTGCAATTCCGGCAGATGATGAGTGTGGTAGTGTGGGTGTAGGGTAGTAACTCGCCGAAGGAGCAGAGTCCGTGGGAGATGTTGATGCGAAGTCGGAGGGTGCGTGTTTGATATCGATTTCCGGCATGTCTGTTTCTTTGAACAGACTCGAAGTGATGCAAGGTCCAACGACCTGACAGGAGCGGACCAGTAGACCTCCAGGTGGCAATGGAAGAGCTCAAGTGAGGAACACTACACAGCTCAATATCAAAGGCTCTGGCAAGCGCCGGCCATTACTCAGGAGAAAGAAAAAGAATCGATTGGATGAACGCGACTACGCGAAAGATATCCAGCCCTTGTTGGAGAATGCGCCGTGAAACCAGGACCACAGATGCGGTGATAGATCTGATGCAAGGAAAAAGACCCTCGTGTGTACGCGTAGGATACGAGGTGATATGATGATGAAAGGTGACAAGGTCAAATTCGTGCGAGGGGAAGATTGATTTGCCGGCGGGAATTAACAGAGGTACGGTTTGCAGATCGATGAGAAGCAGTAACGAATGAATGAAGACGAGTTACAAGAGGAAGTTGGAGAGAAAAAGAAGGCTACTGATGGACTACAGGTTCTAGAGAACAGGCTCGGGCCTTGACACGGAGTTACCGATTCCTGGGGGAAGGACCCACGCCTTCTGGATGCAGTAGAAGAGTCGGTTACGAGATTGGCCATTGCTATGGTGGCAAATGGGAAAGAGCGCCCTTGACTTGTTGCATTTTTGGTTCCAATCCTTGCATTGGGCTGGGCATCATGGATGGTGGCTGTTCTGCCCAGTTCAACGGCGGAAATGTCACTACTGATCCATGCCTGGGTCTGGCGCTAAACGGTGCTCGGACCCGGTGATGTGCGTGGGATCAAAGGAGCGCCTTCTAGACCTGGAAAACACATGGCCAATCTACCGAGGCTTCATTACTCCTGGACGTTGTAAGCACGGCAGTTTCCTGGCCGGCGCGATGCAAGAAGGACGTAGAGATATCCACAAGAACAAGCGTCTCCGCGCATAGCCTGGTCGACGACTCGCACTCGCTCCTCTGACGAGACAGAGAGAGGGGCAGGAGGTGTAAGCAATACCTTGCTGATCTTCCTCTTTCGCTCATCACTTCGAACAGCCTAAACAGATCGTTGGGCCACTCACAGCGCCACGACATTTGGCAGAATCTGCTGGTTGAGTGAGGATTGCCAGTGTCATGGAGTTTCGGCCTGTTTATCTCCGCCGACCATCATCGTCGCGAAAGCGCCGCGTACTTCTCGTAGTCTTGTTTCATAAGGACCTTCCAAAAGGGTAGCTGACGAGTGTCGCTCAAATGTCATCGATGACGCAGAGGTTTGTGGTGCCAAAGTTTCGCGCTTGCCTGCAGGAAACATCGGTGCGAGTCGTTGAACCGATTAGCTCAAGGACCGCGCGCCACTTTGGCCCCACCTTGCTTGCGGCTCTAGTGGGGTCCTGGAAGATCCATCAGAAGATGCGCATACGAACAAGTGGATGACTAAAATCCAGCTGAGGTTTGCGACGACACTTTTCACAAACAAGACTTCCGACTCAGAGCTACCACTCCTTCGGTCCTGAATGTTCAGTCCCTGCGCGATGCACAATCTCCCTTTGGTGTCGTCTCATGTCTCGAGGGTCAAGAGGCGTAGGCTAAGACCAACTCTGACACTCAGCCACAGAGGCAGGCGTTCGAACGCTTCAACAGTCGTGGTACCGAACGGGACCCCAGTGCCACGTTTTAGTTGCCGGCAATTGGTCCAGGCATGAAAGAGATATCTTTGCTCGCAGAAGTCGCAAGACCTAATACAACCATACTGTTAGGGTTGTTCGCCAGACTGTGCAATACTGTCTTTGACTTCGATGTCCGCGTTCTACCATTCCAAGTCCCGAGGTTCGCATGAGATAGCCACTTCTTCGCAGCGGCGCGAACCTACGCCGAACGGAACCCACCTTGAGCATGGTGATCAATACGTGCTTCGCCTCCCCGAGAGTCTATCACCACGTGAGGATCCGACTTCCAGCACGTTGGTTAGTTGCCGATTTTTGCCCTGTGTCATCCCGAACGTGCAAGTGTTGCGTGCTCGTGTACAGCGACCCGAACTTTGAACAAGAAGCCTAGGGTAGCCAGCGGCCCTATCGAAGCAACCAAACATTGTTTCTCGCTTGCTATTCATCTACTCAGCTCGTAAAACATTATACAGAATGGATGACTCGCGCTGGCGCATTCGTATTGAAGCAGGTGAATACCTATTGGCTCTCAGACTCAGCCTGGATTACTCTCTGAGACTTCGTCTTGACTTTCGTCGCTAGCAGCACTGCTTTGTCATACTCGAGCCATGGTTGGCGAGCAGAATGCAATCTCGCCTGAGTTGATGAGATTCAGGCCCTAACATTCCTTCCCAACACGCAAGCGAGATGTCTGCTTCGCTGGCGAGAGAAGTGGAAAGAAGAACACACGCACTGGCGAACAGGAACAGCGTTCCAATCATGGGAGTTGTGATGTCCTTCGACTTACAACGTTATGGTCTTGTATGAACATCATTTCTTGCATCTCGCCGTCAGTGTCTGGTTTGTCCAAATCCTATACTTTTTCTCCCTATTAATCTTCCTTTTCTTTTCTTTTTTCTTTTTTCTTTTACTTCTCTTTTGATTTCGCTCAAAACAATTTCTCTTCATGCCAAGATGTCACGATTTTTTCTGGTTTTTGTTCTATTTTCTCTCTTCTGCAACATCTCGGCATCTTCACCATCCGGTTGCATCAAGGACTTCTCTCCTTCGCAATCGGTTCAACTCATTCATAGATCCTGCTGCTTGCTCGAGCGGACGAGATCGGACACCAAGCCGGCGGTACTTGAATTCCTGTATTTCCGAGGCTTCCCCGCTTAGAGCGCCCAAGGCCGCTATCTGTGGTCACATGGAGACAAAAGGACGCGTTCAGTGCTCGTACGAGCAAAGCGTTGCAACATCCTGAAAAAGTCACTCGAGTCCCTTGGTGAGAGCGCTTCGAATTTCTCTTCAAGGATAGTCATGGACATCGTAAAGATGTCGTGAAAATGATGGGAATTAGTCTTGATTTATTTCGCAACTCCCATTGGTTTGTTTGGAGGCGTAATCTTCCTTCACGGTCAACGTTCTAGATAACATGCAGCTGGGGATTAGATAGCGTGGCCAAATTGACCAATGGCGAAGCTGATGATGCAACGCCAGGTCTTGTCCTAGGCCTATCTTCTGGCCTCCACATTTCGTGCGGGGTCGTCTTCCCACTAGCGGTATCAGCTATCTCTTTGTATCTCGAGGGAACATTGTCAGGAAAAGAACAATCCACCCCTTCTCATAGCATGCCCTATTGCCTCTTCCTCAATTAACCCTTTCGAGATCACAGCACACAACATGGCGGATACGATCACGATACCGTCCCCTTCTGTCTTTCTCCGCGCTTCGCCTGAACCTGTCCCACAGCCTGAACAAGTGCTCGGCGACGAGCAAAACAAGGCGGCTCCTATCAAGAGACGAAACACCACCACGAGGAAAAAGTCCACCGCCTCAACCTGTAAACCTCGTCGCGATGGTGCCGCTGTAGCTAAGCCAAAGCAGTCGAAGAGTCGTAATGGTAGGCTGAAACCGCACCTGATTTCTGGTGGTTCTATGTGCCTTTTTTCTGTACTGAGCAAAATAACTTTCAGGTTGTGTCACTTGCAAAGCCAAACGCCTGAAGTGCGATGAGAAGAAACCGGGTTGCGAACAATGCAAGAAACGAAACGTTGACTGTGGAGGTTACAAGAAGGACTTCAAGTGGAGGCCCTTCGAGGAGACCAACGTCGCCACGAACATTGCTAAACAGAACAATGGATGTGAGTACTCAGCATGAAACCGTCATGTGAGGCAATGTATCGTCGTCTTATGTTGACGGCGGAACCTCACGACTTACCTGCCTTCGACCATCTATGCAGTATCGTCGTTGCTAACGCATACCTCCTGCAGCCTTGATAGTGCTAGGAAGTGCAGCTGACGGCTCGGGTAAACGAAGCCCAGCGTCACCAACAACAAGAGCGCCGTCGTCAGAAGCACCCGCCCAGTTATCTTCCTCATTCGCACAGCAGCTGTTCGTTGCTCCCGCACCGCCCAAACCACAACGTGCACCGTCTGCAGAGAATGAACGTTCGGTTCAGAACTCTTCGAGAACCTCGCCCGCTGAAGTACAAGCCGAGCAAGGTGCATCCCCTACCGACTCTGCCAACGATGCTGGAACATCGTCTCAAGGATCACCTCATGGTAACCCCATCATTGATGGTGCACCGAAAGAGAATGACATGCCGCCCAATACAATGCCAGGCACCAAAGAGGTGTTCGACTTCGATATGAACTTCATGGACGACTTCCTGAACATGACGGATCCACCACTGATGGATGAGATGGAGACAGACTTTGACAAACATGTTGGAGGACTTACCCCAATCGTGCCCGACTATGACGCCTGGGCACTGCAGCTCTCTCACTGCCCGACTTTCCAAGACGACAACTCGATGTCGAGCCCGCCGGCAATGGTCTTCCCACAACGAATCACTTACATGTACGAGCAGCCATCACTTGCCCAAACCAGTCCAGAGATGTTGATGCTTCGGTTTGATCGGCTGACCTGTGGTATCCTTTCGATCAAGGATGGGCCAAACGAGAACCCTTGGCGTACGTTGATCTGGCCAATGGCTCAGACCTCACCAGCGCTTTACCACGCCATCTCTTCAATGACTGCATTCCATTCTTCGCGTGACATCCCCGCTCTTCGTGTGGCCGGCCACGAGCACAAGAGTGAGAGTGTGCGTAACCTGCTCGAAGGCATTGAGGAAAGTACCATGAATTTGGACACAGCCATTGCCACCACCCTTGCTCTTGCTTTCGCAGAGACTTGGGATCAACACCTTTCCAGCGGTAATGATCACATCCAGGGTGCTCGAGCAATGATCAACATTGCCCTGAACCAGCACAAGCAGTCGGCTTTGACCGGGTTGAACCTTGCCAGGCTGAAGTTCCTTGCTAACGCATGGGTCTACCTGGATGTTCTCTCTCGCGTGACGACAGCTGATGAGGACACGTCCGATGACTATGACAACCTGTACTGTCTCTACAGTACACCAGACAGTCCTCAGATTGGGCCTTCAGGTCATGCAGGGTTTGGCATCGACTTCGGTTTGCCGATTGATTCTAACCTTGACCCTCTCATGGGATGTGCAAGCACTCTGTTCCCATTGATCGGTCGTACAGCAAACCTCATTCGCCGAGTTTATCGCGCGGAGTCGAACTCGCCTCCCATGATTAGCCAAGCGATGGAACTGAAGCTTATGCTCGAAACATGGGAACCACCGGCGTTCATTGAACCACCGGAAGATCCTACATGTGACGTGCGACATGCATTGCAGACAGCAGAGGCATACCGTTGGGCTACACTTTTGTACCTGCACCAAGCACTTCCCGAGATCCCTGAACGTCTCTCAACAGCCGACATGGCGAAGAAGGTTCTTGTGTTTTTGGCCACAGTCCCTCTTGCCAGCCGTTGTGTCATCATTCATGTCTACCCTCTCTTCATGGCCGGCTGTGAAGCCGATGTCGAAGAGGACAGACAATGGATCAAGAGCCGCTGGGCTGCCATGTCTCAACGTATGAGAATCGGCATTATCGACAAGTGTGTCGATGTGATGGAAGAGGTCTGGCGCAGAAGGGACGAGTACAAGAACAAAGTCTTGCCCGTGAGGCGAAGCCTTGTTGCGACTGCAGATCTGCAGGCTCCGGGAGGCAACAACAGACCATCATCAACCAGACGTGGCTCATCTTTCAACAGCATTGCAGGTGCCAGTGAGGGTACCATGGCTTGGGCGGACAAGCTGCGACGCATGACCGGCGGTGATCCGGGTCAAATGGACGCTGCTTCCATCTCATGCCGAGGATCACGCGATGCGGTGAATGGTGCGACAGGCACGCTGCTCACAGTACGCGGACGGTTGCATTGGATTGGTGTGATGAAGGATTGGGGCTGGGAAGGTGAGTTTTTCCACAAGTCCAAAGCTTCCAACGTGAGCTGACCCGTTCAAGTGCTGCTTGGATGAAAATGCTGCATGGATTGATGTCGCCTGGGTGTCTGTCGCTTGGATGGACGTGATGTTGCTGTGATAGCTTGCCCGGACAAAACGTTACGTGAACAGAAATTGCTTGGATATTGGTGGGCGCTTGGTAGCGGAGTTGGTTGAGGTGTCGAATATTGCCGCTTAATGAACAATGCTGCATCAGATTGCTCAGATGAGTTTCCACGTAGATGAATTGTCTCTTGGATGGATCTTGACGCTTGGACGAATGTTGCTGCAGTATGATGCCGCTCGGATAGGTGTTGCTTGGACTTGTTGCTCGATGATATGGTGTGCGTGAGTGTCGCATGGATGACTTGGTCAATCGATGTTCGTGCCTGGATGATATTGCTGTGTTGCAATTGCTGAGGCAATACTGCACGCATAGATATTGCTTGGTCAAGACTTTGTAGGTTTGCTGGTACCTGGAAGTTGTCGCTTAGGAATAGTCGCTAGGAGATGATAGATAGGTCGCTCAGGAAAGGACCAAAGAGGTCGCTCAGGAAATGCTGGGTAAGTTGCTCAGGAAGTGCTGCTTTGGTAAATTGGTTGGGCTTTGTATGAGTCGCTCAGGAAGTGTTGCTTTGGTTTCTCTGTCGGGCATGAAGAAGTACATGCATTGCTGCTTTGGAGTGTTGTGTTGTCGACACCAATGATGAAAACATGACAAGTCTTTCTCTTGAATGGGTTCGGACTTGGAACATAACAGAGATGTTGAAGTTATGGCTTTGATTTCTCATTTTTCTGCAGTTATCAGATGAGGATTTATCAACGTACACTGTATTCTTTCCAAATTCTGGTGGACGGTATTCTGCTGCTGAGAGCTCCAAAAAGAAGGGCAACCTCGGTGGGAGAGGGAGACGGAGCGTTTTATGGGAAGCTTCGGGAGCACGCCTCGGCAGCACGCCATCATCGCGTGAAGCGGGGTCAGGACAGACCTTCTGAATTTGGACAAGACCTTCCAACTCTTTCTTGCCCGCCCTTGCCGCGAACCACAACCTTGTCTTCTCCACTCCGACGCTGCCGCCCTGGGCGAGGCGGGGGTCTGACCGGGATCGACTGACGTGCATGAGCTCTTCTTATCGACCACACGCTTCATCATGAGACGTCAGCAGGACTTTGGCTGTGAGAAGTCACGAACATAATGGGCATCAGACGATGCCCAGCTGAAAATAAGTCGACATAATGTCGTTCTCATGTCTTGAGCTGTGAAGGGCTACCGATTTGTCAATTGATAAAGCGTTCTGAAGACAGTGGTGGCACGCGTTGGATAAGATTCTCCATGGGCTTGGTATCATCTCCCGGTCTGACCAAGCCCGTTACGGCATATCTGAACACGCCTATCGCAGCTCATTCGGGACATCTAGTCCTCTATCGCGTCTATCTACTTCGCGCGAGTTCACAATCTCAACACGCGTGCCGAACTACCTTGTAGAGACTTGTACTTAGTAGGTCTATCGACAACAACAGTGAGCTTGGGTGTTCGAAAATGTAGATAAAAGGTGGGAGTGTTCGTCTTGAATTCACATCTATCATCAATCATCTGAGTTGCTACGTATCAACATCGACAATATCCTCAATATCTACCACTATGTCTGCCCCCGTTGCTATGAAACACTTTGCTCAGGCCCAGAAGGAGTACAAGCCTCCTCTCATTGCCAATGAGAACGCATTTCTTGGCGATGTATACAGCAGTGATCAGACCAATCCCGAGCATCCCATCAGTTGTGGATTCTACAGGCTAGAAAAGGGTATGTTTCCCATTGGCTGCGTTGTATCTCAAATCATCTGATGTATTCAAGGAACACCTCTTGTGTACACATACACTTATGACGAAATGAAGATTATCGTTGAAGGTATGTTGGACTCCACTTGTCCGGGACTCCAATATCTGATATCAGCTTAGGTCAATATACTATCTCGGATGAGACTGGCAACAAAGTGGAGGCCAAGCCTGGTGACGTTTTCTTTTTCCCCAAAGGCTCGACTATTACATTCACAACCGAGGACTATGGTTTGGCTTTCTACACTGGTGCCAGAAAGGAAGGTGCTGCATAGGGTTATGGAATCCTCAAATGCAAGATTTCGAAGGAATATCATGAGCATCATATATCGAGTGACAACTCAATATAAAATAACGAATTCAAGGAAGAAAATGCTTCGATATCACAAGAACTCACTGAACTTCACTTTCAAGATGGCCATCACCTTTAACGACGAGTTCGAAACTAGAGTCAGGGTTAGGGTCATAGCGAAAAGACATGGTGACATGAAGTCGCAGATGGCTGACAAATGACATTCCAATTCATGAATAGCATGATAGAAGTCACAACCACCCATTAAGTTCAATCTTACACATAATACAAGGTGTCAAGCAGGTAGTGTGGATATATTGTCGAGTAACACATGGAATTGAACTCGCCGTAGCCAGAAGTCTATACCGTGATCGAGAGAAGGAACGCCCAACCAGTCTTGGCAAGGCAACAACTTCCACCCCTGCACTTGCTCAATCCTGATGTTTCTGCAACGAGCTCTAATCATCATCAAACACCACGAACATCATGGCCAGCAGAGAATCCAACGAGGCGCACATGAAGCAAAAGCGCGCAAGGTCACAACTCAGCTGTACCGCCTGCCGACAAGGCAAATTACGATGTAACCGTGCTACACCATGCGATCAGTGTACGAAGCGAAGCAAAGAATCATCGTGTTCATATCTGCCACCAGCAGCGAAAACACGAAGTGCGCAAAATGTCAAAGGCCGCATTCAACACCTTGAACAGCTTGTTGTCGACCTGATGAATTCGAGATCAACAAATGATAGCAATGCGACACACAGTAGTGGGCGAACGAACAGCACTGCTACCAGTACTAAGGAATCACCCACCTCTTCCCAGACCGAGGTTTCACAGCCCAGCACACATAGCTCATGCAGAGCAGACAAGACTTATCCCGAAGTGACTCCGCCGTACAGCGAGGATGATCACTCACCGGTCAGACATCATCAGCATGAAGCGCCACAACTAGAATCATTTGGTCATCTACGAATCAGCAAAGAGGGGACCAGTTATGTCGGGTCATCTCACTGGGCAACCATCTTGGATAGTATCTCTGAACTGAAGCGCGATCTGGACGATTCTGAAGCCGAGGCGTCAGACGAAGAATTTGATGCATGGCAGAATGAAGAACCACTAAATAGCCATGACGATGGATTACCTGGATTATTGCGTTCGCCTCGAAAAGTCACGAAAGCTGAATTACTATCAATGCTCCCACCAAGACCTGAAGCGGACGGGCTCGTCTCGCTTTGGTTCAGAGCACCCCAGCCCTACAAGTCTATCATACACGCCCCTCAATTCCAGAATGAATATCGACAGTTCTGGCGCTCACCGACTAGTGCGCCAGTCATGTGGCTAGGCGTTTTATATGGCATACTTAGCATGGCGAGCTTGTTCAAGATGCGTGCTTTGAGAAACCCCAATACTCCAGAAGTACTCGCCGCCATCAAACAGGCGGACCTGTACCAAGAGCTAGCGGCGTCTGCAGCTGTATTGGGCAACTACATGAAACCGAGAGCGTATACAATCGAATGCTTGGTGTTGCATGCTGGAAGCAGTCGAACGAACAACATGTTCGACATGTGGCTTATCATGGGTGTCGTCTTCAGACTGGCACTTCGAATGGGCTATCATCGCGATCCGAGTCACTACGGCAACGTAACCGTACTGACAGGGGAGATGCGGCGAAGAGTGTGGCATATGCTGTACATGGTCGACACTCTCGTGTCGTTTCAACTGGGCTTGCCTGCCATGCTGCGCGCTGTACAGAGCGACACCAGACCACCACACAACCTCTTTGACCAGGACTTCTCCGTCCACAGCAAAACATTACCACCTTCAAGGCCTACAGACCAGATCACGCCATCTTCGTACGGCGCTGCTAAGTTCAGGATGTGCCAAATCTTTGCTCTGGCGGCAGACATGTCTCACGCGACAACGGCACCATCGTATACCGAGGTCATGGACCTGGATGCGAAATTGGAGGAAGCGAAAGCGAATATACCAGGTGCGCTACAGTTCCAGGCTCTGGAGTTATGTGTCACAGAAGATCCAGAATCGTTGATGTGCAGGTTCAACCTGGAACTGCTCTATCTGAAGACAAAGACAGTACTTCACAGACGATTCATGGTGGCTACAGCGACACAAGCAGCGGAGTCATACTCCCGAGAATGCTGCATTGGCTCAGCGATGAAAACATTGCGCCACCATCAAGAAATCTATCAAGCCTCTTCCCCTGGAGGTCAGCTCGAGTCCGTGTCTTGGTACATGTGCTCGATCGGCACACACGACTTCTTGCTAGCGAGCATGATAATTTGTGTAGAGCTGTCACGACAACTCAACGAACAATCGGATCCAGCAACGGACAAGATCGCTACACGTGGAGATATGATTGCGGCACTTGAAGCGTCGAAGCGAGTCTGGGAAGAAGCCGGTCAAGATGACTGCTTTGAACCATCATTCAATGCAGGTGGAGCATATTTAGAAAATGCAGCATTGTCGGAAGTCCGAAAAGCTTGCAAGGCAATGGCGGTCATGCTGGAAAAGGTCAGGAAAGATCAGGCAAGAGATGTGATACCACCAGCTGTGCCTGTGATTGCAGATTGGTCGCAGATATCGATGCCATCAATACCGATGCCCAACACGCTACCAGTGACCAATGACTGGCCAGCGATGAACCAATGGACGCCTCCAAATGATTTCTCAGCATTGGGCAACATGATGGACGTGTCCAACGACATAAACTGGGTAAGCATTTGCACATTGACCAATCACGAACACCTTGCTAACCACTCAACAGGAAATGTGGGATCAACAACTCTCGACTCAACAACAAGGAGCAAATCAACAACCAGAGCAGTTCTCATGGACAATGGACGACGTGTTGGCAGCCACCGCACCTGGATTTGCCGAACCAGACATGACCATGGGATATGGTCAGAACGGTGTATGGCAGCCAGAACTGTGATGATAGCGTCTCCTTGGCAAGAGCGAACTAGCCATGCCGACGAGGAAATCTATGAATATATCTTCGCTCTCAATGTTTACTTTGATCAACACAATTGAGACCAACACAACGCTTTCTCCTCTCGCTCAGATGACGTGATAAAACCTATGGGAAGGCCACATTCAATACATCATCCGTATCTACACCAACCATGCCTCGCCAGAAGGAGGTGGTCGAGGATGTGATTCCGCATTCAGTTTCCAGGAGGCACACCGCCCCGTCCACCACACGGAGGAGACCGGGCTCTCGACGAGTTACATGAATCCTCTACCTCCTGTTCTTTTCTCCCTTGGGTTTCTAAGCAGTAGAAAGGATGAATGGCAGTTATTTGTGAGTTTCCAAGGCATCCGATTCTCTGGAGAGTGCGAGATCAGTCCATGTACCTCCTGTATCGCGCCGATGTTCTCGCTCGTAGCAAGCACGACAAGAATCACTCGCTGCTTCAGCGGACATCGAGGCGCAGGTGTGATTTAGTGCTAGGCGATGATGAGTGGATCTTGTCTCTAGGTTCTGTGGAGGTCGACTGCCGATGTTTGAGGGGGTCTAGTACATAGCAGAGAACAAGCAAGCAACATCATCAAACGAGTTTCACCGTCTTGGACTTTTCTTCCACAGATCATGTTGACTTCTACTACGCCGCCCTCCAGGAGGAGAGGGTTGAAAGCGGTATAAAATCATTGACCCGAGGCTTGCGTAACGGATCCGCCGCGTCCATACAGCAAACCTTAGGTGATGCTGAGTGTTGATGAAGTTGGAAGAAGTATTTTGTGAGATTTAGTCGAAGGTGAGAAGCAACCTTGTACGTTTACATGATGCATTTGATGCAGCTGGTATGCCACTTCTTGAGGTCTAGCTAGATCTAATAGCATGACCAAAAAGGTGATGAAGAGAAAGCCCAAAATCGAAAACGCCTCGCTATGCTTTCTTGATAGCCATGAATATCCCTTGTAAACACCATTCTTTTGTAAAAGTCGTGAAATGCGAAGTGGCTCAGACGCGAAGGACGGTTGCCTTGCTCTCAATCCCGTCGAAGATGCAAGTGTTGTCAATGGGCACATATTGCTTCGTGATGACCTTGATGACCTCTTGGGCCACCATGCCGCCGGTGAGCGAGCCAAGGTTGTGTAGTTCTGATGAGCCAGCACGAACGCTGTCATAAAAGTTAGCAGAATTCGAGATTGGTAAAAGATAAATATGACTTACAGCTCGCGTACGATTTTGGCGCTCTTCTCCTTAAGCTCGTCATAAGTAGGGTTCTCGATAAAAGTCCCGGCCTCCTTGATTAGAGAATCCATGATGTTTGAGGCAATACCGACCATCTTATTCTCGTCGGCTTCAAGTTCAGCCTTGTTTGAGCCGGGCACTCTCGGTCCGCCGCCGAGTGCATCGACGTCGTGACTTCCGACGAACGTGTCCCAGGCTACAAATGCAATGTAGTGCAAGATGCCACTGTCCAGACCAAAAGTCAAGTTGTTGAGCTGCTCAACAGCAGACTTGGCGAACTCTTCACCCCAGTGAAGAGGGGCATCACCGCGTGCAATACGAAGAGGCTTTCCACGGACGAGTTTGATATGGGCGGCACCCTTGCAGAAAGCCTCGACTTCCTTCTCATCAATGGGGTCCCTTCGGCCAACAGCAGACTCTAGTGATCGAACAATCTGCAATACATCGGCGGCATCCTTGCGGGCCTTTGACTTGTAGATGTTTTGTAATTGAATGTAATCGGCGCTTCTAGCCTTCATATCGGGTACTGCTCCAGGAAGAGGAAGTTGGCCATGGGTGGCATAGAAGGTGCGTACGGCGCTGGCGATGAACCAGAAAGAGGGGGAGGCGGCATCCAAAGACTGCGACTCGGGGGCACCAAGGACGGCGAGAACTGATGATGGAGCGGTTGGGGGATTTAGGGACTTGATGATTGCAGCAGTGGCCTCAGTAAAGTTCTCTTCGTCAGGAGGTGAGGCCTTTGCGACCATGGCGCGGAAATCCGTCTTGTCCTGGTATGACTGAGGTGGTTGGCCGTTGTGAGATGCACGCCATTCATCGAGGAAGTGCAAGAGGAGCAGAAGGTATGGGACATGGCCGATATCCTCAGGTGACAGGGCTTGGAGGTTGTTTGTCTTCTCTTTCTGGAACTGGATAAGCTCTGGCCAAGGAGCAAGCAGGCGCAAGTCGGTGGTCGACGCGGGATCGGGGTGGGTATCGACGATGGGGAAGGCGGGAGGTAGCGAGAGGGAGAAGTGCGAATAGAAGCCGGAGCAGTGGATGTAGAACAGAGGCACGGCGTGTGTCTGACAGTGTGTTGAGATGACTTGGAGCACGTCTGGCGTGATGGGAGCGGCAACGAGGATGAGCGTGTATGGCTTGAGAGCGGCGTCTTTGGCGATGAAGGATTCGATGGGCTCGGTGATGGCGTGACCTTTGACGTCTGGGTTCAGCTCTTGCAGCAGACGACTGCTCTGCTCAGCGCGGAAGGAACCAAGGCTATCCTCGTCGAGGAAGAAGTTGACACCTAGATCCTGCTCTGAGACGACAGTAGAGTCAAGTATGGTGAATTGTCCAACGCCGGGAAGAATCAGGTTCTTGAAAGTCTCGACACCGACGACACCAGGACCATTGTTGATGAGCAAGATGTGAGCTTCTTCTAGCGCCGCCTGTCCGCTGGCCGCCCAGAGACGAAGTTGTCTGTCATATCTCTTCTCTTTTGATGTAGGAACTCCGTGGAGAGGAGGAGGTGTTGCCTCTGCGGTGGCAGCCATGATGATGCTGGTTTGAGTGTTTGGTGGGACTGATGGATTGGACAGTAAATACAGATTAGGAAGCTACCAGGTACGCCTGCTGCGTGTCGGCGTTTGTCGATGACGATGCCCAAAATGGCGGGGCAGCCGGCGAATGCGATGCCGGCCCGCCCTTTTGCAGGCGCCGGCGAGCACCCCGCCAGTCTTCCCTGCGGCTAATATCACCTTTTTGATATCACTTGCATCTGCTATTTATCATCTTGGTCAGCCATTTATCCAACCATCTGCAGTGTATGTTCGGTCGTAAGTCACTCGTGTTGTTGTGTCGCTGCCATCTAGCCCTCGATTGCTCATACATACCGCCAGCTTCCCAACAAACATTTGTCCGTCTCTTCTCCTCGACTCCCTCGACTTTCTCGACTCACACTATACGCACCCTCCGTCCTCTGTCCCGCCGATACCAATTCACCCGCAACATGGCCGCTACTGTCCAAACCCCCGATGCAGTGGCTGCTGCTGCCGTCGACTTGATCGAGCAGGCCAAGCGCAAGGCCGCCTACCGCGCCGTCGCAGACCACTTCAACCCCGAGATGCAGTTCGTCGGAATTGGTTCCGGAAGCACAATTATTTACGGCGTTGAGGCTATCAAGGACTGCTTGGCCAAGAACCCTCCCAAGGGTGGCCGCTACATCTTCTTCGTCCCTACCGGTTTCCAATCGAGAAAGGTCATTGAGCAGGCTGGCCTGATGCCTATGGCTTTCGACAGTTTGCCCGAGAACGTCATGCTGGATGTTGCCTTTGATGGTGCCGACGAGGTCGACGACGACTTGAACTGCATCAAGGGTGGTGGTGCTTGTCTGTTCCAGGAGAAGCTGGTCGCAACCCGCGCAAAGAAGTTTGTCTGCATTGCTGGTATCGACAACCTCTTCCTACGTCAAAATGTCATGTACTGATCTTTCGCGACAGACTACCGCAAAAACCAGACCCGTCTGATCAGCAAGTGGCCTTCAATACCTATTGAGGTCGCTCCCATTGCCCATGCTACCGTCATGCGCCAGCTCAAGCTTATCGGCTCTGTTGACCCTGTTCTTCGCGAGCACACTCTTGCAAAGACTGGTCCCGTCCAGACAGACCAAGGTTTCTACATCATTGACGCCCCTTTCAAGCCCCTTCTTATCCAGGAAGATGTAAAGAACGGCAAGGATGGCTCCGGCAAAGACGGCCAATGGGAGGTCACTGCTCTGGCTCACAAGATCAAGTCCATCTCTGGTGTCCTCGAGGTCGGTCTCTTCTACGGTCCCAACGGCTACGAGGTCCAGGCTGCTGGCGGCCAGGGCGGTCAGAAGCCTGTTGCTGCCTACTTCGGTAACGAGGATGGCACTGTTGGTGTCAAGGAGGCACAACCTCCTAAATAAGGTGCTGCTGCTTTCTCTTTCTTTACGTGCCCTTTCAAGTCACTCGTGCCATCTTGTCACTATGTTCATGCCAAAAGATACCAAAGTACATCCTATATCCATAACTTGGATATTTTCACCTCCTTGCCTTGCCATAATCTTCTGTTTTCCCATGATACTAATGTGCATATGTTCCTCGCTCTCTCGGGCCCTCTGTACCTGCTGTGGCACTTTCACATCTTTGGTGACTGACGGGCCCTCTAAGCGCTGATGAGACATGCCTCCAAGATCCCGTCACAGAAGCGACGGAAGCAAGGAAGGTCGAGCCCATAAGAGCAGAGTAGAATGTCTCATATCATAATGTCTATAATTGCCCTTCGAGGAGGTAGGCCACGATGCTCACGTTCCAGTACTCGCATCAAGATCAATAACACCCAAGAAAAAAAAAGACCTTCACTCACAGGAGACCCATAAACCCACACAACCAGTCCAAACACCAACAAATCACAATGGTCTGATGGCTTAACCACCATCCTCACCGCCGCCAGTCGCAAAGCTAACTCAATTCGGCAGTCACTTCCCCCCTTTCACAACAACAAAATCACCAATGTGCTCGAGTTCGACTCTCTGCATCAGCTAAAACTTTCACCACAGCAACTTCAACAAACTTGTCTCTTGGTATAGCGCTCCTGTGGAAGGGAGTCGGGTCACTATCGGGAGGCTGGAGGATGAGGAGGAGGATGGGGATGAGGATGAGGATGAGGGGTGTGAGAAAGTGAGAAAGTGAGAAAGTAAGTGAAACAACTCCTGAGCCATCAGACCTGTGATTTCTTTTTGCTGGTGGCTAAAGATTTGTGGATGGCAGCCAGTGCTGGTGGGTCATCACAACGCAGAAGCTGGATGGTGATCAAGATGACATCAGCCACGATGCTCTGATTTCATTCTCTCGAACTCCAAAGACACTGCATTCCGCGATGGTCGCAGACAGTGATGAAGACGGCAAACGTCGTCGACAAGCTGCATGCAAGACAGAAGGAGCGACCGCAAGGTTGGCTGTCACATGCAAAATTGGGTTCCGTCTTGAAGAAGTCGCGACTTCCTCGATCGAAGGCAAGGCACCTGACATCTCGACGCTCTGATTCTCTGCTTCCCTTGGACCTTCGACCTTCGACTTTCATTCCCAAAAAACCTTTCTTTCACTTCAGCCCGTCGTTCATCATGTCGAAACGATCTGTACCCGACGACAAACCTGCCAGCCTGCCCTTCGCCAAAAAGTCCCGCCTCGAGATCGATGAAGGTCTAGCAGAAGTCAGGGCAAAGGGCGCCAGCTTACTTGAAGGTCTCAAACTTCAGAAGACCACTTTCCAATGGCCTCAACCCTCCGCCCGCGAAGAAATCATCACGAACATCGCAAAGGCTGAATCTATGATGTCCTCTCTCACCAAGCTCGAACAGAAGTCGAAGAAGTAGGCTAAGCATCTTTACAAAGTGTGACTAGCGACTGATCATGAAAGCAGTGCCTCCGAAACCGTCGAAAAGCTCATCGATGCAATCATCAACAATGAGTTGAACAAGTGCTCAGTCTTGCACGTAGAGACATGGAATGCGATGAGCAGGGACCAGAAGGTCGAGTTATGGAAGGCCTCTTGGTCTACGATGCGCAGATCAGAGCTGAAGTCACCAAGATTGTCAAGGAGAAGATGCAGGGCCTGGCCGCCAGTGCCATCATCGCCAAAGCCAAGGCAGAAACCGAAGGTGCTTTCAAAGATGTTGCAAGCAAGAAACTGCTCAGTATCCTCAAGGCGGCAATGGGATCTCGTGTTTAACGGGTGGTCAGTCCGATGGGAGAAAGAACCGTGGCTGAGAAACGATGCAAGAACGAAGATGTAGCTTTCGCTGAGCCTGAAAACAGTTTCTTGCTCCAGACTTGACGAAGTCAACCACAATCACATGCTTGTCGCTTTGCAGAAGTCTCACTCATTTTCACTTTTGTGTCCATCACTTTCGAGTTGACTTTGTAATTCTCGAGTTCGCAACATCCAACACGCTTCTTCACTTGGTTGATTTCCCCAACGCTCTCATCATCCGCATCTTTCTTCCCACCTTGGTGTGCGCCTTCTAACACACCACACAACCAACATCATCACCAGTCCTACCAACCACAATGTCGAAGCGCACTCAATCCGAAACTCCCACCGAGGATGGCGCCACCAAGAGACCTCGCCTCGACATTCAAGAACAAATCAAGCGCGCCGGTATCCTCGCTGAGCAGCTGCGCAACACTGTCGGCAAGGATAATGTCGAGTCGAAGACTACCGCCGCCAACCAGATTGCCAGTGAAGAGCTCGTCCGCATCTTCGAGAGCCTGCAGGAGAAGACTGCCGAGTATGTATACACTTCACAGAAGATCAACTTCACATTACTGTACTAACATGATGGACAGCACCTCTGAATCTGTCGATCAACTCATCCTCGCCCAAATCAGGCTTGAGACCGGAATCACGATGAACTACATTCATACCAGAAGCGCTAAATCTCATCCTCTCGGCGTAGAGCTTGCTGAATACCTGACTCCGGCCAGCTTCGGAGCCCAACAGGCAATCATTGAAGTCGTGCAGAAGAAGATGGAGAATGTCAGTTCTGGTGACTACGTGGCCAAGATCAAGGAGTTCATCAAGGAAGCTCTTCTCGAGAAGTTCCTTGAGGGAATTAGCAAGAAGTTCGACGGCATCATTACAGGTCGCGTATTCTACTAAGGAGACGACAAAGCGTTCCGTCTTAGCAATGGTCCGTATTGTTGCTTGACAGATAGAGACAAGCAACAACAGAGCGAGCGTAAGGAGAAGAGGATCAGCGAGATCAAGTCAGACTCGAATAATCAGCTATGATTCTATGATGCAGCAAGGTCAATTCCAGCAAAACCCCTCACAAACAAATCTGCACAGAAACGCCCGCTTTTCCACTCCCTTGCAGAGTCGTCGATATCTCATCAGTATGCGACATATTCTCAGCCTATCAATTTGTCCTGGAAGAACAGCACCTCGACACACTTTCTCTAGACAACCATGATAACTCAAAAACATTCTATCTCTGACAGCTGACCACAGAAGGCACGTATAAACTTAGATGTATGTTCCAAATGCTCACATTCGGAATGAATACTCCCTCCTATCCTTTGTAGTGCTCCTGATATGCCTGCCAAAATGCAAGATATTCTTTTCGGATGGCACAGCTGGTCTACTGAGATATCTGATCACTGTTATACTTTCGCTCGAACCAAGTCTTGACAATGATGTTTTCATTCACCATTCTGATCAATCTGCTTCTTGTCTTTCTTGTCCGCGTCACTTCAGAACATCCCGACGTAAAGATATTGTTGATCGCATATCTTCAATTGCTCAAGATGGTATACACCACCCTCGGTTTGGAACTTTCATTCCCGGTAGACTGTCACCCATGCGCAGAGGCTGTGGGTGAAACGTGGGATGCGGTCTTTGTGAGTCGGATGTGTATGCATAGTAATGTGGACTGTTCTTTGGACAATGACAGGGAGCTGAAGATTATCTTGTCTTTTTGACAGTTGATGGGTCTGCTGCTTGGGAAGCTGAGTTGCTGAGATGCTGAGATGAAAGTACGTGGACCACAAGTAATGCGATGGCTCTTTTGCATTCGAGTGCACGCTCAGTAGGAATGTCACGATCGCTCGAGAAATCATCTTGTCCTTTGATACATGGTCGAGTAGCTAATCGGTGTCTCAAAAAGCTAACATGAACTCGAGGTCCGGACGTGATCGTCCCTTCCTTGCATCACCGTTACTCGAGGAACTTGAGGAACATCAATCCCAAACGAAACAGCAGACAAAAACACAAGACGATGAAAACAAATTGAAATAACTTCTTTATATACAGCGAACGTACAAATATATATACATAAAACGTAAAAACATAAATCGTAAAATCGTGAAAATCATAAAACGGTCATAGGACACGTAAAACACGCATACGAATCGTGTTGACGGGACGGACGTTGGCGAACAATTAAGATGAACGCAAGCGGTATCACAATCCCCAGAGTCGAACCTCAAGTATGAAGAGGTATAGTTGATTGTATACAAAAAAAGAGAAATCCTCCAATCGTCGCTTCGGTATAATCTACAAGGCAATAAAAGAAAACGCCATGACCCAATTTTTACGTTTTGATCCGAGTTCCTTTTTATGATGCCATGACCAAGGCCAAGAGGGCCATGCGGACGAACATGCCATACTTCATCTGTGATATTTGTCAGTGATTGTGTTGGGGAATGTGCATTGATAGGACTTACCTGTCTGAAGTAAGCAGCCCTGGGGTCGTTGTCAACCTCGGGGCTGAGTTCCAAGTTGCGAGGCAGAGGGTGCATGACAATCATGTTCTGCTTGGCGTGCTTGAGGGTAGCGGGGCTAACAACAAGACCGTCCTTGACCTGCTCGTACAAGCTCAGGTCATCGAAGCGCTCCTTCTGCACACGAGTGCAGTAGATGACGTCGGATGCGGCGACGATCTCGGGAGTAAGCTCGTGGGACTCGACGCCGAGTTGACCGCGGCCTTGGAGGGCGCTGCGGACCTTCTCGGGCAGATCGATCTGCTTGGGGGCGACAAGATTGATGGTGCAGTCGTAGTGCTTGAGTAGCTCGCACAGAGAGTGCACGGTACGACCGTACTTGAGGTCACCAACGAAGGTGATGGTAAGACCGTTGGCGGTACCAAGCTCCTCACGGATGGTGAAGAGATCAAGGAAGGCCTGGGTAGGGTGCTCGCGCGAGCCGTTGCCAGCGTTGATGATGGGGTGGTCAGCAGCTTCGGCGGCAACGTCGGCACTGTCATCGCTGGGATGGCGGAGGACGATGGCGTCACCGTATTGGTCAAGGGTACGGATGGTGTCTGACAAGGTCTCACCCTTCTTGGTGCTGGAGTGAGATTCGTTAATCATGATGCACTGACCACCAAGACGCTTCATGGCAGCATCGAAGGAGGATGAAGTGCGAGTGGAAGGCTCGTAGAACATCAAGCAGAGAAGCTTGTTCTTGAGAATGTCAAGAACACCATCGCGCTCAACACCAAGACGCATCTCCGAAGCAACAGTCATGAGAAGGTGCAATTCCTTTCTTGTGAACTGGTTGACTGAGGTGATGTCTCTGCCCTTGAGAGGAGAGTTGTGAAGGAGTTCCTGAAGGGTAGGGGTCTTCTTGGCAGCAGGCGCCTCAAGAGAGGTCGAGGGGTGGTCAGCGAAGGTCTGGTAGTCCTGACTGGTGACGGCCATGTCATAATCGCGAGCGATGGCCTCGATCAAGATCTTGGCGTTCTTGACGTTGGTAACCAGAGGAGTCTGGTAGTCAACTGCCATTCTGCGAGTGCGGTAACCCTTTGACATGTAGTTGGCAGGGCGACGGAAGCGGTTGCTTGAAGGCAAGTTGATGTACAAGTCGATAAGGTTGTTGGCCAAGGCGTGGGTCAGAGAGTACTCGGTTCTCTGCTCATCATCCTGCAAAGCCTCCAAGAACTTGCAAGGAACGCCGTGCTCCTCGAGGAAGTCAGCGGTACCAGCAGTGGCGAACAAGCTGTAGCCGAGCTTGTGGAGCTTCTCAATTGAAGGCAGCAATTCCTGCTTGTCCTTGTAGGCACCGATGGACAGGAGGATGTTCTTCTTGGGCAGACGGAAACCAGTGGCGACGAGAGCCTTCATATAAGCCTCGTACTTGGTACGACCGAAACAAGCGACCTCACCAGTGGAAGCCATCTCGACACCAGTGACGGGGTCAGCACCAGAAAGACGGGAGAATGAGAATTGAGGAACCTTGACACCAATGTAGTCCTTGGGCATGGTGGTGGGAGGGTACTCCTGGAGGGGAAGACCAGCCATGGCCTTGGTGGCCAACTCGATCAAGTCAACACCAGTAACCTTGGAAACGAAGGGGAAAGATCTTGAAGCTCTGACGTTGCACTCAATGACCTTGATGTCGTTGTCCTTGGCGATGAATTGAATGTTGTAAGGGCCGGTGATGTTGAGAGCCTCACCAATCTTCTTGGTGGCCTCCTCAATACGTCTGACAGTCTCGGCGTCCAAGTCCTGAGGGGGTTGGATCAAAGTGGCGTCACCAGAGTGAACACCAGCGTTCTCGACGTGCTCGGAGATGAAGTGGCCAATCATGGTACCATTGCGGGCAACGGCATCCATCTCAATCTCCTTGGCACCCTCAATGTACTTGGTAATGACAACGGGATGGTCCTTGGAAACCTCAGCAGCCTGGTTGAGGTAGTTTGCAAGGTCGTGCTCCGAGTAAACAGTGTTCATGGCAGCTCCGGAAAGAACGTATGAAGGACGGACAAGAACGGGGTAGGTGACAGCGTCACAGAACTTTCTGGCCTCGTCAATGCTGGTCAACTCCTTCCACTGAGGTTGATCGACACCAATTCTGTCAAGCATACGCGAGAACTTGTATCTGTTTTCGGCAGAGTCAATCATCTCAGGGGAGGTACCCAGGATCTTGACATTAAGACGGTGGAGGGGCAGAGAGATGTTGTTAGGGGTTTGACCACCCATGGAGAGGATGACACCGCTGGATTGCTCGAGCTGGTAAATATCGAGGACGGTTTCGAGGGTGATGTTCTCGAAGTAGAGACGGTCGGCTTCGTCGTAATCGGTGGACACGGTTTCCGGGTTGTACTTTTAAGGACAAGTTAGCAAAGATTCAAGTAGATCAAGCAAAAATTGACAAAGCTGCAAAGAGACTTCACCGAAACCGAGTTCCCCTATCTTAGCATACCCGCAAGAGGCTGTCGAAATGCACGATAGTTTTGGTTCAGGGAGTGTTGCCATTGAGAGGAGCGATTCAAACATGCTCTCTCTGGACAATCATACCGATGCCAAAAACATCGTGCATTTTGATGGCCGGCAAGCGAGACGCCTCGAGGATGGGAGAGCTCGATTCTGAAGCGATTTCTGTGCCGCTGCATGCATGCGAGGTGTCACTTACGTTGATCATCACTGTTTTATACCCGTTTTCCCTCAAGGTGCGAACGGTGCGGACAGAGCACCAATCGAATTCAACGGATGAACCAATACGGTATACACCGGAGCCGAGGACCATGATACCGTTGTCGTTAAAGTCGATGTCACTCTCGACACCATTGTAGGTGGTGTAGAGGTAGTTGGTGTATGCGGGGAACTCGCCAGCAACGGTATCAATCTGCTTGACAACAGGCATGATGTCGTATTCGAGTCTGTGCTTGCGGACAGTCTGCTCGTTGGTGGACCAGAAGATACTCAGTTGCTTGTCTGAGAAACCGAGCTCCTTGGCTTGTCTGAAGAGCGACGAGGGAACGTCGTTGACCTTCTTGGTGCTCATCAGCTTGCCGAACTCGCTGAGGCCCTTGAGCTTGCTCAGGAACCACTTGTCGATTTTGGTCAGCTCCCAGATCTTGTCAACGGTGTAGCCAGAGTGCATGGCATTGGCAATGGCAAACATTCTCTGGTCAGAAGGAGTCTGGAGCTCCTGGTCGATGGACATAAGAGCGCTGGTCTCCTGGAAACCGAGGTTGCTGACATCGACAGCACGAATGGCCTTCTGGATGGCCTCTTCGAAAGTTCTACCGATGCTCATGACTTCACCAACACTCTTCATAGCAGAGCCGAGCAGGGTGGAGACACGAGTGAACTTCTTCAAATCCCAACGAGGGATCTTGACAACGACGTAGTCGAGGGAGGGCTCGAAACAAGCGCACGTGACCTTGGTAACGGTGTTCTTGATCTCGTTCAAGGGGATACCAAGACCAAGCTTGGCAGCAACGAAAGCCAGAGGATAACCAGTGGCCTTGGAGGCAAGAGCAGAAGAACGCGACAGACGAGCGTTGACCTCGATAATGCAATACTCTCTTGAGTCGGGGTTGAGAGCGTATTGGATGTTGCACTCACCAACGACACCAAGATGACGAATGACGTTGACAGCAGTGCGTCTAAGCATCATGAAGTCCTTGTCAGACAGAGTCTGCGAAGGAGCGACGACAATGGAATCACCAGTGTGAATACCCAGAGGGTCGAAATTCTCCATGTTGCAAACAGTGATGCAGTTGTCTTGGCAATCGCGGACAACTTCGTACTCGATTTCCTTCCAGCCCTTCATACTGCGCTCGATGAGGACTTGGGGACTGGCAGCGAAGGCTTTGTTACAGAGTTCGCGAAGCTGATCCTCGTTGTCAGCAAAACCACTGCCGAGACCACCAAGAGCATAGGCAGCACGGATGATCAGAGGGAAACCAATTTGTTTGCCGGCAGCCATGGCCTCCTCCATGTTGTTGGCAGAGGCGGACATGGCGCACTTCTCGCCAATTGACTCCATGGCGCGGGCAAAGAGCTCACGGTCCTCGGTGGTGATGACAGTATCAATCTGAGTACCCAGAACCTTAACGCCGAGGCCTTCGAATTCATCCTTGAGCTGAATACCAACTGACAGAGCGGTCTGACCACCGAAGGTACAGTAAATACCGTCGGGCTTCTCCTGCTTGATGACCTTGCGAACAAAGTCGGCGTTGACAGGAAGGAAGTAGACTTTGTCGGCCAGACCCTTGGAGGTCTGGATAGTAGCGATGTTGGGGTTAATCAAGATTGTGTAGATACCCTCCTCCTTAAGAGCCTTGATGGCCTGCGAACCGGAGTAGTCGAACTCACCGGCCTGACCGATCGAGAGACCACCACTACCAAGAACGAGAACCTTCTTGACAGTGACTCTAGGGTTGGCCTTCTGGTTCTCGGCAAGATCACCGCCGGGGAACTTAATAGGCTGATGCATCATGCTGGAGTCCTGAATGACCTTCTGGACGGCGTCCAGGAAAACGTCGAAGAGGAACTCTGTGTCCTGAGGACCGGGGGCGCTCTCGGGGTGGAATTGGACACTGAAGTAGGGTCTGCTGATGTGGCGGATCCCCTCGTTGGAGCCGTCGTTTGCGTTCACAAACAGTTCGGACCAGTCCTGGGTCAAAGTGCGGGAGTCGACGGCGTAACCGTGGTTTTGCGATGTGATATAACACTTGCCGGAGATCAAGTTGGTAGCGGGAATATTGTGTCCTCTGTTACCATACTTCATCTTGACCGTCTCAGCACCCGAAGCGCGGGCAAGAAGCTGGTGTCCCAAACAAATACCGAAAATGGGCACTCTAGCCTCGCGAATGTTGGCTTGAATGTTCTTGACAGTCTTCTCCATCAATGCCGGATCACCGGGACCGTTGGAGATGAAAAGACCATCATACTCCTTGCCGGCCAATGAAGGGAAGTCGTAGTCCCAGGGGACGACCTGGACCTCGACGCCGCGCTTGACGAGACATCTAAGTTGGTTGTACTTGAGACCAACGTCGACGCAGACAATGCGAATGGGTCTGCCCGAGGGGTGCTTCAGGGCGTTTGACGGGTCTGGCGAGTAGATCTTGGGTTCCTTGATCGAGACTGGAGCATGTCAGCAGCAGACTCACAATTGATGCTGTCGAGTAGCCTTACCATCTGCGACCAAGTTCTTGTTGTTGGGGTTGGACCATTCAACCTCCTCGAAATCAGCCTCCTCTTGGGACTCGCCGTTGCTGAGAGTGATGCCATTGGTGATGGGGGCATTGGATTGAGAGCCAGACTTCTGCAGGCGCATACGGCCGAGCATGCTTCCCTTCTCGCGGATGATCTTGGTGAGGGCGCGGGTGTCGACGCCGCAGAGGGCGGGCACGCCTTGCTCCTTCAGCCATTTGCCCAATGAAGAGGTGGCCAAGTAATGTGAGTAGTCTTCGCCGCAGTAAGAGGCAACGATCAGACCAGAGACGTGGATCTGAGAGGCCTCGAAGTGAGCAGGGAGGTCCTTGAGGAGAGGGTCCATTTCGTTTCTGTCGGGCACACCATAGTTGCCGACCAGGGGGTATGTGAGGACCAGGATTTGGCCTTTGTATGAAGGATCAGTGATAGATTCCTCGTAGCCGACCATGCCAGTCGAGAAGACCAGCTCGCCAGCTACGCTCTTCTCAGCACCGAAGGATGTGCCTACGGCAAGACGGACACTTTCCGTGCCTTCTCTTGCCTCAAGGGCGATGAGTTTATCTCCAGTGTGGCCAGCCATTGTGCAAGACGAGGCCAGTTTGAACTGATGACACAAGAAAAAAGGGAAAAGAATTGAGAGCTGTATGCAATTGAAAAATCTCCAGGCTTGGCGATCCCCGCGATGAGGAACTTCGATGTCTGTGCGGGCTGCGTCACAATTTTGGTCAATGTTTCTCCTGTAAATCGATGGAAGATGGAGAAGATGTTGTTCTGGAGTGGAAGAGAAGAACTGTCGAGACTTGGAAGAGCTTTGAATTGCCGATTAAATGGCATGTGGAGTACGATGTGAGTGAATCTACAAGCTTTCACAGCCAGCTCAAGCACATTCACCTCCATAAAGCATGCAAAACTTTTTCACCTGAGTGGGCGCCGAGTCAGGCCGTTGGCACGCAAAGCATCACAATTTCGTTGAGTGCGGTATCGCTGAGCTTCACTTCCAGAGCTCTGCTGCAAGCAACGACTCGATCTATACTGGTCCACTCTACTGCCTCGTGAATAGCAAGGCGATGGAAATGGTTCAAATTGAACACTTTGCAGCCCCTGAAGGTGGTTCCTGCGGCCAGCGGGAGTGCGGGAAGATCAAGCTGCACGCTGCTGCAGCACGACAAGCCGAGGGGTACGCCGCTAGCGGAGGACATTGCCCTTAATTAATGGCACTTAACCAGAATTAATGTCAATTAACAGCATTATTCGGTCATCACGACTCTTGCAGCTTTCGATGAGGTCAGCAGCTTACAAGCTACATTCGAGCTCTTCTCACGACAGGCGACTTGATATATAACAACTTGTTGCTCATAATCAAAAAACGCATGTTGTCCTTTCTAAGACGCTCTCAATTGATCAACTCACATTTGAAACCTCTACACGCTCGCACAATGGCCGTCAGTTCTCATATTCATTGCTTCGGAACCAACAGCATGCTGATATACTAGTAGACTCAAGACAAGAAGAAGGACATTCTCAACTGGGTCGATCCCAAGGATAAGTCTGGCGAGTTCAAGAGACAGCAGTCTGTCTTCCGTGACTTCATCAAGAACGAGTCTGGTGCCGAGTTCCCTGCCGAGAAAGGCAGATATCACCTCTATGTGTCCTACGCATGTCCTTGGGCCCACCGTGCTTTGATCGTCCGTAAGCTCAAGGGTCTCGAGGACATAATCTCCTATACCTCAGTTCACTGGGAGATGCTTGAGAAGGGTTGGCGATTCGCAACGCCTAATGAGAACATTCCTGGAGAGAACACTACACCGGATCCTCTTCACGAAGGCTACACCCATCTCCGCGACATCTACTTTGAGAACAACAAGGACTACGAAGGTCGCTTCACCGTGCCTACTCTCTACGACAAGAAGCAGAAGCGCATTGTCAACAACGAGAGCAGTGAGATCATCAGAATGATGTACCACGTCTTTGACGACCTGCTACCTGAGAAGTTCAAGAACATCGATCTTTTGCCTTCTGGCCTCGAGAAGCAAATCGAAGAGACAAACGAGTGGACTTACAATGACATCAACAACGGTGTCTACAGGTCTGGTTTCGCAACGTCAGTTCCGCATGCACCTCAACTTTGCCAAATGCCTACTGACCTTACTCTAGTACTCAAGAGGCTTACGAGAAGAACGTGAAGACTCTTTTCAAGTCCCTTGACCGTGCCGAGGAGGATCTTGCCAAATCTGGCGGCCCCTTCTACTTGGGTGACAAGTTAACCGAGCTCGATGTCCGCCTCTACACAACCATCATCCGATTTGATGCTGTTTACGTCCAGCACTTCAAGTGCAACATTCGCGACATCCGCAGCGGCTACCCGCATTTGCACAAGTAAGTTCAAGTCATGTCAAGCGGAAATCAATCATACTAACTTACCTAGGTGGATGCGCAACCTGTACTGGAACAACGATGCTTTCAAAGATACGACCGAATTCACTCACATCAAGTCGCACTACACCAAGAGTCACAAGCAGATCAACCCATTCTCGATCACTCCTGTCGGCCCGATCCCTGATATCCTCCCTCTCGATCAAGATGTACCTGCTGCTACCGCCGCCATTCGTACAACGAACCAGTAGAGGATTCAAGGATGAGATTTCGATATTATTGTACGCTAGCGAGTCTTTACAGTCTTTCGACTCCAAACATGAGAGAAAGCACATCTTACGAGCCAACATATCGTGATTCATGATCCCGATGTTCACATCCAATTTACCGTTGCATCTCTCCATGTAGTTCCCAGCCTTGTGCAACGTCGATTGGACTTGAAAACAAGGCAGGCAAGTGATCTAGCCAGGGCTATGCTGAGGCGCCATGTCTCTGATTCTTCCGGGGTGCCGGCCGTACTGGGCCGCTTAGAACCGTAAGGGCACGATGACAGATGTTATCGTCTCTTTGGCTGTCTGCGTGTCACATAAGGATTATTTGTCGTCATGCCGTAGAAGCTTGTCTGGTAAATCATGCAACCGAAGCCGGGAACTTGAGAAGAGAGCTACGAGTTGAATAATAATGCCGTTTCTCGATGAAGAGGCCGAATTCGTCCAGCCTTATCCCGAGCCACGAGTCTCGGCTACAGCTTTGTCTCGGATCCTGTACGAATCTACGATTCGTCTCGGAGCGCGCTGCGAAAAGAGCCACGTTGGATCCTGGAACGAATGTGTGTCATGGTGGGTGAAAGTTCATTGGAAAAGGTTAATTTCATGCTCCAACACAGAAAGCATGTAAGCGCTCTAGACCTTTGTGCTCTCGCCAAGACCCATAACTCTCGACATATTACACGTATCGGAGAGAGAAGTGTCCCCGAATCAATTGACTCCGATCCGAGAACATCAAAGGCCAAGCATTCGCTCCAACCTCGAAAAGGAACAGCCGACCGCGTGCTGCTGTTGCCTGGCCATTGTTGTTGCTCGCTGAAGACTTCAGGTGTGTTCAGCTGGCGCAGTTGTTGAGCGCCTGCGACCCACTTGTAAGGTGCAGATTCTTCCGTAGGGGGCTCCTTATGTAGCATATCCTCAAGTCACTGAGCTGGTACTGAAGTTCATCACGTCCAGTACGAGTATGTCGTAAGAATTCGAAGACCTGGATGCTCGTACTGACTTGTGCTGCAAGACATCTGCCGCCATCTACGGCAACGGGCCGTCGAGTGTGTGAAGATCGGTGTTATCGAGATCTTCAACTCTGCATCAATGAGAGATCTAGGCTGTCTATGCAGTTGCTTGACCAATATTGTGCATGAAAAGTCCCTCTGCATCGCTATGTGCTTGTCAGATCGGCGATGGTATCCCTGAAAACACGTTTGGGCTGAAAACTCGTACGCAAGCTTTACCGACTTGAACAAAGTCCTCTGCAAGCCACCGGAATATCCGATAAACTCAGAGATCCAAAAGGTCAGTGAGAAAGTTGTCACGGTTGCGAGGAAACGTTCGGCAGCTTTTCCGAGATACGCTCTGATTGGGCAGAAGAACTTCACTCTTTCCAACGTCGCGACCAAACACGCATTGGGTTCACGGAAACGGTCTTGGATTCCACGTGCCCCGCCAATCTGTCAGCGCGAGTCTAGACCTGTGGCTTGCGCAGGAAATAATATTCTGACAAAACTCGCACCAAACTCAAGCCTTCTGCGCAACACAAACCGGCAAGCCCGACTGAAAAGGCGCCTCTTCTTATTTTGGCGTAAACCATTGACCGCATTTGTACCGCAAGGTAGGTTTTGGCGTACTATGATCTTGGAAAAGGCAGTGGCTTTTTTCTCTCTGCTGAGATCACGGCGTACGCGATGCACTCTTGCGCAACGCGTTTGACCTGACAGTGGACCCCGTAATGCAGGGGCTCAAGATACAACTCATCTGTAGCAAAGATTTCGAAGGATTCAGCCCCGGGAAGTCAAGTTCAAGGTAGTTGTACATCACAATTCATATCGGGATGGGTTGCAGGCCACACTCGGACGCGAGTCCACCGACGTCTACCCGTTCACACCAGCAACCGAACAGTCGCAACGCTTAAACATTGACACTTCCAAAAGAGCTTAAGGTTTGCTAGGTTCAGTTCTCTACCCCCTGAATGGGCCCTGGAGAAGCTTGTTGTTGACAGCGCAGATCACTTGCTGGAATCAGTCAATCCACTACTCTGGTCTCGAATACATATATCTCATATCGTCTTCTTATCCTTGCCTTTTGGTTTTCATTCTTCAGCAAACCAATACAAAGTCATCACTCTGGTAGACAATCATCAACATGAACTTCGCCTACTCCAACACTATGGGTGCCTTCCCTCAACAAGCCTTCTACACATCGACCATGGCCAACAACCAATGGCTACTGCAACAACCCAAGGACTCGGGCTACGCCAGTGATGACCATGACCTCTTCGAGAAGGCTTTCGAAGCCCAACTTCCCAGCATTCCTCAAGTCTCGTCGATTCACATGAGCCAACAAACACCCATGTCAGCATTCTCAGATTCATCATCATCAGAGGCATCAAGCGCTGGTAGCCACAGCAGTCCCTTCGAATATGCCGACTCACTCTGCACGCAATCAAACTACAACAACCAATGGAACCCTTACGAGAGTCTCAACATGGGTGTCAAGAAACTTTCCATCGATGCTGGCATCACTACAATGACTGGTTACTGCGACATCGACTCTATGCTCACTGCTGCCTACCACAACACTAGCGCTTCTCAACCTAAGCGCTTCAGTGCCTTTTCTCAATCATCCTCTCCTCGCGGCTCCACATCAAACCAACAAACTCCTCAACAAGAAGAAGCTTCATCAGTAGAAGCACCTGCTTCACCAGCACTTGGCCGTCCTCGTGGCCGCGTACCTCACACGGCCGTCGAGCAACGCTACCGCGCAAACCTGAACGACAACTTCACACGTCTGCGCAACGCAGTACCTGAGATTGCCACTCTGCAACCCGCAAGAAGCGGACAACCTCCCAAGCCATCAAAAGCTGAGGTCCTCGCTGCCGCTGCCGAATACATCAGGCAACTCGAAGAGGAGAATGAGATGCTCAGAGAGAGCATGATGAACGCCGCCGCTGGCGAGCTGAGAAGAAAGAGAGCCAAGACTGGTTGATCGTTTTCTATCTATACTTGTAATGACTGGTCCTGTATATGAGAAGTGGTGTAATGTATATAATCAAAGTGGTGTCAGGGGGAAAGCGGCGTTCTGGTTCAACGCTGGGCAAGCAGGATTGGGGAGTCTTTGGTTCATTTCTCTTGTCGATATACCCGCTTGGTTCTTCCAAAATTCAGATTTTCTTGTTCTCATTTCTCAACATCCTTCTCCCTCTCTCTCTCTTCTCTTGCACTCTTCGTTCCCTCCTTGGACGAAGACCGCACAGGCTTGGCAAAATTGAAACCTCTCAGTGTCTTGGATCTGCCTTCTCCATCCCGACGGCCGAGTACGGAAATCTTATGCCTACCTGTCAAAGTCAATCTGTATTTCTCCCTCCCACGTTTGATGGTCTGGAGCTCTGCAAGTCGATGAAACTGTTGTCGAGACTCCATGCAGGGTACATTTTAATGGATCTTTCACTTTCGAACCAAGCTTATACCTTCCCATCCCTCGGGTTTGGATCTTGCTATATCGAGCCACAGATCTTGCCTTCGATCCCACAGTTGGTAATTCCGTCTTGAAATCTTGATTTGTGTCCATCATCTTCTCTACACCAACCACTGGCAAAGCATTTTTCCTCCTCGGATCGCTTCTTTCTGCTTCAATTCACCGGCAGAGAGTTTTTACGCTTCGCATTGCACTGGTATTATTACTCGAGCAGTAAGAGACTTCGATACAAATCCAGGCACCGGTCTTCTAGATCGCTCCCTCTTGCATTCGTGTTGAAAAATTGTTCCTGCATCCTTCCTTCGATATCGATCCTTCCACATCCACATCTGCTATATTCGATCCTTTTATAGTCGTTCCATCCTCATCCGTCATTCCTTCTCTCAATCCTTCCATGCATCCTTCGATCAATTTTTGCATATTATCCTGCTTTTACGGCCGTATGTTTTGCCAGTCATGGATTTTTTTTGGAGAACGAGTCATGACGGGAGTTCGGATATGCTCGGTCTTGCGTCTTTCCCTTCTTTCCTTTCAATATATCCAAGACTGCTCAACTCATTCTCCAGGGTCTTGCTTCTCGTATCTGATCGATCTTGTTTTTCGGGTCTGTTTGACATGAGGATTGAGACCGTGGATACTGGTCGCTACTGCCCGAGCTAGTGTCCTGTTGGCCGCTCATAACGCTGTCGAGATGTATCGATAGCTTCTTTCTTGTCTGCTTTGTAGGAAGTTCCTCCGTTGACTAGTCTACTTGCCTTGTTTCCTCGGGAAGTGGTGCGAGGAGTGGAAGGTGCGAACCACCTCGATCGATCGTTCCTTCCTTCTTCCCTCGAAACTATTGGGTAGATTCTTTCTTTCTCTTGGTTCAGCCAATTACACCTTCCGCGTTAGATGAGCTCCGGTAAAGTATTGAAAGGTGCAATTGACCTCGGTCGTTCCTTCCTTTCTTGGAAAATCTCTGAATCGTTCCTTCCATTTGTGTATGCCTGATCGTGCCTTCCCCGTCTGCCACTGCTCACCGAAAATGGAAGGCGCAAACATTGTTCCTTCCCATCTTATTATGTGTTGTGTCGCTATTCCCCTTTGACTCTTTAAGACTGTTCTTTCGACCCCATTTAACAACTACCGTGATTCTATATCGCCATCTTTCTTGGCCATATCTTATTCCTCTGGATAGTGTTGTTTAGACACCACCTCCTAATCCAAACGGTTCCTGTACATGACGAAAGACTACATTACGGAAGCCTCGAAATGGACTTAGGTAGTCATGTTGCAATCAGAGAAAGAGTCTAGTGTGCTAGAAGAAGTTGTACTAACTAAGATCTAAAAATAAACCACTAATTTAGACAGACAAGACGTGCAAGATAGCCTATGTACATCTTAGTCCGCAAAGTGCCCTACCTAGGACATTTGATAGCATTACCCTAGTTGCGAATTTTTTAGTAGATAGCACTAATTGTTCGGAGTCTATTGTATTTACCATCAGAAGCAAGTCTAGTCCTAGAGAAGAGATGCTATTTGTTACCGAGAGGAATAAATGACAAGATCTACAAATGATTTTAAGAATAGCAACCGAAATCATTAACAGTGCTTAGAGAGCCGTCTTTCGGCTACCTCGATCAAAAGAGCGTTGTTCTTTATTCTCTCGCTCTAATCCCGTTCCTTCCCCTCTGTGAGTCTCTTGATGGATCGTCCTTTCCTTTTTTCTGTCGCTTCTCGCAGAATTCGGAAGGTACGAGTATCCTAGGTCGTTCCTTTCTTTCTCGTGAATCTCTTACTGGTCGCTCATTCTTTTTCTGTTCTGTGTAATCGCTCATTTCTTGGATTTACTTGCCTGTAGACTCTTTCTTCTTCTTATTCATCTATTGAGAAGGTCGAAGGTGCGAACGTAGTCGGACGCTCCTTCTTTACTGGTTCAACCTTCGTTCCTTCCTTCCTCGGACGCTTTCTGGGTCGCTCTTTCCTTCTTTCGAGGAAGATGAGGTGCAGATATTCCTGGTCGTTGCTTCCTTCACAAAGATCCTTGGTCGCGCTTTCCCTCGTAAGAGCACCATGTCCCATGACTTGTCGTTTTCCCCGTCTCTACGAAGACATGATGGTCTGTCTACGCTCATTCATTTTGACGCAGGCAAGATGGCTAATCAAAAGGCCCTGGCAAGATGCGAGCATGAGGTAAAGCACTTCTTGCATTTTGATAGACACGTATACCACTTGAGCCAATAAGCAAAGCAAAATATCAATCAACCAACAATATCTGGACTTCCTTGTAACATGAGCACCACGTTTTGCTTTCTCTCAATCCAAAGTAGCAATGGGGGTTGCCACAACCTCAGCTCCAGACGTAGCAGTATAAGTAAAAGAAGCACAACCAGCCGGACACTCGGTCTCACAAACCGCAACTTCCGTCTGCGTGACCGCCTCACCACAGCTTGGCACCGTAGTCGTAGTCTCGAATACACAAAGCGGTCTTATGCATTCTGAAGTGTCGAATGTGCATGCCGGATTGATTGCCGTGGTTGTGACAGTGTATGGAGCACATTGACCTGGGACATTGGTAGGAGAAGGCTCAGAGGTAGGGAGGATGATGGGACCGCCTGGGTTGATGGTTGGTTTTATGATAGTGGGTTCGGGGTCTGCGATGGGCTGCTCTGTGCTGGGCTCGGGAGCAATGGTCGGTTGGACCATGACAGGGTCGTCTTCGACGGTTATGGTTTCGGTATAGCAAGGCGCGCAGGAGCGTACACATGCTGTGCGGGTCTTTGTGGCGCAGTAGGAGGTGGGAATGGATGTTGTGGTTGTTACGGTACAGGTTGGCTCAAGGCAGTTGATGGCCGGACAGCCAGCTGGTGTGGTGTAGGTGATTGAGATTGGGCAGCGAGTACAAGCTGCTGCATGTGCAGTGCTGGTACGTTGTTAGACATCGCATGATGCAGAGTCAACGCAGACGATGAAGCGTACCTGGAAAGAAGGCCTAGGAGGGCGATATGGTTGAGTAAGCGAAACATGATGATGATTGCGAGCAGAAGAGGTGAGTCGATTGAAGTTGTAGCAGCTGATAAATCAATCAAGCTTATAGAATGATGGACGCAATGAAGGCAGAACAACCGGGAATGCAAGGCTTCTTTTATATCCGAAGAGTGAGATGCGCGTGAACATGTCCAGAAATAAAACACCTTAACCGTTTCTTGGGAGCTATGCAGTTTTGGCTACGGACTTACGAAGGAAGGAGCAAAGGAGGGGTTGAAGATCGTATCGATAGTATCACATACCTCAGTTGGAACAAACGCAGGGGCAGAGTTATGTGTTACTGTACATCAAAAAGGCGCAGTGAAGACACCAAGAGAGACTATGCGCAATAGTTAGGTCTCGCCTAAAACAATCCGCGAAAAGTCAAAAGGCGAACAGGCGATCATGATGTAGTTATCTGGGGATTGATGCCTCTAGTTTATCTTCTCCTGTAGAGCGCGACAATCATCATGCAGAAACGCTGGTAGATCTTCGTACGAGAAGAAGACGCCGGGCGTTTGGTGTTCAACATGGCCAAGACCTCTTTTTATTCCCTTTTGGACTTCATTCCTGAATAGTATACAAGAAACCACGCACCAAAAAACGCCATGCATGTGCACCTGACCAGCCTCAGGGCAGTAGTAGAGCAAGAAAGAAGATGTTAAGTACAGAAAAGAGATGGCGGAAAAGAAACGGTCGGGTGTGGTGTTACAGAATGGAATGCTTGGAGCAAGTCATGGCGCCAAGCTCTGACTGCAGCACGACGATGAGACACTGAGGGGGTTGGGCCTCATGACCGTTCATTGATCATCTCTGTAATGAAGATCCAGAAATGGTAGAGGGTGAAAGTGTGATGTGATGATGTCGTAAGTTAAGAGATTGTTTAGGCAGCCTTGGGCTTCTTGGTGCCGTACTTTGATCGTGAGGTGATTCTGTTACCGACACCGCCCTGTGGAGAAATTAGTGTGCTGAAAGGGAAGACGGTAAACAGAATGACGAACCAGATCCAAGGCACCTCTGACAAGATGGTACTTGACACCGGGGCAATCTTGCGAACGACCACCGCGGACCAGAACGACCGAATGCTGCTGGACGTTGTGACCTGTGATTACTCTCGTTAGCCAATATGGCCTTCAATCCATCCTCATGTTCCATCAATGCGATGGGGTTTCCTTCAATGTTCCAATCTTCCTCTTCCTGCAAGAGACAACGCACCTTCACCAGGGATATATGCCGTGACAACTCTTCCATTACTCAATCTCACTCTCGCAACCTTGCGCTCTCCGGAGTTGGGCTTCTTGGGCTTCGTGATACCCACACGCACACAGACGCCCTTCATCTCCGGTCGGTCCTTCAATTGCGGCGATGTCGGTTTACGGGCTCTTTGCGCGACACGGCAGCCGCGCATGACCTGGTTGTATGTGGCCGAGAATGGTGACGATGTGCTGAATGCGCGTGGTGAAGAGGCGATCGGTGTGCGGAGACTGCTGCTAAGGACGGAAAAGCTGGGGCGCGCTGTGGCAGGTAGCCTGAATAGGCGGGTGAAGAGGTTGAGAGCCATGTTGGGCGTATGGCGACGTGTGTGAGTGCGGTATAAACGTCTTCCTGTCGCAGATGTTCAATTGTTCAAGCTGCAACGAGTTCGCCGCGGGAATGCCCAAAAAGGCTTAGACATGCTTGGCACACATTTATTCTTTTTTGCTTCACGAAGAATAACTCACATTCAACACATCCCTCCTGACTACCGGGGTGTTGTTCAATTCTTTCGCAAGACAACCGGAATCATTGGCTCATCTCTTGATTGTATCGAGCTATATGTGCGGCCAGGTGAGTAATGTAAGGCTGGGGTTTACGGCCAAAACTTGCCGCCTGATGCTGCGCCCACCTATAGCAGGCCACAGGAACATGCATCCTTCAAGCGGCAGGCGCGAAGAGCGTGAAATGCCGCTCTGATTCAAACTCCGTGAACTTTCACCAAACTCATCTCATCTACTTGCAGAATTATCTTCACTCAGTGGATATGGCAGAACTTGGTATCGCTAGTGGGGTCGCTGGCCTTCTGAGTCTCGTGCTCGACGTGATACAGGTCACAGGCAAATACATACAGGCAGTTTCGACCTCCAATCGTAGCGTGCTTGATGTGCTTGATACCTTGACTTCGCTGCAAGCCATCTTCATCCGGTTCAAAAAGCATGTCGACAATACCTATCTCAGCAGTGTCATCTCTACAGGGCCTCCGATCATATCGTCTTCGACCATGATCGCATGCGAAGACCGTCTCAAGAGGTTGAAAACATTGCTGGAGAGCTACCTGAACGATGAGGGCCGTCTGAAGAAGAGGCACGCTCTGGCTTGGCCTCTTCGAACCGACCAAACGAAGGATTTACTCGTCAGCTTGGAGCGTCATCGCGACAACTTCCATGCAGCGCTCTCGGCAGACGCTCTTGACCTCTCCTTAGCTACTCACGCAAAGCTGTCGGAGCTAGAGTCGGATGAACACCTTCGCAGTGTCGTTGATTGGCTATGCCCGCAAGGCATAACGGTGTCACCCCAGTTGGAGTCAGAGGTCGACACAACTCATGGCTTCTGTAAGAAGCCTAGTCTCTTGAACTGGATGGCTAGCCCTGGCAAGATTCTTTGGTGCTATGGAAATACAGGATGTGGGAAAACTGTTCTCATGTCGCTGCTTTATCGCGACTGGAACCAGATCTTTACGTCGAAGAGATACCACACTTTCGCCTATTTTCATCACTATCAGGAAGCGAAGCAACAGTCAGCGGATGCACTTGTGAGGAACTTGCTTGCGCAGATCATCAGAGAACGAAGCGATGTGCCTATGGAGATCGACAAACTGTACACCGACGCAAAGTCAGGGATTCAAGCGCCTTCGAAAACTCGTCTGCGAGATACACTCAGCCAGTCACTCAAGACAATCCCTAACGTTGTCATCCTCATCGACGCTTTTGACGAATGCCAATTCAGAGCTGATAACCTATCGGTGCTGCGATCATTGGCAGCCTGCGGAGCTTCAATACTGGTCACAAGTCGAAAGACACCCGATATCGAGAGCTTGTTCTCTAAAGACCAGCAACTCGAGATCAGGCCAGATGATTCCGATATAGTCAAGATGGTCGACAGTAAACTGACCGAGATCGAGGATGATTTGGAGCTTGATCAAGCCTTCAAAGACGATGTGATTGGTAACATCGCCGACCGATGTGGTGGCATGTAAGTCATTATCCCCTGCTTCAAATGTGGCTGGATGAGGTCCATTCAGGCACTGCTTCAAGCCTGCCTCCCCTATGCTTGTGAGACGCAGGACGTTGGCTATCATAAGGCATGATGTTATTTCGATACATGAGCTGGACCGCGAGATTACCTGAAGGAACGCGCTCTCTGTCGGTGAACTTGTCGTCGTCAAAAGCATTGTGCCACTTGATGGACTGCTTATCAGGCCCGGTGCTAGTGGGGCCCGTGGTTTTTCTGCTTGGCCGCTGTCCGAATCAAAAGCTGACTATGTGCAGTTTCCTACTTGCCAGATTGATAGTGAACGACCTTCTCAGGACTAGTAGCCGGAAAGAACTTCGCAAGGCACTCGTAGGACTACCAAAGACATTACCAGAGATGTACCGGAAGACGATGGATCAGATCAAGCGCTCCAGACATGCTGACTTGGCGATGAGAGTCGTTCAATGGGTCATACTTGCCGCCCGCCCGCTGCGGATTCAGGAACTTCGCCATGGCCTCGCGGTAGAATTCAGGACGTCAGAACTCGACGAAGACAATCTGACAAGCAAGAAGACAATCATATCTGCTTGCCTGGGGCTGCTTACGATGGACACCGACGGCTTTGTTCGATGTGTACATGCGTCGGCTTTCGAATTCTTAGCCGAACAAGATCTTGAGACTACCAAAGCTGGACATTCTGATATCGCTGGAGCTTGTTTGACGTACTTGTCTTACAAAGTCTTCGATGAGCCCTGTCAGCGCAGCGAGGAACTTGAAGATCGAGTTGCAACCAACCACTTTGCCTGTTACGCGGCACAAAATCTGGGTTTCCATTGTCGACATATCGAGACCGAGTTCACGCAACAATTATCAAGTCTTCTCAACAATGAGAGTTTGCGTAGAAGCAGCACCCAGCTTTGTTACCATCGAGAGATCAAAGACAAAGTCCTTCGCCAAGAAGCCTTTTCCATGCTTCCAAAGGGTCAAACAGCCCTACAGGTAGCTTGCAGGCTAGGCCTTATTCTGAAAAGCGAGCAAATGATACAATCTGGTTGTGATATATCTGCATCTGATGCTCAGGGTTGGACAGCACTCACCACTGCCTCTTCATACGGTCACCTTCACATCGTTCGATTGCTTGTGATGGCCGGCGCAGATGTCAATAGCCAAGATATACACGGATGGAGCCCCCTAATCTGGAGTGTACTCAAGAACAATGTTGATATTGCTCGAGAACTTCTGACGGCAGTCGCATCTATCAACTTGTCTGACGAGAACGGATGGACAGCTATGCACTGGGCAGCCAGTATTGGAAACTTGGAAATGATCGACCTCCTCTCACCCGCTTGGGACCGGCTGTATGAGTCCAGGAGCACCGAAGACTATGGAAAAGCGAAGTCAAAGATACCAGACGAGCGTCTAGAGCCTCTTTTGATCGCTGCCGACTATCGAAACGACTCCGCCCTTGACAAGATGATCGACGTTCATTCCAACTCGTTTCGAGCCATTGAAGTAGATCGGCCTCTCGATACAAGTGGGCTCTTTCGTTTTTTGAACAAGGAAGAATACATCGCTCGAAGATATAACCTGGGACGCCCTAACTTGCCTTCTTTGGTGTTTCCGGAACGCTTTTCGGTGAAGCTTTTCGACTCCGCTATCAGATCCAATCACCTAAGCATGGTAAAACTTCTGGTCGAGCGAGGCATGAAAGATGAAATGTATCGTGAGGTGAATGGAAGAAAGCCTTTACACACTGCTGTCTTTTGCAACACTCCTGAGATACCTCAATACCTCATCGATCATCATTTTGACCTCTACGCAAAAGACGCAAAGGGTTACACCGCCTTGGATATTGGACTAAGAAACGGCACGCTTGAAATGATTGAGTATCTACTGAGTCTACCCGCGGCAAAATCTGTCATACAGGGTAGCCGAGGGAGCACTCTTCATCTGATCTGGAGCAATCAGCGTCTTCTCCTCAATCACGGTATCGAATCACCTCAAAGCAGCCATCAAGCGTCTCACATGCAAGCCTGGGGCGTACGACGGGCCTGGACCGCAGAAGCACACGCACGAATATCAAAAGCTCAAGTGGCCACCGCGAAACAATTACTAGCACACGGCGCCAATGTCAACGCTCCAAACGAATTTGGCGAAACACCCATTTTCCACGCACTCAAAAGCGGCAGCCAAGCCGTCGAGCTTCTCCTGACACATAAAGCAAAAACCGACATCCTGGACAACGATGGTAATTCTCTACTCCACCACTGTATCGATCGCGACCGCTTGAACACACAACTACGAGAGCGAGACGGCACATATATAGTTAACCACGAGCAAGACCCACAACTGGTCGAATTGCTCGTCAAATATGGAGCGAGTACGGACATCGTCAACAAATATGACGAAACACCATTACACTTACTCGTTACGCAAGAGGCGACAGAGAAGCAACTTGCCACCCTACGATTTTTGCTCGAGAGATGCAAATCTGGTACTGTTAATGCGCTTAGCGACAGGCGGCCGAGCAATGAGGAGTTTCATAATGTGAAATATCGATCGAGGACTGGGGATTATATTGATGGGTGTAAGGATGTGCTTAAGAGAAGTCCGATGGATCTGGCGTTGTTGGTGGGTAGTGCTGAGGTGGTGGAGGAGTTGAAGAAGTATGGTGCTGTGGCGTACTCGGTGAAGGAACCAGAGGTCGAGCCTGAGCCCGCATTGGCACAGGGTAATTGAAGACGCCTTCCCTGTAGAGCGCTCAGGTAGATAGCCGATTGTCAAAGGCCAAAATGGTGATCGTAACGTCCGTCGGGGAAAGACCGATTGAGAGGCTCTCACAAGATAGCTCTAGACGTTCGCAAAATTTTGTGCATTCTGAAGGCTCGCTCAAAGAGCCCCTCGGCAACTGAGATGATGGGCTTGAGCTCGATTCAGGTGCATTGTTCGTCTGTCTAAGTAGTACCATAATCAATGTTTTCTTGTTATTCCCAGAAGTATGTCTATCGAAATCAGTGACCGGCCTGATCTATTTCTCGACTGTAGTCCTTCTATCTTTTTATCATTTTTCCTATGCCGCGCTAACCAATTTTACCAGTCTATTTTTACTTTGAGTAGATGATACTGAACTTTTGATGGTCGGCTTAGACGGTGGGCTTGACACCAGCCTGACCCTTCTCGTAATCTTCGACACCTTGCTTGGCGGCCTCTTGTACGGTGACCTTGCCCTCACTGAAAATGATGGTTAGTTTGGAAAACGATAGACGAAAGAGGCAGCTACTTACACAACTTGCTGGACTTTGGCCTTGATCTGGCTCCAGTCTTCGAAGACGGTGAAGGGAATGTTGTCTCTAACACAGAACTGAATGAGATCTGGCAGACGTTAATTTCCTGCCCAGATGGAATATGATATTGTAGACCTACCGTGTCCAGACTTGGCGAATAAGAGGTCGGTCTCCTTGGCAGCGCTCAAATCCGAAACACCATCACCGGCGTAGAAGAGAGTAGGACGCTGATCAGCAGGAAGCTGGGCGTAAGGGCGGATAGTCAAGCTCTTGTCATGACCGAAGTGAGAGTCGTCGTGGTAGACGAGCTCCCAACCACCCTCCTCGTTGACCTGCTTTCCGGGTCTGGCCTGGATGTTGTTGCAAATAACATCAATGTACTTTGCGTCCTCACCGACCAACTTCTCGAGAATGGCGCGGATGATGGGCTCCATACCGGAGGACAAAACAACAGTGGGAATATTGTTCTTGATGGCCCACTTCAGGTAGTCGTTGAAGCCAGGGTCGAGCTTGACGTTTTCTGAGACGTACTTGATGCACTCGTCATAAGGCATCTTGACGCTGTCCATCATACGCTTGAAAGAGTCTCTGCAAGTTGTGTTAGAGGTTGATCAGTTCTTCCATGGACATTGATTATGTACCTGAAACTCTCGGTGCCATTCAGGACATTCATGTTACCCTCACGTCTCTTCTCGTAGCCGAAGCCGACATTGTCGGTCTGGTTGAACAGTTAGATTTACAATCTTGCATCAAGTGGACTTTTTGTTCCAGAACAGATATTAGATCTGGACTGGAAATCATAGGAGCTCACCATGAAATCGTTGCCTGGGACAAAATCAGCATTCGCAATCGAGAAAATTGTTCAGGCATGTGTGTATTGTGAGAATATGTTCGACTCGATTATAGAAGCAATTGCAGATACAAAGCAGATATTGATACTCCGTACTGCATCTGGAAATGATGTTTTTCTGGAATTTGAGATGGTGCATGCGTCGAGATTGAAACGCGGATACATGAATGGAATTGTGGCAACATAAAAGGATGTTACTCACTGTCAAATAGGGTGATAGTGCCATCGAAGTCGGTGAAGAAGATGAACTTGGGGTTCGTCTTCATAGCGGGGAGTGATTGGGCCATGATGTGTGATGTGAAGAATATGTAGATCAAAGAGGGAAATAGCAGAAGATCAGGAGTAAAACTCGATATAAGAGTTGATATGCAGGGCCAAAAGAGAGACTCGACTTTGCGTTGAGGGACTCAAAAAGTTCGGTGAACCAAGCAATCGACAACGCACCTTCCGCATACGTCAGGGTAAACACATTGGCAAAATTCGGCAATATTCGGCGCAGATCAGAAGAAGGCTCCACCGAGAAGCATCCGTTGCAACTCCGAAACACAAGTCTCCCCAAACCTCTCTTTACCCGAAAACATTTGAAACGATTGATATAGCTTGGAAGGATGCGGTAGAAGAGAAGGACCAGGGAAATGAGCACACCAACACCGCCGTATGCATTGCTACGCAACATCCTCGCCTCCGCCAGGACAAGCTCCGTCATAACAAGACCATTCACATCACAATGTCGACAGACTTCTACGAGGACATCTTCTGTCCACAACGCCCAATGGATCGGTAAACGACAATGGAGCTCTTCCGCTTGGAGGGCGGCATCTCCACCAGGTCGCGATGACCCACAGCCAAAGGACGACAAGACGAAAGCGGCAGAGCCTCAAAAGCCAGATGAGCGATTCTACATGCCACCGCCGCCTGAGCATATTCAACAGAGGATTGATGCGGCAATCATGGATGCTGCAAGAGCTGCTGCTCCTGCCCGACCAACCCCACCGCCGCCGCAACCAAAGCCCGAACCAATTAAGCCTGCGCCACCAATCGAACAACAACCTACTGAACCCGCACCTACCCCAGTATCAGAAATTTTGGAAGATGTTCAGAAAGAGACACCGCCTGTAGAGGAGCCGGTAAAGACCGAGGCGGAGATTGTATCTGAGAAGATCGAGAAGATGGCAAAAGAGGAAGCTGTAGCTGCAGAACAGGCACTACCCTCGACCCAACAAGCGCAAAGATGGCATTTGTCGAAGAGGGTACAAGAACGTATGGATGAGCTGCTGGCCAAAGCTGCGCTTGTTAGTCACAAGGTCAACAACTACACTGGCACAGACTACTCTGGTATTGAGCGCTTGCGTCGCGACATTATCGATCAAGGTATGGCATTTTGCACCTGCGATATGCGATTCAAGTCAGACTAACAAGAAAATAGAACAAGTAGTCAAAGCCGCCCACGCCGAAGTCACAGCCGCAAAAGTAGCCTACACGACATCCTACAGCCAACAAGCCGCCTCTCAAAAGGAAGTCGTCGGTCTCCTCGAACGCAAACACTCTTGGTCAGCCTCCGATCTCGAACGCTACATGTCTCTGATTCGCTCCGAACACCTCAACGAACAAGCCGTACAGGCCGCAAAAGAGCATCTCGCAAACGCCGAACGTGAGCTCGAAGACGCCAGAGGAAAGCTGGAAAAGAAGGAACGCAAACAATATCACGAAGAGCAGATTTGGAGTGACACAATTCGTCGCAACAGCACTTGGGTTACATTTGGTCTTATGGGTCTGAATATCTTCCTGCTACTGGCCAACTTGGTCATCTTCGAGCCCTGGAGAAGGCGAAGGATTGTCAGGGAGATCAAGACAGCTCTGGACGAGAAGACGACAATGGCTCCATCGATGGCTCCTGCTGTTGAGGCAGAGGTTGACAAGGTTGTCGAGCCTGCGGGTCAGACGCTTGAGAAGCTAGAGGAAAAGGTTGTCGAGACTGTCGAAACGGCTATACCAGAAGCCATGCCAGAGGTCGTGTCAGAAGTTGCACCTGATGTACAACCCGAAGCCATGGCCGACAGCGAAATCGCAGTCGGAGAAACAACACTAGCAGCTGGTGAAGTCCTTCCAGAAGAAGCCGTCGAAATCAGCGACCCCATCGCAGAGATGAACGAAGCCGCCGAGAAGGCTATTGAAGAGCCGGTACAACGACGAGAACCCGAGAACTGGGAGGAGAGATTCGCCCTATGGAAGGAGATTCTGTCGACCAATCTGGCTCTCTTCAAGGCCAAATTGCAAGACCTCTTCTCTGACCGTCAAGTCACAGTCAAGAGAATTGACGTGACGACGATAGCTCTTGAGGGAGCTGCAGCCGGTGTGGCTGTAGTCGGACTCGTATGGGCGCTGCTCACCACCCGATCATGATGATGAAGTCTCTTGCAATGTAAATAAAGCATAACCTGTATATCAAGCGCACTGTATTATTATTACTCATTGGAACTCGCCAAATTCGCCATCGTCGAAACCTAAATCTTGCGCAGAGGGTTGATTCTGGTTCTGCTGGAACTGGGATTGTGGAGGCGGCCTTGCTGGTGAGGGGCTTTTCGATGCAGCTTTGACATGGGCTGCCGAAGGTGGAGGGGCGAGGGAAGGTAGGGCAAAGTCGTCTCCGGAAGCAGGCGGCGGCGGAGGTTGAATGGAGAATAGAGCACTGCCGTCGTCTTTGGCTGCACCGCTTGATTGTTGTTGTCTCCTTCCACGACCACCAATCTCGACATGAATGCTCTCTCCTGCCTTGAGGCTGAAGTCTTTCTTTGGTTCCTCGACAGTCTTTCTGTTCATCTGCTGCGGCAGGGCTTGGCCAGGAGCGGCCTTTTGGTCCAGACCCAGAAGTTTCCTGGCTTCTGACAGGGTGATGCTGAAGTCGAAAGCATCAGGTCTCTCTTCGAAGCCCATACCTAAGGTAGCCTTCATACCACCTTCGCCGACGACACGAACAGCAAAGAAACGACTACTGTCATTTGCTTGCTCAACAACAGCGGGCGAGGTGTAGGGGGCGGCAGCAAAGAGATCACCAGTCTTGGGATCCTCAAGCACGATATCCGTCTTTATTTGAGTCGCGAGCGAAGTTTCAATGATTCTTAGACGGGCGGTGAAGATCATCTGGGCAGTCGGGCGTGGAGGAGCGGTCCATGATCCGGCAGAGAAGCCCTTGTTGGAAGTGAGAGGTGGGATCTGGTAGACATGGACGCGAGGGCAGATGAAGAGGACCCGCTGGATGGCAGAATCGGGCAAGGGACGTCCAGTGGCTGGATCGAGAGTGGTCATTGTTTCGGATGGCGGCTTTCTATGTTTGATGAGTGACACAGCGATGGAGAGACAGACCCTTGAGATGTTGGTGCGGGGCAGTCGGGCAGGACGGAGCTAGCATGTGAAGCTACCCGTCTTGGCGGAATGAGAGCAAGGCATGACATTGCAATCACAGCATATCAACAAGGCGGTTCCTTGGCGATGGATCCCTGAATCATCTCAGTATGGGTCAAAGAGCTTCAAGTCTGTCATGAATACGCTGTAGATTCTTTGAAAACGACAAGACGAGCACAATGGAAGAGGCCTACGCGAACGGAGGAGGGACGGTGGATTTAGACCATTCTCACGCTAATGACTCGTTAGTCGAAGCTTCTTCGCTCGCGCAAGTCGCTGCAGACAAGAAACAGTCACAGCCCAAAGTCCATGTCGAAGTCGAATATCAGAAACCAAAAATCGACATACACATCGATCCTCCCACGCCCGTCACACCCTCGCATCCTCCCACTCGCCCTTCGGTTCTCCGCCTCTCGCTGCTCGACAGCTACTATCTCGCAAACATGACCACCACAAACAAGCAGCAAAATTTCGATGTCGTCGATACATACAAGCGTTTACTGGCAGATGACCCAGAGCTAACCATGCCTGTCGCCGCCATCGAAGCTCTCGTCCTCGCTCTTGCCCACACCCCCGCGACCACCGTCTCCGAAACTCTGGACCTGTTATCCACCCTCACAGCCGAACTGAAGGCCCGCATTCCCAACCCCATTTCCCTCTCCGCCGGTACCGATTTGTTCCAACGCTACATCATCACCACTTTGCAAAAGCCCAGCGCTGGTCGCAACAGTGACTTCGACACCATCCGCACACATCTGGTCCAGAACGGTCGCCTGTTCGTCGAGCGCGCGAAGGAGGCCCGTGACAAGATTGCTGGTTTCGGTAGACATTTCGTTCGCGACGGCAACACCGTCTTGACGAATGGTGGTTCGCGTGTCGTTGGTGCTCTCTTGCGCTCAGCCGCCGAGACAAGTGCTGGTTTCGGTGCTCAAGGCAGCATCCGTTTCCGCGTCATCTACGTCGTCTCCGATTCCTCGGATGCCGAGAGCAGTGAGAACATTGCTCAATTGCGCAAACTCGGCATTCCTGTCGCCACTATACCTCCTACCGCCATCGCATACAGTTTGAACCAGGTCTCACAATGTTTCGTCGGTGCTGAGGGTGTTGTGGAGAACGGTGGTATCATCAGCAGGTTGGGTACCTATCAGATCGCTATGCTGGCCAAGGCTGCAAACAAGCCTTTCTACGTCGTCTCTGAAAGCCACAAGTTCGTCAGACTATATCCCCTCGGTCAGACTGACTTGGGTATCGATCAAAATATTGTCGAATTCAAGACTACTGGAGACTCTGGCAGTGCCAGTGGAAGTGTTTCTGCAAAGGACGAGGGTGTCGCTGATATGGATTCTCAATCTGACGTCGGTGTCTCTGACAGTGTGGCTAACAATGACGCCGTTGACTTTACAGTACGTATTCATACAACTCGATGTCGTGATGGAGATTGAACTAACATTATTTCACAGCCTCCTAACCTCATCTCTGGTATCATCACCGAGTCTGGTGTCTTGTTGCCATCTGCTGTCAGTGAAGAGCTCATCAAGATCTGGTTCTAGGCGCCTGGACTCGTGGAAGCTCGTATTGTGAGCTTGATTGAACATGGCCATGCGCGCAGAGGTAGTGCGAGTGCTTACACAGATACATCTGGCTGAGTGACACTTAGTCCTGCGCCTCAAGGGCAATGGATCGCCGTCACCTGCCAGAGAAGCGCCGCGCCGAGATAACGAGAGTCATGAATACCCATGATACTTATGAATCAAAAAGAGAAGGAAGAGGCTCTGAAAGAATCGGGAGTGTTTGAAAGGAAACTCGTCGCAGATCAATCTGCGAAAATGGGGTGTGAAAGAAGAGGAAGGCACCTCAGGCCAGACGTAGAAGATGGGTTGATGTGCTAAAAGTCACAGCACATGAACGGGTTCGATTTGTGAACATCCATTTCATACCTTTTGTCTGTGACTTCCACGTCAAGCTACCCATGATACTTTCCAAACCTCTCTCTAGCCATCTTTTCCAACCCCTCTTGCGTAAGCACAACATCAAGATCAACACTAACACCTCTCCAAGCACTTGTCCAATCAAATCCTTCTTTCACCTCCTCTTCAACTTCCAACGCTTGTTTTCTTCTCATATCATAGATGATCCAATCCCTATCTTCAAAACTCGCTGCTGTCATTCCTTCCTTTGTTTCCGCAATAAGTGTTTTTAATCCTTTGATCTCGTCTTCTGATCTTCCCTCTTCGCGCTGTTGTTGAACGGATTTCAGATAGCTGGTGAGTATATCAATGCTGATGGGCTTGTAATACTCGGGGAGAAATTCCTTTCCACATCGTGCTTTTATGCGTTGTAATTCTTCTCTTTCCTCCATGTGGGTGGGAGATTGTGGTAGAGTGGATAGTTTTTGGACTGCGGAGGCGTGGTGTAGTTTACTCAGTTCGCGCGATTGCATGGTACCGACATGTTCGCAAAATTTCCTCAGGGGCTCTTGATCGTGGTATCGTTGACGTTGGTCTTTTTCAAATTGTTTCCTTAGTGCGTGGAATTTGTCGGGGTTGAAGGCGTTGGGCCATCCGGAGGAGAGGTAGAGATTCTTGTAAGCAGCGTATTCAACGCCGTGGTTTGGGGAGTATAGACCTCCTGGTATCCAGTCCAATGTCTTGAACTTGTTTATGACGTTTCGAAGGTAGGGAATTGCGTTGTGGGTGAAGTTGCAGATTGTGCCTGCTTCTTGGTCGGTTTGGGAGATTGTGAAGGTGTGGGTGTTTAGGAAGAGTACTGTGCCGTGGTTTCCTAGTTTGTTGAGGGTGACGTGCCAGGGGCGGAGGTAGAGGAGGAGGCGTTCGTCTCTTGGGTCGTTGTCCAAGGTGTGTCGTTTGGCCCGTTCTGCTTCTTCCACTTGAGCCTGGAGTGCTGCTTCTTTCTGTTCGGCGGCTTCTGCTTCAATGGTTTCTTGGTGTAGTGCGAGAAGTTCTTCGCTTTCGATGTCATCCTCGTCCGAGTCTTCGAAAGAGCTTTCGTCTTCGGCGGTCATGTTGTCGTCCCAGTCTTCGTCTTCGTCTTCTTCTCCGTCATCATCGTCTTGATGGTTGTACATCATCAACCATCCCTCTTTCTGCTCCTGTTTCTTGCCCTCTTCCTCCATCTCCTCCCCCTCATCATCAACATCCTCACACCTCAAATTCCACCCCACCGCTCTCTTCCCCTTCCAATCAACATCCAAATAAAACAGCGGATCCACACACTTCCTCCACCAAACCGCCTCTATACCCTCTTCTTCCCCTCTCAAATCATCGTCAAATTCGCCTCCGAACAAAAACTCTCCATTGTCGCTGCCGAAATTCCAATTCGGCTGGCTTCCATCGTGGTAAGGCAGCATCTGCAATAAATCCACGACTTGTTTTTCGAGGCCGAAGAGAGCGGCATGGCGGAGAGATATTGGGTTGGTGGTGTGGGGGGCGAAAGAAACGGAGGAGGCGGGGATGTATTGCATGTCGATGAATAGGGTGTAGAGTTCGTTCATCAATGATGCTATGGTTGCGATTTTGGGGTGAAGGTTGGTCGGGTAAATAGGATCGTTGTAGATTGAGACATCTTTTGGTTCGACGAAAGGATGTAGCAACTTGATCTTTTCGGTCAATTGCTCATATGTTGTTGGAGCGTTCATTGTCTCGTTGTGTAATTAAATGGCAGTTTCTTGGTTGCAAAGTGGGAAAGGACCGTGATGCGTGGATCGAAATAATTTTTTCAACAGAAATGATGCAAACTATTCCCTGGACAAGTAGGCTCTTTATGTGTTACAAGATATTGAGGAGGTTGGGTGAATGTTCAAGGCAGCATCAGGCAGCAATGGGTAATCAACGCGTTTCGGGGTCTCATCCGACGCTTGACAGCTTGCGACATGTCATCGTCAATCAGCACTTCTGGTGGTTGGGGGTATGCGATAGAATCGTGTACCGTAATTATTGCAAAGCATGATTGAAGGAAGACGATAATTTATATGCATCTTGACGGTGACTTCCCGCTCGCCGCGAGCGTCAGAGACGAAGCTCCTGGTTGAGCCAAGCAGGGTGACACCTCACAGCAAGATGAACTCGAAGGAACGGCAATACTAGACAATCGCATTCTCATCGAATTGGGAAATTTATTCTCGTAAGCATACACTCGACAACCTGCATTAAGAATTATTCAATCTGTCTCATACTCCAACGTTCTTGGCCTTGGTCAGCACTAGACCCAATGGCCTTTTTCTTGTCTCGATTCCACAAGAACAAGATGAGAAAGATGACAACTAACTGTACCACCGTCGTAGCTAATGCACTACTAGAACCTGCATGGAAATTTGGTGCCCTACTAGCAGGGAATTGAACCACCTGCGAACCTGCAGCGATGGCTTGTCCTATGGCGTTCATGCTGGCCGTCACGACCGCACGCTCCTCAGCATCACCAGCCATGATGACTGTGGCCCAACTCATGGTCATCGGAGACATGACTAATACGAATCAGCGTTGGGAATCAAGATATCGCTGTATACTAAACCACTTACCTCCTTGGAAACCAGTCAGGAAGAATCCTGCTAGGCGACCTTTCTCCCCAACATTCCACGCGACCAAGAGCGATATTCCAGCTATCACCGGCAAAGTGGCTGCAGAACTAGCAAGCCAGAACTTCCCGGTTTTGTCGGCGAATATGCCAGCAGTCAAGGCCGCGACGATGCTGATGGCAGTGGTGATTGTAGGTAATGTGTTGACTTGAACGATGGAGTAAATCTTTGGGTATGCTTTCAAATACAGAGAGAATGGCTGTCCTCCGGGGGCAACATTCTGATCCAGGAGAGTCCATTGAAGGACAAGAAGATACCAGTGCCAACGACTGAGGACTCGTTTGAAGATGCTTTTGGAAAGCTTAAGTTGAGGAGGTGCAGTGACACCTTCCAATCGCTTACTAGCCAAATCATGGTTTGCTGTTGTGAGAAACCTTGGCTTCTTTCGGGATGGGACATCTGGAAATACAAAAAAGCCTCTGAAAATTTGTCAGGTATGAGACTCCTTCAGCTACAAGCTTGAACTTACATGGTTGCGATTGGGATCGTGATGATTGCATCAACGATAAACAGCCATCTAGGGAATATGTTAGCTTAACGTCGAAGTGAAAACGTGCTGCCCCATGACGGTATCATGATACTAACCTCCAACCAGCAAGCCCGTGGACGCCATGCAGGTTAGTGTAAGCAGCTGCTTGAAGATAGCCGGCAAACATGGTGCCGAGTGGAGAGGCAATGAAGAACAGAGATACTCTGCGGCCAATTTCTCCTGGCTTGTACCACGATCCGATAACGTAGATGGTTCCTGTGAATGAGCAGCATTCGAAGATACCCGTAAAGAAGCGCATAGCATAGACATTCTGCAAATTCTGTGACCAAGCGAGGCCGAACGTGCAAATGCCCCAGCCAACTTCCAATCCAGGTAACACGTAGTTGGCAGGATAGTGTGTCATGAAGTAACAGGCTGGAATCATAAAGGTACAGTAGGAAGCCCAGAAGGTAGCGGTAACGTAATTGAGGTCATTTCCTTTGAAGTTGAGGTCTTCTCTCATGCCACTGGTGATGAGTTGTTAGCATGATTGAGTAAAGGCAGAAAGTCGAAACGCAAAACAAACCTTACGTAGGCATTCGTCAGGGAAGCCTGGTCCAAGTACTTTATAAAGAAAGATAGGCATCCGAATATAAGGATGCTTAAATCAAGTCGGAGAATCAATTTTTTCTCCTCGCTCGGCATGTCCTTGGGGTACCAGTGGAGAAATGTTAAGAAACGAATCCACGCTCCTTCTTTGACACGACCATCAGGTGTATCGGCTGGCTCGTGTATAGTCGAGGATAACACGCGGGTGACTGTTTTCGAGTCGTCTTTGTAGTCTGCCATCTTGGTAGAGTAAACTGATAACTATGATGACTCTGGAATGAAGGCCTTCCTAGACAGAACAACATTGTTTTTTATACAATATACCTTATCGTCTACTTTACGTAGCTCTCCATACGAAGCGGCCCACAATGGCATGGGCGCCATGCCGTCTGTAAGCACAATGGATCAGGTCTTCAAGTGCGGAGCTCTGTCACGCAAGCAGCGGTAAAAATGCACGATTGTTTTCTGCATTGGAGGCAGCTTCCGTTGAGGGCACGTCAGCCAGCGCGCCCCTGCGAGCGGCTACATTACCCCTGAGGAAATGGAGCGTCTCTACAGACAACTCAGACACCTCTTGTTGCGACCGTGAGGGATGGCAAGATTGATGCACTTTGTCATAAGGAAGGTGTGATGGAGCCTCCGCGCCAACCAAAGTCGATGGCTTGGCAAAGGTTTCCCACCTTGGAGAGCTTCGCAACTCACAACTTCTGTCAATTCAAACATCCTGGTCGATATTGCACGTGCTACATCCGTGAAGGCATACTGATGACCCAAGAGGGTGTGGTGAGTGTCTTCGGAAGCGACCCTATTTCTCCCCACTCGATGGATTGTATTGATTGCGCAGTATGCCGGTCGCTCTGATCGCATCATCGGAGATGCAATCAATGTTGAGTGCATGCCCCAACCAGGCATCAGAATCTGGACTGTTGTTACGGAGTACAGCTTATCAAAACAATGCTCGACGTGACACGGTATCTTCGAATGTCGCGGGTTAAGGTCGATACCGCATCACGAAATCCGAAGGATCAATTCGACATCTCAACATCTCATCACGATTTTGCGGGACTGGACTCGACATCGTGTCACGGGACATCTCGACCAATTCAACTCAAGCAGCATGTTTAAATCCTCGTGTTCACTCGACAATCGACATTATCCTAAGCATCTGATGCAACCTGACAAATCCACCAAGTCTTTGATCAAATGACGACCAGTTCTCACAAGAAGCTCCATCTTGCCGCGTTCACTGGTTTTCCTGGCTGGTCTCAAACATGGCGCGACCCAGACTTACATGCACTGGATAGCCTCGACGTGGACTACTATATCAAATTCGCCAAACTCGCTGAAGAAGGCAATTTGACACGCTCTGTCTCGCGGACGGAGCATCATTCCACGGCGGCTCTTTTGCTCAACACTTGTCGAGTGTCAGTGCATTTGAGCCAGCAACTCTACTCTCAGCTATCGCCACACATACGAAACACATTGGGTTGGTGTACACTGTTAGCACCAGTGACAATGAGCCAACACATGTCGCACGACAGCTTGCAAGCCTTGATCACATCAGCCATGGGCGAGCTGGTTGGAACGTAGTGACCACTCCTGGTCCAGGTGCTCGCAACCTGGGTATCCCTGTAGAAGATGGAAAGGCAAAATACAAAAGAGCAGCAGCGTTTCATGACGCGGTAACGCAGCTGTGGGATAGTTATGAGGATGACGCCTTCGTACGAGACAAGAAGAGTGGAATATTCCTCGACATGAGCAAGGTCCACCCTCCTAAGATCGACAATGACCTCTTCAGGGTGTCTCAAGCTCTCACAGTTGAGCGCACTCCTCAAAGCCACCCGGTAACGGTACAGGCAGGCACCTCGCCAGAGGGCATGGCACTCGGTGGTGCGATAGCCGACTTCGTCTACTGCGCCAACTATTCAATCGCGGATGGACAGAAAACCTACAACTCGCTAAAATCATACGCCACCGCAGCAGGGAGAAACCCAGACCATCTGCTAGTCATGACCGGAGTCGTTGTAATATGGGGAGAAACCCAAGAGGAGGCTGAACGCAAATTCGAGAAAGCCATCTCGGCATGGCCAATCGATGTCGCTGTACAAAGTCTGGCCTTTGACTTCAAGGGCTTCGATCTCGATGATCCATTCCCCGATACTTCTGAACAAGATGTGCGGTCCAAAGGTCGTGCCGTTGCTATTACGTCTTATGCTCGCTCAGATGGCTTGACTATCAGGCAAGCAGCGCAGCATTGCTCCATCGGACTGGGTCATCGACCCCTGGTTGGTACAACACAGTCTATTGCAGATGATCTGCAAGCATGGTTGGATGCCGAAGCGACCGATGGATTTGTGATACAGCCATTACATATCAAAGGCTTGCAGGAGTTCAATGAGCATGTTATACCGGAGCTTGTGCGAAGAGGAATTTTCCGAAGCGAGTATGAGGGAAAGACACTGCGTGAGAATTTGGGTGTTCCTAGACCACCCAATAGATATTTGCAGTAGGATGAAAGCTACTAGGATAGGACGCATGTAGTCAAAGGTTTAACCGGTCTCTCTTCCTCTTGTGCACTGTGCAGGCTATAGATGGTTGTCAAGATGCGTTGTGCTTCTCAGTGTTCTAGACTTCTCCGGCGAGATGCGTACAACAATTCGACTCTCAGTAGAGGCCTCGCCAGATTCAAAAAGCAAATTCCAATTGAACAGCTTTTCTCCCATCACTCTGCTAGTTGGAGACGAAACTCAATTTCAGCCAGGGTGACACCCATTTCAAGCATTGGATAAACCCATTGCGCTATCTAGCAAGCAACAACGCGTTATATCTATATTTCATCGCGTCAAAACGTGTATTATGATACTCTCCCACAGTAAACCAGTCCTTGAGAGTGTCGGTCTCATATGTAGCAAGTCAGGTGTGTTTTCGATTTACAAAACACATCAGTCCCGCAGAAGCTCTTCGGACCACTGTGTTCCGATGTGATGAGCAAAAGACAGCGAACTCGGATCACATTTCCTCGCATCAGCAAGCCCTGACGCCGAGGAAAACACTGCATGACTATTTTGAGAAAGTGGCATGCGTGATTTAATTGCTCAGGAGAAGGATCTATTGAAAAAGGCTTGAAGTTTGATTGATGTATATTCATCAAGGCACAAGCACAGCTCCGAGGACGCAGCTTCGGGGATAACAAAATTTTACATCCGTGTCCAGAAATAGAATGTTTGCGCTTACACCTTGAGCAACACTTGAGCCACGGACAAGCAAACATCACGGTATGGGAAGAAAGAAACGTGATTGAACTTGGAAAATCGCTTCATTATGCTGTGAATCTTCTAACTTCTTTGGACCCGTGGTCCGTGGCTATCCTACGTGCCTTCCTTTTGTTCCGGACCCGCGAGCTCGGGGGTATATCATATCTCAGAGCTGGCTCGCGGCACTCTCATGCGATACACGCAATGAGAAGGAGTATAAAAGGGAGTTGTAACGTTCTTCTCTTTCTTGATGTTGAGTTCAATGACAAGACCGACCGGCAGTCTCGTCGAGAAACTGGGTCATTTAGTCAATGTACTTGGGGAGAGTGGCCATGATACCGTCCTTGGCGATGAGCTCCATGGCGGTGGTGATCTCCTTGATGAACTTCTCGTCCTTGCGCAAGTCGTCACCGAAGAGGGACTTGATGCTGAGGAGCTCGTGGGGCTTGGTGCCACCAGCCTTGGCCTTGGCCTGGAGCTCCTTGACCATGGGGTCGTCGACCTCGAACTTGTTGCCGGCATCGTCGACACCGTTGATGTAGCGGAACCAGGCAGCGGCGACGAAACAGAGACGGCGGAAGTCGTGCTTGTCCCAGATCTGCTCGGCGATTGAGGGCATGATGAACTGAGGAATCTTGCCGGAAGCACCCAGGCAGATACGGGGAAGCTGGTCCATGATGGTGGGGTTGGAGAAGCGCTCCATAAGGGTGTTGCAGTACTGGTCAATGTCGACACCGGGAATGGCAGGGAGAAGGGGCTTGACTTCCTTGTGCATCATCTGCTCGACGAACCTGCGGTAGACAGGGTGGTTGATGACCTCGTGGATGTACTTGAAGCCAGCGAGCTGACCGCCGTAGCCGAGAGCAGAGTGAGAACCGTTGAGAAGGCGAAGCTTGTGCATTTCGAATTGTTCAACATCGTGGACATCCTTGACGACCTGGACGCCGACCTTCTCGAAGGGAGGGCGGCCATCACAGAACTTGTCCTCAACGACCCATTGCATGAAGGGCTCAGTGACAACGGGCCATTCATCTTCAATACCAAAGTCTTCGGCAAGGGCGGTGATGTCGGTCTTTTCGGTGCGGGGAGTGATACGGTCGACCATGGAGTTGGGGAAGGCACCCTTCTCGGAGATCCAGTTGGCGACTTCGGGGTTGGCGAGTCTGGCGAAGGAAACGAGCATGTGACGAGTGATGGAGCCGTTCTTCTGCATGTTGTCGCAGGAGAGGACGGTGAAGGGGTTGAGACCGAGCTGGTGGCGTCTGTTCATGGCAGCGTAGAGGAAGCCGAAGGTGGTCTTGGGCGAGTTCTGGTTCTTGAGATCGTGCTGGATGTCGGGGTGCTCAGCCTGGAGCTCGTGGGTGTTCTCGTTGTAGTAGTAGCCGGATTCGGTGATGGTCATGGAAACGATCTTGGTGTCGGGGTGGGCCATCTTGTCGATGACAGCCTGGCGGTTGTCGGGCGCAAAGAGGAACGAGGTGATGGCGCCATTGACGTTGGCGGAGCTGCCGTCGGCGCCGCGCTCGATGACAGTGTAGAGGTGGTCCTGCTTCTTCAGGATGTCGCGCATGGAAGCGTCGAAGGGCTGAAGACCGACACCGGCGATAGCAAAGTCGCGGACGCCATGCTTCTCCATCAAGTTGTGGAGATAGACGGCCAGGTGAGCTCTGTGGAAGCCGCCGACACCGATGTGAACGACTCCTTCCTTGACCGAAGAGCGATCATAAGTCGGAACTCTGACAGTTGCACGACCCGACTGGGACGCGATCTGTGAGAGGTTTTTGCTTAGGAGCTTCAAAGACTGTGACGTGGAGTGGGGCATAGTTGATGTCTCTCAACACGGAGGATGAATGAAAAGAGAAGATGCCTAAAGGCGAGTGCGAGTTATGTACAAGCAAACGGATGATGTTCGGACGCAGGACTTTTCGATGAATTGTCTTTGCTTTTCTGTGAGTGCGCAAGGGTCTGTTGGGTCAACTGGAGCGAGTGACGATTACCGGTCAACAAACCGGGAATGACGGTGCCTTTTGGTGGAGCTCTCACCACCGTCCCCGAAACACTATTCACTTTTTGTGTCACTTCGAATCCATTCACTTGTATAAAATGTAATTACAGCAGCAAACATTCTTGCATGTCGATTCACACGCTCTGCCGTCCAACGACTCGAACGCAACACTACGCCTCCACCTGGTCATGACCATAAGTTACGTGAATATATGGGACACTTGAAGGATCTATCTATCTGAGCAAGAGCTCAGCGGATCTCCAGGGGACATCTTTTTCTGGACTGGGCGTTCTGCAGATCAGCCAGCCTCTTTCTGCTTCGAACCCAGCTCCTAAGCGCTCACTCGTGCATGACACCATACCCGGCGCCAATGCGGATACCCGAGAACGATGGAGGCTCCTGCGAGTAGGCCATGGCCATCGGAAGAAACAACAGCTTCAAGAGAATGAATCAGAAGGCAGACATTTTCAATTCAGGGACATGGTTATGACGTAGCCAACAGAGCTGTTATCTCCACTCTAAGTTTTGAGCCTCCTCGGCTGGTAGGATCCACATCCTCGTGTCGCACGCGCTCCACGGCTTCAGGCTTCCTGCGGATGTGAAAACGATAATCACACCTCCCCGTGTGCTAAATTCTGTCACGTCGACTCTCTCGCCGCAGCAATACACGTTAAAACACCTGTCCGGATGCATGATGATCTTGACTAGAACTGCTTTGTCCACAGAGGGCAACTCTTTAAAGCTCTCTCCTTGAACCCAGCATCGAGTTCAAAAAAACATTGTGCATCTCTACATCTTTACGCGTGACGATTTGCAAGAGTGCGAGTATATTCACCACAGCAATAACATTTGAATCGATGTAGGTAGCGAACACTTCTCACACACTAACGTTTCGGTGATATATCCTGCCGAACATGCATCCTTGATTACCTGCAGGCAGTGGGCTCGCTGCGCCCCTCCTAAGATATATTAGAGTGGTGTCCTCCACAGGTTCTGGCAAGAGGATTCCTTGCAATAGTTGATTCTGAAAACAAGCATCCCTTTCTGCTCCAGTCGACTAATGGATCCTGCCTCAGTGATTGGGGTGATCGGCGTTGTCCTTCAAATCACAAAGACAATCTATGCTTACGGAGATGCAGTGCTGGAGTACAAGAATGAAGTCGCACGTCTACGCTCCGAGCTATTCGGCATGCACGCGGCACTTACTCAGATTGAGCAAGACTTGTCCCTGGTTGGTAAAGACGGCAGGCACACTTTGGCCTCGCCGAATCTGGAATCACCACAGTTTCGACAAATGCTGGACGAGACGCACACAATACTTGAGCAGCTTGCCAATACGCTCCAAGAGTACATCTCAAGGTCACGTCGCTTAGCAAGAAGGATCATTTGGCCTCTCAAACGGCCCCAGATCCAGGATTTGGCAACACATCTTGAGCGCTTGAAGTCCTTCTTCATTCTTGCAACCATTCGAGATACCCTCGAGACCACTAGAGATATTCAACTATCTATACAAGCTCTTCGGCAGTCCATCCAAGATATCCAACAATCGAAGGAAGAGCAGACCCTTTACATGGATGCGATCAGATGGCTCAATCCTGGTGACCCCCAATCTATTCACACCGCAGCTTCCTCTGCTCGGCTCGATGGAACGAACTCCTGGTTCATCACAGGTCCTTTCGACAGTTGGGTTCCTGGGACAAGCCCTCTTCTTTGGCTGAATGGAAAGCCTGGTTCAGGAAAGACCTGCTTGACAGCTGCTTGCGTTCACAAGTCTGTCCTCCTGATCTGTTACCGCCTTGTAGAAATATGCTAATGTTAAGTACCACTCAGACTTCAGCAGAAAAGGTGTGCCGTAGCCTACTTCTATTGCTCTTACAACGACTTGTCATCACAAGAGCCTCATAGAATCTTAAGCTCGCTTATTGTGCAACTTTGCCAGAGCCAGCCCACTGCTCGGCGATCTCTTTTAAGCGCTTACGATAAAGTGAAATCACAGAACAGCCTGCCAAATGCTCCTGACATAAAAACGCTCATCGATCTGTTTGGACAGATGACCAACGCCCTGAACTCCACATTTTTCATCCTAGTTGACGGCGTAGACGAGTGCGGCAAGAACTTGGCGATCGTGCTTCGCGCAATCTTCCAGATTGCCACTGAAGGCAAGCGAGCGAGACTCATGCTGTCAAGCACAGAGAATGTAGCACACATTATCCAGGAAAGCATCTCTGAGTCTAAGCTCACACCAAACACAGTCAGCATGGATCTAGGAAAGGTTAGTGGCGATATCAACGATTACATCAACACGCAATTTTCTCAACAACCCAAGCTGAAAATGCTTCGGCGTGAGCTCAGAGCGTCTCTTATAGAGCGGCTTCAACGACAGCATCATGGATCTTTTCGATGGACTTGCACGATTGACGATCTCACGCGACGGCACACGCCAAAAGCCATCGAGAAGGCTTTAGACGGGGTCGCTCCCACTCTTGGAGAAATCTACATGGGGATACTGCAAGGAGTTCCCGATGACATGGTACAAGCAGCTGCCTCAGTGTTACAATGTCTAGTGTCATCACTACGACAGCTCACTATTAGTGAACTTTCGGAAGCTGTCTCTTTCACATTTTCCGACGACTTTGACGAAGATGATCGTTTGATTGAACCAGAGGCAGTTGTGCACTCCCTGTATAGTTTGGTTCACTACGACCTTAGTAGCCAACGCATCGAACTTGCCCACTCTTCTGTCCGTGACTTTCTGACATCGCCTGAACTCTCTGGAAAATATCATGTTGATTCGGTCAAAGCCAACATCGACATGTCTAAAATCTGCGTTCACTACCTCACACTTCCTTCGTTTGAGCAGGTATGCTCCGATCAAGAAGAGTTGAATGCTCGTAAGCAAGATTGGCCCCTGTTGGAGTACGCATCAGCATTCTGGACCCGCCACATACGAGTTTCCCCTCAAGAGAGCGGCGAGCACCTTACTGCCTTTTCCAGGTTCGCTGCTTCTTCTGATCTCAGAGCTGGGGGCAATTTCGCGGCTTGGTATCAGGTCATTTATCCACAGGGAAACCCGCGTGTCTGGAGCACCAAACCATTATACATGTGTGCTCGTGAAGGCCTCATCGAGCCACTCAGGACTCTATTAGCGACGTGCACCAAAGACCAAATTGAACATCGTGGTGGTGCACGTGGCTCAACAGCACTGCATGTCGCAGCCACATATGGCGAGACCGAGGCCGTAAAACTCTTGCTTGCCGCCGGAGCGGATCCGAATGAGCACAACGATGCCGGGGAGAATGGTATACAGTGGGCTGCTCTCTACGATCATACCCAGACGGTTCGTCTGCTTCTAGAAGCGGGTGCTCTGCCTGACCTGCTCAGACCTGAGAGTAATCCCGAGCTTCATGAACAGATGGTCCGGCATTCTCTGGTTCCATCTCCAAGACACTTGGGCACTGAAGGGTCTGGAAAACCAGGGTCGCCCAAGAAGCTTGAAGCAGTTTCTTGAGCAACCGCCTACATGAAAATATGTCTCCTTCAAGTCATGCAAGCATTTTAACACGGCCTTTCACAACGTTGTCTGTTCCGAGAGTTCTCAACATAGATAGGACTACCACACCGATTACCTTGATGGAGACCGCAATCTCCCAGCTAGGATATCACCGCCTTATCGTGCGTGGAAGGGTATACAATTCAAGGACCTTGGCGGACCTCCTTACAACCTCCCCGTGTGCTGAAATCTGTCACTTGCAGCCATCTCCTGCGGCCACGTCTGGAGTCGTCTAGCATATAGAAATGCACAATGTTTTTCAGATCGGCATAATCGTCCGCAGAGAGACGCTAACTACCACGCTCTCAGGGGAGGTACCCCTAACACTGCTGAAGTTGTGATGTTCTATAGTTGTACGTGTGACAAAGTTTAGCATATGGGGAGGAAGTTATGCCGAACAACTAAGCACTTGATCCTTGAGATGAGCATGTACTTGTAGAGATATGATTATGACGTAGCTAGCAGAGCTGTTATCTCCGCCACGTGCTTCGCTTTTAAGCCTCGTTCTCGTGTCGCACGCGCTTCAGGCTTGACTCAGTGATTTAATTACCAAGACATGAACGCTTTGAAATTCGTCTACCACGAGTCTGGGCTCAAGTATGTCAGAGATACTGGCAGAGATGCCTGGCTAATAATATTATTGCGCTGCTTCCGCATGCTCGCGTATGGCACGATCTCTCTTATCTTGGCCCTCTTCTTCTCTGCTCTTGAGTTCTCGGACTTCCGTATCGGATTGTTTATGACTTTGACCCTCTTGGGCGACGTTATTCTCTCTGCTGGACTGACCTTGATCGCTGACCGGGTAGGTCGGCGGAAAGTCTTACTGGGTGGATCCTTCTTGATGGTATGCTCAGGTGCAATCTTTGCTTTGTTCGAGAACTTCTGGATTCTGCTTGTTGCGGCTGTCATTGGCGTGATTAGTGCTACTGGCGGTGATTTCGGTCCATTCCGCGCTATCGAGGAATCTACACTTTCTTCACTCACGACGCCCAAGACCCGTGCGGATGTTTTGGCATGGTATGTGACCACTGCAAGTGTGGGCTCTGCGGTTGGGTCAGAGCTCTCCGGACGGCTTGTCTCATCTCTGATCGCTAGAGAAGGATGGACGACTCTTGACGCCTATCACGCTGTATTCTGGGTGTATTCAGGCATCGGAGTATTCAATATCTTGTTCACTCTCCTGCTCAGCAGAAAGTGTGAGCTTTCAGTACAGGAAGAGGCCGAGACCGAGGAGTCAGGAACTTTACTCAGCAATCTTGAAGACCGGACCGAAGAGGGTGACGAGTCTCGACCTGCTGGTCCTCCTCTCTCAAAGCCCAAGAAAGTGGCATTCGCTCAGGTTTCAAAGGAAACACTATCCGTCATGTATAAGCTGTGGTTCCTACTTGTTGTCGACTCGCTCGCCGATGGTATGGTTGGGTATTCGTTGACCGTTTATTACCTGGATCAGAAGTTCAGCCTCAGCAAATCATCATTGGGAGACATTGTCTCGATAAGCTATTTCCTCTCCTCGTTCTCGACGATCTTCGCTGGTCCACTTGCTCGACGCCTAGGCCTGATCAACACTATGGTTTTCACTCACCTACCGTCATCGGCTGCAGTACTTCTCTTTCCAGCACCTAGCTCCGTCATCATAACTGTTGCGTTGTTCTTCCTGCGTACGGGCTTGAATAACATGGTAAGTCTTATGCTCCTGTAACAATCGAATCGCTGACCTGACGCAACTATAGGACCAAGCACCTCGATCTGCTTTCCTTGCCGCAGTCGTGAAAGAGGACGAGCGGACCGCTGTCATGGGTATCACTAGCACATTGAGAACCTTGGCTGCAACAGCTGGACCAACCGTGACGGGTGTGCTTGCTGGACAAGACCGTTTTTGGATTGCGTTTGTCGCAGCCGGGACGCTCCGAATTGCATACGATCTTGGACTGTGGGCCATGTTCGTTAATATGAAGCTGTATCAGCACGAGAAGACCGATGTCGAGGAACGTTACGAGGAGGTTGATACGCGGGAAGAAATCAGTTCTAGCGATTCAGAAGGCAGAGCTAGGAATTGAGTGATATGAAGTCCTGCTCTGATACTCCAATGCCTCGGTCTTTGGAGCACCCTGCCTCAGTACGAGAACTGCGAACCACCAAGCTGACGTGGCATTGAAGCTGTGCAGGTCTCAAAGTTGCCGCCGTGTCCTCAGAATAGCCCAAACACCACCACCCGACCTGCCACCACAATGCAACTTGCGTGCTGTGAAATTCGCCCAAGGCCATACAGTGTATGGTCAAATCCTCCTCAGCTGCTGCTGCTCGTTGATCAGTCATGACATACTTGTCACAAGTGTGCTCTCTGCTTACCGTGCTAGCGCTCCATCGATCAACGACCAGAGAAGACGCAATAGGATACCCGTATTCATGCTCGCCTTGAATAGTCAGCCATGTTCCTTCCTTGTTTCACCGATCAACTTACTCAGCCATTAGAGCAAACTTCTTCACGCGAACACAGCGTCCACAATCCACCTCGAAGCAAGGGCAGAGCAACAAAAGCATTTTTCTCGAAGAAAAATGCCCGCCCACCCACCCACTTGACGCTCATTCGCAGCTCAGAACATTCTCGCGGGCGTATGAATCATCTCGATGGCGTCCGGCTCGCGTGTGTCGGCGGTCGACTAGACGATGATGATGATGATGATGATAATAATGTTGTTGTTGATGATGATCTTGTTGATGATGATGTTGTTGATGATGATGTTGTTGATGATAATGTTGTTGATGATGATGATGATAGTTGTATGTGCCTCCCTGCTCACGATAAATCGCGGTAGGGAGGCTACTTCGGTCATCTCGGTGTCGTTTCGCTCTCGATCTCGATCTCTTCTCTTTCAACGGCCTTGGATGGGAAGGACTGGAGTTCACACGAGGCTCATCTGGTTGCAGAGTTTCCTGAGAACCTTCTCCCTCTCATCCTTCTTGTTCTTCCAGAACTCAGCCTCCGCGGCGCGCTTGAGACTGCCAAGAATAGGAGGACCCCAGTTCTCTTCAATGGCCATAGCCCACTCCTTTTGCAAAAGCTCCGAAGTGAACTCTTTGTATGATCGGATGCGTTGCAGCATGGTGTAGATTGCCTTTGCACAATGCTCAACCTCCCATGGGGCGAGCTCGATCTGCTCCCAAAGAGCCAGGGGATCTTGTGTGGTGAAAAGCTCACGAGATGGGGTCTGTCCTTGATCGCTTGCTTGTTCAACATCGTCTTCAGATACAGCCAGTTCAACATTGTCTCCAGATATACCCAATGCAGCCGCTGCTGAGATGGTCGGCTTCTCCATGATGATTAGGGCTTCGTAAGCTGGGCGGTTATCCTGGAATTTCGAATGCTTTGGAAGCTCCTTGATGATATTGTATTGGCGAACTGGTGGGACGACGGCATCCTGTTCGTGGATATTTTCTTCGACGAGCTTGGGTTGTCTGTTGGTGACGGAGTTGGCCTCAAGGTTGTCATCATCCTCCTCGTCCTCGCCGAAGTCGAATTCTTCAAAATCAATCCAAACCTCTGGCTCGACTTTCAGAGTCCGAATGTCGAAGCGGTCCTTGTCGACTACAAAAACGGCCTTGATCTTGTCGAGGTCCTTGGAAGCCGCGTCTCGATTGTCGATAGAGCCAAGCTCGTCGTAAGCGGGACTTGAGGGGTCGCCGATGTCTCTGCCAGAATAGCGCTCGCTGATTGTGCCAAACTGTGGGAGGATGACATTTTGCTCGAGAGCCTTTTCCTCGGCGATCTTGAGCATGCGTTCGATGACAGGGTTGACCTCGTAGTCATCATCCTCGTCGTCGTGAAGCTCGAACTCGTCAGATTCGTCGTTCTCGCTGGAGTCAATTTCGTCCTCGTCGTCCTGGTCATCCTCATCATCGCCAAGGTCGTTTTCTTCGAAATCGATAAACTCTTCGGGGCCGGTGGATCCCGTGGAAGTCGTGTTTTGGTCTCGGGTTGAACCAAACTCGTTGCTGGAGAAACCTGCGACGGACGCGCACATGTCGGTGCTCATGGAGCCAAACTGCATATTAGCGAGAGCCGCCTTGTTGGAGTTGTTTGTCTTGGGAGACATGTTGAGATTGGAGAATTACCAACACAGAGTGTCAGGCAAGAAGGAGGTTTGAAGAATTGCCAGCACAGTGTGCCCGACAAGAGGGGAGAGGGGAAGAGGGAAGGGGAGGATTTTGGTTTGAGAATTACCAGCACAGTGTGCCCGATAAGAAGGAAGTTTGGAGAATTGGAGAATTGCCAACGCAGAGCGTCAGACAAAAGGGTGTCGATGCGGTGGCCACTGGGGCACACACAGAACGTGTAACAAGATGACGCACCTATGAATAAGGTGGTATGCGTGATGTGTTGCTGTGCTTGTGAAAAGAAGAGAGAGTGAGAAGGATGAAAAGCGCTGGAGATAAATTGGCTGCGCGGTGCGCGTGGTCTGAGCTTGACAAACAATCGACTTTTGTTTGTTCCGCACTCACTTGTTCTTTCATCACTTCACTTGGCTTATTTGGGAAAAGCAAGCTGCGAGAAAGGCGATTCATTGCCCGGCTGGATCCAGGCTATTCCTCGACAAACGCCATCCACATCTCGATCTCCTTGGAGGCCTATCTGTAGCCATCAAAAGGCAAGATTCTTTTGATCTTACTCTGTTTGTCCAGAGAAGGGTCATAAGAGTGGTACTCTCAGTGGACAATGAGCTGGCTTTCAAAAGCATCTTGCAATTTGATAGCCTGGCTAGAGGTGTTGCATTCACTAAGAGAGCTTGATCTGCAAGATGGTCTTTAAAAGTTCTTTTCACCCCTTTGTCATACGTGCTGTATGCCTGTCAAACTGCAGGACACTTCTCACAAGATGAGTTCCTATGGGTTGAGGGAAACAATGGTTCGTGAAGTATCTATCGCTTCAATCCTGTTGACGATCCTTAGTTTCTGTTTTCAAGCTTCGGTTCATCACGAAATACGAGATCAGGTGCAATATGAGGGATTTCGTTACTTATTCTAGTAGAACCTATATTTGAAAAACATCCTACAAAGACCCATGCTCAGATGACCTACCTCGATCAATCAATCTGTACCCTGTAATCTCACAAGTAAGCGCGCGTCTACAGACCGCCAAGCAAGGGGGTATTATATCTACGAGGTTGGTACCTCGAAATACACACCTGGGGGCTCTTGTTCATTCTCTCTCTCTTTAGTTTGCAGGATCACCGTCTACCACCTTCCATAAGTTTCACGGATCTCTTCATCGACTACTCCTCAATGGACGAGGATGATCTCAACAAAGACCACCAACATGCTACCAACAAATGGGCGAAGCATTTCCTCGACGAATACGGCGACAAAGGCGTCGAAAAGCTAGCATCAAGCTATCGCGAAGGACAGCCATGTAGATGGGAGCTTAAAAGGAATGGCTCATTCAACTCTTGCCATAAGGTCGTCTTCAAGGACGGCACAGCATGGGCAGTACGTTTTCCAATTCCTGGCCGTGTGATGCATCCAGATGAGAAAATACGTCGTGAGGTAGCAGTCATGAAATTTGTAAAGGAGAAGACCAAGATACCAGTTCCGAAGGTGATAGCTTTTGGCACTGCTGCAGACAATCATGATCCCAGTATAGGCCCATTCCTCATCACTGATTGGGTTGAAGGCGTACCTGTCACCAACGTCATCGAAGAACTTCCTCGACCATCTTGGAGCCCTGTACTGCGTCATGACATTGAGGATAATCTGCTTCGCAAAATCTACAGTCAGATGGCCAGTATTCTTCTGGAGCTAGCAGAACACGACTTCACCAAAATTGGCGCCCTATATATGGCCGAGGAGGATGATACATTGCCCTCGTGGTCTATCGAGCATAGACCTATGACCATGAAGATGAACGATGTTGGAGGAGGTGGAAATGTGATTGTAGATGGTATGACTGCGCTTGAATCGTCCTTCCCTTATGCTAACATTCGTAGATCATACGCTTCCTCCATTTGAAACCACTACGGACTACATGCAACATCTTGTGCAGCAAAACATCACTCACCTGCATAAACAGAGGAACTCAATCGACGACGCTGCTGATGCCCGGCGCAAGTTTATACTACGCTGCCGGATGGAAGCACTAGTACCGTATTTCACCTCCAAAACGCACGAATCTGGACCTTTCAAGTTATTTTGTGACGACTTCAGATTCGGGAATGTGTTGATCGATGAGAATACCCTGGAGTTCACTGGTGTCATCGACTGGGAATGGACTTATGCTGCACCTCAGCAATTCCTGTTCTCTGCGCCCCCATGGTTGATTCTGGAGCGTCCAACTTCATCATCGTACCGAGAACGGAGAAAATCACTACAAAGAGAACTTCACCATATTCTTACAGTGCTTGGGCGAGGAAGAAGAAAAACGACAGAATCAAATACCAGAAGACCAACGCATGTCGACTTTGATGCGTCGGAGTCTAGATGATGGAACGTTTTGGTTCGCACAGCTGATGCAAGAGGCTTTCAATTTTGACGAGGAGATCTTATGGCGAAACCTCGAAAGAGCGGTCCAAGAAAGAAGGTTGCTGGAAGTGGGTGTTCCAAGCGAAGAGGACGATGAGAAGTTTGTGGAAACGAAGCTGATGGAGCTGGACCAATACAACCTGGAGCTACGTATGTTGTAAAGGTGATTGGGATGGAAAAAAGACTAGTAAGGTATTAGTGTAGTTCAATCTCTCTGTTCTCGTACGTGTTAGACACAACAGGCCACCCGGCTGAAGCGTCGTCCGACTTTACCACAACGCACTTCTAATTAGACGACTGCTTGCTCCTGTTCAGGACCGAAATCCTGCAGTGAATCTGTGAGCACGGAATCTACTCATATGCAGGGCCAGAATGTTCAGCATCTGGCCCCTTGAAAGACCCCGCTCTCCAGGGCAACCTCCCGTGAATGGATTTAAGGTTGAAAGGCGGACAGGGCCCATCCTTGTACAACGACTAATCATCGATGTGAATACATGCAGACAAGCCGCCATGACGATTTAAATTTACAGCCACCATGGTTTGCGGGGTGCTTGCAGTCGCATAAGTGCCTGGTAGATGCTATAGGAACTGGAAAGGCCCCTTCAAGGCGCAAGTTCTCTTTCCTAGCAATTATCATCGACGACCCGTAGGATGGCGTCCCTTTTCAAAGCTACCACAACGACTGTGCCTCTGCACAAACTTCTCAATGCTGCAGATAAAGACGGAAGGGACAAACTTACAGGACAATGGAGGGATCATAAGCTTCAGGAATTGAATTTTGTCGGTGTCGTGGTCAGTAAATTTCGCTACTGGAATGCGTACCTTTCTGCACTCGACATCTCGCAAGGTCGTCATACCTCCACAGTACTAAATCTCAATTTAGGGAGGCCTTGTTGCTGGGATGCTATCAGGTACAGGTTCCTGGCCAGTCATCCAACCCAACGGAAAGATATCTCCTTGGACTGTTCGCGCCTGTTGGTACTGCGGAATCCTCTTCGCAGTCGCTGCTGTGCTTACAGCATTGCAACAATCGATTCGTCTGCATAGATTGTCTTGTCACCAGCATCCCGGGAAGTACATCCGACGACTTATCAGTCAGCAGCACCCCGATCGTAATGGCCTGATACTTGCTCGCAAGAGCCACGTTATGCTATGGCAGTGTGGTACTTACTTCCTGTCGCTTAGTGCATTGTCGATGCTTGTCGGTATGTTTATCCTGATCTGGGATGCAACGGACCCACTGCCCGGCGGATTTGAAAGAGCTTGGTGGACTGGCGAAGCCAAGTTGGCGGTTACCTTCAGCATCATTGGTTTCTTTATTGCCTGCGTCTTTGTTTTCCAACAATTTGCGCTCTATACTTGGAGAGGCGAGGACGACTCTGCAGTGCATGCTCGCCAACAAGACGAACCGTAGATTTGGCATAGCAAAAGCATTGTCTACTGAGATTTCATGAGTCTGCCGCACTCTCGTGTGACAACAGCTGCGAAGATATCAACGTAACGTAGTTCTACACGAGGAAAAATCGCGCCCGAATTGTTGCTCCGCCTGGCGCTCTCCGGATTCAGGGCAGGCACTTAAATGATTATCAGGTTGCAGGATGTTTTGTCGAACCGAGTATATGACCACTGAGAGTGGCTACTCCCTCATGCTCTCTCTGGAAAACCGTACCAGCATCAAATTCATCCTGCATTTCGATAGCATGTTGCAGGCCTGTAGGTCGGCTCCAGTGGAGTGTTTGTATCAAGTTGTTTGTGGTGGAGAAAGGATACTTCACGAGGATGACGTGAGAATGTTCGGCTGCGCCTTCCCGTTTTGAGCTTCCACTCGGGTGGCGAATGTCCTCAACCATCATCTTCTCTCCTAATCCGCTTCTCACTTCACCCGACATCGACTTACGAAATACAAAATGTCGGAGATTGAGAAACAGCCTCTTATTGAGAACCAGCCAGAGCCCACGCTCTCGGACCTCCGTTCAAGATGGCAGGAGGCCAGAGCAAACCTCCAGGCCGCAGCGAAAGACCTCTTCACAGCACGACGCGAATATGAACGTGCATGGTCACAAACTACCCGCGGCCGCATCACCATTGCCGCTTTCTGTATCTTCATCATCGTTGTCTTCCTCCTGCCGATGGGCGGCCTCCTGGTGCTAGGTCTGATGGACGATGATATCAACGAGGAATACTTGCCTAGAAGAGTCCCTTTGGAGGCTCACATCATGAGCAAGTGCCCGGACGCAAGAGACTGTCTTCACGACCTTGTCCTTTCTGCCATGGTCAACGTCAGCAACCTCGTTGACTTCAAGCTGTCTTATATTGGAAAGTAAGCATAACAAACACCACATAGCCCGAGCTGAACACTAGCTGACAAGACAACAGGACTTCTGAGGATGACGGTGTTGCTTGCCTCCATGGCCCATCTGAGTGCCTTGGAAACTCCATCGAACTCTGTGCAGCTCACCTCTACCCCAACCCTAAGGTCTACCTTGGCTTTACTATGTGCATGTCCCGTAATTACTCCGAGATTCCTTCTGAAGATCTCGCCAAGGATTGCGCTCTGGAGCACGGAATGGACTTTGGCAAGCTGAACCACTGTCTGAGTGTTGACGACGGAGAGTACTCTCGGGAGCTCCTCAAGAAGTCTGTCCAGAGAAGTGCTGAGAAGGGGGTCACCAAGAGCTGTACTATCAGAGTTGATGACAAGAACTGGTGCATCCGCGACGGTGGAAAGTGGACCGACTGTGAGAACGGCTCCGAAGTCAAGGACCTTGTCGAGGAGATCTATGATCTGAGATGGAAGCACAGCAGTGCCTACCAAGAGTAGTACTGAGATCTAGTCTTCCCTATGTACTTCTAGAATCGCGTGTTCAAACGAATGGAGTCTCCTCTTTTTCATTGTCCCTGGAAATTTCCTTATCTACATCTGATAATCAATTTAAGTGGCGTTCGTGGTCGATCGAGTACCCCACATACCCGATCGTGGAACGACTTTTTCGGGGTCTTTAGAGGCACTAAAACTTCTTCTGCTTCTAACGACTTTTACCGTACCTTCAAAACACACAACATGGCACCTTCAGCGATCACCCCTGAGGAGACTCAGATCCCTAGCGGCGACTCCACTGTCTTGGCTCTGCGCAAGACGCTGACTTCCGAGAACGAAGCGCTGGCCGCTCGCTTCCGCGCTCTTTTCTCCTTGAAGTACCTGGCCTGTCAGGAGCCCCGTACCGAGAACACTATTCCCGCTATCGATGCTATCGCTGCTGGATTCGCCTCTCCATCTGCACTCCTCAAGCACGAACTCGCATACTGCCTTGGCCAGTCCCGCCACGATGCCGCAGTCCCTTACCTTCAAAAGGTCCTCAGCGACCGCGAGGAAGATCCCATGTGCCGACACGAAGCCGCCGAGGCCATTGGCGCTCTCGGTGACAAGGCCAGCTTGAAGCTTCTCATCGAGAGAAGAGACGATGAGAGCGAAGAGACCGTTGTCAAGGAGACTTGCGACATCGCCGTCGGTCGCATTGAGTGGGAACACTCTGATGCTGGAAAGTTGGAGAAGTTGAAGCAGAGGTAAGACACATCGCACGACAAGACCTGCGACTCAGACTGACTTGTTTGTGTGCAGCGACTTCGCCTCAATCGATCCCGCACCTCCTCTCGCCATTGCCGCAAAGCAGCCCTCCATTGCAGAACTCGAACAGACTCTCCTTGACGCCAAACTCTCCCTATTCGACCGCTACCGCGCCATGTTCGCACTCCGTGACTTGTGCTCTCCTCCTGATCTCCCCACCGCCGTCCCCGCCATCAACGCCCTTGCACGCGGTTTCACCGACTCCTCCGCTCTTTTCCGTCACGAGATTGCTTTCGTCTTCGGCCAACTTTCACACCCCGCTTCCATTCCCGCTTTGACTGGCGCGCTCAGCGACTTGAAGGAGAGTAGTATGGTTCGTCACGAAGCAGCCGAGGCTCTCGGTAGCTTGGGCGACGAGGAGGGTGTAGAGGAGACACTCAAGCAGTTCTTGAACGACGCCGACCAGGTCGTCAGAGACAGCATTATTGTTGCTTTGGATATGGCCGAGTTTGAAAAGAACGGAGAGATGGAGTATGCAACAGTTCCTGTTGCTGCTTAAGAGCAAAGCATTACGAATTTAGGCGTTTGAAGATAAAAGGACATTATGGGACGGAGTTTCGGAGATGTCAGAGAAGACCAATGAAATGTTTATATTCCACTTTGATGAAGTGATACGGCACTAGTTGTTTCTAGCTGTCTTGTACATATCTTATATTGCGCTCATAGCAAATGTTATCGAACGTAAAAGTAAAACATTGGACCATCTCAAACGTACTCTAAGGACAAGACTGTGCGACTGTTGACACATGAATTGCGGAGGTGAGAACGGGAGATCCGTGCTCAATTTGTACCTGCCTACCTAAACAACTCTCTTAAGATTTCATCATTCTTGGGTGGCACTTGCCTAGTTTGTGATTCTTTTGCTATGAACGGTTGTCATCAATTTCAGACCGATCTATCTGGCTTCGAGACTAGACAGCTTGCTACCATTCAAGCTTCATCGTCGACTTTCCCAGGCTTCGAAATCTTGCCAGTAAAAGCAGCCATGTCAACTTGACAAGACTCCCGGACATTTCCCAAACAAAATGTCGCATCCCAATGGCGCCAACCATGCGAATGGCACACGCAAGGCCATGCGTGTTCCTACGGTCGCAGAGGCTCTCCCGTTCTCGCCATTCACATCTATCGTGCCATTCACTCTGGGTATTGTACTGTTGGCGGACAATAGGTGCACAATAGCTGATTGTTCTACTCAGATGCCATACCTCCTCCATTAGCGTTTCCTTCGTCCCCGGCTCAGATCTTCTCGTCAGAAGAACAAAAGATCTCGGCTCATGGAATGCTAGAGCGACTCGACGCGCAAGCCAACAATGCTGAAAGAGCCTCGGAGCAGTTGACCAAGACGCTGGAATCTGTCCAACACCTTCTCAACCCGGACAATCTCACTCAATACCGCTTCAACAAACCTGCTAGGTTTGCGCAGTCCAACTCTCGTCCCGGCCAGTCCGCATCAACTCCATCCAGGATCCAACTTGGCCCCTTCGCAAAGATGGTTCTTGACAGAACTATTCCCTCTCACTACACTGCCACAAAAGCCACTCTACCTACGCCGGCTTCCAATGCGGTATCCAAGCCATCCAAGCCACAGGCCCGTACTGTCACACCGGCAGCAACTATACCCGTTCCTCTCCACCACAATCAGAGCCGCTCTCAACCAACAACTGCGCCTCCATCATCTGCGACACAACCTGCGTCTTCAGCTTCAAGACCCCTTCCACAAGTTGTGATACCCATCACTCTATCGCCAGCCCCTCCCTCTCAACAACCAAGCCGTTCATCGCAAGCACACAATAATCTACCAGCCCAATCGCAAGGCTCTCAACCCAGCTCTCAAAGATCCACAATCGCTGTCGTGATACCGAAAGCTCTCACCGAGGCACAACGCGCTCAGTACAACTATGTGCCTTCCCAGAACATTTCTCAGGCCACCAAGACCGATGCTGAGAAACGTGCGCAATTCGAGGACAATCAACGTCTGACTTCGGCGAACATCGTTCTACAAGAAAAGGCGAATACCGCAGTGACACGGCTTCGAAACTTGATCGCTGAGATCTTTGAGGCTGAGGATCAAATGCAAGCCGACACGTCTGGAATGGTCTCGTCCAACGCTGCTCGCTTCTTCAACACCGAGGACGCAACTGAGGGCGCGCCGGTCCTTCAAGCGACCGTCCAGACACAGCTTGACAGTGCCTTGCTCAAGGTCGTCTCCAATGGTCGCCTCTCTACCATTGATGTCGACGACCTTAGCCGCATACAACGCTTGTGTGATCATGCTGCCAGCGCAGCAGGTCTTGCCAATTATCGCATCGATGAAGATACGCCACAAGAGGTCGATGAATGGCTTCACCGCATCGCCATTGGAGAACAAGGTCTGACTGCTTGTAAAACATTGCTACGTATTATGACGGCTGGCCGCGAGGAGAAGCAATTGTACTCTGAAGAGACACTCATCACTCTTCTGAACAGTCTGACCCATGTGGTCGAGACTTGCATCATCCCCGTGGTGGAGATGAGAAGTAATGGGGAAACCAGCGATGCGTTCAAGGTGGCCTCTTTCCAAAGCAAGCCACTCAATCAGCTGCTCACCGTCTGTATCCGCGTCATCAAGCTTCTGGGTGATCTCATTGCAGCGACCGACGTCGATGAGCGTGCTATCATATCCGCAGAATTTATCTGCAAAACTTTGGTATTCGTCGAGAATGCGACAGCTGAAAAGGATTCTGCGCTTGGGATTCAAAGATTTGAAACTGCTCGTAGAGCTGCCATGGATGTACTCGCAAAGGTCTTTGCCCGCTACCCGGATCAAAGACAATCAATCTTTGATGAAATTTTGACCTCTCTCGAAAAACTTCCTGTCGGCCGACAAAGCGCTCGTCAATTCAAAATGGTCGATGCAAAGCCAATTCAACTGGTTTCAGCTCTTCTCATGCGGTTGGTTCAGACTAGCGCGACTCGTATGGAAGCCAAAACGAAAGTCATTCCCGAGGACGATGCAGAGGAGAACGAGGAAAAAGATCCGGAGTCTTCTGATGATGGCGCTGATGAAGACTCGGACTTCGACAGCGAGACCGAGAAGAAACGTCGTCCCAAGCCAAAGCCCAAGAAGCGCGTGAGCGAGGGGCCCGAGGACTTAGCGTCAATTTCCAACCCTCTCTTTGAAGCTGCATACAGAGACGCTCACTATGTCGTCAACTACATGGTTCAGCGTGCTTTGACTTCAACGAAAACCGGTGATCAGCCATACAGAAACCTTCTCGACATCTTCACTGAAGACTTTTTGAACGTACTGGGCAACACCGATTGGCCCGCAGCGGAGATGTTCCTCCGTGTGCTTTTGGCAAAGCTGTTTGAACTTTCAGAAAATCACAAAGGATCGGCGCCTTCGAAAGCCATGGCTCTTGAGTTGATGGGTCTCATGGCCTCCAGAATCACAGAGCTACGTCTTCTGGCCCAATCCTCAGCTCGTCACCCCAACACAGATCGCTCGGAAGTCACAGCCATGTTGTTGCAGATCCATGAGAGCATTGTCGCAGAGCAGCTGGAAGATGAGGAATTATTGTCATTTGATGGCCCCTACCGAATTGTTCTCGAATATCTTCAGGCTAGAGGTACGGAAGATAAGGAGTTGTTGACTGCACGTGGTTACCATACCGTTCAGTGGGCCAAGCAGGTTCTCCAACCCATCCAAGGTACATCGAGGTTGACGAAACTCGAAGATCGCCTGGCGCTCATGGTCAAGGACTCGACATGGCTCGACCAGTACGAGTACAAGAAGGTTACCACAGAGGATGGCAGATTTGCCGCCGTCTTAATTACCATGAATTTGCCCTTCTGTCGTGCCTTCAACAAGATCTTTAGTAAGCTTCTTGGCACTATGGCCGGTGATCAAGCTTCCCTACGAAGCAAGAGTCTGAAGAGTATTGAACAACTTCTCGAGATGGATCCGGCGGTTCTCGATCAAGGAACATTCTTCATCAACAGCATCATCAGGTGTTTGCAGGACAATTCAACTCAGGTTCGAGATTCTGCTCTGGGTCTGATTGCGAAGTGTCTTTCGTTGCGACCGAAGCTAGATACGACGCTCTACGAGCGCGTCATCATGAGAGCTCAGGATGCCAATTTGCACGTTAGAAAGCGCGCGATGAAGATGTTGAAAGACATGTACTTGCGCAACGACGCCTTGAGCATGAAGGCCTTGATCGCAGACACTTTGATCAATCGAGTCACCGACGCTGATGAAAGCATTGTGGAGCTCGCTCGCCATACTTTCGAAGACATCTGGATGACGCCTTTCCACACCATCTCTGGTTCAGACACGGACTCAGTCAAGAAGAAGCTTCGTCTACGTGAGCAAACCAGTTTGGTGATCAACATTGTCAAGCGCAAGACGGATACCACAGAGGCAGTCTTGCCCGAGCTCTTACAGCAGATCTTGTCGGACAAATCCAAAGCAGCAAAGCCCAACATCGCAGTCTGTAAGGAGATGGTCAAGCTAATGTTCGACGCTATCATTGATCCAAGCGAGCTTCCGGAAAGTCCTCCGCAGCAACACGTATTGCAAACGCTCACCATCTTTGCTGCTGCGAATGCCAAACTTTTCACTGCCGATCAGCTCCAGACTCTACAACCTTATGTCAAGAACCTCAGCTCTGACGACAATCTGCTAGTATATCGCTCGGCAATCGTCATTCTCCGTCACACTCTGCCCTATATGAAGAACCTCAATCGAGACTTCTTGAGTAACATTCAGCAAGCTCTTCTTGGAAGCTTTACTAGACTCCCACCAGCAGAGCTCAAGGAGGTGGCAACATGCCTTTGGACGCTTGACGGTGAATTGCACAACACTGAAAGACTCGTCAAAGTTACACTATCGCTCTATGATCAGATCAAGCGAGGCTTAGTTGTTGATATGAACGGCAACCCAGCTGCAGCGCAGAAAACGAGAAGACTCATCACCATTGCTGGTCATTTTGGTAAAGCATTCAACCTCGATTCTCATCTCGAGGCTTTCAAGGAGAAGTTCACAGACTACAAGGGCAATCATGTGGCTTTCCTGGCAGTCGACCTGATATGCCCGTTCACAAGTCCTAATCAGCCCATGGTACTTCGTCAAGCAGCACTCGATAGTGTCTGCATGTTGTGTCAAGCATGGCCTGGTCAACTGATGCGCACCGATGTTTGCAGTGCTTTCAAGTTGGCTCTTGAGTCTGATGAGCCGCAGTTGCCTATGACTTTAATTGTTGGTCTCAAAGACTTCTACTGTGCTGGCGATAAGCCTGGTGAGTCGAGTCAAATTAAAGTCGGGACTGGTGTGGAAGCCGGCACCGAGAGGCTGGGCAATACATACATGGCGACTGATCGTGACGGCGCGGCCACCTCTATTGCTCAACAGTTCTTAGGTAAGATTCGCCATGTCGCTCTCACTTCTGCCGATGCTCTCGCCTTCAATGCAGTCCAAGTGGTCGCTAGTATCGGCCGTCAAGGTCTTGTACACCCTAAAGAGACAGGACCATGCTTCATTGCTCTTGAGACCTGTCCGGATGCTAAGATAGCCACTTTTGCCTTCCAGGAACACATGGGACTTTATAGCAAACACGAGGCTATGTTCGAAAAAGAGCACATTGGCGCAATTCACCAAGCTTTCGAGTATCAGCGAAATGTGGCAAAGAGCAATCAGGGTTACACTGGCACTCCTCCAACCTCGAAGATGCATCATTTCTGGGAAGTGCTCAAGACTGGCAAAGCAAAAATCCGCATCAAGTTCTTGACAGCAATCTGTGGCAAAGCAGGAGTGGGCTTTGATGTTTCGAAATTAGACATGTCGGGCGCGCTGCCTTCCCATGTCGCTTTCACCCGCTTTGTCTCTGAGAACTTGGCTTTCTTCGACTACTCCAAGTTCGATGAACTACAGCATCTGATCGATTGCCTCGAGAAGCTCATGGCCAACACTGGTACTCCTGTGGCTCACATGGTCGATGTTGATGTCCTTCGAATGCTGATCGAACAAGACGCACCAATGACTGATGTTGAGAATGGTGTTGCAAACCCGACCACCTTCACCGGAAGCCAAAGCAAGCCTGTCGAGCCAGCGCGCTTGAGAGAGCTGACTGTCTACGTGCAAATTCTTCTACTCTTGTGGGAATTACGTACATATCTTCGTCGTGTCTGGAACGTGTCCAGACACCAGACGTTGGCCAAGGGCAAGGCCAGTAAGGAGGGTATCCGTGCACCACAACGCATCCCCAACTCGACCAATCTGACCGAGAGGTACCTTCAGCGTAACCAAGAGATTATGAAGGCCCTCGAGGCGCCTGAGGATCAACTCAGGCTCTGTTCTTCCTTTTCGGAGGTTATGGCGGTCGACAGTGAGCTCAAGGTCGACAGAGAGGACGAGGAAGGTGACATGGACACCTCAATGACATTGAACGGTGATGGATATGAAACGCCAAGCGAGAGAGGTGAAAGCGCAACGCCCGGCAGTGGTCAGAAGCGTGGCCGCAAGCGAAAGAGCATCGACTCTTCGCAGAATACACCAAGGAAGAAGGGACGACCGAGGAAGAACTCGAGTGTGCAAGGCCGCTCCGTCTCATTTGCTTGATGACGATGGTGCATCATTCCCGCCTTTTGCTTTTACAGATTAGGTGCTTGAACAATCTGTAGCACATTGCTCCTTATTGCGATGAGCTTGAAATGCTACGTACCTTAATTAACAATCACGTTTGTTTGCTTCTGCATCGTGAATCGTGAATCGTGAATCGTGGACGGTGAGTACTACTGGACGAGGAAACATTCCATCGAGAGGTATCTACTGTATACCACCACTTTTTTTTTTGCAGCAGTCAATGCCTGCAGAGACGTTGTGGAAGTAGAAGTCTAGCAGGCTGTTTTGCTTGATAATTTCATTCATCCTGAGAGAAAGCATGTTGCAGTTCCATGAATGTCTTGGGCAGAATTGTGAGCTCTGGGGCAGAATCATGCAGAGGAATACTTATTCGCTCGGAGTAATGATTTTCATCTCATGACCGCGATTTCCTTGAGTGATGGTATTTCAGTTCGTTTGCTGTCCGACTCCTAGGTAACGTAGACGTAGCCGCGACGAGATTGACCAGGCACCGAACTCCCTCTTCCACTGTGAGGCTTCCAACCTAGCTGTCAAGTTATAGGATACTTTTGATGATTCAAGTGAAATGTCCACTGCCATGTCCGAGTGCCACTCTCCTCCACGCAAAAACAAACAATCTGCTCCTCCTTACCAAAAACAAGCAAGCAAAAAAAAACCAGAGCCTTTGAGGCTCTGGGGAAAACTCCCTCGACAATTTGTTCCTTGATCTAAATCACCAGATGGCGGACATCTGGCTGCGATTCGCGCAATTAAGACTACACGGCGGAAACTCTTGGAGTGTGGTTTTTGGTTTAGCCGAAATCATGAGTGTAAGCCGTTACACCACACAGCGGATTGCTGTAAGGAAAACAAATCTGGTTGGATTATATGACCTCGGTGATGGGGGGCGAGGGTTCGACTCGGGAGGTAAGCTTGCTCTCTTTTCGCTATTGCTCTGCTGAGCGGCGTTTTCTTTTCAATCTCGTTGGCGATATCAAGCACCACCTACAATGATGACTGCATCATCTAGATCGGCTGCAGCGTTATCGCTCTCGAGATGCTGTCTCAACACCTCCGTCTGCTTTCTGTGAAACTCCTCGAAATCCTCCATCAGAGCCTTGTTGATCTGAGCCTTGACTCTGTTCCTGATCTCTGTCATTAGAGCGTCATCGAATATGGCATCGGCTCTGTCTTTTGCCTTTTCGGCAAGGAAGGCTTTGAGAGGTTCTGGCTCGATGCTGATGAGAGGTTTTGTGGTGGGGTTTGAGTTGAGGTCGGTGACAGTGCGGGTGACTTCTTCATCGATGATTTTTTCGAGCTTTGATGTGAGGGGCGCGAGTCTGGTGGAAAGGAGTTAGTAGTGGTCAGATGTAAGTCGGTTGGTAGTGGACTTGCTTCTTGAGTTCTTTGGTGGCTTGTAGGATACGTTCTCTGCAAAGTTTGGCCTGATGTTTGATGACATCCATTTTCTGAGTAATATTTTCCTCATGTCTGTTACTGCTAGATATTTGCATTCCCTCGACAGTGCCCGTGATCATCTTCGCAAAGCGAGTTGCCCCCCTCAGGAGTCTGCCGATCGAGCGGCTTTGGTCAGACATATTTTTGCTTAGTTCTTGTATGGGGGTTGCTTGACCTGACGACGGAAATGACTGTTGAAGTACGCGCAATGGTTTGTTGAAGCAATTATATGAGAGGATGAAGAAGAGGAAGAAAGGAAAGAAGTTGGAGATGTTGTGTTTTGTATTGAATTAATGACCAAGTGTGAAAGTGAAATTGAGTAATGGGTTGCTCTTTCTGGTGAATGCCGAGTAAAGCTTTCTTCACTGTAGTGCTGTTTGCTTCCGATGAAGTTGTTTTACATAAAAAGTGGAAAGAACTCATGAATGAGTCTGCTGAATACCCCGAGTGAGGAAAGAACGGAACGCTTAGCCTCCAATCACTTCTTCGTCGCTCGACTCGCTTGACTCGCTTGACTCGCTTGCCTTGTCGTCGCTTTCTGCGGTAGCTGCTTCGTCGACTTTCTCCAACTGCTCTTCAATTTCTGCTTCACGTTCTTTGTGAATCTCCTTGGCAATATCCATAGCTGCATCATTGATCCGCTCCTTGATCTTCTGCTCCAAGAACGTCATGATCTCGTTGTCGGACACGAGCGAAGCCACATTGACCTTTTCTGTGAGGAGCTCGTGCGAGTTTTCAGAAGCATTGCCCATGCGAGGCTGTATGTTTTTGGTAAGGATTGGAGCTTTGAGGGAGGCTTCCTCTTCGATTGTCTTCTTGACGAAGGACTCAAGACCGAGATCTTCAGGCCTAGTGAGGAATATGTTAGAAAAGGGGGGTTTTCCAATCTACTGTAAGGAATGAGAGGTACTTAGTGGCTGTCTGCTTGAGCCTTTTTAGCCAAAGTGAACTACGACGGAGTTCAAGTTTGAGAACTTTCATCTCAGCAATGTCAATGCCACCAAGGTTTCCCAGGGTGATAGAGTTCTCGACAGAGGCCAAAAGTGCCTGTGTACGGGCGATCGTCTTTTTAGTGTCACGCGAGGCGAAATCAAGAACGCTCTTGGGTACGCTGACCATATGCTCCTTGCGCTTACGCCTGTGGGTGAACGCTTTACGGATTCTGCTTGACATCTTGGTAGATGAGGGTGTGGATTGTGGAAGTTGTTGTCAAAAGGAAGGAGGAACAGAATCGATGGAAGATCTCCTATAGCCAAGACTGAGAAGGAGATGTGAGAGTGATGACCACGAGTGAGAGTAGATATCATCGATTACTAGATCAACCTTGTGTATCCTCGCCCTTGACGCTGCGATAGGTTTTGAGTTAGAAAGCGAAGAACCACGCTCTCTGTATGTAGTAACAAGTCAAGGTAAGGTCTTTGTCGTCGGAGCTACTTTCACTGCTCAGAGTATTCACACAAAGGGGACTCGAATCGTCACCTCATCATGTTGGGGAGGGCCTGCGGTTGATGTGATCGAGTGAATTGTCTATCTAGCATCACCCATCGACTAGCCAGCGAACAACCCTGCCAATCTCGGATCCACTTTGATCAACTCTTCGACGTCTTCTTGAAACTCATCAGCATGTTCCTGGAGAGCATCTCTAAGCATCTCGAACACAACCTTACACTCCTCCTTGATCTTGTCAAAGTCTTCTCCCTTTACTTGCTCCTCTTGCATCCTTATCCACGGAACCGTCACACATTTCAAGATTTCTGTCTTGTGAACGTGCATCCTGGGCCATGTGTTAAGGATGATCGCTTGCAATGCTTTGATCGACGAAAGCAAAAGAGGTGGAGAAGCAGTGACGAAAGGGTGTGTAAGGATGGAAGAAAGCATGGGTAGAATGAAAGGAAGATGTTTGATAGAATCCAAACCTAGCGAGCTGAGAATGGCAGATAGACTTGAGGTTGTGACTGTGGTGACTTTGGCATGTTCCGGACAGTAGGTAAAGGTCATCAAGACACCTTTGCGGACCAAATTGTCTAGTAGCTTCAGCCGTTGAGATGGCTTCTGCGAGTTTTGAGCGGTCAAAGAGTCGTCCAGAGCAGCAGAGAGTGATAGGAGAGCAGGGTAGGCGACAGTAAGTAGACGAGCACTTTGGTCTTCAGGTGTCAGATTAGGTAGGTAGCCTAGACACGGCATCAGGACTTCTTCAAAAACTTCTCCCAGACCAGTGCGTTTCAACAAAGATGGCGGTGTCTTGTCCAGTAACATTTTCAGCAGTTCGCAACCTTGAGCTTTGTATTCCGTGTCGACATCGTCAAGAATGCTGAGTAACGGTGGCACTATCGCGTGCCAGTTCTTTTCCACCAGACTAGCATCTGCAGCAACGATGACCCATCGAAGCAAGTCTAGTGCGTAACTATCTCTTCCTTTCCATGTCTTTTCTTCCTGATTTCGCTCAAACTTTTTAGGTAGGACGGTGGTTTGCACCTTACGCCCTTGACTTGTTACCTGCTGTGTTTGTGTCTTTACAAACAGCGGGCGAATGGTAAGCTGGAGGAAATATGTCATGAGGTCTGCTGTGAGCTCACCAGGAGTTGGGGATTGGTCTTTGGCGATGCGGACTTCTTCAACAGCTTCGGCAGTGTCCTTCTTGCCAGGGTTACGCAGTTGCCAGCGCATGACTACGTCGAGGGCGTCCTTCATCCATGGGCCAGTTGGCACGCCGAGAGCTTTGGTCAAGGCTTTACCATCAAGGATAGGCTTGAGCGCGTGGACGTCGAGAAGGTCCAGCTCATGAACGTACTCGAGGAAGTTGGAGAATGCAGAAAGATGAGCTTGTGTTGTTAGTTTCGAGGACAAATCGACGTAGACCTGGGATTTGGACTTACAGTTGGCAGCAGACGGCTCATCGGCAACGTTGACTAGCAGGGCGAAGGCTGTCTGTGATCTCCATGTAGAACCCCAGCGGCGAATGGCCATTCCCAACTCTTCACGTGCTGGGCGCTTTCGTCCGTAAGAGTTGCTTACCATCATTGAGATTTCGGAGTGATTCTTGATGGAATTGGTGATGACTGTGCATACGTTATTGGTAGCCTTGAAGCCTTCGCGTGCGACAGTGGTGGCAATAGGGGGTGGCGGCTTCTTGCCCTCGATTTGTGGAGGGGAGGGAGCATCTCTGTAAGGGACCATTGCCGACAAGAGCCATACAAGATATCTTTCTTCTGCATCACGAACCAGGATGTCGCCGGTCTTGGACGAAAGAATCTCCTGAACAAAGTTGATGACGGTAGTCCAGTTGTCCGTATCCGGTGTGTAGACCTTGCTCTGGTCCTGAACAGGGTCCGAGAAGATGGTAGAGTAGAGGGTGAGCTGGTCAATCAGGTTCAGAGCCATGAGTGGATCAGGACCTCTCAGCATCTTTTCCAATTCTACTCCCACTCTCTCACGACTGATCTTTGCTTGGAGAGCACTCTTGATCTCGGCATCCTTCATCCATTTCCTTGCCTCGGACTCGATGGTGTAGTTGAGTCTGCTGGCAAATCTGATCAATCTCAGAACACGAAGGGGGTCGTCTTTGAAGGTTTGGTAAGGTTCGAGTGGTGTGCGAATGATGTTCTGAGCCATATCGCTGTGGCCTTTACCGGTGAAGTCCTCAATCTCACGAGTGGTGATGTTGTAGAACATGGCGTTGACGGTCGCATCACGTCTAAGAGCATCTTCTTCAGGGGTGCCAAATTCCATCTGAGGGTTTCTGCTGTCTTCGGAATATGTCTCCTTGCGTAGGTTGACCAGATCGATATCGAGACCCAGGATTTTTGTTGTGACAGTTTCCAAGTGCTTCGACTTTTCCGGGTTTGCTTCGATCTTGTGTAGGCCGCCAACGATTTTGCTCTTTCCAGATTCGGCCTTTTTTGATTGAGACTCGTTACTAGCCACACCCTCTAGGCCATATTTTTCGGGATTTCCAGGAATCTCAAGGTACTCCTTCAGTCTCAGACCGAATTGGAAACCAGTCATCTTGTTAATGGCCACATCAATGTCATGGCTCGCAACACCGAGAAGTTTGTCACGGACCCAACCACCGGTCCATCTCAGAACAAGAGGTTGTTTCGCGAGCTCATCAGGAAGGGGAACTTGACTTTCTGAAGCATGTCCGGGAGAGTTATCAATGTATTTGGCAACATCGATTAGGAGAGTGCGCAGGTTTTCCTCAACTTCGGTGAGCTCCAAAACACGAGAACTTGTGGACATGTTGGCGGTGTTGAAAGCACGAGCAGAGCTGAGCTTTCGACGTTTGATGAATTCTTGTACAGGCTCAGGCGACTGTCTTGTACGAATCAAAGCAGGAGACATGCACTTAGTCGCGAGACATGGAGCAGATAATGGTCGTAGCAGTGAGAGTCTTCTTGTATGAGCGAGCCGAGTGCGGATGATAGTGAATCCCAAGCTGCGTGGATTGATCATGAACGTGCGGTGGGAACAAGATGTCTTCTTCAGATAGTTGTTGGGCGCATTGCAAACATGTGTTGGTCGTTATTGATGATTGTCAGTCACATGAAAGGCTGATGATGCATTTTTCGAGCTCGGCAAAGCTTCCCGAAACAGAAGGAGCAACCATTTGTAGCCGGCGCATCTCGACATGTTTATCCGTATGCCATCAGCGTGGCACATGATTTGACATTATTTACAACGTCTTGATTTCTGATTTCTGATTTCTATGCGCATCCGGAGGGCTGGTCTATCAAGTCACTGGCCGCGTGCAAGCGACACATGACGTCTACTCCCAGCGAGGCGGGCTTTCAGTCACCGCTCCAAAGCGACTCCGAGTCGACGACATCTATACCACAATCCGCCGCCCGTCGCGTAGCACCCAGATTATCACTACCCTATCGACGCTCGAACGCTTCAGTCGCCAGCTTGTTCGCATCCACCTCCTCAGCCCAACACTCGCCCACCGCATCAGGCACATCGACACCACCTGCTGGAGTCGTCAATGCCTCTGTCTTCTCTCCGCCCGCAACGAGACTCGCAAATGCCTTGAACTCGCCCACCACGGCCGCTCAACCCGATGAAGCCCGCCAACTAGTTCTACGCGCATTTGCTCCTCGCGTTTCGGTCCTTGCCTCGGATGATTGTCAAGAGCTGTTGCGTCACAAAGGCATTAATGGTGGTCTTCTCGAGTTATTGCGCCCGTTCGGAGAGAAGGTAGCTGGTAGAGTCGTTGTTAGGGATAGCACTGGTGCCAGCAGACCATGGGACGACTTTGGAATCAGGTTCACCGGTGTATCCGATGGCCTTGAAGCCCCTAGACTGGACCCCAATCCGTCCGACCTCCCCGAATACCGCCCTGCACGTCTACGGACTGGAGGCGATGTCGAACAGATTGATGAGCTAGTTGCCCGCCATCTGAAATATGCACAGGATCAACCGCCAGCTGGCGATGACTACTTCTCTGGCCCCGAAATAAAACCACATCCATCACGCCTTACTCCCTTTTACACCCTATACCTTCGAAGACTCCTTTCCGGAATACCCGTCACTTCTCACGAAACTTTTTCTCACCCCGTCGCTCTTGTAATAGCCATCAGCTCTCGCAACCCTGCCCCTATAGATGAGCTCCGGACCCTATATGCCAACTCCAACACTGGCCAACACAAACCACCTCCATACGTCAATAATGAGTTCTTACGATATTATGTCCTGATTCATGACGAAGATCACGACGACATTACAAAGTCCACTGCTCTATACGAACAAATGAAGCGTCATTTCGGTCTACATTGTCATTTACTGCGTTTGCGAAGCAATGAGTGTCTTCCCTCAGACGATGACAGCATGAGGTTACCCACTTGCGAATGGTTATCTGCCGGTGAGGAGTTGGGTGAGATTGCCACTAGAGGTAAACACAAAGCGTTTCTTGCTGCGTCCAATTCATCGTACTAACTCCCAAACAGAAAGCTCAGAAGTAGACGACGATCCTACACCATACATTTTCGAATCCGATGCAGCCGCCATTCGAGCATTTGTTCGAGAAATGGTGACCCAATCAGTAGTACCAGGAATGGAACGCCTTTCAGCCCTCTGGAACAATGAAGTAGCATCACGCCGACGAGGTATCGCCGGCAAAATCGGGCTCGTCTCGAAACGTTTCACCTTTGGCTTCTCCTCACGAGGCTCCTCTACTGGCATTGGCGGTTCAAACAGCAACTACGATGCTCTCCAAGGCTTCTACAAACCCGACACACCTGAAGCCGTTCTCCGCAAACTAGCTGACTACGCCTTCATGCTGCGAGATTTCAAACTCGCACAAAGTACCTATGATCTCCTCTGCACCGATTACAAAAACGACAAAGCTTGGAGACACTACGCCGGTGCCAATGAAATGGCCGCCATTACAGCATTGCTAGCCGCCCCAGTGGTATCCTCAAGAGTCCGCGTCGACTCCCTAGACCAACTCCTAGAGACGGCATATTATTCCTACCTCACACGTTGTTCAGCACCCTACTCCGCCCTGCGCACTCTAATCCTCAGCACCGAATTACTACGTCTACGCGGTGGCTCCGCACTAGACGATTCAGCGCGCTGGGCCACACGTATCCTGGAAGATCGCTTGGTACCACAAACAGGCCATGCACTTCTCCTCGAACGAATCGCTTCATGCTATTCATCTCGTCGCGGCCATGGAACACTCAAATCCGGTGCTAGAGCTAGAAAAGCCGCGTTTTTCCATGTACTGGCTGCGGAGAGTTGGGTGGTGTTGGGGATGAACAGACAAGCCGATACTAATCTAGTCGCGGCCACCTCGTTGTATACATCAAGGAAACAAATGCTCGAGAAAGGGGAAAAGGCTTATTCGACGTTCAAGCCGCTGTCTGCATTCCAGCATTTGGAAACATTTTTGCAGGACTTGGGACAGAGGGTTGAGGATAGTCGACCCAATACCGCTGATGATGGTGCTGAGCAGGGTAATCAAGACACAGAGCCGGCAGAAGCGGATGTGGAAACTATCCAAGAACCCACCAGGACTCTCGGACATGCTAGAACTCTCAGCACCGCAGGTGTCGCCGCTGGTATTCCACCCGTAACCTCAGGTTTGGATCCTTTAGGTGTCGCAGTGGTCGGAGGCAGCCCCACTCTCGATCGACCCGATCCGAAAAATGATGGCTTTGAATAGAACCGGGGAGATATCAGTGTTGTGTTGAAGGGTTGTTCTCTGCATGGCGTGGGTATATTATTATTCGTTTTCGGCAGCGTGTTGCATTTTGACAATGATGGGCGTTTTTGTATAAGTGCATGCATGCAGCAGCAGCCAGCTGTAGGCGCCATTGTTCATGTCTCTTATATATCACTTTTTCTCTTTTTGCTCATGTTGTGATTTGCAGTTTTGTGTCCTTCCCTCCCCATTTGCTGATCTTTGTCTCACGCGTATAGACTGTAGAAATGCACGATTCTAATATTTCCAGAGCTGTAGGCCTTCATTGAGAGGCATGAGAGTTAGCGTTACTCTACGGACGACTAGAGCCATCTTGAAAGGATATTGTGCATTTCTACAGGACCAAACAACCCCTGACATGGCCGTGGGAGATGACAGAATTTGGCACACGGGAAGGGTAAGAAGCACTCAAGCAGATGGAGAGAAGAATTGAAAATTATATCCACATAATCCGGTATCTCACGAAAAGAAACTCTCGCTCACAATCCCATCCTCTGATACCAAAAAGAACGAGACCACACAAAAGTATCAATATGGAAAAAAACTCAAGGAATGGGATACCTTGACTTCTTCCCCTTGCTCGATCCTTTGGGTCCATCGTCACCTCCACCCAATTGACTCAACAGGTCCAAAACACCACCTCCATCCCCCAATCTCCCATTCTCTTTACTCTCTTTGGCCTGCCTCTCTCGTTCCTTTTCCTCTTCTTCGGCTTTGAGTGCTCGTTCTCTGGCTTCGCGCAAAGATCGCTCTTGAGCTTCGTAGTATGCAGAGTGTGGCGCTGCAGCACTATTGTGCTCGTCGTCGGAATCGTCGAATTCGGAGTTTTCGGCGCCAGAGTCGGCGACTGCGCGTAATTGGGGAGATTGTAGCAGTCCGCGGGATGGAGAGCGCAGTGTTTCGGGACTTTCGCTACGATTGCTGCCGAAACTGCCACTGCGACCACTGCGTCCGCTGCGGCGACTAACGTCTGAGCGTGCGGAGGTTACGCGACTAAGGGGCTCTCCGTCCGGTGCGATTTGATCTGGGCGATATCCGATAGCTTCGGCGACCATGCGTGCTTCCTCTTCTGCGTCGCGTTTCTCCAGTTCGGGTAGGGCACCTAGGCCGTCGCCTGGCATGATGCTGAGGCGGTGTAGGGGGTCCAGGGTATAGCCTGCGTCATTGGCGGCAGTGTTGTCACTCTTGTCCAAAATGTCGCGATAGCCACGGCGGGTAGGATCTTGAAGTCTCTTGCGCTTCTTCTTGTCGCGTTTGGATGAGGGGCGTACGACGATGACGGGGACTGGGGAATGTTGGAGACAGTATTTGGACACGGAACCCGGTAGCAGTCCTTGGAAGCCTCCCAGAGATCGACCTCTGGTGCCGACGACCAAGATTGCCGGCTCGTAGATTCTAATCTGTAATCCATGTCAGTTGCTGTGACTCTCCGAAGATGGCAGTGAATCAACATACCATGCGTTGAATCGTGTCCTGGACTTTGCCGATAGAAAATTCCAGGATGATGTTGATGGCCTTGTCTTCGGTGTTCTTCTCTTCAATACGTTCAAGCATGCGGTTGGCCTCCTTACGGTAACTGCGCTCTCTGCCTCCTCTGTCACTGCCACCACCAGCCCATTTGGCTGCCTCTTTACTGTCCTTCTCAACCACTCTGAGACAGACGACCTCATCGCCATCGTCGACAAGTTCATCAATCAACCATTCCAGAGCAGTATCGGAATAGTCGTTGGTATCTGTACCACAGAGGAAGGTGCGCGAACGCTTGGTGTATTCGTATTCGCGGTGCTTACGACTCAGCGTGAGGGAGAAGTCAGATGCGTCGCGATTGTCAAACGTGTCGAAACTAACGCGAGGCTTGAACTGCCTGATATATGTGTCAGTCTGCGCAATCCCTGAAGCATCAGCTGCAAGTGACTCACGTAGGTGGTGGAGGACTACTAAGTCGCCTGTTGATGGAGCTATCCTTGATGGGTACCGGTCTACGACTCCGGCTACGGCTGGCTTCAGCTGCTCCTCCAGCGACTCTCACATTGGGCATGAACTGGACGGAGGCTCTACGAGCGGGATTGTTGTCGTCGGAGCTGTGGAAACGAATGGGCAAGGGGGCGAGGCTTGTCGGCCGTGTTGTAAGTACTCCCACCGAATGCCAACGATTGCGAAGGGATGTCTGAAGTTGATGCTTCAGGAGCATTCTGTGTAGGAGCTGACATGGGCGACTGCATCGGCGACGGATCCATGATGGGCAAGCTCGCTTCGTGTTTGCGTTCGGGGAGTGAGAGTTATGGAGAAAAGGCAGGATTGAATTAATGCGATTGTTGATGAAACGGAGGAATAGCTGTGTTTCGACGACAGGTTCGGCGACGGCGATATGGGAAGTGAAGTCTGCGCCGTATAGTACTCAAAAGTGCCTTGGCCGAAAGGATTGGATGCCCTCCTCGAAAGTCGGTCGGCGACTACCTAATCCAATGATGCGGTGATGCGGCCAAGCCTTTGGGCTTGTCAATGCCACCTTACGGGAAAGAACATCGGTTGTCAATATGACCGAGCCTTCAAGCCATCGACCTTCCCTCGGATGCGAGTTGTCTATACTGTTGTCCCTTCTTTATATGCCTACTGCAGCTGTGTTTGTCTTGCACGTGTTCCTTCATGTCGTCCCTGAGTCTTGCTCGTCTCCACCGTTGTGATTGACAGACGGCATGTGGGGTGATGGACTGTGCTGTCATTTGATTTCACATGCGCCGGATCTTGGCTTGCTCCGAAACCCTGTCCAGCCACGGCCATTACACGTGGACCATGACACCATGTTGATGCATACAGTAGATAAAATTGACTGCAGTCTCCTATTGCTTTATTGGATAGATGAATAGGGATGAGGCAGGGAGGGTTACTAAGCACGTAGACATCTATAGGTCGACAGAGTAAGATTATCCCGCGAAGTTCAGGGATTGAGCAGAATAGAACTCAGTTGCGTCCTACATCGTCAAATGAGGTCGTTCTCCTATGCAAATCACGGGCATCCGAATTCGATGCCGCATTTTGACAGCACTTTTAAGAAGACGTTTGTTTCAGAGAGTGTGCAGGACATGTCATCGCATACAATGTGTGCTGTCTACCGCGACGCTCGAAAACAGGATAGGGTATCTGAAAATAGAGGAAACAGAGAAAAGAAGAAAACATCGGGCTTGATAGCAGCCATCTCGACGCGCGCCAGAGACCATTCCATACCCACATGACATCGTTGTTGCTATAATCGCTTTTTTTAGGAGGTTGGGTATCCGTCGTTGATCTACAACGCCAGTCCGGAACCATCTCCTGTCCATCTGTACAATGCAAGCACCTCCCTGCGGCGTTGCTGTTGTTCTCCAAAGTCTTCGAGACTGCGCCCACGAACCTGGCTTAATGCACTACGCATGACTTTTCGGAAGTTTCTCTGTGAGATGTGTTAGTCGTTTCTTGAGGATGGGAACGGGAACGAAGGAGGTAACTTACCTGGTATTCTGTGTTCAAAGTCACAACACAGACTTCGTGTGCTCGAACAATCTGCTCGCATGCCTTGACGACACTCGCACTGGCCTCTCCTTGCAGCTTGTCCGCAATCAGAAGTAGCAAGAAACTACCCTGCAGAAGATATATTCCGAAGAAGAACGGCATGAAACTGAGATCTGGATCGTAATCCAAGATACCACTGATGGCATCGGCGGCTGAAACTGCATGTCCCGTAGCCGAGACGAATGATTGTGAAGAGATCCAGAGATCGTTGTCGTCCAGAAGAGAGATGGGGTCCCACTTGCCGTTCAGAAGGATATGCAAAGTGTGCATCAGGTGCGTGCCGTAAGCCACGATTGTCTTGGTGAGCAAAACGGTTTCGGTAATGCGGTTGCTACTCGTAGATTGGTTGGAAGGACTAGCGTTGTCGACATGTGTGCCGTCAGGATTGGTGCCATCAGCTGGGATAAATCGCGCCTCGAACGCCTCCAGACTGCGACCATACGAGTCAAGTTGAAGGCTAATCTCGTGCGCCATATCATCAAGGTCTGTACCATTTCTGAAGCGCATACCGAAACGAGGGTGATTGCGTGTATGATTAAGATCCACGATTTCTCCTAGTATGGTCATCAATGGTAGGAAGTAGCCAAAGATGCTGTGTCCAGTGCACTCCAGCGGTGGGCCTCTTCGTCGATAGTATGTCTCGGGCATATTTTCGGTTGTGTAATACTCGCCTGCCTGGTAGACTGACTCATCTTCAGGCTGCAGCAGACCTTCGCATTCAGCATCGAGGAGGAACAGTGGCCTGTTGTAGCATAGCGCAAGATGTCGGTCGACAATGTATAGAAGCCACCAAGCTCTTCTCCTTTCTTCTCTTTCTTCTTCAGTCACGGCACCTGGTTGGGACATCGATGCAGGCATGCCACTGAATCGTCGCGAGTTGAAACCTTGCTGGCCATTCATGCCCATATCGTTTTCGGCGTTCCCATCGACTATTGCGTTCTCGTCCTGCGGCAGCGAAGGGTCCGGATTTGGTGGAAGCTCTCTGCCAAGTTTTAGCTCTCTGGCTAGTGACCAAGCTGCATTCCACCATCGTAGACTGGCAGCCTTATACTCGCTAGCAGAGACCACAGTAGCCAAATTGATATATGTCGCGACGTCGTCCAAAGCTCCTGCGGCTCCTGTAGAGCCTCCTTCGCTGTCGTGTCTTGCGGTATGCAAAGCTACGCCAAAGCCTCCAAGAGCGACACCGTTCACGACGGAGTTGGCCGCTTGGTTGGCGCCTTCGGTGGGAGTGTGGATAAGCGGTCGCAACAGGCTGACTGTAAGCTCCAAAAGTTTCTGACAGACTTTGCCTCGTGCTGATGGAGGCGAGGTCAAGAAAGCAGATTCACTCGTCTGAGCACCGACCCAAAGCATACTCGCAAGCAAAGCAGGACTGCATGCTCGAGGGTTGTTTTGGCGAAGGAAAGAATTTTTGCGGAAGATGATGCCGAGGACATATGGAGAGGCAGGTTGAATGAACTTACTGTAGGAACTAGAGAAATAGATTTCTAGAAGGTCGCAAGCAAGACTGATGGGTATAATGGCTGAGATACGCGACAGAATTGGTTTCAGCACGGGATAGCGCAGAGTCTGGTTGTTGGGTTGCTGGAAATTTGTGTACAAAGCGGCAGAGGGAGAAGGCAATTGCAGCCATCCGGGAGAGCCGGCATGTGGTGATGTGCCCATCAACCCATGTGCCGAGATGGGAGACTCGCCCATTCGAAAATTTGTGTTGAAATTGTTCTGGCTTTGCGGGCTCGGTACAGCATATGGGCTCTCAGGATTGAAAGGCATGCCGTTCGGATATGTGAGTGGAGCAGAGAGAGGAGCAGAACCCGCAGGCATCATTGGATGGTGAGCTACAGCAGATGGCGGTTGCTGTAGTACGCTACGGTGGTAGTCGTCCATGGAGCCAGTGTAGTTCGTCACGCCGACTGGATTCCGATCAGGCATTGCTGAGTGATTTGGACGAGGTGCAGGCAAGGCATTGGACTGATTCTGACCGTCTACCGAGGCACGCATGTTCGAGTAGCGCTCGTTCGGAGCTCCTGGTACGGCATCCTTGTTCAGATTCAGAGGTGGTAGATGGTGCTGTGTTTGCGGCTGTGATTGTTGAGATTGGGCAGTTTGTGGAGGTGGAGGTGGAGCGAGAGTCTGCGGGTTTGGTATCGTCATACTGGCCCTCCTCGGCGGAGGTGGAGGGATGTGGTGGTTGCTCGACCGTCGTCGTTTCAGCGAGTTCTGGGCGATTTCTGTGGCGTTTTCCGGGGGAGCGGATTGCTCGTTGCTCGACTTTGGACTGTCGTTGGCGCCATTGTCCGAAGTAGCTGTCCCAGGATTTTGCGATTGCGCGGCGATGTCTTTGCGTGAAGCCTTGCCTCGTTTCTTGCGCTCTCGGTTGTATTCGCATGTAAGTCCAAATTCTGTATGTCATGACGCGTTAGCCGGCTTCGGGTAAGTATGGTCGAGTCTTGGAAGTCGGCCTACCAACACAATGCGCGCAAGGTGTCTTTCCGTCGCATTTTGTTCGCAACTGGTTACACTGGTCGCACGCTCGGCTGATTCTTCGTCGTACTGGCGCTCCATTGCTGCTGCCCTTGTTGCCTGCTTGGTCTTGTCCACTCTGGTTTTGGGAGAACGCATCGTGCTCTTGAGGAGCCGGGTTGAGGTGAGAGTCATGGAGTTGCTGCAATGCATACTGTGAGCCCTGGGCCAGAGCATCCAATCCGGACATGGGAGCTTGGTTGTGATCGTGGTGTGTTACCATGTTGGCACTTGACATGCGGCCGAAGCCTTGAGCGTAATGCATGCCGCCGGCTGACAGCATTTCGATGTCCTGGAAGAGTCTCGTCCACCGCCGTCAAGTTTCCTTTGGTCGAGTCTCTCTCATACAAGACGAGGGGCAAATTAAAGTAGGAGAGAGCGTTTCGAAGGACTCTCGAACTTGAAATGCGGGATCTTGTGGGCGGCCTCCGCAAATCATTCATGCAGCCGGGGAAGCCGCCAAGAGTCGAACGCGTTCTCCACACCTCGGCCTACCACCGGTCGCTTGCAACTTGCATTGCGGCTGCCCAAACCTTCAATTTCTGACACCCGAACTTCGATCAAACTTCCGAGGTCCCTTGTTGATCTCAATCATCCAACCTTATACCCTGTCTTGTCCTCATGCAAAGCTTCGGACATTCTGTCTCGTCCATGTTTTCCCAGCTCTTCGAGCAGACACGCCATGTTGTTTGTAACGATCAAGTAGGTGGCGTAGCTTAGCTGGATTAGCTCGTCCTGTGATCCACTTAGAAGGCGTGATGTCGGCTTGTATGCGGCTTGAGTCTCCACGTGACGACTTCCTCTCCCGGATGCATTTTCGTACATCGTTCGTGGCATCGTGCATGACTTGATGATCCCTTCTACTTTTTCCACACCTCCATGCCATTCGCATCTGACACGTCCGCAATCTGGCTATTTTTTTCATTAAAGTTGTCAGAATTACGGCGAACTGCATCCACGTGCGTTCCGATCGATGGACCTCTCTCCTAACGTAGCAGTTCTCATCTCGGGCCTATTCCACTTGCTTTGGTCAAACGGATCATTCCAATTCGTTGTGGATCGAGACCAAAGCCCCAGAACCTCCCCACCTCGGACCCCGCCGTCCCCGGCACTTACTCCATCAATTCCACCACCGTGACCACATTCAACTCCCTTGTTCCTGGCACTATTTCGGTGTCAATGAAATTGTTGCTGACATGGCGGTGACCTCATAAATTCGCCTGTCGCGCGCTGAAGGATCGTGCAGCCTTCTCTTCGTATGCATCATCGCGAACTAACATGTCATGACAGCAAGAAATAGAAAGTCTTGCAGCAAACAACATCTGCCGTGACCCTGGTCGAGAACGGTGCGCTTTCTGCAGCGCGGGACATTAGCTTTGCAACAGCTATGGGAATGTACGCTATTTCCTGGATCGATGGATATGTCCATGAGAGCAACTGTCTCACATTCTCTTGTTGGATGCCCTTTGAGATGGTTACAATCATGATGCCGTTCAGTAGACACACAAAAGCCCTAATTCACTTCCACCTATATAAGCTTCCAGCCAGGATGCTTGTTTCTATCCTCGGACAGGTTATTTCCTGTTCGGCGTACTACATATCTCTAACATCGATGACCAGCAGGAATAAACATTATGCCTTTTGATGAGTATTTAGTAAAGTGCATTGTCGAGCTGAGAGCTCTATGTGGATATAAAAAAATGCCTTTCAATTATGCCATGATGCCTTTACAAGTTTCCAACCGAATCTATCTGGCTTTGGTCTTTGCCTTGACTCTAGCGAGCAATGAGTTCAGATCTTCGCCACCGGAGGAAGCCTCAGTCTTTGCCTTCTTCTCCCTCTTCTCAGCTGGCGGTGCATCAGCTCTCTCACCATCCTCATCAGCTCTGCCCTTTCTCTTCCTCCTGCCCTCCTCGAGCAGCGCCTTCATACCCTGTGTACCCTTGAATCTAGGATTCGTAGGATCGATGGCGAATTCGTGACTCTCGAACAACTTGGCGAATCTGGGATCTTGGGTTTCCATGTTGAAGTCATCTTGACCCAACACTTCTGCTGCATCCTTGGCTTTCTTGTTGTTCTTGGATTTCTTCTTGAGGGTCTTTTCAGCTTTGGCGATTTCGTTCATGTTGAAGTGGCGCATGTTGTCTGATTTGTCGTCGACCATGAGGAGTTCGAGTTCGGCGCGCTTGGCTGCTGTTGCTGCGTCCGCTGCTTCACGGGCCTCGCGCTTCTTTTGACGGTCGGCTTTACGAGCTTGCTTTTCGGCCTTTTGTGCTGTCACTGTGTCGTTGAAGAAGGGGTCGTTGAAGGGGTCTTCTTCGTCTGCTGGTGCTGTGACTTCTTCCTTTGCAGACTTCTTCTCTGAAATGGCGTCGTCGTCTGAACCTTCCTCTACAGTCTCGCCGTTTCTTGATGCCTTCATCTTTTCCTTACGGCGGGCCTTGCGTTCCTTTTCTTTGCGAATGTACTTTTCGCGTGTAGTTTCTTCGATGATGGGTTCGTTTTCGAAGACGCCGTTGGCTTTTGAGGCGGCGTTGGAGAGACCAGATGTGAATGTGATTTGCATGTCTCCTACGGGGCCATCGTCCTTTGACTTTGACTTTGAAGGTGCGGAAGAAAGACCTAGTGCAGCGCGCATCTTTTGTCTTTGTTGCTCGGCCTTGGTCAAGCCTGTGTCGTCGTCTTCGCCATCACTGCTGTCGCTACCAATGTATGCTTGTAGGTCGTTCTCGTCAATCTCGGCACGCGAGAAGGCGCGCTTTTGTACCTCCTTTCTCGTGGTGTCATCGGCGTCCCATGTCAAGCGGACTTTACTGTGAGTGAGGGCCTCGGTGACGAATTCGTTGGGCTTGTAGCCTGAGGTGATCTTTGTGCATTCGTCGCGAGGTGTGTCGGTGTCGAAGTCGACCTCGTCAGGGATGAATCGTAGATCGAAGAAGTTTGCTGTGGAGAGGTATTCGCGGCCGTCCATGCCATCGTAGAGCGACTTTGCCGTCTCCTTGGAGTCGCAGGTGATGACGGCGTAGTAGTACTTCAGGCGGTCCAATTGGTATTGACGCAGCTTTGCTGAATCGAACTCCTCGCCAGTGTCTCCCTTCAATAGCTCCTTCTTGATTCTCTCTTCCTCGTCATCGGTATCCTCATCTTCGTCGATCTCTTTTGTGGCGCTGGCAAAGATGTCTCTCGGCGGGCCCTCGAGCTCTTCCTTCTCCATGCGCTCCTTGCCGAACTCGCTGGGGTACACGACGACCTTTGAAACGCGACCGGTTGATGCGAAACTCTGAGCGACAGCCATGAGATCCTCTGCGCGAATGTTGTCCCAGTCGAGGTTGACGACGGCCAGACGAGACGAAACATCGCCTAGAGGCACTTCAGCCGCTCCCTCGTTAGGGAACTCGACTGCATCATCCTCGATCTCTTCCTCTTCTTCGCTCTCGTCTTCTGAACTGCTGTCATCTTCAGACGAAGAGAAACCACCCTCTCTTGCGGGATCTCTGACTCTGTCATCCAACCTCTTCAACTCGGCCTCGATTTCGTCATCGTCGGCAACAACCTCCTCTTCACTCTCACTGTCGCTTCCGACAACATCCCTCGTAGGCTTTTTGCTCTTCTTGGCCTTCACCTTCTGTGCCTTGCCCATCTCTTCCTCTGACTCCTCATCTTCTTCCTCCTCATCTCCATCCTCAATCTTGTAAAAACGTTCCAACTCTTTCTTCGCATTGCCCTTTGAGACCTTACGACCGTACTTGTCAACGGTGGCTTTCTTGGAAAAGTCGTCGTCCTTGAACATGCGACTGAAACGCTTGTCGACTCCAACTTTGCTGTGTCGTGCTGAGGGGAGGCGGAAGCGAGGATCTGTGGTCATGGATGCGAAGCGAGGATCACCTATTACACATATCAGTTTAGTTCTCCTCTAGTGCTCTGCGTCAAACTCACTCGCTGCAGCAGAAGAGGAAGTGCCTTCATTGCGGCGACTGCCCTTTGCTTTGCCTTGAGCTGGCATATTGGCGATCTGTGTATGCAAAATCCGATCTAATGTGTAGAAGCAGCAACTTGCGATCAAGTCAAACGCAAAGAAATTATTCGCAAAGAAATTCTCTCAATGTCGAGCGAGTCGCAAAGATCGATAAAGGGTGCTTGTAACTTTTCTAGAACTTCGAGAAAAAGCTTCGGAGTTAAGGTCTTTGCCCGGAGCTTGGCGAAAGAGATGGCCAATCACCAACGCACGCCCTCTGTGATGTGACTGCTGGTTTGAAAAAAAAAACACTCTGTAGTTTTAAAATCATACAAAAGGTGGATTGAGGTTGGTCCGAGAGAAAGCGAAAAGTTCACATCCCCACTACCGATTTGAACTATCTGAATTCCCTCTATCAGTCAGATTATCTACATGTCCGCCTGTAAACGGCACGAAATGGGTCTTCTCGGCATGCATTTTAAAAAGTAATAAGGATCTCAAATAGGGTGGTGGAAGGAGAAGGAAGAAGCGGGATCAAAAGTCAAAGAAAAGGGGGTATCATTAAGAATGCAATATAGGTATCAAGCAGAAAATAAAAGTGATGCTCTTCGTCTCATCATGTAGTCAACTGCGTCTTCTTCTTTGTTGCTCTCATCCCCTGAATAGTTCCATCTCTACCGAGTCCTCTGCCGCATTCCAGAACGATCATGCGAACAAAGTCCTTGAGGAGCCAGTAACTGCTGTGCGCCCCGAGCATAGTCAGATATTGGATTTCTAAGGGTCCCCCACCGTATTTGAGGAAGTAGTCGATTTGGCCGTTATCGTTGAGTAGTAACATGCGCTGTTCTGCAATCTCCTCACGTGAGAAGTTATGAGTTTCTAGTTCCACATTAGATGGCAGTCTGGGTAACTGGTCGGGGCGATTGCCTGATGCGCCTTCGGGCGAGGAATAGAACCATGATCCGGAGGATGAGAACCAGCCTGGACTGGCTGTGGGTACCCACGCTGACTTGAGCGAGGAGGCATATGGAGCGTCGACCGTGGCATTCAAACGATACGACACTGGATCATAAGGATTGATGATGTTGTAGATGTTGTCGACCGCAAGACAGCCGTACGTTCCATGACTTCCACAAATCGGCTTTCGGATGGAAGACAAATTTGCACCGGGCTTCTGCTTGCCCAGTCGGGGCATCAAGGATGCTCGCTTCAAAAGCAGGAAGAAGCCTGCAGGCGATCCACACAGGAACAAGCCAGAAGTGTTGAAGAGGAAATGCTCCAGAGGCGGCGAAGAGTTCAGATCGACGGTGGTAGGATCGGAAAGCTCCGCAGGGATACTGGTTGGTTGTTTAGACAAGATATCCACCGCCATCACGCTGCCCAATGAATGCGCAATGATGTGTACTCGTCCATGCTGAGCGAAGCCAGGATTGTTCTGACACCAAAGCTTGTAGATACGGTTGGCCTCACCAATGACGGCGGCAATCATCTTGGGTTGATGGTGTGATAAATAGTAAGGAACATCCAGCATGACGTCCGAGACGATGTTTCGCACGGATGGAAGAGTTTCGGGAGTAATGTCCTTGAGACCAAAGTCATTCAATGCCGGATCATCAGGGATGTCTCGTTCGCCATCTTCGAAAGAGAGACTTTGACGCCAATTGACCGGCAGAACCATGATACCACCCATGTTCGTTCTTAGCCGTGACTTCACACCATCTGTCCCCAATTCGACGCTCACTTCTCGTCGAAAAGCGTTGATAGCATGCGTAAAATGAAAACTCTCCATACGTTCCGAAAGCTTTTGGCCAATGCCATGAATGACGAGAATTAACTCTGTGACTTTGGGTCGCTCAGCATGGGCAAGGGCGGGATCAGACTTCTGTCGCCGATTCGGAGGCGCTCCTGATTGAGAGGATGATACACCTTCTTCAGCCTTCGTCGCGGTAGAGCTTTTCTTGGTTGGGTACAATCGATCGTATGCGGCTTGATCGAAGCCACGAACAACGGCTATACCCAGCTTGCGGCCTTTGCGGATGTAGTTCGCCAGGGGACGACGACCGTAGTAGGCTGATGGTTGGAGATTGGGCTTCAAAATGTATGCATCGTTCGCATTCGCGTATACGACACCGGCAGTGGGATACCACCTGGGCAAGCCGCCACCTGATGAATAAGTGGAGGTACCAGAGGCCTTGTTGTCGACACCATCGACACCTGAAGCAATATCAATGATATCACAAGCGATCTCAACAGCATGTTCGCGATCCTTCTCGGCTGTGGCTGGCTCGTCGTCGAGGTTCATAGAGGTGACGCTACCCATTTCTGTTCTGGCAGTGGATGGTCTGCTTTCGAGCCTCTTGAACAGATCAGGCCAAAGTTTGTGCAAGATTTTCGCTTCTCCAGCGGCACCGACTTCGATGGCACTATTCAGCTCGTCGCTCCAAGTCTCGGTCCAAGGCTGTAGCTCGGTATAGCCTGCTTCCAGCATGTTGGCGACAGATGGCTCGACCGGAAGCATGGTATCTTTGTAAAACCAAGTGGCACGCACAACTGGAGAAACGTCGTTGACTGGACGCCAGTAAATGGGCTCCAGGTTGAGATCCGGCATGGCTACATGGTGCAGGCGAGAGACTCCGACGGCTATCTTTGCAGAAGGTGTTTCTGGACTGGCTTGCGGCTTCTTGGGCTGCTTGGCCTTAGCTGAAGGGTCATCCCACTGGTAGCTGTCGAGCAGTTGAGGTTGAGGTCTGGAAGGAATTCGGTCTGCTCGTCGCATAGAAGGGGCGCGAATGAAAGGAGTCCCGGTTGTGTCGTGGTTCTCAGCGTCCGGTGGGACAGCCGGTGCCTCATGGATAACAGGCGGTCTATTGCTCCTTGTCGAGGCATCGCTGGCGGATGCCGGACGGCGAGCAGATGGAGAGGTACTCAGTACACTAAGCTCTGCCTTCTTCCCCTTCTCTTGCCTGCCGGTTGGCTCAGGATCCGCATGTGGCTTTGGCTTCTCGCCCCGCTCTTCGTTGTACCTGAGGAGCTTTCGCCGGAGGTCGTGCCATGCCTTGTCGAGAGCAGTATTATCGAATTCGGAAAAGGGCCGCGGTGGCAGTTTCGCATACATCGTCTGGGCTGTCTGAGCTGAAGGCGGTAGCGGTGATAGAGGATCGTCTATGGCTAGCGGTGAGGTGTAGAAGAAGCGGGCTTTTACTGGTGGCGGTGCCTCGCTATGATGCAGTATCTGGCGGATATACTGGTTCGTCGAGGATGTCATCTTGTCGCCTTGCAAAATCGTCCATGGCAAGTCTTTTCGTTCGTCTTTTGTTCATCTGCCCGCCTGAGCATGACCCACGGGTCCCACGCATCGCGCTTGAAACAAAACGTCATTGCCCCAAGCTCGGCATGTGAAAGCCTCCGCAAACATCACCACCATCGATGCCTTCCTCATCAGTCAAGTACACCTGGATGCTATCTCAAGTTTGAATATTGTTTTCTGATTTTCTGCAGAGTGTTCTGATGCTTGTGTTCCTTGTGTGTATGCATATCTCCTTCCTTGGTATCGTAGAATAGAACTTTTCAGCACTTGAAAAGTCCTTTGATGCAACCCCGATGCGACCACCCAAACTCCTTGATATGCTTGCTTCCCTCCTCATGACTCTAAAACAATGGGTATCGTGTGCAATGATAAAAAGAAGACCATGCTGCTTTGACTCCTATCTCCAAGCTCCGAATGCCGCCTTGCCCTCTCTTCCTTCTTGTTTTGATGTTGTTTGTTTCGTCTTCTGTCTTCGGTCAGCTTCTTGTCGCTATTTGTATTGAAGACCAGGTAGAGACATACCTTTGTGTGTAGTTTGTTTGGACCACAATTTTGTGCGCAAGGACATGCTGCCGCCCTTTGAATGTGTCCCTATTGTATGTATGCCCTTGAGTGTATGAGTGTGGGGGTAGGGCAGTGACATGTGTGGGAAGAGCAGCCCGCAGCCCTCACGGCTTAGTGTGTTTGCCAAGGTATGGTGAGGGCCACAGGCTACAAGGGCAGCAGCATGTCTGTCGTTTTCTGGGTCAATGGTTCAAGGCTCAGAGGTTGGGAGGATTTGAGTTTGATCTCCATCGAGCCTTCATTCATCGCAACTGGATGATGCCGATTCTCTGGGGACGCGCTTAGGGTAGGGTGCTTTTGAGCTTCTTGGATGCTGCGTGTTGCGGATTGATGAGGCAGGCCAAGATATCGTTGAATGTTTTCACGACCATTGAGTTCAAGTACGCATCTTGGAAAACGCTGCGTCTTGGTGGCGAAGGTCCGAAGTCCTCTGCGGCTTGGTCAGCAAGCAAATCAAATTCAAGAATAAGGAAGCAAATACCTCAAAGCTCAAAGTGTTTGTTGAACCCTCCGAGGTTGAACATCGAAACCATGGCGCGTCTAGCGTAAGGTATGTGCTCAGGCCCAAACTCCTTGGTCGGGTTGCTGAGCTCAAGAGCAGAGGCGAAGCCGTTCAGGCAGGTGAAAACGCCACAGTCTGAACCATTGTTCTGGATGGCGCTGCGGCGGTCGACGTCGGTCCAGTCCCCCTCAACGTACTTGTCTCCAAGCTCCATCTGCAACCACTGTCGACCCAGCCTTATATAGTGGGCGCTCTTGCGATTCTCCTCTGAGCGACCAACGTCCAGACTGTCGAGGTATTCGATGGTGTGGTTGTCTGGGCAGATGACAAGCAATGACCAGTGATTGCCAGGATTGACTGGAAAGAAGATGCGTTTGCATTGCAAAAGCTTGTCGCCCATGATGCCTTTGCGGCGCGACCATCTCTTGATCGCATCAATGCCGTTTCTGGTGACTGAGGAATACCAGCCGCTTATATACGAGGCGAATGGCGGGACTTTGCCCTTGGTGTGGCCGGCCTTGTCGTTCATAGCATTACACAAAGCAGTGAAGAAGCCATTGATGATTTCATCATTGAGCCATCCTTCAGGCTCGCCTGTGCGGTAGTTTGCGGAATGTAAAAGTGTGGCAAAGTCTTTGCGGGTCAAGTCATTTCCCTCAGGAGACTTGACAATAGCTCTGCCAGGGTTGGAGATGTTGAGAATTTCGCTGACTTTCTGGTCTAAGTCTTGGGGCAATTTCTTGAGGAAGAGAGCGAGCTTCTCTCTGAGAGGGGCTTCGAGATCTTCGTCCTCACCAAGTTGGATCTGGCTAACTCGTTCAGCGAAAGCAGCGGCTTCTTCTTCTGAGGCGGCGATGCTCCTGTTCCAATCAATGAGGTGGAGATAGACCCAGGGAGTCGAGATGCGACCGGGTTTGTTTTGAGCATATGATCTTGCTCGGATTCTGCGGCTTGACCAGTAATGTTGCTCGGCTTCGTTGGATGCTTCTGCTTCGTTGGCTGCGCAGGTGCGTGCTTCCTGCTCCCAATGTTCAGACGGGAAGGTAGAGAAGGCCGGCTGGGGAGATTCATGATACTCCCATGCAACTTGAAGACGTTCTCTCTCGGCTTGAAGCTGATCGGTAGAACTGGCAACAAGATGAACAGTATATTCGTCACCGTCTTCATCGGAATCAGTCTCAAATGCGGGTCCGGCATCGGGTGCGGGTCCGGCATCAGGTGCCTCATCGATTGATCTTTGATGTTTTTGGAAATGAAGGCGCGCTTGTCTGATCTGTTTTGCTTTTTCGATAACTGTATCGCGTTCCTTGCGAATTCTGTCGCGACCATTGACCTGGGTAGTTTTGGGTAGATCGGAGTTGTCTTCGCCGTCAATCTCCATGGGATCACCGAGTCCTTCCAAGCAGAGGCGCAGAATTTCGAGATCTGCCTCCTTGGGCTCCCGATCCGCGTAGACAGCCATCATATGCAGAATCTCTTCCTCAGTGTGGGCGAAAGTTGTTTGTGTTGGAGCTGAATTTATATGTTGCAAGGGAGACGCGTGGGAGGGGCTGAATGCGGCGTCACTGCTGAATGCGGCGTTGTTGATGGTCGGTGCGCAAACGTCGGCTTCGCTTTCGAGCCTCTCTTCGCTCTTCACCTCCTCTTGCTTCACTTTGAAGTCGCGCACGTTTCTGCAGTCGTCGGCGTACTTTGCAAGTTCAGACAAGAGTTGATCCGAAGCCTCGTTCTCGTCGGCATATCTCTGGAGCTCGGACAAGAGCTGCTGCGATGGCTCGTCCATGATCGTCGGCTGAAAGGCTGCAGGAGTCGTTGTAGCTGAACGTGCTGCTGCGGGTGAGAGCTCCTTGGCCGGCGAAGATGGCGGTGCCATGCCGTGAACTTCACGAACTTCTGACGAGGTACTGGTATTTCCAGGCTCCCTCGCCAGTTGCTGCTGTGCCTCGGAATGGTGTTGAACCATTGCGGTGGCTTGAGTGAACCCACCAAACGTGCTTCGGAGCAGTCTGGGGCTGGGGCTGTCCCCATCACTCTCGCTGCCGCTGCTGTCGGCACGAGCAAGCTTGTAACGAGTCACAGGACTCGGAGAGCGACTGATAGAGGCCAGTCGGGGGTCCAGGGATGACCAGACAACAGGCCTGGTGGTTGAGGTAGCTTCGTACGCGCCATTGCCAGCAACGACAGCGTACTCACCACTCACCACAGTCTCGAATGCCCGATGGTGACTCGAGCCGACCTGGTACTCCATGTCCTGGTCGGTCTCAATTGATGCCACCACAGGCATTTCCGACTCCTGACCCTCCTGGAAGGAACTGGCGCGAGGCAGGGTCAGGGCAGGCACCCGGAACAATGCCACTTGCTCCAGGTTGTTGTTGGCATGCTGGCCGACGGCGACCTCTTCGTCACTCTCGTAGTCAAGGAGCTCGTCCTCCATCTCCACCTCGGACTCCACAGGGCCGGCACTCTGACTGGCGCCAGAGGCCGCGTCGAACAAACCGGGTAGACGGCTCTGCGAGGGAGAGCGCGATCTACTTGCTGCAGCCCCTCTTCTCTTGCGAGAAGAGCTTAGCCAACTGTTCCTGCGAAGGACAGCTGCATGGTCGCCAGAGTCAGTGACCGAAGTCATCTGCCTCTTGGGCGAAGGGGACTGAGCGTCGGAATCATCCGACGGGTCGCGAGACCGCTTGCTGCTGGTCGGCGAGGGTGGTGAGAGGGGGGGAATCGATCCCAAGCTGGTGCTGGCGGTAAAACCAGGCCCGGACGAACGGGGCTTCTTGACGGGTCGTTCAAACTCCCACGTCTCGCCGCTCTCGGTCACGAAGGACTCGAGCTTGCGCTTTCTCTCGTTGTTGCTGTTGTTGCTGTTGCCGCGAGGCGAGACAGCGCGCGAAGGGGAGGCGGAAGAGTGCTCCATTGTGCGACGCTTTCGCTTCCTTAAGGCTACGGCGTGCTTTTGGAGACACTGAAAGGTAGGCGCAGGGCAGGTAAAGCAGTTGGTGGTGCTTTGTTGGTTGTCGTCGGAAAAAGGAATTTTTGACTGGTTGCGGTGCGCTGGGTAAGAAGAAGGGTTGGTGAAAGTCGAGAATTGTTTTGATACTGACGAAACGCGAGTGTCGATTGGTCGACGCATTTAACGCGATTCACTTGTTTGTCTCCTTCACTTCGAGTTTATCTCATTCGCTCAAGTCTGTCATTGAAGTAATGCATAATTTTCAACTTTCTGCATTCATGGGTATGATGTCCTTTCCATGACCTCCTTGACCACGGCGAATTGAACCTATCTAAAGCAAGTGTTTGTCTCCTCTGGCCAGCTACAAGACTGAGTCTCACGGTCCAGATGCAGAAGGCTGGTCAAACAAAGCAACACATGCATGGAGAGGCATTGTTTGCTCTGTCTGCTCGTCTCGTACGTACACAAGACCTTCTGCTCTCCCTGGACAATTGACACATCTGACTTCCCATCTTGCCTTTTGACAGACACATCTTGGACGATGTCAGAGCTTGGGAATGGCTGTAGTGTCGGTCGATGAGTAGTGAAAGGAAGTGAGTGAGTGATTGATGAAGTCATTGAAAAAGGCCGAGGAGTGAAGAATAGCTCGGTGTGACCACGCAAAGTTGAAAATGGATATTGTAGAAGGGAGCTCGGTCTTACAATGCATAATGATCTTGATGGTATTACTGTTTCACCTGAACATGAGATTGAAGAGAAGGAAAGACGACGCCAAAAGACGTGTGGGATTTGGGCATGAGGTTGGCAGACAGAATGCGGAGAGGGCGGTGGAGCGACGGACGACTTTCGAATCACCAACACTCCTGTTTGACAAGTCAAGCTCATCTCAGACAGCAACTTCCTTCTCATTCCCTGCAATTCCTAGTCAAACCTCAGTCTTCCACTCCTACTAGCTTCATTGTTATCGTTTTGGGCGGATCCTTGCTCAGTCAGCGCAAGTCGAAGCAGCTGACGCTCCGACCGAACCCTTCGCCGGGCGACGACAAGAACACATCGCGCCAACACCTTCACCCACCTCTCACTATCCACAACTTCGACGCTAACAGAGTCAATTTACACGACAACATCCAGAAGAGCTTCCACCACATTTTGTCCGCCCACGAGGCTACTTATTCTTGAACCTATCCATCGCCTCAAACAGCGACTGCCCCTCACTTCGCCAACAACATGGCCATGGAGGGTGCGCGCTACACGATAGAGCAATTGAAAGCTCTTCGTGAATCGCCCCTGGTGCGCAAACCAGATGAACTGCCCTCGATCGACGAGTGGATAGAGTAAGCCTTTCCTCTGACCGCCTCCCCAAAGAGAATCCCTGCTCAACCAAGAAAAGAGGCAGTCAACAACAGTCGCAACAAGAGAATGGCGGTCGCAAGCCCCGCAACCAAGCCCAGAGACAAGAAGAGCCTGCGCCCATGGGCAACTTCTCATCACAGAGACCATCACTACTACAGACCAGACACACCTCGCGCTCTGCCCAGCAGCCTGGTACGTCGCTCACCACACCCACCCCTGCCAAAAGCTTACAGTCTACAGACGAAATCGTGCTTGGCCCGCCAAAGACGTCATTCGCATCCTCCCGAAACATCAACAAGCTCGAAGAGCGCGAGCAAGAACAAGAGTCACCCGCAGCCGCACAGCGCTCGCGCTTTTTCCGCGACAGGGAAACCACAAAGACCGGCAACAACAGAGACTGGAGATCATCCAAACAGCAACAGGAAGACGACGATGCCTTTGCTGCGGAACCCAGATTTACACCCCGTCAGCCACGTGAGGGCAACGGCAACGGCTTCGGTCAGCGATTCGATCAACGCTGGTCTCGCGACAACAACGACCGTGATCGCGAGCGCGAACGCGAGCGTGAGCGTGAAAGACCCAGTCAGCGTGGTGGTTGGCGCGACAAGGCACGCAACGAGCGCCAGGGCCAAGGCCAGGACGCTTCCGAGAAGGAGCCTGAATGGATGGATGAGCCATTGGAGAAGGAGAACAAGAACCAGATGCACACACAAGAGGACTTTGAGCAATGGAAGGAACGTATGAAGGCTTCCAACGCAGCACCCGCCGAAACCAAGCAGGACACATTTGATGAGGTTGCCACTCCAGTCAAGTCAACGCCGGCACACTCAAAACCACAGACTCCTCTGGTGACAGACGCACCCGGCTTTGACAAGAGCATCTTTGGATCTTGGGGAGAGAGCAAGAGACTTGAGAGCCCTGTCGATACGCGCACAACCAAGACACCCGCCGCAGGAAAGGGCAAGTCCTCCCGCTTCGCATCCATGTTTGCTCCCAAGGAGGAGGCTCGTCCTGTTGTCGAAGAAGCTGCCAGCCCTGCGCCGCTTGAGTCGAATGAAGACAAGGCCGGCTTCTTGAGAATTATGGCCGGCCTTCGCAGAGGACCATCGCACTCTGGCGTCGACTCACCCATCAGAGAGCAGGATGGAAGAGGCCCTCCTGCTGGACCGCCGCCTGGCTTTGGCGTTCAAGCACCACAAGACGCTTTGGCTGCAATGTTCGACAAGGCGCCTGCATCTACTCAGTCTCCGCGACCTCAACCTGGCTTCGCTACTTCTGACTCGTACTTGCCACCTCCATCTCAATTCAGCCGACCTACGAGCAATGTCGCTTCGCCGGATCCCTCTTCAATGAGGTCGGGGAACCCTGCTTCGCACTTGCCTCATCAGATGCAGAACATCTTTCTCGATCAAGCTCCTCGTAACGGTTCCACCCCGGAAATTTTCAACCAGCAGCATTCGCGCAAGCAGAACTCGTTGAACAAGGACTCGGAGTTCTTGCTCAACTTGATTCAAACCAAGAACGCTAACAGAGCTGCTCCTCCACCTCGCAATCAACACGAGCCAGAGCCTTTCCAGCTTTTCCTCGACCAACCTCCCAAGACTCACACCCAGACCATTGCCCCCAAGCCGCAGGCTCCTCGTCCCACCGAATCAATCGAGGAGCAGCTGTTCCGTGGTAACCAGCATCTCTCCAACATCGATCACGGTCGTCCTCGTGCTCCTCCTGGCTTCATTGAAGACCCTTCGATTGTCCTGCAACAAGCTCAACGTAGCTATCCTAACGGCCCTCCCCAGCCACGCCGCCAGAGTGCTGCCCAACAGATGCCCAATACTGGACCTGGAGCTCCTCAAGACTTCCCTCCCAATTTCCCATACATGTCTGGTGGTCCTCCACCTCCTGGTCCTGGCGACCGCATGCCTCCACCTGGTTTCAACCCAAACCTACGTCACCCACCTGGCTTCGCCAACATACCCAACATTTTCCAGCAGCCTGGTTCGCAACCTCCTCCGCAACAAGGTGGTATGCAAGGCCCACCCCCTGGCTTCCCACCTGGTATGGCTCTGCCGCCTCCAGGTTTCGGAGGTCATGGCCCGCCTCCGCCTGGCTTCTTCAACAACCCTAACCATATCCCCGGCGTACCACCTGGTTTTGCTCCTCCAGGCATGATGATGATGCCCGGTAGTGGCGTCAGAAGCCCTGAAGGTACGCCTGGTATGAGAAGTCCTCAAGAAGGACCCGGCATGGGTATGCCTATGCTTCAGGGCATGGGTGCTGCCTATGGTGGCAGACGTTAGAAGTCGTATATGCTACCCAGATATGGTGGAAAGCCATACATTCACTACGAATCATGGCCGACCGTGAGTGGATAAACAGGCATAAGGATGAATACAGGCGCCAATGATTAGGAAAAGATGAGAAAACTCAAGGGATGATCTTTTTTTTCCGGTTCGATGTTCTGAGATAAAACTATGAATTCAGATCGAAGGGCACTCCTATGCCTTATTTGCTATCCCGATATCTTCTGTTCCTTTTGTGTTTTTCTATGCTGACATACCATGTCTTCCCAGCACATAAACCAAAACAGTCCATCTCAGTCTCCTCCATTCCACCCTGATGTTCTATTTTGCGGCGATGTATCGCGCTGTTCATCGATGCCGGCAAAGAAATCGTTTGCCATGGAATCGACGTCCCAAACCACATCATCACCTTCACCACCTCAAAGCCGCCCGCCTGTACGGTAGAGTAGGTACATCATAAAATTTCCCGATTTCAAAACTTCTATTCCCTGCTTCTTCCCATCCTCATCACATAATCAAACTCTGGAAATTTGAGGATTCAAATGAGCGCTTTATTAAACCCCAAGGCCACCGATCCCAACATCCCAAAAAAGACCACCACAACTTTTTCACCATTCTTGATCTACATACGGAATACGCTTATCGTGCTTTATAGCCTCTGTGCAAGTACCCCGGAATAAAGGTTGTGTTATTGCCCGAGTCGAAAGAGCGGTGGATGTGAATGACAGTGTTGTATTTTTTGACTATGCTCAATTTGTTGATTGGGATTATTTGGCTCCTAAATGTGATGATTGACGTGTTGGGAGGATGGGATGGAGATTTATGAGTGGTGATATGGCGGAAGAGATTTGCTTGGCTTGTGCAGGCTTAGTGGATAAGAAAGAAGATCAGAAAGCACGATAGATGGTGTGGCTGTCGCGCGTTTCATTTTCTAAGTCGAGCAGTTAGTGTCGATGGCTAGGTCGTATAACAGCTTAAAATATTATGGACGTTCACTCTATTAGGTATCTCCGACTTCCGGTCGAACGATTTTCCGCTCTCCTTACGAAGGTAGACACTACAGGTGAGATGATGTTTGCCAGGTATACTAAGCGAGTTTCCAGTGTTGTTGGAACCATTGAAATGTGCTTTCATCAACCATCAATGAGCTGTCAACGCCGAATGGCCCCTAGTCTAATTTCCAAAGCTCAAAGTTGTAAACCCGACTTCAGTCATACACCATCTACACACATATATATGATGAGATCTATATCCATGCTATACAATGTTGATCTGCTAAGAGGCTTAGGCTATTGTGCGTTATTTCTGGAACCCAAACCTGAGAGATCCATATTACTGGGATTATAGAATTTCGGATCTGTCAGAACGGTCGGCCGTCCACCAGAGTTATATCTCCGTGATCAAGTTGGAGATATTGCATGCTGTAAGGATTCAATTCGAAGTTGAAGAGTCTTTCCCATCCACGCTATGCAATTTTGACCTCTGCGCGTCGCCTCATCTTTGCTGTGCGTCTACTTCTTCAAGCAGTAGGCTGTGTATCGGTTGCTCCAACCATCAATCGAAAGCCAACGTAAGGCCGAAGACTCTTCTCGGAAGACGTGTTGACTCGCATCTCAAACTTTTCGTTGAACAAAATGCCTTCCCCGGCTTTCCCAGTGCTGCTAAGCTTGAGCGATCGTTCAGAACCCTTCATCAACGAGGTCCAGACTTCAGAGGTTCAAACTCCAGATGTCCAGACTTCACCACGTTACGTGAGCTGGATGTGCTGCATATTATACGGCTTTGGGCTGTACCCAAAATCCTTCACCGTTCCGTCGTATGAGATCCTGACGAGTGTGCCACTATGTTGCAAGTCCGTCAGAGACCGATCCGGTGGGGTTGGTCGCTTTCTCCAAGCAGTAAAATCTGCCTCAGATGTTCCAATCATCAGATCAAACCCGAGGAATCGATGGGCAGATAGTTCGACTTTCAGTGCATATATGTCGTTATCTGCGCCTCGAAGTTTGACAACATGCAGGACATTAGGGTAGCATTGTCCAACAAGAGTATCCTGGGACGAAGAACCAATCTTGGAACCATCGATTGCGCCACATGTCAACACGACACCGAGCCAACGTACACGTGGATTCGTCACAGATATACGAAACCTAAGTGTGTCAACACAAGTAACACAACGCGAAGCCAACGTACGTGTGCATTCGCCATACAGCAGCAATGAAGCCAACGATACCCAGCCCCGATTCAGAGCAAGGTGAAACGGCCTCCAAGTTTGACTGTTATGGTTTGAGTCAACATGGCGACCGGCGCCGTTCATAATGAGCGCAGTGGCAAGGTCAGGCGTTGAGGCTTCTAGCGCGAAGAAGATTGCCGCGCAGATAGTCTCCGGCTCATCTCTATCCAGCTCCGGGCTGCTGATGGCTTTTGAGCTGATTGGGGTGTCCAAAGGTACGCCCGCTTTGACAACACCGGGCACAAGACTGGCAAGACCATGCTTGACAATCCACGTCAGGAGCTTTGAGTGTGAATACCCACGAACTGATGTTACTCTCAGCAGAACATGATTCGCGAACTCCAGATTTCTTTCGCCTATGAGAAGGGCGTCCAAGACTTCATCGATGACATGTTGCTGCCAGACCTGACGACCCCATATCGATTCGATCACTTTGATGGTTTCGAATGATTGTGCCTTGACAGCCAAGCTAAGCACGCTGTGACCATCGTGTCCGCGTAGCAGTACTGAACCTGAATCTTCTTGCAGAAGGCATTTGACTATCTCCGAGTGGCCTTGCTCAGCGGCATAATGCAAAGCAGTCCTGCCAGTAGAAGGTGCCTTGGCAGCAATATCACAATGTCTAGCGACTCTGGTGAACATATCGAGGGAGCCGCGCTTGGCAGCTAGATGTAAAGGAAGCAACCCTTCGTGGTAAGCTAGAGGCAGTGTGAAGTCAGGACGAGATGCGCCGTCCAGCATTGTCGACCGCTCCATGGCGATATCATACAACGGCACATGAGTGTTGTCGATCGCCCACCAAACGATGTCGGCGTTTCCAGCGATCCGGCCCTGGTTCCAGGGACACATCTGCGAATCATCGCTATTACACATGAACGCCAGCTTCCAAAATTTGTTCATAAGCATCGAGTCGCCCGACACAGACCGGGATAGAGTCAGCCAATTGAACCTTGCATATTGTTTGAAGGCAGTCACTGATTTAGAGTCGTTTGGCCGCTCCACCAGCCTTTGGATCAGCACGGGCTTATCATTCATCTTAGGAAACGATGCTGGCTTCCTCCAGATAAGTGATGGTCTCTGCACGTACGCTAACGCTTTGCTTGGCCGTGCCCAACGACTCATTTGTGAGAAAGAGGGCATTTGCAAGGTCGTAAGCTCAAGCTCATGGTGAGTACGATTTTCCTCTCTTAGGGCCAATTCCATATGCCAGCAAAGATGCGTGATGCACATCGCGCCAAGTTTCAGCTCAGCATCATCCCAGACATGAAACTTCAGTTTCTCGAGTATTTCAGCACGAGAACTGTTCAGGAAACGTCTCACCGAATGATGAGCTGGCACTAGGAATCTCTCGACCTCGTCAAAGATTACGAGGTTCGCACCACATTCGATAATGAACCTGGAAGGTGGAATCTGCTTAGACTGTAGTTCTCCTGATAGGGGATCCGTTGCCAGTGCTTCTCCCAGAGCGTCGACAGTGAGCGGGTTCTTGGCTTCGTACACGTAGCGGAGCACGCGTAGAGCGTACGGTTCTTGTTTTCGCCGAAGCCGCTCTAGACACTTTTCGTATGTCTCATCGAGATCCTTGGGTAGTCCCCTGAGCGCCACGACAATCTCGGCGTCAGTTCTACACGTATCCCAGAGCACATCGATCTGGAGACGAGTCCAAAGCAACCTGAACTTGATGGTGAGCAAGGTATGTTGGAAAGTGCTTCTGGGCCACGGGGTTACGTACATTCCGTTAGCTTTACTGATCAGGGTCTCGATAATTTGTGTCACAGTATTTGGATTGTTCGATATCGGCCCGTCGTACATGCTGCGTTTTTCAACATGGTGCTTGACATACACTGCGATGTCATCCTTGTTCCTTGCGGCTGTGACCTCAAGGCGTATCGAACCCGGAAGTCGACTTTTGATGTCAAGTTCGTCACGTCCACAGATAACGACCTTCGCCGAGGTCTTCTCGAGTATGCTTGCGAAGCACACGAGAGCATCTAAATATTCGTCTCTGGCGCACAAGTCGAGTCCGTCTACGACAAGGACTGTTCCTTCGACCTCCGAAATCAGTGGTAGCAAAAGCTCTCGGAGAATTTCGCTGCAGCTTGGATTGGTAACGCGAGAGCCGAACATACGTCTGAGAGCCAGGATGACGGCTCTTGGAGGCTTTTGTTGACGTGTATACAGGTGTCGAAGGAACTGTTTGACGTAGCTTCGAAACAGGTCCGCTGCTTTCAACGAGTCACGCTTCTCAGAATCAAAATAGACGTGTGCAACGAAATCTCGCGATGATTGCTTGTCGTGGTGATCTAGTAAGATTTGGATAATCGTGTTTCTGCGGTGTTTAGAGATTGCACCTTGGGCCGGGTTAAGATGCACTTACGCCAGAAAGGTCTTTCCACATCCGACTATATAAGTATCAGTATGTAAGTTGGTGCACTTGGAGCATGACTCACTAATGCCGGAAACCCAGAGGCAGTTTTGATTGGGTTGCTGTTGTGTTTGGGGACGAGCAATTGATGACATGAAACTTTCAAAATCCTTGATGATCCATTGGGTGGTGTTGAACACCTTCAACAGTTTTATCTTATGGTGTACCCGTTCTGGTTGATACTTAGAGATATGTGCCAGGAGACCCCGAGAGTCATCCTCTGACAGGTCAGCAGGAGTGATTTCCATTGTGCACACCGAACACACCTGAGTTGGCCAATTGCCAGCCAGAATCTTGACTTATCAATTCAAAATCATGATCCTCGTCTCGAGCGATTTTGTTCATGCTCTCTAGCAATAAAGTAGGCTTCTGCACAGAAGACTTGGCTATACATGTAGTCATGAGTGATGCATCAATTTTGCTACATGAAGTCTGACATACATTGACGTTGTCGCAATCGCTCGACACAAGTTCGAAGGACACTTTGTACGGCCTCAGACTGCAGGTGGTCAGCTGTCATGGACTTGATAGTGGCAATCTGCTCGGTCTCCGCCAATCCTATGTCGCCCAACCCTCGAGGAACATTGAATCGAAAGCACAGCTTCTTCTCAAACAGTCTAGATTGAGCTCGATGAAACTTGTCGGCACTAGCTTCGGTCTCGGTAGCGATACTCAACAGCGTTTTCCCGATGCCCAAGATTGTGTCTTCGAAAGGTTTATAGCCAGGCTGGCCTGTCCCAAGGGAGATCAGACATCCAACATTTTCTGACAGCGACTCCTCAGAGGTCAAGAGATCGGCGGCTTCATCCCAAACATGCTGGACAGGGTTATTCGCACCAGTACCTCCATCCAGAAACCGCTGCTGGGGATCACCAATGCTGATTGAGTCGAAAAAGCTTGAAGCAGCGGAGGTGGCGCGAGCAGCTTCCCAGATGCGGACCGTCCTGTACAGATCAGGATCGCCTCTTGATGTGTACCAGCTTCTGAGTAGAGATGTCTGCGACGTTTCACCACTCGTGCAGCATACAAAGCTATGCGAGGTTAGGAAAACGATCTATGCGAAATGGCCGTTGTGCTTACACTTTAGTTCCTTGCGGGTCTTTGAGCAGCGTATTTTCGTCAAGGTTGCGGTCTCGAATAATTTGTTTGATAGCCTGTTCCAAGACTTTGCTATCGTAACGTTCCTTGAGGTTGCCCTTGATGTTGACAGGAATGCGATGCTTCTTGTGGAATACTGTGGCAGACAGTTCTGTGTAAGCTTTGATACACTCGTCGACACTCATATCAAGACGACCCAGCATGATTGCGATGAGCCTAGGGAGATTAGAAAGGTGAGGAAGAAGCTTGTGAATATGTTTACCCGCCAGTACTTGTCCCGCCAATAACATCGAAATAGTCGCAAGGCTTGGGTGGGTTGTCCGGATCAATTGCGTTCATAATGCGTTGAAGGATATATAACGAGGAGAGCCCACGAACTCCTCCGCCGTCAAGGCTGAGAAGATTGAGATCTCTGCCAGGCATTTTTTGAGCTCAGAAATTTGGCGGCTAGCCAGGACCGATAAGACGAGAGCTCAACAGAGGCCTGGGAAATGCATGATTTATCATCGGCAGGCACGCGGGGGCCCGCAAAGCAGCGTGCCGCTGCACACCGCAAGCTGGAGCTGAGTCGCAACTGCCTATTGGCATGGCTTGCAGGGGTTGTCGACGCGCTTGATCGCGTGAGACGCCATGCATGAGGAAACGGGAAAAGTAGACTGATTCACCAGCGGCGCATCTGTTCGGACATCGTTCACGTAAAAAGTATGAGAATTAGAGCATTTCCAGATGGTGTTTGGGGAACACGGTCGATGTCAAGATGACACATGCTGATTCGGATACAGATGTTGCAGAAGGATTGATCGACTCGGACTCGTGGTAGCTGCGATTGCCGGGCGGTGGTTCACGGCGAAGCATCGGAGGAAACACGACCACTTCAACGATATCTGCCATTTGAACAAAGCTTCACAATTGTTCACAAGATCGATGAAAGAATCACGAAATCAAATCGAGAAATCAAACGACGGCAAATTCAGACAATATGATTTATTCAGAAAAATATCGGCTCTCCCATTACTTTTCGTAAGCCAAGCACTCAACGAGGCTAGTAGTATTGCAGTCTCTCGTTCGTCCATCCAGGTCTAAGGTAGGTTGAATCAAACCCAACATCGAAGCCCGAAGAGTGTACACCGAGGACACTGACGTCGACAGAAACGCTTGCCTCAACGTTGTCCTGAGACCAAATCGACAGACCAATAGTGTTGTTGCCATGATAGTTCAAGATACCAGGGAAGACAGGGAACTCAACCTGATTACCAATGTATGGAACAAACTTGCCAAATTGGTAACCGTTGACATAGAGTTGAGCTCTGAGCTTCTTACTCTTGGTCGCGTGAAGGTTGAAAGCCAATGAGACATCATGACCCTCAGGCAAGTCAAGAGCAAGTGTGGTGCGGTAGAAGTTGGCACCTGCAGTGCTGAGGCCAGTAGAAGGTGAGCCAGAAGCCCACTTGCTGTCGTCGAAGCCGGGCAAGTGCCAGCCGAGACGCTCAGCGTGAAGACCACCTTCGTTGTAAGGACCACGAACGGGGTCGATGTTGGCACCACCACCGGCCTTACCAGCGACCTTCCACGAAGAGAACTTCGCACCGTCGGTCAAGGTGGCGTTGAGGATACCGCGAGGATTGATGGCACCAGTAGTCTGGTCCTTGCCCATGTGGTCTTGAATGACGAGAAGAACGTTTTCTCCAGCTTTGACCGCATCACCAAACTTGAGAGTCTGGTTGGTCTGGGAGAGCTTGATGTCACCGAATGTTGATCCGATAAACTTGCCGTTCAACCAAGCAGACCAACCACTACCAGTACCACCAATGACATTGATGAAAGCACCACTGCTGGTACCATTAAAGCGTCCACGCCAGAGGAGGTTACCGCCGTGGAAACCGTACTCATCGGCATAAAGAATGTGGTCGGTGGCAGGCTTATTCCAGTGAGGTGTGGTAGTGTGGTTGGCATTGACCCACTTTGAGTCGTCGTAACTGGCCTCACGCTCAGGAAGACCATCAGCAATCTTCCATTGCGACAACTTAGGAAGTGCGGCACTTAGCGACTGAACAGTAACTTTGTCGTGAGAAAGCTCTCCCTTCAAACTGCCGTAGCCTGAGGCCTTGACAGAGACGCTTTCGCCGTTGAAAGTGACCTTCTTGACACCTGCAGCAAAGACTTCAAGAGGAGTAGTTCCGTTGTAATCACCGACTAGGGCGAGAGTGTCTCTCTCTACAGCTGCTGTACGGACAAGGTATGGGCCAGTGACCAATGCAGTCTTGTCAAGAGGAACATGAGGGTCGTTGGTCAAGGTAGGGTGCCAAAGCTTGTAAGCATAGGATCTGTCCACAATGACGGCAGTGACACCGTTACCATACTGGGAGACGCTCATACCAGAACCCTGAGCGAAGCTGGTAATGACGCCATCTTTGGTTTGGTAGAAGCCAACACTGGAGCAGCCATTGCATTGCTTGACGTTACCGTTTTGAGCACCCTTAAGGTAGAATTCTCCGCTCTCGCCAGTAGGAACCCAGAAGACGATGATGGGCTTGCCATTTTGGATTGAGACAGCCAGAACTTCAGCGGTAGAGTAGATGATCTTCTGATCTCCAGCGTTGTAGTCGGAAACGAGGATCTTGGACTCTCTTCCGTTGATACGGATATCAGCGGCATGCTGAGGCACCTGGAAGTGTCCAAGAGAGGTGGTCATGTTCTGCTTGAAGGAGAGAGAAGTCTGCAAACTGGTGTTGGCGTGTCTGACAACGTAGAACTGAGCATTGTTCTCGACGTTGTACAGGACCTGGGTGAACACGTTGGAGCTCGTAGTGAGGTTTGTGCCGTTGATACCTCTCTCGATCAGAGGAAGGTCCTTAGCAGAGCGAATGAAGTATCCAAGCAGTTTTGTCTCGGAGTACTTGTCGCCAATCAGGCGGTCCTCTTGAATAGGAGCAGAATAGTCGTAACTAGTTCCAACCAAAGGGAAGGCTAATTGACCAAAGTTGGTGCAACGAGGGTGTCAGTACTGACGACAAAAAGTAGATAGATCATGGAAACTCACCCTCCGTACAGCATGTACATGTTATGAGCAGTGACCTTTTGAGCAATGTTGTTTCTGTAGAACACGTTCACCCAGTCAGGCCCAGTGTTGTTTCTGCATCCACCCGCGGGGCCATCCCACGGGTTGTAGCTTCCACCTTGGAACTCAGCGAAGAAAGAAGGATCTCCAGGAGCAGTCTCCTGGAAGTGAGTATAGTAGTCGAGAACTGTGAAGTCAGGGGCAGGAGAGTTGGTAGAACTACACTCTTGAAGGTTGCAACTCCAGCAAGAAGGGTAGTTATCCACTGCATAAAGCCAAGTGTCACCACCAACGTCATTGATATCGTAGTCCATGCTCCAAGACTTGCTACCAAGGTTGGGGTTGTTGTGTACGGTAGGCATGTTGATACCAGTGTCGTTTGCAACAGTCTCGAGAAGCTCCATGTAGTGAATGGCAGTCTCGTTGGGGGTTCTCTGAGCGGTGTTGGTCCATTGGTAACCATACTCATTCTCAACCTGGTAGAAAATCACATTGCCGCCATTGACAATAGAGTGCTCAGCAATGATACCGTTGACGGTCTCAATGTAGGGCTTCCAGGCTTCAGTATATCTCGTGTCGTTGTTGCGAAGAGATCCGTAGGCACCAGTTGTGACCCAGCCTGGGAAACCACCGCCAGTACTTTCTGCGTTAATATAGGGTCCAGGGCGGTAGAATATGTATAGACCCAGGGATTTGCATGTCTCGAACAAGCTGGTGATGTTGTGAGCTCCAGATTCGAAGTCTACAATACCGTCACGAGGAGCGTGGTATCCCCTGTAATCAATGAGTTGCCGATTCTGAGAGTAGTCTGCTTCCGTATTCTGCTTACCAATGAGAGTAAAAAGAGACTGCGTTGAATCTATGCATGTCAGTCGGTGCGTTGTAAGCTTTGTTGACTCCACTTACCCAGCAGCCTTCACCTTGTGTAGGACATCAACCCACAGTTCGGGGACTGGGATTCTCCAGTAGTGCATCTATCGAAAGTGCTTAGTATATTCAGACCGCTGATGCGGAGTAAACTCTATCACATACCTCTCCGGACCAAATAAACAAACGTTCGCCATTGACCTTGAAGCTGTAGTGGTCCCACTCGACCAAGTCTGTGAGACCGTTGCTTCGAAGCGGCCATTGAACTTCCTGTGCGCTGGAGAGAGCGGCAAGACTCAATGGTAACGAGAGCGTTAAGCTCTTGAAGAGTCCTTTCATGATGTCTGAAGATCAAAAGGCCTCGCAACAAGAGATGTTCAGAACCAAGTCGAAATGTCAGGACATGGCTGGGATTTATCACAATGCTGTCTGCTCCATAAGCCAAGCCATGCCGCCATAGATGTCATGCTCGCCTAACTGAATGCAGCATCATATCTCGTGTGAATAGAGTCTTAGCACGGAAGAATGACACTTTACCCACATCATTCATGCGAACCTGCACGACAGACGAGACGGAAAAATAGGTGCACGGTGGATGTGTAAAGTGGCGGGAAGGCAAGGAAATGAGGGGAAATGCAGATCCATGGTATAGAGACATGGGATCAATCTACCGAGCACCCTTAAGTATGCAGAGTTCTCACGTGGAAGACGGCATGATGGCCATCGAGATCGTCCGACACCAGCGATCGGGCGCAAATTGTGTCTGACCAAACACGACTGAGGTCTATAGAATCTTTCGAGAACGAAAATGAGAGTTAGGGCTTGGTAAAAAGGTGGAAAGGTCGGAGCGAGGAGGTGGGATGAGTGTGGGGGTTTCTGCAATCGAATGTGGAGTCTCGTACCGAGGTTGGCTCGTGCATGAACATCGCCTGTTTTTGCACCACCAGAGGACTTCTTCTCTGATGCTCTCATAGAAGGACCTCATCTCAATATTCATTCCATTATATGCATAAGCATAAGATGAGCCTTGGAGTATTCAAAGCCGCGTGGACTACGCGACAGCTCTCCGGAGCGTGGTGCCTTGGGCTCGCTTCAACCTCGAGACACTCCATGCTCACAAGTCCGAAAAGGGAGAGCGACCACAATCTCTCGAAAAACACAATCCTCGATTGTAGAAAGTTCTTCCGGCGACTCGACACTCTTCAGAAAAGCCTCACATTTTCCAGCGAGCGAACAGAAAAATCACACGGATACTGGGAGCAAGTGATCGTATAGTTACGGCACGGCCGAGTCGAGCGTCGCGAGACTCAGCAGGCTTTGATGCTCTCTGCTGACGGTCGGCAGTCACGTTGCCTGGCACGTGTTGGTGTTGGGTAGCATACTAGGTTGTGATGGAAGCGATTTAAATGAGAAATGTACCATCAGTGGTGAGAGCGACTGGATGTGTATTCGTGAGAGTGAATTTGTTACAAAGTGTATATCGTTACTTAAGTGTAGGCTTCTAAGAGTTAATGATTGTTTCGTTAGTGTGAATTAGAGGATCCAGGATCGTTGAGTAATTGGCTTGACGATCCAATTAAGCCCAGTATTCATGGATCTCATGCTTGCGCTTGTACATGAGGAACCAACATGCAAGAGGGAACTGTATTACATGTCAGTGAACTGCGCAATTCCGAATTTGTGAGAGATAATCTTACCACAGCCGAATTGACAGCTGCCCAAGCGAACAAGATGCCAAAGTTGAGTCCAATACGAGAATGCAAACCGAAAAGAATTTGCCTGCTTCCCTCGACGACGTTGTGTAATGGCCATGCATAACCCCATCGGAAGAATGCGGGCTCAATGTCGATATCATAGAACGAAGTGGTGACGTTAGTGATGACCCACTGCTCTCTGTTAATATCACGAACGAGTACGAAGTGGCAGCAGGTGAGAACTTACGAAGATGAGCCATAGACCTGTCCATGGTTGTCCAACTACCATGGCCACGTTCTCACTAGCAAGACCGAGAGCGCACATGCCGACAAAGTTCAGCATCCAGTATACCGGGAAAGTTCCGTGTCCGTAAGCATCCGGATTGCCGTACTCAATCTCTGTGACTTGAGTTGTCGATGTGATCGGGTTGCCTCCGGAGAAGTTGATTTGAAATGCCAGTGAAACCAAGGAGTAGGCCAATGAGAGGAAAAGGTAGGCAAGCACAGTGCCACCCCAACGAATAGCAATGAACTCGACGAATCTGAGAGGCGGGTGTCCCTTTGGCATGAGGAACTTGAACCAGATAGGCAAATAGAAAGCGAAGGAGAAGAAACTCAGAATGATGAGGTAAATCAGACCAATCGTCGTAGCCGGAATTGCAGTATAAGGGTAGAAAGGCCTGAGATCGTACTCGGAGAACCCAATTGCTGGAGAGACAGCCTGAGGTACGTTGGCAATGTTGCGTGCGAGGGTCTGATCAGTGGTGGCATTCTGGAGAACCATCCTAGCCCATTGCTGGCCAACCATAGAAGTTGCTTCGGTCTGGAACTGCGAGATCAAGGGCAGCATGAAGTCATACCACGAGGTGTCGTCGCGTGCGGATTGATAGATAAGTTGACATGCACCCATAGGATCGTAACTTGTGTTGCCATTCTGGACCGCGTTGTAAAGTTGTTGGGTTGCGTTAGGCATGATGATGATAGCAGCCCAGGCATCCCAGTCGTATACTGCTTGTCGTACAGCAAGCGGATCATAGTTGAAAGCAGATCCAGGTAGAGGACCCCATCCAAGAGTGGGTGTGCCTGATGCGACTTGAGTGCGAGCAAGTCCTTGTACGATAGGTCCCACAATTGGCTCGATACCAGACGTGTTGTATGGAGCAGTCTGGCCATCGAAGTCTACAACATAGACAACTAATGCAGACAAGTTCGCCTCTACGTGGAATAATGATGCCCAGTCTGAAAAAAGGTCAGCTTTTGGGATATTTGGTGCTCAGGGGCTACGACTTACAAAGAGACAGCACCGCCATAATTGCAGCCATCAGTGTAACAGTAGTCAAACACCACTTCTTCACAATCTCTTTCTTCACATCCTTGAGTTCTGGTGAAAAGATTCCGACCGGCTTAGGTTTTTCCTCTTCACCCTTCTCCTCTGAGTCGCCATCTTGCTGCGAGTTGTCACTCGGTCTTTCTCGTGAGTTTTCCTTGGAAGACATAGTATAATCCTAGAGGCTCCAAATCACGTCCAATTCTTACAGACAAACCGGCGAGGACCAATATTTATTGACATTCCTTAGTCTGATTTGAGAACGATTTGAGTAATGTTTCTCGTCCGTGCCGCGTTATGACGTCGATGTGAGCGTCACTTTGCAAAACGCCCTCCACGATTCGGATCGAGTTACCCGGCTTATTCAGATCAGATCTGTTGACCAAAAAACTGCCGATTAGCAGGCCGGTACTTGTATGGTTAATGTGAATTGAAGTGCAATATAGCAATACTCCCTATGCCAGCTACATATTCTTTGAAGACCTGCTGAAGCATTTCCACCATTTGGTTATCGCAAAACCACCTTCGTTCCTATTGAGATCGCATCGAGCAGATATCTTCAGAATTCTCCATCATGTAATCGCTGAAGATGATATGCACTGTCTCACGTTTGGGCCACACTGTACATGAGATGCCGATCAGAAAGCAGCGCAATCTCGCATTTACTTCTTGGTATCTCCATGAGACTCATGGACAACCTCAGCTGTCGTTGAGCCGTTGAGCCAGAGATCCTACTGAGACGCCCTTATAGATCTCCATTATCGTCTCCATTATCGTTCAAAGACATGGCAGAAGCTTGACAGCTTCTGATAGACGGATATCATGGGCAGTTGGTTGATAAGTTTGCACATTCTTGTAACGTTTGCGGTGATAATGTGATGCCGTTGTCAAGAAACGAAGAGGTCAAAGCTTGGTCAGAGGCGTTGATTTGTTTGAGTTGAAGACATAGCCTGTTGCCGAAGGATGAAAGCCAGAGGAGGGTACAAGTGGTAGAGAAAATGGTGGTTTATGGTAAGAAGTTGAGAAGAAGACTGGATGGCAAGTTGCAGGATTGTATGATTGTGGTTGGGAGGCCGGAGACATCTGTGGAGGCATAGCTTCGATCTGACTCTGAGGTTTCGAGACGTCATGCGATACACTTCGAGTCTGTTGGAAATTTGGCCGCGACGGAGCTTGCGAAGGCGGATACTGGTCAAAGTCAGCTATTGGACTCATGCTATCGTTGTCGCTTGCTTGCCTTTGGCCTGGATGGTTGAAGAGCTGGAAACATGGTTCACAGATGGAAGTGATGTGAGTATGGACAGGGAAATTAGGTATGCGCGACGGAGGAGTTGTTCACTGTGGCTATCTTGTCCTTAAGCTCGAGTTGACACTTGATAGAGGGCTATGACCGAGAGCCGACAAGGTGCGGAGTCGAGGAAGGCACGGGAGCGAAGGTTAAAAACAGGAAGGCGCATGCGAGTCCTCGGAGCAACAGCGACGTCAGGGATCGGCTTTTGACTGGCTTGGCGACGGAATTTCTGGACGGCGGCGCAGCTGACAACTTCGAGGACAATTCATCATGTTCAGAGCGCAACTGCGCCGTCGACCACCTGGCCCCCTATTCAATGCCTGTCGCAAATCACTGGTATCCAGCTATGCCAGCGTGAAGCCCGTTGTCCGCCTGCAAAAGGCGACAATCTACAAAGACAATCCGGACCAAAAAGATGCGACGCCCATCTTCCGCGACCTAAATTTCACCCTGCCAACGGCAGGCGAGTGCTGGGCTGTCGTCAGTTCCTCCTCGTCTGCCCGTACTGGTTTCCTACAAGTCTTGAATGGCAGGTATCTCTGCACGCCGCCCGACGCTCGCTCATATCCCTACTTGATCTGGCGCAAATCATTACCGGAACACGCCATCAGCTATGTTGGCTTCGATGCAGAGAGAGACGGCCTAGGCGGGACTGCTGTCAAAGGCGCTTATCTGAGCTCACGCTACGAATCACACCGTGAAGTCACGGATTGGTCTCTACTGAATTATCTCGAGGGAAATACCGAGCTGAATGCTTTGGAGAAGGAGGATTCCGTGGACACGCAGTTGTTGGCAAAGGTCATTGCGGATCTGAATTTGCAGCCGCTTCTACAACTACCTGTCAGCAACCTCAGCAATGGCCAGACTCGTAGGGCTCGCATCGCGAAAGCATTGCTGGCCAAGCCCGAACTCCTCTTGCTCGATGGTCCGTTCATGGGCCTGGATCCCAGAACTCAACTCTCAATCTCCTCGTTCCTCCAGGATTTGGCCCAGAATAACAATCCACGCGTCATTCTCTCTCTTCGCCCTGAAGACGAGATACCTGACTGGATCACTCATGTACTGTTTATAAGTCCGGGGAACAAGGTTTTGCTACATGGCGACAGGGAAAAAGTCTTCCTGTCTATTCCTCAGACTGGTGTCAAGGCAGGAGAGGCTCGTCTTACCTGGCAGGCTTTTCGCTCGAATCTAAAGCCTCGTCTACGTGGCATCAGAGCTAAGCCAAGCGAGCGTAATTTGTCTCGTGATGCATTCCACTTCACACATTCTCCACTTCCGGTTGGCGAACCTTTAGTCGAGATGCAGGGCGTCAAAGTATCTTACAGTGCAAACGACAAGCCAACGAGACGGACAGTCTTGGGCGATTGGTCCGAGTCCGTTGACGGTACCCAAAAAGAAGGTCTATGGTGGAACATTCGTCGTGGTGAGCGCTGGGGTGTCTTTGGTCCAAATGGTTCGGGCAAGACCACTCTTCTGTCACTCATCACCTCAGACCATCCTCAAACCTACGGTCTCCCTATCAAGCTTTTCGGCCGCTCTCGCATTCCTTCTCCAGGCGAGCTCGGAATCAGCATCTTCGAGCTTCAATCTCGCATAGGACACAGCTCCCCTGAAGTCCACACATATTTCCCCAAACATCTGTCGGTTCGTCGCGTGCTAGAGAGTGCGTGGGCCGATACACCCCTTTCAAAGCCGCGATTGACGCATCAACACGATTGCCGAGTTGACGCCTTCCTGCGTTGGTTCGCTCCAGAACTATCACCGACTGGTATCAGCGAGCTCCAAACAATCTCAAATAGCTGCATGCGTGGCAACTGGCGTCGCAGCGGCGACATGAGGGCCAGACTAGAGGGCTTGCTCGTCCGCAACAACGACCTCGACTGGGCAGACAGTACGACTTTCAGAGACCTGTCCTTCAGCTCGCAACGCTTGATTTTGTTCCTTCGAGCAATAGTCTCCAATCCAGACCTCATCATCTTGGATGAAGCTTTGAGTGGTATGGACAAGCATGTCCGCGATAAGTGTTTGCTTTTCCTATCTCATGGTGAGAAGATACAATTCAAGGGCAAGAGTCGGGCAAATTCCGCAGGCACCAGGTTTGTCAAGAGCTTGCAAACAGACAATGACATGGTCAACTTTGGTGGTTTGGAGGACAGACAGGCATTGTTGACGATCAGCCATAGCAAGGAAGATATTCCCGGCTGCATCAGGCAGTGGATCTGCCTCCCAGAACCTGGCGAAGGCAAGCCAGCCAGAGTTGGTGAATTACCAGGACCGCTAGAATTCAATGTCAATGGTTGGGAACACATCTGGAACCTGCCACTCCCTGAGCCGCCTGCTAAGAGAGGGCAGTACAAGAGGGTGCCAGGAGTTCACAGAAGCTCGTCCGATTCAAGGTCAAGGAGCAGGGCAGAGGGAGAAGAACAAGAACAAGAACAAGGGGAGGAAGAAGTAGAAGGAGCTGTTCATGATCATAGACCTCAATAGAGATGTACATTACCTGTAGCATGTAGAAAGACCCATCACGACTTGCATCATGGTCACAGTTGCGGGGTGAGCATCGCTCGTTCTGGCTCTCGGGCGAGCACGGGTAAGCCGCTTCTTTTGACCTCAACTCAACTTTCCTTAAACAAAGTCATGCAGCCACCACTAATATAAGTCGTTTCAGGCTCGTTTCGACCCTCAGAGGTGTTCGTATTATCCATCAATCGTAGACCCCCATTTCCATCTAGCCGCTGGTGGACAAAGTTTGGACCACAAAAGGTAGGGGACAAACCTACTATTCAGGGACGACTTCTCGTTTCATTGATCAACATGATCGAGTATATACTTTTGTTGGCTTTAGCCGCACCCGAAGGGTATTGACACCTGCACTTCAGTATTGCGAGATGCTGCAACCCCTCTCGAGGCCTGTAAGCGATGTGACGCTAGACTTGGTTTAGCAGTCATGACATTTCTTCGTCTGTACCTATAAAGGCCATGTCTCCACGAGCTAAATCTAGGATTTCTTCGAGCAGAAACTTCAATCTTCCTGGACCGGATCCAAGATGAGGTACTCATCTGTCCTCGCGGCTTTGTCCGCTGTTGGTAGTGCTCTCGCACAACAGACATATACCAACCCTGTTCTTTGGTATGATCTTGCAGACATTGATGTTTTCCGCAAGGGCAACCAATATTACTATTCAGCTTCAACCATGTCGTTCTCACCTGGAGCTCCCATTCTCAGATCTGGTGATCTTGTGAATTGGGAGTTTATCGGACACTCTGTCCCGAGACTTGACTTCAAGGACACTGCCTATGATTTGGCCGATGGCAAGCAAGCCTATGTCCGTGGTATTTGGGCTTCCTCCATGCAGTACCGCGAGTATGATAACACTTTCTACTGGATTGGCTGTGTCGACTTCAAGACTACCTATATCTACAAGGCCAGTGATCCTGCTGGTACTTGGAGCAAGGTTGGCGAGATCGGTACTTGCTACTATGACTGCGGCATGCTGTTTGACGGTCAGAACATCTATGTTGCTGTATGTTGATCATCCCTCTCTTTTCCCAAACATCCAAAGACTGACTTTACTTCTACAGTACGGCAACACCAAGATTAGTGTAGCTCAACTCAACAACGACTTTACTCAAAAGTCCACCACCCAGGTCTACTCTTCCAGCATCACGATCGAAGGCTCCCACATGAAGAAAATCAACAACCGCTACTACATCTTCGTCACCCAACCCGCCTCCAACGAATACGTCCTAAAATCTAACTCCGGCCCCCTCGGCCCTTACGAGTTCAAGATCTTCACAAAGGCTCCGGCCAGTGGAATCCAAGGCTCTGGAAACCCGCATCAAGGCTCCGTCGTCGATACACCTGATGGAGATTGGTACTATTTGTCATTCATCGATGCGTATCCGGGAGGCCGCAGCCCTGCCCTTGCGCCCTTCGTCTTCGACTCTCAAGGCTGGCCATCCCTGAAAGCAACAAATGGTTTCGCAATAGCAAACCCCTACCCCGTAACCCCCGTACCTGTAAAATCCACCACGGGCACCGATACTTTTTCTTCTGGCAAACTAGGCCCGCAATGGGAATGGAACCACAACCCGGACACGTCAAAATTCTCCTTCGCCGCTGGAGGTGGATTGGTGTTGAAAACAGCTTCCGTGACCAAAGATCTCTATCATGCCAAAAACACACTCACGCACCGTATCTTGGGCCCAGACAGTACAGCGACCATCCAACTAGATATCTCACAAATGACATCCACCGACCAAGCAGGCCTATCCCTCTTCCGCGACAATTCCGCCTACATCGGCATACGCAATGGCGTTGTAATCCTCCAACGCGACCTAACCCTCGGCGCAAACTGGAACACCCTCTCTACCGGCCGTCTCGAAACCTCCGCCTCCTTGCCCGCGAAAACGACAAATGTGTGGTTACGTCTACACGCTGATATCAAGCCCGCTGGAACCCATCAGGGTGTTTTCAGCTACAGCACTGATGGGAAAAGTTTTAAGCAGTTGGGTACGCCGTATACGATGAATACGACTTATTACTTTTTTATCGGGTATAGGTTTGGTATTTTCAATTTCGCTGAGCAAGGGTTGGGTGGGAGTGTGGTGGTTAAGTCTTTTGATTTGGCTTTGGGTGCGAAGTGAGAGAGAGAGGAGGATGATGTGGAGGAGATAGTGTTTTGTTTGATCGCACGTCAAAGGTGATGCTTTGTGTGTTTGTAGACAAGGAGGATGGTGAGGGGTCTATCGTACGTAGTCATGCAAATGTGGATTTGTTTAATGAAGCTGTCGATCCAAATGCAATGCGAGTTGAAAGGAATGTGCATGATTACCATACTTCTCATCTTTATCTTATTTTCAGGTGCATTTGGCCATTCACTCACAAAGCAGGAATCTGGAGGGAAGGTGCGAGGCAGACTGGGTTTATGTTGCTTATCGACGGCGAGACTTGGCGAGCGAATGTGTTGTGCTTGCTCGACTGCGCCATGCGGATCTACTGTACATTAACAGACACCAGCATGTTACTTCAGAAAGCACAGCGAATGGAAAATCATAACGATCATGTCAAGAGGTTGCATTCATATCTTCTTTGACTAAGTAAAATATATATCGTACATTCATAAAACAATCATCCACCAGGGACAATCTAGTAGGTGCCATCAGACTTCAGCTTGGTGTAACCAGGGTACTGATTGAATTGGTCCTGGTTGATCTTGGTAAGCTCAGGGCACCCAAGCTTCTGAGTGGCGTTGCCAAAGGCAGAGCTGACTTTGTTGACTGCGGAGGCGAGATCGGTAACCAGGCCAGAGAGCAAGTCGGGAAGTTCTTGTACAGCAAGCTGCAGGCCGTAACACATGAGGTTGTTGCCTTGAGTGAGAGTGGCAGCATTGAAAACACCGTCAGTCAGGATCTCAGGATCAATACCAACAAAGCTGTTGGGAGTGCCAGTGTTACCACCAATGCTTCCGAACTCGAGGTGCTGGAGGAGCTGAGCATCGGTGTCGATCTGGAGAGCGAGAACATCGTAGGGGTCGAGAGCGTTACGGGTGTACCAGTTCTCGGGAATTCGCTCGTTGCCAGGGGTGTATTTGAAGTTGCCGTCGTCACCAGTAATGGCGTAGAAGGACTTGAGAACCTCGCCGTTAAGCTTGCCCGAAGGATACTCGGCAGACTTGTTGCCCATGAAACGGTAGATAAAGCTCCACGCTGCAGGTTGAGCAATAACACCAGAGAAGGGTGCGTTGAAGAAGTAAGGGTTGGTCTCAATGTTCTGCTTGAATCTGGCGGCTCTACGGTCGGTCAAGAGCTGAAGATCGTAGTTGTCGGCTGCCTTGCCAGCGTCGTAAAGAGCCTGGAAGTTCTCCATTTTCAGGAGGTAGTCCTGACCACTGGAAAACATGTTAGTGTTGAACATCGGTCCAGAGTTTTGCAATAGACTTACTCAATATATAGATCACCTCTGGTTGGTGACGCATCGCCCTCATACTTGTTGTGAGAGCCACTGATACCCTGAGGCTGTCCAAGAAGGTTGATCGAAGGAACGTTTGGTGTTGGGCCTCCAATGCTCCACGAAACAAGGTTGCCGTCGATCGCGGCTCCGTAGACGGCAAGAATGAGAGCGAGATCAGCACCCATGCCGAAGACCTTGGTCGTGGCAGCGATGAACTGGTCGATTGTGCCAACACCGTTGTGTGGGAGGTAGTTGTGGTTGGCCAATGCATTCAGTCCTGGGCAAGGACCGCGTTGATCTCCGTTGCCAGGAGCAGTGAAAGCGTGAGAACCAGAGACATCGATCTTCTGAGCCACTGGGTCGAAGAGGACCCTCTTCTTTAGCGAAGAAGCCTTCTTCTGTGATTCCAGTTCGGCAAGGATGTTGGGGTAGGCGGCAGTGAGGCCTGCATAGGCAACAGCCAGAATAGATGTGATTTGTAGTGTCTTCATGATGGTGATGAGTAAGGATGAATGTCTTGGAATACGTATGAGTAAGGAGATCCGATCTTGTTTATATATCTTCCTCCCAGAGACAAGCACCGAGGCATCTTGTCGAATTCAAAAGACAGACGACATGGCTTGCGGCCGAAACACACTTGACAATTGGGTACAGATGTCGCAGAGTGTGGTAACCAACCATAGAGTGCAACAGTCGAGTCCGGACTTCCCAGACGAATGCGGAGAAACACGACGAAAAGGGTGTTGACCATGGATGATCCCCCAGATCGTCCCTCGGCACGCTGTCGCACCTGTTGATGAACAGGGACGAAGTCTTTGGATTGCAAACTGCGGATATCTGATTGGTCAAAGGCCAGAAAATCTTAAGAAAGCGCCCAACTATAACATGAAAAGAACCAACCACGAGTTCGAGGGTCTGACGGACAGGCGGGGATCATGTGTGTCTCGCACCTGCCATGTTGGTAAAGCTTAGCGACGCCGCGGGCTGCACCATCCGTCAGCCATACAGTTGCATCGCCTCCACCTGTGTCAGTCATTGAGACAGGGGACCTGAAAACTGACAGCGTGGCTCACGCCAGCAGTATGGGGAGTTCCGGGAATGGCGGTCTTGTGAGTAGGCTTGAATTAAAGCTTAACGTTGTTTCCCAAAGGAGGAGATCAACGAAGCAGCCACACCATCATCCGGCCTCAAGAATTTTCACAGACAAGTGGCGAAGCCTGCCAGAGGTGACAATTATGGGAAGCGTTCCTGGTACAGTATGAGTGTGCTTGCGGAGTATGGCACAGTAACAGCAGTCGTGATTTACGAGTTCGAAGGATCTCAGCCAGCAGCTGTCGTTGAAAGAAAAGTGACAGTACTGAGGAATAGAGAGGTGACGGAGCGATAAGAGATAAGCTCCGCATTTCCGGGCCGAGCGCAAAATCTCAAAGTCGTGGTTGTTCACAACATCAGATGCATCCGTAGAAAAGGCCCATCCACAACATGTCCTTCCGAAAGCGCAATATTGGTGTCCAGAGAGCCCCCGCCACATCGCCTTCAGGAGATGCCCCAGCAGAAACAAACAGCGCTCCTGCGCCGACAGCTTCAGGCATACGGCCATCACCCTTGACCGGACAATCTACGACGTCAACAGGAGCTTACTCGCTCGACAGCTTGCTAGGCGGTCATGCGGGATTGGCGCTTGGATCATCGCTATTGATTGAAGAGAGTGGAACTACGGACTTTGCGGGTGCTCTGTTGCGATATTATGCTGCCGAGGGAATCATCCAGAGCCACACTGTGCATCTCGTTGGTGCCGGTGAGCAATGGATCAAGGATCTACCAGGTCTGGTTGGAGACGCCGAGGCAGCAGAGGCTCAAAAACAAGCAAAGAGCGATGAGAAGAAGATGAAGATTGCGTGGAGATATGAGAGGCTAGGCCAGGTAGATGCCGACCGAGGCAGTAGAGGTGAACAACGATACATAGACCTTGTAGGACAAAGTATTCTGACTGCTTCGCAGTCGTTCCCCAACGTGGCCCCGCCCCTGTTCAGAATGTCGACCAGCAAGAGGAACAACAATCGTTGGCTTTCTGCCACACATTTGACCTCGCGAAGCGTCTTGTTGTGCCTGCCGAAGCAGACATCAACCACATCGCCATCTCCCCTCAATCGCCACTGCCTGCCATTCTGCAGAATCTTGCCCAGCGATTGAGCACTTCTCCACCTCACACGATACACCGACTAGTGATGCCTTCCCTCCTTTCTCCTGCTCTCTACCCCCCTTCAGCCGGTGCACCAGAACAATTGCTCCAGTTCATGCACTCACTGCGCTCGTTGCTTAGACAATACCCCAGCCGTCTCACTGCCATGATCACACTTCCGCTAGAGCTATATCACCGTTCTAGTGCTCTCGTCCGCTGGGCCGAAACTCTTTCAGACGGCGTGCTCGAACTGACTCCTTTCCCTCATCTGATGGACGCTGCAAACAGCTTGGCCGAGAGTGGTGGTGCAAGAGCAACAGACGAACAGCCACAGGGAATGCTAAAGCTGCACAAGCTACCTGTCACAACTGAACGTGGTGGTGGTGGAGCAGCTGCTGGTGTTGGTGACGATCTGGCCTTTACTGTGAGCAGACGAAGGTTCGTCATCAAGCCCTTCAGTCTGCCGCCAGCAGAAGGAGATACCGAGGCACAGCAGGGCAATGCTGAAGGAGGAGCACTAGGCAAGGCCACCAAGGTCGACATAGAGTTTTAAAGCATAAAAGATGTAGAATGGTTTTCAAGGCTCATCGTCCGAGTCGTTAGGTCCCCACTTGTCGTTGTGTAGCATGTCTTCCATTTCGATGGCCTCAGAACCCGCGGCTCCAGGATATGAGGGGAGGTTCCTTGCGTATGTTCGGCCGTACGCACCGTGCCTCGGGTTGATGGTGGTACCTCCAATTCGAGCTCGAACATTGTCGCCGAGGCAGCTGGATAGTGCAAACCAGACTACATCATATTAGGGAAGTCTGATCAAGGTTACGGCATGAATAGCCTACCTAACAGTGCAACGAGGGGTAGGAAAAAAACGAAGAACAGCAATACAAGGATGTTCATGCTGATCCTGGCAGAATGTTCTCAGTACCGAGTGTGGATCTTCAAAGATACAAGGTAGAGCGAACAGAATACTGGCGGTTGTTCAGCTCTCCAATGTCCGTGCAAGTCCGTCAAACCAATCAAACTCGTGTTGTGTCGAAACGGCGTCGCATTCTCCCAGGATTTACCTTTCTTCACCCTTTGCAAGGGAAAGAGCATCATGGGTTGAATAAACACTCCCGCCAATTTATCTTCTTCTTCAAGGTACGTCGGCAACAATCCCTCACTATCGCTGCAATCATCAGAACATGATTCTACACGTCCTGGCAATCATTAGAGGTCCTTGTGGTCCTATGACGAAGACCGATGCCATGCTCTTGTCTCCGAGACATGACTCCGTTCCCACCACGTGTTCCTCGGTTCGTTCATGTACTGACATTTTGCACGTAGACTTTGACGACCGTCTTGGTTCACCAACATGGCCGAAAACAACGTCCCCGAGCCCTTCCGCATTACTTTGACCAGCGGGAGATTCATGGTCTACGATGTCCAGACCATCGCACACATCCAGCGCAAGCACGGCATTGACGGCGCATCGCAAGCTCTTGAGCAATACAACCCTCTGGAATTGAGATCCGAGGACGCTGCATTGCTGGTCAACAAGGGTGCTGCCCACATTGTCAACGACGACTCCAGCAAGCCACCCAAATCGCCACAAAACGCTCCGAGGTCACCGAACGGCATGCCCAAGATCGCCACAGCCAGCGACAACACACAAGACAACTGGAACGACATCCCTGAAGACATGTTCGCCTCTCGTGGCAGAAGTAACAAGGCCAAGAAGCCTCGCGCACGCCTTGGAGTCTCGCCTGTGCCTTCTACTGCGCCAGGAAGCCGTACCGCTAGTGCCGCTGGCCTTCACACTGGTCCACCTCCCTTGAGGTCCACTGCTTCGCAACCGTTTCTACGCCCTCCTCCTCCGCCTTCACGACCGACTTATTCTTGAGCTTCTTTCGACTACAGACATTGCTCATCTCAATGCCAACATGGTCACGACCAAACATCATCATTTGATTGCGCTACCTATCTCTGGCTTGGATGCATCGGACCCGACATGGTCGCTCGGATACACAGGCTGTCTATTTGCTCAAGACATGCTGGGGATAGACTTTACGAAGCTTTCGTTACCCTACAATATTTTAATCTTAATACCAGCCCTCTCTTCATGATGGTCGTCAATCATTAGTGCATCAATTTGTGAGCGAACGCGCGATGCATGTTGGTCGCACTTCATCCACTACATGTCCATGTTTTTCAGTAGATTGCTCGCACCTAGATTTATATGCAAGCATCTTCGTGCAACACAAGCCCACACACTCCGCATTTGGCCAAGCTTAATATCGGATCTCCGAAAGCTTGAGCCGAGAACGGCACCTCGATATCCTATGCAAAGACACCAATCTTCTACATCTTATGCTCCTTTTCACAAACTGACTCTAATAAGTATGAAGGACGTTCGGCAAGCGGACTCTCAAGATCCGGACACAGAGTGGAATATTCTCACAGTGCTTCAAAAGAGAGCTGTGTTCAGGGTTTCTCGGGAGAGCGGGAGTGGCTTGTCGCCGAAGCCTAATCTATGAATGGATCATCTCGACGTCGATCACTTTCAATGTGCATGCTCGCGCATTTCGGTTGCACCTCAAACCCGAAGTCCGCTGTCATACCACGGCAATGTTACAAGTCACTATAGGCTACTATATAATGAGGGGGGCCTGGGATCAGCATGACTCTCTATCTTTCACGAAAACTCTTTCGATTGAAGAGACATTATGGCTGTCGACATGGAACAACAACCGCTGAGGGTTACAATCATCGGAGCTGGCATTGCTGGGCTGACTGCGGCGCTTGCACTCCGAAAACAGGGACATGTGGTTACGGTCAGTCCAAATTCTCATCGCTCAAGGACTATCACTCACGTCTGCCTAGGTGCTCGAAAGATCCCGATTCGCTGTCGAGACCGGTGCTGCCATGCATATGGCACCAAATGCCACAGCACTCTTGGAATGGATGGATATTCGCCCTAGTGAGGTCGGCGGAACTCTCTTGAGACAGGTGGGTGTATCAAATAGTCAACTGAGAATCGTAATACTGATTATTCTTGCAGATGCGTCGCTTCGACTCGAGTGGTAACCTCATCCACACAAAAGTATTCGGGCCGGAAGACAGAAGCCACTGGCAAACAGTAAGTCAGGTGCAGACAGACCCATCTCAGTAGACTGACAATCATAGGAATGGTACCTTGTACATCGCGTTGATCTTCACAACAAGTTGAAGTCTGAGTCGACATCAACATCCAGACCTGGTGTTCCTGTCAAGCTTCATTTGGCCTGCAAGGTCTCGGACATTGACATCTCCAACGCCAGTGTAACACTTGAAGACGGGCAGACGTTCGAAGGCGACGTCCTTCTGGGTGCAGATGGTCTCCACGTAAGCAAACGGCGTACACACTATCGGCAGTATACCACTAATTCTCACAATAGTCATTCACACGAAAGCTCATCTCTGGTGACATCAAACCATACGCCGTTGGTAAATCAGCCATGCGATGGCTGGTACCGAAAGAGACACTCTTGGCTGACCCAAGAACGGACCGTGTGTCTATCGAGACACCTGGTGCTTTTGTCGAATGGTCGGCTCCAGACCGTCGTCTGGTGGCATACCCATGCTCTGATGACAAAATCATGAACATGTGTGCTTTTGCTCCTTCATCGGAGTTCCAGGATCCAGATTCGATCGGCGAAGATGGTATCATGAAGCAACCTCAAGACCAGAGTTGATGACATACTAATGATTAGTAGCATACAATACTTCTGGAAACAGAGATCTGATGCTTCGTGCTTTCAAAGACTTCTGTCCCGCAGTCCATGCTGCTATGGAGAACTCTGGGGACAGTCTCAAGATCTGGGATATGTACGACATGAAGACTTTGCCTAAATGGTGTGATGGCCCTTCTGCTATCATCGGCGATGCTGCTCACCCTTTCCAACCATGTAAGACATTCTGTTTGTGTGTGCATGGAACTCAAAGCTAACACAATGAAAGACATGGGCCAGGGCGGCGCTATGGCTATTGAGGATGCAATCTCGGTCGCTGTACTCCTTCCTCTCGGAACCACTAAACAGCAGATTCCTGAACGCTTGCGCTTGTACGAGAAATGTCGCAAGGAGCGCAACGAACTTGTCTTGATGTATACCCGTATGAACGGCAGAGACGAAGGTGATGATTCTGTGAGGAGGATGACTGGTGAGTCTTCGGTTACTGTTATGAGACATAAGATGCCATGCTAACATTCAGGAAGCCAAGGATTTGGTCGACTGTATGACCATGTGCGTGATGCACAACGAACGAGCCTCGTCGATGGAAGCCTTGTCCAAAGCCGCAGCCATCGCTGTGTGAGTTCGATGATTGAACGCGTAATATTTACTCATTGCATGCTTTAGAAAGCCAGCGAAAAAGATGGGCTGTTTGCCTGTAGGTCCGGCCAATTCGAAAATTCTTTGTCACTAGTCATCCGTTCTTTTTACCAAATTCGTGGTTTGGTTGAAGAGTCTCACATTCAGTAAATCCCATGTCTAACCCAGATTCTATCGTCCAACACATCTCACTCACACTTGGCAACACTTCCAGTCAACCATGTCTAACCCATATCCCAATGAGTCCGCCAGCAGCATATACACACATCTCCGCACATTGAGCAACACGATTGGAGATCTGGGGGATCTTGTTTCCTCTCTGCAATTCTCAGCCAGCATTACTGAGTTCACAGACCCAACCATGCCTTCCTCGGGTCCACCAGGCTCTTTGCGCCGTCGCTTTCTCAGGATTATCAGCTTCGGGCGTTATAGCAGTCACAGCGCAGATGACACAGAGCCCCTGAACAAGACCTATGATACTGGCCGCAGACACAGCGCTCCACCAAACTTGAATATTGACACCAATCGACCCTCAACCCGCCGGAATGCTTCTGCGATTGTCCACAGCAGCCCTCAATCTTCCGACAGCGCTCAGACTACCATCCACCACGAGGTGTTCGAAACCGCAGTTCCCTTCATGGAAGCGTTCCGTAAGCAACATCCAGCCCACTACGCCATAGTCCCAGACTTCGACACAACCACCGAGACAGAGACGGAGGAAGAAAGAGAGCAAGAACCTAGGGACTCTTCTCCTCGTTCATTGACGCGCCTGCAAAACCGCCGCCACGACTTCGATGGAGTTGATCCAGCCCATGTAGGACACATCTATTGCGACAACTGCGGTGGATACTGGGAATACAACCATATCTACTGTCCACGCTGCGCAGGCAGAACTCTTCGTCACGACTACGGAACTGGGGGCCAAGAACCTGCTACTACCAACGATGCTGAGACAGGAGAAAGCACTTGGGACAACAATGCCGATGGCCCTATCACCGGCACAATTGAGGAGTCTTGGGCAACGACAACCACATCTGCAGCTGACACTTCTACTTCTTCGGAAGTTCACACCTCCTCAAGATCTTACCGCGAGCTAACTCCAGATGCAAGAGCGGAGCCCTCATCTGCTGCAGATCCATCTCTCCGCCATGTTCATCCGGTGATCGATATATGCTGCCGTGGCGTCCCCTATCTCGAGATGCCCACGCATTGCTGCTGCGCCCAACCCTGCACACACGACATAGCCCCTGCTGGTGTTCGTTTCTCCAAAGCTCGGGTGCGTGCTCAACCTTGCTGCACTTCGTGTCTTCCAATCACCGCTGCTGTTGTTTTTGGTGGCCCGGTTCCTGCTATGCCCGTGTGTAAGTGTGGGAAATCGGGAACACGTCATGCTTGTCTTCGCCTTTGGGGTGGTGAATGGGTGGAGCTCCATGAAGAAGGAGCTCGTGATAAGCACAAGGACGAGAGAAATGGCTTGCTCAGAGCGATCGGATGGTTGGGTAGGATGCTGAGCTGGTTTTGTTGCTGTTGAGTTGGGCGATAGTGCTGTTCTTTGCTTGTCATTTTGGTCTTGATTCTTTTATTCGCAGTCGACACCACTGAGCACCATTAGGGTACCTTTCATTAGACATAACTTTGATATCGGCTGTTAGAGACCCTCCTCACAAAGGTTTGCTGCTCCATTGTGTTCGGCTTCTATAGACTATTAGAGGAAAGGCAAGACTGACTGCCTTGAGAGCGTTCACGGCATTGAAAAACCATAGCGATTTCAGGCATCTTGCCTAGTATTCAAACGATCATCTCGTCTTTCTTTTTCTAATCTTGACAAATTCGTGTTCTGTGACAGTGAGAAGAAGAGCAGTCTCAAACGCTGAAGGAAGTTGTGAGTCGTGTGGCATAACTATGCACATCTGCACAAATCCTTATCGATAGCACAACGCCAAAGCCCTGGACTTTTTTCCAAACATGCCCAAGGCCCAACTTTGATCATCGCTCTTTCGCAAAAGGACGACCTTGACGTAATATCTGCTTTTGGACATACGCCAGACACCACAATCATGACTAGTCGCAAGCGCAATGAATTCCTGGACCACGAGCTCAGCGATGAGGAGGACGTCGGCTACAATTCAGAGGATCAGGAAGAAAGCCGTGGCGCGCGATCAATCAAGCGACGACGAGTGGATCAAGACTCTGACGACGACTCACAAGCCGACTTCGACGAGGAGGACGAGGAAGCTTTCGACAAGACGAGTGCTATCGCCGCAAAACCTGCACCTGCTGTCTCCAAAGGTCGCTTCGAACTAGACGACGAAGACGCCGATGATTTCGTACCAGAAGAAGACGATGAAGACGACAACGACAACCTCGAAGACGCAACGGATGCCACATCAACCAAAGAGAAGACCGTAAAGCCACTCACCCAAAAACAACTCCTCAAATCGCAAAAGGCAGCCAAGAAGACCGGCGTAATCTACATTTCCCGCATCCCTCCATTCATGAAGCCCGCGACTCTAAAACACTACCTCACACCCTACGGCGAAATCGGGCGCGTATTCCTGACCCCCGAAGACCCCGTGGCACAAAAACAGCGCGTCCGCAACGGCGGCAACAAGAAAAAGTCCTTCACAGACGGCTGGGTCGAATTCATCAACAAAAAAGACGCAAAAGCCGCCGCGGAGACATTGAACGGCAACATCATCGGTGGCAAAAAGGGAAACTTCTATCACGATGATATGTGGAATATGAAGTATTTGACGGGTTTTAAATGGAGTCATTTGACCGAGCAGATTGCGAATGAGAATGCGGAGCGTGCTGCTAGGTTGAGGGCTGAAGTTGCCAGAACGAGGAGGGAGAATAAGAGTTTCGTGGAGGATGTGGAGAGGAGTAAGATGTTGGAGGGTATGCGGGCGAAGAAGGCTGCTCAGGCGGATAGGGCTGGTGCCGCTCCTGCTAAGCCTGTAGGAAGAGTGAGGGAGTTGACGAGAGATTTCAAGCAGAATGAGGTCAAGAGTAAGAGGATCAAGGATTCGAGCAAGTCGGAACAGAGCGAGGATGTGCAAAGGGTGTTGAGCAAGATCTTTTAGTTTTCTTGTAGATCTTGTCTCAATCTTGAAAAACTTCAAGAGAGCATCATACACGTCTCGGCATGTATCTCTCGTCTCGCATCTCTGAATCTCCATCTCGTCTCGCCATCGTAGCCAGACATGCTATTTGGGGCTAACTCGACTCCCTGGCAGTAACAAGTGCCTCGATGCCAACCACAACTCCACCCACAACCCGAAACATCAAACCCCTACCACCACCACCCTCTCCCCCCATCCTCGAATCCCAACATCAAGACGATCACTCCGATAATCATATTTCCTCCCCGACTTGATCGACTCCCTCACCTCCTGTTTCAATTCCTTCCCCCGTACAACTCTGTATTTTCACAGTGAAATCGACAAAACACTTGATATCTTTGGCGTAATATTCTATGACGATTGGGTGGATGTCTTGATTGTGTTTATTGTAAGATAGCAGTATTGAACTGATTTTTGCTGGAGGATGTTCGGTGGGGGTGCACATTTTAGGGGGCCGGCTGTTTGGGATGGATGGTTGGGAGATGGGGTTGGAAGGAAATGATGAGGGGGTTTTTTTTGAAGAAGGATTTTATGGATTGGTTTGTGGAGGACAAAGGAGTATATGCGAGAACTCGACTGCATCTATGAAGAGATCGAGGGTGTGAGAGAGTCGTCGAAGAGCAGCTTGAGAAATGGGTTTGACTCAGTGACTCACCGGTCATGCCAAGCGAGGTACTGTTGTACTTGTACATACAACTTGCAACCGTCGAAGAACATAGGTAACACCCAAAAGAAGACAAGTCGGTTTCTACGGAAAGATCATGATGGCTAATGTTCTTGATAGGTCGTTGTTTCATACCACTATCATCCTCTACTCAACTGATATAACCCCCCCACTTACAAACAAGATCCCTCAATCGAAGCAGTAGCATTCTTGACATAATTGCTCAACAACGATCCACCACAAACCAGTCCCCTAACAAAAGCCTGAGCAACCAAATCCGCACCCTTGGGCGCCGTATGCGTATGATCATTAGGGAAATAGCTGTTGACAGTCGACACGGGCAAAGGCTTGTACGCAGCGAAAGAATAAGCGTTGTGATCGACATAATCCACCTTTGCATTTGTGGCGGCGGTCTTTGCTAGGGCGACGAAGCGGGGAGGGGTGGAGACGAAGACGCCGGATTCGTCGGGGTTGTTGGGGGTTTGGGAGGAGATTATTACGTGGGCGCCCTTTGCTACGTAGGATTTTGCTGCTTGCTCGAGGTAGTAGGGGAAGGTGTGGACGGTCTCGGTGACACCGCTGGACATGAACATCAGAAAGTTGTTCTTGAGTATGAGGACTGGAAAGGTTTCCTTACTTGTAGGTGTATTGGCAAGTCTCGGTGCCACTGCCGGGGCAATCGGAACGGCCATTGTCAGGTGAGCTGGCTCCATCGTTGTGACCGAACTCGATGACCACAAAGTCTCCCTTTGTAATGAGTTTGCCAACCTCGTCAAAACGACCTTCACGAGTAAAGCTGCGAGCAGAACGTCCAGCAAAGGCCTTGTTGACGACCGGGATCTTCATCGAGTAGTGCAAGTATTGGCCCCAGCCTGTGAAAAGTATATGTCAGTCTGATGCTTATATCATGAGAGCTAGAAAGATCTTCTTACCTTCTGTGCCTTTACCACCACCTCCAGGAGCTGTGGTCGAGTCTCCGGTCAAGTATACGGTCTGGCCAGCAACTTGACCCACGAGGGCAAGAGCCAGGGGAATGATTGTGCTGAGCATGTTGAATAAGTTGATGCTCTGGAAAGAAGTCGACTGGTCTGTTGTTTGTCAAAAGGAAGTTGATGCTTTCGAGTAGGTATACCAGCGACACCCTCTACCTTATATAAACCCTACATTTCTTCCTGTGTCACCAGTATACTCGGCTCCCTCGTGTTAATGAACGCCGAGATATCTCTAACATACTACCAAAGCATGCTCGCGAAACTTTACTAATATTTGCATTTCAGCATCCACCTACAGGACAGGCTGGTCAGCCAAGAAAGGCTACCCGGCTGTGCCTATTGACGGAATATCTTTAGCAACAGCATCTGGGCCGGCGGGTTTTCTTGTCTATGCTCAAGCGAGAACGGATGGTTTTGAGAAGACGTGCACGTTCGGGTAATATGAAACAGTGCCCCCGAGTATGATCGGCAAGAAGATGTAAGCGATTGGCAAGATGTCACCGAGGGGTAGAGTGCGGAGAATGTGGAGGCGATGGAGATCTGCCCGTCGGGTGTGGAGGATTTTCCATACCCTCTATCAAGCAGATTGATCATGACGGCCATCGCTGGATCTGTTTCCGAGCAAGAAATTTCGACTGTTGTTCGTGCAGGAGAGGAAGCGACGTTCGAGTTGGCGAGTGCCGGTGCTTCGTTGCAGGCAGGTCTAGCCTAAACTTTCTACCGCTCTCGACTTGGCTGGCTTCTTTTCCTTGTCCCCTGCGGTTTCATCTTTTGGCATATGCTTGTGCTTGACACTTTCAAACTGAGACATGTTTGCCCTGTGACCTTCAACTTACGCGATCGAGACCGGTAACAACAATAGAACGGGTCTTATTGCTTTATGTATAGTGAAGCTCCCGTTCGTTCAGTCCTCTCACCTCACGGCCGACCGCCTCACCAGTCATCGATGTCTAGCAAGGTCTTCATGATCTGAGAAGAGGATCCAACTCTCAAAGAAGGTTGAAGCCGTGAAGACGAAGCTGGTGATAAAGTCTGGTTCGTTTGGTTGAACTTGACAAGCAAACACATCTAACTTCTTTACAAATTTCTTCATCACGATTTGTGACAAAGAATGACTGGTTTGAACGATGGACTGAATGTTGGATGTTATACGTACTGGCTATCAAAACCAACCGCTGAGTATCCAAGCCGTCTCCATTATTTTTCGAGCCGCTGCTCGAACCTTTGTCGACAAATCTGGTCAAAGGTTGCTCATGTTTGTGCTTGCTACTAGCCCACAACTCTTGACCGCTGCCAACTTAGTCCAACGCAACATGTCTAAGAAGCTTCCAGATGCAGTAGAGCCTTTAAGAGCTTACATTCTTTGTAGTCAGAGGATATATATATCTGGCTCTAGCCGGCTTCTCCAAGTCCAGTCTTGCACTCATTCGGTGTGTTTATAAAGGCGTAAGAGCTGATGGATCTTCTTTTACGAATCTGGCCTGCACTCTTCCTTTCCAATCAACATCAGCCAACATACTATACATTATCGTGGTGTTGCGCAGACACTCTTCCTCATCATCCATCTGTTCTCTTCTTCTTCAAAGCGAGGACTTATCAATACCAGCGCCACCGACTACAAGGTATGCTCTCAAGATACATGATGCTCCTTTTCCTTCTCTTTCTCTTTCTCTTTCTCCTTCTTCTTCTTCTTCTTCTTTTCCTCCTCATGGTCGATGTTGACCAGTCACAGGGTTCAAGATGACTTGCACCGCATGCCTCGAGAAGCTCGGGTAAGGATTTTTTACCTCGATGATGGCCTGGAGAGCCGACGCACGCAGGCATTTCCCTGGTGATCTGGTGATGCATTTGTGGTTTGGAACTAAGGACTCGGTTGACCCAACCGACCAGAGCCAGACAGTTGGAAGCTCGGTCAACGATCTCCTTGCCGACCTTGCGGAGCTCGATCCTGACCCTCTTAAACCCCCTATACCCCAATCCTCGCGGCTAGCTGGCATGCTTCCAACCATCAACCTTTCAATCCTCTTCAACACGCAGCATACAACCACAATATTCCAGAATCGTGGCAGCATAACAGCAGATATCTCGCAGTCGGCCTGCGCTTTCACACCTACCTACAACTCCACTCTGCGCACGTCTCTCCAACTGTCTCTTTTCCCAACAACATCAATTCAAGACAACGTCTACCAGCAATGATCCTAACGCGCAACATCTGCCGCAGGGGCCCTAACTTCCACGTTACCTGCCATATAAAGCACCCCTCGTTTCTGAATTTTCTTTTGCGCAGGTCAATATCACATCAAGATCACTTGCACACTCCCACCGTCACCACAGCAACTAGACCCCTGTCTCGTATCAATGTCTCCTATACTAACACCCGCGAGCAAAAGAAATGAGAGCAAGTTCCGCCCCCGCCCATTTTTCGGGCGCCGGCAAGCGCGCCGCCGCCGCCGCACCCGAGGCCCCCGAGCCAAAGCACGGCAAGGTGGAGGTCGGTGTGAGTACTGTTGGTGAAAGGAGAAAGGTGTTCGATGCTGATATATGTCATGTAGGGCCTAACCCGCGAGGAGCGTCTGGAACAGGGTGGTGACTAACCTACACCCTCTGTACCCATGCTCTTACTACGAGGACCTAGGCAATGGCGTAAAGATCCTCGTTATGCGAGGCCCACATGCGTAAGCAACTCCCCTTTCCTATCCGCAACTGGTCCCTGCTTCCGTGTCCTTGTGTACTGATTGAAGCTATCGGCAATAGTCTCAAGCAGGCTTACGGAAAAATATCCATTGGCGTTCCCCCAGTTTAATGTAGCTCGACTACTAGTTACATACACCGACACATCTTTTGCGCGCCATTATCTCTGCGTTGACACCCTTGACACAGCTCCTAACTACAAGCAAGAGCAATATAAACAAAGAGGTATGTCTTGTCGTCATCGATCCCGTTCCTGAGTTTGTGTATTGACCCGCAACGTGATCAGTCAAAACGACTTCTCCTCTCGTTCACACAACAACATAAGACCGAAAACGGTACCTCGGGACCCAGCCGCAAGACCAAGGAGGTCTGATGGTAGAGTTCCAGGCTCTTCGACCTGAGACTCTTGTCTCCCTCCTCGTCCACTCGTCCTCGTATTAAGGCACCCCTATCACAACATCTTGCTTACTCTTTCACACCTTAAGTTGCAAAACATGCAGCGCATTAGGACCGGGAGTAGGGGCTCCGTGCGAGACGTGACCATCTCCGGCATAGATGCTATCCCGTCCCGTCTACTAGGTACAGATGCTATTCCGCCCCGTCTACTAGGTACAGAAGACATCCTACGCCCGGCTGTACGTCGCCGTAACTTAAATAACGGAGAAGAAAGCATCTCTATGTTCGAAATCCTGCAGTAACGCGAGGAGCACCTTACTCCCTCGGCCGTAGCAGCTACATAGCGGTCGAGGGAAGTTTAAGCTAGGCCTCTGCTAATTACTACTAGAGAACACGAAGGATGTAAGTCTTTCTCCTAGTTAGCCCTATCCTAGAGCTAAGCTAACTGTTTGCAGATAACCTAGATACTGTTAAAATTTAACAACAAAACTACGAAGAGATAATTTCGCGTGTCGTACCAGAAGATGAGCAAGCTAACAAGCTAACTAGCCGCTTAATCCGCGTAGCAGTTCGTGCTAGCAAGCTCCTAAAGATCACCAAGCGGAAGCGAGATAACTAGGTCGAAGGTAGCATCCATCACGAGGTGCCTATTTAAATGAGGTTTTGTCAAAGGTAGCATTCCCGGGCTCAATTTCTTTCTGCATACACTAGTATCTTGTCATAAGAAGCGATACTCGTCTTAATGTCCTACTTCGCATTGCAAGAGCTTCGACTTTATTAAGACCTTTGCTCGGCGCGCGCCTTTGCAACGCGAACTAGATTCCCTCCCCCCGTCTTGTCTAATCATTCACCAAAACACTGACGACATAGTTGTTCTCCCTCTGCACGCGATCTACCCCAAGGAATCTCATATATACTCCAGCAAAAGCCCTATAATGGTCGCTACAAGAGCATCAGCTCCCGCCGATGCGATGAGTACCTGTAGGATCACTAGTGGCATAGTCGGCAAGAATACCACCTTCACCGCCAGCCAAGTTAGCCAGCTTAAGAAGCATATTACGATATCCAAGGGCTCAAAGAAGACGCCTATCATCAGAATCCCTGCGGCCGAGGTCGTAAAGGCCAACAAGAAGGACCAGACCGGCAGAACCTCCCCCTCGCCTATCATTAAGATCCCTGCGACTAAGGTCATTAAAAGCCGACAAGAAAGCTTAGACTGCCGAAATGCTCCACTCTACTTCCCTTAAGAAGATCCGCTAGACTGCTAGGTATGATCGCTTTCAAGTGGGAGAGAAATTCCTCTCGTGCTACTGAACACGACTAGACCCAATTCTAGTTTGAGGGGTTGGTGACGCTGGGCGTACGCTCCCAGGAGATGACATAATTACCGTACTTCTTTGCCAACTGACGCTGAGTTCGTGGCAATGATATATAGACAGGCGTTCCATTTTCATCGATGTCGTCTACAACAGGTCTTGGTTTTGGCATTTCGGGAACCCTTGAAGGCGATATTGCTTCCTGCGTAGTCGGAGCCATGTCTTTGCGACATCGGACCCATTCCTCCAGATGTTTTCGAAGAATCGGGACCTCAACATCCAGGTTGCGTCGTTGTGGCCAATACTCGAGGTTCATCACTACGTCCGGGTTTCGCTCTGACGGCGGCAAGCGCTGGTATGAATCATCCAGTGTGATGATCTCGTATAGAGTGAAGATTACACCCTTGATGTCGTTTAGCTCCTCAGCCCACCCGAGCTGTCCAATCGAGCTCGCGCGATCGAAGTCGAACAGTTGAAGCTGATGGCCTTCTGACGCTTGCTCAAGACAGATGATATTCCTGGGTGCGATATCTTGATGAGCGACTCGCAGCTCTAGGTTCAAGAAGTCAACCACAGACGTCAACTGACATAGCCAATCGAGCTTAAATATCTGCTCGCGATCATCATGAATGGTGTGTGCAGATATGTATGGAACAGTGAGCCCCAGGATGTGCTGCGATGTCATGTCGTCAACAACAATGCGATCCAGAGGGACAAGATTAGGATGTCGAGGCAAAGAGTAGAGCATATTGATTTCCCACCACCTTCGCCCTCTAAACTGCATGATCGGCGCACTTTTGAACACCACTTTCTTGACAATGCCGTTCTCATCTTTGTAACTCGCGAGATCTACGCCAGGACCAAAACGATCCAGCTCCACCAGTTTGGACATTTCTATGGTCGGACATCCTTGAATACTGGGGGCGTCATGAAGACTCGGATAGAAAACGGCATATTCTGGATCCTCTTCGGGGTTGGATGAAGTCGAGACAAGAGAACCTTCCGCATCGACCCGGATCGTATGAACGCCAGGGTCGAGTTGATTCATGTAGCGTCTCAAAACATCAATTGCTGCGCATCCATCCTTCTCTTGATCTTCTATTTTCAAAAAGCTCGAAGGGCCAGAAATTGTGTAGTGACGTTGCTGGTCCCAGTCCATGACGAAGACCTCGTCGTCGAGATAATCGGTCATGCCTCCATCGGCCCAGAAACGGTAGTCGGGATCAATCATTGCAGGAAGACATACTCCGGAGGAAACTGATTGTAGTCGATGAGAGGAATGTGAACAGTACTTGTGGCAGATAGGTAAGATCTACTTATAGATTGGAGATGCGTAAGCTGCAACTTTCACGCGCGCGGCTAAACAACCAATCGTATTACTTTTGTCGGATTTGAATATTGGGCTGCCATGACTTTTTGATCCGTTCGGGTGGAGCCAAGAATTAATGTTTGTGTCTTTTTGAAGGTTCGGCTTTGACTATCTTAGTGGTCGGTCGTTTGACGTTCGTGTAGAGGCATCCGTCAACGTCGGGCGAAATGTGTCTGTGATATGTAAGCACACCATTTCGATGTTTTCTACTCGCCTTCTTCGCTGTCAGTCTGCCGCTGATTCGTGTCGGTCGATTCATGTACACCTTCAGTCGCCGATGCATTTCCCTAGCAGTTGGAGTCAAGTGCACTGCACGTGTGGGGAGTCGGAGGAGAGAGAGAATAAAATGGCAAGCGACTTTTGTACACGATGCTCTAAAAGTCAAATGCTGCTGAAATACATGTACAGTACAGAAGACATGAAAAGAGGAGAGAAAAAGGAAAAAAGGGGTGGAGGCTGATAGGTAGGTGGTAGGGGTGAGAAGTTGGGTGGTCGGGTGAGAGAAAGGCTCCGCAAAACACAACAAAGGTCTGTCTATCGCATTGAAGCAATTGTCGTGGTCGCGATATTGGAAGTATGTTTTTGAAGTCGTTTTTGCGTTTTTTGTGTTGCTCGCTCTCGTCTATTGTCCATTTTACCCAGCATTAAAAAGTCGAAAGATTGGAGGAAATAATTCTCTAACCAATGACCATGGAGTTCTCCTCGACGAAGTCGTACTCGGGAACCTCGAGGTTCAAAGGGGCGGGACCCTTGCGGATACGGCCAGAAATGTCGTAATGTGAACCGTGGCAAGGGCAGAACCAGCCGCCGAAGTCACCAGCCTCGCCAATGGGCACACAACCCAAGTGGGTGCAGACACCTGATGTAGATGTCAGTACTGTTTGTTATTTCGTGTCGACTGGGGCAGAAGAACGTACCCAACATGACGAGCCACTCAGGCTTCTTGACTCTGTCGGCATCCGGCTGGGGGTCACGGAGAGCCTCCCACTTGGTGTCCTCGGCCTCCTTGATCTCGTCGGCGGTACGGTGTCTGACGAAGACGGGCTTTCCTCTCCACTTGATGATGACGTTCTTGCCCTCGGGGATGGCGGCAAGATCAATCTCAACCTTGGCCTGAGCCAAGACATCGGCGGAGGCCGACATGTTGACGAGGAAGTCTGCGGTATGTGTTAGAACCGTGGCTGCTGGCTGGTTGTGTCCAATTGGAGGGTGCGGGCATACCCTGAACGGTGGCCTTTGCGCCGAGAGCGGTCACAGCGCCGAAGGTGCCGACCATGAAGTACTGGAAGACCTTGTTCTGGGTCTCGCCGCCAGTGCTGCGGTACTTCTTGAAGTCGGGGATGGCGGTGGTGTCGCGGTGGTTGCTGGTGCCACGGAAGGGCGAGGAGTAGCTCTCGGCGGTGGTGGCGCTGGAACCAGCATTGCGGACCTGGAGGGCGGCGACAGACGAGCGGACGGCCGAGGGGCGGGCGCATTGGCGAGCCAGAGAGGCTGCCGTCGAGACTGAGAGAAGAGACATAGTGGGATGTGAGAGGAGACGGGGAGCTGGACGGAGGTTGCTGCAACTGAGGAGGCTAGACGTCGTCGTCGGAACAATTCGTTGCACTTCGCGACTTCCCAACTTCCCAATCCCGTAGGGCTGAGAATCTGGTCAGCAAACACGTGACTGCCAGCCAATCACATCCGGACTCTTCACTATCACTACGTCTTCTATTTATTGCCTCGCCAACTCGTCTACTCCTTCCTCTTCTCAACAACAACATTTGTCCATCAACATGGTCAAGAGAAAGGAAGCACCAGACGGTGTAGTCAATGAACGCTCCACACGCAAGTCTCCTCGCTCGACAACCAAGTCTTCCACAATGTCAGATTCTGCCAAGCCGAAGAGCTCAACCTCGGAAGCGAGCAAGAAACAGGCCAGAAGGCCAATCATCAAGAGATCAAATGACAGTGACGACGACGACGATTCCAGCGATGACACCAGTGAACCCGCAAAGCATAAGACCTCTGCTACCGAGGTAAAGGCACCCATCACTAAGTCCAGCAAGGCTCACGGCACCAAGAAGAAGGTTGCCCAGAAGTCTACCAACAACGACGATGATGAGAGTGAAGATGCCGAAGATGAGAGTGAAGAAGAAAAGCCAAGGAAACCTGCTACTACCACAAAGTCTGCCATTGCAAAGAAGGAAGCCCTCAAGAGAGCTCACGAGAGTGATAGTGATGACGTCGAGGAAGTTGTCGCTCCGAGCAGAAGCAGCATCAAGGCCAATACCGACACTTCTGCGTTCCCGGCTGCTAAGAAACAACTGATCGAACCACCATTGAGCAGTCGCGACATTGTGGAAAACTACAACGACGAGAGTGACGAAGATGACACACAGCCCAAGACTTCTGAATCGTTAATCACAAAGAAGTCTACAGTCGAAATTGACTCCGAGGATGATAGTGACGACGACGACAAAAAGCTCAAGCCCAAGGCACTCTCGTCGGTTGTCAAGAAGCTAGCCGCTAAAAAGACATCCGCCAACCTGTCCAAGGCCAGTGATGAAGATGACTCCGAGGACGACGCCTCCGTGCATGGCAGCAAAGCCACAAAGCCCAAGTCCAAGGCTCCCACCTCATCCGCTAAGAAGTTGCCTGTCAATAAGGCCACCGTCAAGCCATCCAAGAGTGATACCGAAGACGAATCTGCAGACGAATCCGCCAACCAGGTCAGGAAAGGCACAAAGGCCAAGCCAACCGTCAACAAGGTACCCGCCAAACCTACTAACAGTCGTGAGACCGACAGCGAAACTGAGGATGACAGCGAGGAGGACGATGACGATGACTTGACCAGTAAAGTCACAAAGGCAAAACCGAAGACCTTTACCTCTTCGACCACCAAGAAGCAATCTGGCAAGGCACCAGTCCCTGCTCCCGAGGACGACGAAGAAGAAGAAGAAGATGATGATGAAGACGACGAAGAAGAGCCTGCCATCGTTTTTTCAGAGTACAAGGGCGACCTCTTTGCCGCGCCCCCCAAGTCCCTCCTCCTCCACGCCTGCAACTGCGAAGGAAGCTGGAACAAAGGCATCGCCTACGAATTCCAAAAGAAATACCCTGACCATTACGCCAAATACTCCAACCACTGCCGTGACAACGGTATCGAAGCCATCATCGGAACATGCCTCATCATCCCTCCACAAAGTGTTGGCAGCGACCATTGGGTCGGTTGCCTCTTCACCAGTCGCAAGTATGGCAGAGGTAAGGACAAAAAGGACAAGATTCTGGAACAGACCGAAAGAGCAGTGGAACATTTGGTTGAGCAGATTGAGAACATGGTTGAGAGACCCAAGCTGATCTGGATGCCCAAGATCAACTCTGGCTTGTTCAAGGTTCCTTGGAGCGAGACCAAGAAACAGATTGCAGAAATTACCTGCAAGGACGGTCTTCACATCATGATCGTGGACAAGAAGTAAGTATGATCTCTACGCCGTCCTCATGAAAAAAGAAGAGATTCGAAAGTCTACAGAATACTCCATGAGATCAATCAAGCATAGCGACTTGACCGACGCCGCCAACCGAGGCTACGAACTACGACGAAACAAGAAGATCATTATTTCCAACATCACGAATATGATAATTGCTTCTTATACATACTAATGCAGGAAAAGCGACTATGCTTTTCGTTAGGACGAGCACCCCATCCAGTTAACCACATACGAAGGAAAGAAGAGTCACCGGCAGAATATTGCTGAAAATTGACACTGGTCAAGGACGACTCGATAGACTCACGAGCGCCAGAAAGCAGCAGTAATTACTTAATCTTCAATTGAACTTTCTGGTCTTCTTCCACCTATTCTTGCAAGCGTGTGACACCCTCAGCTATTATAAAGTGACATGTTGTGCTTTTGGAATTCTCACACATTCAGTCGTGTTCAAGTGTTGAAAACAGTAATTGCCCAACCGCCTGCAAAGTATACTTGATCAATCAAGGACGACTGAAGCCCATTCACGACAGTCGAAAGAGGTTACAATTTGAGTCAATTTTTCGAATGCATTTTTCTGATTTTCTTTTATTTTCTCTGGGTGCAAAAAAAGGCATGCATCGCCATGGACAGCAACTGTGCCCTCATCATGTGAAAACGCCATCCTCTGTGCCTTTTGTATTCCTACACACTCCCAAATTGGTACTCCCCGTCCCATCCACCAACCCAAAAAAAACTAAGTCAGAGAAGAAATAAAAACTACTCATGCAAGAAAGGAAGAAAATCCGGTAATCTCCATTTATCCCGTTCGCAATCTCTTAATAAATGTTTTTGATCATCTCTCTTCGCTGCGGCGAGGACATGTGATGAGGGCCAAGCGGCTCGTAGCGGGAGCGCTTGTTTCGCATAGAGTGTACGAGATTGAGGATGGGGCGGATGGAGAGGAGGAGGATAAAGCAGCCGACGAGGACGGAGAGGACGATGAGGAGGATGATGGGCCATGACAAGCGTTTCTTGGAGAGTCAGTTGTTCTCTTGCTCCCAGCCCGCAGGCTTGTCCAAGTTGTTGAGTTCGTAGTAACGTGCGGTACCTGTGCAGTGAAGGTCAGCGATTGCCATTTCCATGTGTAGCAGTGGAAAGGGATTTTCTTACATGAGTAGCCGTTCCAGTCGAAGTTGTCCTTGGGGTTGCAGTGGCATTTGTGGTCCATTCTGTACTGCTCGCCTGTGGGGCAGTGGGTGAAGGGGACGTGGTAGTAGGCAATGTCGTTGAAGAAGTGGATTTCCTCCTTCTTGAGTGTCAGGCCGGCTGCGATGGAGTGGACGGGGGCATCTCCCCAGCGCTCGTAGAAGAAACCGCCGTCCTTGTCGAGGGCGTCGAAGTAATCGAGGTAGGCGGGGCTGCGGAGCCAGTCGAGGTTGCCGATTTCGAAGTTGGACCACTGGACATGAATTAGTATGCTGATTGGAACTAGCTGCTTGCGGAGATACTCACGAAATGGCAGTGGTTGTAAGTGTCACCACCGTCGTCAGAAAGGAAGCCCATGGAGTTACCCTCGACAATGTGCTCGGGGTGGTTCTTCATCCACTTCTTGGTGCTCTCCCACAAGGTGGGAATAGTCTCGACATATTCGTACAGGGAAAGGGTGAAACTGTACTTCTTCTTGTTGTCGGCCATGAACTTGAAAGTGTCGTACTCAATGTCGCAGAAGAGCTCAATGCTGGGCTCAACGCGCCAGTACCATTCGTAATCGAGCATCAAGGGGTGACGGAAGAAGAAGCCGGACTCGTAACGACACATGTGTCTGTAACTGATCGAGTCTCCGTAGATGATCTTTCTGGCAGCCATGTCGGCGCGCACCTTGGCAGCCTTGTCCTGGTCAATCCACTCGGGGAAAGACCAGTGCTCCTTGGGGATCTCGCCATACTTTGTGTTTCCGGAAGTCAGGGCCGAAGTGACCTTCTTGAATTGGTCGTCAAAGGGCTGGTCGTTCAGGAAGACCCAGTCGTAGTTGAACTTCTTGTTGAAGCGGTCTTCGACCTGGCGAATGGAACGAGCAATCTCCCAAACGTCCGAGTTGCGGGCAAGAGTAACGAAGGTGGCGTTCATGCGAGGACCGGGGTCCTTTGCGGGAGGCAGACCGGCGTGGGTGTTGGGGGTGGTGCCCTGGTCAGGGTGAGATTCCTTGACATCGCCGTGGGACTCTTGCGAGCCACGCCATCTTGAACTCGAGTCCTTAAGCAAGTCTGTGGCACTCTGGGCATATTCGCGTCCGGGGACTGATGAAGAGCTGGAAATGAAGAAGAGGACGACAAGTGCGACAATCGCAAAGACGATGTATCGCAGATACCTGGCCGCCATTGTTGCGATGGAGTCGGAAACAGGTCAGTTGAAACAGAAAGGAAGGGGGGAGTTGTCGTTAAAATGCCACGAGGGCAGGAATAGCAGCAGGTCCAACGACTCGCGCTATTTGTGGAGAAGGGTTTGGCGGAGAAAAGCCAAAGGTGTTAAAGGAGTGGCTACGGGATTGAGACAAATGCCTAACGTCCCATATAGTGAACGGCGAGAAGGAAGAGACAAGATAAAGAAGGGAAGGAAGCGATCGTCCCGATACAGCTGGGCGACGTGCGCAATTTGTATTAAAAGCAGCGTGCTATCTATGTATTCTCACAGCTTGTAGGGGTGAAAAAAGGGGTGAGCAGACCACCGCGCGTTCAGCCCTTCAGGAGTGTGGCTAGAGCTTCCCTTGACACAAAAGTCCAATCATCCCTGCGTACGCAAGAACAACGCAAGCAACGGTTCAACATATATTCGTATCCCCAAGCTTGGCCCGTACTCAGCATAGTGCTTAGGCTACTTTCAGCCTCAGACCCGGCTGCGATTCTCGTGACTTTTCGTGATGTTTCCTTGGCACTTGGAGTCGGATATTCTCCGGGCATCGGCCAATGTCATCACCGTCCATCGTTCATCGCTGAGAGAGTCAAGCTGGCCCGCCGCCGTCATATTGCTGCTGCTTGATACCGCTGCCGCATTCTTCCTGAGCGCATACCCCGCGCGTCACTTTCACTACTTGTACCAGCCTTCAGTGATTGACTGGAGTTGACAAGTCTCGACATCTGTAGTCCTCGGTCGACTGCAGTTCAACCCCTCCCACCCTCCCTAGTGTTTCCGCAAGCTTTCGCTACTCATCATGTCTTTCTTCGGCTTCGACACGAACCTCCCTCGGGACAAGCAAGACAGAGATGCTGGTCGCGGCTTCTTTGCCGGCCAGCAGGATGCCTTTGCCTTTGCCAATCGCGACAATGCCGCCGAGCAGGGCGACGTGTGAGTCTCGTCACTTGGATGCAATGCTCTCGATCCTGACTGAACACGCCGCAGCCTCAACTTCGATGATTCATACGATGCCTTGGGTGACAAGCTCGACGAGGCTGGCGATGCCTTCAACGACGATACCTTTGGTGGTGGTGGCCGTGTAGGCAAGGACTTCGACTTCTTCGGCACCACCAACAAGGTCGCCGGTACTCTGGAAGAAGAGCAGGCACTTCACTATGCCCGTCAACCTCCCCCGAATCAGCAGCGCTTCCAACACCAGCAACAGCAACAACCCAAGCCCGCTCGTTCTGGTTACGAAAACTACTCCAAGCCCGAGTACATCCCTCAGCTCGAAGCCAATGCCAGCATCTGGGGTCTTCCTTCCAAAAGACCCAATCAACAGCAGCAGCAGCAGCAGCAACAGCAGGAGCCCCAGTTCAAGCCCTCGACTCCTGCTAGCAGAAAGATGATGAGCCTCGAGGAGGTCGAGGCTTCAATGCGCGCCCAGTCACGACCCCTGTCTGGCGCCATGAACATGCCTCAGCAGCACACTCCCGTCCAGGAGCCTTTCGGTGCTCCAGGAAGCTTCCCCGGTGTGCAGCAGATGCAACAACACACTCCGCGACAGCCCTCGAGAGAGCCTCAGATGGCTTCTCCTTTCCCTCAAGCCCCCCACATGCCCGTCCAGCCTCCGCCAGGCATGCAAAACCCCGGTTTGATCGCTCAGCAGCTCCAACAACAGATGCCCCCCACTGGCTCTCCTTCCGGTCCCCCACCCGGCGAGTCAGGCCATGGCCACCGCGGCTCCTACTCTGGTCCTCCCATCACCCAGGCCAACCAGATGATGCAGCTGTCCGATGAGCAGCGTGCCCACTTCCTCGCTGAAGAAGCAAAACGCGCCAAGCGCAACCACAAGATCTTCTTGCTGTCCAAGGACAACGGCCTCATGACTCCCCAAGACAAGAACTTCATCACTCGCATTCAGCTGCAACAGCTCCTTACTGCCACTGGTGGCGTCGACGAGCAGTCTTCGGATGCTCAACTGGCCGAGGACTTTTACTACCAGGTTTACGCTCAGATCCGTGGTGCCCCAAGACAACACCCCGGTCAGCCTCTGAACCAGTTTGCTCAGACCTACCTTTTCCAGACCGGTGGTCGCTATGGAGCAGGCCGCAGACATCCTCGTGGTGGTGATAACCACATGCAGAGAATGGAGCAGCAGGTTCAGCGCGCTGTCGAGGCTGCCAAGGCCAGACCCAAGAATAGACAACTGATTGTCGAGGGTAGCTTGGGCAAGATTGCTTTCAGCAACTCCAAGACACCCCGTCCTCTACTGAGCTTCAAGCGCCCCGACAGTGAGAGCAAGACTCCCAGTCAAAGAGCTGCCAAGCCTAGCGTTGCGGATCGCAAGTCCACTCTTCGCAACATCGAAAACGTATACGAGACTTTGATGCAAATGGAAGACCACGAGCGTCACCTCCCGCCGCCACCAAATGAGGAGAGTCACCCTGATGCTATTCAGCGCCACATAGAATGGAGACAGAGGGCTCACGAGCTCAACCAGAAGCTGTGGTTCAACCTACGAGTTATGGAGCCCATCCAGCAAAATCCTTCAAGTCCTCACCCTTTCATTGCCATCTTGTCTCACGCCAAGGGCAAGAAGGCCATTCCCCGTGTCTTCCGCCACATCGACGACCAACAGCGTCTGACCATTTTGACCATTCTCATCATCCACCTCGACATCCTCGATGTCATCCGTTTGGCATACCCTCACCCTGACGAACCTCAATTGCCTCGCGCCGTCCGTGATGAAGTCGAGCTGTTCAGCCAAGCTGTCATTCCTACTCTGCTTGCCTACATTGGCGATGCTCCGCTCAACATTATTAGCGGTCTTGTTGGCCTTGTCCTCGACAGAGTAAATGTGCAAGCAATCGTCCGCACCAAGATTGGTGTTGCCATGCTCACCATGCTCGTCTCGCGCGCCTTCCTCGTCAAGCAACAAGCAAGTGCTCAAGTCTCGGATGAAGACTGGGCACAATGGACTCAGCTCTACAACCGTCTCTTCGACCTAGCTGAGCCCGTCCTTCCTTACATATTCACCACCGATAACGTCAACACCAGCAACGATTTCGAGATCTGGCAGTTCTTGGCTACTATGGGTGTCAGCGCCAGTCCCGAGCAACAACAACGTTTGGTCTTGGGCGTCAAGGACAGAGTCATGGCTACTGTGGAGATCTCCAAGCAACTGCCTCAAGACATGGCCGCTAGAAAATTGGGCGAGGTCAACCTTTTCATGAGAGCCATTGGTTTGGATGTTGAGTTGCTGGGTTAATTGCAACATGAGTTTCTAGCCGAAAGAAACAAGGCAAGAGTCAAGACTGTATTTGGGGATACAAGTCAACTCTTCCTCCTTTTATCTCGGCAGGACCTTTCTTGTTCCTTTTACGAAAACGAAGTCATTGGACCAAAAGACATTGCATGAATTGACTAGCTATTTAATGAAGAAGCAAAACAAAGCGAAGCGTGCCATTGCTCAAAGTTAAGAACGAAACACTATAAAAAGAATAGAAAAGCAAAAAAGATCAAAATTTCTACATTTGCCATTTTCTCAAAACGAATGTTACCGTCCTGACTGGCACTACGCTCATCGGACAAAACCTAGGAACACTCTCAACAGTTAAACATCTACATTCATGATCAGGAGAGGGGCTCGAGGGGTAGACGTTGTGTATGTGGATGCTAAATGCTGACTCGCACCTGTCCAATATCGATTTTCCCAAGAGGGAGAGAGTCATGTCAGGAGTGGCTGGTGCTGGTGGCTTAAGGACAGGGTGACACCCCATACCACTACTTTTTGACAATGATGGTGTTTTTCTCTTCACCCATGACATTTTTGTTGCAGTGTACTATGTGATCATGTGTAATATCGTTCTCCGGGTGTTCTTGGGTAATATTGGGCTGGGAGACCCGAGGTGTCGTTGTTGATGGCGGGTTTTGTGATTTTGATATTCGAGTTTTAGGAAATGGATGGTAGACATTGCGGGATGAGCACAAGAGTCGGGGATTGTGGGTGGGTTGGAAAAAATGCGTGAGATGATAGGTCAGGTACATTAGGTTACAGCTAGGCACATGGGAGTGTCATGCAACGGAATATTCGTGGATGGAACGTAGTGTTGAAGTTTGATCATGGAAAAGTAGAGAGGCAGGGTGACCCCGTGCAACCAGAAATAGTTGAGGTCGAATAATTCTAGAGCGTTTCATATCTCCCTTCTCCTTGCCTTCTAGTTGCCAGACAGGTATTCACCAACACCCTTGATAGCATCGTTAAACTTGCTCGCCTCGACAAGAATCAAATGTCCCTGCGGCCTAATACCCGCTTCCTGGAACGCCCTCTTCGCATCCGACGCACCGTCCTCACCCACCTTGTCGTGATCAAAGTTTCCACTTCCCACACTGAACCTCTGCAAAGCCTCATCCTCGGGGTGGAAATAGAACGTCAGCGCCTCTTGCTGTTTCTTGCCCTTCTTTTGCGGTCTGTTTTCTTGAGCGTCCAGCTTGCTCTCGACTTCGGTGTAGGTTTTTGAGAGGATGAGGTAGTGGGTGAAATTGTAAGGTTCCTTTTCGTCGATCGCCCATTGGATTTCTTCTTGCAGCATTGTGTACATTGGCGTGACGATTTCCGAGGGCATGTTGATGAAGCGTTCGGTGAGGATGAGACCGACCTCTGCCTTTGACTCTGGGGCCAATAATTGCGGCAATGTGGATTCCAAGCTGGGGATGGAGGTTGCCTTGCGCGACAGGTATTTTGTCAAGTCTTGGATTACGGGGTGGTCTTTGTGTTGGGCGAGGTTTAGGACTGTGAGGAAGGCGTAGGGGTCGCTTTCGTTGCCGTCGACTTTTACGGTGCTGCCGAGCATGGGTTGGGAGAGGATTAGGTCGGTGAGGGCGGAGAGGTTGAAGAGGTCGTTGTCCACGTCGAGGAGTTGGCGGAGGAGTGTTTTGAGACCGTGGAAGTCGACGGCGGGTTGGGGGTCGAACCATTCAAAGTCGACGTCGATCATGTCTTCGTCCTGGTAGTAACTATGTCAGTTTCATGTCTTGATCGTACTGTTGCGCATTGCTTTGGTGCTGTAGTGGGAATGGACGGCGTACGTCGCTGCTTGACTCGTCGTCGTCGCGCATCTTGGTGTCCTTGACGGGCGCGTCCTCTGCTGTTGTCTTTCTCTTAGGCATGTTGATTGATGTGATGTGGTGATTTGTCAATGAGGTCGAGCAAAAAAGTTGCGATCAAGGTGCATCAACTTTTCGACATGCACGCCAAGACCCCGCAACTTTGCATGTGATGGTGATGCCTCTGACGACCTTCGAGATCTAGAATATCTTTATGCATCAACTCAAGTTTAACAAGTTTATCATCACCTCCCAAACTTCGTGATGGCCAAAAGCTCATATCGATCGCTCTTGTCTTCGGACGAATTCGTCATCAGCTGTGGCACAGTCCCACTAGATATCACCCACAAGAAAGTGCTCCTGGTCAGGGAGCGCAAGACCAACGAATTCCTTCTCCCAAAAGGTCGCAAAGATATGGGCGAGGACTTGCAAGCAACGGCTGTTCGAGAGACGATTGAAGAAACTGGTTATGCAGCAACTATCCTCCCTCTCAAAACTGCGACACACGCTACAAACGATCACGGCGGTAAGCATACAGAACCTATCGCTAGAACGGAAAGAAAGTCTGGCGACGTTCTAAAGACAATCTACTGGTTTGCGTCAAGTGTGGACTCGCAAGGTGCACATCAGCAAGATACACAGCAAGAGGGAGAAGATTTTGAATCTGTTTGGATGAATCCGGACGAGGCAATTGAGCGCTTGACATATCATGACGACCGAGAAGTTGCTAGGATGGTGATAGATGCAGCATTTGGGACCTAGTATTTTGCATGGCGATGTTTCACTCTTGTGGCTTCTTGATGTGTCTGCTTAACTTTATGCATCTCTGCACATCTTATCCTCATCGGGCAACTTGAGCGAGCATGAACCTTCATCTTCCTCAGACATCGCTTTCGCGTAATGCTAGCCGACTGGAAACTCAGACCATCCCATTATGTAGACACAAGCGAACTGACTTGGCGCTTGGATCTAATATCCTATAAGTTCCTCTTTTCATCTTGCGCCTTTTGCCTTTATCCCTACAGTTGACCTCACCAACTGACCATGACCATGGATAGCCTGACCAAAAAGACTCTGGATGTCTCGCGCTCCCTGACATATACCTACTATACTCATCCACCTTCACGACCAGAGAACCCCACAGTGCTGTGTATTCATGGCTTTCCTGACGAGGCCGCTGAGTGGGCGGACCTAGCTACTACTCACCTGATTCCTGCTGGCTACGGCGTCATCGCTGTTGACTGCCTCGGCTATGCTGGAACATCCAAGCCTCTCGACCCTGCCCTATACGCTTTCGAACACATGACCAAGGATCTTGCAGAGATTCTCGACAATGAGAAGATCCAGAAAGTTGTGTCTTTGGGCCATGACTGGGGTTGTTCCTTCGCCCAGAGATTCTACAACTATCATCCCGATCGTGTCCTGGGACTCGTCATGATCAATGTTGCCTACAATGCCCCCGGAGACAAAGCCTTCGACTTGGATGCAGCCAACGAGATGAGCAAAAAGTTATTCGGTTACGCTACTCAGCCTTACTGGTACCTGTTCTCAAGCGAAGATGGTTATAAGCTCCTCGACGAGCATCTGGAAAGCTGCTTTACCGTTCTGCATGGTCCTCCTGAGAGCTGGCTCGACACAACCTGCAAGTACGATGGCCTCAAGGACTACCTGATCGCGGACAAGAAACAGCAAACCGAGCCTTATGCTACCGAAGAGATGATGAACGCCTTCATAACTCGTTTCAAGCGTGACGGCTTTGCTGCGCCTACATGTTGGTACAAAGCCATTGTTGGTGGTCACCAAAACTTTGAAGCAAAGAAAGTCAAGGCTATGGTCGTTGAGGTACCTTCATTGTATATCGGATTTGACAACGACAAAGTTTGCCGTCCAGAATTGATTAATATGGGCATCAAGAACGGCTTCTTGCCGAAGCTCACAAATGTGAAGCTTGAGGGCGGCCACTGGGGTCTCCTTGCCAATGCAGACAAGTTTGGCAAGACTATTGTGGATTGGCTGAAGAAGGAAATCGATGTATCGCGGGCCGATAACTCCAGACTGTAGTCTCAATGTAACATAACTAGAGAAGGATATATCACGAGCAAGTGAAGATAGGTTTCTACAATCGTTCGCGTCGAGACCGAGGCAGCGATAAGGGCTTGATAAGTGACGCCAAGAGAATCCATGCCTAATCAAGTAAAGCGTTTCAGGCCTTCGAGGTCGGACCCTTGATCCGTTGCATTTCTCTGAGGAGAAAAATTATTGATCTCGTCGTGTGTCATCCACCTTTCACCTTCTCTTTATAGTCTTGTAGCGCAGCAAGTCGCATCAAAGACACACGACCATCACAATGGCCGACTCAACCACCAATGTCCCTCCCCCACCCCACACCATCTTCGACACCATCTTGGTGCTCGACTTCGGATCGCAATACACACACTTGATCACCCGCCGTCTGCGCGAGCTGAGCATCTACTCTGAGATGCTCCCTTGCACTCAGAAGATCTCAGAGCTCTCCTTCAAGCCCAAGGGTATTATCCTTTCTGGTGGACCTTACTCTGTTTACTGGGACGATGCACCCCACGTTGACCCCGCCGTCTTCGAGATGGGCGTCCCAATTCTCGGCATCTGCTACGGTCTCCAGGAGATCGCATGGCACAGCGACCAGAAGAACGTCGTTGCTGGCGAGAAGCGCGAGTACGGACACGCCATCTTGAACGTCCAGAAGCACTCTGGCAAGACCGCCCACGTTGACGCTCTCTTTGCTGGTCTCGAGGAGGACATGGACGTCTGGATGTCCCACGGTGACAAGCTCTCTCAGCGCCCTGCTGGCTTCGTCACTGTCGCCGCTTCCGAGAACGCACCTTACGCCGGTATTGCCCACGAGGAGAAGGAGTGGTTCGGTATCCAATTCCACCCCGAGGTGACTCACACCAAGAAGGGCACGCCCTTGATCAAGAACTTCGCCGTCAGCATTTGCGGTGCCAAGCAAGATTGGACCATGGACGCCTTTGTTGGCAAGGAGATTGACAGAATTAGAGCCCTTGTTGGCCCCAAGGGACAAGTCATTGGTGCTGTCAGCGGTGGTGTTGACTCCACTGTTGCCGCCAAGCTCATGCACGAGGCCATTGGTGACAGATTCCACGCCATCATGGTCGACAACGGTGTCCTGCGCTTGAACGAGGCCAAGCAGGTCAAGGAGACCCTTACCGCCGGGCTCGGCATCAACCTTACCGTTATTGACGCCTCCGACCGCTTCCTCGACCTGCTCGCAGGTGTCAAGGACGACCCCGAGAAGAAGCGCAAGATTATCGGAAACACTTTCATCGAGATCTTCCAGGAGAAGGCAAAGGAGATTGCTGCTGCTGCCAAGGGCTCTGCCAACGAGGGCGAAATTGAGTGGCTCCTTCAGGGTACCCTCTACCCCGATGTTATTGAGAGTATCTCCTTCAAGGGCCCCAGTGCCACCATCAAGACCCACCACAACGTTGGAGGTCTGCTCGAGGGCATGCACCTTAAGCTCATTGAGCCTCTGAGAGAGCTCTTCAAGGACGAGGTTCGTGCCCTAGGTACTCAGCTCGGCATTCCGGAGGACCTTGTCTGGAGACACCCCTTCCCCGGCCCTGGTCTTGCTATCCGCATTATTGGTGAGGTTACTCGCGACCAGGTCCGCATTGCCCAGCAGGCCGACTTCATCTTCATCGATGAGATCAAGAAGGCTGGCTACTACAAGCAGATCAGTCAGGCATACGCCGCTCTTCTGCCTGTCAAGGCCGTCGGTGTCATGGGCGACAAGAGAGTTCACGCTCAAGTCATTGCTCTGAGAGCCGTCGAGACCACCGACTTCATGACCGCCGATGTCTTCGACTTCCCCACCAAGTTCTTGAGCAAGGTCAGCACTCGCATTGTCAACGAGGTCGACGGTGTGTGTCGCGTGCTGTACGAGGGTAAGTCACCACAACAACCAACATCAGAAGTTTCTGGACATAATTTGCTAACGGCTCAATAGTAACCAGCAAGCCACCAGGCACGATCGAGATGGAGTAGGGCCGAAGCAATCGGGAGAATGCGCGATATAACTAGAATTCTGTACATCGGGCTGGGGAAGGGCTTCACAATTTGGCGTTTTACTGATGATTTTCTGGAACTGAAATGCATGCATGAAAAAGCTGGCGGCGTTTAGATGGATATTCCCAAAGACACAGATGTGTCTCTCGTCATAAGGTAGCAACACCAGGCCCTTACGGCCTTGGAAGAAAAATCACCTCAATCTCAAGCCTCCCATGACGGAGTGCTGCTCAACTCAACGAACAGTTTCCCAAGTTTTCGATCGCGTGTGTCAAGTGGATTTTCGAGCTGTGGATTTTCGAGCTGCCCAAAGCACCCCTCAGTGTGGGGCAGCTGCCAGTCTTGGAGAAATTCGTGATGATACGTCATCAACAGACTCAAGAAGGCAGATACGTCATGTCCTCCAGGGACACATATTTACTTCTCTGCAAACACTCTTTCACGTTTCTTTTCCTCCATCAACACATCTTCTACAACTTACAACTCCATCAATCCACCTCCAAACCAACCCACACAACCCCCCAATCACAATCAAAATGTCTGGAACTTCCAACGTCGGTAACTCCTCTGTCTACGAGGCCGCTGATCAGAGAACCTACAAGGACTCTGAGATCGCCGAGGCCAAGCAGGAGGCCCGTTTCCACGAGGGCAAGGAGCACTCTCACAAGGCCAACGACTCCAGTAAGAAGCATCACTTTGATGACAGTCAATCACATTCACTAACAACATAACAGAGGACGAGCGCACCATTGCCAACAAGCTTGCCCGTGAGGAGAAGCGCGAGAACGAGGACGAGAAGGAGTCTCTCCAGACCCAGCAGATCAAGAAGGACGCTACCCTTCCCGTACGTTGACCTGATGCGAACTACTTTTGCCATGTCGAACCATACTTACACATACCACAGGCCCAGTCGCACGGCAACGAGCCCAGCAAGGGCGCCAAGATCGACCAGGAGCTCAAGGAGGAGGACGAGGCTGCCCTCAAGGGCAAGGGCTCTTTCGGTCCCCAGTAAATGCTTCGCCTCGATTGTCGAGCAGCATTACTTTCCACACCACCAGCGATGATTCCCTTTCTTGTTTACAAAAAACATTTCGATCCAATGCATCCTCATTTAATATGAGATGAATGCAATGCTTTAATGCATATATACGAATCGGCGTAGAAATACCTGATGGTCATGAATCAACGAAATAATACTTCAAAACACTTCAACTTTCTTCTCATCAAAACTGTGACACAAAGGCCGCAAATCGAAGCTTTGAACATATTGTGACTCTGAGCAGACAATCTCGATGATCTGCTATTCTATGTTGACTGTATACCATGCCAACAGGGCAACGGCCATGTTTTTAATCCAAACATGTCAATCGCATTTTCGCGACTTCTTGCAGGTGGTGCCTGATCGGCCTTCGCCAGTGAAACGCTTGGCTCGAACGTGGGATGTTTGCTCTGTTTGTTTCGTGCCTGCCAACTCCATGTGATCACTCTATTACCCGAATTAGTATCTTAAGTTAGCTCACACAACTTCCTGATCATGAGTTCGAATAACACTTGAGACCTTCCGTCATCGTCGATATCACAACCAGAAGTATACTCGATGCGCTCTGGAACCTGACATCAACGACTCGAGGACCCGAAACATGCGCGTAGACAACAACCATCATGGGCCAAGGATATTCTATTAACGTGTCCGCTGGCTCGGCTGGTATCGATGTTCCAGAACTCGCAGATCTTGAGACCGAAAGAAGTCTTGGTGCTGTACGGTTCATGAAAACGATCCGCGCGAAACACAAGGACGGTCTCGTTATCGCCAAGGTCTTCATCAAGCCATTTCCTAACCTGAAGCTTGAGGAACAATCGAAGATATTATTTGCCCAAAGGAGGGATCTCGCAGATGTACCAAACACTTTGCCTTACCATCGCATCATCGAAACCGCAACGAATGGCTATCTGGTTCGCCAATACATTCACAGTTCTCTCTATGACAGAATCAGCACAAATCCATCGCTTGAAGACATCGAGAGAAAATGGATTGCATATCAGCTCTTGTGTGCGGTCAAAGAGTGCCATTCGAAGCACATCTGCCATGGAGACATCAAGACCGAGAACATGCTTGTTACTACCTGGAACTGGCTGTATCTGACCGACTTCTCCACTGCCTTCAAGCCTGGAAGATTGCCTGAGAACAACCCGGCCAATTTCTCGATCTTCTTCGACACTACTGGCCGTCGCATATGCTACATAGCACCCGAGCGATTCGTAGACGACGAGGAGCTGAAAGAGCACGAGCCGAATCCTCAGGATGACGTGTTTGAGAGAGATGCAAGAAAAGCCTGGCATAACGTTACCTGGCCAATGGATATTTTCAGCGTCGGATGTGTCATTGCAGAGCTCTTTACTGAGAAACCCACCTTTACACTCAGCCAGCTGTTCAAGTACCGCAAAGGAGAGTATGACCCGACGCACACCACGTTGAACAACATCAAGGACGAGAATATCCGAGAAATGGTTGCTCACATGATCCAACTCGAGCCTGGCAAGCGCTACAGCGCCGAAGATTACTTGAACTTTTGGCGTGGCAAAAGCTTTCCAGAGTACTTCTACACCTTCCTGCACCAGTACATGCATCTCATCACAGATCCAACTTCTGGCAGAAAGCCGGTAGTCGTCGGTGCAAAGAACTCTGGAGGCTCAGACGATCGTATTGAACGTATCAATGCAGACTTTGACAAGATTTCATACTTCCTCGGATTCTCGGATGTGGGGAAGCTGCCACAGTCCACTCGCGCACCAATCACCTCTGGCCTAGATCTGTTCCCACTTCAGGTGGATCTACCAAATAACAGACACGATGCAGCAGATCGCGCTGGAAGCGTTCAAGATAATGGCGCTCTTCTTTTCCTGAATGTTGTGATCTCGGCTTTGCGAACGACTGCTCGCGCGAGCTCCAAGATCCGAGGTTGTGAACTTCTCCTTGCTTTGGGAGAGAGGCTGACCGACGAAGCCAAGCTCGATCGTGTATTGCCTTTTGCCATTGCTTTATTGGAAGATGAGTCGGAAAATGTTCGAATGGCTGCTCTGAGGACCATCACCCAGCTTCTCGCTATCGTCACTGTGTTGTCTCCCATGAATGTCTTCATCTTCCCCAACTATCTGCTTCCTCGCCTACAAAAGTTTGTTGCAAGTCCAATGTTCCGCAAATCAGGACCGCTCAGAGCGACGTATGCAACCTGTCTCGCGAATCTGGCCACAACGGCTGCACGTTTCTTGGACATGATGCAAGCTTTACGCGCTGATGGGTCTTTGCCTTCGACAGACCCAGAAGCCGAAGATGATCTTACTTCCTATGCTGCATATCAGAACACCTACGACACTACCCGCGAGGATCTTATCCAGCACTTCGAGGCACAGACTAAGCTGTTTTTGCAGGACGACGATCCTTCGGTCAAGCGCGCCTTCTTAGGATCTGTGACAAGCCTCTGTGTGTTCTTTGGCGAAAACATTGCAAGCGATCTCATCCTCACGCACTTGAATACGTATCTGAATGAAGAAGATTGGACGCTGAAATGCGCTTTCTTCGAGACGATAGTAGGCGTAGCTGCCTTCATTGGTGGCGCAAGTCTAGAAGACTTCATTCTTCCGCTCATGGTCCAGGCGTTGACTGATCCGGAAGAGACTGTCACTGAACAAGTGATCAGATCACTCTCAAGCATGGCGCATCTGGGTCTGTTCCAGCGATGGACGACGATAGAGCTCGTACTCATCGTCTCGCGCTTCACGCTTCATCCAAATGTATGGATTCGTGAAGCAGCGGTGCAATTCATTGAAGCAACTTCAACCCATCTTTCTGACGCGGATGTCTGGAGTATGGTCATGCCGTTGTTAAAGCCTGTGCTGAAGATGCCGTCAGCTGGGCTCTCCGAGTTCGAGCTCCTAGACGCTCTTCAGAAACCATTCCCTCGGCCTGCATATGATCTAGCAAAAACGTGGGCAGAGAAATCTGAGAAGAGCGTCTTCTGGAAACATGCACAACAAGTCAAAAGTTTCTCCTTCGAAGCGGGCAGCAACAAGGCTTTGACCGATTTTTACCGTGACAGCGATGCTCGCGCCTTGAGCAAAGCAATGAAGAACGATGATGACGAACAGTGGTTGGCCAAACTCCGTGTTGCTGGCATGCGTACTGAAGACGAACCCAAGCTGCTTGCGCTACGAGATTACATCTGGCGAACGACAATGCGCTCTGAGAAAGAGGTCACGAAGCAGTCCGACACGCAACTAAATCAGATAATTTCGCTAAGCGCCATACAAGTACCACTTCAGAACGTTTTCTTCGAGGCGGACACTGGTTCTTATCAGACGCTTCCTCAGGCTGATATTGCACAGCCGAATGTGAAGACTTCCCTTGAGGAAGCCTTGCGTGACGCTGCAACGCCTGCTGATCAAGACGCAAAGAACTTGTTCAATCCGGCAAGAGGCAAGCCATATCCATCTTCAGCGCAGCAAACATCAAACACGGCCGTACCAGCCGACATATCCCGAGCCCAAGCCACACCTATCAATGGACAAGTTTCGAACCATCGAAAACACATGGCAAATATTGATACTGCTGCGTACTTGTCCACATCTCCTGCGTCCACAACATCTGTCAGGAGCGGCCACAATCATACACTTCATTCGAAAGCGAGTGCGATGAACCTCATGAAACGCACAGAGCAGACCAAGGCATACGCAGAAACCGGTACAGACTCCATCAACGCCGTCGGTAAACTTGACGTCCCTGCAAACCAAGCGGCGATTGCACCTTCAAACTCAAACTCAGGACAAGCCACGCCACGTCCATCGCGACCTAAAATTTCTGCGACACACTCTTACCATGGTGGCGATCCGACCGTGTTAAAGTTGTTAGACTCAGTCTACACTGGTAGTCACCCCGGAAGCGATCGTGAATTTGGACCCAGAGTCTCGACACGCCCTCGTGCTCGAATGGCCACGAAAAACGCTCCTAACCAACAACCACAAAGTTACTGGAAACCAGAGGGACAACTCACTGCTGTACTTGAAGAGCACCAAGCACAAGTCAATTGCATTGCTGTATCTCCAGACCAGGTCTTCTTCCTTACCGGTTCTGATGATGGCTCTGTCAAAGTCTGGGACACCAGTAGATTTGAGCGTAATATGGCGCATAGATCGCGTCAGGCCCACAGACATGCTTCAGGTGCGAGTATCACCAGCCTTTGCTTCGTGGACTCGACGCATAGCTTCATCTCGACCGCTTCTGACGGTACAGTCGATATCGTCAAGGTAGATGTGACGGAGACCAACGGTAATGTCCGTTATGGTAAACTCCAGGTGTTGCGCAGCTGGATGATCCCAGCCAAGCCCGAACAAAAGGAATATGCCATTGGTGTTGAGCATGGAAAAATGGAAGGCCGATCAGTCTGTGTGGTCGTCACCAACCTCTGCCGCATCCTGTTTATTGATATATACTCGATGGAAGTCACGTACGAGCTTCAAAACCCGATACAGCATGGTACGCCAACGACTTTCTGCATATCGAAGCGATGGCAATGGCTTTTGATAGGCACCTCACACGGTGTTCTCGATATCTGGGATCTTCGCTTCCGCCTCAGACTTCGTGCGTGGACAGTAACACGTCCAGCGCCCATCACCCGTCTCACACTACATCCAAGCAGGAAGGACAGCAAGAAAGTCAAGATTTGCGTTGCTGGTCTGACGTCTCCCGGTCACGTCTCTGTTTGGGACCTCGAAAAGCTTGTGTGTACGGAGGTGTACCATGTCAGTCAATCCGACGGTGGCAGCCAACTGAAAGCAAGAGACTTCGAACTTCTCAATGTCGACGAAGACAAGTCTGGCACCATGCCATCCCGAATCCTCGGCTCTCTCGCAACAGATCTGCATCTGAGCGCCCGACCATCCGATAATGGTAAAGACAGATCGGGCGGAGGATCTGGAGGCAGTGCAGGTGCTGTCAAAGCATTCGCCATGTCGATGCACACATCACCTGACAGTTCAGAGCCAAGACATCCCTTCCTCGTCACTACCGGACCCGACTGGAAGATCCGCTTCTGGGACACCGATCGCATCGCCTCTTCCATGATCGTAAACGACAAGGGAGACAAAGCCCTCTACACAGCCTCAAAATTCGGCAACGACATATCCGCCTACACAGAAATGGCACTCTCCGACAGTCTATCAGAAAAAGAAAAAGAAAAAGGTACTTCCAGTCCAGCTTCTGGACGCACTGGCACCATGTCACCCATCTCCAACGACGCGGATAGCGATAAAGTCGGCGCTGCGTCCAAGAAGAAGAAAGAGAACAGGGAGGGAAAGATTGCGAGATATGAGGTTATCCGTAGATCGGCGAATCAGCTGCTCAAAGGTCATAAGGATACCGTTACTGCTGTTGCTCTGGTGGAATATCCTTTCGGCATGATTATTTCTGCCGATCGCTCTGGTGCTTTGTATATCTTTAGATGATTGAGGGTGGTGGCCTCGTCATGGGCTTCATTCATGGATAGCTGGATGGCTCGCAAAAATGATGTGCATTTTTACAACTATGCTGATGTGGCTAGGGAGGGATGGGGAAGAAGTGGATTAAGGGAGAGTAGGGATATTCGATTCGTAGCAGTTTGTTGGCGAGGAAGTAGGTAGCATGAATCAAAGCACAATTTCACATCACCTCCATGTCCGATTAGAAAATGGTATATGCCCACTCTCCTCTGCCCCGCACGATCTCTCGTTCACCTGTGAAAAGGCAAGAAGTTTTTGACTTTAGCGTGGATTTCCAATGAGAGTAACACTCTCACGCGCTCTCTCTGAAAGCGTATCCCTTTTCGAAAGACCTCTTGCCTTTTTATAGCTTGATTGATAGAGAGCTTGAAGCAACGTAAATTGATTCGATCTCCGCCTTCCTCGTAGGGTTTGTCAATCATCTATCAAACTGCAAAACGGTTTTCATACTACTGCGGATGTCTAATGAGAGTATGGGAGAGCGATTCTCCAGCAAAGGTTCTAATATGCCTGTCAAAAGGCAAGATGATTTTGACATCAAAGTGGATGTCCAGTGAGAGAGCCGTAGTAGTTCTCCAGCGCCAATTTCGGAAGAGCCAATCTCATTGGACATTCACCTCGATTTCAAAAACATACTGCATGGAGATAGAGAGTCCGAAACAGTTATCAGGGGCTTGAGATCCATATCGGCATCGATCTTGCTTATCCCAGACTTCCAGCAAGCTCTTGAATACCCTTGTCAAAATGCAAGGTGTCTTTGATGTTGTTGTACTTGTCCACTGCGAGAGGATAAATTGGCCAAGAAAAGCGGATGTGGTTTGCTACTCTCTTTGGCCCTGTGGTCTAGTGTCGAATACTTCTTGCATCTTGATATATATTTTACGGTCTTGCCCTGGCCTTGAGATGGTAGGATATCGTTTTGTTTTTCTGCTCTTGTTGGTGACACAGGTATGCATGATCACTAAAGCAATGCATGATGGTCTGAAGGCGAAGTTGTCTGATGAGGGCGTCGGGTGTAGATGTTGTTGTAATGGAACCCGGTTGATAGATCGCGGTATGTAGAGTGGTGTTACAGGTCTGTCAAGACGGGTGCTTCTGTTGGATGTCTCGAATGGCGGATGGACAAAGGCGAGCCTTTCTTGCACAAAGCATGTGTATGTCGGTGAGGATAACACTGACACGAGATCGAGTATCAAGAGATTTCACAGAGGTGCCTGGAGATCGTATCGCGCGTTGTTGGCGGTGTGTATTGTGTTCAGATGACCGCGAGAAGAGGCGGCTGGCGTGGGAATCTGAGATAACGCATGAGATAGGCCATACTATCAACGAAACAAAGAACCAAAAAGTCCTACTTGAATGTCTGAACAGTGATCTGCGGTGTAAGGTTGCACTTCGGGTTCCAGAAGATAAATGATCATCTCAACGCTGGTGGTTCCGGTGGTCGAAGAGGAGTTTGTGGAAACAACGCACGATGACAATGAAGTAGAAGGTGCTGATGAAGAAAGCAACAACGGGAAGATCTGTGCGGCACAAGTCGCGTCGTGGGCTTCTGACAATGGATGATCCTTCCTGAGATTGGCGAGGCTAGGTTCGAGGCGACACATACGGTAACGACGCACGAAGGGTGCTACTTCCACGAGGCCGAGAAGAAAGTAAACGCAGAGAAGTTCTGCATCGCACAGGTCGAGCCACGGGCTCCCGACGGTCGATATATTCTCTCCATCCCGCGGAGGCCGACTTCAGGCTACAGGCATACGGAAGCAACGCACGAGGATGTCAAGACTAGTTGTGCCAACGACGTAAGGAGTTCAGAGAGAGCTCACATTACATAGGCGGTGAGACGGGTTGCTGTCCTTTCAGAATCCCTGCGAGCGCTTCGCAGAGGCAGAGTTCCAGCCAAAATCTTGGAAGTCATGCAAGAAGTCTGCAACGTCCTCGACAGTGTTGACGAGCCAGGCACGATTGAGTTCGATCTTGGTGATACTCTTGATTCATTTGCCATTCCTGCATACTTCTACGTTGTTTACATATCAGTTTAGACTCTGAATCATGCAAAAGTATCATCCCTAGGAGTGATTCGAACGCGTGACCCTTTCAATCACTGCAGTAGAGTGGCGTTCTTGCAGATATAACGATGAATTGGTCTAACTACATACTACCATTCTCATGTATGGTTCATCTTTTACCCAGATAGATGAGTACAGGCAGACTGAGCCAAGGAATGATCTTTACCTGTAATTTAAGCTTGCAAAGCAAGGGATTCTGTGGACTTTTGACCCCTTACTTAGTAGTATAGATGACTTGCAGGACATTCTCAGTCGGAAAGTGTTAGCACAATGTTTTATAGGGTCCTGGATATGTCGTTCATATCTGTAGTCACTGTTAGGGGTGTGGTATGATGTTATAACACTGGAAACATGGATTGTACATCCTGTATGATTTTTATAGACATTGCTTATATCTTGAGAATGTGTATACGGTCTCCAATACTCTGTAAGATCTTTAGAACACCATAGCATAGCTATACAGACATGTGTCGGGCAATTGGATCATCGAAAGTGGTACTAGCGTCCTTGAGTGCAACACCGCTAGCGTCTATCAAATTGCCGACGCTTGATTCTTTTTCAGCTGTCGACTTTTTGTTTTTTACTTTGCGCGTTTCGAATTCTCGACAATTGCGCATCGACAGATTTTCCCCGTTCGTATCTATTCTTGTTATCCAGTTGCATAACTCTATTACTAAGCCTAATGTCCTCATTATAGTCCTTCTTAACATCAAAATGTCTGAGCTCGCTTTCTGCAGTCACCTCCTAGCCAAGTACGAGGACTTTTGGCTTAAGTCTAAGGCTCCTTACGTCGGACCCTTCCTTAGGCCCGTAGACGAGGTTAGGGATAACGCCCCCGGCTACTACGCCCGAATCCGCCAGCCTATGGATCTGGCGACTATGCGCACTAAACTCGAGGGAGGCCGGTACAACGCGGCCGCAGACTTTAAGGCAGATTTCGATCTTATGATCAGTAACTGCTACGAGTACAACACGGCCGGACCGGCCTCCCTTACTGATCTTGCCGAGAGGTTCGTTAAGGACTTCGACTGGGAGTGGGAGCAAATGGCAAGATGGAGAAGTAAGGAGCGTAGCCGCTTGCTGAAACTCCAGCAGCCTCCTCCTGCTCCCTCGGCTATTGCTCAGAGCTCCGTGTCCTCGGGCAGCAATGTTTCTGTTGCCGATAGCTCTGCCGCTGAGAGGTATATTTCTCATTCCAACTTCCATGCTCTCACTGGACAATTTACGGGAAGCGAATTCAATCCTGTATTTTGATGTTGACGATACAACTGGTGTTAGATCATCGAGACCCTCGCCCGAGCTGGGCAGCCCTTCGGCCCTGGGCAACGACCTGGTGGTGCCCTCCTCCGTCCTCTCTTCTCCCGCCCGCTCCTCAAAGAGAGCTCGTCAAATTGCAGAGGAGGATTACGAGACTAACGAGTCTCCAAAGAGAGCTCGTGTCGACCAGCCCTCCGAGGACGCAGTTGACGCCGTTGTTGCAGCCCTGCGCCAGATCATGGCACAAGAGATCGAGGCTCTTACCGCAGAGCAGGATGCCTTGATGGAGGCTCAGGTCGGGCCTCATTGGGCTCTTTGGGACAAGGTTTGGGGACCTGATCGCCATGAGATCTTCCTCGAGATGTGGCACGGGTTGGCTTTTGCCAACATCACCGACAACGAGTGGCCAAACTCCCAGGCTGCCATCAGAAGCCTAGTCCTTGCTGCTTGGAATGTCACCTTCGAGACACAAATGCAGTTCGTGTACGAAGAAGAGGCCAACGAGGCACAGAGAGTGGAGGCAGAGAAGGAAGAAGCCAGAGCTGAGATGCTGAGACGCATGAGAAGTTAAGAGAAGTAAGTCCAATCAACCAATGGAACAGATTCAAGATAGTATTGCCATGGATGCACAGTATACTAATGGTATTCTTGACAGGCAAGGCCTCGATCAGCAACCATTCCGCACGACCACTGGCACGAAATGCTCCACGGAGCTGGAAAAGACCTTCCAAAACAACATCAAGGGCATACACGATGACAACGAAGAAGACCACCCAAGGTCATGAGGTTACGATAATGCAAAGGGGGCCAAGACAGAAGTTCAGGCTGTTGCAAATATAGCAGCAAGCAATCAATCAATCATGAGGTTCGACAGATCGATTTTCAAACCCGTGTTCCAGTGATCAGAATGTGTATGTTATTCTCCGGTCCCTCGTAGGTCGCGACCCAGGTTGTCGGTTATCATAGCTGAGGTCTTCCCCGCTCCTGATGTCGCAACACTGCTCAAATTACTCTGATGACCGACAACTACACCGAGCCAGAAGCGAGCTGCGTCTACGAGGAGAGGGTCAAGATTGTAACTCGTCGTTGACCCGGGCAGAAGCCATCACTCCATGCGACCAATCTCTACAAGCCGACTGCAGGTCAAACTATCTATCAAAAGGCAAGATGCTTTTACTGTTTGTGTGCATGTCCGCAGAGAGTGTGCATTCCTTTATGATCTCACTGGACATCTCTCCTGCGTGAAAAATCATCTTGCCTTTTGATGGGTAGTTCTCAAAGACATCTCGGCAAGCTGAGATGTGGGTTTTGTGCCCCGTACCCCTTTCGTCTTCGTTTGCACATTCGACGCGTTATTCGCACTGTGTCTCACTTCGCTTGAGAAGTTCACTGTACGTGTTTGTTTCAAAGCGTCGAGTTCGACTGTAGTCTCACTCGTTGCCCTCTTCAAGCTTGCTCTCATCTTTCGTCTTTCTTCCGCATCCGACGCAGCATTTGCGCCTGTTGTCCTTCGATTCAAAGAGCACTGTAAGTGTTTGCGATCTATTTGTTTGTTTGTCCCTCTTCTCATGAATGTCACCTTACCAGTCGCTACTCCATGAATTATGGCTCCTGCAGCTCCCAAGAAGCAAACAAGATCGCAGACCGCGCCTAAGGTCGCTGTCAACTCACACGAGACGCCCAAAATCGGCCTAAACTACACAAAGACTACCAAAGGCACGGGCGCAAGTACGTCAAAGGATTTGCAGGACGAGGGCACAAATCTGCTCTTAGACGCCGCCCATGAGGATGTTGCCGACGAGGAAGAACCGGCCGCTTTGAGAAAGACCGCCTCAAAAAAGTCCACTCCATACAAGACCGCCCTTCCAGAGAAGATTGTCCCTCAGAAGCTTGCCTCCAAGTCACATGTGGTCAACCAAAGGTATGTTGCGGTAACATGAATCCACCTGAACACATTTTGACACATCCAGTGAGAAGAACAAGGAGGCTCTCAACAACCTTCTCCAGACAATGGTTGAAGAAGAGATGCAGAGGCAGCTTCAAGCCCTGGACACCAGTGAGGACAGCAGTCTTCCCAAGACTGCCACTGTCTTTGCTAAGTATCTCTTTCTTGCACCTGGCCAGGGCGCAACTACCAACGCGATGTGGATGGAGAAGTCAATGGAGAGAATTAGACGCATCCCCATGGAAATTGCTCTGCAAAACGGCATTGCAACTCAGATCCAAGAGGCCATGATCGAGACAATCCAGAGACAAACAGCCCTTACCGCCTACCAGATTGGAAAGGATGCCGTCAATATCATCAAGCATCTGAAGCAGTAGCTGGCAGATCGCAACGGTCTCAGTGCTGCTATCGATTTAGCATGAGCAGCGATCAGCAGGTTCAGCGCCGCGGGAGGTAGAGAAGATTGGCCCTTGGGGAAGCACAAGAAAGCAGTCACCATTATAATGTGCTCCTATCAAGAACGAAATCAAAGAAGTGCTCGCCTTGTATTGTCTGTTGAACTTCTGGTTCTTACTTCTTGTCATTTGTGTTCCCTACTTCGTTCTTACCTCAAGAATAGACTCGTACAATGGCTGCGTATGCCATGTCTCTTCCATTCAGTGGCAGAACAAAAAGCATCCATGTTGAGTTGTCAGATAGGCCTCCGTTCCTTTCATCTTGTTGTATGTGCTTCCTACTCGGTTACTACCTTCAGGATCCACCGGTGCAGTAGCTCCATGTATGATGTCCTCTAAGTTTAGTACCAGAACAAAAGGTGCCCGCCTCGCGTCTTCCGAAGAGCCTTCGATTCTTGCATCTTGTTTTATGTTCCGTCTACTTTGCTTGCGTTGCTGAGACCGACTCATGCAGTAATTCCGTGTGTCGTGTCGTGTCCACACGGCAACATGCTGGAAGTCGCCTATCTCGAATTTTGAGATGAGCTTCTGGCGCTTGCGTCTTACAACCTATACTATCTTCTTCGCTACCATCTCCAACATCCACTGGTGCTGTGGTTCCATAGCTCAGAAAGTCAGGATGGAATAACAGTGCACATCTTGCGCTGTCTAACGAGCTTCTAGTCTTTATGTCTCGTCTTCCTTGCTGCTTTTATTGACTTTTGGCTCTAACCTTCTGTATATACTCAAGCAGTGTTTCCATTTGTCGAGGAGACTTGGTTGAGGAACAAGACAAAAGTCACCTATCTCGCGGTATTCAACGAAGCTTCGTTCTGTGTGTCTTGTCTTCCCGACTACTTGTCCCATATCCTGTGCCTCAATCATCGAAAGCCTTTCGTATGGTGGTTGGGTAAGACCATTTTCTTATTCTGCTCCACAAGCAAGACAAGGAGAGCGCCCATCTCGCTTTAGCCCACCAGTATTCGCTTTCCAACGGCATATCGTCTCCTAAGATGCCTGTATCTCCTCTTCGTCTACAGATTGCGGACTCAATTATGTAGCGCTTTCGAGACCCACGGGCCCTTCTATACTTGATACTAGGAGGGAAGGAAGAATGGGCTTGTCTTCTGTCGTTTGATACCCTTGGTCCTAGAGCCTCGTCTTCCAGGATCTTTGTATTGTCTAACCCGTTCCATGGTTTTACTACCACTCGTGCAGAATTGCGATATATTAAGCTCCCCTTTACTACGCTAACGTGACCAATGGACTGACCCGTCGCTTGTCCTCCGATAATCTGCCAGTACTTATGTTTAGTCTTATACCTTCTATCTTGGTTTGTTCCCATTTCAGGTAGCTTAACGTTGATGCTGCTTTGCCTAACTTAAGAAACATCAAATCTGTAGTGAGGACAGTCTGTCTGTCTATTTAAACACTATGTACTTTGCCAATATCTGAAATCTGAGCATCTGCCTTCTGCTTTGCTTGTGTTATCAGATCGTTCGTTTCTAAGCTTGTGAGCCACCGTGCAGTGACTTCGATTATCGAAGCTAACTCTTCTTGCTTCGCGAGCAAGTCAATCGAGAGCCCTTGTGTTGTGTTCTTACAAACCTCTAGTACATCAATCTCATCTGCATACCCATCTCGAGTCACCCCTACTGCTGAAGCCTGTTCAGAAGGGGGACCTTGTGAGCGTTTTGTAATAAACCATGTGGATGTGGTGGCACTCGCATCTCAACAGCAAAGCTCTGTCTGGATAGATCCATCGAAAGGCACGATGCCGGGAGACTAATGAGACACCTTAGCGAGGAGAGCTACTGTACGTTCTCGATGGACACAGCACATATTCTCAAAAAGATCGTGCATTCTAACAACCTCTTGATAGCCGCCCTTGCTAGAACAAGACATTGATTCGAAGAAATGGGAACTCATGTGTTTGAGTGTTGCTCTCACGAAGAGAAAAATCATACATAGGATATGATATCATGATGACTTTGCCCTTCCTTTGAGACTTACTTTCCGGTTTGCGGTTCAGAGTTGTAGATGACATGAAGCGTGGTTCGTCGCTTCCCGAATTCTTCCCGTCCTTACTTCTTCTGCTGCCGAGTTCTAACTCTACCTTTAGAAACTCCGCCACATCATCGAAGAGCAATCAACTTAACGATACGGAAGCATCAAGATATCAACTAATAACAGTCTGCTTTACGTGCACCTCTTATTCTTCTTTGTCTTTGTGTTAAAGTCATTTACCGTTGTACGTTACATTCACCAGTCTCTCTTGGAACCGGAAGATTCGTGCGTCTTTGCGTTTCCTTGACCGCAAAACATCCAATCTCTTGCGTTAGCACCACTCGACGTGTGCATTTTCTTCTTCGCGCAACAGAAGTTCAATCGCAGCCTCATCTTCTTTCTCGACAGCATCATCACTGTTTCATCATCAAGACGAGAGCAAACTTTTCGCTTTCTCTTCGTCATCAACCATCACCAACGCTTCCAGAATGGCTCCTAAGCAAAAGGCCACTCAGATGAAGGAGGCCGAGTTACTCTTTTGTCAGCATATCCTTCAAGAGTTCATTCGTCCGAAGCACAAGCGTTACGTGCCCTTTTTCAAGGAGCCAGTTGACGCAGCTCGAGTTCCTTCTTACCATACCATCATCAAGAAGCCGATCGACCTTGCGACCATCACCACCAAGCTCGAGAATCAGCAGTACGACTCAGCTGCCACCTTCAAGGCCGACTTCGATCTCATGTTTAACAACAGTGATCATTTCAACGCTGGTTCCCCTCCCAGCCGTGAGCTCCAGGCTGGGGAGACGTTCAGGGAGGCCTTCGATGAGGAATGGATGAAGCAAGGCCCCTGGCTCAGAAAACACCATCCTAGTCTTGTCGAAGATCGCGTGGATGACGAGGAAGATACATCCGATGAGCCACCTGTCAAGAAGCTTCGTCAGAGCTCGCGCCTGACCGGTTCAGATTCATCGCCTGCTGGACAGTCATCTCACACCTCAACTGGCCTCTTCAACAAGCGCAGCGCCTCGAACCTGTCAACTCCAATGTCCACCATGTCCAAGAAGAGCACTACCAAGACCGGAGGCTCCAAAGCAACCCCTTCCAAGCCTGATTCTTCAGAGCAGATCGTCGAAGCTACCAGCTCACCACGTGTCGCGCCTCAGCCCAGGTGAGTGGCTCAAGGTCCCTCAGTGAACAGTGCTAACGTGATTGTAAGCAGCACAAATCCCCGAACCACTCTTCAGAACACTCTGAGAACAATGGTAGTGACTGAAGCAAGAGCCATGCTCGAGGATCCTAGCGTTAGGCACCCTAATGAACAAAACACCCTGGCAAACACCATGTGGCAGGCCATGCAAAATGACTTGAACTTAACCGAGGAGGACGGCAAGGCCAGCATGGAAGCATGGTATGATGAGGCAGTGAAAGAGCTTGCTAAGTTGCCCTTTGCGGAAATCAGTGACAGCATCCGGGCCGAGACCAAGAAGGCTCTGCTTGTTGTCATGGACCGCCACCACAAGTACCTGAGCGACAAGCTTGCTGCACAGCTCGCTGCTCTCAAGGCCAGAATTGAAGGATGAACGAGATAATCAGGGAAGAGATCAAGCGAATGGTCAGAAGAATGACCAAGGAGTTGACCAAGTGGACGACTGAAAGGATGGTCAAGCGAATGCCGAAAGAGATTGCTCAAGGAGATGATGATAATAATGGTCGAGCTCATGACATAGGAGATTGCTCAAACAACTAGCTCTGGCATGATAAGAGACGAGCAACAGTGGCCAACAATACAAATGACTTGCTTTTTGATTTATCGGGTTTGTCTTCAAGTGCTGTCATGTCAACTTTGAGTCCATTCTTTCAACTCGCGAGTGATTTGCTGACATACATGCTTTTGTCTGGTGTGCTCGGTCTTTGCTGTTTCCCCCTTACATCAAGCTCTTTATTCCCAATCTGGCAGCAACAACCCAGCTCGATGTTCTATCCAGGGGGAGCCTGGTGACGTATCGCTTACTCAGGCAACGTTAACGGATCTTAAATTCATTCTGTATGACTGCAGTCACATGTCGATATGGACATCATGCAGCAGATACACTATTGTACAGTGGCCCGCGATCATACAGTCACGCAACATGCAGTTCTGGACCATGTCAAAGAAGAGAATTCCTTTCCGCACACTATGTTTGACTCTCCTTTGATCGTTGAACTCGTATTGTCTCCTCGTTACTAGCTCGTAGTCCACTCCAGATGTCAAGACCACCTCTGATGCCATTCAATGGCCTGATTTCCATATCTGAGATGGCTAGTCAGATCTTCAGTCTTCAGCAACCCCAGCTCGACAATCTTCAAGAAGTGCTTGCTAGATGTGCACACTCTTTGGAAGTAGAAGGAATCAGGGCCGTATGGATTGGGGATAGCATGTGTGATCTGGACATGAGATGGTCTCAAAAGGAGCCACAAATCATATACACGGCTGTATCTTCAAGTTAATAGGTCTGATGACGATGCAGGAGGTAGGAGAGACGGTGTGTTTACCTCTCTGGACAGTGATGATCGCACCCTCAGTTCTTGTGCGTTGCATATAACGGGGTTGACCAGCGCCTGAAAGAGGCTGAGATGAAGCCTGCTTGTGGGACATTGCACTGACCTGACTATCGCTCTTTTGCGCCCACAGACACGATGCCAAACAGAGTGATCTAGATAGTCGACATGATGAGCTCAGGTCTGCAAACTGTTTTAGATGGATGCCCCGTCTCCGCATCACGGCACTCGTATACCGATCCTTCGTGCCTACGAACATACAACAGTCCATCTACTCGAGCAGGTGGATGAGCAGACGAACTGCTAAAGACCGTTCGTCGACCGGATGCACCCCACAGTGACCATAGACGTGGTAGTGACCACGAGGAATGCCGTTTCCGCCGACGACATTTCCAGGGCGAGCTTTCCACCACAGAGAATAGCCACGTGGCAGAGAAAGGTTCACAAAGAAAAGAGTCGTTGACCAAACCATAGAGAAGCGGGAATATTTGTTGAGACAGTGGCAGTCCATATGTAAATACTAGAGAGGTCATTGATGTGTACAATGTTGTAGTGGGATACTTTTCAGTTCGCAGCGGCGGCAGCAGGCTCGGCTTCTTCCTCTGGAACGACCAGATCAACGACTGGCACATCTACCCTGACGACTCCATCTTCCTCTCTGCCGCCTACACGTCTGAACTCTTCAAATGCTTCTTCGTCCCAAACACTCGCTCTCATTCTATCACCCGCAAATCTCAACACCTCTTTCAACCATCTGCCCTTCCTATTTCCAGCCTTCTCCACTCTTTCCACCCAATGCCATAGACTTGGGTCTCTGAAATTGATGTCTGGTGCAGAGTCGCCAGAAGCACGAGAAACGATATGAGCGCGCAAGGCAGCAACGAGCATATAAAACACCACGCTGGGGTTGCAACCATGGTCCATGACTGCAATCTTCAACGTGGTAGTATCTGGGACGACGTTGATGGCTGGTGAGCAGAGTAGTGCGACAGCAGTATGTGAGTGGCCAGAAATCGCTGTTGCTAGGCCGGCGGTAGCGGTCTCGCCTCGAGATGAGGATGTCCAGTCGATGGTGCAGCCAGACCAGATCAGGTAGTTGAGGAACTCGAGTTTGGGTGTTGTCCAAGGTTCGTGTAGGAGGGATTGAGGCGGCTGGATCGAAGAAGAGAGGGTGAGATAGGGTAGGTGTGGTTGGTTATGTGGGTGGGAAAAGTTGGGGACAGGCACGACGAGTCGCTGCGCTTCATCCTCATCCTGATTTTCTTCCGCGTCCTCGTCATCGCTCTCATCTGTGTCTGAGTCGGAGGGCGATGAGGCGCAAGATGGCGGCAGGCGTCTTTTGTGTATCTCTTGGATAGCGTCCTTGAAGATGTCCCAAGTCATCCATTTGCACTGGAGCATGCGAGAGACTGCGGCGGCGTCGGCGAACTTGTCGTCGCTTGCATCATCCTTGGACAATGTGTCGACGGCAAAGCGAAGGTATGTATTGCGGTACGACAAGTCGCGGGCGAAGACATACGACGACAAGGGCAGGCTAATGTTGTTGCAATATTGAAAGATCACATGGACTAGCTCGGTAGGAAGCTGCTCAAACTTGGATAATGTTGGATCTCGTTTTGTTTTCTTTTTGCTATTGAAAGAAGAGATGTTATTTACTGCATGAAATCTGACTGACAGACTTTCATGATGAAGAAAGGAAACTATTCTTGATGCGCCAATACTTACTTCTTCAGGGGTTGAGAGCTGGCTTGGTTGAAGCGCGCAGCCTTCCATGGTCTGTCACGAATCTTGAGCGACGCGTCTTGATTATCAGACGTGCGACCACGCTTGCGACGACCACGGATCCTGATGGGAGTGAGGTCCATGTTGGATGGAGTACTCAGCATGAGCCGACCAAAGGTGGGCGGAAAGAAGTAACCGTACTATCAACTCAAAATTAGCAAGTGTTTCAAAAGACAGATGCCTGTGATGAAGAGTGATAATTGTGAATGTTCTCAGTGATCTTGGTGTAAAGCGATCAGCGCCGAAGCTCAATTACTATCTAGTGCTAGAGTTTTTTAATCATTGAACGGGGGGAGGATGTGCTGTGATGAGATGGAAGTGTGTTCCTACCTATTGGAAAGTCGAATACTGAAAGGGAGTGTTGCTGATGCGAAGGCAAGCCTGTTCTGAGCTCAAAGTCAGTGAATGGTTCGAGCAAGTATTTCTTCAAAAAGTAGAGAATGGTGTTGGGTGTCAGAATATGTAAGAATTGAATCTCATAGCGCATGCGCCGTTTAGAGAAACAGGCGTGTAACTCCGGTCGCACACGTCAATCGCAAATTATATCATCTTTCGGAGAGGTGCTGGGAGTGGTGCAGAAAAGGAAGAGAGCGCGGATAGAACGTACCTTCACATGTTGTTGTTGATGAGAGAAGGAAGCAAAGAAAAAAGTCTCAGTCGCGCGCGAGCTTTTAGCAGACAGCAGAAGCCGGGGAAGGAGGTGGTGGATTATGTAAGCGGAGGGTAGCCGCTGCCAAGCCCGACACACACACTTTGTCGAAATCTTCCACATTCATACCGATACGCGAGCAATTCCGACATCAACCCATCCCTCCTTTTACTGTACGTCCGACCCGAAGAGCATTGCAGTCGCTGCCGCACCAACTCCTGGAACTTTTCATCTGACCCTTCTCGCCAGAACGCAACAGTCAAAATGGGTGACGCAGACATCAAGGCCAGCCAGTGGAGACTCGTCGAGGTCGGCCGTGTCGTCCTCTTCAGCTCCGGCATCTACGCTCAGAAGCTCGCCGCTGTTGTTGAGATCATCGACCACAAGCGCGTACGTGAACTCCTCCGACCGACATTCTGAAATCGACCGACATCGAATATACACTTTCGCACAAAACACACTTCCGCACACCACAAACACCGCACCCGCACATGTCGCAAGACGCGCACAGCACGAAAAGACGATCAGCAAGAGCGCAAGGCTGACAGTGTATGAAATAGGTCCTTGTCGAGGGTCCTTCCTCCGACCCCAAGGCTGCCGTCCCCCGCCACTCCGCCTCTCTCTCGGACCTCTCTTTGACTCCCATCGTCATTGAGAAGCTTCCCCGCGCCGCCGGCCACACCGCCCTCAAGGCTCTCTGGGAGAAGGACTCTGTCGACAGCAAGTGGAACAACAGCGCCTGGGCCAAGAACCGCGAGCGCTCCGTCAAGCGCAAGCAGCTTACCGACTTCGAGCGCTTCAAGGTTATGCGCCTGAGAAAGCAGGTGCGTGGATGAACATCTGGAGAGACACAGTCGAACAAGTCCGGCTGACAAGATAACACACAGGCCCGTTTCGAGGTCCGCAAGCAGTTCGCCGCTGCCCGCGCCCAGTCCGCCAAGGCATAGATGGATGACTCGGACAAAACAAAAGGGGACGGATACCTGGGTTCAATGGGAGTAGTGGGCTTTGGCTTTTTGCACAAATGAAAGCGGGGGTTCTTCTTTTCACACTGCTACGTTGCAAACACTCGATGCTGCCTTTACGTGTTTCCAGCAGAAGGTACATGACAGCTTCTGGGAGACTGACGGAAGGCCATAAAAAGTCCTAGCATCGACAAAGCCTATCCAGCTTCTTTTCTCAAATGCTGTGGGAAAACAAGGAAAATGCTTCAAACACCAAAATCTTCAGCAACAACGCTTTTTACGTTCATGAATTGTACATGTCTGACTTGTATCGTGATTTTGACTACCCGAGTGAAAGTGAGTGTAAACAGTGCTGATGTGAATGTTGATTATTGAGCGTCTCCACGCATGTTGGCCAGTGACGCAGCGGATTCCAGTCGAAGCAGCCAAAGTGGACAAAGTGGAAATTCACCGTGCGCGCAGCTTCGGCAATTCGAAGCACACCACGAACCCAACCTCATCCCAAGGCCACATCACCTCTTTAGCATAACAGAATCTTTTATATCGGTATGTACAGGCGAAGCCATGCGCAATTTTTGATGTTCCAATTCTCCAAATTCATCAAGCGACGCGCAATGCCTTTCTCAACTTCGGACAGCGAGGAGCTCTCGTGTCCCGCAGCAGCAACAGTCGACTGACGCGCAAATTCGCCCACAGATCCTATAACCAGCCAAAATGTCGAACCCCCGTGTTGAAGAAATCGTTGACGACAAGCCCGAGCAGCAGGTCGAGGTTGATGACAGCTCCTCCGACTCTGAGGGTGAGGACGGTGGTATCCCCGCCGGCTCTTCCGTCACCGTCCACTCGCGCAACGAGAAGAAGGCCCGCAAGGCCATTGCCAAGCTCGGCTTGAAGAAGATTGAGGGCATCACTCGCGTCACTCTCCGCAGACCTAAGAACGTGAGTGGCACATCTTGGATGTGTGTCAATCGCGATGGAGAAGCTAACATGGGTCCAGATCCTCTTCGTTATCAGCCAGCCCGATGTTTACAAGTCTCCCAACTCCAACACCTACATGTAAGCACTCAACGTCCATATACCTACAACACAAGTATATGCAACTAACGCGCAACGCAGCATCTTCGGTGAGGCCAAGATTGAGGACCTGAACTCGCAAGCCCAGGCTGCCGCTGCCCAGCAGCTCTCCCAGCAGGAGGGTGCCGCTGAGCACACCCACGACCACTCCGACAAGGGCAAGGCCCCCGAGGTTGAGGCCAAGAAGGAGGAGGAAGAGGAGGATGACGGTGAGGAGGTCGACGAGACCGGTCTTGAGGCCAAGGACATTGAGCTTGTCATGGCCCAGGCTTCTGTCAGCAGAAAGAAGGCCGTCAAGGCCCTCAAGGAGAACGACAACGACATTGTCAACTCCATCATGGCCTTGAGCATATAGATGCAGTCGCATGTCTCGAAAAGATATGACTGAAGCTCTGATCAAAACCCACCACTTTATATAAAAAGTTTCTATCAACGATTGAACGTTCTCGTTGTATTCTGATTCATCTCCCTCTCTTGTCTCTACGTGATTATTCCCTGGTTGCATCTGTTCAGTTAGCGGCAGGCCGATATCGTGCACTCGCAGAGACTCGGGACTGAAGGAGTGCACGGACATGTATGCCAAGAACGGAAAGAGCGACGGAGTTGCAGCAACCTCAGTCGATGTTCGCGAAGGCCAACGGATACCGCCTGCACCGCCGTCTCTCTCCCCTCTACCACCCGTCAATCCAACCCATCTTCACAATGGCCGTCGGAGTGAGTTATATCGCCCTCGATCCAACCCCCCGTCGCCCTTCCGCCCGCGCCGTCCCATCCGATGCTCGCCCTGCCGCCAACATAAGCTAACAGCCTTCTTCAGCGCAACGCAGCCACCAAGCTCGACTGGGCTAAGCTCTCCCAGCAGCTCTCGCTCAAGGGTGCAACTGCCAACTCCCTTGTCGCCTTCAAGAAGCGCAACGATGACGCCCGCCGCAAGCTCGCCCAGCTCCAGGGCCAGCAGCAGACTGTCGACTTCGCCTACTACCGTGGTCTCCTGAAGAACTCCGCCGTCATCGACGACATTGAGAAGCAATTCTCCGCTTTCCAGCCCAAGAAGTACGACGTCTCTCGCCAAATCAAGGTCATTGAGGCTTTCGAGGCCCAGGCCGTCAAGGCTGCCGAGGAGACCAAGGTTAAGGTCGACGGTGAGCTCAAGGACTTGGAGAAGACATTGAAGAACATCGAGGAGGCCAGACCATTCGAGGACTTGACCGTCGTGCGTATACCCGGAGATATCCCTCAAAGAGTCAATCCCTGTCTAATACACACATCTAGGACGATGTTGCCGCCGCCCAGCCCGAGATCGACCAGCGCACCGAGCAGCTCGTCAAGAAGGGCCGCTGGATGGTGCCCGGATACAAGGAGAAGTTCGGCGATCTCTCCATCCTGTAGAGTATTTTTTCCATGCCTCTACTTCCTTGTATCTTCTCTTTTTTGCTCTCCGCCACAAATTCCCACCCTCCAATATACGCTCAACCAACCTGTATCTTTTGCCGGTCGAATGGGCTACAACCAAGGCAAATTTACTTTGTAGCATAGACAAAATCGCATTTGCCCTTTGATCAAAACGAAAGCAGCGGATTTACGGAGAAACTTCAAGATTTTGTCTACCCTTTTTTATATCCCAAAAATTAATTCAATGAGACTAACCACCAGCCCGAAAAAGACGTTCCAGAGTAAGTCTTTTTGTTTCATGTGGATTTTTGTCACTCGTAAGACGTGCAAAAGCTATACAAGGATGCCTGTTCGCTCTTTCCATTCTTCCGATGTTCACAGTATCGTACCTGCCTTTGTTCTGTCTGGCCAGGTTCTCTTTGAAAACACTTGATTGCTCTTTCCTTTGAGTCAAAACATAACCCTACTGCCCCTTTCCTTGCCCTCTTTCAGTCGTTCCTTCTCCATTTATTTTCTTCACTGAAGCTTTCCTCCATCAGTTCCAATTCGTTCTCTCATAACAGTCCCGATCCCTCGCTCTACAAGATTTTCGAATCAACAATTTCATAATCGTAGATGTGGTCTTGGATTTGAGACTGATGAAACGAATGCCTGGCTGTGATCATGGACTTGGCTTCTTCGTCTCCTTTTCTTCACGTCTGATTCGAAGCGTGATGTTGATAGTGTATCTTCAATTACGTTACGCTACTCTTTGTACCCATAGCTCTTGTCTGCTTGTCCAAATGGCCTTCTAATTTTCATTGCTATTCGAAATTTTTATAAGGGTGACCCTGACGTTTTGTTAGGATACTGATCTCTGCTCTTAGTCCTTTGCCTATGCTCATACTCTTGATGGTAGCTATGCAATACGGAGCTCTGATACCCATGCGAGTAGCAATCGAGCCGTATCAATCATTCAAGCCCCTCGTGCAGCATCCACACTAAATCAAATTAACAAAGACACGAAACCCCCAACTTTTACAATGCTTGGGCGAAACAACCTGGCTAGCTCAACAACAACTTAGCTATCACAATACAAAAAGACTTCCAAGCACTCCTGTCGCGTAGTGAAAGGGAACCCTACTGTTATAGCCTCTTTGGATGAGCCCATGGTTAGAAAGAGAGCTACGAGCCTTGCATAACAAAAGAGTAGTCAAGCAAAACAGTAGGCAGCGACCGACTGAAATCGGAAAGAGCGATCTAGAAAATAGAAGGAACGACCGGTGGAAAGAGGAAGTAATGATCGATCAAAAGAAGAAGGAACGATTAATCAAAAGAGGAAGGAACGATAAATCAAAAGAGGAAGGAACGATTGATCAAAGGAAGAAGGAGCTACTGATTGAAAGAGGAAGAAACGACTGACTGAAAGAGGAAGGAACGATCAATCAATTGAAGAAGGAGCGCAAGATCGAAAGAAGAAGGCCCGACCGACGAGAAAGCAGAACGGGAAAGAGCAGTTACAAAGGCAAGAACTACTACGAGGAACAAGTACAAGGCGAAACAGGATATTATCACAGGCAGTGAGGCAACGACTGGAAAGAGACACGATTGAAGGTATCGACCTAAACTAAACTAAGTATAGAATCAAACTCTCCATTTCCCTCCTTCCCTTTAACTTCAAGGTACCAAAAGTGGTAGTAGTTTGTAACCATCTCGTCCAATATCCAGAGTTTCTATCCATCTTTCCGTAGTCGAGTGTGATGCGTTGCCAATAAAGTAATTGCAACAGCCGAACGACACATCCTTGGGAAGGGAAGATATGAAGACGGGATGAGGATCAAAGGACAAGAGGTCAAGGTTTGAAGAACAACAGACGTCTGGTGCCTGAAGTCTTCATGAGTGGGTCAAGGAGGTGCAAGCTCAGTTGAGCGAAGAATCCTCAGCACGCTCGAGGCCGGGCAGAGCCAGAACCTCACCACCATCGTAGTGACCGTTCTCCTCAGCACCACCCTCCTGCTGACCATCATCGTAGTCGTTGTTGTGGTAAGCGATGGCCTGGCGAGCAGGCAGAACACGAGAGAGAGCCTCATACAGGGCGCGCCACTCATCGTCAGCAGCCTCCTTGAGTGTGCACGACTCCTTCTGCTTCTTGTACTTGATGGAGAAGTTTCCGAAGTAGGACTCAGTGCCGAAGTCAGGCTCGGGCAGTTCAAGAGCGGAGCTGTCGTCCTTGCTGGCCATGTGAGCAAAATTGCCGTTGGGGTTGGTAGCAGTGCAGAGGAGGCTGATGACATAAGTCATCAGCTCGTCGGAAGCTTCGGGCTTCTTGGACAGCACCTCAAAGGCCCACCAGCTGGCCAGTCTCAGCTCGATGTGAGTGTAAGGCACGAAGCTCAACAGGTGGGTGTAGTTGTTGCAGTTGACGCAATCGATAACGTAAGCCTTCTGCTGAACACTGAAGCCGGGGTTGCTGAGGCAAGCAGTGATGTACTCTTGAAGAAGAGGGAGGTGAAGGCTCTGGGGATAGTGGCCGCGGGCAATGGCGGCGCACAGAACGCGCAGCTGGGTGACGGCACTGATAAAGATGGCAGTACGCTCACGGAGGGTGATGTGCAAGATGGCGTGCCAAGGGTACTTGTGCATGAGAGAAATCATGGTCTCGTAGGTGCGGTTAACGCAGCGCTGAGCGAAAGGTGAACGCTGAGGAGTCTCGGCGTGCTTGGTAATCATCACCATCTCCTCACTGGTGACAAAGCCCTGGAAGCCAGAGTTGAAGGCCTCCTCAGTAGTGTAGACTTGGGGAGTGTGACCGTCCCAGTTGACACACTTGGCACGAGGGAACAGCTCCTTCATGAGTTCCTCTTGGCTGCTGAGCTCAATATCGACGTGGCGATCACCGATGCGAGGGTGGCGGCTGTTTACGCAGCGCTGCTGGAAGCCAGCAACAGCAGCCTGAGCCTCGGCGACGGTGTTGAGCTCGACGTAACAGTCCATAGTCTTGCCAGTCGAACGTTCCATGATGATATGGATGGCCAAGTAAGATGCGCCGCGAGGCTGGTGAGCGATACGAGTGGTACGACCCAGAGCAGCGATGACCTCGTTCTTGGTGGTGCCATAGGGGATGTTGCCAATCTTGATCACGCCGGCAGTGGAGGCGACCGAGTCAGCAGCAGTGTCAACGAAAGGAATGTGCTGGTACACTTCGTCGATGCTAGGGAGGGCGTGCATGTGAACAGAAACCCAGTCGGGGTCGGGGTGCACGTCAGGGGCCATGGTAGCCTGACTACGTACAACATGCTGAACAGCAAGCTCATTGCCAGGTCTGTCACCGGGACCGCGAGGAGGAGATCTGCCACCGAAGTGATCAAGTGTGCCAGATTTGATGGCCTCAGCCATACGAGCAGCGTTGGTCTGAGGCTGTTGATTGTTATTGGTCGAGGCGTTGGTGTGCTGAGCATCGGGGGCGTTGAAGTAGCTAGTGCCATTCATGCTGCTGGGGCTGCTGACGGGAGAGGGCAGAGAAGAGCGAGGGTCAGAGGTGAAGGGCTGACGGCTAGACTGAGCGGGCACGAAGCCGGTGTTGGCATAGCTGGGAGGCTGGGGGTCCACGAAGGGATCGGCCTGATCAGCGGGCGTAGGCATAGCACGGGGGATGGGCATAGGGCTGTTCATCTGGTGGCCGTTCGATTGTTGACCGTTCATGTCGCGGCCGTTGATGTGTTGACCGTTCATGTGTTGACCGTTCATGTGTTGACCGTGCATCTGTTGACCGTGCATCTGTTGACCGTGCATCTGGTAGTCGTTGAAGTGACGAGAGTTCATCTGAGAACCATTCATCTCGAGGCTGTTGGTGAGGTGGCCACTTCCATTGAGACCGTTCATCTGGCGGCCATTCATGTTTCCGAAGCTGGCAGGAATGGGAACACGATTGAGAGAGGCGCCTCGGTGGGTGCGAGGGCCAGCGTTGTGGTTCACGCTGTTCATAGGAGCCACGCCAGGCATGAGAGGGGCGTCGAAGGGGCGGTGCATGTAGACAGGCGACTGCAAGCCTCCGAGACGAGGAGCAACAACGTTCTGGTTGTCAAAGGCGGGGCGGTGCATGTTGACAGGCGACTGCAGACCTCTGAGACGAGGATCGATGTTAGAGTTGCTAACGGCGGGGCGCTGATCGAAGGCAGGGTGTTGCTGAGGGTATTGGAAGTCTTGCTGCATGTTACCCATGTACTGCTGGCCGATGGGGTACTGGCTGATGGGTGGGGCAGGCTGGGCGCTGTCGTCCATGGGAGCAGGAGTCGCAAGCTCACGGAAAGCGTGCGAAGCTCTGAAGTTGTTGGGTCTCGGAGCGTGAATGTGCTGACCAAGACCATATGGGCGCTGCTGAGCCTGGTCGAGACTTGACTGCTGACCGTAACTGGGCAGGGCTGAGTTGTACTGCTGACCATAGTCGGGCAGAGCTGAGTTGTACTGCTGACCATAGTTGGAAGCAGTCAAGGCAGGCTGCTGGACATGGCTAGGCATACCGTGCTGGTTCTGCTCAGAGGCGGCCTCCTGGCCCTGGTTGGAAGCAGCGTACTCGGGGAAGTTGTCAAAAGCCGATCTGCTAGGGTTGAAAGAGTGCACGCGGCTGTGTTGAGCCTGCTGGGGCTGGGCGCCTTGGTTCTGAGCGCCTTGAGCCTTAGTGCCCTGGGCCTGGCCGGAACGAGTCTGCTGGGTAGCCGTGGCCTTGCTACCATTCATGCCACGAGAGTGGTCAAGAACGCCGCGGTTGGTGGCACCGAGTTGAGTCTCATCCTCAGCAGAGGGAGGAGTTGAGGGGCGCTTGTCCTCGTGGACGTAGTTGGCGTTGGGGCGGCGCATGTCGGACACGCTTGCGTCCAGGGACTGAAAAGCCGATCTTGCGGTTGAGGATGGGCTGTTCCAAATGCTGCCAGTAGGCGACAATCTCAGACCTTGGACCGAGGCAGAGAGATCGTTGAGGCTGATGTTGAAGTCACCGAGTTCTTCAATCTCGTGTGTAACTGTGACGGACTGTGAAGGTGTGAGCAAGGGAGTCAAGTAAGGGGAGATGAATATCATGAAACGATATAGATCGTAGGATATATGATGCGCACCTTGAGACAACGTGCGCAGCGGAGGGAAGCGCCTTCGGGGTGAGCTAGAAAATGGTCATAGCAGACTGTGTGTTGGCAAGGGAGCAGACGGTGACTAGGGTTGGAGACACAAGCATGGCACTGGGGAGCGCCGATGCGGCGGTCAGCGCTCAAGCTTGTCTCGGCGGCGCTCAAGTCCCCCGGGTATCTGGGCTGAGGAAACATGAAGCTTGAGTGTTGCCTAAGATGGCGGACGTGGGTTGCTTTGATAAGTCTTTCGATGTAAGGAAGAGTGTGAGATCGTGTGTGGATAATGTCGCGTGGTTGATCGCGTCTTGGGAATGATGTTGACATTGACAGACAATCCAACGCCAGGGAACTGACGAGATCAGTGAAGGTATAATTCCGGTATGGCCCCGGCGTCATCCAATCGGGAAATCCGGCAAGTTCCTTTCTGGCACAGCAACCAAAGTGAATTACTTCCTCCTCTTCGGGGATCAGACATGGGTAAGAAAGATATTGATATTTTTTGGATGAGGGTAGCTCCATGTGTGCGGTCGGGACAGCAAAGTACATCACGAACAGGAGGACAGTACAGTGTCAAGGACAGCAAGGAGATATTGATGCAAGAGGAGATGAAGGTATACTACCGGTTCAAGATACAAATGCCTATGAAGGTGTTGATCGCAGAAGGGACGTGCGCCGTAGTTGAAAGCAAGCATGCTGACACAGAGCAAACCGCCGTCCTATGGAGGCGTCGGTCTTAGCGATGGCATGAGACAGTGATGATAGTCCTTGTCGACGAGTAGAAGTTCATGTCCATCCAAGGGAAAGGGCTGGTCATAATCGTTTCTGGTCGGATTGGTATCTTTGGGAATCTTCTATGTAATGCAGCGCCAAGACCAGATACAGAGACCTTGGGGCAGCACAAAGCGGCGTGCAGCTGAATCAATCGAACTAGGCTGAATGAGTATGAGTAGACAAACAAGAGTAGAAGGTGTCTTACTGGAGTCAAGAAAGATTCGGCGACGAATCTTGCTCTGGCGTTCAACTGGAACATGTAAGTCAAGGCCGGGCGGCATTAGGCAGAAGGGGTGACATACGAAGAGCTTCATCTCGGAAATCTCCTTGTCTACCTCTTCCATGAACTGGATGATGAAGTCAACAAGCTTGTGCTTGAGCATCTCCTCGGTGTGGAAGTTTGTGATGAGGAAGGAGATGTCGTATCCCTATCGTTGTGTGAGCTTGTTACGGGCGGCGTAAAACAGGTGTGGTCAACGGACCTTGACGGGTTTCCTTCTCAGAATGAAGAAAGACTCGGCACGCTGTGTCAAGAAGCGAGTGAACTTGTGGACCAGGATATGCTCAATCTCGTCTGCCTGCTTGATTCTGATGCTGACGCGGATGCTGTTGACGCTGGGCTCGATGAAGACGCGCTCGTTCTCATTGCGGGAGACGGTCAGAGGGTTGAGAAGAACTTCGGGAGAGGTTTGGGCTTCGATCTCGGGGACATTGTGACGTTCAGACGCTTGCGAAGCGAAGTTGGATAGCGACATGGCCGCCGTCAACGACGACCGCACACATTGCAGGTATGGTCGGAGTGATTGCGACTAGGAGTTGATCAGCGCTGGATAGCTAAGTTGTATGGATGGTCCAAGAGGCGTACCATGATTGAATACTGTGCAGCGACAATGTACTAGACAAGGAGCTGTCGTTGGTATACAATGCCACGCTTCAGACGACGAGGTTGCGGAGATGCCGAGCCGGTGACGCGCCCGATCGAGGGGTCTTGGGTGCTCCTTCAGCCACAGCACGAGCCACAACCTTGACTTCCTCTGTTATGCAACTTTCCTTCTCTCCAATCTCAGGACATTGCGGTCGATCATCAGTACAAGCTGTGATTCCAAGTGTCGGAGTCATAATGAGGGCTTCGCTTTCAGCCCGAATGTCTACTGACCAAGAAATTTACTATTCAAGCAGGATCAGAATTTCATGACCAGACGCCCCTTCAAATGATTGTCCATGTACATCTCGGGAAGATCTGGCGTCTTCTCGAAAGGCACGGTTCTCACATATGACTTGACACCATGAGATGCCACAACCTTCATCATCTCCTCTACTTCCGACCTGTTAGCCACTCCAGAACCCTTGACGATGATTTCTTTTCCAATTAGGTCGAATGATCCAAAATGAAAGCCTTCTCCTGGCACTCCGAGAGGGACACAGATTCCATGAGGTCGCAGTGTCTTTAGCGACCACTCTATCGCTTGAACGTTGTCAGTGCAGACGACAATGCCTGCAAGTCCACCTTTGCCCGACCATTCCACAATCTTTTCGCCTGCCTTTTCGTCGTTGTAGTCAATGACCAAATCCGCTTTGAGTGGAAACTCAGTGGCTAGATCACGTCCTTCTGGACGATTGTCTATCGCGACAGTCGAGTAGCCGAGTGCTTTGCAAAACTGGACACCGAGCCCACCAAGGCCTCCAATTCCCAGAATGCCGACGGATTCGCCTGCAGGAAGACCAAGCTTAGAGATACCGCCCCAGACCGTTGCCTAGAGCTGAAGATCAGTCTCATGACGGTATCGAGATCACCAAGGTATACTTACACCAGCACACATCAAAGGTGCAGCCTGCTCAAACGGAATGGTCTCAGGCAGCAAGACAGTGTTGTCGGCATCCGCGATCATGTATTCGGCAAACGCTCCATCGCTTGTGACCCCGGCCATCTCCTTCTTCTCACAAAAGCGTATGTCTCTAGTGGTCTTGCAACCAACACACTCGTGACAGGCGTGCCTGAAAAGGAGTACGCCTACACGTTGGCCTTCGTTGAAAGACTTGGCAGCCTTGCTTCCAACCGCGACAACAGTTCCTGCTGGTTCGTGAGAGCCGATCTGAGGAGTCTGAGATTGGTAGAAGCCTTCATAGACTTGATAATCTGTATGACAGAATCCTGCTGCGCCGATTTTGACTAGCAAATCATTTTCTCCGTATTTAGGGACATCAACCTCGTGTATTTGATACTTCTTGTTGTACTATTCGATGTAAGCATTCAGTAGTCATGGAAAAACAGACCATGAACAATACCTCGACCAGGCGGGCAGCTCTCATGGTTTTGGGGACTGATGACATGATGTCTGATATATTGCAGATGTATAGGTAGATGTCAAAAAGTCCTTTTGTCTACCGCTTGGTGGTTGAAATACTTGAAGATTGATAGAGCTTCATTTTTATAGCAGCTTACGAGAGTTGCATGACGTGCATTTGATCAACGGTTCCGCGGGTAGTATGAATCTAGACAAAGCACAAAGCTAACTTTCTCGACATCCGTGTCGTTATTGTGCGATTGCTGTTTGGAGTCTTGGTTGTAGATGATCGCTTTAAGCTTCCATCTCTGCAAGACATAGGACATCTAGAAGGTAGAGCATCCATCGGAAGCGGCGCCTTTACGCCTTCACTAGATGCGACACTAATTGTGAGAAGCTGTGCGTCTTCTGACAATTTACTCATGGTAATCGTGCTTGATGATAGGAAATCCTGCCTGGGCCTTATATCGCGTGCTGTGCTAAGTAGAAAAGTGCGTGGACGGAGCGTAGAGAGGCACAACAAGAGGTGGTCGAGCTTCATTCAGGTCTCCTCCGGTCCTCGGCTTTCATCGGGATCGTCGGTCGGTGACAATCGCGAATTAATTGTGCTTTCTCCACGTCGAGGTTGACAATTGCTGTTGTGCTTGTCCTTCCTTCCTTTGTGTCTCTCCAATCAATTCCCGAGTCCCGACCTATCATGTTCAGATCGTCGGCAATCGTCAAGAGGGGTAGCTCCTTCGCTGGAGCTGCTCTCCGCGTCAACCAGACTCCTCGTCTTGCCATCCCCGCCCTCCGCCAGTTCAGCACATCCCTCCAGATGGCACAACAAACCCGCGCCGAGAGCGATGCCTTTGGCGAGATCCCCGTCGCCGCCGACAGATACTGGGGTGCTCAGACCGAGCGCTCGCTGTCCAACTTCAAGATCAACCAGCCTCATGACCGCATGCCTCCGCAGGTCGTGCGCGCCTTTGGTATCCTCAAGGGCGCCGCTGCCACGGTCAACATGAAGTTCGGCCTGGGTATGCCATGATCAAGACACGTCCACAACCACAGCAGCTGCCTGCTAACGCCCTTCTCTCCGCGCAGACGCAAAGGTCGGTGAGGCCATCCAGCAGGCCGCCAAAGAGGTCGCCGCCGGCAAGCTCGACGACCACTTCCCTCTGGTCGTCTGGCAGACCGGCTCCGGCACCCAGTCCAACATGAACGCCAACGAGGTCATCTCCAACCGCGCCATTGAGATCCTGGGCGGCGAGATGGGTTCCAAGAAGCCCGTCCACCCCAACGACCACGTCAACATGTCCGCCTCGTCCAACGACACCTTCCCTACCGCCATGCACATTGCCGCCGTTCTCGAGATCGAGGAGGAGCTCCTCCCTGCCCTGCGCAGCCTCAAGGACGCCATGTACAAGAAGCAGCAGGCTTTCGACAAGATCATCAAGATTGGCCGTACCCACTTGCAGGATGCCACTCCCCTGACCCTCGGCCAGGAGTTCTCTGGTTACGTTACTCAGCTCGAGTACGGTATCCTCCGTGTTGAGTCTGCTCTTCCCCGTCTGCGCTACCTCGCTCAGGGTGGTACTGCCGTCGGTACCGGCCTCAACACCTTCAAGGGCTTCGCTGAGGACATTGCTACTGAGGTCAGCAAGCTTACCGGCCACGAGTTCGTCACTGCCCCCAACAAGTTCGAGGCTCTTGCCGCTCACGACGCCATCGTTGAGGCCCACGGTCAGCTCAACACCCTTGCCTCCTCCCTCTTCAAGATCGCTCAGGACATTCGTTTCCTTGGTTCCGGTCCTCGCTGCGGTCTTGGTGAGCTCAAGCTTCCCGAGAACGAGCCCGGTTCATCCATCATGCCCGGAAAGGTCAACCCTACTCAGTGCGAGTCTTTGACCATGCTCTGCTGCCAGGTCTTCGGTAACCAGGCTGCCGTCACCTTCGCTGGCTCCCAGGGTAACTTCGAGCTCAACGTCTTCAAGCCCGTCATGATCCGCAACCTCCTCCACAGCTCCCGTCTGTTGAGTGACGGTATGCGCTCTTTCGAGAAGAACTTGATCGAGGGTCTTGAGGCCGACGAGAAGAGAATCGAGGCTCTCCTCCACGAGTCTCTCATGCTTGTTACTTGCCTTAACCCCGTCATTGGCTACGACATGGCCTCCAAGGTCGCCAAAAACGCCCACAAGAAGGGTCTTACCCTCAAGGAGAGTGCCATGGAGCTCAAGGCTCTGAGCGAGGAGGACTTTGACAAGACTGTCCGTCCCGAGCTCATGCTTGCTCCCAAGGAGAAGAAATAAATGTAGATCATGAAGCGAATTGTATAATACACTTTTTTGGAATCATCTTAAGTGCGAAAGTGTCTTTTCACATGTCCTGGTTTAATCTCCTACTTTTGCATCTCTCTCATTGATCGTGTCTCCATCTCAGAATGGTTCGAGAAATAATGCAATTTCACGCACGGACATTTCTTTTCGCCGGGAAATCCAGCCTCTCCCCCGAGCTTTGAGGAACAATCTCCTTTATTCGAGATCCTCGAGAAAATCAATTGCATACCGGAAAATGGAGGAGGCATTCGATTGGGTGTCCGATAATCAAGGCACAGTCGCCTTAACATGGGTTGCTGTTGTATTCGCCACTGCTGTGTTGTGGTTCACGACAAAAGGAGATTCCGAAGCTGCTGTCAACTTTGAAGTGCCACTTCCCAAGCAGTGTGAACCTGATTGGCAAGGAGAGGTTTTGCAGGAGCCTGGATTGAAGGTGTGTTTTGCTTTTCCTTCGTGTTCATTTCTGTCTTTCTCTGGTTTCTCGTCTCTTTTATGGAATCACGAGTTTCTTGAATGCTCGTTGATGGACATGTGAGAGGATAAAAGAGTCGGATATCAGGAGGCTTTCGGAAGTTGTCTCTTCCTCTGACAGACCTCAAAGACTTCCAAGCACCTCTGAAATTTGGTCATTGATGTTCTGAAACGGCATGATTTTATACTCTCTTGGTCTTTGAGACAACGTTATGAGTATGTGACTGACATGAGGCTTCACAGATCTCAGGTTCTTCTGCTGTTCAATGTTACTGCCCAGCAACAGGCGAATTGCTCGGCGTCATCAACCCTTCTACACCTGATGGTATCGACAGAGCCATTGCACGTGCTCAAGAAGCCCAACACACTTGGGCTCTGACGACCTTCTCGCAACGTAGAAGAGTGCTCAAGACACTTTTGAAGTGAGTGATTTCGACAGGTTCCATGTGACACAAATACTGATCAATCAGATACGTGCTCACACACCAAGACGATATCGCTACAGCAGCATGTCTGGACTCTGGCAAGACGCGCGTGGATGCACTTTTTGGTGAAATTCTGGTAACAGTCGAGAAGCTCAAGTGGACTATCGACCACGGCGAAAAGGCTCTTCAACCCTCGTCTCGCCCCACCAACCTTCTCATGATGTACAAGTCCAACTCGGTCGTCTACGAACCCTTGGGGGTAGTCGCCGCCTGCGTGAGCTGGAACTACCCTTTCCACAACCTCCTCGGACCAATCATCTCAGCACTATTCACCGGAAACGCCATCATCGTCAAAGGATCCGAACAAACAGCCTGGTCCTCCAACTACTTTGTGGAAATTGTCAAGGGCGCTCTTGTAGCTTGCGGACACAGTCCTGAGCTCGTTCACGCTGTCACCTGCTGGCCCACTACAGCCGAACACTTGACCTCGCACCCAGGAATATCACATCTGACCTTCATCGGCAGCAAGCCAGTCGCCCACCACGTCTGCACTTCAGCAGCCAAATCTCTCACCCCAGTAGTCGTAGAACTAGGCGGCAAAGACGCAGCCATCATCCTCGACGCACCCCACCAAAAACCCATGCCCGCTTCCGAACTCTCTCGCATCGAAAGCATAATCATGCGTGGAGTCTTCCAATCAGCTGGACAAAACTGCATCGGTATCGAACGCGTCGTCGCCATGCCTCTAGCTTACGACTATCTTCTCTCCGTCCTTCCTCCCCGCATCCGCTCCCTACGCTTAGGAAACTCCCTCCACTCTCTCGACATCGACGTCGGTGCCCAAGTCTCTCCCGCCAACTTCGGTAAACTGGAATCACTGATCGCAGAAGCCGTGTCCCAAGGCGCCATCCTTCTCGCCGGCGGAAAACGCTACAATCATCCTGAATATCCCAGCGGTCATTACTTTTCCCCCACGCTTCTCGCGGAAGTGACGACAGACATGCGCATCGCCAATGAAGAATGTTTCGCCCCGATATGTCTTCTCATGCGCGCAGAATCACCTTCCCACGCAATCGAAATCACAAATTCCACAATCTATGGCTTGGGCTGCTCGGTCTTCGGCCCTTCTTCCTCTCCTCTGCATTCCGTCGCTGCTGGCGTCAAAACAGGTATGGTCGCCATAAACGATTTCGCAGCATACTATGCCGTTCAACTCCCCTTCGGCGGCGTCCGGGGTAGTGGGTATGGCAGGTTCGCGGGAGAAGAAGGATTGAGGGGTTTGTGTAATGGAAAAAGCATTTGTGTGGATAGGTGGGGGTGGATGGGTGTCAAGACTGCTATTCCTGCTGGATTGGACTACCCTATGAGGGAAACGGCTTGGGAGATGGGAAAAGGTGTCGTGGAGCTTGGGTATGGAGAAAGTTTGCGACGTAAAATCAGAGGGTTGAGGAGGATGATTGGGGGTATGTGAGATCATTGGGATTGCTGTTGGAGAGTAGATTCTGCAAGAACATAAGCCATGGATGTAGAAGTATTTGCTATACTTGGCTGTATAACAAGAGAATTGCTATAAACAAGGCAAAATCACACACACATTCAACAGGCAACCTCGCACTTTGCAGCAATTTGTCCATTCTCAGATCCACGAAAGATACAAATCTCCTATACTAAAAAGATACAAGTATTCATATATATACAAAAAACGCCCCATAATGTATCCCAACTTCCCAAGCCCTCACCATACGCCCCCTACATAACCCAAAATATCCCATATCCATCAAACTTAGAACAGTGCCTCGGTACTGATCTTCCCCTTCTGCTGAATATCCCTAGAGCTAAAACCCAACTGCACCTCAAAGTCTCCCATCGGCAAGACCCAATTCTGCAACCCCACATCCCAGAAACTAAGATCTTTCCTCGTCAACTGCAGAGAAACCTCTACTCTCTTTTCAGGAGTGACGAATAACTTGTCAAATGCCCTCAAAACACGGACGGGGAAATCGACAGTGTTGCCCAAGGAATCGATGATGGGAGTGGAGGGGTAGGAAATATACAACTGAACGACACAGTCGCCTGGAAGAGAACCCGTGTTTGTCAAAGAGGCCTGGACGACGGCAAGAGGGGTGTAAAGGTCAGGATTTCCGCCTTCTGCGCCTCCGGCTTGGGAGAGCGGTTGTGCGATTTCGTAGCCCACTGGATAAGGGTATTTGCCCGTTTTGATGTCGTCGACCGAGTTGATGTAGGGGTAGATGTATTTCTTGAGAGCGATGAAATTGGAAGGCCAGAGTGCTTCACGGGCGTCCGGGATGGAGACGTCTAGGTGGGGAGGTGTGATGGATTCGGGTCGCTTGGCTGGGAGGGTGGAGTATTCGGTGGCCAAGGGGTGGATGAATAGACTACTGAGGTGGAAAGTCGTGTATGAGAGTCCGAAGCCAAATTCGTAGCGTGGCTCGATGTCATGCTTGTCAAAGTAACGGTAGTCGACGTACAGACCTTCAGAGAAGTTTTGCTGCGGGATGACAGCGTTGGGGCGGTAGAGAATCTTGCTTGTCGGGCCGTAATCATCCTCGTTCTTAGCGATTGTGTAGGGAAGACGACCAGAAGGATTGATGTCTCCGAAAATGATGGAGGCCAAGGCGTTACCGCTCTCTTGTCCAGGCAGGTTTGCGTACAACACCGCCTTCACGCCAGGTAGATCGATCCATTTCTCGAGGATGACAGGACCGACAGCGTGGACAACAACGATAGTAGGGCCACCACACTTGGCTGCAACCTTCTGCACAAGCTCATCACCACCTTTCTGTGCGTAGAGATCATTACGATCACCCTTGACGTCTTTCCATGCTACGTATCCTTCTCCTCCATCGGAGTTGATAAAGACAAAACACAAATCTTGGTCGGCTGCGCGAGAAGGATGCTTGTCAAGATCTTCGTAGTTAGAAGGGTAGTCGGAAAGAGTGACACTTTCGACGTCAAATCCAAGATGGATACCCTCAGCAGGAGCAACAAGGTAAGGGAACTCGACAGTACCAGAACCCCATCCTTGAGCAAGAGTACCTTCGTTGCAAGCACGGTCTGCGCATGCATTGGGTCCCTTACCGTTGTTGTAAGCGTCTTCGCCGAAGATGGCGACACGAAGCTTGTCACCATTCTTAGTCAACTTCTTACCATCACGATTGAGAGGGAGGACGTGGTCGTCATTCTTCAAGAGGACGGTACCCTCGGCAGCAATCTGGCGAGCGAGCTTGCCGTGAGAGTCATCACCTTCGCCTTGGACGTTAATGAACTTATTGACAATACCCTTAGTAGTGTCATTGCTTCCAGGGTGCAACAAGCCAATCTCATCGTTGGTCCAGGAAGAGAAGTTGGGGCCACCACCATCTTTCTCAGCGGGCCATTTTTTCTTGTCGTCCTGACCGAACTGGTACCAGGCAGCAACAACGCGAAGGACCATGTCGTTGAGTCGCTCCATAGGAACACTACCATTGAAGACAGCCTTGGTCAATTCACCGCCCCAAACAGATTGGCCATCCATCCAGCGGAGACCATCACCAGGCATGCTCATATCAAGACCAGCAAGAGCCGAGGCAACACCACTTCTTTGAGCGAGCCAGTCGCTCTGGATGAAACCTTGGAAGCCCAATTCGTCCTTGAGAATACCATTGAGCAGCTTGCTGTTCTGGCAGGCATAGGACTGGTTGACCATGTTGTACGAGCACATGACACTACCAACACCAGCCTTGACACTCTCAGCAAATGGCCAGGCATATATCTCGTGCAGAGTTCTGTCGTCAAGGTTGCTGCTGATAGCATTGGGGGTGCCCCACTCCCAGCTCTGACGGAAGTGTTCCTGCTCGTTGGCAATGTAGTGTTTTGCAGTAGCAATAATGCCCTCCTCTTGAATACCGCGGATCATGGCGGCAGCGGCGAGGCCTTGCAGGACGGGATCCGAACCAAAGCCTTCCCAGTTTCTACCACCAGCGGGCAAGCGACCGAAAGGACCCATGCTTGGACCAAGCGCAATGTGAACACCCTTGCCACGAGCTTCGCGACCATGAGCACGGCCTTTGAGGTAAATCAACTCCTTGTTCCAGGTAGATCCAAGAGTGATGCCTGCAGGGAAGGCGGTAATGTTGTCGGCGAATCTCAAACCCAATGGACCGTCCTGCAGACAGAGGGAAGGGAAGCCGAGTCTTTCGACAGGACCAGTGTTTCCAACACACATGCCCATCTCCCAGCCAGTACCAGTGGTAATGTTGACCTTCTCGACGACGGACATTTGGCCAACCAGGGCGGCAGCCTTCTTGTACGCCTCTTCCCATGCAGTAACGGAGCCTCCTCTTGGTGCCGGATACCATGGGTCACTCTGACCGCCTTCGGGCTCGGTCTTGTATACCCAGATGCCTCCAGCACTCAACAGCAGTACTAGAGCAGCTGTGAAGAGCAAGACCATCATGCAGCACATGCGAGATGGGAGCAAGTAGCGACGCCATGTCGAACGACGGCGTGTGACGAAGACCGAGTCGTGTGTTTGTGAGACGTCGTCCTTGTACGGTCGATTGGGTGTCTTGAGGGGGTCGAGTTCATTGATCGACGACGAGATGGAATCGCGCGATGAGGTGGACAGGCGGTAATCTTCGGGGTGGTCGAGCGATTGACGCGGCGACTCTCTGGGCGTCAGCTCGTAGTCCTGCGACTGCGACATTGCTGTGGTTATGGGTCGTCGCTGTTATGACATGTAGGAAGTATAACGGGAGATGTCTTGTACTCAATGACCTCTTGGAAGCATTGGAGCAGAAGAAGAGGAAGAAGCCATCATGTACCTGAGGCTGACAGAGTTACGCCATGCCATCTATCTGCTGCACTCCAGCCGACATCCGATCCGTCACATCTTGAGCATTCGCCCCGCTTTTCACCCTTCCCGTCCTTTCCTAATTCGGTCCATACCGTAAGCCACCACTAAAGTCTCCGATGGCCAAACTCACAGCACAAGCAACCACTTCTCTCAATATGATATTTCAGGATTCGGTATTAACGCTTCATCAATTCGACATATACATAGGGGCCATTCCTCCCATTCGTGTTACATTCGCCATAGCACATCATAGTTCAATCGCAGCCTGGGCCGGTCCGACCTAAGATTCCCCATTATCAGCCTTCCGTTCGGGTATCAATTTTGAGGCTGCTCAACATCGTGCTGACCATTTGGACAACTTCCTCAAAGCTTAGAGGCAGGGGCGGGGCTACCCACAGTCGTGATTTCGTCGTACAACAACCTGTGCAACCACGTTAGCAATCTTGTCCTACTGTCAATCTTGGAATCTCTTGTTACGTACGATGTCAAGAACTCGTCATACTGCTCGCCAGTCACCTGAGTGGCAAAGTACTTCTCTGCCAACTGGTACTTGTGGCCCTTTGGTGCCTTGGACCCGAGCTCCTCAGCCTGCTCGTGGAGGAGCTTAAGTGCGTACTCCTTGTTGATCGTCTGCCCTTCGGCCGTCTTGACCTGGTGCTTGCACCATTGCCAAAGTTGACTTCTGCTGACCTCGGCAGTGGCAGCGTCTTCCATCAAGAAGTTGATGGGGACACAGCCAACTCCTCTGAGCCAGCCCTCCATGTAACCGAGACCGATATTGAGGTTCTTTCTGATACCGTCCTCGGTAATCTGGCCGGGAACGTTCATGTTGAGGAGATCGTATTGCTTGATGTTAACATCCAATCTGCGTACGTGGAGCTGGTTAGGCGTGGGCATGTGCTCGTTGAAGACCTCGGCAGCAATGCTGGCAAGGGCGGGGTGAGCAACCCAGGTACCATCGTGACCAGCCTTGACTTCGCGGAGCTTGTCGGCACGAACACCAGCCATAGCCTTGTCGTTGGCCTCCTTGTCGGTCTTGATGGGAATTTGAGCAGCCATACCACCCATGGCGTGGACGCCTCTGCGGTGGCATGTCTTGATCAGAAGCTTGACGTAAGCATCCATGAAAGGGGAAGTCATGGTGACAGCAGAACGGTCAGGCAAGACAAAGTTGGGGTTCTGGCGGAAACGCTTGATGGTGCTGAAGATGTAGTCCCAACGGCCGCAGTTCAGACCTGAAGAGTGGTCACGGAGCTCGTAGATGATCTGTCCCGACATTAGCTAACTCGTCCGAAGTTTTGCAAATGCAATTCTTACCTCGTCCATCTCGAAGGCCGCCATGATGGTCTCGATCAAGACAGTACCTCTGATGGTACCACGGGGCATGCCAATGTAGTCCTGGGCAAGGTTAAAGACATCGTTCCAGAGTCTTGCCTCAAGATGGCTCTCCATCTTGGGGAGGTAGAAGTATGGGCCGGCTCCTCTCTTGACGAGCTCCTGTGCGTTGTTGAAGAAGTAGAGACCGAAATCAAACAAGGAGCCAGAGATGGGCTCGCCGTCGACGGTGAAGTGCTTCTCCTCCAAGTGCCAACCACGGGCACGAGCGATGAGTGTGGGCAACTTGCGGTCGGTACGGAGCTTGTAGTCCTTCTCACCCTGCTTGAAGTCGACCTGCTTGCGGATGGCGTCGTAAAGGTTGAGCTGACCGTTGATCATGTTGTCCCAGGTAGGTGCACTTGAGTCTGGGAAATTCTGTCAGCCGCTTGTCTTTTAGTTCCTTCCCTGGTGGGCTCACCCTCAAAGTCGGCCATGTATGTCCAGACATCCGAGTTCAGGGCATTGACAACCATCTTTCTGTCGGTAGGACCAGTGATCTCGATTCTGCGGTCGGCAAGGCCGGGTGCTGGTGGTGCACCCTTCCATGCATCGCTGTCGCGGATGTGCTTGGTCTCAGGGAGGAAGTCGGGAAGCTTGCCGGCGTCGAGCTCGGCCTGGCGGGTTTCGCGTCGTTGCAACAGTTCCTTGCGAGTCTTGTTGAATGTGCGGTGGAGAAGGGCCAGGAAGACGGTAGCCTCCTTGGAGATGACCTTGCGAGTCTGCTCATTGAGAGGTCCGAGGATGTTGACCTCACGGAGAATTTGTTCTTGGCTCGCCATTTTATCTTTTTTGGTTTGAATCTGAATGTGTTTCACGGATAGAACGAGGAAGTTCAGAGCAGGAGGGAAGACAGAAATGATGAGCAGATCTCCGACGTATATATGTATCTAGCTATCGTTATGCCGTCAGAGATACCTTACCGAGGCTAGTGATCTGAGCTCTTTTACACCTCTTCTCCGGCGAGAACGGCGGGGGAAGGGAGATGGTCGAGATCCGGGAGATGTGGGGAAGTTCTCTCCCAGTGGTTCACGTCATTCATGCTCTTCGGCAATTGCGTTCCGCCTTCCTGAATGTAGAGTCTCAAATACTCTTCAATCGCCATTTGTATAGAGAGACCTTGCTCATTCTGCGAGTTTCAGAGATCAATTCATCACCTCGGGTTGTAGACGCCGCGGTCTGGCACATCGACTTTTCTTCACATGCTGCCGGTGCCGAGGTCAGAGAAAACAGTCACAACAAAATGTTAAGCTCGTGCAAGGACCTGGAGACGCCCGTGTTTCCCCATTCGGGTGCCCGGAAGTCGCCGCGCTTGTGATAGGCCTGCAAAATGCCATCTTTACTCGATGAATACACCTGAGAGTGACTCGATGGCTACATGTAACATGGAAAGAAGGGTTCGCCCATCGCGCACTTTGGATCTTTCGGGATGCTTTCCGATCAGGGGCTGAGTATTCGTTATATGCTCCCATCGAGTAAGAGCTGGATGTTATCTTCGCCGTACGCGCTGCTCGGCTCCCTTCACCGTGTAGATTCTATCGAATCTCCTCGTGTGCTGAACTCTTGTCGCGCGTTCAGCTGTAGAAACGCGCGACTCTCGCCAAATAAGTACCGGTGGCCTTCACGATGCACGTGACTGTCAACGCTTCTCTGTGGACGACTGTCCTGCTTGAAAAACAAGATGTTGAATTTGTCACTTTCCACCGCACGAGACATCTCTCTTGTCGCTTTACGCGGTTTATCACAGATGCAAGTGGAAGCAACATGAATTTTTCTGAAGAACGGTTCCTTCCATGAACAATACGGCGCGAACCCAGCGACTCGTGGCCGGAGCGGGATAATCCATCGTTCTACTTCATGTCCTGCACGTACTGCTCTTCAATAGAGAGTCTCTTTTGCTTAGCAAAACACAGACGATACTACCTTCGAACACGAATATCACAGATTCACAGATGCGTATGCGACCACAATCGCCATAAATTTCGCTCAGGTCATGAGTTGCTCTGCTACGGTCCGAGGCTCCTACGCTCAAGTCAATCCTACAGTTGAATTTGGACCGCCGTCTTGTCTGGACTACCCTCTTTCTGATTGATTTACTGCCGAAATGCTATCTATATTCCTGTTATGGGCGGACGTGACATTGCATGTGGTCTAGCAATGTCGTGTCTTAGTCGGCGCCAGGACACTGCTGGGTGTGTAAGATCATGCGTGTTGTTCTTCTCTGGCTCAACGATTCGACATCGACATGCCTCCCCTGTGTTTGTGCACTACCATCGACAGCACTCGTACGCTTGGACCCAAAGTCCGACATAAGCCGGTATCTCCGTACTTCTCCTCGCAGGGTCCAAAAAGCGACAATCGCTCATCTCGCCGAGACTATAGTGATGGACAATCTTGGAATAGCGGTCGGCATGATTGGTCCCATGCAGCATAAATCAACATCTAATCTGGAGTTAGAATGGAGAAAGGGCGAGCTGCAAACTCCACAGCTATCAATGATAGGGCATGGTCAGGATAGACACGCTGTCCGAACGTTTTGTTGCTGCAGCTCTTATCACTTACGCCTAGGACACCCATAAGATGTGTCCCCATTTGGTATACAAATCCTTGTGCCCGAACTTCATGCGAAGAGGTCAGACGCGTAGACAAGAGCGCAATACTGTATCAATCCCAAAGCGTCTCTGTCCATGATCATCTTTGATGCAGATAGACAGGGTTCGTAATTTCGTATACGACTCAGGTACGGATGTCCACGCATGCTGAGAAATCGGTCAATCGAAACATCTTCCTCGATTGACTTGCTGTTTGTCAATTCGATCTTTGTTGCTGTGTGATACGTATGAATCATGCTCCGAGGGCAGGGTATCAACTTCGGTCGACAATGCCAACCCACTAATCCAACTGACTCTGTTGGTGTTTTTTGACCATCTTGGCAGCATGCAGACTCCTGTCGAGCTGTTTCACCCTCAACCGCTGTAGACACCAAGGCCTCAGACGTCTGACTCTCCATACTGAACCCCAAATTTCAATCCCGCTCCCGTCAGAGTATTGTTAGCCATGGCGTGTGACATGTTCAAGAACGAAGTCAAGTTCGGGGGCCTGGATTGGTGTCCGAGACGTTGGCTTCCGGCAAAACTTGGCGTGCAGTGTTTGTCACAGAAATCCACCGCGACTTCTGAAAAGTGGTCCTTTCTCGCAAATTTGAACTTGCCTGCGACGTCATTCGCAAACGGGCTGTCAAAGCGAGTTGAACGAAGAGCTGGAGATGCGAGATGCGCGACACCATCTGGACAGACGGCATGCTTGCCCGACTTGCCCTCGACCTGTAGGGTTACTGACACCTGAAACTGGTTGGCCGACGCCGCGAAGGCAAGCTTACGGATGCAAAACTTTTCCTAATAACGTAAAACTTGTACCTGCAGGATGGCACAGCTTTGAACTTCCGAGCCCTAGCTCTGGACTGTGCTCTGCACTTCCTGCCTACCGCCGCGCAACGGTCAATGCCATGCTGTTAAACCTATCCACCTACGTCGATCGGATCAGAATTCTTGTGTTTAATGCTCCACTAATGGTCAGGTACATTACCCCCCGAGACGACCACCGTATCGTCATAGTCTTTGTGCCACCCTTCATTTTCTCGAGATCGATACTCAAATACCATCCTCCTTCTTAAACACCATCCATCTCTGCCTCCTTTTGATACCCAGCTTTCAACACCGCCACCTCCTTCCTGCCCTTCCCTACTGGCATTGATCCTTGACTGGTTACAGTGTTTCACCGCCGCCTCCAATCATACACGACCCCTTTTTCACCCTGTGTCTATCGCTACATTTGACAGAGTCGAAGAAAGAAAGAAAGACTGTCTTTCCAACAACCCATACCCGATCCGAGCTGTGCTTGACAATTGGTAGCGTCGTGTGCGTGCCAGGCATCTTCAACGTCGAGTCATTCGCCCAAGCAACAAACTTCACCTAAAGCAACATCATTCGCCACGAGTTGTCTAACGATACCAAAAGCAGCATTCTTTTGATCCGTTGCGAACTGAAGACGACTACGAGAATACCAAAGCGACTTTACCCTCTGCGACGTGATATTCGACTTTACTACTTGTGCTCAGTAACAAATCAGTATGGGCAACGACAAGATCGCCAAGGGCGACACTATGTTGCGAAGTAACGGTTCATCTAGCGAGCTGTCCGGGTTCGTGGACTCTGACGGCATGCAACTTGCCTCCATGGGCTACACTCAAGATCTGAAAAGAAATTATTCAGTTTGGTCTATCCTGGGAGCAGGATTCTCACTCACCAACTCATGGGTATGCGACTAATCTAACAACATGTCTTTGTTGTGCTGACATCTTTCAGTTTGGTGTGTCCATCGCAATGGTGACTGGTATCAATTCGGGCGGCCCTGTCTTGCTTGTCTACGGTATCATTGTCGTCATGTTGGTCAGTATCTGCGTTGGTGTCAGTTTGAGTGAACTTGCCAGTGCGCTCCCAAACGCAGGTAAGTTGATATCCCTAGAACATCCTTTGACTTCCTCCTTGTCAACGCGGCTTGCTCTGAAATTGCACGATGCTTTTCGAGATCAGAGCTCTGTGCAGTGAGAGCGTCTAAAGCAGTCCTTTTCTGACACGAATCAATAGGTGGACAGTACTTTTGGACCAACGAATTGGCCTCGAGAAAATACGCCAAATTCTCAAGCTATCTTACCGGCTGGTTCTCTTGGGCTGGATCTATCTTCTCGTGCACATCAACCACTATCGGAGTAGCAAGTGGACTCGTCGGATGCTGGCAACTCGCTCATCCGGACTACGTCGTCAAGGACTACCATGTTTTCGCAACTTACCTTATACTTACATGGTTCTGCTTCTTGTTCAACTGCTACGGCAAGATTTTGCCCTCAATTGCTACGGTTGGACTTTACTGCTCTCTAATCTCATTCGTCGTAATTTTGGCCACCGTACCGGCCACAGCACCAAGTCACCAAACCCCTAAGTTCGTCTTCGCAACCTTTATCAACAACACTGGCTGGACCAACTCCGGTATTGCCTTCATCACTGGACTAATCAACGCCAACTGGGCCTTCGCATGTCTTGATTGCGCCACGCATTTGGCTGAAGAAGTACCTCGTCCCGAAAAGATGATACCCATTGCTATCATGGGTACGGTCGCTATCGGATTCGTCACTAGCTGGTGCTTTGTCGTTTCCATGCTGTTCAGCATCGTTGGAGATTTCCAGGATGTCGCCAATAGCTTGACTGGAGTGCCGATTCTCCAGCTCTTCTACAATGCTCTTAACAACACCGCTGGGGCTATAGCCTTAGAAGCCCTCATCATCTGTACCGGTTTGGGCTGTGTCATTGCAGGGCACACTTGGCAGAGCCGCCTGTGTTTCTCTTTCGCTAGAGACCGTGGCGTGCCAGCCCACAAGTGGCTTAGCAAGGTCGACCCTAAGCTGGATGTCCCTTTGAACGCTCACTTCACTAGCTGTGTCATCGTCACCATTGTCGGTTGCATGTATCTGGCTTCTACCGCAGCATTCAACGCCATGTCTAGTGCTTGCATCGTCCTGCTCTACATCTCTTACGCCATTCCAGTCGTCTGTCTTTTGTGCAGAGGAAGACAGCAATCTCTCACTGGTCCCTTCAACCTCGGCGTATTTGGACTCATCTCCAACTACGTCCTACTTGCATGGACAGTCTTCACGCTCGTTCTATACTCATTCCCGTCTTACATGCCCGCAACTGCCGGAAACATGAACTACGTTTGTGTCGTTTACGCAGTCGTCTGTTTTATCATCGCAGTCGATTGGTTCTCAAGGGGCAGAAAGTCCTACAGAGGACAGGAGGATAGACATGTTGATGTCGGCGACAACGACATCTTCGTCAAACCGATTGCGAGCGCGACGGAAGCATAGAAATGATGCATCGGCCTTCTTTCCACTTTCTCACGAATCATGTATATACTTTCAATTGAACCATTATGTCAGAACAAGGTTTTTCCGGGAATGTTCTGCCACCATTCCCGAAGTTTCAGAGGATCGGAGCGGCAGATGATGATATCGAGCGCCAGAAGAATTTCATGCGACACTAGCCGAGCACCAGCATTGTATTGTGAGGGGCATCAACGGGTCGACCAGGAAGAGAGGCAGGATCCCCTTTTTGCATCTCGAGAGTGTACAATGTGACAACTCGATAACTAAGTCTTCGTTGGAAATTCTCTCAGTTCCCCAATTGTTGTGCCTTGCTATGGCTGGTCATACTGTGGCATGCGCTGGATAAGAATGCCGGTTCTGCTCTGTATGAGTTCAGGACAAGCATTTCCCCACCGGCTCGGCTGCATATTTTTGGCTGTGCCGTTGAAGTCTTGTGCGCGCTTGTCGAAACCTTCAAGTCTCGAAAGCCTTTTTCCAGCCTCTTCCGCCTGTCTGCAGGAACGTCAAAGTACCCTTCCGGAAGACTTCTCTGCTTCTGAATTGTATCGCAAGATCATGAAAATGAGAGATCATATTCGCAAGCTTGTTTGCTGTCAACATCGTTTCCAGGAATCGTACAGGGCGGGTTAAACCGGTCTTGCGACACGAAAGACGTTACTTTGACAAACTTGCGTGGTGCACGGCTTGAAGTGGTATCAGACACGATCCGAGTTCCGGTTAAAACTCGTCCTCGACCACTCAGGCGGCAGTAGATAATGAGTTGCCTCGTCATATCATCAGTCGGACCGAAAACACACCCTCATCGGTGGACACACCATTCCTGAAAGGACCTTGAAGCGGATCTTCAATTCGGACCTTCTCAACAACCCTACAGGCATCCTGCATGTTTTGGAGTGATTCTGGGGGCAAGTTCTCCATGGAGATGAGAAATGGAGAGACCGCGTGCCTCCACCTTCGCGATGGTCTGCCCACGGAGAGTGATCGGCTCTGATGCACGAGCATCCCCATGGATGTTCTCCACTTTCATGGAGCATACAAAAAGGTGGAGGGTCACCCAGTTGAGTGAAAGTTTCCTTTCTTGAAGCATTCTTTTGCAACCGTCCACTCCTCTTTCAACCCAAGCCGAGCGTAATCGTTCGCTTTCTACATCAACATGGGTAAAGGTGTCAAGGGTGCTGCCTCTGGAGAGCAGCATGAGAACATTGAGATGTTCGACCCCGCTCAGCAGGGAAGCTACATGGATCGTCGCGAGATGACAAAGGACCAAATGGAAGACGCAGTTCGTGCTGGCAGTGTTCCTCACGTCAACACCAGCGAGGCTGTCGATATTGCAAAGAACGGCGGCTGGGAAGTCGATGCTCTGATGACCGAAATGCAGAAGGAGATCGACGCTCAAGGTGGTGACAACAATGGCCACTTCGACCTCGAGTTCGCCAACCCCAAGTACTTCACATACCTCATTGTTGCCTTTGCCTCGATGGGTGGTATGCTTTCTGGTCTCGATCAATCGCTTATCTCTGGTGCCAACCTCTTCCTTCCTGGAGATCTTGGACTCAACGACCGTCAGAACAGTTTGGTCAACTCTGGTATGTCTCTTGGTGCCGTCGGTGGTGCCATCATCTTGTCTCCTGCCAACGAGTACCTCGGACGTCGCTGGGCTATTATCCTCTCTTGTATTCTCTACACCATTGGGTATGTCAAAAAATCACTATGAAACCAGTCACGAGTTCTAACCAGAATGACAGTGGTGCTCTCGAAGCTGCTGCCATGAACTACGGCATGATCATCGCTGCTCGCGTTATTCTCGGATTCGGTGTCGGTCTCGAGGGTGGTACTGTGCCAGTCTACGTCGCCGAAACTGTAGAGAGAAGATACCGTGGTAACATGGTCTCCCTCTACCAGTTCAACATCGCTCTGGGTGAAGTCCTTGGTTACGCCGTTGCCGCCATGTTCGTAACTGTTCCTGGAAACTGGCGCTACATTCTCGGTTCCTCGCTACTCTTCTCTACCATCATGGGTATTGGTATGCTTTATATGCCAGAGTCTCCTAGATTCCTCATGCATAAGGGCAAGCCTGTGGAAGCCTTCAAAGTCTGGAAGCGCATTCGTGGCATTGAACAGCTGGATTCTCGTGAGGAGTTCTACGTCATGAAGATGTCTCAGGAGCAGGAAGATCAGGAGGTCGCTGCCGGTCGTGGCAACGCAAAGTACCCCTGGATGGACCTGTTCACCGAGCCTCGTGCACGTCGCGCCTTCGTTTACGCCAACGTCATGATCTTCTTGGGTCAGTTCACCGGTATCAACGCCATCACCTACTTCATGAGTACTCTGATGCAGAACCTCGGTTTCGACAAGTACCAGTCCAACTACATGTCGTTAGTTGGTGGTGGCTCGCTTCTCATCGGTACCATCCCTGCTGTCCTCTACATGGAGAGATGTGGTCGTCGCTTCTGGGCTTGTGCTACTCTCCCCGTCTTCTTCGTTGGTTTGATCATCGCAGGTGCTTCCCAGTACGCTGGTGGCCAGAACGCACAGATGGGTGTCTACCTTACTGGTCTCGTCATCTACGAAATTTTCTTCGGAACCTACGCCTGTTTGACTTGGGTCATTCCCGCTGAGTCTTACCCCACCTATCTACGCTCCTATGGAATGACCACCAGTGACGGCTGGCTGTTTTTGTCGTCCTTCATCGTCACCTACAACTTCACTGGCATGTCGAAGGCCTTCACCAACATTGGTCTCACCGCAGGCTTTTACGGCGGTATTGCCTTCGTCGGCTGGTTCTACCAACTGTTCTTCATGCCCGAGACCAAGGACAAGACCCTCGAGGAGATCGACCTCATCTTCTCTCAGCCCACCAGCAAGCTCGTCGCTCAGAACTGGAAGAACGTCAAGGAGACCACCAACGATCTCCTCCGTTTCAGATTTAAGAAGGTCTTCATCGATGCACACAACGCCCCTGCTGTCGACTTCTCGCAAGGAAAGCACGAGGTCGGTCACCAGGCATGAGCTGTCCACGATCACATGGATCAGGGCTGGATTACCTGAGCCGTGGACCTTCATGATATGCCTGAAATTATCAGGAAGATGGTTACTGGCATCTGTGTGTTGCCAAAAGTGAGATTGGTTCTTCTTGTAGATACATGACCATATAACATGAGCTTACGATTTCAAATCACTTCTTGTCGACTCGTATGTTTTCGGCCTAGTTAATGTGACTTACTGTTGTTACTTGTTCTAGCCATTATTCTGTTCTCGTGCCTGTGTAGTCCTAAGATCATCTGGAAGATCACGTTGTCTTTAGAAACTTGTATCGCTACCAAGAAGCGTGCCAAGCATCGACTTTCCGGGCAGGGTCGTATCTTCAACCATACCTGCAGAGGTCGACAACGATATTGCGAGTGTACTACATGTGTTGATGGTGTAATAATATCACAGGTATACTTTTTGCAACTATCTTCAAACGGTTACAAGTATTCTGGACGGTCTGCACCTCTCTGTGATGAGAAATCTGGGAATTCAACTAAATTTCACAGTCACTTCGGGAAGAGCACTACTTTTGTAGCGAGCACGACTGCGTTGCTGGATGTGATTCGTAATTTGTAAAACCGAGGGGTATCATGAACTTTCGACATGACATATGGATAATGTTAAAGCCATACAGCATCACACGGAAGGAGCGTGTAAGCCACACGGTATTATGTACAGATTGAGTGTGCTTAGTAGGCCGAAGTCATGACAAGGTGACCCTTTGACTGTGGCTATTCCACCCGCTTCAATGCAGTATAAAAAATGTGTTGTGTAAGACACGTCTTGTCTGATGATGCCCAATAGTAAGAAAACCAGCTCTTCACATATCTCCTTTGGAAGCTAAACAACAGCGATCTGAGCCCTTGCCCCATAACTACACTCCATCATTATTGCGAGCTGCGAGCAGAGTCTTCTGTAGTCCTCTGCGCATCTGCTTTGCGGCGAATATCGTCCTCTCTCATCCTCACCCTACGCTGCTCAATGGGCTCCCACGCACATGGGCCAGAATATTGCGCCTGTGGTGGTCCGAAACTCGTGAGCAAGGCATTCTGAAATTGTTGTGTCCTCGCCTTGTTGGCCTGGAATTTTTGATTGCCGAGCTCGATAAGGATGCGCATATATGCTTCCGTGACCATCGGAATCAGTCTACCGTCAGGTCCCTCATAGCCAATTATGTTGTCGAAGACTAGGTCGTTGGTGCGTATTGCTACCATAGCGGTTGATGTTCGAAGATTGTCAGTCGAGATACTCGAAATACCACTTTCTCTAAACCCAGACTGAAGTGCTGCTGTGTGTATCTTTTGTGCGCTTTCGAGCGAAGAGCTCAGCACATGTAAGAACTGATTCAACAGTCAACACGGGGCCAATGTCATCGTTTCCGACGCAAGAGACGATGGCTTGAGAGCGGACCGATGGAGAACGAGATATTCAGGTTTCACCTACCATGGGTTCGAATTTGCACCTTACCCACCTCACGCCCTTGGCAGATGAAGGGACGCTCAACTCGGTATGATCGGACAGTCCCAGCATTGGAGCTACAGATCCATTTCCAGATAACGGCAGAGGATCGTGCGAGATAAACAACCACTGACCGTCACCTTCATCCAAGGATGATTGCGATAAGTTTGGGTCTTTGCCTTCCAGATACACAGCGAAGCGCCCGGCGCAGCTGCTTGTCGTTGCAAGTGTGTCTAGTTTATTGATTTCATCTACCAACTCGCGAATGCCCACGTCTACGCAATCTCTAGGCTGGATATCCGTGGATGAGGCATCAGGCACTGCGAGTTGTTGCAGAATTTTCGCCTTTTTGGCCGCGAATGTCGTCGACATGGTGGTGGTGTATCTCAGGCAGCGCGTCAAATTTGAGAGGGAGTCCCGATCCAGCGGTAATCAAGCGCCTCGTGGATAAATCCGATTGGAGTCGTGTGAATATTCTTTTTTTCCTTCCTGGGTACAAAAAACACACGCGATGCAAGAGAGTCGTGCGATGTTTGGAGGGGCTTCATGATGTCATTCTTGGAATGCGATTCTCACGTTCCGGTCGCGTGGAAACGACTCGCGAATTGAGTTGGGACACGGACAAAGTGCTGGCCTCCATCGCACTTTCTGAAATTGATCAAAGTCTGGTTCGCTCTCCACCAGGGATTGTCTAGTTACAGGACTGGTGTCTCAACAGCCAGCAGAGAAATAAACCATTTGATAACTGTGGAATTGGACCCTCCCCACTTGGATAACACTTTCCTCGAAGATCAAACAAACGACGCGCAATATGGCTCGGAAATCCGCCAACACCATTGAGAGCGATGAAGCGAAAGACCCAAGCATTGGGGACCGTAAACGAAAGCAGCCATCTACTAGGGCATCTCAAAGAGCTGCAACCAAAAGCCGATACTTTGAACACAACACAGATGAATCTGGAGAAGAAGCTCCAGAAGACAGTTCATCCAGTGTCGATGTGGAATCTGAAGACGACTCTGATGATGAACCTGAAGAGCACTCATCCGAGGAAGAACAGCGTCCCCGAAAGCGCAGAACCCCTGCATCAACAAAGACGTCCCAGACTGCCCCAGCCGCAGGCACCAAAGGCAAGGAACTTTGGCGTCAAGGTGTTAGTACTGGACTCGCCCCAGGAACTCAGGTCATCATCAAGAAGCCGAAGCCTAGAGCTGCGGGAAGCACTCCATACTCCGATGACACGATCCATCCAAACACCATGCTATTTCTCAAGGATCTCAAGGCGAACAATGACCGAGAATGGCTCAAGAGTAAGTAGATACCGTCTTTCTTCCATTAATGCGTATATCTCGCCCCGTGTCAGAATCAAAGATCTCGACAGGGGCCGAATTCCGCTATTTCTCCACATCACCGCCTTGATCTGAATGACCATCAGATTGTTGCGTGTGCACTATCCCATCACGGCTGCGCCGCTCAATATAGCATCATGCAACAAAACACGAGACAGAATTCTCTCGGCCGAAAGGTCCTTTCTTGGCTGACTGCAAGGAACGCTGGTTCGCTTTGCAGCTCGAGCATTTGTGCAGTAGCTTGCAGCCAGATCAACGAAAGGACGTTGATTTTTATCTGTTCTCCACAAGTCCTCCACCCGCTCGAGCGCCTATTTACACCGCTAGATCTCACACACCATTCTCCAAAGATGGCTTCGCCTAAATTCTTTTTGCATTCATGCAGTGGCTGACTCGTTACCATTACCACAGTGTACGATGCCGACTATCGTTCTAGTTTGAAAGACTGGAACTCTTTTGTGGAGGCCTTGACCGAAAAGCTCACCGAAATTGACGACACCATTCCAGAACTGCCACTCAAGGATGTGGTCAGTGGAGTCTAGAATGTGATATATACATCACATGGGACTGACATCTCAACAGGTATTTCGCATTTACAGAGATATCCGGTTCAGCAAGGATCCTACGCCTTACAAGGTATGTACTTGAATGCTCTCGGCCGCAACAAAGATGCAGGCAGTATCGAAGTGGCCCCATCTCTCTTGCGCGCTAATACAATAATAACGCTTTGACCTCTATAGCCATATTTTTCCGCAGCTTGGTCAGTCACACGTGAGCACAAGGAACGAGGATACGACGCTGACCAACATATTTAGGTCTAGGACCGGACGTAAAGGCCCGTACGCCGCCTACTATGTTCAAATTAGCCCGAACGACAGTTTTGTTGGTGAGTGACACGATATGTTTTCTTTGATTCTTGATTTATATGGCGCTTGTTGGTCTGCACGGTTGTGGCTTGCTCAATCTACTTGGTGGTCATTTGCCTTCCCGGAGCGACATCATCTTGAATCGCTACCCGCTCCCGGCACGATTGACAGTGGGGTTGACGAACACGGCGGCAATCGATCAGGGTCGAGCCGTGTGTGATTAGATAACGGCTCGATCAACCGATCAGACTGTTGTTGGAAATGCCCTGGAGGACAGTCGTCTTGCTACATCACACACGCTTGCACTTCTGTTCCATTGTCGGACGTTGAAAGAGACCCATTCCGACTTCCAACGCGGAATGCCGTAGTCTAGACGATGTCCCAGCCGACATTGTTCCCTCGCTCTTACAGTGTGTCTCGATATGAAAAGAGCGGGCTACACAGCAAGGGTCGTATGGCTCGTCTTTTCGTGCTAGAGACTCACATACCCGAGTCGTGGGAATGCACGATGTCTTCCCTACGGGTACGGTCGTCCGAGTAGAAGGGCCGCTTGGCACACTCCCGTAGGCCATGAGTCCAATCTGGAAGCAACTGTGTGTCTCCACAGATCGGTTTGTCAGGGTCGTGGATGTTGTGTTGAGAGTCGTCTCTTCTTTCTCACAGTATATGCGGGCTCGAGGTGTTCGGCTACGCTGCGCTCTTGAGTACGATTCGTTTGGACGTCGTCTACGCTCAGGTCGACTGCGACTGCGACTGCGACTGCGACTGCTTCATTGGTTAGCGTTGTTGTCACAGTCTTGCTTGTTTCGGACACAGAAGCAGACCGAAGTCTTGAGCATGGATTGAGCTTCCTCATGCGGGCGCAAGCTAAGCCTGCCTGGCGAACCTGTGAATTGAAGCTGACCCTTCATGATGTAGGTGGAGGCTACTGGTCTCCGGACGCAAGAGCTCTGGCAGCTTTGCGCAACACAATCGACAAGAATCCGCAGCGTCTCAAGGACGTGCTGATGAACGATCAGATGCGAGCTGAATTTCTCTCTGGCAGCTCGGCCAAGGGAGCTGTGAAAGCTTTCATAAAGACAAACGCGGAGACCGCATTGAAGACCAAGCCAAAGGTAAGCAGCCAACCTCTCTTTCTCCGTTGTAGGTAGATCGTGTATGCCTTCAACCACTGGTTGTGGTGAAGCTTATTGAGACGGACATGCTCGATGCTAGCCTTCAGTCTTGCTTGTGTCAGCGAGGAAGTGTTTGGCGAAGAATGTCACCATCCAGCCTTTTCCGGTGCTTCGTGGCTGGCTACCTTCTTAGCAAGCCGCTTGAGCACGCTCGGAAGAGTGCGGACTTCGATGTGACGTCCACAGCCCATCCCTAAACGGCAGGGAGTAGCAAAACCTCGACTGCCGGATGTTTTGAGGAAAGAGAAAAACGAAGCAAAGTCGATCACACTCACGAAGGATTGCAAATGCAAGTCGTCACAGGTGATAGCAAGGGAACCTTCGGTCCATGCTTCATCCCGGGCGGGTAGGGGTTCCTCGCTACTACCTTACTCCCGCTCGGGCTGGAGCGTCCCGCGTTGCCTCTTTTCATCGCAACACCGAGATCAACAAAGGAGATGACAGCTCATTTCCCTTGAGACTGTACGGAAGGTTCGTTTTTCGATACCTCGTCTGTCCGGCACGGCCAACTTTCATTCACTTACCCTTCATCTCCTAGAGTCTACAGATACCCGACGACACGTATGCCGAGATGACGAGCGAGATTCGTGAAGTGGTTATTGTTTGGTAGACTAGTCGGTTGAACCCCGCTAGCCAAACCTACCTGACATCCATACATGTGTCTCATGGCATGAGCGCCAAAATTAACAGGATGATTGATGGTCATACAGTGGCATACGAAATGGAAATTAGAACTGACCCTGTTCATTTTGTAGGGATACGATGCTGGTCATCCGGACATCGACCTTCTCCGCCTCAGACGCTTTACAGTCGGCACCAAGTTGACTGATGCTGAAGTCCTCGACGCGCAAGTTCTGCGCCGAATTGCGGATCTGTTCTCGGCGCTGCACCCGTTTGTGAGTTTCCTTCCCTCTACCCTTGCGGGCCTGCCCTTCCTTGACTTTTCGAATCGTCCGCGCATACAGAAAAGGGCGCGTACTCAACCATGGTACTCGTGTTGCACCGTCTCTCGACTATGCGGCGACGGGGGGTGGCGGACCTTTTAAGGTCGCGAGTCATTATCCACAAAATGACAACCGTCCGGCCCGCGGTACGGTGCGCGGTCTGTTTCGGGCTTTGTCCTTCTCTGAAGCAAGCCTTGAAACCTTCTTGCCAGCCAATATCCCTACTAGCCAACCACAATTGAAAGAATGCTGGCTGATGTTTATTGAATTCCAGATCGCTTGCTTGAATCGAATTTCCCTTCCAGACCCTGGCGAAGAAGAAACAGATGCTGATGACGATGATGAGGATGGAGATGAGGAACAAGAAGCCGAGGACGAACAGAATGAAGAATCCGAGACAGAAGCCTCTGATGCCTAGCTAGCAGAATGCAACACAGAATCCAGAGGTGTGCCGTTGAATTACGGGTAAAAGGTTCCAACAGACATGTTGGTCCTCTAGTTAGCAAAGTTGATCAACAAATCCTCGACTGCCACGAATGTATCGTTTTCTCATGCCCTGCGCCATATTCTTCATTCGACCACACGCAGTATGCAGCACTTGTCGTCTGTGACAGGTCGACGTTTGAACTTCAAGAAGAGTCTGCCAACGCATCAAGGCTCGCATAACGTATGATTGGTCCCTCCCTCACTTTAGGGCGTGCATTCTGCATTGACCGACCGCATGAGATTTCAATCACCTGACGACGCACCTTGCGCTTTTCGGCTTAGAGCTTCCACGGTACATGCGCGCGCAGTGCCACCTTTATGTTGGCTTCGGTCTGTGCTACCCATGTCCGGGTGTGGTTCATCATCAGCAGGGCAGTGGTTATGCGAGAATGGGAAGGACGGCAGACCTTTCAGTAGTGAGATGCGAGCTGTAACAATGCACAGGTCTTTCTAGATTGGAGCGATGCCCAGTGAGAGCGCGTCAAGCGGCTGGTCTCCATGGGCGGCTCTACTCATTCCGAGAACATTGTGCATTTCTACAGCTACATGCGTCAGACCTGAGCCGATGGGATCGATACATGATGATCAAGGTTGGACGGACGGTCTTTCGATCCGCACCGCTTCCCAGCGTACCGTACCTTATGTTGGTGGTTCGTTTGCAAGGGGCTTGGACGCGCGGGTGGCAGTGAGCTTCTCGAAACACACGACTGGGATCGGCCCCGGGACGCCGCGGACGGGTCAACGTTGCCGACAGATTACAGGTCTCTGTTAGATCACGATGTCTTTGCCCTGTGTTGTTTCATTTTTGCTAGAGACAAAACACATCGTTCAATGTTTCTCGCTAGTGTGGTTTTGCCAAACGTCGGAACGGACCGCCATCGGCAGGAGGGGTAGGCCTGACGAGGGATGCGCAACAGCCGAAATGACTGCACATGAAAACAAGCGACGTCCAGGGCTGATGTGTGGTCGGTCGGCTTTCTTCAATAGGAGCCATATTGCGAGGAAGAATAGGTATTTAGAGTTATTGCCATCATCTTTCCAGATCACGATACAGCGATGTTGCATCCGACTATTGCAAAGCCGCATGACTGCAATGTAGCTGCGTTGGAGGGAAGCAGATGTGGTTTTAACTAACTTTTGTCCTTCATGCAGGCTCCATCTTATCGCAGAGACGCATCTGCCGGGGCCGCCACTCCACGCTGTGCGCTGTACGGCATGTCAGCGACAGGTTGGAAAGCAAGGGGACAGAAGAAGGAAGGGGATGTGATGTGATTCAGATATGCCATGCATTCGCGCTTCGTCCCGGGCCTTTTCTGAGACTGAAACCTTGTATGGACCCCTCTGCATACCGGTTGTTGGTTGACAGATCAGAATTCCTCGTCTCGAAAGGGTGATGCCGTTGGAGGAGCGCCGATTGAAATAGAGCGTTGGAATCATCTTTTTTGCAATCCCTCAATCAATCTCTATCTTCGCTCAATCAGCGCATGACGTCCTGCTGTTCCTCCAAAACCAAGACAGTGTCCAGACTACTCCTTTTCGGTGATTCCAATTCGGAGAGTTCTGCCCAAAAAGGATCAGAATAGCCTAGACAAGGTAACGTCAAATCTTCGGACGCTCGATACAGCGGTCAAGCGCAACTTCAGTTTCACTCCCTCGATTGCAGTCGTTGGAAACGGTGTGATCTTGGACATCCTCTTAGCCGCGACTTGCCCCAAAGTCAGTGTCCTCGGGGCGCCGCATGAGCCAGCGGGTGAACGGTTTGGACTAAGGTAAGTGTCCCGTACCGCACGTGTGTGTCTAAGACATGGACGACCTGTCTCTTCGTAATCAATTGACAAGGCGCAAACTGACTCGAAAGGGCAGGGCAAACGATGAGGTGATGATCAGATGCAGTGATCACTCGAAGCAAACAAATTGCGGAAGGTCACCGGTCAAGCGAAACAACAGGCGGAGCAGAGGTGACAGTGACAAACGACCAGCGCAGAAAGGTGACTCGGTTTCTCCTGCACAAGTGAGAGCGGTCAGCAAGAAAGATCGCCCCTAAGCGCGTCAAACATACGCGCGCACACGCCGGAGCCGCTGACGGAGCAGATTTTGGCGAGGCTCGCACCGTCACAAACGGCGAACGAAGGCTTCACCCTAAACGCAGATCATTGCATCCCTCGAGATCCGCCTTGGTCAGAGAGTTCGTGCTGTCGCGTGGCAAGCCGAGGGACGGTCCTGCAGAGCACTCGGACCAGCCGAAGCAAGTTGCTGAATTAGCGCGCCGGCGACCGCTGCATCCCACAAGGACGACGACGGCCAAGTTCACTTTCAGCTAGAGCCTAGAGAGGTGCTTAGAAGCGGACCACAAGTCAGCGATCAGGGCCCCCCTTCCGTGACACGTCCAAATCTCGCTTTGCCCTGCCGGTAGTATTTGTCTTCTGACCGCCTGGCCGTCCAAGTGGAGACCTACCACCAAACAACGTTTCGATCACGGCACGGCTCTCTACGCACTGAGTGGCAGCGTCCGCAAAGCTGAAGCCTCTACGACACGGCGTGGCTGCCTTCACCCGCGCGCGCCGTGATCGACAGGATTGTTTATTGCGTACAAATTCATTACGCTAGAGCCGCGCATGCCCTCTGCTCTTGCTGAGATTGGGAGGTTTAGCGAAGCAGGAGGACGCGGAGGATTCTTATTTTTTCTCACATCCACTCACTTTCGAGACTTACTTGCTCGCCAGGGCGCAGGGTGGCCAGAAAACTTCTTGGGGAGCGTCGCAAGAAAGCTCGGGCGCCAGACAGAATATTGGATTCGAAAGCATCCACAAACTCACGGACGCTCTACCCGTCCGCGTTTCTCGCTAACCACGGCCCTTCCGCCAGAGATTCAACCAACCAAACGAAACCGCTTCGACAGCCGGCGGTCTTTTGCACCTGAAATAGCGGCAAGAACCCCACCATCTGTTCCTTGGACATTTCCGTGCCTGTGTGTCGGATTCACATCGTTTCTTTCTACCGCTCCTTCTGCCGCCCCTAGAAGCGCGCTTGAGGTCATCTGGTTGATTTTCCGTACAAGAAAGCCTGCACACCCGCACCCGCGACAACTCGCAGCTGCGTACAACACCTTCCGACTCTCCGTACTGATATCCAAATCCCCTGTCACTTTCTGCTGCAGCTGTCACCCGACGCCGCTGTCTTGCCTTGAGTGCCGTTGATCCTGCAGCTCGCCTGCGGCCCGCGCCTCCCTTGTGCAACTACGACGTAGCTGCCACATCCCACATCCCACGCCAGCCGACGTGCATACTCGGCTACTGCTGTTCGACAAATCTCACCAAAGCGCATTAGTCGCACCCCTCCCGCGTGTATTTATTTTCAGATGTACCCAAACCCCGGACCTCCTGCTGGTTGGAGTCCGAATGGTACTCCACAGCAACAACCTCACCCTCAACATCCTCAGCACCCTCAGCACCCTCAGCACCCCCAACACCCGCAACAACACCCTCACCCGCAACAACATCAACAACCCCCGCCGCAACACCAACAACATCAGCAACAGCAACCTCCTCCACCTTCATCATCTGCACCTCCGCAACATCAACAGCAGTGGGCGCCACCTACAGCGCATCCCAACGCTCAGTACGCCCAGCAACGTCCTCCTCAGGTATGTCGAGTCGCACAAGCAAACACTCTCTTGTGTCACTAACCATTTCTTTCCATCCAGATCCCTTCCATCAGCCAGACATTGCCTCACGGGGGACCTCCAACCATGGCCACGCTTCAACCTTCTCACCCGGAACAGTATCGTTCGCTGCCACCGCCTCCGATGTATGGACATGCTCCTCCAGGTCACTACCAGCCGCCTCTCCCTTACCCTCCTCAACCTGCACCTCGTCAGAGAACAGCGATTGCTTGCCGCTACTGTCGTCGCAGAAAGGTATGCTCTTGAACGCGATCAATGGATCAAAATAACCTTCTGACTTCTTCCAGATCCGATGCTCTGGCTTCGATCAGTCCGAGGATGGTCGCTGCACCAACTGTCAGCGTTTCTCGCAGGAGTGTGTCTTCACGCCCGTCTCGGCCCAATCGCAAGCTTTTGTTCCGGCGCATACCGTCTGGAGACAGCAAGGTGCACCACCACAGCAATTGTACGGAGCTTACGGTCAGCCACTTCCTCCTCAGCAGCATGCACGCGATCCCTACCCTCCGCCGCAACATCCCTACCCTCCCCAGGGTTACCCTCAGGGCCCACCCGTGTATGGAATGCCTCAACAGATGCAACAGGGACCTCCACCACCACACGTTACGCCTCCACAGCCGACAGGAACACCACAACCTGGGCAAGAAGCTGGTCGCAAGCGTCCCAACGAAGAACCTCACACGCCTACCCTCCCTCCGCCAAACCCTGCACAAGCTGCTCAGCTACCTCAACAAGGTCCTCCACCTCATGTCCCACCTCAGTACACCTACCCTGATCCCACTGGCTTGACCCCTGCAGCTGGTTCGCCTGCTTCCTCGACGACCTCGTCTCAGTACCCTCAGCCCCACGCTCCTCAGCCATACTTTGCGCAGGGAGCTCCACAACGCAAATCACCTGCTCCCCAGCCGACTTACTCGTTCGATCAGCCTCGTCCTTCTCACTCTCCGCACACGCATGCTGCTTCTGTTCCTCCAGCCGCCTACAATCCGGCAGTGACCTCGCACCCAGACACTAAGCCGCCTGTGCCTTCCTCAGAGCGTTCAAGCCCTTCGAACGCTACTAGGGGTGTGCGCATCGATGCGCTTGTCGGTCCCGGTGGTCTACCCCAACAGCCTCAGCCTCAGCAGAACCATGCTCAACCGCCACCACCTCCTCCCTCAACCGCTGCCCACTCTCAGCAGCCGCAGCAAGCACCTGGCGCAACTTCTGCCTCACAGCAGGCTCAAAACGCAGCCAACTCGGAGGGTGGGAGAAGCCAAGCTGATAGTAACATGCTTAGCAAGCTCAACAATCAGAAGCGCATGTAGCGCGATAACTCAGCATACTTCCGGCTGTAGATGCTTTGGGGCTGGCCTTCAAAAAAGTTGCTGGATTGCTTTACTCAGAATGATCACGTCTTGTTAGTTATTGTGTTTTTTCGTGTTTGCTTTTCTTCCCTCCCATAGCCGGTCCATTAGGCGAGGCGTACGGTTGTTGTTAGACTCAAAAGGCATTGAATTTTTGCCGGCAGGGGATATCTGATAGCGTTTACCTCATGCATTGGGTGGTTTATCTTCTGTTGCCACGAATAGCACTTCTTGAGCTAGTGGATAATTTGGCTCTATAGAAGAGCTGAAAAATTGCGAATATTGTCGTTTCGAAGATTCCTTGACGTTAGCCATTTCCTCGTGTGACAATGTGTCGAACCAGAGCTGTGTACAGTGAGAACTTGAAAAATAGCTGGACTCCATGGGCGACTCCTTAAGACAAGATTAAACCGCGCAACTCTAGAGCTTCAAAAAGCTAAAGACTCTCGCAGGCGGACGAAGATGACAAGAATTCTATAGTATGAAGTTGAAACCATCAATGTATCCATCTTCGGGTTCGTCGAGATGTTCTTTACATGCAAGAGAAGCTTGCCTGCGGGCCGCGCCGGTGCGATTGACGGTGACGGTGATGATGTCGACGCCAAGAGGACACCGCGCTCAACTTCTCTTTCAACACCTTTCTTGACCTTGACTGGTGTTCAATCAAAACTCATCAGCGTTCAATTTCAAAATCAAAAACATGACTGAAGCATTGGTGAAATGGGCAGTGCCTCAAATCTCGCGGCTTTTGCCTCTGGACGAAGATTCGCTGAAGCAGATCATCACATACCACGACACACTACCAAGAGATGTAGCGGCTGAACAACTTGGTGGTCTATTAGGCGATTCACCACAAGCTTTGGAGTTTATTGCTTCGTTTAATTCACGTCGTCAAACACCACCTGCAGAAGCTAAACCGGCGGCTGCAGCTTCTTCAAATCAGAATGAGGGTGTACCGAAAAGACAAGCGAAGCAGCCAAAGAAGAAGGCGAATATCCACAATTTGCCCGCACGGCAGGTCCAAGATCTTGGAGGTGCTTCTGGAGCATACAGAAAGCAGGATGAGGGAGATTACATGGCTGGATCGTCGAGAGGCAAGAAACCGCAACCCTCTCTATCAAATGCTCTAGCTCTACAGGAGGCGCCTGATGCCAGGCAACTTCCTGTTCGTACTGCTGGAGGTGTCTCTCGTGGATCCAAGGCTCCTCCTTCAGCATCTGGACCTTTGATCTCTGATGTGCTTCCGCCCCCATCTCAATCGTCTACTCCTCGCACTGCATCACCAGCGCCCACGAAGACAAAGGTCAACATTACTGGGGGTACCAACATGCACGGAGCTGGAAAGACTTTGTCAGATCTGGATTCTGCAATTCGAGCTTTGGAACTGCAGACGAACCCTACTTTGGCTTCGAATTCACAATCAGCGGCCGACCTCGCAAAGCGAAGATGTAATTGCATGGCCACACGTCACCCTCTGTTAACCATCGCACCAAACTGCTTGAGCTGTGGAAAGATTGTCTGTGTCAAGGAAGGTCTGGGACCCTGTACTTTCTGCGAATCTCCACTTCTCTCATCCTCTGAGATCGCAAGCATGGTTCGCGTACTCAAGGACGAGCGTGGAAAGGAGCGTCAAGCCGCCAACAATGCCTCTCACAAACGTGCTGAAGTCAGCCAAAAGCCTCGCGCCTTTACCGGCCGTGACTTCCTATCCTCTTCCGCCGCAGCCTCTACGACTGCATCACCGCTTTCCTCCGCACCTCCCTCGGAAGACGAAGGCGACAATGCAGTCAGCAAAGCCAAGGAGCACAGAGACAAACTTCTTGCATTCCAAGCCAACAATGCAAGACGTACACGCATCCACGACGAAGCAGCCGACTTTGACGTCCCCACCTCCGGCACAAACATGTGGGCCTCACCAACCGAACGTGCTGCAGAACTCAAACGTCAACAAAAGATCATGCGCGAAATGGAATGGAACGCCAGACCCGAGTACGAAAAACGTCGCATGGTCGCCAGTATCGACGTGGTCGGCGGCAAACTCGTCAAGCGTATGGCTAAAGTCGAGAGACCTGCTAGCGATGCTGAGGAGGAAGAGGCAGATGAGGAAATCACACCGGTGCGAAGGGATGATAATGCTGGGTCGGGAGCATTCAGCAATAACCCTTTGATGGGTGCGCTGATTAGACCGACGGCTAGAGCGGAGAAAGGAAAAGCCAAGGGGCAGGAGGGAAGTGAGAATAGGAAGAGTGCTTGGAGGAGGGTGCAGGATGATAACGATGACAACGAGCAGTGGATTTTGGACGGTGGTGCGTATGGTGGTAGAGTTGAGGGCAGAAGATTGGGTGAGGAGGAACATGCTGTTGGTTCGTAGACTTAGTAGCTGCGAAGAGACCATACGACTCCTTGCTTCTATCCACTGCGTATCTAATTCGTCGAGTCCGCCCACATATACTCGTTCATAAGATATATGCCACGAGCATAATGTGTATGCAACATCAAGGCCCTTGCGTCTCGAACGTCCTACATCCCGACCACCGACTCCCTCCACATTTTCCGACGCCTATCTCCATACTGACATTTCCCTTCCAGCTCTTGGTATGCAAACAAATGAATGTTCACCTTTTCTCTATTCATACCATACCAGATATGTCGAACAAAGAAATGAAAAGTCATGTGCTGAAGCGCATCAACCTAGCCAAATCAAGCTAGTATTTTTCCTCTTTTCTTTGTGCGGTCTTCTCGTTCTTCTGGCTCAAAGTCGCTTGTTAGGTGAATTGCAGCGAGAAAGACGGACTCGATTATTGAGCACATGACCCACGGGCAATTGGACTCAGAGTTACAGAGCGAATACAAAGATACGAACTCGGACTCGATGTGAATGATGCATTTCAAGTGCTTACAGGTCGTGAATGCACGAGAAACGATGCCTAATCGTCGCAATTACTGCTGCAGACTGGATATCACAGCCGAGGTGATATTAACCCAAGATCTTGGGAGACCTTCAACAAAAAGGAATAGTGGTGTAGTGGTAACATAATCGCCTTCCAATCTGTTGATTGCGAGCGATTGCTGTGGGTTCGATTCCCGCCTATTTCAGTTCTTTTTGCCGTCAGCTCGACGCGGCGGTTCCAAAACTGTAATTAATTCTTTTTTTCCTCGACGTTTGGGATTGATTTCTTTTTTTTTCGATCTCATATCTTTTTCCGAAGTTTCTGCTTCTCTGTTTCCTTCTGACACGAAGTCCTGTGTGCAGTGTGGTGGGCTGGCTGTCTGCTTGGACGTGGTGTGACTTGTAGGCTGGCCGGTGGCACTTTCATGGTGGAACAGATTCGAAAACCAATTTCGTCGTATCACAGACGATTGGGTGTAGTGTTGGATCGTTACCTACTCCTGTATCAACGGCAGTATCTTAGGAATACATCAGATGCAACATTCTCAGAGTCGAAGCATCCGTGGATGAGCAGTGTCGTCGATGACCTCACAGCCCATAGTCAGGTGGGTGACCCTGGCTCGAGAAGCCTGCCAACAGCAATAGAAAATTCATCCAATTCTGGAAGAAATATCACGAGATCAAGAAGAGTGCAAATGCTAGGCGCTTAAAGGTGAACAGACAATATCAATTTAACCAAAACAGGTTCACTGACCGTCTAGTTTTGTGCCCATGGTAAGGCCTCAGATTGGAAAGAGTATTGCAGCAGGTGCATTCAAGACACATCCCCCCCAACCATTACAGTGAGCTCCAATATCCAAGCACTCGAATCATTGGAAAACCTTCACCCATGATATTCTTTTTCTAGTTCAGTACAGCAAAGTCATCAGCTAACATAACAGCAGCTAGCAGCAAGTGCCCCGTAACAACAGCAGATTCCAGCAAGTATAGCAAAGTCCTCCTCCATCACCTCCTCTCTAACAATGTAGCAACAATAACACCCATCTCAGATCATGAACTCTCTCCATCTTCGATAATCATCCTCAAAAGAGCTCACAAAGCTCTCAACTCAATAGCCCCATACGCCTCGACCTGATCAGCCGCCAACAAATTCCTCGTAACCAACGTCAACACATGCAAAAACCCTTGCGCGGCCACCACCGTCGTGTTCCCCCTTGGCGTTAACAAGACCTCAAACTCCACAACTGTATCGCTGGCATCAGAAGAAGTGGCAGCTTCAACATCAAGAACAGAAGCTATAGCCTCGACAGTGGTTTCTGCTTCCGCCTGCACCTGTGCGATGCCGGCTTTTACGAAAGCGAGGAAGTTGAGGGATTCGGAGGATAAAGCTGCGGAGAGCCATTGTGATGTTCCTGCGGTTTGGGTAGAGACGGCCGCGGCGGGACCGAAGAGGGAGTAATCTGTTGCCATGGAGGGGTGGGGGAGTTCTGGGTCGATGTTGTCGTCGTTGCCCGGGTTGAAGGCTTCGGCGAAGTGGGCGTTGTCGTCGCTTTGCATGAAAGCTAAGTCGTCTACGTTGGTTGTTGGGTGGACTCCACGGCCGACGAGGGGAGAGGCAGATACCCCACGGCGGTTGTGGGAGGATGGGACCATGAAGCCTCCGCCTGCGACTGAACTGCTGGCTGCGGTTGGGAGCAAAGGGAAAGGTGGGTTGTAGGCGTTGGATGATCCACGCGATGCAGGCATTGAACGGTTCCAAGGCAGTGCGGCGTGGGCTGAGGAGTGACGGTCCGCCAATGGAGTCTGACCCTCACGACCTTGCTCGATGGAGTTGTCGGTTGTGTTGTCGCCGAAGCCAGCGTCGAAGTTGGCCATATCGTTGGCATCAGCACCTCTGCCGACTTCATCCTCGTCGCTGCGAGCTCTGACTCTTCTACCCTCTTCGTCTTCTCCTTGATCGTCTCTGGCATGCTTGGTTCCTGCCACGGTCAACTGGATACCGGTCAAAGCTTCGAGCAACGCGCTTCCGCTGAACATCCTCAATGGCTCTGGCATGTGGTCTTCAGCTCCTAGGTACGCCATACCAAGTCCGCCGATACCGTTCTGCAACACCCAGAAGTCTGCATTCTTACGAGCCAAGGTACCAATCTTGTTCTGCAACTTGTGTTGTGAAGCTCTTGCCTGGTTCTCGAGATATTCACGGTCCCAGTCTTGGAGGTCAGAATTGTGGAGTTCGAGTTCTTGATCTTGAGGTAAAGGCTTTGGGATGCGGACGCGGACGGCTGGGGCGGATGCTGAAGTTGCTGAAGTTTGGCTGTGTGCTTCATCTCCTTCCACAGCAGCTGGGTGATCGAGGTCGGCCTGTTGAGCGGCGGTACGGGGAGTGAAGGGCTCGACATCAGCCATGTCGACATCATCTTGGTGGAAAGCAGGAAGTGGGTCGTCGTCGTACATGACCACATCACGATCACCATCGGTGTCCGGAAGTGCGCCTTGACGCATGTTAGGAGCAGGAGTGTGCACCGAAGCTGCTCTTCCGATGTCTGGCTCTGCCTGGTCATCTGCAGGCTCAATCAGGTTGCCGTCACCATCAAAGTCAACACCGATATCGTCGAGTAGCCTTTGTTCTTGTGCTCCGTAGAGAGAAGGGTTGGCTCCTCTATTGTGATCAGAGCTGACCACACTGCCGCCGCCAAGGCCAAAACCAAGGCCGCCTCCACCAGCTGAGTACGAGGATGCTGAAGGAGGAATGATGATATCCAGATTCGGGTCCATATGTTCAGAGCCCAGAGCGCTGGAGATTGCGGCATGTGGTGATAGAAGACTCGATCTTTGAGACGAGCCATCGCCGCTGGTGAAGCCAAAGTCATCGCGAAACGGATCGAAGTCGATACCCCATGCGAGCTCGGGGATGAAGTTGGGGTCGTCATCGAGGACGAGTTGATTGGGCCTAGCATAACTCGGTCAGTCTTCTCCCATTCTGGAGAGATGGGATGAATACTCACTTGGCCTTGTGCTTGCCATCAAGCTCAATCGGAACCGCATGTAACGAGCGCAGCAGAGCGCGGATCTTGTTTTGCTCCACCTGTGCATCTTTGAGCACGAAATTGCATTGCTCGCCATACACACGAGTAACTCCATATCTGTGAATCTCGTCAGTGGCTTCCTCAAACTCTTCCGAAGCAACACAACTCTCACAGTAAATTGCTTTGAAGTCTCAATGCCATGGGCGCCTCAGGCGACACGATAGTCTGACATGCCTTGGGAATATTGACGGCACAAAGTTCTTTGCGGTCGACTTTCTTGAGCGTGGATTTGGCGCCTAGAGTTGCGACGAGCCTGGGTCGTGATTAGAGATGCGTTTTGAGATGGAAAGTTCGAGTGTGCTTACCAGATTGTTGCTACGCCGTGTTTGCGCGAGGTAAGAACTGTGAGTGATGATGTTAGATGGGGGAGAAAAGATAGAGGCGCATGACTTGCCCTCGTGACTGTAGAACATGATTAATATGTGCGTGGAGACATGCACAGAGAGGATGGATGAAGAGAAGGATAGGAAATGTACAGATGCCGGACAGATTAAACAATGATGGATTGAAGAGTTGGCAGAGGTGTTGGGGTTGAGGTGACAGTCAAAAGATGAGTTGCCGAGAAGCGTAAGATGATGTTGAGAAAAGAAGGCACTCGTCGATGTGCAGAGGAAACAATGGGTTGCGTAGAGATTTGATTAGGATGCTCGAGGTTGATGGAGGAATTTTTTTCTTGATGCTGGCACTACATCAATATTTCAGCCGTAGCACATGAAACCTCCTGACCGTTGTAGATACCGACCATAAACACCCTGACCGACATCCCATCATCCTACTACCTGTTCTCGTCCAAGCCGTGTTTTCTGTTTAGGTCCAACTCTTCCCGCAAGTACCTGTTTAAGCAGCTCAATTGCGGACTTTTAGTCTGATCCTCTAGCGCATCGGAATTGTCTTGTGAATTTGCAGCCTTGATCCAAGAACAGCTTTGCTCTGGTAAGACGGAACCATGCAAAGATGGCATTCTTCCAAGCTAGACGGCAGTTTGGTTGTTGCCCTTGGCTGGGCTGCATCTGGTTTTGCGACTCGAGGGTAGTGGTGATAGCTGTTGCTCCCTCAGAAGACCATGACTCCACAGCGTAGGTGGCGTGTGTGTGCCATCTTTGTCCTGATGGCGGATGACCTCTGTAAGATCGCGTGAGACTATCTCAGGATGAGCCTGTGGCATATCTTTGGGCCAAGATCTGCAAGACTGCCGAAACCTCTTCCTTCCTCATCTCCTGGAGACAAGACGGAGCCTCTTCCCAGTTGATTGGGAAGAGATGTCTGCCTCTTCGGACTCTGTATGTGTCGACCGGTCCAGTGTATCCAGGGCAAATGTGTGACGTCTCCCAGCCTTGCCCTTCGAAGGCAATGTTTCGCGATATCATCCATGAATATCCCAAATCTCTTATTCCCCTTTCTCGGCCTTTTCTTTCTCCAGCTTCTGCAATGCCTTCAACCTCCTCCTCTCCTCCTTTCTCTTCTTCATGTCCAACTCATCAATCTTCTTGTCCAGCATGATTTTCTTTTGCATGAGGTTGGCGCGGTAGGTTTCCAGTTCTGTTATTTGTTGGAGTGGTGTTGATTCGGCTGCCTTTTGTTTCTCCTGTTGAGCACTTATGTCAGTATTTGTACTTGAAGATACTGAGAGAGGTGTAGCAAGGGAAGCATACCTGTTTTATATCTTGCTTCATCTTCAAGCCAGCGCCATACCAAGCTCCAGTAGCCGTAACGGCGGCAATGCTGCCTGTGAGCACAAAGCGACGAAAAGTCGCGAATTGTGGTGTCGACATGATTGACTTTCCAGAAGATGGTTATGGAAGCTTCGAAATATAAGGATAGAAGGAAAGGCAGAAGCAACCAATGATGGCAGAGATTCATTGCGATCGGCTTGTCCCGCCGGGTGTTGCTTTCTCCGCATTCTTGATTGTTTACTTGCACCTTTAACTTGCTCTTACCCGTCTATCGCAAACCATCTCTGCAAAGAAACAACACTGAATTGCCAAGAAACATACCTTCACGCCAATTAAAACATCTACGCGATCGCAATAATGTCAAACTACGGCACCCACCGCCAATCCCTCGCCCACCCACGCCAATCCACAAACCACACCAACCACACCTCCCACACCACGAACCCCTACGCCTCTTCCACAACCCACCAAACCTCCTCATCACGTCTCTCTACCCTACCCACTCAAGCTTCCAAACAACGCCAATTGTCGCATCTGAACTCCCAACTAGCCCAGTTGACAGCACACATGAGCGACCTGGAGAATCTATTGCGCATGACTGCCGTACAAGCTGAGGGCATGAGAGGGTTGGGTGGTTATGCGGGTGGTATGTTTATGGCTGCTAGTAAAGTATTGGGCGAGGAGGCTGTGAAGAATGAGGGGGCTGGTGAGGGGAAGAGATGATGACGGGAAGGGAGGAGAAGGATATATGGTTTATCATGAAAGAAAAATTGAAGTACTCTGATGTAGAGAAGAGCGACGGGATCTGCTCTATGATGGTCAGAGCAACTTGAGCATGGTTCGAAAGATGGGTCGCGACTCTTTTCAGACGATGGCAGCGGAGACGGAAAATGCTTGACGACCCATAAGGCATCGGTACCCATCTATCTCTACGGATCTGAGAGAAGAGGAAGCTACGACTCAACATCACAACGAAGAGACGCCCGCTGTATGGAGTACATCATTCACCTCTCGCCTTCTGATTGCAGGGATTGAGCATCCATCACGATCCACGGCTTCAAGTCATGAGGGAAATCGTAGTGTCTATCGAAGCCAAGACATGTCAATTCTCTGTCCGAAGATCCGGAACAAAGGCCCGCTCTCCTTTGCCGTACGACAAGCCGACACGAAGGATAGCAGAATGGAGGAAGACAAGAGAGGAGAGATTAGAGGAGATTGGAAATTCATCATGCATGTCATTCCACGTTATCTATTTGAACAGAAAAGAAAAAGGCCAAATCGCTAGCCTGCGCTGTGTGAAGAAAAAAAAGAAGCAAAGTCCATCCCCTTATAATCAACTGAAGTTATGGACTCCATCTAAGCCTTCCTGTAGCCATGCTTTTGCGTTCATTCCATGAGGACGAGCCTTCTATGCCAAAGCCTTTTCCTGCTCCTCGATTGACTTCTTGGAAGGAAGCTCGACTGCCTTGTAGAGAAGAATGAGGGCAGAGTGGCTCTCACCACCGCCGGACAGTGTCTCGACCTTGTCAGCCTCGACTTCGCTGACCTTGTCGTCGTTGAACCACCACCACTTGCCATCCTCCTCTCCAACAGTGCCGTCGATGTTCTTGCGGCCCGTCTTTTTGACGTATGAAGTGTAATGACCGCTGTCAGCACTAGAACCTTGGTGAGTGATGACGGCGCGGAGTTCGAAGAGACCAGTCTGGTTGGCGGCCTCGTCGGCGGCGAGTTCAGGAGAGACGTGGGCGAGAAGGTCCTTTCTCATGGAGAGAATCTTCTCAGCACGCTCTCTCTCAATCTCGGCGTCGGTCTTGTATGTCTCGGTACCGCCCATCTCGGTGTCACCACCTGATGCACTCATACCGACAGTCTTCTGCTTGGCGAGCTGGGCCTCGGTGTCGGGGCCAGTGGCCTTGGTCTCGCGCTCCTTTTCCTTCTCCTTGCGCTTCTCCAGGGGCTCGGAGGCGTTGCCGGCCAGGTCGTCGTGCTCCTTTTGCATACGCTTTTGTCTCTTCTTGGCACGCTCGACATCCTCTTGCTCCTTGCGGACTTCACGAATGCGATCGCGGATGGGAATGAGCTGCTTCTTCAGCTCCTCGGTACAGAACTCGACGGCGTCAAGCTCCATGGGGAATGTGACCTTGCGCATAATCTTTGCCTTCTTTTGAGTATCCTTGCGCCAGAAGAAACGAACGAAGTGAACGGGCATGTACTTGGGAAGACGGGAAATGCGGGAGGACTTGGTGTAGGTAGCCTCACGGCCGAGCGACTCCGAGCGCTTCTCGATGGTCTCGTTCAAAGCAATGTTGACACCCTCGCGGAGGTGGTTGGTGTCGCCACGGATGTTGCAGTCGAGCTTGAAGAAGACGTCGCTCGACTTGACAGGCTCTTCGGTGGCACTGGACTCGTCACAGGTCATAACTGATTCGGTGGTGCCGGCCATAAACTTGTCAACCCAGTTGTTGCCACGAGTGTTACCCGAAGACGACGACGAGGAACCGTCCTGCTGCAGCTTCTGGCGAAGCATCTGGACAATCGAGGACCAAGCCTCTTCAGCATCCTGCTGTGCGTAACCGTGTCCATCCTTTGACTTTTGCGAGAACTGAGGGAAGCTCTGGCGGAGAGCGTTGACGAAAACGAGAGGAGGGAAGCCTTGCTGGGTCTCGCCCATCTGCTTGTAGAGGTCGCGGAGGGAACCAGTGAGATCAGTGGATGAACCGAGGCCACCCAGACCGAACTCGCTGAGGTTGCCTAGGCTGGAGGAAGGACCGGCGCTGCCACTGTGACTTGAATTAGCAGACTGAAGACCATGGTACGGTGCAAAAGCGCATACCTGTCGGAGTAGGAGTTCAGGGCGTCTCCAAGTTCGGGAATGCTCTTGAGGGTCTGAAGCGCAGAGTTGAGATAGCAGGTGTTGCCGAGGTTCTGAAGACCGGCGGGACTAGCACCAGAAACTTGAGCGGCCTCAGCCTCAGTCATGTCCTCAAGGAAACGAATCTTCTCGGTGGGGCGGTCAACTTGAGATGCGGCGTCTCCAGAGGGAGTACCCATCATCATAAACTGCTGGCCAGGCTTGGCCTTGAGGGATGAGAGAGGAGTGTCATCCTTGAGCTGGCCTCCCTTGATGAGGATCTTTTGGCGTTCGGGTTCGACGTTGGTAAGAGAGAAGAGCTGGTACTTGAAGGTCTCTCCGGTGGCTTCGGGGTCGAGGTCTACCTCGTACTTGGTACCCTGGTGCTTGACGATGACGGGGATGGAAGCCATGGTGAGAATGCGCTCAAAGAGACAGTCAAATGGCGAGCCAAATAGTTTGTAGAGATAGCTGTGCACTCCAAGCAGAGGCGATGGAACGAGCGAGAACAACATGGCGGCGTCATTGTCGCCGACCTCCGAGGGCGCACGGACCAGCTTACTGACCATGGCGTACTTCGAGCTTTGGTGAGTTGGGTGAGCTTCGCGAATTTGGGAAGTGCTTGTTGTCAAACATCAACAAGAAATTATACCATCTGCGGGGCTTGCAACACAAACACTCGGCGGCGGACCTCTTCTTTCACAACTTGTCTCGGCGTGCCACGTCCAACAAATTCAACACTTCCAACACGTTCAACACTTCCAACAACAACATGATGCAGCAAAACCCAGCAGACGAGAGCTTTGCTCATCTTAGCCGTCTGTCGCAAAAGGCTGGTGTCCAGGCAACTCTTATCCTCTCTCGCGAAACTGGTGCTATTGTCCGTTCTTCTGGTCTGGTCTCGCGCGACGATTCTTCAAATGCAGAGAGCACTTTGCCTGCCTCTAATGGTCTGACGGACGACCGAACAGATGGTGCTATGCCGAATGCTGAGCACGTGGCTGAAGTTGTCTGGAAGTTTGCAAAGGCTGCCGGCGATATGCTGCAGGAATTGTCCAACTCGCCCGACGATGATGTGAGGTTGCTCAGACTGCGCTCCAAGAACAAGGAGTATGTCATCTTTCCAGGTAAGCACATTTCTCCCATCTTATCGAAAACTCTCCTCTCATTCAAAACAGATGCCAAGTTCATTGCAGTCGCTATTCACAACACTCCTCCAGCATGAGGGAAGTATCAACGAGGCGACATCGGCTTATCAGATCTGCCAAGAATCCTCCTAAAATCACACCACCACCCATTCGAGACATGATACGATTTTGAGCAGTCAAGAGAGGCTGCCGACTGCTCCATGCTTTACGGAATCTTCCTCTACCAGTGCGCTTCGGAAATGTCCACCGAGTTCACATCAACGCCTTCCTTGAACCATCGCTCGGCCTCGCTAATCTCAATGTTGTTACCGCTCATCTGTCGCTTGCGCATCTTGCCGTCCTCTGCAAATGTCCAATCCTCAAGACCGTAACATCTCGTCCACTTGCCACTTTGGGCATCTTTGAATTCATACCAGAATTGGACCGCGATCTTATCATCGCCAAAGGCAAACAGCTCCTTACGCAAGCGATACTCCTTTTCCTTCTCCCATTTGCGAGTCAAGAAGTCAATGATGGCATCGGTTCCGGAGAAGAAATGGTCTCTATTGCGCCAGATGCAGTCTGGAGTGTATGCCTGGCGAGCAGCCGTTAGTGTGTGGATGGCGTAGGAGAGAAGCACAAACAGCTTCGGCATGAGCAAGGCGGTTGGAGATGGGAGTGATGATGAACAAAGCGGGACAGTGGTCACAGCATGAAATGGGATTTTGTGAAGCTCAAGGCTCAAAAGAAGCTTTCTTTACCTTTGCAACGTCTTCGGGGTTCCTACGGGATTTGATCAGCTTTCTTGAAACACCTAGCTTCAAAATGAGATATGCCCTACTGTGCGTTCCAGAGATCTTGAGCCTTCTTGACCTTCTCTTGCGCCGTCGCTTGAGTGAATGGGGGCTTCGACATGTTTTATTGCTGTATGTATCAACAATCGAAGCAGACGAGTAGGGTGACGTGTTTTCTGTACATCAAGGTGAGATTACGGAGTGTTCCCGAGATCGGTCCGCCCACGAGTTTCGTGTTTCGGCAACTTCCACACGCGTTGCGTCAATGCCGGTGGAGCTCTTCTCCGTTGAGCAAAAGGCAAGAGCGGTGGAGAGCTCACGGTCCCATGGAAAGTGCCAGAGACTCATGGGCTCTCTGCCTAGAGACTGATTATCGTCTGATTTGAAATTCAGATCCCGATGTGATAGATAGCTAGCTCCGATACATAAGTGTTCTCTTCCTCTTCCCATATCTCTCCCTGTTTCTTATCAGATCAATTCACTTTCCGTCTATCAACTTTTTTCCATCTTCTCCTAATCCCACATAACCTATCTACATTCACAATGGTTCTCCAGGCTGGTGACAAGTTCCCCGAGGGTGTCAAGTTCGGGTACGTTGTCTAGACACCTTCTTCCGAAGTATTGGTACTAACAGATACATCAGCTGGGCTCCCATCCTTGACGAGGACCCAACTGTCTGCGGTATCCCTCAAATGTACGATGCCAACAAGGAGTGGGCAGGCAAGAAGGTCGTCATCGTCAGCGTTCCCGGTAAGTCAATTGAATCGTCTTAGAATTGGATACAGTAAACTAACATTCCTCTCAAGGTGCCTTCACTCCTAGCTGCTCCGCCTACCACCTTCCCCCCTACGTCCAGAAGTTCGAGGAACTCAAATCTAAGGGTGTCGACAAGGTCGCCTTCATCTCCAACAACGACGAGTACGTTCTTGCTGGCTGGGGCAAGGTCAACAAGGTGCCTAAGGGCGAAGACTTCGTAGGTGTATTCAGAAAGAGCTTCGGATAGACACGGGCTAATTGTACAACAGCTCATGCTCTCTGACACCAAGACCTTCTTCTCTGAGAACTACGGCTGGCAGGCTGGCCCCAACAAGGGTGACCGTACCGGTCGCTGGGCCATGATCGTCGAGAAGGACGGCACCATCAGCTACGCTGAGAACGAGGGTCACCTCCAGGAGGTCAAGGTAAGATCAATTGCCAGTGTTGATTTAGTTGCATGATTCTAACCCTAGTACCAGGCTTCCGCCGTCGAGACCATCCTCACCAAGGTTTAAATCCACTTAATATTCGGGTCAACCCCTACTTCATAGAACATGGCATAAAGAGGTGCCATGCCGGCCATAGAGGATTATACACTTAGATTATAGACATGCTGCAACGAATGATACACATTAACGTCCAAACATTGTCCAAGTCCCTAGCCACAGTGTACTGACGGCAGAAGATCCCAGTCGAATTGTAGATCGGGCCATTGCAATCAGACAGCAAGAGGATATGTCTTGAGCGGCATGCTTTCACGAGAGATATGGGACCAAGCCTTCTTGACGACTTGCACAAATGATTATGTTGCATCACAAACGACCCGCTTCCTTCAGTTGAAATATGGAGCAGGAGATACAGGACGGACTTCTTTCTCACGCGACCCATCGGGACCGACAATGAAGCGGTCAACCTGCCTAAAAGCCTTTTCCTGAAGTGATCAAAGACTCGCAGCGGGCGCGGTTGAGAGAAGAAGAAAGAGCAGAACGGTCGTGCGCAAAAGATTCGAAGGTCGATCAGGATTCGCTTAGTCAGCGCGCAGAAAGCTGCGAAATTCGAAGAGCACCCCTCGTCTCTCCAACTACAAAACCCAACCTTATCATGGACTCTCTTGAAGGATCTAGCTTTGATGTCCTGATCTCAGGAACAGGCATCCAGCAGTCCTTGCTTGCTCTGTATGTCTCTTCATGCTTTGCTGTTTGACTTGACCGAGAGCTTGTCTGACTGACGCAGCTTCTTTGCTTAAAGTGCTCTCTCGCGCTCTGGCAAGAAGATCTTGCATGTCGACAAGGATGACACCTACGGCGGTCCCGAAGCTGTCTTGAGTCTTCAAGAAGCCGAGCAGTGGGCTGAAAAACTCGATTCTGGTATGTCGCCGCTTCCAATGCGCGCATTGATCTGAATATCATACTAACTCTTTCGCAGCAACGCAATCTAGATTCAGCAATGCCTCGATCGCCAAGTCGGAGGGAGATAAGAAACTCTCTCCCTCTCGCGCATACAACTTGTCGTTGGCGCCGACTCTGGTCTATACTCGCTCCGGCCTGCTGCCCATCCTAGTGTCATCGAACACCCACCAGCAACTTGAGTTCATGGCTGTTGGTGGATGGTTCGTCTATGAAAAGCAGGAAGATGGCACGCGCCTAGCCCGTGTGCCCAACGGACGCGAAGACATTTTTGCTGACCCTTCACTCACCTTGAAGATGAAGGGTCAGTTGATGAAATTCCTCCGATTCGTCGTCGCGTTTGAGGAAAAGCCTGAAACATGGGAACCTCACCGCAACACACCTTTCGCCGACTTCTTATCTGAACAGTTTGGTCTGCCTGCTGTCGACACTCTCATGGCTCTCTGCCTCAGTCTTGAAGTACCGGAAAAGACGACTACCGAGTTTGCACTACCTCGCATAGCTCGCCACCTTCGTTCCATCGGCGTCTTTGGTCCCGGCTTCGGTGCTGTCATCCCCAAGTGGGGTGGTCTTTCAGAGGTTGTCCAGGTCGCCTGCAGAGCTTGTGCCGTTGGTGGTGGCATCTATGTTCTTGGACAAGGCATCTCTACCATCGAGCCTGCTCAATCTGAAGAGGATGATGTCGAGGAGATCCCAAGAGAGCCAGAGAAGCCCGATGTCTCTCAAGATATCCACAACTTGATCACTGAAGGCGAAGGCTTTGTCGACACGAATCCGGATAGTCTTGATGAGCTTGAATCTGGTATCAAGGAGCAGTCTTTGGATGACCTCCTCGCTGCAGCTGGATACAGTATCGCAGGTGTTGAGGAAGGAAAGCCCGCCCTTGCTGCTGCGGAACCTGTTGAAAAACAGACTACTTTCGCTGTGCCTTCTGAAAAGAAGTCATTGTACACTGTCCAGCTCAGCAATGGAGAGAAAGTATCTGCGCAGTATATCATCGGCTGCTCAGACGATCTGCCTGGATCTCTTCCTGCAACAACAATCGGCACAAAGGTTTCAGGTGCTCAACCTGAGGCCGCTTCAAGGAGCGTTACCATCATCTCATCACCAATGCAACACCTGTTCGTCACTGTTGCTGAGGGTGGTGTCGCTCCTGCAGGTGCTGTTGTGGTCTTCCCAACTGGCTGTCTCTCCAGCCCAGACCACCCACCTGTTCATATTATGGTTCACTCCAGTGACACAGGCGAATGCCCACAAGGTCAATGTAAGTTCCAATCATCTCCCTTTACTCTCCCTGGAAGATCATTGCATGATGAATGATTTTACGAATACTTATCTACATTGTCTGAACAATAATGTCGATCAACACATCTCTGACAACCTGATCGCTTTGGTCTTCCAACCGTTAAAAATAATCAATCGTTATTTGTTTTGCTAGAAAGCAATTGCTAACAATGGATTGTACAGGCATCGCATATGCAAGCACTGCACTCACCGGTCAACAAGGCCAGGACCTTCTTGCTGAAGCTGTCAAGTCACTTCTCGCGGCCCATGATGGTGAAGCTCAAGCTCTGTGGTCGCTCAGCTACCAACAGTATGCCCAGGCACTAGCACCCTCAACCGAGACGTCTCAGTCCAACATTCTTAAGTTCCAGGATCCGCCATTGGACTTTGTGTTCGATGATGCGATCATCGAGAACGTCCAGGCCGCCTGGCAGAAGATCTTGCCTGGAGCTGATGACTTTATGGTCTTCAGGGAGAGGGGTGATGATGCCGAGGAAGAGGCTGAGGACGAGGACGAGGAGTAATGAACGATGGATATAGACTTGCTATACTACATGAATGCTACGATTGCAGAACAAGTATATTGTATCCTTGCCAACACCTCCTTAAGCGGTTTCATGCGCCATACGTGCTTCTGACGAGAAACTGACATGCCCATATGGTGTCAAATACCCCACATGACGTAGTTGCTTCGTTCCTGCATCACCGTTAAATATCTCTCCGGAAATGCCGCCTTGCACCTTCTGTATCTTCTCACCTTTCCTATTGCTTCCTAACACACAAGCAAGTCAATCCAAACACGATTAAACAGAAACTTGACAACCTCAAACCATCCACACATCATGTCTTCCGATAGTCTCGCACTCTTCCGCAAGAGCCTCGGTAACGAGCTCGGTGCCCTCGCAGAACAACATTACCAACATGAGTCCGTCTCCCGTCACGGTGCTTCTCTAACAACAGCTAACATTACTGTATAGCCTTCAATCATCCGACCGCGAAGCTCTCCAGAAAGCAGCCTCTCGCGTCTCAATGCACACGACCATCGGCTCCGTCGTAGGCCTCTCCCTCGGTCTCTTCCTCTCCTTCCGCCTTCGCAAGAACAGAACCACCATGTTCAACGCCTTCCGCACATCCGAGAAGCCCGTCGCTGTTCAGTTCGCCGGTGGCCGCACTGAGCCCCTGCCCGACCTTACACCCATGCTCAAGCCCTCAACCCTTGGAGACATTGCCACATACACACTGTTCGGCCTAGGCGGTCTGTTCGTGGGAGGAGAGACTGGACTCTTGACTGGAGGATTGAGTGCACAGAGTGCTATTAAGAAGGATCCTGAAGCCAAGAAGAGAATCGAGGCTGCCTTCAGAAAGTTCAGAGCCGAGACCTTGAGGTTGGAGGCGGATCAGCTGGAGAAGGGCGAGAGGGGTTTGGGCATGTAGGATATCCTGGTCAAGGATGTTTTGTAATGAATTGCTGTATTACTACTGACGATGGAAATGAAAACACATCTAATACTCACCTTTTCCTTTTGGTGCTGGTCAAGATGAGGCAAGGTATAGCAATGGTTAGGAGAAGGCTTCTGGCGTGGTAAGTAGCTACTTCCACAAAAGCATCCCGATGATTGATCAATTCTTTAGGAGTTTCCTCGAAATCACAAGCATTTCAGAAGGTGCGGGCTGTCCTTTCCTAAATCTGCTTGCTTCCACTGATATGCCAGGCTTAGTTTGACACTTCCTTTTTCTCCCGATCCATCAGCCTTGCAATTAATATTTTAGCCAACCTCGATCATTGTCCATACCTTTGAAAGTGCTTGATGTTTGCGCCTTGTATCAATGAAACTATCGCCTCTGTAGCAAACAGCTGGAAGATACTGGAGCTGGAGAGACGAAGTTTATCAAGCCCGTCTTCTGCCCATTCCGATGCTCATGGACCTCTCCTACGACTTTCTTCTCCTCAAGCCTGGAAGATTTATATAGGCTCGGCTCAAGCACCGCTTGAACGCCACGAGCCAAATACGCCACAACGAACACCCAGTTCGCACCAGCTCGTTTGCTTTCGTCATCCCATGTCCCCAACATGAGCCCACCTGATACCTACGCAAAAAGACTGTCTCATTCTCGCGCTCATATCACTTGCTTCAGATCATCACCAGAAGCACGTCGAACAAACCACGATCTGCTCGCCAAATTTCTTCCCACACTTCTTCTTGCGTCTGCGCGAAAGACCTCCTCCTCCAACAACCATACACCGACTGCCTTTGAAGCGCTCACAGGCCTCGACAACGATAAGTGGTGAGGCTGACCGTATATCTTAAAAAACAATCCCCGATTTCCTAGGGCTTGTACGACGCCTCATCGTGCTTTCGATTTATATGGGCGTGTTGTGTTGCACCGCAGCACTGAAGCACCATGTCGTCAGTGGTTGTATATCGGAAGCAAGACTGCAAATCGTAAATCTTCATGTCTCTATATAGATCTCGAAACGTCGTTCATCCACGTCACAACGCTCTGTTCCATGAGAGTGCGCCTGCAGGCTGGGACCTTGACAATCGCTGTCCGCGACATGTTAGCATCTGGAAATATGGACACCATTATCTCTCAATCATCCATCGAGAAGTCAATCGGCACTGATTCTGGATAGGAAAAAGTGGACGACCTCCTGACTGATTGGAAGCAGAGCAAGACACCACTGCCAAAGGGATTAGTCGATGCCCCAGCTTCTCAATTTCTTGATCTGCTCTCTGCTGCATATGGAGCCTGGGCAGAGGACAAGATGACCGCATTTGTAACATGTATAAAGCCAGCCCAGCAGCATCGCCGTCGTCACCACCGCAGACGATGGATGGTGTCGAAGAGGGCGGTGTCGATAGCTCGAGGAGTTTTTGTCTGTTACTGACGCTCCCTCGCCAACCAACTTCTCAGCTACTCCAAGCTCTGCTACGATGATGATGATGGCATTTTGTTCCCGGAGACTCTCTATCGGAGATCGTGGCTTTCTTGTCGTGAGCGCGAGCAATTTCATAATATATACATCGAGGGCTTCTCATGGCACCTGGAGGAGAAGCTCAAGAACATGCTCGAGGAGATACTGAGGAGCTACTGAGGAGCTTGCACGACTCTGCAGAACAATCGTCCGGAAGATGCGGAGGGACGGTGGGCAGTAGATGGCAACCGAAACGACGTAATTGTCAACGCCCGAGGCAGGAAGGTGATCGCGAGTAACACGGCCTGCCTTGCTCACCTGGCTTTCATCACGTATGACGCCTCCGCCATTGCTTCAACCATCAACACTACAGTAGGTCATGCTTTCGGAGAAGAGTGGATCACAGCAGTCATGTCCATCCAGGAGATCATCTCTCAGATTTCGGCTGGGCAGAATATTAATGATGCGCTCTGCACACAAGAGTCGGGTACAACAATCACGATCGTCCATATGCTCTCTCAAGGATAGCGGCCGTCAAGGCATTCGAACGCAGTTTGGCTGACGCAGTCAACTACACCTACAGGCTCTATTCTGAGCACTGTCCTTTTGGTACCCTCTACGATCTTGTCGAACAGCAACGCCCCCATAAGCGCAAGGTCGGTGTCAACTTTGGAGCACGGTTGATCGCAGAGAGCGCAGAAGAAGTAGCAAGCCACCTCAGCCAAAGACACTACCTTCGGCGATCCCACCGAAGCTCCCGAGGCCGGTAAGAGCGAAGAAGATGACGGAGAGACTGTCACCACTACTCTCACATCTTGAGCAATCAACAGCACTTTGATGAACGCGCATCACCGCATACAGCGCAGAAACTGGAACGTGCTGCCACAGTGCTGCATACAATAAACATATACAATCGAGAGATGTGCACGTACATGGTCATGGTGAGTGTCGTTAACGCATTCTACTCTCCTCTAAACAACACCCACGACGTGGGATACAGACATCTGCTCAGAACCGAGCCCGTAGAGCTCACAAGCTCAAAATCCATAGTCGTCCTGGTTTCTTCCACAAACTAAGAAAGATACTTGGACAGTCCCCGAGTATGACTCAAGTCTCGTCACACGACCAAGAGCTTTAGAAACTCTGGGATTTCCATCACAGTATCCACATCTGTCTGAGACGGAATATTCGGCACTTGGACTATTCGCTTGTGATTTCGTAGTATTGCAACTGAGATTTCATGCATACCTCCAGCAGCTCTACCGCGGGATCAAGCCCTACCAAGAGCAGCTGCTATGGGCAGGCGTCTCTGTGCAAGTCACCCAAAAGGAGACGCGAATCTGGATGAACGAAGGAGAAGCTGAGCTGGTCGTCCTCTTGTTAGACACATAGAGAGCCCATAGTGCTGGTGGGTAGTATAGTTTAGCTGCCTGCTAGAAGCCAAGAGAATGCTCAATGTCGGTACAATGGACAGAAGCTTCGTCCTTTCAACATGGTCCTCACGGCTTGGACCGATATTCTTGGATCAACTATGCTTGGACGCTACCCTTACTGCGTAGCACAATTCAAAGTCCCAAGCAAAATTTCGAACAGTCAATTGCAGAAGAAAAAGCATCAGTCATCTCCAGTTTCGTTCGATCTGGCTACACACTATCATCAGTCCAAGTTCTGTCATGGTGATGACTCGCGAAGGCTTTCTAACAAAGGCCACTGTACCAGCTGTTCGATCAACACGACACACGCGCCAAAAATGGCAGCGGCTCCTTCTTCCTCCGTGGTCGCCACCACACCTACCACTTGGCCCCTCTCACCCATCATGCCCTCAACCAACACCGCTCGCCCTCGGGTCGTCGTGGTTCGCATTGTAATTTGTAGAGGATGATTTGGGCAAGCCGCTCATCTGACTTCCTTGAAACAGGACGTCTTAGAGCTCACAACGATCACTCAATCCATGCACAAACACAAGCCTAGCTTTGACGATTCCTGTAGACTGTTTGTTGTTACAAAGCGGAACAGAGCTGATGATAAACATGGCAGAAAAGCCGGAGCTCAGCCCTTATGGGGAAGCATCTCGAATTTCTGCACAGATATCACTAGAACAACGGACGCTCCAGGCTTAGAATTTGAGGGTGTCAGATTAAGACTACACGGGGGGTACTTTAACGAGTGTTTCATTGAATCGTGAGTAGGATATGATGTTGCAACAATTGTTGCCCCTGCTCTCCCTAGCGCCGCTACACCGCGCATGTGCGAGGTCTGTGGTGAGGACAAATGTATCAACAGCTTCCCCAATGCAACCCAGGTATCCTCTCACGACCACGAACACGACGTCTGCCACGAGTGCTTTGCCATGCACCTCGACGTTGAAGTCGACTCGAAGATGTGGGACCAAATCTCCTGCCCTCAGTGTCCTTCCCTTCTCCAACAACACGAGATACAGAACCTCGCTACCCCTGAGTGCTTCGCAAAGTACGCCCGCTTTGCTCGTAGAGCAGCTCTCTCCAGCAACCCTGACTACAGATACTGCTTCTCCACCAGTTGTGAGTCTGGTCAAGTCTATGAGGGTCAAGAGCCCGTGTTCTCCTGTCAGGAGTGCGGTCATAGGCACTGCACTGTTTGCGAAGTCGACTGGCATAAGGACGAAACTTGTGAGCAGTATCAAGCACGCAATCAGGTCCAGAAGGGATACGAGGCAGAGTCCGAGGCAACACTCCAAGCCACTTCAAAGCCCTGCCCCAACTGCCAGGCCAGAATCGTGAAGAGCGACGGCTGCGACCACATGCTCTGTAAGTCTTACCCCTGAATAGGAAAATTCTCACATTACATACCCAATGAGGAACAATTTCTAACATGTCATGCAGGCTCTCAATGCCAACACCAGTTCTGTTGGGCCTGCTTGGCTGACTTCATCCCCATCGCTCGTCACGGTCTTCACAACCACCATCCCGACTGTCCAAACCATCGCCCTGCTGGTGATATCAACGAAGACATGATCGCACACGCCAATGCAATGCTGCTGATGGCAAATGGCAGATTCCAGGAGATGCTTGAAGAGATCTTTGGATTCAGATTGCAGTAGTCGATTGATACGAATGGGAGTACGTACAGAGATACAGTAATAATGAAACTTTCCGATGGCACGAACACCGTTGCCCCTGTTCCCCTGAGCTCTTCCTTATCTCACTGTTAGGGGTGGTGCTAGATGAATTCAGTGAAATTGCAGGATGAAATTTCGTTTTGCGTAAAGATCCAAAGAGAGCTGGAAAAATAAGCAGTGAAATCAGACTTTCAATGGTCAGTCAGAGCGGAACGAAAGTCATCTTGCATCTCGATGCAATATATCGGGCCTAGGAGAGCAGTACTAAATCCAACCTTCCTAGTACCCCTTGATGCTCGCGTATAGAGCCCTGCCATCCTTCTCATATGAACGTGTCAGTCCAGAATACGCCAGTAGGATTGCATGATGATTTTACATTCTGTATGTGCCTCCAGAGAGAGTCATGATTGATTCTGACTCTCATTGAACATCTTGAACAAAGCGAAAAATCTCATGCATCATGATAGACATGACACAGACCAGCGTAGGTCATGTGAAACACGTCCAGTACAAGACACAGCTGCAACTCCCTACACACGTTCATTGAACTTGCCATTGTTCCACGTGCCGACGTGACAAATGAAAGCATACTGGAAGAATGCAAGGTGTATAAAAGTCCCACCTCCATGAACAATGCGGCCGACGACGGCCGACACCTCTTAGGCTAGCAGACAGCCGACACTCCACTGAAGATCATACTACAACACTTTCGAGAGGTTCATGAAAGCTCCACAGAGATATCTGCAGCATGGTGATCTATGCGGAGTGACATCGATCATTGCGGGGTTGATGGCGGGGTCGCGGCGCCGATGATTGTACGAATCGCTCCTTCTCTGTCATGTAGACATGGAATGAACACTTTTTGTAACCAAGACGGCAGTTGCAAAGGATTTGACTCGTGGACTGAATCTTTTTGCCGATGGTCACTACCACCTTACCCCGATACAATGCATCAAGACATCATCCCAAAAGCGGGGCAGAACACCCACCAGACCGTCGTGTATCGTAGCAGCCGGGGCTATGCTCTAGAGAAGTATGAGAGCGGAGTACTGAATTAACATAAGTACGAGGCTCTCCCGGTTACACAAACGCAGCCGAAGTGAGCACTCAGATCATCGATCATCAACATGAAAGTCCTCGCTAGTGGGTTCTTGCTGCTCAATACTGCATCTGCAGCTGTCATCAAAAGATACAGTACCTATCATGGCGTTGCCATACCTGCGGTACAAGTCAAAAACGGCACCTACACAGGGTACCATGCTGCTGCTTACAACACCGACAATTTCCTCGGTATGCCATATGCTCAACCACCAATCGGCGATTTACGCTTCCGTATTCCTCAGTCTCTCAACTCTACCTGGTCTGGCTCGAAGAGTGCTACCGAGTACAGCCCAGAGTGTATTGGCTATGGCAGAGATACCTGGAGTCAAGGCAACTATGTCAGTGAAGACTGCCTGACACTGAATGTCATCAAGCCAGCCGGCTCATGCGAAAGCCTTCCTGTCCTTGTCTGGATCCATGGAGGCGGTCTTGTCATGGGAGGCAGTGGAGACCGTCGGTACAATCAGTCTTTCATCGTCCAGCAATCTGTTGAAGCAGGCATGCCAATCATTGCTGTCAGTATCAACTATCGTCTTTCGTCCTGGGGCTTCTTGTACGGCCGCGAGATCCAAGAGTCAGGTAATACGATGAATGGGTTCAGAGACCAGCGTCTTGCTCTGCGTTGGGTGCAAGAGAACATTGCTGCTTTTGGTGGTGATCCTGACCGTGTCACTATCCAAGGAGAGTCTTCTGGTGGCACGTCTGTTGGAGCGCAATTACTCGCCTACAACGGTCGGAATGATGGTCTCTTCCATGGTGCCATTGCACAATCTGGAGCTCCTGTCAGCCCCGGAGTCGACTTTGATGTTGATGACTGGGAGCCTATCATCGCCAATATCAGCAGAGCTACTCAATGCAGCGGCACTGGCTCTGTACTCGACTGTCTCCGCAAAGTACCCACTGATCAGCTCAACTCTGTTATAAACTCTACCGTCACAAGAGGAGCCCGCTACGGCCCTGTGGTTGATGGCGATTGGTTCACTCAAACAGCTTCGCAAGCACTGTCCAACGGCGACTTCTTGAAGATCCCATACATCATCGGCGTCAATGAGGCAGAAGGCGTAGGCTTTGGTCCGAGACAAATCAATACGACCCAAGAGATCTTGGACTACATTGTTGACTCGGGTTATGATAATGCCACAGCTCACGATCTTGCGATACTGTATCCTGATATTCCAGCTATCGGCGTACCGAGCACTCTCCACGGCAGACCGAACTCTACCATCGGACTTCAGTTCAAACGTAGCTCTGCCATTGCTCAAGACATGAGCATGAACGCCGCAAGACGCCTGACATCCCACTGGTGGGCAAGGCACGGTGCCAGATCCTATACCTAGTAAGCATCAGCAGATGAATCACAATCGCGACCATTCTTTACTGACGTTTTGTACAGCATCTTCAATGCCCTGGTCAATAGCCTCTCCTACTTCTCAGGCGCAGTGCACTTCCAAGAGGTGGCTTTCGTCTTCTACAACACAGAAGGCCTAGGCTACCCGCAGAATGGCAATCCTAACCCTCTTGGTGGATCTGAAAGTGAATCCCTCGTCACACTGGCGAAGCAAATATGTCGTATGTGGATCAGTTTTGTGAACTATGGTGATCCAAATATGCATCTGGGCTGTGAGTCAAACTGCTTTGCTTCATTGAAAAGGGAATTTGCTGATGCTTGGTGTCTAGTGAAAGCAGAGCCTTGGAATCCTGTTGACGCGGAAGAGCCTGAGTTCTACTATTTCCAGCAGAACGAGACGTCGAAGTCGCTGCCTGATATCGTTCGTGCGGAGGGAGTGAGTTATTGGGAGGAGCTGATCATGGCGAGGAAGGGCACTGATTGTACTGGCATCGTTGCTTGTGGTGGCAGTTATGATGGAGACCTGGATGATCTGTGAGCTATAGTGTGTTGGCAAGTCGTCTTAGGATCCGCCAACACTCATTCAATCCCCTGGTTAGTCTTTATATTCTACCTTGGCCAGGAGATTCCCATCGAGACAGCGGACCAGTCGGACTCCTCCATTGGGGACCCTGCTACGGCGGTGGTATATCCTATGGTGTGGGGGTCGGGCTCCCCTGTTCTCTAAACTCATCGTCACTCCGAGTTTCTTTTTTGTAGGTCTTGAGTTCGATCCCCCTCTTGATCATCGATCAATCTTTTGCATTTACTATTTTGCCAACCTCGACAGTATTACACAACCTGCGGTTGCTAGTGTCATGGAGGCGGCTTACTGTGAATACGTCTGCTGGCCCATCATAGAAACACGGCTTAAGGCTTTCTTCCAATTTGTCGATACCATGGCATCTGGAATATTGATTTGATTGTTTAATTGGTCGAAATTCCATGTTGCGGCTCATACGTAGGACACACGTTTGCCGGTCTCGTTGCTTTTGTATAGAGCATCCACCCAGGCATGACGCTTGACAGCCCACTTCCAGTCAGGGTAGTACTGGCCATCAGCGAATGCCTCATAGAGTCTTCCAACATTACCAGGAGGTCCCGGCTTATCCTCTGTGAACTCAATATCCTTTACATCACCAGTCTCGAGCAGTTGCATCTGAACATTCATGTCCAAGGACATACTCAAAGCAAATGGTTGGTCACCACGAACCTGAATGACACCTTTCTCGCCTTCAATTCGCCAAAGGAAACTAGGGTCGCCTGGGAAAGCCTGACCTCCATACACCACTGCCGAAGATTGAGCACCGTTTGGAAGAAGGCCAGACATGGAGATGTGGTCGGCTGCCGTGCGGCGAACGGTCTTGACAATTTTCGAGCCATCCGCAGACTTGACAACAACATCTGGGTGCTGAATGGACAACGTCGAAGAGACTTCTTGAAGCTCACCAAGAGTATAACTTATAGAGTCGTAGAGGTGTCCGAATGGGATTACAAGCATGTTTCCGCCGGTTTCAGCATAGTTGAGATACTCCATGGGCTCGATGGTCTCTTTGCCACCTAACATGCCGGCCAGACTGACATGACTGCCGGTGATGCGGCCGATAGCCTTGTCTTTCTCGATGATGGCCTTGATGCGGCTGATGACAGGGCTCATCTGGCCTTGCAAACCAATCATGGTCTTGACGCCCTTGCGCTCAGCAATTTGAAGTAGCTCGGTAGCTTGTTCTACATTCGAGGCGAGGGGCCACTCCACGAAACAATCCTTTCCAGCTTCGAGGGCGGGCTTCATGGCTTCGTAGTGTCGGTCAACTCGAACAGCGCAGACAACAAGATCAACATCAGAGCTAGCTGCCATCTCTGCGACTGAGCCATAAGCTTTAGCATCTGCTGAGAAGCCATAAGTGTCGATTGCCTTTTGTGAAGACTCGGTCGATGAATTGCAGACGCCGGTAATCTTGTACTTTGCTGAGTCCTTGAGGTAGGGTAGATGAGCGGAGGCACCCCAGGATCCTCCAGCAGCTGAGAGGCCAATGATTCCAACACCGATAGGCGCCATGATGATGCGGAGATGTTGATGGGTAGTAGAAGAAACGGTTGGAGATCAAGTTGAGGGATGCAAATATACAGATGGTGTTCAAGGATGGGTCTACAGCACAGTCAAGATCGAGACCTGGGTTACCTTATATGAGCCGATAAGCACATCAGAGAAAGCCGACGAAATTGAAAGCTGTTCTATTGCGTCAAATGTAGATAAAGATGACCAAGCAGGCAGGAGCTGTGGATGAAAGCAAAGCCGTGGCTCGGATGCGGAACAGCGTCGGATGTCCACGTGATTTGACATCCGGTATTCATAATCTCTGCCAAGATACACAATATTGTGCATACAAAGCTTCATATCATTTGAGACATCAACCAAGGGTCGCGCTCGAGGAACACAATCATCTTCCATCTTTCTCGTTTACCTCACCATGACACTTCATGGCTCAAACTTTCAGACTCTTAGACCTTCGGACCTACAAGGATGTTGCTGTGAGGCACAGTGTCCCACGCATGAGCGACACGAGCTTACCATGACCTTTTCCTACCCTGCGTGACGAGCACGCGTAGAACTGAGAGGCATCAAAGACTGCAACAGCTTTGTTTGCATACGTGGCCATGGGAAAATTGAGATGCCTAAGCTCGAGATTGATATGGGCTTACCGACCTCGCCTCGTAGACGCCCTGAGCTGTTCCTGCCTTAGGCCACCAACACCGGGATTTCGACCATTGTTTCACTTTCAACACAGTACATGATACGCCAGTCGCCAAAAGCCCTAATCTACAGTGCACTTGCGAGGTCTCAAGAGTGTACGTGCGAACATGCGTCTGCATATGCCAGGATGGTGGCCAATAGAAGGCGATGTCACATTCGGCACAAACAGTCTGCAAGCTGCGCAGAATCACATGGCTGCATAGCATGCAGTCAGGGCTGTGAAGCGTCCTGGTCTTCCAGTCATGCCACCGTCTTGATTGCTACATGTGCGATTTGGACTTGTCGTCAGACGAAGAACACGAGTACTGTGCCTCTATGCATCTCGCTTGCACAGCAAGCCAACACCAGCACAGGTTTATCTGCTACATGATTTGCCAGACGGTACAAGGTTTATCAAAGCTACCAGACAGCACGCATAGTCATACGAGACTCGCAGCGAAGTTAGCGACACGAGGTTTGGCTCGAGGGGTTTGTGAGCCGTACACTCGCAAGACCTCGCTGATCTTCTGCGCAAGGTTGAGCTCGCCAATGTGAGACTCATATTGCAGCGAATCAAAACTCTTGTATTAGGCTGCACTAGGCCATTTCCAACATCATGCCGGCTGTATCAGGCTTATCTCGGCCTTGTGAGCAGCGCTCGCGAGAAACAGCCCCTGCCACACCTCTTGCCGCGATGTAGGTCAGGATCTGGTCTTCTGCCACCGTTAAGTATCGACTCCCCCTCAACCCGGGCCAGTCAAGACTCTGAACAATTCTACTACTTCGTTGAATCCAGGCTTAATCGTTCCTGCCTCGAGTCTCTGACCAGCATTATATTCAAGATGCCAAAGACGCCCAAAGCGACTGCTCGCAGCACTGTTTCGAACAACGCACATCTCAGCCCCGAAGCCTTGTCTCATGGTGTTGAATCCCGAAGGAGCGCTCGTCTCGAAGCAAAACGAACTGCTCGAGAGCTACGAAAAGATGCGGATCTGCTACCATCGGTAGAGAACACCCCAACACGCTCAAGGAAGGACTCCAGAATCTCGGTACCGCACGACTCTAGTCTCCAAAAGAAGACATCCAAATCCGAGATCTCTTGTCATTATGACATTGGAGAACTGCAGAATGTCTCTGGCGATGATAGCGATGTGGAAACAGTTTCCGAGCTGGAATCTCTGGAGGATGACTGCTCAGACCAAGACTCTACCTATTGCCCTGAAGATTCTTCACACGGAAGCTCAGAAGACTATTCGGATGACTGCTCAGATTACTCGGACGAGCGCTCCGGTGATCTCGTGAACCAGGGCTTCGATGATCAAGCAGATGATTGTTCTGATGATGAAGTGATGATGAGCGACAGTAACATATCCCAAACGCGACGAAAGCGGTACGATCATACTTCTCAGAAGCTTGTGGATATCCTCCCTGTCGTTTGTGAGGATAGCAATGGCACACGAATGGCTTTCTTAGCCGAATCAAGCCCATCACGCGCGCATCGAAGGCGAACACAGACTCCCGACCGCCAAATTTCTCGCGCTGCAAGAGCATCCACAACTCTATATGCCGACTCAAGCTACGAACATAGTGTGGTGATCAACGCAAGCAAAGTGCGAGACGTGATCATTGATAAACTTCAGCACGGAGATTGGCGAGATCTCGATAAGCCAGGCTTTGTATACGCGTTCCGGGACGAAGAGCTTGGGCTTGTCAAAATCGGCTTTACTGGCGATCTGCAACGAAGGAAAAGCCAGATTCAGAGCACTTGTAAGATGTCGCGTCCCTTGGTTCAAGTTGCAGACAGTGGTCTAGTGCCGGCTTACCGGGCACTCGAAGCAATCTTGCATCAAGATCTTGCGCCACTTCGATGGGTGTTCCTCTGTGATTGCAAACAACCGAAGAAAGAGTCTCCCAAATCACGTGCCAAGTCATACTCGACGCCATACACCAAACACCAGGAATACTTCGAAATCAATGATGACGACGTCAAAAAGGTTATCAGGTTCTGGAGCGAATTTGTCAAGTCGCGCCCTTGGGAAAGCCGATTGAACAGGAACCCATGTTTTGGTTTGAAGGCAATGACCAATTTCCAGTCTGATTGGCTTCATTTGTTCAGCCCCGACAAAGGCGTTCTTCCCCCCAGATACGAAGGCCAGCATGAACATCACGATTACAGACTGATCCGATGGCGCAAGATCTTGGGTCTGAAGTGTGATAACGCGAAGACGTCCGGGGACGAGGAGCCGTCTGCTGCATCTCTCGTTCGTCACAAGAAAGCAAGGGGTGTCAGAAGAACTACCATTGATTCTACTCTCTGTATCTCCATGAATGGTTTGACCATCAACGTGGACCAGAGGTGAAACAACCAAGCGTCATCCCTTACGACAACTCGAGGTCCAGCTCTAGGCTCCTAGTTTTCCCTCCGTCAGCCCGCCAGGTTTACTTCTGCTTCCTATCATTTATCTACTCCGATCGAAGAAGCCGGTTCTTTTGGCGGTGTCCGCACTCGGAGGCAGTATGACTTTTATGTCAGGGCCATCATGCTAGAAAGCATCTGTTGCTTGATGTTGGTTATCAACGTTCGTCCATTCTTTCTCTGTTTCGTTCTTTGGCATGTAGTGTTTTCAACGATTTCCGGTTTTTCTCTGATGCCTTCCATATGGTTGTATAATGTGCTTCTGGCCTTGCTAGTGAGATATTCATATGGGTAGATGCATGTAAGTAGTTCATCGATACGCTGAGCCTAGTCCCACAGGAGCTTCGGGAATGCCTCAGACATATCTATCGATCGGCTTAGCTGCATAAAATTTCGTCGTGCAAGCCCAAATCATGTGCTCGGATGAACAGTAGGAAAATGGACGCCTCCGAGTGCATGGAGGAACGAAAAATCTAGATCAGTATCGAAGCCATCGGTCAAAGCGTATGGGTCGAAGCAACCATATCCAGAGGCCCATGCCGTGTCGATAGATGAGAATACCTCAGGTACCGGGTTCGTAGAGATAATTATACTTTGCCGTACAGTTGCATCGCTACCAAAGAAAAAGCTTTCCTGCGAATCTGTAGGTTGTGTTCTTTGACTCAAGACGCCGGCTTCCAGCTCCGAGTCATGGTTTGGGAGTAGTTCTTCCAACGAACCCTGGATATCTATATTGCATAGTGCTGATAACTCCCGCAAGGTAGTCTTCATGTTGTCCAGACTTTCTCCCCATCTGAGACTGTGGCCATGAAGTAATACCAGCGTTTTGGCCACGAATTGCGACAATTCGGCATGAGATAATTCCATGTGCCAGAATGCGTAGAATAGTATTAGACATGAGGTCATAATCCTGCAGACCTGCCTCCAAGTCGATGGTAGAATGTGGCGTCCTGTACTGTTGCTTTTGTAAGAGCAGCTGGATGCGTTGTTTGCAGTCACAGTCTGTCGCTTGGACACAATCTCGTAGTATTCAAGGAGAATCATTTGTGCTCCACGAACACCTACGCTAATTGAAGACAGCCAACCACGAGATGATGCAAGCAGAGGTATACGCAGCAATACGCGCAGCCTGGTGTAATCTGATTAGCGTGTTCCGGAGTCAAAAACTAGACGTGCCTCACCAATACATGTTGATAGATACTAAGGATTCGAATTGAGCCTCGGGCGTATCATCGCTTGACCTGACTTTAGATGAACGCTCTGAACGAGCTTGCACGATGTCTTGCTCGATATCCACGACCTCCTCCATTCCCGTAGATTCCCCGTCATACAGGCGTTCGATGATCTTGCCGTTAAGCTGGACCATATTCACTACGGGGCGAAGCTCAGGATGCTCTTCAAGCAAAGGATGAAAGTTTTCAAGCTCAAGATTGGAAGCTTTGATTCTAGTCATGCAGGCATGGCTCATTGCACAATATCTGCATGTAGTTAGCTTCTTCTAGTGCTAACAATGCGGTCGCGTGTTACATACTGATCCGTAAAGCAAAGAATGAGGTACACATAAGACGCGTGAACATCTGACGTTTTTTGGTGAAGGCTCAAATCGTGCGCAACCTGTATAGCTTGGTCGACTGTTGCTCTTGAGCGATTCGATGAGCCTGTACGAAGTACGTAAAGATGGTGGAACAAATGTATGACGACCAAATCGATAGTCTGACCACCTGCATGCTCGTTTATCCAATATATCGAGAGCTCAAAATAGTAACTGGACTCGCTTGTATCTCGCGTAGAAACAAGGAGACACGCGAGAATCGCGAAACTTAGGGCCAGGTCCAGGGGCGGTAAAGTCCAGTTGCGATCGACTCCTGTCATGTCGGCTACAATGCCTGGTGGCAGAATCTTAGCCAGCACGTTAAGGGCACTTGGGAGGTCGACTATCTGAGCATAATAGCCCAGACTATCCGAAGCTGTTGAGAAAACTTGTGATGCTTTTGCAAAGGTCACGCTCGTCGTACGTGAGAAACCCTCATGGGATTGTAAAGGTTCCAGAGACAATACTTTCTTTCGTTCAGGCTCTTGCAGCTCCAATTGAACTTCAAAGTCTGCCTGACGTTAGTCTGCGGATCCAAACTGAGACGGTGGCGGCGGAGGAGCTACCAAAATGAATCTTCGTGTAGGAGTTTATCAGCCAAATTATCGTCACTGGCGTAGTTGGAGTGCTGAGTGCACACGATACACCGGAGAAAACTTCCGAGCCATTGGAACGAATAGGACACCTTGTCGTCTTGTCTAAGTGATGTGAATTTGCAATAGAGGGTTCCAGAACAAGGCATGGCTCGTTAACAGATCGCATACGTGCCCGTCGACTGCGGCGAGATTGGACGTCGTTTACACCATGCGAGGGACCGGGTCTACAGACTACGTCAGTCAGGCGGAAGCGCAGCAGTTTCACTGCTGAGTTTCGACCTTGCTTTGCTTCGCATCACGCACTCCACTCCAGCGGCCCTGCAAGCCGAGCAAGGCCACGACTGCTCGCACTTTCGTTTGTTGCTACGGCATCTCTGACATGCTTTGCTTAATCTTTTGTGTTTATCCGTCATGATTTGATCATTACGACATAGGAAGAAGGCAAGTGCTTGGAATGTGCTTGCCAAAAGATATCGATGGTCCTCAGCTCCCGAGATTCAGCCAGGTCGACGCGCCAATTCTTTGACGCGGCAAAGACCTTGCAACAACTTTGTCTGTTAGCGTCCAAATTACATACGATCACACGATCGTCTACAGCCATTCGCTACAGAACATCCACTGGTCGTAAATCATCGCGTCATTGTCCGTTGTTTGATGCTTACGAGACACATTGAGAGAAAAGGCCGTTGCCAAGTCCAAGTCCATTAATGATGTCTGCGGATATAGACGTGCGGATGTAGGAGCGGCAATATGCTGTTCAAAGAAGCTCTACCACTCTCTGTGAGGCTTCATAACTATCACAGTACTGACTGCATCAACGACCAAGGTACGAAGTTCAGAAGCCAAACGGTCTAACTAGTTAAAATCTCGCACACCACACCTCGTGCCGCCAAAGCCTGTCCATGGTCCTTATCATCGAGGTTACGGATAAAACTTAAACAGCGGATATACATCTAAATCGGTCTTATTCGTATGACCGAGACATCTGTTCGAGCTTACGCTACCAAAGATGCCGACTTTGCCTTTGCTCTTATCAACCTGGTTGCTACATCTTCAAGATGCGCCCCGATCAATGTGCCAACACACCTCTCTCACATTCATATCTCTTTCACCATTGTCAGCTCTATCAAAATGACTTCGTCGCAAGATGTCGCATACTCCGCTCTGGTTGATTTACTAGCCGATTTCGGTTTAGATCACTCGCAGGCTGATTCGAGGATACAATTCGTAGACAACATTCCACCAAAAGCCGCCACCAAAAGCCGCCACCAAAAGCCAGCATATCAAATTAACGCTCGTTGTTGCCATACTATCCGCTGCAAATGCCCTTGTTGCCGCTCGAATCTTTGAGCAGCGCGGCGGCGAACCACACGCAATAACTATCGATCTTCGCAAATCTCACAACTATATCGACCCGGATATCGGCATGACACCATCTATCAATGGACAAGAGATTCCACACGACGTGGTCGTCGGTAACCCTTTCCTGCGAAACATCTTCCAGACGAAAGATGGAAGACATGTGGTTATCTCGGCCGTGTACGTCGATCTGGTCTACAAGTGGACAGCATTTCTTGGGTGTTCAGTACTGGAATCAAGCGTCAGAGGGACTGTAAAGAATTGGAACAGCAATGATCTCGAGGAAGCTGCTGACAAGGCGGGTTTGCCGCTCGCATTGGTCCAATCTGAAGACGCCTGGTTGACAACAGCACACGGAAAGCACATTTCCGATTCGACCATAGTTCCGATCAAAAGAGCTACAAACTCTTCATGCAAAGAGCTTTCTCATAATCTGCGTCGCCCACTTGAAGGAGTCAAAGTGCTGTGTTGCACACATGCCATCGCAGGTCCATCCGCAGGACGAACAGAACACGGCGCCTCCATCTTACAAGTCATGTTCACTCATGGCTTTGAGCATAGCTTCGTCTACACGTACGCAAACCTTGGATGTGCATCGACTCGACTGAATCTGCACAAAGCTGAAGATCGCGAAAGGCTTTGGAACCTTATCAAGGACGCAAACGTCTAGATTGAATCCTACCGGGAAGGCGCCATCGCTCGTTTTGGTTACTCGGATATTGCTATGTTCACTGCAAACCCCAGCCTCGTTATATCGCATGTCCGATGCTATGGTACTACAGGTCCGTGGTCTGACAAACCTGGATTCGGCATGCAAGGCTCCGCGTCGTCCGGACTCATGGCATATTGCGGTGGGAGCCTCCAAACTTCCGTCTGGCCACCCGTATGGTCATCAATGACTATACAACAGGTTACTATGGAGCTTTGGCAATTCAAGTCGCTCTTCTTCGACAGCTCAAAGAGGGAGGAGGCTACTTACTCAGCCCCTCGTTGACTGGCACGGCAATTTCCATCCTTCGACACTTCAAAAGCTCCGAATTGCACAGCTTCCAGGGCTCGCAGGATGCAGCCTCACCACCCGGCACACTAGAGGGCTGGACTGGTTATGGTTATCTCAAGACACTTGAAACCTTTGCCAGTGATACCCAAGACGCCGATCAAGTACGATCCTGTTCTTCTTGCGCCCACGGGGTCAAGCCCACCATACTTTCCCGGGTTTCCAGAGACTGCGATAGATGTCACCCAAACGCTGCCTCGCTTGAAATAAGATTTTTTTTTTCCGATGTGGGCATGCCATTCTTGCAAAAGCTCACCTACGTGGAAAGAATTGGTAAAAAGTGGATCAACAACACTTCCTCCATTTGATCTTCTCTGGTGTATAAATCAGAAGAACGCACATGAGTCTCAAGTATCGAAATATGAAGTTGTCGGGCCGTCACCACCAGGACCTTTTTATATGCAGAAGTTCAAACGCTTGTTTTGTTTGTGACCACATTGAACTTAGGAAGACTAGACGTCTATGTGCTGGGCATCATTTATTCAATCACAAACACCATCGTAGAGGTGGCTTGTTCGCTATGTGCCTATTCATGGTTGAATGCTCCCTTCTGGGAACTTAGAAAAGGGATTTCCATGAAGTATCGCCCTCAGCTCTGGACATTACGAGTCTACGAAACCTTAATGGAAGACTTCGCAGTTCAGAGGGCCTTGCGGAAGTACGGAGGTCTGCTTGAAGTATTTTCCACTGGGGATATCTTGCTGGTGGTGAGTTCATGTCCTTATTCCTATTCTGGCAACATCTGACGGCGAGTAGTCTTTCCTGCTGCAGCGCTGGTCCAGCCGTCTCTCTTGGAAAGTTCATCTCTGGCTTCATCGTATGTTGGGGTGCTGTGGTTATGCTCACTGTACTTGTAAAAGGATACCAAACATTTCTTGTCCAGAGGTCCGTACTTTTGATCTGGCAATGGTCAAACACTTATTGACAAGGGTAGATTATTTCTCGGAGTCTCTGAGAGTCTGGTTGCACCCGCATTCACCATCTTCACGGCCATGTGGTGGAAGAAATCAGAACAGCTACTCCGCTTGTGTCTATGGTATACACCTACTGGACTTGGAGATCTTCTAGGATCTATCCTACTCTTCGGTATCGGTCACACTCAAGGCCCAATTCATCCTTAGAAACATCAATACCTTATACTGAGAGCCGTGACTGTTGTCTAGGGTGTGTGGCTATCCTGGCTGCTGCCAGACAACCCTAAGAAGGCAACATTTCTGGACCCGAAAGAGAAATCGATCACCGTAAAGAGGATAGAACTGAGCGGAGTCAAGCCAGAGGACAGATCTTCCAAGTTGTACGAGATCAAGGAAGCTCTTGTCGATTCTAAAATTTGGCTTTAAATCTGTGGGTTTACTCACAATTTGCGCTCTCAACGCTGACTTCGCATCCCACAATCACTTCAGTCTTTGCCTCGGCTTCGCTTCAATCGTACATCCTCCGTCATGTGCTCAAGACAAAGGCCTTACCCCTAGCTGCAGTATAGTGTGCGATTGTCACGTCAAGCCTCGCGCTACGTCATAAACTCCTGACTTCATTGGAAGCCTCTATGCTCCTCTTAGCAACTAGCAATAGCAACTGATTGTCCTGTTCTGCCTTCCCCAACATCGGGAACGCCCGCAGCGCTCTGCACCGAAATTCAGCTTCCTAGCTATACTTGCGGGACTCGGTGAATACCAACACATCTACACGATCTCGCTTCTATAACGCTACTTTACTGCCTACATGCTCCTCTTAATCGATACGAACAACGCCATGGATACGCCTGTACAATCGCGCCACTAGAATTATGCCTCTTTTGCGTTTGTTGTCTGCTTAATCGATCCCAACCTGTTGTTCGTCTTGCCGCAGCCAACATGTTCTGTCCTGTCGTGCCGTCGAGCCGCGCCAGACTCCCGTGCGGCAGCGCAATTGGCAATAACTCGCGCGATTTCTCCACTATCTTGTCTAGGGTAGTTGTTTGTTCTTGCTGGTGGATTCGAGATACGTTTTTGCCATTGTCATGTAACACGCCTCAAATTTTCCCGGCCTCAAGGACAGCTAAGTCGAAACGTCTGTGCTAAAGGTCAACGCTCAACACAATCTGCTAACTAAAAGTAAGTTATACGTTATGCTAAGAGGTTCTTCTTAAGACTTAAGCTCTCTAATCGCTTTACGAGCAAGTCATCTTATGCTCTCTATCTTTCCTATATTTCTAACACTTCCTTGCTTGCTAGAAGCTAATGCCTAGCCTTCAAACCCTTAAATATCCGGTCCTAATATGTCTTAAGTGACCTATCCACTTTATAAGGGTCGGCCTTAGTCATCCATCGTGCCTATCTCCCCATTATTTCTATAGCGTGCCGCTTACTAACTTCGAACTACTCTAAATGCAATGTGCGGTAGTTAGAGTAGACTATGGATGGATTAATAATCCAATCCACTAGATAATCTAGTACTAGATTAGACTAGATTAGATTAGTATAGGCATTAGACTAGACTAGATTAGGTTAGCCCCTAATCCAGTACTCTAGTAGATTCTTAGCCCTATGCTAAGCCGCCTTCTAATTAGCTTACGGAGGTCCCCGGCGGCCTATAAGGCCTCTAATTAGTTAACTCTAACGTTAACAAAAATCCTTACGAGTGTAGAGCTAGGCGCGTCTCCTAACTTTTTACATTACTACCCTAATAATTTCAATTATTATGAACGACACCGTATCTAACGTACTATCTTCTATACTAAACACCTCTATAATTAACGTACCTACCTACCTCTAACGAACCGACGACTTTAGAAGTACTACCCCCGAGGCGCGCGAAGTAGAAGGCACCGACACTAAGTACTATAAACACGTCGACTAGTCCTACCTCTTATAGTACGAGGGCGTACCTAACGGTAAGGGTACGAGTAAGAGCCCTATCTAGAAGTACGGTTAGCGTGTTCAGAAAAAAGCTACAGTTCCTACAAAATTCTTCTAGGTCTATACTAACTACTATAAGTCTCGTGCTTATCGCACCTATATCTATAACATTACTAATAGTACGGATAGCGCCGCTAACTACCTCTTAGCAGTTTACGACATCGGTAAGGATAGCCTAAGGAAGCGCCCTCGAAGTATTATAGACTAGGTCTTAAGTTAACCCGCCTTATCTTTACACGGTTAAGATATAGAGCGATATAGGACGGTCTTTAACGAAGCTGCGTAGAAGGGAGCAGTTACTACGCTAATTATTTATAAGAACCTCGCCTTCCGTCTTCTTAAGTCCCTATATATGCAGAACTGTCTAATAATGCTTAATCTAGTAGTAGACTTAAGGGGATGTCTCCTATAGCATAGGACCATGCGCCGGTAGATTTCTTAAGTCTATAACAGTTACCTTAGAGTAGTAACCGAAACACTGCACTTAGCGTCCTCTACTATCTACTTTTCCTTCGACCTTTAGACGTCTCGTAATCTTAAGGCACTCTACGGCATTAATGTTTACTTTACAGATAAATACGGCAACCTTAAGACCTTCCTTCTAGCCCTTCTACAGTAGGAAGGTAAGCATATAGGTACTAATATTGCTAACACCATTACTAAGATTATTAGTCGCTTCTTACTTAATAAGAAGATCGGGTTCTTTATTACTAATAACGCATCGAACAATAACACCTACATCTCCGCCCTTACTAATAAGTTCTACTTTAATGCTGTTTAAAGACGACTACGCTACGCCGGACACATCTTTAACCTTATTACGCGCGCATTACTCTAGGGTGTTAACGAGGACGCCTTCCTTATAGAGCTAGCCGGCGTAGAGGTAATAGAGTAAGAGCTCGAGTGCTAGCGATGTCGAGGACCTATTAGTAAAGTTAGAAACACTATTATTTACATCCGCGCCTTGCCTTAGCAAAATAAGGAATTTAAGAAGGCTTAGAAGGCTTACCTACTACTTACTAAGGTTACCGAGCTCTATACGTTTAACGATACTCGCTAGAACTCGGTGTTTAATGCGCTCCGAGTCTTTATCTTAGTGCGCCCTACTATTAATGATTTCTATTAAAAAACCATGAAGGATTAGCAGGATTATGTTAATATTAAGACTAATTTTAGGACTAAGCTATACCCTAAGAAGATGCGTAAGAAACTAGTAATACTAAACGACCGCATTACCTAAGACGACTAGGCATTACTAACTTAATATTACGAGATCCTCGAGCTAGTATAGCAATTTACCTAGCGCCTTAAGGGTCGAGGCACCGGTGCTAGCTATAGGGTAGTCTAGTAGGTAATACTAGCAATAGAGCGCTTGTTCTCGTACTTTAAGAAGCTTAAAAATTAGTACACCATTATTAAGCCTATATAGAACTACTCTGCCGTCCCTTTACTAACTAGTTAAGTCCCTGCTTCTTAGAGTATAGTAATATCGCAATTATAGTCCTAAAACATCGACCTTAACGACGACCTTCCTATTTCCTAACCCCTACGTAAGGCCGTTAAGACTACTCGAGGACGACGAGCTAACATCGCTTTAGTATCCTCGCTAATGCTACCGCCTATTACCCCTCTCCTATCGTCGATACTAGTACCCGCCGTACCTACCGAGTAGACTCTAGAATATCGTATGTTAGCTACCGGGGTTAACTTAGCTTAGAAAAAATTGAACGAATACTATTAGATAACTAATTAGTCGCCTATATACGTCGCGGCAGTTGTACTTCATCCGGCTTACACCTAGAGATAGTTAAGATTAAAGTAGAGAGGGCGATAGGATTAGCTCGTAATGTTAGAGAAGTTAGTACGTAACTTCTAGCTATCCTCCTACTCTTAACTTATCGTAGAGACTACCCCTCTCGAGGACGATCGTACGCCTAATATAATAGTATAGATAGACGCTACACTTACCTTAGATAAGGAGGACACTAACACTAGTAGCCCTAAGACCGATAAATACGCTAGATAGTGCGTTAAAGGGCGTGTCCCTAACGTCTACTATCCTCTTAAATTCTAGTCGAAACTACGTATTAAACACTCCTATCCTAGGCTCTCTCGTATAGCCCGCGATCTTTTTATAATACTAGCTATATCTAATGAGCTAGAGCGGGTGTTTTTAAGCTACGGAAACATAGTAACACCCTAGAGGGGAAAGCTTACTAGCGAGGCAATAGAGGAAGCATAATGCATTAAGAGTTAGATAAGGCATAGTATTATAACTAATCTCGGAGCAACATTTAAGTTAATAGTATAGGCACTAGAGGAAGCGCCGGAGGCGCAGATGTACTAAACAAACAAAGCAAACGTTAAACTATCTACTAGTTCTGTGTTTTATCGCGTTTTTGAACGAATTAGACCATTTCTAAGAGAGTGTAAAAAGAATAATTAACCGTTACGACTAAGGCTCGAACGGTAGTCTATAGTCTATACTAATCTACTAGACTCTATAGATTGGATCCACTAGATTAGACTAGATGCTAAGGCCGACTAGACTAGATTAGATTAGAGGGTTAATCTAGTCTAATCTATCTATAGTCTACTCTGCCGGTAGTTCGGATTATTAATACATGTCGTATAGTACTTCCGGTGTTAGCCTAGTTCGCTATAGACGAGTCTCTCTATTCTTCTAATATAGGGAACATGCCTAACTTGCCGTAATGGAATTAGTATAAACCTATATAGAGATTCGAATAATACGAATCTATTATCTATAACTATAGTAGTAAAACCGATCTTAACATGTCCTAGATCCTTTTCGCGCTTAAAGATGTATAGTGTTCCATTATAGAACTCGGATTCTCGTAGAGGCAAAGATAGAATGTACTAAAGCTCGTTTTTTAACCCTTTTTATTTATAAGGGAGAAAACGCGTTAACTCGGTTAACTTCGAGTTAATACCTAAAGTAATAGATAGAGCACTAAAAAGTTTCGTATATTCTCTTAGAAGTTGCTATAAACCTTTCTCGGGACCCTTAAGAAGTTTAATAGTTAATCTTAAATGGACTGCTATTTCTCTGTCGCCTTTGTTAACCCTATTCTTATAGCGCTAGCGACCTTCTACGTTATATATATGTATATAAGTAAAATCTGCATCTACTAGGCTAAAACTGTTAAAAGAGAGAAAGGAGGACGCTAGAACCCTAGTAGCTCTATCTAGACTAAGGACGAGATTAAGGTCGTAATTAGGATCCTCTATCTTAACTAGCATAGTAATTTAGGTCATTGTCTCCTACTACAAAGTTGTCTTAAATGTCTTCTATTAATTTATTATAAAGAGTAGGTTATTAGACGAAGGTAGAAGATAGCGCTATAGAGGTTTAAAAGTGGGGAAGCTAGGTTAGGTACACCTAAAAGAAGGTCGACTATATCTATAAAACGGCGAACTCCTCGAATCCTTAAAATTCCAAAATCTGAAATCCTAGGTCCTCCGGGCGCAAATAGGCGGCTTCGTACCTTAAGATCGTAAAACAATTATCTACACTCTACAAGTCGCTATATAGATTATCTAAGTCGATAGTTCTACTTTTTAAGTACAAATCTACTTAGTAAAATTATCTGCTACATAAATTTAGATAGTCTAAAATTTGTTATATATAGAAAAATCGAGTACGTGCCCGGCGTTATTAGGATAGCTACGTCTAGAATGCGTTTAGAACGTATTTAGAGCAAACCTTGGCAGGATTTATAATAGATAATATGCCTACCCCGGATAATCCTAGTGATATTTAATGCTATACATAAAATAGTTATGTAGCATACTACCACTTTTTCTTTATAACCACCTAGTCACAATTTCTATAATCAATTTAGCACTTATATAATAGACCTATCGACTCCACTTATATGTTTAGCGACTTATAGAATGTAGAGAATTATTCTAAAGTTTTAACGCACGAATCCGATTAACTTGCGCCCGGGGGACCCCGGATATAGATAGGATTTAAGAATTTCAGAATTTGAGGATTAAGGAGTTCGCCGTTTTGTAGGTATGGTCGACCTTTTAAAACAGGTTTAGTGATGGCAAGAGCGTCCACTTTAACACGAGAGCCGATCCTGCCCGTCCCGCAACTCCTCGGCAAAATCCAAGTCCCTGCTCTGTGTTGCAATCGCGTACCTTGCCCAAACGATCATCACCCCATTAGGATTATTGCTCTCAGGATCCGGAAAAGTCGTCATTACGGACAGACGTCGTACCTTTATCTACTCCAACGTTCTTCTCGAATACTCTCCATTAACAAACATCTGTCTTGTTGGCTCTGCCATGGACATTATGTTTCAAAGGCACCGGAGAGTTGTAGAGGCCGCTGAACCCTCGATGTAGTCAAAGCCATAGTGGCAACATACGGAGACAGCTGGTTTTTTTTGGCAAGGAGGCTCACATCATTCGTTTTAGTTGTGTCGTCCTTGAGTCGCTCGAGAGCCTCATGATGTTCTGGGATTCTTGTAACGAAAACTTGATACAGCGAGGCGCGGGAGGCGATGGCAAAGGCAACTCACCTTGGGAATTGTTCCAACTTCAAGTCGTCGTCGAGCTGGCATCCACTGCTTTGCAGAGAGGAAGACACAGCAGCTGCGTGATACCACCCGTTCTTCTTCAACCAGCTTTCCACCACAATTACATTGCCGCAATGAATCCACGCGAGTTCAACCTTCGGCGAGCGTCGATGAGTTCAACCAAGGCACGATTCTCTCAATACGAGCAAGACCGCGCACGCATAACATCCCCGAACGAACCATCCGTCGACGCCTCACTGGTATACAAGATCGACGTACCACTCACGCACACGAGCAGCGACTGGCTCCACGACAAGAGATTGCCTTTGAAGATTGCATTCTCGCACGTTCGAGCTCGTGAGATGGCTACCCATATTCTTCGTCTTCAAGACTTCTACAATGCGCACGAAGAGGTAGTGCGCTTGTACATCATCCAGCCATGTAAAACATAGAATGTGGATGGCTACGAATCGCTCTTGGTATTTGCACGGACTCAACAGTCTTTTCGAGGCGCCTCTGGTCGTTGTCAGTACGTCAAATACCCATGATAGCGGCACGGGTCGAAGGTGATGTCTAATTTGATTCATGAGACTGGTCGTGCTCTCGAAGCTTTTTCTCGTGCTGCTGGCGACGGTAAATAACGAGGTATCTTGGGCAACCATCACTCGATCGGACTCGTATCTTGATGACCGCAAGACTGTCAAAGAAGAGTCAGCTTCGTCGAACATGGACTTCTGATAAGTGATTACGCATTCGGTGCGCACGCTAACGAGGCACAACCATGCCTTGCACTTTTCCAAATAGCTACATGAGCGAAGGCAGAGTTGACACTGGATGGAGTGGAGTGGAGTGGCCCTCTAATCCACTCCACTCCAGTGAAGTCTTGGCTAGAGTGGACTCCGGTGGACTCCAGGCGGGGTAGTAAGTAATGGTATAGGGGGCACTAACCGTAGACCACCGTTCGAATCCAAGCAGTACTACAAAAAATCTTGTTTTAAGCTTCGTTGTAATCTCGCCGGAGCTCTTATAACGTCAAACAATACAGACTAGAAGCATATCTAATAGCTGATTCAATGGTTTTAGCTCGTTCTGCAGCATTTATTAGTGCCGAAAATCAGCCTTAGAGTCCGCTAGGTACTGGAGTTATACCGTTTCGAATCCACTCCACACCACTCCAGCCCTGGAATTTGGAGTGGAGTGGGGTTTTACTCCATCCACCGTCGACTCTGAGCGAAGGGGTGTTCCAACCAAGGTTCGTGAGTACATGGCTCAAATTAGATCAATTGAATCAATATCCATATAGCTCCTGCAATCGCCTGGTGCAAAAAGAATTGACAATGAGATGGATGGCAGCCCGCCTCACAAATGCTGAAGGCTTCCACCAAAGATGGCCCACAATCTCTTCATGCAACTCCCAAAAACAGACTCTTTCCCAAAATACTGTTTCTTCTGCCCCGAGACTGTCCTTTCTGAGGCCTGGGGATGGCTTGATCAGCTTCAGCCTGTGCTTCTGCCTCGGCACTGATGATCTGCGACCTTGTCAGGACCATACGCGGGAAAAGCATTTCTCGCCGGCCCGTGCAAGTCTTAATGAATCCAGGAAAAAGCACAAGTACGACATCGTTTGGCATCGTGTCTCTTGACGCAGCTGTCTGTGTAGCCTTGACCATAGTACCACTTGAAAATCTCGACCATTCGGAAGTCTCTCCGAGATGACGGCTAGCATCCACCTTGACCGTACTGCGCTGTACGTCTTGCCATAGATCCATGATTCGACTTAGAAGCAACTGTATGTCGGTCATGCAGTTCTTATACTCGGTGGGTCCGAGCAGCTTGTTTGCAAAGATGGAGAACCCGTTGTAGATGGCATCTGTAGCAGAGTTGATACAGGGGTCATGGTTGTTGAAGTCCGAGATGGATAATAGGAGTGCGCGGCATAGTGATTCTGCCTCGTCGTTTGAGTATGCTTTGTCTAGAAGGATATCGTGTAGCTCAAGCTTGCCACCTTCGATGTATGTAGTCTGTAGTAAATGCATCGATACAAGGCTTGAAAAGACGGCAAGGGCAATCGCCATACGAACATCCTTCGCTACATCGGAGTTCGACGCTGGTATTGGAGGAAGTGGTTGCTCCCCGTATATTGCTTGTGCCTGGTCAAGCCAGCCGCTCTGTCTCTGGACCGCCAAGCACATTAGATCGGATCAACTTTTGATATCAGCAGACTCACCTCGAGGAATATGCGAGGAATGTCGGCTCGGAAGTACTTCTCTGACATATCTGCGGTATCTCTCCAAATAGATGAGATGCCCTCCCGACTTAGGTTTTCGTCAGTACTGGTCCATACCTATCCCAGAGTGTTACTCACAATCTGTCTAAGTCGACTTCAAGAAGAGTCGATTTATAAGATTGCCACTTTCGTAGTTCCTCTCGTGAGCTTTTCGACGAAGTAAGTGATTCTCTCAGCTCCACTTCCTTTGACTTCAACATTTCCTGCAGCTTTCCAGAACGGATCTTCTCATTTTCGAGGGCTTGAATCGCTTTCGCGAGCGACACTTCCGTCTTCTCAATCTGCTGAGTTAGTAGGTGTTGTTGCTTTTGTATTCCTTGTAGCTGGGCGCTTTGGACGTTTGCTTCGTTCCGGAGTTTTGCCTTCTCTTCTCCTGACTTCTCAAATTTCAGCACGAGATCTTCAACGACCAGACTTTTCTGCTGAAGCTGCTCAGACAACTCTCGTGATTGTATTTCCAAGTTCAACAGTCTATCCTTGGTTCCTTCGGCGTCAGTGTAATACGATTCGTGCTGAATGCAAGTTTCCATTGCATCCCTGAGGTTGCAAAAGGCACTTTTAGAGTCAGATGGAAGAGAGGAAGGTTTTGAGCCATTACCCAGATGAGCAAGTGACACGCTCGAGCTAGGCATACTGGCGGGAAAGATGATAGTTCAGTGCTTGTTCTCGTAGCGATTGATATCACGCGAACGACGTTACTTATAACCCCTATCAGTTGCGCCTACCTAGACACGGAGACAACCCGAATCGACTTTTATCCTAATCGGGTACCGGCAGTCGCTTGCCAATGCATTCCAACGCATGCATGGAGAGTTTCGATAGTGCCTACTCGCATCTGTTTTGGTCCAACAACCACTGGACACGTATCGTTTCATTTTGTGCAGATGCAGTGATCTACTTGTTCTCGGGCAGAACTTATGATACGACTTGCGTTCGTGCTCTTACTGAGCGTAGCATCCTATCGCGTAGCTGCCTCGTACAAGTGTTATATCTTCGGGCATGCCAATAAATTGCTTAGCATACATGAAGAACCTGGCCCGGAAGACACTACGATTGGTGGAACGTTGGTGACTGTCTTCGAGCTGATCGTATCATAGCTCCCGGTCCTAGATGGGAGTACATTGTTAGTGATGAATCCACGGCCTTGCGCCTCGACCAGAACGGGGGCACAATTCTGCATACGGTTGATCGGCGTCCAAAGCTAGGCTGTAAGATGTGCTGAACTGGGCAGCTATGAAGTAGTTACTCACATCTCAAGAAAATCGGGTGATCCACCCAAGTCAGTATCATAATCTGTATGTACCCATCGAATAACCAAAACTGACATCTAGCCGTTGTCCGTAGCGCAACCCTAATCAGATACCAGACTCAGCAGTCATTCGCAGCATCTTGGAGAGCTATGCGAACGAAATGGTTGGCAATCGCTTACAGTCCGGATCGCACATCGAACCGCTAGAGATGTAAGGATAAACGGACCAATAGAAGTGTAAGGATAAATGAACCACATTTGCGGAGTGTTGCTCTCCGAGCTGCTACAAGGAATTCCACTCCAGCCGCCAAGAACTCAATCTCAAAGACTTAGTCCTGTCAGGTCGCAGACCACTAAACGCACCCCTCTCAGAAAGGCGATACTTAATCCATAATTCCGGCAATTTAGTGCGCGCACAAAAACAGACTCGATCATCCGGGTTTTAGCCGTGATAAGAGTGAGCAGCTCTTTGTGCCAAGCTACAGTACATTGTCACAAGTCTTGGGGGCACGGAGAAATGTTTGCCCATCGCAACAAATGCCTCCCCCTCATGACCGTTTGCAGATTGTGCCTCGAAATTTTGCTGCATGCTTGACGTGGCCAGTTTTGACATGCCTTTCAGTCCTGCAAGCCTTGCATGTGCTTGCATACAGGTTGTACAGGGTGCTTTCACGTCCGACGGTTAGCGTAAGATCCCACTTTCTTGCAAAGCAAGGGTATTTGACCAATGGCAATTGTTACCAAGGTCGATATAAGCAGTGTTCAAAGCTCACACTAACCGTCGGATGCAGCTACACCCTGTAGCAGCTGGCGGGCAAGGCTACTACAAGATATGTTCCCCATGTAACGTGAGTCTCAAATGCTCTTCGAATCCATGAGTCGTTTAGTCAACCTTGGAAGCATCAGAGCGCTGGTATGGAGCCTCATTTAGGAGCCATAACGGAAAACATAGCGTTTCTGGCTTTCCTTAAGCATAGAGGACGATCCAAAACAAACCCGATACCCCTATGTCCTTGCAATTCGAGCAAAGATATTTTCTCGCTCTCGTTCAAGCACGAGGTGATCATTGGGAAAGCCTTTGCCTTAATTCTGGTAAACACCAATGACAAAAGCAAGGTCGGGGCTGTCTGCATCGAAGAACGTGTTGACCAAAGTGGCATAACGGTTCGTTCAGCGACAAACACAGGATCGCAAGAAAAAAGAGAGTCTGCATTTACCCGTATCGCCAAACTATTGGAGCATTTATCAGGTACCGTCTCAAGTCCAATCTTGGATACGTCCCTTTCTTACTTGCGCTCTCGCAGCTAGTCGACGTGATGAGAAACAGCAGAATGAGCTTTTGTTCGAGATAATCTGTGTCTGCCAGAACAAAATTCTTGGTCGATTACGTTCAAGACATGCACCGCAAACAAAAAAGAACAAGCGTCCTCTGCTTCGCAAGCTGTGGCACGTCATGGAAATCCTGAAGAAATACGATCATCGCAGTCGCCATTATGACAACCTGGAGATCAAGGCTAACACTGTGATCGACCTACTCAAAGCCCTCGAGCGTCACGAGCGTGCGTGGGCGTTGGGGCACGAAGGAAGCAAGTGTATACAAGAAATGTTTAGAGGCGTCCAAGCCCTGTTGCCCCAAATTCTGGAAAGCCGGAAACGGTTGTCGACTATGGAAGCAGAATCTTTGGAGCCTGTTGAACATTTACACCTGGAAAACCTCATTGAACGTCTAGAGAAGCTTGATCAGTATCGGCACGCAGCAATGAACCTTATAAGTCTAAGAAGACGCTACCGAATACTTCGAAACATCAAATTCGAGGGAGTGACCATGTCCAATTGTCCCAACGAAGGGAAAAGCATGGACCTGTGCCTCACGAATAGAGGACTTTTCACTCAGTTCTACGCCAGGCAAGAAGTAGACCATGGACGCCCTTCTTCTTTTCCTTGTACACCAGAAACATACCAGAAGATACGTACCGCAGCACGACAGAAAAGCAAAGTTCATGCAGAAATTCAACTCCTCTATTTCTACGAGAGCATGGGGTCAGATTTGGGGGTAACCAGACCTCGTGTCATTTGCTCTGAAAAGCACGCATGCTTTCTCTGTGACACCTTCATAAGAGCCCATGCACAATTTTACACGGCTTCAACACACGGAACATTCTATTCGCAGTGGAGATTACCAAGACCTGGAGAATTCAAGGTGTCAAGCACAAGTATCATGGCTGCCTTGAACCGTTTCAACATATCACTGGAAGGGGAAATAATGGCCCGGCTTCTGCATGGGCCACAACTAAACCTCAGTGTCCCAGAGAGTGTTCTGGTCGAAGCAGAGACTTTCACGCCGTCCCTGCAATCGTCAGTCTACACTAACGATCGGGCTCAAACATTTGATGATCTACCTGACAGAGGAAAATTGAGCTATGCCTCGACCGTTAACAGAGACGAAATCTTTGCTACTGCGAAACTTTTCCGAAATGGTCGATCGAAGTCAGCTACTGTTCTCAATACTGTGAGCGCCACGCATCTCGATGAAACACTCTCTTTGAAGTCTATGCAGGGTACTGTCATCTCGGTACCTGACTCAAGCCTCTGTGCTATCAAAGAGCTATACAAAGAGGACGAGAACGCAACGTTCGTATCGAGTAGACGCTCGATAACAGACTTTGGAAGACCAACTTTTGGCACTTCAAGGATTCTTGCTTTTGACAATGCTTCTAAGGATTGCTTAATTATGCAATACGCAGAAAGTGACCATGCGATCGCTACGATTGTCCCGGGCCAAAACCTGACTACATATCTCTCACCTGGCTGCACAGTACAAGTGCACACACCATATATTCATTTGCACCTGGAATATGCATCGATCGCACCAAGAGCGGAATTGCGTAGCGATCTGATCCTAAATTTGACTTGTGCAGTTGGAACTATCGACGGATCTGAAGACGAACGCCCTCCTTCTACTTGGATTGATCTTGGAGCTAGAGGTGATAAACTCCCAAAGACTCTTCCCGAAAACGCTCTTCTCCAAGAAGGAGGTATCAAATTGTGTAAGCATGATCAGTTTGTGACCCTCAGAGCTTTAGTAAATGAGAGCTAAACTCCCCCTACAATTATTGTCTTCGATTGTCGGATGGCCTGCCGTCAAGATCTCTGCTGCTTACTCTCAAGTCGCCACCGGCTATTCGACGAGCACAACAACGGCCGCCGCATTTAATCTTCTTCTCACAAAGAGCGACATGACGACGACTTTGACGCAGACGTAATCTGCTGTAGCCACAGCAACCACATGCGTTGGTACAACACAATGACTGGACTCACTGGTAAACCTGGTTCAGTCGGCTTAGGTTTGTGGACGATGGCCTCCACTTCCCCAACTAGAGGCAGTTCGATGATGCTTGGGCCCGGTATATTGAGCGACACGGTCATCTTGACAAACTTTAATGGAGACGCTCCATACCTCTACCATCCGAGATCGGGTATCTGTGCCACCTTGCAGCCTGGATTGTCTAGTACAGTTGCCATGCAGAAGTATGATGGCGGCTCGGTGACGCTTGAGCCCTGTGGGTGCAGCGACGTGCCCGCGGAAAACCAGGCTTGGCTATCAACACCTCGCCTGTTTAATGGTCAATGTGTCATGGCTATCGGAGACCGTGGTGCTCTGTGGCCTAGTGGCTTCTACTCTGCGAACAATAACAATGGCTATTTTGTCAGCCTGAAGGCTGGTGATGGTGGTTGCTTCTATTTCCAGTAATAACAACTTTCGAAGTTGAGGGTTTTGAGGTCAGAATGAAATAACAAAAGTAAACAATGTCGAGATGAAACTGTAACTGATCTGTCGTCCCCAGCGTCTCCCTCGAAGCACATTCAACATCCCCAGCGGAGGCTCAAGGGGGCCTATCGACGTAGATGCTGGATATTTTTGAGATTCAGTTCTGATCACAGACATGGTCCAGTTATGCAATTTGACCATGGCGACGGTATACGGCCCATTGCAGTGGATGTCGAGACTCAAAGTCCATGCAGGTCATTTGCTCAAGACTCTGGTTTCGACAAAAACGGATATTTGGGAAATTGTAAAAAGTGATCAAAAATGCTGGTTCGCCAAACTTGAAGCAAGACCATTGCTACACCTGATGCTGCCAAGCGCCCTCAGTGGTTGCCAGTCGGAGCGTTCCTTCCTTGATTCTCTGACCTCAAAGAGATTGCTCTTTTTCTTGTTATCACAATCTCTTGTCGCGACCTGGGAACAGTGAAGCAATACACAAGGCATAAAAATCGTGGGCACACGACAAGCAAAGAGACCAATCGCCACAATTCCAGATTACGACACCTTGCTGCAGCAATTCAGGAACCATCGAGAACCTCCAAGCCTCATCATGCGCCAATACCACATGTACCACATTCAAACCTCGAAACACGGAAAAACAGATCCCGCAAAAAAAAGAAAGAACCTAACCGCCTAATATGCAGCATTCCCATCTCAGGTATTGATCTCGCGACACTCGCGTCTTCAAACCGGGGTCAAGCATGCCGACCAAACCGAGAAGAAACATATCAAATATGATCAACAGGTACCCGGTCACATAACATTCTCTGCCAAAGTTGATAGAAATGGATATGCAGGAAAACGCACGATCCCACGGACCGGGGTGGAGTTGTTCGGAAAGGAGTTGACAGGTCGCTTCCTGCAGCTAACTCGATCGGGTAATACCACTCGCTTTTCTGGAACATTGGGAACTGTCAGTTGCCGTCCACGACAAGGAAAAAGTTGACTTGTCGACTTGCGAAACAATTTGATAGAGTTTGCGGTGAAGAGAGACGAAACATGCGACTTTTCTGATTTCGTAGATTGGAGTTTGGGTGGAGTTTGATGGGCATTTGGGGCGGTATAAGAGGGCTGCCATTTCCCACTCGAGGTCAGTCAATCAACTTCTTCATTCTCAATATACTCCGACGTACATTCAATCTACAATCTATACATCGATTCCTTCCCATTCGGATACATCATCTACCGCAGCAATGTTCCAAAACTCACACAATGATGGCCGCGAATGCTTGCCCCAGCCGTACACTCTTTGCTTCGAAAGCGCCTCTTCGTCTACTTACGTCGACCACACATCTCCAATCCTTGGTCCCGTAAGTATTAGTACTACGCAGTGCCGAATAGGAGAACATTCAATATTGACGAGTCAGTAGATCATGTTCGCAACAAGAGCTTGCGCTGGTTGCGGCCGGATGGTGATATCTGGAAAGCGTTGCGGTCACTGTGGCCAGCCGGCAAGTTAAATGCTGCGTCGATAATCAGACCTACCGCGCCTTACATGTATCAACCGTGGCCTGGAAGCCCCCAGACCCGCCGATGTATCACTTGGAGAACATGAGCATCATTTCGACTGTTAAAAGTCGACGATTGTAGGGATACAAATGAGGATGTGCTATACTTGTTGTCAGGCAATTTCTTTTGTTCTTGTTGCACCTGCTGGAGTCCGGTTCAGGAAACTAAAATCATCCTCATTTATCCTTTCTGTATCACTAACCCAATCAATTTTCGCCTTGCGTCTCTTATTCATGTTCGCTTTCCCAGCCTCTCTCCCTCGCGATCTCTCTCTCAATCTCTCTCGCACTCATCAGTGGCTCCGGCGCCTGCTTCTAGATCTGGTGCTTTCCTGGAATGTCTACGTAACAGACCGGGTATCGGAAGGTTCGTATTTGATGGGTGTGACATGGAGCCCACGACTGGTGTTGGGGCTAGATTTCCGGATGCTGTTGACGTATGGATGCTACCAGCGTTCTTGTCCTGTTCAGATGCTCCCGAGGTTGCTTGAAACTCTGGTGTCGGGTCCGCATCAGAAGTTTGGTGATCGATGGCTGAATGTTTCGCATCTTCCGTCATGTTTTCGGGCTTTGCGTCATCCTCTGCAGGGAGCGCTTCAGCGGTGACATTTTCTGTAATGCTTTCTTCTTTGACTTCCTGTGGCCCACTTCCACAGTGGCTTGGTGCTAAACTCTCATGTGGTACGCTCGATGCAGTATCTGAGGACGAAAATATTGCTCGACAGAGTCTTGACACTGCTGTCCAGATTGGGGCAAAGATAGCCTCAGATAGATACCAAAGTAAAAGCCATTCTGACGGTTGTGGTTTTAAAGGAGGTGGTTGAAATTGTCCGAACCTGGCGGCTCTCTTTTGCCAGTCATCATTGTCAGACTCAGTCATACTTTTGACGACTTTTTTCCTTCCGACGTCGTATATGCTTCGCGACAATTTCACGAGCTGGTTGAGGTTGAAGGTGACGAGATATGTGATTACGGCAGTCAAAACCATGGCAAATTTGAGACCGTTCCAGCTAAATGTATCGGTTGTGGACCACAGGGACTTTTCATGTGTTAGACATAGTAATGAACGCAATAGGTAGATACGTACTGCACAAAAGCCCAGAGGCAGATAGAAGATGCTCACATACGTGAGCAGCTTCACGTTCTCACTCAAGCGATTTGCTGCTCGGCTCTCAAGCACTGAGCTAGCATTGAAGAGCTGAAGAAGGTTAACAAGCCTGCTTGCATGGTACTCGAGAGATTATGTGACCTACCCCATCGCGGAATGCGACAACCCTTTGTTGAAGTGTCTTTGCTCGCCTCGTCACTTGGTCCAATCTGGCTATGTGAGGGCCTATGGCTTCCAAGGCATCACTCTCCATCATCGAGAAATTAGTCGTATCAGGGTATTGCTCTCGAACATATTCCTGGAGTCGCTCGCAGTTTAGTTTGGTGTCTTCCATCATATGGACGAATGTTGCCAAACTGCTGAGCATCCAGAAGTACAGTCTTGATCGAGAGAACCTCTCGTCATCAAAAAGAAGTCGATCATGCTCTTCGGGATTGACAATGACTTTGTGAACTGACACAAGACTTTCCATGTATTGCAGTAATTCTTCCCAGTCGGTGACAACGTCTCTCAGTGTGAAGGAGGCGAATAGGCATAGCGCCAAAGGCAACTCGAATAGGGGTTCGGTAAGAATCCTCTTGACATTCATCGGAGCAATGTGACCAGACGGGGTAAAAATCAAACAAATCCATCGTCCTGGAGATACTGCAGAAGTTCTACTCTCCGGATATATGGCTATCAGCTTGCGTCGCGAATTAGTTGTGAACACCAAAATTTGTGACCGGTGCGAACCCACAGAGAGCGTCTGGCCCGACAAAGCCTTGGTATCCCCTGATCCATACAGATGTCCAGATGGCCATGGCTTGAACGGATTCCCTAGAGAATGGTTTGCTGAAATTTTATACCAGCAAATTCTCAACACAGAATGGGAATAAAGCCTTTCGAACAGACCAGCACCTTGTCCAAAGCGGTAGATAGGAAAAGATAGGCGCTTCCACGAATCGCTCCCGAACCCTTCAATGTCTATACCCTCTTGCAATCTGTGTAACAGATTAGACGGCTGGCCATGACTTCAACAGATTTGTACTTACACCACTCGTCGGAATGTTTTTTTCGCAGCATCACAACTTTGTGATACATCTGTTGGTGTAAATGCTTTGGGCCAAGGTCCATGTGCGACCTCGTTTCTTATTGGGGACGTGTTTTTGAAACCTAAAGAGATTTTGCCACCTCCATTCTCTAGATAATGATAATTGAACTCCCAGCTTTGATACGTATCATTGTAGCGGTAATGTGAGGACTTCCGCTGTACAGGAGATTGACACCTGCAACGTTGTCCCTGACGAATAGTGCCGGGGCATGGTTGAAGTCCTGGGGGTGGTGGAGGTCGTGGAGGTCGTGGAGGACAGATTTAAATTGTTCCGGTTCAGTTCTGAACAAATAATCAAATGGTTCAAGTCTCCAATCCAGGTCCAGATCATCCTGCGGCGCGTAGAAGAACGAGGGTAGCTGTCCATTCGTAGTATCAAAGAATCGAATCGGTATCTCTCCTTCCTCGCGAACTTCTGTATAGTAAGATTCAGAAGTCGTCGAGCTCGTTTGCGCAGGAGATCCGTTTCCAGGCTCCTCTGACACACTACTCCAATCAGCTTTGTAGTTTTATAATGTGTGATATCTGCGTACCTTTCGTCCGCCATGTTCTAATGTGATGTGGTCTGCTTCGTGGACCTCTCAGTAGTGTTGAGAAAGACAGCAAGTTCACTTCGAGTCGTCTGTCAGACGTGTCGTATCGAAATAGCCGCCGAGGCTGGCAGCTGCAGCCACGACGGCGTCCCATTGGTCATCGATATGGTCGTCGTCCTGATTGCTGGAAATTCTAGGGCGCATGATTCCGCTGCTGTCAACATCAGAAGATAAATCGAAGGCTAAAATCATTTAGCAGTTGAGTGCTTTCTGATGATCCAATTTTGTTATCAAGGAGGTAGAGCAGCTCTAGGCAAGCTGGGAGGCAGGTGCGACCGTCAGCTACGACTCGCGTGCTTCTTCTCAAGAAGCCAAAATTACGACTGATCATGCCTTCCACATCTGCTGAACGCGATTCCTTGTCGAAGGTACCAAGAACACCTTTGAGCTATGCTCATTCACAGTATGTCCTCATCAACAGGATCAGCACACGCGCAAATACTATCCCTAGAATGGTGGGTTTCTCAGATAGATGAAACTGTACGAATAGAGATACCGGCATGCAGCAGTCCCAGACGACTGTGAGAGGACAACATCAAGGCGTGGCTTCTTGGTCAATGCCAAGATTGAAGCTCACCCACCCTCTGCCTGATTACGATTGCTGTCAGGCTCGATAGTAAGTCATTGTGATATACCACTGACCAGCCTCTGGTGTCTCTGCAAAGCGCTTTCTGCTTGTGTCCTGACAGCCACAATGACGAGCGCACGAAACTCGACTTATTCGACACACAGTGTGGCTGATACTCACCTATTGGCAATGCTCGACGGCAAACAAGATATCCATGGAGACGACACCCAAAGCTCTAGACTTTCAGCATACTTTTCTACAAAGCTTCTGGAAACAATCCTGATTGTTCCAAGCACCTCATCTCGCAAACATGGGCACGAATTACCCGGCACGCAATTATCAGCAACATCTTTCGACGACATGCAGAGAACGGTCCAAGTCATTGGGCTTCCCAAACCTGAGAAGTCAAAACCAAGCCTGAAACGTTCTCCCGAGTCAGAACACATCATCGACGACGCGGCCATTGATGATCCTTTTCGAGGCCATGATTACGACTCTGAACCACAGATGCAATACATGTCACCCAGTCAAGAATCAGTCGCCCACGCGCCCGAGTACCGTCAGCAAGGCTGCGGACATCGACGCCCAACATATTATGGACCTTGTGGGAGGCCAGTATATTATGGATATGGCGGAGGATATAGTGGTCCTCAGCGACCGCCGCAGGCTTACTTTCCGGGAGGCAAGCGACAACGAAGGTACGGAGGAGGTTATTATCATGGCGCGGGTGGTTGTGGGTATGGCAGAGGTGGTTATCCAGGCTGCGGTCCGTACTACACACCACGGCCAGTCTTCGTCCGGCGACATGGCGGTTGTTGCTGTTGCTGTTGTTGAAGGTTCTCAGTCAGGGCAAAGCACTAGGCTTACAGATGGGTTGGAAGGCCTCGTTCAATTGATTCTTCTTGGGGGTTAAGTAATCGGCGCCTGTCTCCGGTACCTCGTTCAAAGCAATTCAGCCCTCATTGTCGAGTCATTGAGGAGAAAGATCTTTGGTACAATTCATCAAGTCGTGTTACGCGAGGATAGCGGGGCCTGCGATGGACCGTCATGGATGTCGGCCTTATATTGCATCTCACAGGTTGATCCATGGAAACAATGACATGCCGTCACACACAGTGGGCCATGGAGCTCCGTGCAGCAGTACCGGTAGTTGTGTACTTTCTAGAAGCAGTTGTCGCCCGGCATCCTTGTCAGATCGAATCTCGGTTATCGTGAAACGCCACGTGAACGCTGCGATAGGGTTACTTCGGCAGTGCAAACATCCAGAGGGTTCGAAATGGTATCCTTGCGTGCTGTGAAAGAAGTTCAAAAAAATTCGGTCGAGTTTGACGCCTGAGCAGACACGAAACAAGCGGCTCGAGTTTGTGCTGTGTGCCTCGAAAACCAAGACCGGGATGAACCGAGAAGAGAGCGGGCTGCAGCCTGCATCGAGTTCAGGAACACAAAAGGTGGAGAGCCGGTTGATCACATCACCATCCTGCAGGCGCTTACGGCGTGCAGCAAACATGTTGATGACAGTTTTCTCAACAATCGATCATCAATATTCGCTGTCCTACGAATACTCTTGCGAAACCTCACGCTCTATTCGATAGAATTTCTCATGAAGTTGTCGACTTGCTTATCAGATGATGCCAACAACCGACCTCGGCGTTTCGGACACGCCGACCTTCTTCTCAGCTGTTGAGAACAACTCGCTTCCACACAAGTTTGTTAATAACAAAGACGAGCCCTCTGAGCAGCATCTTTAATATCACAGAAGGGCGGAAGACGGCAACGTGCAAGATGCAGCGGATACCTGCACGCACTGTTGCACGCATTTCACAGACCACTGCATCTCATGCATGCTTCTCTCTTTGATGAGCTCATGACTGACTCCTGAAGAAGCACTTGAATATTCGGTTGACAGCCTATCAAAGTTGGAAAGCAAGAGACACGAACGACAGCTTTAAATGTAACAGGGGTGGTCAAGACTCAAGAGAATGTGGCAGTTCCAGGCTCTAGAAGATGAAAAGGCAAACCAAGGCTATTTGCTGATATGACAGGGATACTGCTTTGGGAGCAGCAATGAACATCACCCGAATGGAAATTGATTGCTGCGAAACAAAAGCGTCCGAAGCAGCGGGCTCTGGAGATTGGACGGTATATTTCTTGTTGGTCAGCGGAGTGGTTCTTGTGTTCCCAGAGCAGCAACAACGATTGTCCAAAGCGGCATGCTCTTTTAAGGACTCGGGAAAGTGGTGAGCAAGGCAAGGCCGGGGTTGCAGTAGGGTGAGTTTAAAGGACCACAGCATCTGACGAGGCGTGTCGATGAGGGTTGCTGATTCGGCAAAGATCACTAGAGTTGAGATAGCGGCCGTGCGTTAGCGGTGCGCTTCTCCAGTGTGGTTTATGCACAGCCGTCGATCCCGTCTCCCCATCGGACTGCGCTGCGACGGGCGCGGTGGCGCGCTGTAACTAGCTTTGACTGCTCAATTGTAGGTTAGTGGTTACGGAGTCGACACTGGTGTGTGTCCGGCTGCGCTCATCAATTCACCATTCATCTTCCCTGCCATCAACTCCTTGGGCCGCGTTTTCTTTTCCTTCCGTCCGACTCTCTTTTCCAGCACTGTTCAGCCTGCTTGCTTGCTTACCTGCTTGCTCTCTTCTGTCCTTCGCTATCCCATCGCAGCGACTAGAGCCTCACACGCCTGGACGCCGGTCGTGCCAGCGAAATTGGCATATCTGAATCCGACGTTTGAACGGGAAAGTCAAGCTGAAACACAGTTGCGGCGTTCGCACCATTGCAACGTGGGGTCGTACAAGCATCAGGAGATATAGCAGACTTCCAACGACGATAACGACAAGATGCCTCAGAGCTTCACCTCACGCCCGCGCTCGTCGCGCGACTCAAGACCGGCCAGTCGAGCAGATGAGGACCTCGTCATCCCGGACCGCACATCGTCGCTTCATTCACGCATCACACAACCATTGGCATCGCAACTAGCCCAACCGCGCAACGGTCAGCGTACACCAAAGACTCTCACGCATGCCTACATGGTATGCGGTGTTGGTCGTGAGCCGTCGCAATGGGTCAAGGCACCCCCACCACCACAGGGAAAGATTGGACATATGAAGGGTGCTGTCGGTCAATTCTGGCTTCCTGAGATTCTGGGAAGCAGCCCGAGGTTGGAACAGGACAACGACATTGCTCGTGCTCTGCATGCTGCTATGAGGGTATGTATACTCAACGTCACTCCCACTTGACAACACTAACACTGTGTAGGCATGCTTCCCTCACGATGTCGAGATCTGCACCGGCAGCATGCAGCCTCACTGCGTACACCACGCCTTTGTCCTCCAGCAGGACTCATCTCACACTCTTTACGGTATCGCTCTTCGTGTCTGGTCCCGCGCAGACGAGAAGCGTGCCGAGACAATTCGCGAGTTGAGAAAACGCACCGAGTCCGACTACTATGAGAGCCCTGGCGAGACATACTGGATCCCTTACTGCTTGAGTTTCCTTTCGAGATATCCTCTTTACAACCTCCTTGGCGACTACCTTCGTGGCATGTGGATCCACTGGAACAAAGCCACCAACCTCTTCCATGCCGAGGAAGTCTCTCGTATCCTCAGTTTCCCTGCTCCCAGACTCAACGACCTCGTCCGCATCGACATGAAGGACTACGCCCTCTGTTATCAGTTCCCTTCATCTCCAACCGGCTTCCAGAATTTCGCCATGTGGCCTCTGTTCTCTTGTTTGTCTATTCCTAACATTGTCGGTGTCATCGAAGCCGCCATCTCGCCTACCAGAAGAATTATTTTCGTCAGCCACTACCCTGCAATGTTGACCATGGCCGCCGAGACTATCCGTTACATGGTTCGCGTCTACGAGTGGAGTGGTTTGTACGTTCCCATCGTCCACGCTCGGCATGCAAAGGACCTCGTTCAGGAGCCTGGTCCGTATATTATTGGTGTCACCGCTGAGTGTCGTACTCTCTTTACCGCTCCAAACGACGCTCTGGTTGTCGATCTGGACCGCAACTTTGTACTGACCTCAAGCCCTCCGGATGTTTTGACTTCCGGCCAAAGAACGAAAATGATCAACCGTCTTACCCAGGCTCTCAATGGCGATGTCGCTCCTTCTGGTGTTCCACAGCACTTGCGCTCCGCATATGGTGGTGGTAAGCTTATTCCTGCTGGTCAAATTATCGTTATGCGTGGCGAGGTCGAGAGTGTTCAAGATCCTGGTTGGTGGAACCAAGATGCTGTCATGACAGTAATGGACCATGTCTGCGAGAAGTTGGGCCGTAACACTGGTCTGAAGGCTGTTTTCGGAGGTGCTCAGAAGAAGCCTTTGATGACCAAGGTTTCGATGCGTCATCTTAACGAAATTATCCGTGAGCGTAACCAATACTCGCGTGACGCAAACGAGGCCTGGCAAGACTTCATCAACCTCAAGTGCCGTATGGATACCGAGGTTGTCAAGGTTACCAAGCGTAACAACATTCTGGATGCCGAGCTCGATTCCTGGAAGCAGCAGTTCCTCAAGTTCCAGTCTTTCGCTGAGACGCTTACCAAGGAAACTCAGGATCTCAAGGTCAAGATTGAGGGCCACAAGCGCGAGAACAGAAGACTGGGCCAGATCGCTGACCAGGCCAAGGAGGAGATCGCTCGTCTTACGCCTAGGCTCAGTGGCACCGAGAAGCAAAGAGACGACGCTTTGGAAGCTCTTGTTCTCCAGCAAGAAATTGCTGAGGAGCTCGAGCGCGAACGCAAGCGTAACAAGCAAGAAATTGCATCTCTGCAGCAGACCAACTCAGCAGTCCTCCGCCAGCGCGATGAGGCACAGCGTGTTGTCCTTCACCTTCGTGCTCTGATCGATGGTCAAGCACACCACATGGAGCACATTGTTCGCACCATTGAATTGCCCGACGAGACTGACGAAGCCGCTGCCACTGCCCTTCCCGCATCGCCGGCTCCTGGCTCTGCCATCACTAGAGATCTTGGCAGCACCAGCAGCTCCCGCGCCTCATCTCGAAGCAGCACTCGCATGTCAGCTCGTGGTGAAGATGCTGCAGCAGAAGCACTGCGTCGCAATGCTGATGCACGTCGTCGTCTGAGCTCTCTCAGCATGACCGATGTAGCAGACCGCCAATTGCGCGACAAGACCGACGCTATTGCGTATATCATCCGCAACATTAGCGAACAGTGTGCCGCCGCTGTTGAAGGTCTCAACATGGCTCAGCGTGCTGAGTCTGTTGCTGGCGACCGTAACGGGAATGATGAGGAGGCAAGCTTGGCTTCATCTGAGCACGGAGGCAACCTCAAGCGCCGCAGCAAGGGTCGCATCATGACGCGCGCCTCTTTGAGTGACGCTGCTTCTGAGTATGACGGTAGTGAAGCATCCGCATCTTCAAATTACAGCCTGCACGATGCACGAAGCCACACGATCCGCAGTAGCATCCCTCCCACTCCTGATCTCATTCACAGCCACAGCGCAAACACCCTGAACAACCGCAGCAGCACATCCATGAGCATGATCTCTTCTTCCACAGCCGCCACACCGACCGATCGCGGAAGCATGCAAAGCCACTGGCGCACCACCTTGCAAGAGGACATCCCCGAGCTCCCTACCAAAATTGTCAGAGGAGAGTCCAGTGATTCTGGCGTCGTCGACGAATTCGGCGGAAACTCCGGTATCGAGGACGAAGAGCCTCTCAACGCCAAGTACTCACCCAGAGGTCTCGAGCACCGCCTGAACATGCGCGCGAACTAAAGCAGACTATTTCTGATCTCTTTTGTTTGTCACTTGTCCCATTCGATACCCCACCCAGTCTTTCACTCCGATCTTTGATACGAATATCTAAAGCCGGGCAAAAATCTTCTTTTTTTATGTAGCCTTTTTTTCTTTTTTTGATGATAAGGACAAATTTTTCTTTTGTGTCTTGTTTGGATTCTCAACTACCCTTAAGCAGGCGAGCGCTTTTTTTTTGATTCATCTTCTTTGTTTGCACTTTGTTTCTGATTTGATCTATCTACTCAATCTACTTGATCTTTTCGATAGTGAATCTCACTTTTCTCCCTCATTACTTCCTGTCTATGCATCTAGTTATGTCGTCCTTAATGGTCCATCGTGTGGGATGTGAATGCTTCATCTTACAGACCTAACTAGTCGCTCTTTCCTTGTTAGTCGATCCGTCCGTATCTTCTTTTCTTATGAACCAGATCACTCCTTTCCTCCTATAACGTGGATCGTCCCTTCCATTTTTGTCTCTATAAACAAACCTACTTGTCAAGTATGGCGGCATTCTACATTATGATAGAGAATCAATAGATCCGATATATCCGGCCGATGCTGCGACTTTTTCTGCTTCGACCCACCCAACCTCAGCTTGTTCGAGATGACATGATTTCTCTCACAAAGCAGGTGAGGCACTGTTTCGATACTCGATCTCCGAGGCTCCGTGTTCACTTGTCAATATATGCCTTGGACTTCCGCCAAAGCGTAGACACAAGTCAGACTCACATCAAAACAAGACACACGCCACACAAGTTCGAGTGTCAATAAAATAGTCATCTGTATTCATGAAAGTGGCGTTTACTGCCGCCAATGCTCTAGTGCAACCTTCTCAAGGCCTCAACGATACTCCTGACCTCCTCGACGTCGACGCTCAGGCCTTCCACAATGCTCTCCTGTAGCTTTTCGTCGCAGTCCAAGAAACGTTCGATCAACTCGCCATCGACGAATCTGTTTGGCTCATCGGATTCACGCACAGACGTCTTGTAGGCGCGGTAGCGGTTGAAAGGTACATTGCCAGGACTTTGAACCTTCTCTGCCATGTTTTCTTGCAGACGCATGAGCGTGTCTTGGTGTTGAGGCGCAATAGTTGCAAAGAGGTAGATGGCACCTTCGACGGTGGCGAGGAATGCGCAGGGGATAACGATAGCGCCTGCGGTGGGTTGCACCTCAATGCGACGGATGCGATTGACCATCTCGCCAAGCTGCATGTCTGAGAGAACACGTAGGCGGCGCTTGTCTTCTTCTGAGAAGCCGTTGACGTCTTGATTGAGCACAAGCAAGTTACCTTCGGCATCGCTTTCGAGATAGGTGTTTGCTTCGATGTTGGCGACCGCGGTTGCCCATGCAGTGTCGTAGTGACGAGCGACCTCGTTGAGGCTGTCCTCTTGGCCGTTTGTACCCTTTTGGTACTGTACGACTGAGACACTCTTCATCAAGTCTGCAATAGCAATCTTATCTCCCGTTACCGATACGTCGATCGGGGCTGTGGATGTGCGATAGCTGGCGACCTTGTCAAGGTATGGCGTGCTTGATGTCTCGTACTTGAAGTCATACACAACGACCTATAGATGTCAGCAGGGGGGTGGTGGGAACTCATCGTCAGGAGAAGCACTTACTGTCTTGACCAGAGCGGCAACGATGCGACCCTCACATATAGCTAGGCATCTGCAAGCTCCTTTGACCTTATGCTCGGTCACAAGCTTCAGATGTCGATCGTCAGTCACCTCGAAGACCAAGATGCGGCCTCTAGGTGCGTCTCCAACGTCTTCTTCGATGTAACTTGTGCCTACAATAAAGCGTTCCACCAAATCACCCGACCCGTCGTCTAGCTTTGCACGAATGCAACTTTCGACCAGTTCTTCCTCGTTCAAAGCATAGGTATGCAACTCTTGGAAGGCGACTTCATCTACAAGCTTGAAGTGACTCTCTATGTGTTCAAAGCTGTCTTTTAGTGTGCGCTTAATGGTTCCGAGACCGAAAGCGCGTAGGTCGGCAGAGTATGCAATTCTGCGAACAGTCTCGTTGACTGATAATGTCTGGACATGTGTGGTTCTTTCTTCATCCACCAGAGCAATCTTCAGCTCATTGGCTGTGGCGATTGCGATGGCGTTTGGGAAAGCCTCAGCGTCGAATGGAGCAACACATGTCGCGTCCTCTGCTGTGATGGCTGAGTACACGATGCGACCCTCGGACCCATAGATCAGACTGGGGTGCTCGCAAATGGCGAACACTGTCTTCAGTCCATCACCTTTGGGTAAGGCCTTGAAGTTGGCTTGTTGTGTGCCGAGAATCGTGCTCTTCTTGGACGATAGAGCGTTGGTGCTAGGATCGATAGAGTACGTTACGACATTCCCATCGGCCATGCCGACAAAAAGAGTTGGCAACGAGCCTTCCAGAATGGGAGCAACGAGCAATGAACGTGGGACCGCTATGCTCTCTTCGTCGATCGTTTCGGAATGGATGGTCCTCAGAGAAGAGGTGTCCAACAAAGCTATGCTAGCATCTTGCCAGAAGCCAACTACAGCAGTGCCGCGTAGTGTAGGTGACAGTGAGATACAGGCAACTTGAGAGCCAGCATCGAACTCTCTTGAGGCTGTGACTTTTACGCTGTCGCCGGCGACGTTGAGCATGGAGAGACCAACACCACTGACAGAGACCAAGATGTTGCTACCAGCTGTGGAAGCTGCAGCGATTGACGAGCCTCCTTCTGGCGACCATCTTTCGAGCGTCATGCCGCTCTCAGGGTCCGTGATATGTACCGCGGAGCTAGTGATCTGCAAGATCCTGCCACTAGGAAGATTGGTCGCAAACAGAGTACTTTGTGATAGATCCATGCCTTTGAAGTTGTCGACTTCCTCGACGTCACCTTCGGGAGAAAAGTTGAACACCCGGGTATGCGCGATGAAAGATACAACCAATGTGTCCACAAATTCAAGGCTGGGGTTCGACTTCAAGCTGAAGACATCGGTAATGTTCTCCATGTCGCCAATAGAACCCAGGTCTTCAAGACCGACACCACTGCGGACACTTCGTAGGCTGCCATCTTTGAAAGCACCACTACCAGTAACGATACGAGCCTGCCCTGAAGAGTACTCGTTGACTTGAGCTTCAGAGGAGCGGTTACCCATGTCCATGACCGTGAAGTCTAGGATAGGAGCAATATTGGAGAATGTTTGAAGGATTTCAATGGACCCGGGAGTGATTTGGATGAGCTGAGAGTTGCCTTGATGAGAACCGACAAAGATGCGGCCTCCATCCAGATAGACCAGTGTCGATGCGCGAGAAGTCTCACCAATGACGTCCAGCTTCCAACCTTCAAGGTCGTTTTTGCTATTCAGGACTACCATCAGCAAGTAGAGCTTACCGTAATCGTCGGCAAGGACGAATCGTTGATCGTCAATTTGTGTCCAGGCGACAAAGATGGTGGCCTCTTTGAGTGGCTCGTTCTTTGTGATCTTGCGGTCGAATTCTTCGCAGTAGGCAATGGTGGTTTCCCCAAGAATGAGTGCACCATATGCTGGGGCTGGCAAAGGTATCACATGGCTGGCGCCTAGATCCAACTCTTCGCTTGCATCCTGCTCGTTTTCAAGCTCGGCAGTTCCAGGCTCGTTTGACTTCAAAGGTGGACTATAGTCGAGTTCGCGGACCTTCAATCTGACTTTGCCTACTGAGTCCTCGTAAAGCAGAGCTAGTTCGGGCTTGTCCTTTTCCCTCCTCCTGTGCAAGAAAGCAGACGATCGTACATTGAGCTCAGGTATTCTGACCGATGCCGGCTGACCCATGTCTGAGGGCTGAGATTGTGAGGAGGATTTGCGCTTGCTGTCAGGTGCGATGGGGATGACGGATACTATGCCTTCGTAGATCTCGAGAGCCATGAATTTCCTTGTCGGGTCGATGTTGCATCGTTCTCCTAGCTGTGCTTCTCTTGCTGCTCTGTCTGACATGTCCTCAAAGCTCTTCTCTGTCTGCAGTTGATTGGTCTCGGGATTCCAGGAGAGGGTGAAGTACATGTAGCGATCGGTTCCGACGAATAGATGATCGATCTGGGAAGAGGTCGGACGAATGCTCTGCAGCATGATGACCTTGCCATAGATGGCTTTCGAATGCTGCAATACGAGACCATCTTGTTGCTGCGTGTAGAACTCTAAGCGGTTTGCCTTGCTGTCTTCATGTCAGCGCATAAAGTGAAGCTTGTCTGAAGCGACTCACGCCACCACAAGGGTGTCTTCGTCGGCGCTCAGGAAGTTGAGTTTGAGCGCGTGCCGTACGCTACTGGGCCGGTGGATGGATGCCAGGTATGCCATGCTGAAAGATTAAATAGTCACAGCTGGTTTGCGATAAACACAACCGTTGATGAATCGAGAGAGAGCTTGGGAGCTTCCGCGAAAGTCGCTTGTATGATGACGGCGTCACTGCTCCTTATCTCCGCTCCTCGGCAAAAAAGTATGGAGAGCAACGACAGTGATTGATGTGAGAATCATCTTTTGTTACAGCGTTCTACTTCATCTTTCTTTCACTTTAGTAGGCATTTATCGATACTTGGAACCTCTCCGAATCAAGAAGTGCTGCCATTTTCAGAACTCCGCAAAGTACTTGGGTTCATCTTGTGCTTCTACTGCAGTCGAAGCCATGTTCTCCGAATTCGATATACAGATGGTTCATTCCTTGCCCACATGCTCAAGGCTGCACATACTGTGCCCAGGAACATTATGAGACCTCAAGTATTGTCCAGAAGGCCGACACAAGAGTCCAAGGGTAGCTAAGCTTTATATCCAAGCTCTTATGGCTGCAACTACTCGTAAATTACTGCCGGCCGGGTAACCCTGTTCTTTTCCATTCTATCATGTTTGGCAACAATCAAAGACTCCCAAGCTGAGAAATCAAGGAAGCCAAGGCCAACTACATGAGATCCTGTAAAGAAAAATGCGTTACTATGAATTCTAAGCATCAGATTCTGGGATGGAACAGTCATGAAAGGGCAGGAACGATTTGGCAAATAAGAGAGAGCCTCCATCGAGATCTTCACTTTGGATTACTTCATGAACACTTGTAGGGCTTCGAAATAGTCCCGTGTAGCTTTATAGATGGTTATAGTGCCTGTCTCCCTAAGGGATCTTCGGTTCCTATGTGCTTCCTGTCCAGGTCTATCCATGAGAGTTTGTACGAGTCGTAGAGAACTCGTTAAAAAGCTGGCGTCTGTCAATTGTTTCGAACAATAAACCGGGTCAGCGGTCGAATGGCGCGCTAGTGGAGACATATGTCATGGAACGCATGGGACAGGCCTTGTTTTATGTGAGAGTGCAGACAGGCACAGTGACATGTTTCAAAGGCACTGCATGTCGTGAAAGTCTGACAAGTTCGAGTGTGACAAGGAATGGCCAAAAAGTGGCCAAGCAGCCATTCGCGGTGGAGAAAGACCAACCTCCCCACCATCCGCAAGACGCAAGAAGAGTGACAGAGCACAGGCCATTAGTACAAGATACTCGATAGAAGACCAATAAATGGCCGTTCACGCTTCACGAGAAGAATAAGAGCTTCGGGGTAAGAGGGGAGGCGTTTGAAAGCAGCGGGTTGGTCATCAGTTCTGCATCTTGTGTCGGGTTTTGCTTTTTATCGAGCAGGATCTCTGTTAGCAAGAAGTCGGATACAGAGCGCTTGGGCAGATAGACTGGCAGGCATCTTCCCAACCATCTACTTATTGCATCCCCATCGGCATAAAAATCATTGATAGCCCTGGCTAGCTGGGAGCAAAGTCGCGCATGGTCAATCAGCAATCCACGTGCACAGCAAGAGCGAGAAGACCGAGACAGGCATTTTCGCAAACAATCAACAAGTTGGCAGAAAGTCAGCTTTGACCATCGAATTCTTGAAGGTTGCGAGTGCAACAGCGTCACCATCCCCTCCACGCCCACACACGCCTAGCCCTTCCCGCGCCGTACGCTTGTGCTTGACGACGCTCGTGAGCTGCGACAGCATCGACACAGGCTCCAACAACTCTATCGAGATCGCAAATCTATCATTTGTACCAGTCGGGACTCTCCAACCAAGCGCGCATTCGACTACGACCGAAGCGACGCATATTCTAGCACAAACAGCAGTCGCTGCCCGACTCTTTATTCTTTGCACAGCCGGCTTGTGATTGTCCGTCAAAGCCAGCAACAACCCGCTCTCCCTGTTCAGCCCTCGAAAATGAATGGATCCGACATCAAGAAGGCTGCAATCCAAAAGGCAAAGCAAGTCGCCCAATCCGCAACCAGCGCTGCCAACGGTACCAACGGCAAGAAGCGCAGAAAGCAAGAACTGAAACCCATCGTCACCACCGAGCAGCAAGAGGCGTAAGTACAATGCCCATCCACCCTTCCGCTCCGTCGCATTCTAACCACAGATCGTCTATAGCGCTTCAGGCACAACCGCATCGCCCATGAGCTACCAAAAATCAACAACCAGCACCCGTGACGTGAGCCCGTCCGGCTCAGATTCATCCTCGCTTTCCGGTGACGAGCAAACCGAAAACACGGCCGACGAGGAGGATTCTGAGGACTACTGCAAGGGCGGCTACCACCCCGTCCAGGTCGGCGAACAATATAACAACGGCAAATATACAGTCGTGCGCAAGCTGGGCTGGGGTCATTTTTCCACCGTCTGGCTCTCGCGCGATAACGTCACCGGCAAGCATGTCGCCCTCAAGGTTGTGCGCTCTGCCGCCCACTACACAGAAACTGCCCTGGATGAGATCAAGCTGCTCAACAAGGTCGTCCAGGCCAACATGGACCACCCTGGCAGGGCACATGTAGTCAGCCTGCTCGACTCGTTCAACCACAAAGGCCCTCACGGTATGCACGTTTGTATGGTCTTCGAAGTTTTGGGTGAGAACTTGCTGGGCCTGATCAAGCGCTGGAACCACAGAGGCATTCCCATGCCGCTGGTCAAACAGATTACCAAGCAGGTCCTGCTAGGACTCGACTACCTCCACCGCGAATGCGGCATCATCCACACCGATCTCAAGCCCGAGAACGTCCTTATCGAAATTGGTGACGTCGAGCAGATTGTTAAGACCTATGTTCAAGAAGATCCCAACAAGGCAAAGGACGAACACCGCAATGGCAGGAGGAGGAGAAGAACCCTCATCACCGGCAGTCAACCTCTACCTAGCCCGCTCAACGCCAGTTTTAGTCAGACCGACCTGTCAAGCCTTAACAAGCTCATGGCAGAGCAAGGTAAACCTGTTCCAATCACGGGCCCAAGCCCCAGTCCGAGTCAAGATGTTGAAATGAGTGGTGCTGCAGGCGCAACTTCTCCCACAAAATCCATGAAAGAATCCCTCGGCATTTCAGACGAAGCAGCGCAAAAGGAGCGCGAAAAGACTGCGTAAGCTTTTGATTTCCAAGTACGTGAAACCCTGACTGACCACTATCTTAGTGACATCCTCGCAAACAACGTTTCCGGCATTGATCTTGGAAAGTCTCCCCCAACCCCATCATCATCGACCAAGCCAGCCGAGGAGGTATCGTTCGACACAATTTCGGTCAAGATTGCCGATTTGGGTAATGCATGCTGGGTTGGTCATCACTTCACAAACGACATTCAGACACGACAGTACAGATCACCAGAGGTCATTCTTGGAGCAAAGTGGGGTGCCAGCACCGATGTCTGGAGTATGGCTTGCATGGTAAGAGGAATCGCTCCAATCAACACGTGCAATTCAGCTAATCTTGTTGTCCAGGTTTTCGAACTCATCACTGGCGACTACCTCTTTGATCCTCAGTCTGGCACCAAGTACGGTAAGGATGACGACCACATTGCTCAGGTCATTGAACTGCTCGGCACATTCCCGAAATCGTTGTGCGTGTCAGGAAAATGGTCGCAAGAGATATTCAACCGCAAGGGCGAGCTGCGCAACATCCACCGTCTACGCCATTGGGCCTTGCCGGACGTGCTGAGAGAGAAATACCATTTCAGCGTCGAAGAAAGCAAGCGCATCGCCGAATTCCTGTTACCCATGCTCGAGCTCCAACCCGCAGACCGCGCCAATGCCGGAGGTATGGCAGGCCACGGCTTCCTGGAAGGTACAAAGGGCATGGATGGCGTCAAGCTGGAAATTGAGCCAGGCACCAAGGGCGAAGGCATTGACGGATGGGCCACAGAGATTAAGAAGCAACGGTAGTGCAGCTGCAAGCACCCTTGCGACTGTTGGACATGCTTCAAAGCATGGATCGTACGAATGGCCATTTTCATCTCCATCATCGTCCACCGCAACAGATTGTCCTTACGTTTACGAGAAACGCCTTCGCCGAGAGATGATGAAGAGTCACAGCAGACCACTGCAAGGAAACGGAAAGAAAGAGGAACAAACACAAGAAAGATGATGTTAGAAAGAGAGGTTTAGGAAAGTTACAAGAAAGCAAAAGAGTGCTGTGGATTGAAGAAGAGGAAGAGGAGAAGCTATTTTCGTCCTGGTTTTTTTCCTTTTCCACTCTTTCTTGCATGCCAGAACAACAGATGTGAATATGCAGGCAGAGAGAAACAAGATTCGGTTCTTTTTATTCTGTTTAGTTAACTTCATTTCCCTTTTACGAATCTTGTTATCGGGCGCATAGCCTTATTGATTTCTACCTTTTGAATCCCTTTCTATGTGCTCGACTTCTCACTTTCGTAGCTGGTGAAATGCACGATTCTTGCAACACTGGAGGCAGCCTCTACTGAGAGCTCGAAAGTTCATGCTTCTCTGTGGACGGCTGTGTGGATCTCATGAACACTGTGCATTTCTGCAAGGTCGGATTGGTGCGGACAAAGCTAGATACACATCATCAATCGCGTCGCTTCATGTGGTTGTTGACTCAAGGATCATCATCATCATCAGCAGTCACACTGCCGCCAGAGTTAAAGTTGTAAAGACTGCTGAAATACCACCTTGATCAAAATGACAACATGCGAACATCCAATATCATCTCAAACATCTTACGAGAAATAGGCCGACCACCATCATCCCATCACGGCGACCCGGGATTTGAACACCACAAACAACATCAGACGTAGGATGCAAAAGAGTGGCGTTCGGGATTCGAAAGAGTGAAGCTCAATTGCTCACAAAATCTGGTGATGCCAATACTTAGATGTATGACCAGGTGGAGCCACGCAATCGCCGCCATCAGACCAGAATTTGATGGAAATACGGTGTTTGTACGGGCAATGTCGTAGGAGGGGTCATGGTTTTGTGGCTTGTCCAGGGGGCAAAAAGGAAGGGGAGCTTTCCGAGTTGCTTTGTTTTGCGATGTGAGATGATCTCAATGCTTAGCACACGCAAGCGGAGATTGCAGGACTGTGATTGGCTGATAGGGCGATGGTCGGCTTCGATCATCCCCAAAGGACGGTCGGCAGCTTCTAGCCTCCGCTTTTTCAGGGACCATGTGGAACGATTTGTGGGCAAATGGTCTGATTTTGGTTCTCACTGGAAATTTAACGTTGGCAGCCCTCTGCGGCAAGGTGGATGTTTAGAAAAAGGGTAGCTCATCACTTCTCGGTCTTCTCGTTGCACACACACCACACCCTAAGGGTTCCCTCTCTACCAGCGACACGATCATTCCCAATTGGAGGATCAAGAGAGGCTCATCATGTCGTACCTGTGAGATTCGCCCCTTTCGTACTCAAGTCTGTTGATCCTCAGGAACACTTTCTGACCTATCGACAGCAACGCGACCGCCATTCTTGAGCACGCTCTCCCTCACACCTCGGACACTTACTGGAACCAATTCGAGTCGGTTTCGAAGTACAATGTACACCTGAACTACTTTGAGCGCCTGTGGATGGCATGGTACGCGTACATTGGCAACGATGTGCTCGCAACCGGTATCATGTCATTCATGATGCACGAACTCGTCTACTTTGGCCGTTCTCTTCCCTGGATTATTATCGACTGCATTCCCTACTTCAACAAGTACAAGATTCAGAACGTATGTCGATTCATTGGTTCCGCTAGGCTCCGCGACCGTATACTGACAAGCACCTCAGCAAAAAATCCCTACTGCCGCTGAACAATGGCAATGCGCCAAGCTCGTCTTGTTGAGTCACTTCACCGTCGAGCTCCCTCAGATTTGGTACGCCGTCACTCAAACTCCTCCAGCCTAGACGACATTGCTAACACTGGCTTCTCCAGGCTCTTCCACCCCATGGCTCAGTTCTTCGGCCTCGGCACCGAGGTTCCATTCCCTCCCGTCTGGAAGATGGCCTACCAAATCGCTATCTTCTTCGTCCTTGAGGACGCATGGCACTACTGGATGCACCGCGCTTTCCACTGGGGTCCCCTCTACAAGGCCGTCCACAAGATCCATCACCAATACTCGGCTCCCTTCGGTCTCGCTGCCGAGTACGCCTCGCCCATTGAAGTCATGAGCTTGGGTTTCGGTACCGTCGGTATCCCTATCGTCTGGTGCGCCATCACAAAGGACCTCCACATCTTGACCATGTACATCTGGATCGTCCTCCGCCTCTTCCAAGCCATCGACGCACACTCCGGCTACGAGTTCCCCTGGTCGCTTCACCACTTCCTTCCCTTCTGGGCTGGTGCCGAGCACCACGACGTTCACCACGAGAAGTTCATTGGAAACTACTCTAGCTCTTTCCGCTGGTGGGACTACGTTTTGGACACCGAGGCTGGTGCCGAGGCTTCCAAGAGAAGAAGAGAGAAGAAGCTCGCAAAGGCCAGAAAGGCCCAGTAAATGCGTTGCCTGTCGTCCTTTTATACTTCAACCTGCTACGACTGCGCTTTCGGATTCGACGAGGTATGAGCTGAGCATCTTCTCCTAAGACATCAACTCCTCTCGATCGAACATCTTCGTTTTTAATGGCCCTTTTTTCGTATCTTCTGCATTGGGATGGAGTTCTTACTAGACAAGAGAAAGAAGCACGCGGGCAGGATCTTGGTCTCTGCGTCAAGCTTATCTCTTTGCAACCTATCAGATGTGGTGGCGGTGGAGCCGCATGAATACAAAACATCCTACGTTTCCAATCTTTACATCGTTTATCCTCAGACTAGACCATGTGATTGCTGCGAAGTACACCAGATCGCCTCTGTTATCAGGTCCCGGAGGCAGAAGTGTTAGGTAGATAGTGACTGGCCAGATGGCCTACAAAAGAAGTTAGATCAAAGATGCAGTCAGCCTTTCGGGATGTCGGTGGGAGACACAAAGCATGCTCTGACACATGAATGCCTGGTTTTGATGTTTAAAGTTGTCGTCATCGCATGCTGGCTGCACGTTGTTGGTCCACGTCGCACAACTTTGCCAGCGACACAACCTCCTTCCCAAGAGCCATGACAAGATAGTTTTGTGCTCTGAGCATCGAAGCTTCGTTTCTATAACACAGTCACAATCGCGATCATGTCCTTCGTCGTAGAGTATGTCAAGCATCTCTGTCAACCCCCACTTCCTTCTGTCTCTAGCCAGCAGAGCTTCGCGCAAACACACACTTCGTATATGCATGCTGACAAGCTATCCTCAGTCAAGTACGGCGAGTGGACTCGCAGATAGACCGTCTGCAATTGAATGCTCCACCACCAGTTGGACCTATCAACATCACTGGCGATGACCAACATTTTCCTTCGGACCGAGCGGAACATCTACAATCACTAGTCAAATCACTGTCCATACCTTCAACCTCAAGAAACCCGCTCCTCTCCGCGTCTCAGATCCACCACTATCTCTCACGCGCCCAAATCTCGCTACCCGAAGAAGGAGAGGATCTATCCGTGAAGAAGCACGATGGTGAATACGAGCAAGAGTTGGCATGGCTGCTGGTCGCAAAGGCTACAGTTCAGGTATATGGCTTGATACTGTCACGACTACTGGATGAGACTGTCGCGCTCGCAGATGATGTCTGGTACTGGGATCAGGTGCTAGGCAGCCAACACGCGACCGCGCTTTACAGCATTCAAACGGCACCTCTACGCATAGCCGAATGGAGCAACTACGTCTGGGCAGACGTGCGCAGACGGAGTGCCGACTTCACCATCCGTGGTGCTGGCGCCGAGGCACAACAAAGCTTGACTGCCCGCTGGACTGAGTTCTACGGATTGGTTAAAGAGGTGGTCAGGGAGAAGGGTGTCAAGGAGATGCGCAAGCGTGTCGTGAGTCCTGTCGCTAGGGTTCGCGGTTCTGTTCGTCAAAAGCAGAATGAGCTCAAGCGCTGCAGGCTCCGTGGAGCCAACGCACTCGGTGTGCTATTAGGAGAAGGCTTGATGAATGAGAACATGCATGGCGAGGGCTTCGCGACACCGAATGGTACTCAAGGCCGTGACAAGTGGAAGGCTAGCGTGGCACGTAACGTTGCTCTTATGGACGCTGTTCTGGCCAAGGTCAACGAAGAAGAGCTTGCCGTCGATAAGTTCGATGCAGCCATTGCGGCAGCCACCGATGACGACCCTCTCTACGACGTGGAGGTCTATACTCAGGAGAGTGGAGAGGTTTCCGAGCTAGGTGTGCATCCGGCCACAATTGCCGACAGACTGATCAAAATGCTACATGCGAGGATTCCGGAGTATACTCAGCAGTCTAAGGTTGTGGTTCAGAAGCACGGCAAGCCGTCGCGCATTGTCCGATACTGGCTTCCAATCACCGTCGGCATTCTCTCCTCGAGCACTATCCTACGCTATCTGGTCAACCGCAAGGCGGAAATCCTCACCTGGATTCAAGAATTTGGTCACACTATCCGCGACTTCTGGATCAACTGGTGTGTAGAGCCCACTCGCAAGGTTCTACAGACAATCCGCCACGACAAGGACAGTGAAGTTTCGATCATGTCGAAAAGATCTTTGGAAGGCGACAGAGCTAGTCTGGAACGTATGGTCGTGGACTTTGCAGTCGACAACCCAGGAAACGCGACAGAGACAGGCAGCCCGCTTACAGAAGCCGAGATTTCAAGCATCAGATCCAAGGTTCGCGAAGGCGATTTGACACCAGTACTCAAGGCATACGAGAAGGACCTCTCCAGCCCCTTCATGGGTACTATTCGTGGCAACCTGATTCGCGCACTGCTCATTCAAGTGCAAAAGACAAAGGTTGACGTCGAGGTGGCTATGGGCGGCATCGACGCATTGCTCAAGAGTCAGGAATTGGTGTTTGGCTTTGTAGGCCTGACACCTGGAATCCTCGTCACAATTGGAATCTCGCGCTGGTTGTCATCTTCATTCACATCCCGACGCGGTGCGGACGCAAGTCGCAAGCAGGGACACATGATGCGACAATTGCGCAACATTGACCGTGTACTCACTAACTCGACACCGACAGAATTTGGAGAATTGTACTACAAGGATCATGGGCTGTTGCTATGTGAGGTGCACGTTTTGCGTGAGGCGGCCCACAAAGTTATGCCCGCACAAATATTCAGGGACTTTGTCGAGGATGTGGAGGAGTTGGTCGATGTCCGAACCGGAGTCAAGAAGCAGAGAAAGGTGGTGAATAGGATTCGCTGGGCATACAAGCGGTACTTTTAGATAATCTCTACTCTTCATAGGAAAACAGAACTCTTGACGAGATGGCTGTCAGTTGCTTTTCTTGTAGAGAAGGCTGATCAATAGCGACGTTGCGAACAGTTGTTAGTGGGATGCTTCGTCGAATGGAGAAGTTGGGGTGTGGAAACTTGGCAGGCCGAGCTGCTGAGGGCTGGACGAGGGCGGGAGCCGGTAACTTTTGGGCCAGTGGGCATCTGCTTGTGCTTGACGTCGTCGTTAACTTGTACTGTACCTTGCTGTTCGTCCCATACACACTCTATACAAGTCTTTGACAAACGAGAGCCGCCGACGTCGTTGATTTCTCTTTGTTGTCCCTCTCAACCCCTTCCACTTTGGAACAAGTGACCTTCAGCTTCGCAACAACGAACAAGATACACCGCCTTCTGCCTATCCCCGACACGACCTGACGCCTATCTCGTAAATTCGCTGCCTACCACTATATCGTCGTCGCTTCTACACCTTTCGTCGCCAGCCGCCGTCGCTCTTTCTCACATTCTGCCCGCGCCATGGCAGGCCAAAACCGCAACTATGACTTTCTCGTACGACCCCACTTCTGCCTACGCTGTCCTGCCAAATCAACCCCTCTAACCAATACCACAGATCAAGCTCCTTCTGATCGGTGACTCGGGTGTTGGAAAATCATGCTGTCTGCTACGATTCAGCGAGGACAGCTTCACCCCCTCGTTTATCACCACCATCGGCATTGACTTCAAGATCCGCACCATCGAGCTCGACGGCAAGCGCGTCAAGCTGCAGATCTGGGATACCGCAGGCCAAGAGCGCTTCCGCACTATCACCACCGCCTACTACCGTGGAGCCATGGGTATCCTGCTTGTCTACGACGTGACGGACGAGAAGAGCTTCAATAGTGCGTTTTACACCATGACTTTTCCCCCTCCCCCTCTTCCCTCTTGCTAATCTTCTCATCTTCACAGACATCCGCACTTGGTTCTCAAACGTCGAACAACACGCCAGCGAAGGCGTCAACAAGATCCTTATCGGAAACAAGTGTGATTGGGAAGAGAAGCGCGTCGTCAGCACCGCCCAAGGCCAAGCCCTGGCCGACGAACTCGGCATCCCCTTCATCGAGGTCTCGGCAAAGTCAAACATCAATGTCGAAAAGGCCTTCTTCTCCCTCGCCTCGGATATCAAGAAACGCATCATTGACTCCAGCGGTGGTGGTCAACAGGGTGCCCAACAAGGTGCCAGCCAGGTTGATGTTGGTCAGGGCCAAGGTGTTGCAGGAGGTATGGGAAAGAACTGCTGTTAGAGAGTTTCCTCTCCCTTCCAGAATTCTTCCTTGCCCTGTTTCCTTGCACTGCCTGATGTCTTTCTGCATGCCTTTTTGATCCTTTCAGACCGCACCCACATCCCCGTTTTTTTATTCGTTTTTTCTGCTTTTTCTTTTCACGGGAAAGGCGTATCATGGCGTCAAAACCTACTCAAGGGTGGGCGTTCTTCCTCTTTTCTTCTACAGTTTTTCTTCTCTTGTCATACAGGCAAATGTTTATGCTGCTACAGAACTTTCTTGGCCCCAGAAAGCCGCATTGATACTTCTTCTTCCTCATGAAGTAGAAGAGATGCATTGAATTGAAACTTTACCATTTGAGTTGTTGAAACCGCTTGTCAATCGAGTTTCGTCTGTTTCAATCGTTGTAGATGTACAAAACAGCGATCTCATCCGCCATGAACGCTACTGAGGATGTCTGTCAAAAAGTTACAGTAATCTCTAGACCAGTGGTGATGACCACAGGAGAGTAATTCATCCGCCTACGGTCTCCATTGGACACGAACTTTCGTATCTCTGGCAAAGCTATCACAAACCCCTCTTTTCCCACGTCTCCAGCACAACTTCGTTTCTTCCGAAAATGTTTCGAATACAAACTCCATGACCGGTCGCACCTCCCATTGCATTATGTTCTGTCGTTTCACCTGTGTCATGTGCTATAGTACCGCGGAGACCGTATACATCTCTCAGGTCGATGAAAATCTCACCCCAGCTCTGATATCGTTGTCTCCAGGAGGGTTAAATATGGAGGGGATGTTGCTATGATTCAGTGCGGGTAAGAATCGACAATATAATGGAGATATAACAGAGATGTGGTCGTTAGCTGAGGGTTGGTCGATAGGGGTAGAGAAGGAGGAAAACGATCGGGTATACATACTATACTTACTCTCAGTCAATCATCATATCTTGTCGTTTGAGACTTGCAGATCTACATATATAGTGTAGAGTATTATATACCACTGAAACAGTGCAATAAACCTGACTTTCTGAATTCCCGTATAGCTATAGCGAAAGAGCGGCTAGATCAAGGGGGGAAGAAATCACCATGCTCTCATCCCAATTGCTCTTTCCTATTCTCCCCTAACTTCTCTTGGCTAGATTTATCTACTTGACTCATTGCACAGTGATTTCGCAGAATATGGCAAGTGCGGTTGGAGAGCTATTTGCAATTACAATACTTTCTATTCTGTGGTTTGATGAAAAGAAAGGAACCCCATGAAAAACACCATCGCTAAAACAATGAAGACCCCGAAATCTCGTGAGAGAAGGAAAGAACCCCAGCCCGATCATGTCCTGAAAACACCATATCCCAAAACACTGCAAATTTCAAGTCTCATTTACTCAATCCCTTCTCTCAAAGGAGCGATAAACGGACTCCTTATCCTACTAGGACTGGCAGCCCGACTTCTACTCCCCGATCTCAATGTTGCAGTAGCCAATTGCTCCCTACTCTCCGTTCTAGCGAGCAATCCTCCCCTACCACCAGGTAATTGCAGTCCAGGCGTTGTGGCCAAAGAATGAGTACTACTGGCATGATTGGGAGGGCCGTCAAAGTATCCAGCCATGGGTTGGGGTGGAGGATGTTGTGCGTTTGCGTTGTACAGGTTCACACGTGCGGAGCGAGGGGAAGAATGTAAGACGGGGCTGCTGAAGCCATTGTTGTTTGCTTTGGGTGTTGCCCAGCCGGAGGTATGGCCGTTGCTGTTTTCCGAGTCTGAGTCGTTCATGTCGTCGAGTTCGAAGTCCGAGGGGTCGGGACCGATGCCGCCTTCCAGAACGCGTTCGTATAATGGACCGGAGTTGTTGTTGCCGAACAGTTTACCCAGGCCGTTGGTTACGGCGTTCTTACGTTTGTTGCCTTTGCCGGGTGAGAAGCCTGCTTTGCGTAGGAGAGAACTGCGTCTGTCACGGCCGCAGAGGAGAAATGCGGCGACGAGGAGGATTAGTAGGAATAGGAGGAAACCAGGAAGTCGGCGAGAAGAGCTGGAGGTGAAGAGTTTGTCGTGCCAGTCAACGTCGTCGTCTTTGAGGTCGCTTGGCAGAGGGATGGAGCTACCACCTGCATGTTGGAAGTCCTTGGGAAGGTTGGGTCCAGCGACGTTACTACCGAAGCCAACTGCCAAAGCCTTGTCATCCGGGCCAGGGACTTGTGAAGCAGCATACAAGACCATCTTTCCGAGTGTCCAGCTAACTTCCACATCATTGATCTTGTTGACTGCCTGGAACGGATCGAGGAAGCCCTTCTCTTTCGCACCATCTATCACAGCCTTTGTACCGTTGTGTCCACCTTTTGTAGCTTCCAGGCCAACTCTTGGAATACCAATGCCATCGTGTAACATGTTTATCAACCAACTGGCCTTGAAGCATACCTCAGCGACCTTCTCTTCTGTAACTTTGTGACCCCATTTCTCTTCTTTGACGCCTTTTTGTATCGACTTCCAGTCTTGACTGCAGAATTCCAAAACTCGTTGTTGATAGGTGTTGAAGTCGTATGCTTTGTCCTTGTGCGCCATTTCGAAGATTTCATGGGTGGTGTGCCAGTATTCGGAAACACCGACGAAGTGGTTGACGTCAAAGTCGATGGCAGGAACGTGAACACCGTGTAGCAAACATGGAGGATCCAGACATGGCGCATCCTTGTCCAGCAAGGGGAATGTCTTTGAGAGACACTCGGGGAATTTGCCTGTTCCCAGCAGGTATGTCTCTTTCCCAGCCGCCTCATGAGAGCCAGGTCCAATCGCATGTCCCGATTTTGTGACTTCCAGACCAGTAGGAAGACACGGATCAGGCAGCTCAGCGATTCCAGGGCTTGCTGTTAGGAGCGAGTCGATGTAGCGTCTGCGAGCCTCATTGACACCATAGCCCAGCCAGGTGGTAACAAAGACCTTGTATTCGAGAGGATCACCATTGACCTTGCGCATGCGCAGCAGCTTCAAGTCTTCGGCGTGTTTTTCGGCTTCTGTGGCATTGGGAGCGAAGGCAATCTGGGCAGATGCGCCTCCCATATCCAAAAAGCCGTATGTGTGGTGGTCTTTGCCATGACCGTGGTGTTTGGCTGCATCTGCGTCAAAGGCACCTAGCAGGTAATTTGCAGCGATCCATCCGTATAATCCTTCTGTTTCTCCTGGAATGACCTGAATGTGTAGACCGCAATCTGGGAGTTGAAATTGTGTGTTTCGTTGTAGGTAGGAGCAGATGTTGTCGAGGACTTGGTTGCGTTGAATGTCGGGCAGGAGGCGCATTCCTGCTGTGGCAAGGAGGAAGATGGGCGTGTCTTGTACTTGATCATCGGGGATGTATTCGAGGGCATGGTCGACGAGCTGCTTAAGGTGGTCGGGTCCAACAGCTTCTGGCTTCTCTCCGAATGTCGAGACACCTATTCCATCGCATCAGTCACTGTCCATGTACGCGACACGTATGGTAACAACACACCAGGGTGAATCTTCAAAGTCCACTTCTTCTTTGTTTCCAGCTCGGGCAGGCTGTTGAGCTCAACCTCCGTGCCTTCCTTCCTTGCTCTTTGCGTGTTGAGCCATCGGTAAATATGCACTCGGGTGCCCTGAGTGAGTTAGCTATGCGATCGCGACTGGTATGCGGTTGGGATTTGTCGTACAGATGATCCGGCATCGAGAATGACTCCGTATCGCCCTGTGGGAATATTAGTCTTTTGCGATAAGATCAATAGCATCAGAAGCCGTACATTTGCCCATTTGTTCGAGTCTGCCAGGGAGAGTATCAGGAGGTATATCAGGTGCAATGGCCGTATCTCAATCGCAGGTGCATGGCAGGATCTCGACGAGGGAGACGGATTTCCAAACTTAGGACCCTCTTGACAGTTTTGTTGTCTTTCTGGACCGCAAAGGTTACAACGCTAGTCGATCCCTCGCCCGTTCCCGCCAAACTCTCGCGACCTCCGCAAAACCTTCCCACGTCTTCAGCTTTCGCCCTTGCGCTTTCACCAATGCCCCTCATTTGCTTACGACGACTCCTTTCCTATTCTTGCGAGACATGCCATCCTCTGACTTTCTTGACACTTCACCTTGAAACAAGACATTTGTCTCTCCTCCGACCTCGACAACCGACGTGACGACAGCGGCTGCAGATATATTGGTCGTCGTATCGCGACATCCTGCCTGCGACTTGCATGACGTTGGATTTTCCATACCTGACTAGCCAATTGCCGGCATGAACGACGCTTACTACTCAGTCTTGAATCAACGGCTGTATTGATAACGTAGCATCTGCTTCTACATGCGCTTGAAGATAAGCGACCTTGTGAAGTACGTATCTTGTCACGACTGCTTGTCACCCGTGTCCGCTCGAAATAGATATGGCGACATCGAGGTCACCTTACCTTTCAAGTCATCTCCGAACAAGCACGTATCACCACTGTCGGTGGCTGTCGTACTTGCGCTGCGCCTATATAATGACAGGCAAGACATGTGCACGACCATTCGAGTATAATCGACTCCCGGCTACCGCTCTCTCATGGTACTGAGCTCATGGGTCTGGCTCAATCTCGATGTCTTCTCGTCGCTTTCACACACAAGGTCACTCTTCGGATGCAGTATGCCATGTTACTGTATGACGATCTGTCATCCCGACGATGATGGCAGCTGTGTTTGTCGTTTTGAAGTATGTTCCCGGTTGTGTGTATGTAAGATGGGCATACTCAAATGATGTCGTGGCTTGTGGCTGGTGGCTCGGGCATGGTAGTGTTGGATGTGGCAGCAAAGGTCAGGTAAGTCTGGACATCAGTGAAAATATGGGTGCCGGTACCATATATGATCCAGATCACGGTATGGTATGGTATGGTTGGTTTGGCTTGCTTACGTGGATTTAGATTGCTGTCATCCCAGATCACTCGCATAACTGAATGATCGGATTAACCAGCTGCTTCATCTTTGTAGCATCATTTCGATTCAACATAATATCATCGCTACCACCCATTCACTCCTCTCCCGGTGGCCCATACATACGACCATTGCAACATCGTCAAGAACTGGAACAATCCTGCCGTAACGGCTATCCCAAGTTCCGCCTCTCCACTCATTAAACCAGCTACAAGCCCTATACTAAATGACAAAAGAGAGAGTGCCCCGAACACAATGACAACCTTGGCGCGTCGAATTTCCTGAATCACAAGTAAAGCGTGCATAACCTGGTCGCTTCCTGGATCTGCACCAAACTGTAGACGACTAGTCAAAGAGTCAGGTGTCGTATTGCCGAGTTCGGCGGGCTGTCGAAGTGCGAGGGTGTATGCTTCGCTATAACGCTTGCTTTTGATGAGGACCTCGCAGGTCTGAGCTTCAGTATCGTTCGAAGTTCGGACCTTCCAGTGTTAGAACTCGGACGCGTACTACAGAATCGAGCCCTACTGGTACAGCAGTAGCGGAATACACTACTGGGTCGTGCAGGACGAAGAGCCAGCTTAAGGATTTGGTCGATGATGAGCAAAGCTGCTGGACTTTTATAAAGATGCTTGCTTCTGTGTCTTTGGCTTCGACTTCTACATGGTCCAAATAGTAACGACCATTTTTTCCTTTGAAAATGATGTTCAATCGGGTGGTTGGCTCCGTGTCTGGCATGGTGGAGAGATAATCGTAGGTGCAGACCTCAGCACTGGACCGTATCCCTTTTTGTGGAAACAGCCATTGCTAGATTGTCTCGAGTTCTGAACCTCCAGAGTCCATTATCGTCTTCTGCGCACTCGCGCAACTCGCTTTCTTCTTCCACGTTCCGTACCTGCTCAGCGGAGATTCATCGCGATAATATGCACATCGTCAATCGGCATGCAGCTAAGCCTGCTTGAAGGAGCATTCTACGCAGCTGCGCGAGTGTGGCTTGCTCGCTCTTATCCCCGACTGGCATGCAAGATCGCATATGCTCTCCGTCTGACCCCTCCAAATATACCGTAGTTTCGTGAATATCAACGCACATCTAACGGACAGGGATATGAGCTGGCTTACGGTGACCGACGGTGGCCATCAATTTTGACAGCAGATTCTGTCATCACAGGAGTCGAATGTGACCTGCATGATTTTTTGCCTACGAGGATCAACCCAATCGATGGACAGAAAATATCTCTATCTGGTCTGTCGAGACAACTTTCATCAATCAAATCGACATTCGCAGAAGATAACGATGGCTATTCGGGTGGCTTCAGAGAGATGTTCGGATGCCACATGAGACTCCCGTTTGGCACTCGAGTGCACATCAACCCTACCGAGAGAGTCCGCATGCGAAACTCATGGAACAACTCATCTTCCCGAGATAACTTAGGGGCTACTATACTGTCATAACGATCAAATGCAAGGAATTCGAGACGGATGTTATCTCATTAATTAGACGCTCTTACTTGACTCGCGAAGAAAAGCACGGACGGAAACGCGAAGCGGCGTTCGAGCGTCTAAGGATTTAATGCAACGATTTTGGTGGAGAGACATCAGAAAAACCACGAAAACAACACCTTCTAAAAACCACGACAACAACAACGAATATCGCTAAATAATCCTATAATAATTACTAGAGCTATACTATATGCTAGTAAGTAAAGTCGTCCAATTTTTAGCATTATCTAGCGACTATTCGTTACGGAACAATTGTTAGAAAAATAGACAATTAGTACGGCATCTAAAAACGTCAGATTGCGCCCGGAGAGCTTCGGGCGCACGACGCTAGATTTCATTAGAAATCACTAATTAATTAACAACAATTCAACAATAGCAGCTATTTAGCTAAGATCTGTAAGTCTAAGTAATTGCTCTATTCTCTTCCTATCCATCGAAAAAAAAAGTCGAAAAAGTTATATTATAAATTTTGTGCTAGCTAAACGTATATCCTTGTATTAAGTTTTAAGAGCGGCGCACCCTTCTATGAGCTATATAAACTATGACTAATAGTAGATGTATAGCTGAATAATCTGAATATCTAAAAAGCTAATGTGCAAACGTACGTAGTAGACTAGTATACCTTTTAAAATGGTTAAAATCGCGTCGAGTTAACGACTTACTTAGTAGGGAGTATGCATTAACTCTTAGACCCTCTGCCAACACGCATCGATTTCTCTTACCAAAATTTGAAGTTATGTGACCTCTAACTCGAGTATAGCGGAGGGTCTAATTAATGAGATAAGACGGATGTCAAGAAATCGTACTCATCCGAGCAGGGTCGCCCCACAAGCACGGAGTTTGCGGAGACAAGCAAAAACGTCACAACTTTCACATGTCAATCAATGATTGAGAAAACAACTTTTCCTCCAACTTTCCACTTTCCATCATACCCAAAAATGGCAGACTCGTCAACACCATTGACCGCACTATGCAACATCTGCCACAGTGCACCGCCCAAATACACATGTCCCCGCGACAAAGTCCGCACCTGCAGTCTCGCCTGCTCGCAAGCCCATAAACGCCGCGCCGCCTGCACCGGCGTCCGCGACCCCAGCGCCTACGTCTCCAAATCTGCCCTCGCGACCGCCGGCGGCATTGATCGCGATTACAACTTTCTCAGCGGATTGGAGCGCAATATCGACCGCGCCGATAAAGAGACGACCGAACGTGGTGTTTCGTTATCTGGACATGGAAAACCTGTGTTTCAAAAACGATGGCATGACAATGGCGCGTTGGGAAAATACTTGAGGGAGAATGGGATTATGGTGCATAAGGCGCCGATAGGGATGGCGAGGCAGAAGGCCAATCAGACGAGGTTCATTCAGAAGAGCAAGAGGATTGTTTGGAGTGTTGAATGGGTTGTTGACGGCGAGAAGAGGATTGCCGAGGTTGATGAGTCGAGAACGATGCAAGAAGGATACAAGGAATTGATGCTAGAGAAAGAGAGGGAGAACAAGAAGAGGAAGAGAGCACACGATGACGCAAATGCAAAATCACAGAAGCAGAAGGTGCGATCAGAGAAGGTCGCGGCTGCTGAAACACAACCACAATCTGAGGGAGGCGCCATCGAGCAAGAAGAAGCTGTGCCCGAAGCGGAAATCGCAACCACAGTCGGCCCTACAATCGCACCTTCCGCAGACGATACCAAAACAGAAGATTCGTCAGAGCAACAACAACCACCTCCATCGCAGGATGAACCCTCGACGACAGCAGTCGCCCACTTCTACCTCCACAAACCGCACACCTCCTCAACGAATACCGTTCTCATCCCCGTTGCCTCAGACACCACCTTGACACACGCCCTCCGCCACAAAGACGTTCTCGAATTCCCTACCATATACGTCTTCAACACCAATGAATCCTCACATCCCCAGAATCCCGCTCTCGAAGCAGCACCGGCTGGCACGATCGTGAAAGATGATGGAAAATCGCAATTGCCTAAAGGCTTCATCACACTCGACCGATACAATCAAGAAAGATCAGCCGAGGATAAAGAGTTGATGGGACTAATGGAGTCAATACCCGAGGGACAAAGAAAGGTCGCCTTAGATGGTGGTATCTTTGGAGGTGTTGAAGAGAAGAGAGAAGAGGTGGATGAGAAACAGATACTTGAGGTGTTGCAGAGAGATGCAGATGCTTTGAAGGAGTGATTTGATCTACATTTGAGGAAACCATAATGGAATCCTATGAATTGCAGCACAATGAGTCTTTTGAGTTGACAATCAGATTCTTCGGCTCCAGTAAAAACATGAAGATATCTTATTAGGAAGAGACCGATTCCATGAGATACATTTCGCAGAGTTGGAATCTCCAAAACGGAGATAGATTGGTGCGCGTTTCGACGCGATCGCGAAGTCTTGGCGATATTTCGGTGCTTATGGGATGACCCTGTCAGAATAATTGGTCCTTTTGAACAGACCCTATCCGAAGAGCTCTATCCAGGTTGGTCCCTTCTACTGTGGAGTTCTATCATCATCCATACATCGGCAAGCTTGGTGATTTCTATGATGGTTGTTTAGTGGATTGTAGTGGCCATTCGATGCTGAAGTGTGTTGGCGTGGTTGACAGTCAATCTCCCTTGCTCGCACTCAGTCAAAGGTAAGTTTGTAATTTTGCACAATTCCGGTAGAACGACTGAAGAAAACAGGATTGAGCATCTGGACCAGCCATCTGTTCATCTAACTAATTATGCCATGTCTCTGACTTCAGGCGGTAGGGAAATCCAACTTGCGATGCAACCTGCTCACGATCTCGATGAAGTCCGGCTCATTCTGAGCGTTCAATACACCGTGACGGATGAAGAAGTCAAGCAAGACAACAGCACAGTTCGGCTTGAACTCGCCAGCCTTGAGTTTTTCCTTCAGCTCATCTACACCCATCAAGTAGAATTCCTCAACCTCGTCGTCGGATGGCTTTGGCTCTACGTCGCTGGGCACCTCGAGGTCGAAGATGTATTGACATTCCGGTTGCAACAGTCGTGTTTCTCCTCCGGCACGCGAGTCTCTGATATGGAAGTATGTGACTGTGCCTGCTGAATGTGCCTTTTCACGAACCAGATCTTCTGGCAACGAAGCTTCTTCGCTGGCTTCGCGCACGCAGCAGATCTGAGGGTTCTCTCCTGTAGCCATGCCACCTGCGACTGTGTTGTCAAGCATGCCGGGGTAGGTTGACTTGGTCTTTGAGCGACGTGGTGTCCAAATTTTCAGTTCACCAGATTCAGACTTTGTGTAAGCAGTCATGTGAATGCCGTAAGTGACAATGCCGAAGAGCGCGCTGGCGGCACGCTCAATACTGAAAAGCAAATCTCTGGCGGGAGCAGGGCCATAGACCGGATAGAGCTCATTGCGCCAGCCTTTGAGGATGGAGAAATGGCCAATCTCGCGCATGGCTGCTGTAGTTCTGGCGAGGATAGCGCTACGGGTGGGCTCATCGTCACCGGCTTTCAGAGTCAAGGTTCGCTCATCATCATCCAACTCCCATTCTTCGAGACCACGCAGAACTTCAGCGACAGAAGGCAGGACATAGCCGAGAGTGATTTCTGGATATGCGGCGACTCGTAAATGGTAATAAGTTGAGACGTGGTTGAGATAAAGTTGAGGAGTTGATTGGAAGTAGGGGAAACTGTCGCATTCGTTGACGAGGTCGAGGTTTGATTTGGGCTTTGATTCGTCGATAGGTTGTGGATCCAGAGAATTGATGGGTTCATCGCTGTCAGGCTGAGCATGAGGTTTGGTCTCTGCTTCAGTGGTTTGTGCAGTTGTGGCATCCGATGGCTTGTCGACCGGAGGTGGTGACAGCGAGGGCATTGATGGCAACATGTCGCGCACTTTATCTAATGAGAACATGTCCATGGTTGTTGATGAGGTTGGTTGCGCAGATAACAAAATAGTAAGCAAGGATTGAGTGTCATACAGACGCCGAGGCTCAGACGCTGCCGTGGGTTCGAGAAGCTGCCAGTCACACGAGAAGAGCTGGCCCCACAATCTTCAAGTGACGATAAATTCACATGAGTCTTGCGACAAGAAAGTCCTTCTCCATCGCAGAGAGTCACAAAATCCATATTTTCCGTCCACAAGCTAAGTCTACTTCATAGCGCGCGAAAATGTTTGGCCTCCTTATTGCTGGCCGTCCGATAGACGCGGCACCCCAAGTCATCTCTCAGACTCAATACGCCTTTCAGGTGCCGTCGCGACCAGCCTTCAACCATATCGCCGTCTTTTCCCTGCCAGGTCAGGAGCTGCCGCCCGATGCCGCTGCCGCCATATTCATCCAAATCCAACCATCGACCGAGTTCAAACTAGTTGGCGCGCTGTCGTCGCTGAGGCCGTCGACCATGTTCAAAATCAACACGGGCAATAATGTTGCGCCGGGCGCTGGAGAGGACGATCTCATGTTGGATGAGACCCCCGAGGGTGTCGAGGTGGGAGGTCCAGCCGTCGTCGTCGGCATAGAGATACAACCTGCCGCACAAGTCAAGGCTCTGCTGGCGGAGCAAAAGGCAAACTCGTCGACACAGCTGGTGCGGTCGAATCAGTCAGCTACGGCCTCTCCAGTCACAACAAAGGTTCTCGCCCAGCGCATCATCGCCAACGCTTTCAATTTCCTTGCGTCATTTGGTAGCGATACTGTCCCGCTCAAGGCCTTTGAGGCATGGTGGTCGAAGTTTGAAAGCAAGGTCAACAACGATCCCAGTTTCCTTGAGCGCCCGCAAGACTGAGCCGCCATTGACTCTGAATTTGCCGCCGCGGGTAGCACATCTCGATCAACTCGTTGCCCAGTTGGGTCAATACCGAGACGCGTTGGGAGAGAATGCACTTGTCCTCCACAAACACTTGCAACATCTGGCACATCGCCTCCTCACCTTTTCCCTCATCTGCCTTCAATATTCTCTGACTTCTCCATATTGTATCTGCCCCGTTGATCTCCGCCAGCGATCGTGCTCGGCAATGTTATCTGATCGGATGTTGTGGATACATGTGTGGCCGCGAATATGGCCGCCATTGGTGGAGGATCGTTCGAAGACGATACCATGGGGTTTGAACAGGCTGTGTGCATGCATACGCAATCTCATGGTGATTCAGAATATCACCGTGTAGTAGTATAACGGCAAACGAATGGAGGATGAGGGTATCAATAGCGCAACCTGCGCCGATCCTTCCTCCTGCATGCTTGGACGGAGCTGACATGCATGCACGCGGCACGCCAAGCGCGTTCCTGAATCTCGAAGCAGGAACGTCGCTTTCTCGATACCCTGCTTCTTGAAAGCATTTTGATCGCGATTATAGAGTATTACAGTTGGTCAGTCTGTTCTTTTGATCTTTCGAGCAAAATACCACAAAAGAAGATTATTCTCCCGTCTAAAATCCCATATCTCACGCGTCATGGCAGATTCGCCTTCAATCGACTCCATCATCCTTCTTCTCTTGCTGAAAAGACGTTATGATTGGGGTGGACTAACAACCGTTATACTTATGATAGAACACCCCACGAACTCCACATCCAACCTATAGCAGGCAAGCAGGATCTTGACACCCCACAACAAACCAGTATCCCATTGCCACTTTGCTTTTTGACACTTGAGCCGCATGGCAGTAAGACACTGTTCCAATTCATCGTGTTAATCATACCGCATCCTCCAGAATCCATACCCATACACAGCGCACGTTTCACTAGTCTAACAGAGGATTCTATTCGCCGGGTCGATCTTTCTGCTTTACCCTGCTACACGGCCTTGCTCGCCGTCACTCACTCCATCAAGCGAGCATAACGGTCGATAAAATTGCCGCTCCTTGGGACTGCAGCACCTGCGTGCCATAGGAGATCTTGCGAAATGAGCCATGCGATATTGTTTTCTCAGCAAATTGTTCAGCTCGTCGATGAGACACGGGAAATCCTTCCTTGTTGATGACGTCCCTGAATGGTTGTTGTTTGAGGATGAGATAGATATAAAGAGGGACCATCACCAGACACATTAATCTTCTCATCCACTCAACCCAGTCGACAATCAGGACCACCACGACCAGCGACCAGAGTCTTTCTCCAACAAGACAACACTTCTCTCGCTTTAGTGTTCTATACTTTCGTTTCCAGCAACAATGGTCTCCAAGTACGCAGCCTTGATGGCTCTGATCGGCTCTGTTGCCGCTCAGGGTTACTCAAACAGCAGTTCGATTGCTTCGACTACCTCTTCTGCCTCTGGTGCAGCCTACACCAACGGTGCTGAACCCACCGTGGGAGGCACAACTTTCCTCATCCAGACCGACACCACTTACAGTGATGCCACTGTCCTGACTCTTTCGAGAAAGAGACAGGCAAGCTCTGGAATTGCCTCTTGCTTGGCTACTTGCTCTGACAGCGATCGTTGTGTCGGCACCTCGTACTCGGACGACACTATGCAATGCACATACTACAGCAGCATTGACTCAACCTCGAGCACTCCCTCCCCCGGTACCGACTTCGCTCTTGTCCAGGACCGTGCTACCTCTTCCACCACCTCGGATGTTTTCAACGGCACTACCCCTGTTACTTCTGGATCTCCTTCCACCAGAACTTCCGGTGTTTCGGTCTCTGGCGCCAACAACTCCACTACTCGTGCCACTGGTAGCTCCACTCGCTCTGCTGGAGTTTCTGGAGTCAGCAACTCCACCACTCGTGCCACTGGCAGTGCCTCGCGTACTTCCAGCACTGTCTCTCGCACTTCCGGCTCTGTCCCCACCAGCGTCCCCTCCTCGCTCCTTACCATCAACGGTGTCCTCTTCCTCATTGAGATTGACATCAACTACCGTGGTATTACCATCGACTTCGCCATTCTGTCCAAGCGTGCTGGCGAGACCCTCGACCAGTGCTTGACCACCTGCGCTGCCAACGCTGCCTGTGCTGGTACCGGTTTCGAGGATGGCACCTGCACTTTCTACAGCTCTATTGAGGATGGAAGCCGCGTCGTCGATACCGGAAACACTTTCGCCACTGTAAGTATCAAAAAGTTGAATATTCATCCAACATTTCACTCACTATATTTCAGGTCATTTCCCGAGCTGGAGCCATTGGATCTGGCAACAATGGAACTGCCCCTGGCGTTAACGGAACCACTCCTGCTCCCGCCAGCAACGTCACCGCCGAGTCTCTTATCTGGTGAGTAGTTTTTTGGATTCACCCCCAGCACCACCATCATGCTAACTATTAAAAGTCCTCAATTCAATGGGCAAGTTATCGTTTCATCTGTTGATGTTACCTTCTCTGTCAGCTGTAGCCAGTTCTTGATCGGTGTTACATTTGATGCCGCTGGAGCCATTTTGAGCAAGCGTCAGGCCATGAACCTCCCTCAGACCATTTCCAACTGCGTCGACATCTGCTCCTTGTCTGAGGAGTGTGTCGGTACCACATTCAACGTTGCCAGAGGAGAATGCAGCTACTACAGCTCTGTTGACTACAGGTGAGTTGAAAATACATCGAGTTATACCGAAAATAGGCTGACCAAAATTACAGCGTTGCTCTTGACGGCTTCGATTCAGCCACCCGTGTTCAGGATAACTCTGATGGCAACGGTGAGGGCTCTGGCGCTGTCACCACCACTACCGTCGTCGCCCCCGGTGTCACTTCCACCGTCGTCGTTGGTGCCGCTACCACTGCCACCGTCTACACCACCTCGGTCATCACTGTTACTGTCTACGCTGGATCCGACTCAACTGCTTTCCCCTCGGGAGCTGTCGTCACAACTGTGTATCCCGTCGGAACAACATCCTATGTCAATGCTGTGCCTACCGTCACCCTTCCTCAGCAGCAAAACAACGCCGTCCCCACCGTGACAGTCACAGTCGGATCTGGAGCTGCTGTCGAGACCTCTGTTGTCACTGTCACTGTCGATTCAAACGGCAATGTTCTTGGTTCTTCCACTGCCGGTGCCGTCGCTGGTGGCGCCGCCGGAGCTGCCGGAGCTGCCTACCCAACAGTTACGGTTTTCGCCGCATGCACTACCCCTGCTGCTCAAGATACCGTGTGGACAACCGTATATGTTTGAGTGCTCCACACCTAAAGGTCACTGCTGGGTGTCCTCAAAGGTCGAAAATCAACTGATAACTTTTCGTATTTCTATCACGCAATTTGCATCTTGGTCATACATGGCCTAATGTAATACTACTAACTACTGACGCATCACAGCATGCGGACTAATGACTTTCCTTTATATCTGTCTATTTAATTACATACTCTTCTTGTAACCCCTCTTTGGGGTCTTTTGATAGCTTTGGTTACCTCCTTAGTTACACTTTATCTCTATGGAATCAATAATGTTCCCTATATACCTTCTTCCACTCTATTGTGCACTGTTCTTTGCCTAGTCATGACTTACTAACTATACGGGTTGCTAGAAGATTTTTTAAAACTTGAAACCACCCTTCCAATTCGGACGTGCAACTCAGCTATAAAAAGGCATGATGTCTTTCTTGTCAGTATACCTGCCTTGAGAGAGCATGTTGGGAGGATGCATTTCCCAATAGGTATGCGTTCAATCATCTAAGATTATGTACATCTTGATAGCTGGTTGGCAGAGTGCCTCAAGGGGTTGAAAAGCTCAATTGCTATCTGGATCATGGACTTTCACTTAGAACTGTTATCAATCATAGTAGCAGCAATTCAGCAACCCATGACATTCCCCTAGGTTCGTTTGATGCAAATGTGTCTGATTGCGGATTGCGATTGTTTGGTACGAAGCGAGGGATGAGTGAGCTACTTCTTCCAATGTGAGTATAACTCCGACAGTCTCACAAGAGCAAGGGAAAGACAATCAGATGAAGCATGTTTCACCTAATTTTGATATTCAAGATGTCCCTTGCCGTCGAGCTTGAGTCAAGCTGCAACTGTCGATGGTGGCAAGTTTAGGCTGTAGATCCCCTATACACTTGGTAATGACGCCCCTCCTCATCCGACATCGCATTCCTGATCAGATGCAACTCAACGCGCCTTCTCAATCAAAGTATGCGATGTTGGAATATGTCTTCAGCTTGGCTAGCAATTTCCCCTCTTTGGCTGTACCCTCTGCTTTTCCAGAAGGGTTGCCTGCGACTTCCTGAGTTGCCGCATGTCGTTGAACGGCTGATAAGATAAGGGCGTTATTACCGACTTCCGAAATCCGAACCCCAAGCACCGAAACGTCACCAGCCACGCGCGACTTGACACTTTCCCTCGATCAACCCGTTGCCTAGGCTTACGTGGACCTGGTCGATTTCTTTCGACAATTCTTGAGTGACTTTCCATCCTGTAAAACCACACCTATGGCACACATGAGGAATCTTACTCTGTTTCCTACACGACGTTGATCACAACATTGACCTCTCCACCATCTGGATAGTTCGCGCCGAAAAAGTCCCGCAAAATGCTCCCTTCAATGGACGATTGCAATGAGTGCAGGCCTGCCTATCTACAGCGCAGACTTGACTCTTTCCCGCCTTCTACGATAGCTTTATCTTCTGCGCCTTTTGCCTTGACGTTCCTGGTAACAGCTGTAGCTGTCTGGCAGAAAGTTGTGCCGCACCTTTCATCATCAAATTCCCCAAAAGACCAGAACATACCATTCTTCAACCGAGAATCCTTGCGCTCAAATAATCACGGACTCGGCTCGTTACAGAACATTTCCTTCAAAAGCATTGCTGCCGTCACCTTCTCTGCGACAATTTCACTTTCCGCGGTCCTCGTAGAGCTGATCTTGTGCGAAATCTCGAATCTGTTGAATCCAGCAGCCAGAGGATTGGCCTTACGCATCACCCTATTCTCGCTTCTGATCCTCATCATCATTGTTATTCCGAGTCTGGAAGTCCACTCTCTGGTCACTGGATCGCGTTCTCGGTCTGAGATCGGCACTCAGAATTCACGCAAGTCTCGTCCAACCCTTCGCTACACATTCGAAGCTTTCCTTTTGGGAATCTGGTTCGTTGCCTTCTGGTACATGCCACACACATCGCTTCTTCCAGCTTCACTACATTCGCAAGCAGGCCACCCGAGCAAGGAGAAGGACTTCGACTTTGTTGAGGCATGCCTTGAGCGAGTGGGCATCATAGGAATTTCTCTCATGGCTTCTCTGGCTGGATTTGCTGCGGTTTCCTCGATCTGGCAGACTTTCGGCGTACGACACCGTGCTGTCCGTGACACCGACATCTCGCGCAAGGAGAGTGGTTTGGCAGCAACCAGAGACATGCTGGCTGTCAAGCAGAGTCGCCTTCGCGCATTGCAACGCAAGATGTCCGAGGCACCACAGGACAAGGGTGGAATCATGACCAGAATGATTGGTTCGATCAAGGGAAATTCCGACACGAACGAGCAACGCAGTCTCGAAATGGAAATCTCAGGTCTTGAAACGATGTCCATGACCCTGGCATCATCCTTGGCGACCATCAAAACGCGATATGCCACACAACAACGCTCTCAGAACAGCCTTGGACGACTCTTGAATATGCTCAACTTTGGTTTTGCAATCTACTGTTTGTATCGTATTGCAGCAACATCCATCTCTTCAATGCGCAGGTGGTGGCAGCCAGATGCAACCTTCGCGACCTCTGATCCCATCAACAACGTCCTGGCTCTACTCACCACACACTATGACCCTACACTCGACCGCGAAGCATGGTCCCGTCAGATCTCATTCGTGCTATCAGGAGTCATGCTTTTGCTGTCATTCAACGCTGTTCTCCAGACCTTCCGCCTCTTTACCCGATTCTTCCCAAGTTTGGCTGCTCATGCGCAATCTGCGCTCCCGCTCGTCATCTCGCAAATCGCTGGCGCTTACGTCATCTCATCTGCACTATTGTTGAGGAGTAACCTGCCCAGCGAGGTCAGCAGTGTTATCAGTGAGGCGTTGGGTGCACCACTGGAAGGCAGATTTGTGGAGGCTTGGTTTGAGAGCTGGTTCTTGGTTGCTGTTGTGCTAACGAGCATCGGTATCTTGATCAGTCGTAAAGTGGGATCATCTGCTGATTGGGAAGACTGGGAAGATAATCAAGACATGGAGATGGGAAAACTGCATTAATGTCGGACACCATGTATTATGGGTTGGGTCTTGATGGTGAACAGGAAGGCGTATTTCTAAGGTAGGATTGGCGTTCTTCAGGGATGGTAGATAGATTGGTTCGATACCCGCATGGCATATCAGAGGCATTGGCGTAGGAACATTTGATTTTGTGTATTAGATTAATGATGATTTGCCGTCAATGGTAGTTGAGACCTCAGTTCTGGTTTCGGAGCAACATATGAATTTCTTGCAAAATGCCTTGTATCTATATTTTCCTAAATAGCAGTAGGTGAAAATTCAGGGGCTGTCAGTCAAGCGTGCTTTCCCAATTCTCACCTTACCTTGCTCTTTCCAATCCGAGGCGGGGAGCGAATCGTACATCTTCTCTCCCATCATGGCTACCGAAACATTTTACAGGTGGCTCCAAGAAGACTTAGTGAAGCGATCTAGGCCGGCGTGGTTGCTGGAGCCTTGTTACGCTTATGAGCTCCATCGTAACATCCTCACTTCACATGAACCTATCTTCTAGTCAATTGCCACCAAATCACCATCAGATTCGCATTGACAACGTTTCACTTGAGAACTGGATTTATCGACTGTTCACTTTTGGCACATGGCGCTGCCAACAACAGCCAATTGGACTGCACGCATCAACACGAATATGGTACTTTCCAACGACGAGCGATTCACCATGGCAGAGAAGGAAGCGCACATGCTCCTCGAATACCCAGAACTGTCCCAATACTTTCGGCTTCGAAACCTCATCTTCCTTGCTCAATCTGTGGAGAGCTGGTATAATGGCAAGGTAAGCATTCCGATCTTGCTATGATATAGCAGCATCCTGACTTGTCAACAGTATTACCGAGACGCTGCTGAAGATATGTGGTACAGTCTGCGTCGCATGTGGCCTGCTAAGACCGCTGGCTCGGACAATAATATCGTGATGGACAGACTTCGCCGCTTTCTCGACGAACTATATGAAGACATCCTCGAAGATCGACCTGAGAACTGGTACAACCCTCATGGTCTCATTGAGTGTAAGAGCGTTACTCGATGAAGATGAAGATGAAATGTCCGACGAGCTAGAAGACGGTGATGTATTCGAAGAACATGTAGATGTCTCACACCAAGAAAAGCAGGAAGCGGACGGGTCAGACCAAGAGAAGGAGCTTGAAGACGAAGAGCAGACTCTTGAAGACAGAATACCGCAATAACCCGATGATTCTGAGTTCGACGATTCAATCACGAACCTACTTTTCGATCTTGAGAACGAGAGCAGCAAGCTATTCACTTCTTCTGCGATCAATGAAGGAGACAGCACATCACCTCACTTCGAGCCACCCACCTTCCTCGAGACTACCGAGAAGGTCACTGGCGACGATCATTCTGTCGCTTCTGCCGACACAAACAAGCAGGATGAGTCGAACAGCACTCTTCATCTCCGTGATTTCCACAAGCTCTTCGCCGCGGAAAAGTCGGTACTCGGAGTAGATCGAATCGAGAGCCAGACAGAGACTATCGTCACCAACAAGTCAAGCCCCGACACCCTCAAGATTGACGGCAACCTGATCGAAGAGGCGAATGTGCAGCCTGACAAGTCAACCAAGGAAAAAGAAGCCGAGCCCAAAAACACGTTGGACAAAGACAAGGTTCAAGACACATAGCCCAAATGTGTCAGCAGCCAGGAAGAAGCCGCCATTCTCGACGACATACCTTCGAAGAAGCGCAAGGCCGCCGACCGACCTTCTACTAAGGTCAACGAGATCCAGAGTGTGCTGTCATCTCAGCACAAGTCTTACATCGAGCCATCCAAGCAAGACGTAACCACAATTCTTGATGATCCTGCTCCAAATAAGCGCATGAAGAACGACTAATCTGCTGCTGCGTATTTTGAAGAGGACATATACAAGACAGTTGACATGTACAAGACACTCGACATCTACGGTCAGTCTCATGAGCCAGTCGACAAGAAGAAGAGAGATGCTACAATCAGCAGTACCAGTCCGGTCAAGAGAAATGTGGGCGATCGCTTTGTATCCTAGAAGTCGGAAATGATCTCGAGAAAGAGTGTTTAGAATGAGTAAAAGGTCTCCAGCCGATCTGTTGCTGAGAATCAAAGAACATTTTAGAGATATCAGTGTTCCCGAAAATTCTGCTAATGAGACCAACGAGAAGAAGTAAGGCTTGAGTCTGACCGAGACTGACCAGAAGCAAATCATGTTAGGCCACCAGTGTCGCATGAAAACCAAAAGGAAGGACAACGAGATGTCCAGGAATGGTCCCGTTGGATTCTGTTCAGAAGACAATGTTGCTGATTATGATTGAGAGGATACGAAATTGAACGAGTTGCTGACAACGACATCACCTAGATCGCCTTCACAATCTCGTCCCCGGTCACCTACCGAAGACTTGCCTTCATCCCCAATCAGACCCAAGCTTACTCACCTACTCTCTGGTTTCACGGACTGCTCCAACGCTGCTCCCAATATCACTACCCAAAATGTCACTGTCCAGGCTCAGCTGGTTCGCCGAACAAGTGTACCAGGATTGGATACAACCGGGTTCGGCGTGCTGACGAATGCAGAAGCGGACAGATCGAACAGCCAAGAGAACGCAGAATCCAGGGAAAGAACTACGAACTGGAAGGACAGCGCCAGGGGCTTGAAGAGTGCCATTGGCGATTTCGAGGGAACCTTGACACACCACGACAAGAAATGACGTCCGGACATTCTTTCGGAATCTACATACGCGATCGATTTGGGAATTGATGGTGGTTGTGGAGACAGAAGAAAGAAGAAAGCCTCGAAAAGAAATGTATCTAGTGCAAGACTTCTTCCGATGTTCAACTCCAAGAAGTGAGAATAGAGACCATCGGTAGCGCGAGCAGAGCAGTCATCAATGAAGCTCACAAAAAACCCTTTACTCCTTGAAGATTATTAAGGAGTGATGTCGAGGTTGGAGGTCATGGTCGTATACTTCTTAAAGTCATGGCGATGTGATTGAGGATGAAGGCTTGCTTGTATCGTTCTTTCTCCGTTGGTGATTGGAGTCTTGAGATGATCAATCTACATGGTTGATCTCTCTCATACACGTATTTTCTTTCCTGCCTCTGCCGAGGAGCAGGCAGAGGCTTGCGCGGAACCTCCATGTCTTGCAGCACGAGACGGTGAGGTCAAGACTGATGGTTGATTGAGATGGCTGAAAGCGGCCTGATATACTCGAGTAACCAGTTCATCGTCTACTTCAGGATGACAACGATGGCTTATCCGCAGTTCAGATGACACTGTCTTGATGATTTAACAAATTTGTGAAAACCGAAATGACGGTGTAAGCAGAGTGGTTGCACAGAATAGGCAGGTGGGGAAAGAGATGAAGCGGGAGTCACAAAAAGCGGGGTTTGGCTTCTCCCTCTTTGGTCACAGCTGAGCGTCTTACATAAGTCTTGCTTAGTGATCATTGCGAGTTAAGCCAAAGCGACAACCAAGACAAAGTAAGTTCGGCAACCACATCCAAGCCATATATGTCCGCCGAGATGGACACTATACGAGATGGAATGCTAACCGGCGCAGCTCCCAACACAGTTACGGCGGCATTGCGACCAAGACGACGACCATGTCTTCGGCTGCAGTAAGTCATAATCCATCGAGTCCGAGGCATGAATGCTGACAAAGTGCGCAGGACTCGCAGGCCTTCGAGATGAGTAAGACGGGCTTTCCTTTGCTATAGCATACTCGGCGACTGACATGGTGCGCCTCTAGGTCTGCGCGACCAACTCATCGCCGCTCAAAACAACCATGCCCCTCCCACCCAGCAGCAACAACCTCTTGTCCACGCCCCACCTGCTTCTTCCTACGGCGCTCATCAGAGTCAGCAATCCAGCCAGCAGCATCACCACGATCAAGTCATGGCTATCCAGTCATATGGTATGCCCCATCAAGGTGCCGATCTAGCCCACCCCCATGGAGATGCCGCCAACCCCAACACCCAAGGAACTGCACCCGCCAAGAAGGGAAGAAATCAGCGCGAGCTCTCGAACACAAAGCGCGCCGCCCAGAACCGTGCCGCTCAGCGTGCTTTCCGTTTGCGTAAGGAGCAACACATAAACCAGCTGCAGCAGGACATCAAGAGGTATGGGACCGCCGAGCACAACCTCAACATTGTTCAGCAAGAGAACTCTGCCCTGAGAGCCTACATCACTGAGCTCCAGACAAGAATGACCGAGAAGAACATGAGCTATCCTCCTGCCCCTGAGCCCATGCCACTGCGTTCTGCTGAAATGTCGACCGACGACAACCAGTCTCCTCCTCTCCATGACCAGGACCAGGACCAGACCTACCCTAACACGTCTGATCGCCAGCCCTCTCAGCATAACCAGCATGACCAGCAGCATCACTACCCTGTCAACTCTCCTCCTCAGAGCCATGCTGCTGTCGTTCACGTCTACCCTCCACCAACCCTTACTCCTTCTCATGACCAACACCACCACCGACATGACCCTCTTGTTCACACTCAACACGCCCATCATGACTCCGCAAACGACCCTCTTCCTCCAGGTGCCATCAGTCAACTCCAAGCTGCTGCCGCTCAAGCAGGTGACATGGATCGTCCTCACGCTCCTTCTCCTACGCATCGTGACCATCACCAGCAGGCTCATCCTCAGGACGCTCAGTATGTGCGTGCAAGTGAGTATCCCGCTCACAAACGTCCCAGAATTGACGACGAGCCTTCTCACCAAACACGTAAGCATTCACTCGTCCACTTTCTGTTATTCACACATACTAACAATCAAGCAACAGCCCCGATCGACAAGCCAACCGCTTAGAATGCGCATGGCGACTTGTCGGATGACTTTGTTGATATAAACACTTTGGATCCCCAACTCCGCTCTTCGCTCGAACTCGAGCTCGAGCTCTTTGGTGACGACAGTGATACTTTCTTCCAGATTGACGGCATATTGCCTTCAGGTGCCGATGTCATCGACCATCAGTGGGATCCACTGGCTGACTGGAGACTCTAGCGACGGCCGATCACATGGCGTTACGAGCACTGCTTTCTCTTTCTAGCTCCATTCGCCGCAGCAACCAAGCCCCCAAAAGACGAGCACATTTCTGCTGAGGTTAAAGGGGTTTGTTACCTCCTTTTTTGCATTTACATCTCCTCGGGTTCTCCGTTCTGTTTCTTTTTGCTTTGCTGCATTCTGAGTGCGACGTTTAATAGAGGTAACGATTACGAAATCAACACAGCGATGGCGCATAGGCGTTTCTCTGCTTTCTTACTTGATGTGCTTGCTTCATCGATTGCATTGTTTGTGATGGTGATCGATTTGACTCCTTGATAGGACATCGTTTCTTTCCGGCAACTGAGTCGATTATGCTTTGCTGCCACCATTCTAACAAGACCGTGTTCGTACTCGAGTCGTCTGATTGATTGCTTCTACTTTGTTCGAATAGCTCGCGCTGTCACTGGGTGGTTTGGTAGTTCTTACAGTACATCTATCACTCGCTTATATGCTCAAGATCCTCTAATACTTTTAGGTGAGAGTGAAAGAGAGGGAATGTTGGATAAAGATATAGGTAGTGGTCTGAGCGGACGATGAAGTTGTTTGATCGATTGAACAGACCTGCTCGCATCTGTATCATCGTACATGATTGAAGCTTATGAATTCAGCATCTCGGAATCGGTAAGGTGGTATGTCGTTCAGAAATATGTCGTCTCCAGCTAATCACACTTTGAAAACTTTCTCAGCAAGAAACAGCAATACCATGTCCATTCTTCCTGTCGCTATCGAAGGGTTCGTCACAACAGCAAGCTCCATCTGCCCCTGAGACGCGTGTAAAGCGTTTCTCTTGTGTACATAATAAATCTCAACAGTCTCTTGATCAATGCCCACCACCTTCATGCATCGTCTCCACATCAGCAACAGGATGACTAGAGACCTCAAACATATTGATCGCTTGACCAGGTTCTCCAAACTTCTCAGGTAACGAGGTCTCTTTAGACAGCTTTGGCGGAGGGTCCACTCGCTGTCCTGATGGTGGTGGATGATCTATATCAGGGAAGTTTTCTTGCGGGACGGTGGCATCGTGGTAGCCAGTTGGTAAATCGGTTTCTGGTTCGAGGTGTGCTGGTTCTGGTTGATCGACTTGCATGGCGGCTTGATCCTTCTCCTCTGGTTGGGCTTCTGTTTCCTTGGTTGCTTCACCATCTTCTGGTTGTGTTGAAGCCTTTTGCTTGTTCCTCCCTTGTCTCGCTTGCTCAATCAACCTCGTGAAATCATCCTTGTTTCCACTACTCCAAGCTTTTGCGTCGAAATCTTTCTTCATGACTTGATTGCTTGTTCCGAATTGATCTGGCTCGCGACCGATAGAACGATCCCACTTTCTGAGTTCGTCTAGGAGTTCTCGTTTCGTGCGTGGAGCACCTGCGTCGACGTTTGCGTTCCAGAGATTCACCCACTCTGTGTGACGGCGTGATAACAGTGCTTTTGAACCGGTGGAGGGGATACCGAGTTCGGCGAGTTTCTTGCGGAGGGCTTTGTCGTTGAGAAGGGAGTAGTTCAATTCGGCGAGGCGATCTGGGATCGGTTTTGGGGTTGCTGACGGCTGTGGCGTTTGATTCGTTGTGGTAGTACTGCGTGGGGGTTGTTTTTGCTTTTGGGATGGAGAGGTACAAGCTGATGTGCCGATGTGATTGAAGACGGTCTCTTCTTTCATGCGTGTTTGACAGATTGGACAGGCTACTAGACCGTCGTCTGGTGTTTGGGCTCTTTCTGGTTGGGTGCCGCCGTTTTCAGTCCATTCAGCATCACTGCCATCGTCGTCTGCTCCGTCGAGAGTGGCGGGTTGTTGGTCTGCTTGTTGCGTCCTCTTGCTTTTACTCCGTGTAGTGCGTACTGTCAAGTCGCTGCCTCCACTATTTCTCTCGGTCCTCCGTCTTTTGTTGGGTCGACTCGGGGCTTCTTCTTTCTCTTTCTTGTCCTTTGTCGCGATTTCCAAGGCAACAGGCCTCGCCGTCTTGAATGCGCCCACGACTTCCTCCAAAGCCCAATTACGGCGCAATTTGCTAGCTTGATCGTTTGCTCGACAAGCTGGACATTTGCCGTCAACAGAAAGACAGCGACGGATACATATACTGCAGAAGGTGTGCGAGCATGTCGTGACCATTGGCGTCGTGTAAAAGTCCTTGCACACTTGACATCGTAGTGAGTTTTCGAGTGCCGAGAAGGGTGGTAGCGATGTGTTTAGCCAGTCGCTGGGATCTGAGAGTTCGTTATCCATGATTGATTAGGTGTTTGTGTTATGCAACTGGTAAGCGTAAAGTGGAAAGAATCGGGAAGGTTCACTCGAAGGCGACGCGCCGCTGCACGCGACCCTTTGTTCGAATGAAGCGCGCTTTCCTTTTTCGGCCAAAATTGATCAAGGACACTCACCTCGAGTCAACCCATATTCTTTCACAAATGGAGGTGAGATGTCCGAGGGAGGGGTTTCCTTTCTGAAAAGACTGATTCATAGCCGTCGTTAAAGCATTTGGATATATTGACAAATTTCGTTTCTCATTGCTCTCATTGCACATAGCCTTCCATCATCATCACCATCATAAATCCCATCAACCTCCAAATCCAACCCATCCAGAAGATCATTAGTTCGTACCTGCGAAATCAAACATCAAAAAAACCTTCATCAACTAGCAGGGATAACAGTAACACCATTCGTACCAACAAATACAACTTGAACAGATGCAAGCGCCACACTCGCCGTGAAGATCTCAATCCGGGTTGCCGATGTGAAGAATGCCAAACAAACACTGAAAGTCGCGCTCCAGAGTCCGATAAAAATCAAGCGCCAGATAAGGACGGGGATATAGTATAGAGCGATGATACTGCTGGTAGGGAGCAGTGATGCGAAGAGGATGCTGATGTAGAAGGCCAACTTTTCCAGTGCTGCACCACTATACATGTGTCCGCCAAATTCTGCATCTTCCTCCAGTAGGCGACGTCCAAACATTACGTGGAACCGTTTGACCACTTTACTGCGGACCAGTTCTGTAAAGCTATCGGGTGCAATGTGACCAGATAGACTGACAAGATCGGTTTGTGTTGCTTTGGCTCTTTCGTGAGCTCTGGCTCGTTGCTGATCAGTCTCGTACTTGGCTTTTTCATCAACGTTGAGACTCCAGATCGTATTCTCAGGATGATGCAGCCATTCTTGATCGCTGTTGTGACCATGGACTTCACTATCGCAGATAAATTCTCGGAGACCTCGCACTTCGCCGTTGGTAGGTCGCGGTAGGCTGTAAAGTTTGTGTTGTTGGATGAGAACCTCATCTTGGAGTTTGTATCAGTATTTGGCAAGCTTTAATCATGCCGAGAATGTGGGAGAGGACTGCCGCAGAGGTGGTTGATCAGGGGTAGTACTTACTGTATTCCTTCAACAACTTCCGCTGATCCTCATACAGCTTCCATCGGCTACGAGCTTTTGATCCTTCTGGAGCTGCTCTTCCGTTGTGAATACCACGCATGCTAAACTGCAGCTGCCTCAGATCTTGATCACGTTGATCATCAATCTCAGTCTCGTAAAGCTCTTCCTCGATATCAAGCAGCTCCGCCTGCAGATATAATAGATTGCGCGCATTAAGTTCGGAGAAGCGACGAAAGATTGCAAACCCAGGTTGCTCGCCGATGAATCTTGCTAGCTTAGGATAGCCTTGTAGTGCTGGTCGTTCGCGAACCGAGTTCTGACGTAGCAAGCCTGGTGACACAAAAGTGGACTCGGTGTTATATGTATTGTACGAGATGGGCGAGAAATGAACAGAAGAGCTAGCGGCAGAACTGGTCCTCGAGTCTTTGCCGACAGCTTGAACATTCGTTGAGATCCTCGGTTTTCCAGGTCCAGAAGGCTCAACAACCGGAAGCTCGTACTCGCCAGCCATTGTTGGTGGCGGAGGTTTTGATACGCGATCGTGAAGTCGTCAAAATAGCAGAGGCGTTGTTGAGATGTTCCGGCAGCATGAAAAACAGGAAAGAGAGGAGAAAGAAAGTGTCACACAAGCAAAGCGTTCTCTCCTCTCCGTCGAACCCAGCCTACCTGCATGAGTACCGCCCCACCTCGCAATAAAGCACTTGATTGGACATGTCATGCATGAGCGAATCGCATATCACTAGGGCCAGAGAGGCTGATGTTCTGCTTGCCAAGAGCAATGCCTCGTCGCCTGAGTGGTGATGGGTTGAGGAAGTACCGGTGAAGGAAGGGAAAGGCGCGACTTGCATGATGGGATCGTTTTCCTAATTTAGGTACGCGGGATGATGAATACTCAGCAACAGTATGGTGTGCACGCCCACTCCAATGCACTTTCTGCCCGCAGGCTTGCCTTAGTGCTGATTAACCCGACATGTCGCGTCCTTCGTGGAGCAAAATATATTGCATTCCACCAGGACTTGGCCGCTATTCGCAGAAAGCTGCCATCAAAATAGAGGGCTGTCGTAGTGAGCTCCGCCATGGACTGCCTCAGCACATGAAAGACGGCTGTGCCTGGTGGCTTAGAGGATTCTATAGGTAATAATACTTAAGACATGGTTGTCAAGAAGGAGGTACTCCCAACCTATTTGTTTTGCTCAATTCGCACCAGTTTGATACTCATATTGCAAAATATACACACCAATTCACAAGTATCAAGAATCCCGAAAACACACGATCATGGATACTCAACAATTGACACCCGCACTTTCTGTCGACGACTCGCCATCACTGTCTGATTCCGAGTCTTCGTTTGGCATTCCAGCCGAGCAAGTAGACATTATCAGAAACATCGTCGACAAATGGCACAAGAAGCCTCTCCAAATAGCTAGCGACATTGTTTCAGCACTGGTACAACACTTTCTCAATATCTGCATTACAAAGCCATACTAACCTCAACATCAGGAAGGAGGCGATCACACACACATCCCTCTTATCGTCCGCAATGGCGAAGACCAAGAAGTAGTAGTCTGGGCCAAATGCGACACAGGCGCCTGCGCAAACTTCATAACCATGGCCCTTGTCCGCAAACTCAAACTCGAATATAGCCTGCAAAAAATCGACGACTACGAAGCAGCCAAATACCTCGAATCTCCTCCTCGCGATCACCTAGGTGTGGGTTTGATCAAGAAGGTGTGCAGTTTTGAAGACCGCGAGGTCAGCATAAACTACATCCTACCCATCACATTCCAGACTGGCAAGTTCAGGAAACAGCATGAGAAGGTTGAATTTGAGGTGTTGGAAATTGGCGATGGGATTACCAGTCCTGCTGCCAATGAGAAGACGGATTTATTCTTGGGTGCGAGTTGGTTGTTCAAGAATGAGGTGTTTATGTTGAGGAAGAGTTATTATGTGGACCCGCCAAAGGACTTGCCTGTTGTTGAGACGGTGCCTACCTTTGACAACGAGTTAACGCCGATCTCAGGAAGACCTGGTAACAACGTCTTTATATCGCGAGGCACTCCTTCAATCAAGTTGTCAGCAACTGCTGGACCGCCTAGACTGCCGAGAGGTCGTATGGCATGATGGTGAGAACTGGCTTGGTGATATGGTCTGGGTCCGACAATTGGGATGTCATGATACATTTTGTACTCAAGAGGCTTACGGTCAATATGATTGGTTCTGGTAGATTAGGTTAAAGACTTTTGTACGGTGTATGATTGGCGTATGTTACAGCAGTGTTCTCTTCAACCCCCTGAGTGTGGCCAGTTTCTGGCATAGATCCGGCATCCTCAAAATTGCCCTTTCCTTCAACATCTTGCCTCGACGCGGTGATTTCGTCCACTCGTGAATTTGGATCGGGTTCTTATCGCTTGAGTCAATTCCCGTGATAATGTCGCTTGGAAGGTCGTCCCCTTTTTCCTTCAGACTGTAGTCGACGCCTTCTCGGGCGGCTGGAATTCAGTGTTGGCTGCTGGTGGATCTTCGGACTTGTTGGGAAGGACCTTATGCTAAGGTTCGTGGTATCATCCAATCCTGCCTAATCTCGGTCTGTCATTACCAGATGCTGATGTGGCTCATCCTGTCATCTCAATATCGGTAGCCTTGACCACCTCTTGCTTGCCATTGTCGGCGACTTGAGAACCGATCTTAACCTCGGCAGCTTCCCTGACGGCTTCAGCGAGCACGCTTCTCGATAGACCTGCAGCGTCGACAGCGCGATCCACAAGTGTCTCGAAGCCTTCACCAGCATCACCCTTGACCCACAACTCTGTGAGTTCGTCTCTTGATTGGAGATGTGCGACTACAGCAGCAGCGCGCAAATCATTGTGTTCGCTCGGACAGGGGTCCAGAACTAGCTCTCCCTTTCCTTCACCAGCGAGTGCAGCAACACCGCCTGAGACAAGGTCCACGCAGTCGATTCCGGCATCCACGATGGCAGCACTCGCAGCAGTGACGCAACCAGCAAGGACATTCATGAGACCAACGCCTCCAATGTTCTTCTTGCTAGCATCATCATCGCGCCACCAGTCATCCTCCTCACTCTCCAAAACCGTAATGACGACTTCGGCGGCGGATTTAGGCCAGCGCTCTCCGATGACCACACCTCGTAGCGCAGTCTCCAGATGCAATCCCAGGTCTCTTTCTGCAGTATCGCGCAGATAGCCTCTCCTTTGGCGACTAGCGAACGGCGCAAACTTGACGTGTGTGTTGAGGAGTAGGTTCGGGCTGAATGCAGCGGTACGAGGAAGTGGTCGCGGACCGTGGACAGTGCAGGTGAGTTTGAGGGTGCCGCTCTGAGCTACCAGGGTCGTTCTTGCAGCATCGGTAGAAGGGTGGAGTTCCAAGTATGCTGATCCAGAGGCAGAAGGTACAAGACCAGTTTGTAGGAAGATTTTACGAGACTCAGATGATGGGCGTTGGCGAGCTGGTCGCTGTGATGATGTCGATTCTTGTGTAGGAACGAAGACGGGTGCAGAGGTTCCTCCTGCAGGCGCATTGGTACGACGACGGTCGGCCATGGTGAACGGATATATGTCTGGTGGTTGACTTGAATTGACTGAAATGTCTCTTTCGATGATTTCTTGAACTGCCTTCCTGCTCCAACTTCGGCAAGATGCGTGACGCCGACGTGCATGGCCCAAGCTCGAATTTTCTGCTACAACCTTCTTCACCAAAGCTTTCCAACTTTCTTCCTTCCACTTCACACCCCTCACCTGCCATCACGCGCGCGCAACTCTTTCAACAACATGCGAGACCGCTGGGGGCTTGCCGCTTTTTCTTCTTCTTTTTTGTGTAAGTTTCTCACCACCACAATCACCACTGGTTAGGAAGAAAACCCAACACTACTAGTTGGCGATCAACCCTCGGGGTTTCCTGAGCCATAAACTAACATGCACTACCATCTGAACCACAATCCTCATCAATCCTTCACACATCACCTGATATTGGATGAAAAACATGTGCTGACCTGCGCAAAGCTTTCTAGTTTCTTGCTTTCTTCACTTGGCTTGGCCATCTGTCTTTACAGGCATGAGAGTTCTTCCACTCCTCGCATAAAAGTCGTGCGCTTCGGGGCGGAAGAATTCTTGAACACTGCCAAAGGTACGCTACTCACTTTTCTACTTCCTTCCCCCCCACCTAGCCAAAGGTGTTTTCAAGATGATTGTATTATTATTCAGTTCTGCTACCAAGAAAATTATGCGGATACTCATACACCAAGCTTACCTGTCTGATCCAAATTCACCTTTGGCTTTTCTTCACATCCATCATCAACAACTCTTGATGATCAATCTTGCTAACAAGCATTCAAGACAGGTGGTTCCTGCACTCACAGACACGCGCACTCATGCACACATCAAAGGGTAAGCTATTCTTCCCTTCATCTCAACACAACACACCACACCACATCACCCCTCCCCCACAACGCAATGATGACAACTAGTCAATCCATTCAATGAAGTTTACCTATACCCGCCGAGCCCCCCTCCCCGATACCCTACCTGTGTTTTAAGTCCAGGGATGACGGGTTGTGGAGTTACAATTCAAACCTTTCTAGTAGTTTGGCTTCGGTCGAATGGAAAAAAGGTATAATGGGGCTTCCGTGTGCTGAGAAAGTTCACTCGTCTTGGGTGGACGATTTCGGTGCCGGTGGGAAGGGCTTGAGTAAGACGGCTTTCTGAGTTTGCGTAACCAAATCACAATTTATCACATGGGTGGTGTTTCGAGATGGCTGTTTCGAAAGTTCCTTTGCTGACTTTCTATTCAAGTAGGTATTTGATGGATGGATGTTATTGTTCGGTGCATGGCGTTGTCGTCATTCAACATTGCGGCCGCCTGTTTATATAGCTTGTCAATCATAATGTCTTACCTTTGCATCTTTTGCCTGTTGTTGAGTGATATTGTCTGCCTCGATGCTTCGTGTAGCTCATCAGAAAGAGCTTTTCAGTCTCCTCGACACCTCTATCTCTGAATGCACCACGCGAACTTTGCCATTGACATCGGTATCATCGCACGATGGGTACCTGAATCTATCCATCTGTTGCCAGAAACGAGCATGATAATTCTGCCTTTCACCCTTTTCATATTGGACTTGCCCTAGCAGATGGACCATTTTAAGAGATGTTTCTGGTTTCGACTGCTCATTCTCACGTACATGTAAACAGGATATACAGTCGATTGGTCGTTTAAAACATAATTGTACATTTATTTCTCTGGTATGCGCCAACCTCTAGACAAAATGTGGTAACAGCATCTCTTTTGTATGCCGTATTTCTCCCTCTTCGCCATGCAAGTAGTTTTCCCTTCCAAAGCCGGATTAATAAAACATGTGGGGTTCTCTAGTAAGTGGTATTCAAAAAGAAGTTAGGGGGGAAAAAAGAAACAAGAAAGAAAAAAACAATCCGTCGTTTAGGCGTTCATGGGCTTGCGGCCAACCATGAGGTACATGGGGGTGAAGAGCTTCTCTCTACCACCAGCGACAAGAGCGTCGGCAGCGACAGCCAGAGAGTCGGCGGTCTTCTGGGTACCCTTGGGGGCAAGGCCAAATCTCTCGAGAGCTCCGACAAAGTTGTGTGCGGTCCAGCGACCAGCCTTGGTCATACGAGCAAGAGTGGGGAAGTCCCAGATGCTGCTCATGTACTTGAGCTGACCGGAAAGAGGCCAGTACCAGGGGTAGGGGTCGTCACGGTCTGCAAGATCCTCGTTGATCTCAAGCTCGAAACCGGCAGCCTTCATGGCAGCAAGAGCAACCTCAATCTTCTCCATGTTGGAAATACCATCACCGACCTCGATACCGAGACGGATCTCACGGTGGTGGGGGTTGTCGTTGTCGTAAGCATCAGTCATGAGCCATTCGTAAACGCCGAAGACACCGCCGGGCTTCAAGACGCGGAAAATTTGGGAGTAAATGCCCTCGAGGGAAGGAGCGTGGACGGTAGCCTCAATGGCGTAGACGGCATCGAAAGTGTTCTCGGGGAAGGCCATTTGCTGGGATTGTGTTAGTTTTGGGCATTGGAGCTGTAATCTCGGGTAGAGCATACCATGAAGTCACCCTTGACAAAGTCGAGCTTGTGCGAAAGACCCTCCTTAGCAGCGTAGTGGGTGGCTCTCTCAATCTGGTAGTCGTTGTTGTTGAGACCAGTAACATTTGCGCCAGAGAACTTGACAATCTCCCTGGCAGGGCCACCAACACCACAACCAACATCCAAAACCTTCATGTTGTCCTTGAGGTTCATGACGTGGGCGAGGTAGTGTTCGTGACGGGCGAGAGCTTGTCTGAAAGGCTCGCCGAATGCGAAACGGCAGAAGTGGAAGGACTGGCCCCAACCGTACTCGTAAAGGTCGGTAGCCAGGTTGTAGTAGTGGCGGGTGAGGGTTGCGTACTCGGCTCTTCTGGCCTTTACAGGAGGTCAGTATGATGTCAATTGGGAAGCTGAGATATCCAAATTCACGCACCTCTCTGATCTCGGGAGTCTCGTCCTTTGCGTCCTTGTTGTCCCAGTGCTTGAAGTACTCGTCGACAGCGGCCTTTTGGCCATCTGCGCCCTTGCCCAACATGGCGGCGAAACCACCTCTCTTCTGGGCGGAGCTACCGTGCATGACCTTGTTGAAGGCAGCATCACGGTTGTGGTCTTCTTGCTCGAGCGAGTGAGGAGCCATTGTGTCGAAAGAAAAGGGGTATTTGTAGAAGAAGAGAAAGACACTACAAAAGGTACAATTGAAGATGCGGTTGAGCGCGAAGAGAAGGGTTGATGGAGGGAAAGAAGAGAAGCAAACAACTGCACGCGGGATTGGGGCAAAGAAATGGCAGCAGCACTAAAATAATTATAAAGGGGTGGCTCTTTCCATAAACATCGTACGAGACGCGGCGGGGGTCCTGCCTCTGGGGGCGCGCAATTTCATTATCTCCAATTGGCTTGCTCTTAGCGTGTCTCTGAGTCCTCACCCAAATTTCCGTTGCGGCTTAAGATGCATTCTGGAATCCGTGGGTTCCGTTTGTTGAATTGTGGTCACTGAGTCTTGAAACATGTTATGAGAGATGTATTGTCGTCATTGAAGGAGACGCTGTACAGCTTTCTCCTCATTCAACACGGATGTTTCGAATGCCATCATGATCAGCGATTTACGTTTTCCATGTGAGAAGGAGCCGTCAAGTCCTAAAAGACCCTTAAGGTTATGAATTGTGAATTGCGGAGAGAAGACGGAGGTGCTGGTCAGGTCTTGGCAAAAAGCGTCACCTTCGTTGCTTCTGCGACTGGCATTCGCGCCTCAGCTTCTGCTTATACAGCAACCATCACTTTTTCGACTCCGTACACACAACTTATCGCGTCGCCTTCACAGTGAATCAGAATCATCTAGAAGCCTACGCGATCCTGATCATTCCACTCTCGTCGCCTCTATCCACCATCCACAATGCCTCCCAAGCAGGATTTGAACCGCTCAGGATGGGAGTCTACCGACATGCCCTCGGCTTGCGAAAAGTGTCTCGGCGACAATCCATATGTCCAGGTCTTGAAAGAAGATTATGGTGCTGAATGGTGAGTCCTTTCCAGCCCCTTCATTGCAAAGCTTCCAACTAACAAGACGTAGCAAAATCTGCACCCGCCCTTTTACAGTATTCCGCTGGAAGACCGACCGCACCGCCCGTCAAAAGCGAACGAACCTCTGCCTAACATGCGCAAGACTGAAGAATTGCTGTCAGTGCTGTATGCTCGATCTGAGCTTTGGACTTCCTATCGTTGTGCGTGATGCCGCTTTGAAGATGATCACACCTGGACCGAACAGTGAGATCAACAGAGAATACTACGCTCAAAATCACGAGAAAGAGATCGAGGAAGGAAGAGGAGCTGTTGAGGCATACGACAAGACGGATGAAAAGGCTAGGGATTTGCTGCGCAGACTTGCCCAGAGTGAGCCACACTACAAGAAGCAGAGAAGATTGGAAGAGGAGGGTGCTGCGTCAGGTTCAGGACAAAAGATGCTCGAAGGACCATCATCAGAAGCCGCCAGACCTGGACCCATTCGCACAAAGGATTCGAGACCAGCAGGATATGGACCTCCATCACGCCCTGTCAAGGGAGCATCAAGAGCACGCCCATTTCCCAACACAGCAGCTCTGCCACCGCAACCGCAAGACATTCTACCTCCGGCTGCCAAGCACGTCATGTCACTTTTCGTCACTGGTGTTGAGGACGACCTCCCTGAGCACGAGATCCGCGTTTTCTTCTCACAATTTGGAGCTCTTCGTTCGCTCATTTGCTCGCACCGATCACATTGCGCATTCGTCAATTATATGACCAGAGACACAGCCGAGGCAGCAGCCGCTGCATGTCAAGGAAGAGCTGTGGTTAAGGGTGTGCCACTCAGGGTGCAATGGGGCAGGCCTAAGACGCTGGATAACATGGACAGAGACGCTCGTATGGCAAATGCAAGAGCTGGAAGGGAGACAAGCGCAGCCGTCAAAGCAGCTTCGTCTACCAGACCGGCAATCGCTGCCGGACCTTCATCCTCCGCAGCTGGACCATCTGCCAATACGGACAATTATGACCTGGTCGCACCTCCACCTGGATCCGAGGATGTGCAATACGCAAGTTTGGCAGGCGAGTAGGCTCGTCTTGGTTTGAAGGAGAAGGAGAAGGAGGAAGGTCCCTGGCGTTTGGGCAGAACAGCATGGCGTTTGAGGCTTTGTGCAGCTTCTTGAGAGTCTTGAGCTCATGGATTGAACAGGAGAGGGGTATCATATATTTTTACATATCAAATCAGGGAGCATCGCTTGACTTCGGCGAAAGACTTTGTCGTTCCCTTGAACTGCTTGACAGACTCGTTGTCGCCCTTTTCGGTTTGCTCGTGAATGCGCAGTTCTAATTCGTGATGGTCGTGTCAGTCGTCGGATTCTAGTCGTCAAATTTAGGAGCGGCCTGGACTCACTGTAAGCTCCCGATTCTTCCTTGTCGGTCGCGCCTTGTACTACATTTTCCCTCAAGATCTGGGCTACGCCTTGTGCATGTTCGACGGCCTTTTCTGCTTCAATGCTACCGGCCTTGACTCCGCGGTTCTTGTCGAATGAGTCTCGTGCGAATCTACGGGAGTTGTATAATGTGCTTTGGTCGCCTGGAAGAAGTCTTGTGTTAGTGACTTGGTCTGGATGGTCGAGTGTTGGTGGTAGATACCTTGAAAGGCGATGCGGGTTGCGCGCAAGAGGTTGCGATATGTTGACAGGACGACAGTCTTGTTGTGAGGGACGATTTGTGACGACATGTTGTTCTATTCTAATTCGAAGGTGTAGGAATTGTTTGACTGTTTCTTGGAATAAATTATTGTCCAGATGATGGAGGTTTGGACGGCGAATGCATGCCAAGGCTTTTGGTTCCCCGGACCAAAAATTCGAGAGTCTTCAGCAGATTTTGAGATGCCGCTCCCTCTGTTGTTCAGTCCATATCAACATCAATATGTCTGTGTCTCAAATTAACAAGGCTCTGCCTACCCTCCCTGCCGGCTGGTCCGCCGACAAGGACTTCAAGGCTGTTGGCAAGCTTTCCGCTGCCGCTCGCCGCAATGTCGAGCCTGTCGGCCCTTACTTCCTGGCCCACGCCCGTAGAGTACGATTGACCTTGTTATACGACTATTGTCGACTCCGACTAACGCCCTATTCAGACTCGCCACAAGCGCACTTTCTCCGAGGATGACCGTATCCGCGCCCAGGAGAACGTCAAGAAGGTCGAGGAAGAGGATGCTGGTTACATCAGTGAGCCCGAAGACCCTGCCATGCTTGCCCGTGAGGCCAAGGACTGGAAGGTGCGTAACACAATCTCAAATTCTTCAGATTCCACGTCTAACAACCACGCAGAGCCAGGATCACTACGCCGTTCTCGGCATAACAAAGTACCGCTGGAAGGCCACCGAGGAGCAAATCAAGAAGGCCCACCGCAGAAAGGTCCTCAAGCACCACCCCGACAAGAGAGCCGCTGCTGGTGGTAACGAGGACGACAACTTCTTCAAATGTATCCAGAGAGCCCACGAGATCCTCAGCGACCCCGTCAAGCGTCGCCAATTCGATTCCGTTGATGAGGCCGCCGAGGTCGAGCCCCCAAGCAAGAAGCAGACCCAGAAGGGCAACTTCTACAAGCTTTGGAGCAACGTTTTCAAGGCCGAGGGTCGTTTCAGCAAAACCCAGCCCGTCCCCAAGCTCGGTGACGAGAACAGCTCTCGCGAGCACGTCGAGAACTTCTACAACTTCTGGTACAACTTCGACAGCTGGAGAACCTTCGAGTACCTCGATGAGGATGTCCCCGATGACAACGAGAACCGTGACCAGAAGCGTCACGTCGAACGCAAGAACAACAACGCCCGCAAGAAGAGAAAGGCCGAGGACAACCAGCGTCTGCGCCAAATGGTCGACGAGTGCCTCGGTCTCGACGAGCGTATCAAGAAGTTCAAGAAGGAGGAGCACGCCCAGAAGAACAAGAAGAGACTGGAAAGAGAGGCCGAGGCCACCAGACTCGCCGAGGAGGCAGCAAAGGCCAAGGAAGAGGAGGCCCGTCTGCAAAAGGAGAAGGAGGAGGCCGACAAGGCAGCAAAGGCCGACACAAAGAAGGCAAAGGAGGCTGCCAAGAACGCCGCAAAGAAGAACAAGCGTGTCGTTCGTGGTGCCGTCAAGGATGGCAACTACTTCGCCGAGGGCGAGGTCAGTGCTTCCCAAATCGACCAGGCCCTCAACGATGTTGATGCCATGATCGCCAAGCTCGAGGTTGACGACCTTGCTGTCTTCAAGAGCAAGATTGACGGCAAGACCGACGCAAAGGAGATCAAGACTCTGTTTGCCGAGGAGGCTTCTCGTCTTGGTATGTCCGACCTCAAGTCCCTGGCTTAAGCACATCCCTATAGACTTATTTTTCCGGTTCCCTACAAAAAGCATGCGGAGGATGGAGAGATAGATGGTATTACGATCTGAACAAATCCAATTACGTTGGACACTTTTTCAATCAAGACTTTCCACACCATGAATAAGATTCGAGCACAATATTCGCTCCTCTGTCCAACATCGCTGTGACTTGTAGAAGCAAAAAGGATAAATGCAACGAGTAGGATTCGAACCCACGATATCCACATTGCTAGGGAAATAACGAGCTCAGCTCTGGGATCTCCCCTACGTGCTTGTGTTTGCAAGACATATTTGTGTGCTGTCTTGACCACTAGACCACCGCTGCGTTGTTGAGGTTGAGGCAGCTGTGCGAAGTAATAAGGGCAGATATGAGACTAACGGAAAGGCACATGCCCACACATGCACAGGAAGGAGCAACACATAGCAAGAACCACCAACCAAATGCAGAAATAGTAACAAAAAAGAAACATAAATATCGATACCTAGACTCCGCACATCTGTCAGATCTAGTCCTACCTACAATACTCCCCTCTTCTCCTTCCTCTAAACCTTCCTCCCCTTAGCGATAAACCCAGTCTTCTCAACCTTCTTCCCATTCATCTCCAACACGAATTTCTCCCCCAACACCACAAACCCAAACTCCTCAAACCCTGCTTCCTCAAATATCTTCCTCATATCTTCTTCAGTGAATCCATTAGTCTTGATGGTCTTTTTCATCTTCTTCCACTCTTCTGTTTCTTCCTCTTTGACGTGATTGTGGTTGTGATTGTGGTCATGGGAATCAGGATGAGCGTGTGCGTGTCCGATATGTTCGCCGGGAGCAATTTTGTTGGGCAACCAATCGACGATGAATAATACGCCGTCTTTCTTCAAGCGGGAAGCTAGGTTTGCGATACAGGTTGCAGGGTTGGCGAAGTGGTGGAATCCTAGAGCTACACCTGCGATGTCGAAATTGTGGAATTCGGGGCCAGAGATTGAGGGTTGGGGGTCTGGAGAGCAGAGATCTGCCACGGAGGTTTTGAGGACAAGGGATGGGTGGGTGGAGGAGAGAAGGGAAGTGTATTGGGAGAGCATGGCGGAGGAAATGTCTATGCCTGTGGCGTGGGTTATGTGTGTGCTTAAAGCCTGATGATTTGATATCAGTGTTTGAACAGCAGGGCGGTAGAGGGAAGGAGATACGGACTCTAGTCACACTGCCAGTTCCACATGCGTAGTCTAGGAGATGGCATTCTTGATCTGAGGCAGAAGCCCAGTCTGCGCCTAGCCAGTCGGCGTGGGAGTTCAAGGCTTCTGCTACTTGGGAGGCTATCTTCTTTTGCCATGGCTTTGCATCGTATTCTTTTGCTTTGGAACTAGAACACTTGTTAGCAGATTCCTTTTGATCCAGCAGATAGTGAGAAGCAAAGAAGATCGACTATGTTTCCGAGCCAATCATTGTTGATGACGAACGACGAGAGAAATTGTGCAATGTCTGTGAGATGGTATGCACGAGATATCATAATCTCGATGGTAAAAAGCAGACACCAAGGAGCTTAGAACAGGGAGAAAGGCAACAGATAAGCATCAAAGTAGCATAACATCTTAAACGCATCAACAGAAAGTGGAAGAAGGTACTCACTCCCAGGCCTCACGGTTAGCAGCCGTGAGATCATTGTGCTCTGTACTCATGGCTGTGAATTGATTCGAAGACAGTGATCGAGTTTGTCGAGATGTCAAGTAATGCTGAGCTGCTAAAGAGAATAAAAGAAAGCAGAATGAAGCTTTTATATATCGAAGCATTGTAGGATGTCACCGAAAGAAGTGTCCGAAAAGTCTCCGCCGTTGATTATGCGGAGACATGTCGGAGTCTTCTTTCTCGCAAAGGCGGACAAGACACTTTGCCCAATTTCATCGCATATTCTGATCAGTTGGATCGTTCTGTTACCAAAACAGATCTGGACCAGTGTTTGTATCGAGACTTGGAAGTGGTGTTACAAGCTTGTCCAACTAGCAAGACTTACTTCGACGAAAAGGGCAAGGTTCAGCCAAACTCACGTTCATGTTCGAGCAGGCAGTATCCAACAAACAACAAGTTCGAACTCACGGCGATGCTAGAGACATGTTTTGAAGTAATAAGAAATTGATTTTCATGTTGGATATATCGCAAAAAAAGAAAGCGAACATGAAAGATGGCAGAAATGGCCAGTCGGATGTAAAAAGTCCCAGAACGCCTCTGTAAATCCAACCACATGATATATGCACAATATGCTCCCCTGCCTTTCGGATCTCTCAACAAATGTCAGATCGTTAAAAGTATGCTCTCTTCATCATATACAAGTTCCAGCTTTTGAGTATTCCACCTCTACAGGTTGGCAGCAGCCTGGTTGGGGTTGATGGGCTTCTTGGTTCCCATTGAACGTTCGAATGACGAAACTGGGGGAGCGGAGTTGGGGTTGGGGTGGTGCTTCTTGAGGGCCAAGGTGACGTTGTACTCGAGGTCAAGCTGTGCCTTGGGGTCGTCGGTCTTGGGCTTGAAGTCGACAACGAGATCATCCTTGACGGCGAAGACGGAGTCAATGTCGAGATGAGGGTCGTCGCTGGGGTAGATCTGGTTGATGACAGTGGCGTAGTCGGGGTGGGTGATCATCAAGTGAATGTGAGCGGGACGCATGGGAGAGCGGTCCATGAGCTTGAGGAGGACACCGGCGGGACCATCGGTAGGCAGGGAGTAGGGAGTAGGGTGGTAGCAGTACCAGTTGAACTTGCCATCCTTGTCGGACTTGAACTTGCCACGGAGGTTGTTCTCGGACTGCTCGGGGTCCTGGAAGTCGTACTGGCCGTTGGAAGAAGCCTGCCAGATGTCGAGAACAGCACCCTCAATGGGAGCACCAGTCTCCATATCCTTGAGGACACCGTGCATGTATGTAACTCTGCCACCCTCCTTGTGGTCTTGAATGATGCTGTCGCCGAGCTCACGGAAAGGTGCGTTGGGAGACCAGAAGGGGCCGAGAATGACGTTGGAGGTGGGGGACATGCCCTGCTCGGTAACAATGCGGTTGGCAATCTCGTCGACGAGTCTGTAGGGAATTGATTAGCTGGGATTGAGATTTATAGGATGCAGTCAAACTCACGATTCGAGACCAATGACATCGCAGATGCGGTGGCCCTCGTTACGGATGGGAGTGCTGATCTGGCCAATGGAGTTGATGAACTCGACACCCATCATCCACTCTGCGGGGGTGAGCTCAACCTCACGGGTGAAGTCGTGGATGTGCTTAATCAGAGAACCAAGGACGACACGAGCACGGTCGGGAGTGCCGGGTCCCATGGCATTGACGACATAGGGAGTGAAGTTAGGGTCGAATCTTGCGTTGGTAGACATCTTGGCTGATGTGTGTAGGAGGTTGCGAGAAGTGCAAGGACAGAGAGGCGACTTCTTGAGGATGCGGGGAGTAAGAAAGTGCTGGAGAGGCAACTTTCTGAGAGGCTTGAGGAGGGAAATGGTGGATGGGAGAGAGAGGTTAAGGATACAGAGGAAGATGCGGGAGGACAAGGGGAGCTTGGTCTATATACTTCTTTTACTACTAGCTGATGGACCCATGGACAAAGTCGACGGCAGATGAATCGGCTGCTCGTCCATGCCACTCGGCCCTCCAAAACGGCATTCGAAAAATGCGGTCCGAGGGGTCACTTGAGAACCGGCACAACGACTCGGAGACCCCACGCCGCGCTAACGCGAACCAGCCCCGCAGTCGATGATTTCTGCCATGCTTTAATTGGTCAATGAGTCCTTCCTGCTGTTACCGCGAGCAAGAGCCGGTCGAGCACAGGGTTCATCAAGCCCGTCCTGCCACGAACACACCTCGAGTCCGGTCCGAACGACTCCAGATTGTACGTAAGGTTTGAGGATGATTGCCAAGGCATCGCAAATGATATTGCTGTTTGCTCATACTTGCCAACTCTTCTTCAAATATCTCCTGACGGTCGCAGAATTCTTCGGAGGTCTGTATCTTGCGCTCCGCACAGTCCTTCGCAGAGTGGATTCGTGCAGTGGGATGTCCAGTTGCAGTCAAAGCACTACAAGGAATATGGGAACAACGGAGTCTGTCCACGTCGATGTCTTCAAACATTCAATTGACGATGGCGTTGATGATTGAGCTGAGAGTCAACAAACGACAATCATCATCAATCTGGACTTCTCAACCGGACCCATCGCCGGTCGAGCAGCACCAAGTATCAAGGTCATGCGACATCGAAAGTGCCAAAGAACCGATGTCTCAAAGACAAACAACGCCTCTCTAAGTAGCAAGCAGATGTGAACGGCACGGCAATGTCATGTGCATAGCCATGTGTTTACTGTACCCCTGGACCTGGACACCATGGAACGATGTCTGGGCTCGAAATCCGATGATGCGGATGATGAGGTTTCGACATTGCCATGACTGCCATCGAAGCAGATCTTGAAACGACTCCGACCAAACAGCGTGTCTTGCGACCTCGGGTATGGCGTCTCTACTTGCGGTACTCTCAAGTGGCTGCCACCTTTATCAAGTACCGACAACAAGGCAAACCTCGGCTTGCTATCTACTGGAGTAGATGCGTTGAAAATGCATCGAAGAATCCCATACATAACCGAGCTTTTACCTCCGACATTCAATAATGTCATGTGCCGGTATAGTGGCTGCTGCAATGCAGAGCCCACCCGTCTTGACGGAATTATCCACTGACAGCCAGATCTTCCACAAATTGTCATTGGAAGATGCTCTACTCGCTATCAATGTTCTGCACTAGGGTGTTCGCTGGGAATATTCGAATGAAGCAGGACCACATGCTTGGACAACGTCCGTTCCGAGCAGCAGTACAAGAAGATTATGATCTTTGACCGCAATTCCAGAGCGCCATGGTAGGCTGGAAGCACCGAGTTCGTCCGACAAACTTCATAACAAAGGCTTTGTACAGCCTTCAGGCATCAACAATCAAGTCGTAAGATGCGTTTAGATGAACGCAAACCGGGCACAAATGACACCCACTAATGAAACACGCAGATGTCCAAAGATGTAATATTTCGGCCCCCAATATGTTGTGTGGCCTAGACCCAGTCCCATCCGACAACATACAAAGTGACAAATCTAGATTCCACGGCCCGCAAGGTCCCGGATAGATGGGTCTTCCCAAACGAATGGGATCAAAGGATCTCCAAGATCCCAAGCGAATGGGAAGTAGAGGGCCTATAAATCCCAAGCAAATGGAAATCAAGGGGGAGGGCGGACGGAGAAACACAACACACGACCACATTTTTCTTGGTGGTGGTGGTCAGCAAATTATGGGGTTCCTTGGTGGAATCTCTTGTTGCAAGGCTTGCTTTGGGCTGGATTGTCGGTGTTGTCTGTGTGCGTTACACCGAGTTCTGCCTCTTTTCTTTCTCGCCCTGCGGGGAGTAGGGCGGTTATCGTGCATGAGAAGCCAGCACTGCAGCCGCCCACTCACCGAGCCAATCTCTGCTGCGTGCTGCACGACAAGACGAGAGGGACAATGGCTGGGTGCGCATGACAAAGCTCTCACCTCCACTCTTGACATCTGAAACATACACGACGCATTTGTGGCATCTCCATTGTTTTCTTAACAGCAAGCACGTTTCTTGATCCCTGTTTACTTCAAGTTTTCAGGTCGAGCTGAACGACAAGTGGGAAGAAAGGAAACAGGACAATTGTTTGCTAGAGTAGCAAGCGACAAGGCGACAAAGCAAGAAAGGAGACAAATATATACACGAGCTTCATCATACACTCACAAAACACTCACAAAACACACGCAAATATGTCAGCGCATATATATACAACATCCAGAATCGTGGACAGAAGAAGACAGAGCAGCAACACAAACACCCTAACCCGCCGCCTCCACTGCCAACGACAGAAACAATTCACCTGGGATCCTGGCAGCACGTCCTCATCATCAGCATCCTTCGAACAGCAAGATAGTGTCGGTGACTATATCCACCACACAAGACTGGCAAGACACACCATGAGTCTCACCCACTACAGCTCAGCAACCGACGACGACGAAGACTACACCTCCAGCGACAACGATCACTTATTCATGAAAGACTCGCCCCGTCGCCAAAGCAGTGGCACCGCTAGTCCACCACGTAGCACCAGTGACGCTCAATCCATACCTCCCTCTTCACGAAGCCGGACGTCAAGTCGCTCCACACCCATCTGTGTTTGTCGTAACCCTTCCGCCATCGCTTCAGCCGCGTCCTCGGCTGCCGCATACAGTCCAGTCGAACCCGCCATCTGGAGCGAACTACGACGACTCTTCCACGGCAAAGATCCACGAAAGCAATTCGATATCCTGCGGGGGAGTACGCCAGCGAGAGACGAGCAAGGGAACGGGTTCGTGCTTGTGGAAGCTAGAGTGCAAGCGAAGGATGGATCGATGATTGCAAAAGGGGAGCCATGCACTGATGATGTCTTGTCATTGAGAAGCCTGAGGAACGCGTTGATGGAGACGAAGGGACTAAAGCATTTGCCATTTGAGAATGGGGATGAGATTATTGCGGGTAGGATCGAGGGGTTTGAGAAGGTGTGTTCGGCTTGTAGTCTGCCACGCTACTGACAGGATGCTGTCGAGCGTTATCGAAGAGTTCGTGAAGGTTTCGGATTGATGCCTCCAAACTTGCTCGATACTCAAATGGGGAAGTCACGACTTAAGGCTGCAAACGTAAGCCAAATGGATCAAACGTTATCATGACACATATTTAAACGACTTGCCATTTTGATTTTACAGCTTCGGTGCAGTTCGAATCTCCCTCCTCTTGGCTTTCCATTCTGCGTCTCCTGTCTTGGGCGCGATAACCTTGGACGGCTCAGCACCCTTCCACAATTCAGTGCCGACCAGCTCCACCAGTCCAAAGATCCTTCTGATGACTGTATTACCATCTCGTCTGTTCTTTCCTTCTCTTCTCGCTTTGCTGATACTTTCGCAATACTCCCAAAGCTTGCCTTGAGCTTTGATTTGTCCATCCTCTGTTCTTTCCGGCAACCACCCCGGCGTCAGACGGACCGAAGCTGGGATCTTGCCGTCCTTTGACGGAGAAGTGATGAAGATAATCCCACTCTCAGCAAATCTCGTATATGCGTTTCGTAGGGTCTCACGATTGACTGCCTCAAGATACGAAATGTCGCCTTGTGCATACAAAGTTTTGCCTAGCCTTTGTGCTTGGGTGACGACACTGTTCAGCGGTAGTGAAGTCTGCTGTGAGGCGTTCGTGGATGGAGGTGTGAGCATCAATAGACTTATAGCGCCCAGCCAGCTGGCTTCGATGAATGGCCAGATCAGGAAACAGTAAAAGTCGTAGTTCTCTCGGCCTGACAGGCGCTCAGACTCGTCGAGTGAGATCGATTCAACCGTGCTGCCATCGTGTTCAGATCTCTTGATGGCAATGATGTTATCTGCCTCGAGTCCAGTCAATGTGTTGGTGAGGTTCTCTGCTAGGGGTGTTGTTGGGAAGATGAATTCGCCGCGGAAGAGCTTACATGGTTAGCACAAATATGACCCAAAGGAGGTACAAACTTACCTGCGATAGGAAATAAACATAATCGTACAGATCGTTATAAGAAATGCTCTGATATTCTGGGCCTCCGCCAAGCTTGACTTTGGTGTATAAAGCTGCGCTGACTAGTGCTTCCGAGACGAACAGATGAATGGTCATGTTGCGGTAGAAGCTGAGCTGGAATCGATCTGCAGCGTAGTATGTCTTCTCGGGCAGGTTCCTGTGTTCTCCAACTAGATTCTGTCCAAGGACTTCAAGCGCACGCTCGACAACGACAGTTGTGGGTAGTCCAGAAAAGTGGGCGATACGACCGCCTTGCTTCTTTACTCTTTCTGTCAGCCAATCGACACGGCGCACAAGTTCGGACTTGCCAGCTCCTCGCCCACGAAGAGTAAGAAGAACCGTGCCGACCAGAGCTGTGGGCATGACAACTGATACTGCGTTGATATCGGAAAGAACTTTATAGCCTAGAGTGGTGAGAAGGCGGCGTTTGAGAATAATATCCTCAGGTGTCTTCATTTGTGGTGGCAAAGTGGTAAGTCGAAGCTTTTGCTCATTGATAAAGTCGCGTAGACTCCAAGGCTCATGGAAGCGAACGTCAACGCGACCAAGCTTCAGAGAAAGGACTGATGAAGAGGACAAAAAGTTTCCTAGAGACTCCTTCGGTTTAGGTTGTCCTAGAAGTTCGGATATGTAGGAGCTACATTCAATTAGCATTCATGGTCTCGAGCATTGAAGGTAAAACTTACTCGACCTCGATGACCTTGTCGTATTGTGTGCTTACAGGACAAATGATAGCATCTTCAACTTGACCTGACAACACACTTTCAAGCAAGAAGCTCAAAATGCCGAACTTTGGCTGCAAGAGCTTTCCAGTACGTGAGCGACCGCCCTCTATAATTGTGTCAGCAATAAGCAGTAGATATCAGGAGATGATACATACCAACGAAGCACTCGAAGTTGTGGCCTTCTTGTAGCAACGTATCCAAGTACGCCTGAACGAGCGTTGTGTATAGAGCATCATCACCAAAACTGCGACGAATCCACATTGCGCCTTCCGTAGGTCAGTACTAAACATTACGTCTTTGGTCGATTCAAACATACCGGCATGTTGCAAGAAAGGCCCTACTACAGGAAAGTTAAGGTTGTCTCCAGCCACCACGATTGGTAGAGCGAGGCCAAGACGATAGCAGATCAACTGTAATGAAACATAGTCCACATGTGATCGGTGACAAGGTAAGAAGATGATGGACTGTTTCTTTCTCTCTGCTTCTTTGGCGACCTTTCGAAGGCGGAGGACTTCTTCGCTCGAAACGTGAATGCCTGGCTTGATCAGTATGTGAGACAAGAAATGTTGTTTGTGGCCCAAGCTCGATTAAAACAAGACAGAAGCAGGTATTATTGCAGCACGATGTTGTTACCTTGGTGATATGCTCTCGTCAGAAGCTGAGTGGCAAAGTAATAGGCACCACGAATGAACCGCCTGCTGTCCATCTTGCAGATCATCTGATCAGTCCATGAATCGGCAACTTGAACAAGCTGAGCTTCTAGTTCTTTGCGTCTATCCTCGACCTTGTGGTCGGGAAGAGTCCCCTCGGCAATCTCGACATCAAGCCTCTTGTGAGCCAGCTCGGAGATTTTGGCCTGCAGACGAGGATTCTTCAGGACCAAGGCTGTGATGTGACTACTGAAGCCATTGTAGAAGATGTTTCGACCGATGAAGTCATCGTATGAGCGCCATCCAGTGCCAGAGAGATGTAAGCTAACCTCTCGCAAAAAGTCCAATGGAGCTGAACGAAAGCGTGCATATGAACTTAGGAGAGGTGTTTCTTGGTCCTGAATGACACCAGGAGGATGTAGTGTGAGGCGGTCACCCACGATGGAGAGATCAGGGGCGTTGTCACTCATGTCAGCGAATTCTCATGTTGTTCCAAGACCAGTCAAACTCGAAGCATTCTTAATTAGAACAGGAAGTCGCGACGGTGGAATGAAGGAGCATCATGGACGGGCCGAGGCTGAACGGCAATAAGAGTTACCCCGGACTGTCGATGCCAAGACAAAGATATAGCGGGGTCAGTCAGATGCCGACAAGCTTCAGGGTGGCCGAAACGATGTCGGATGGGCTGTCTGTTGTCCTGATCAGCAATGGCACAAAAGAAGAGTATCGTCTTCTTCCACCCGGACTTGGGTATTGGAGGCGCTGAGAGGTTGGTGATTGACGCTGCCGTTGGCCTGCAAGCACGCGGTCACAAGGTCACCATCTTCACGTCGCATTGCGATCCAGGCCATTGTTTCGAAGAGGCCCGCGATGGTAAGTCTTCATCTATACAGGTCGTGATGTAGGCTGAGAAGGTAGGCTAAACTTTACAAGGCACCCTCGACGTACGAGTACGCGGTAATTCGCTTGTGCCTTCGAGCATCTTCGGACGATTCGCCATTCTCTGCGCCATCCTGAGGCAGCTACATCTCGTCTGCATTGTCGCATTGTGGAACTACGAACTCGATCACCTTAGACCCACGCACTTCTTCGTCGACCAACTGAGTGCTGCCGTACCGCTCCTTCGCTTCTTGTACACGGACGTCGGCATCCTGTTCTACTGCCATTTCCCGGATCAATTGCTCGCTCAAAAAGGAGAAGGTGCCATCGCAGTGCTGAAGAAGGGATACAGGGTGCCGTTCAATGCTATCGAGAGCTGGAGTACTGCTTCCAGCCATGGCATTGTCGTCAACAGCAAGTTCACTGGAGGCGTTGTGAAGCGTGTATTCCCGAGACTGGCCAAGAGAGACTTGAAGGTCGTCTATCCATGTGTTGATACCTCGACTGCCAACCAGCTGCAGAAGAAGTCAATGTGGTCTGGCCGAAAGGTTATCTTGAGCATCAATCGCTTCGAGAAGAAGAAGGACGTGGCACTCGCTGTCAAGGCTTTTGCCAGTCTCGATGCTCCGATTCGCAAGTCTGCTCTGTTGGTAATTGCTGGTAGGTATCCTGTTATCCGGCCATCCAGCCTCGTTTACTGACATGTGCCAGGTGGCTATGATCCTCGTGTTCAGGAGAATGTCAACACTCACCAAGAGCTTCAACAGCTAGCCGACTCTTTCAAGCTCTCCCATGAGACTCATAAATCTCTCCCTGATCCTTCCGTAATTTCTGAGAACACATCAGTCCTCTTCCTCCTTTCCGTACCGGACACGCTCAAGCAGTCACTTCTCGCCTCGGCCGATTTGCTTGTCTACACTCCCCAGAATGAGCATTTCGGCATTGTGCCCCTCGAGGCTATGCTCGCACAGGTTCCCGTGCTGGCTGCCAACGAGGGTGGTCCTCTCGAGACCGTTGTTGAGGGCGAGACTGGCTGGCTTCGTGACATTCGGAAGCCCGAAGAATGGGCGGCCGTCATGTCTCGCGTTTTGTCCCATCCTAATCCCGCTGAGCTTCGCAAGATGGGAGAGCATGGTCGCAAGCGCGTTCAAGGAGAATTCTCAAAGGAGCAAATGGCTCTTCGTCTCGATGAATCTCTAGATCAAGTTTCGGATCCGCACAAGAAGCCTCAAGAGCCCCCAACCATACCTTCTTGGCTTTGGATGGTCATTATAGTCGCCATCGTCGCAATCTCGCTGTCTCTTGGAGCCACGTGGCTGTTGTTCTTCCTACTCAATCAAAGCAAGGCCATGCAAGATTCGATACAACAACACAATGCTGCTCAGACCATCACTGAGCAAGTCATTGCCGTTACTACCCAAATAGTAAAGAATGAGCTGTAAATAGCTACGTTTGCGTATATCAAATTTGTCTTTCAATCTCCTCAAACGCCCTACTTGAGTACTTTGTACAATTTTTGATCTATCTGCTTTGATCATGAGCCAGTGGCGGAGCCTAAAGGACCGCTACACTATTTGCCAGCAGCCCGAGGTCCCGAGGTGTACTAGCAACAAGCATGTCTGTCCAAAGACCAAATCATAGGTCATGACGTCTTCCCCTTCTGTCGTCTCTTCTTGATCAATGCTCGACCAGGTCATCCTTCAATCGTGATCCTATCTACGAGATTTATCTCGCGACAAATGTCGAATTCAGTTGTGGAAAAATATGCATTTGCACACTTCAGAGCAAGCAAGGCAGAATTATAATGAAGTGAAGCAAGGGACGTTCTCCTTCGAGTATATATTTCTGCTAGCTCTTCCTTTTTTATTATCTATCCGTTAATGCCTATGCTAAACTAGAATGAGTTCTCTGCAACATGATATTATGTCTAGTCGATTTTACCTAACCCCGAGGCGAAACAGGCGACGAAACGAGTAGGGTCGATAATACCGTGCATCCCTTCCCTCTATCTAGTTACTATATTCTGTTCCATTGCGTAATATCACAACCGATGCATACCTAGGAGAGAGTAAGAGAGATCTATCTCGGTACTAGCCCGGTATGCGTCGTTCTCGACATGGACCCGAGGCGCCGAGTCTGCCGTCTTCCGATATAACAGCATTGTCACAAGTATTCGCCAGATGTAGGCGATGGGAGCGCGCATGAGCACGATCCTGTATCTTCTTCAAGCAGATTTGCCGTGGTAGAAAGTAAACGTGCAATCTCCGCCCTATGAATGTGTTAGTTTCGACTCGTCCCGTTTGCTTTGATATTCGTGTGTTCGCCACCTACCTTGCTAGCGAGTATATACTCAACTCGTTTTTCCAAAACCGAATGGTTTGACATGTTCAGCGTGACTTCTCATCTTCTGAAGACGAGGGAGATGGCTTAGCTTTAAGGGTCTTGTCGTGTTCTCGACGAGCCTTATGCAAGGCCAGAAGCATATCCCCGAAAGCGAGATCTTCATATCCGACAGGCTTCGATCGTTCGGGGTCTATAGCGTAAAAGCAATATGTGCAATCATACTCGACCGAATCGGCGTCTGGGTTCTCATTCTTTCTTGCCCACCACATTTTCAAGCCTGCGAACTCATGATGCCCACAAGATGCACAGGCACGCTTCACTCTCTCTTCGGTTGCAATCAGACGATGGGTCTTCCAGGTAAGCTCTTTCTGCGCCCAAACAGGATGTCTAAATAAATAGCCCCTGAACCGTTGGTAGTCAGAATGTGCTTGGTACCAGACTCTGTAATCCTCTCGACGTTTGTCAAGGTTGTCTTTGCGGTATTTCCGGTCATAAACCTTGTGATATTCAACAAGACGTCTATTTTGTTCTCTCGTTTTAACGGTTATGCTGTCGGTCTTCAGTTGACGTGGTGGTTCCGGAGGGGTCTTGGTGGAATATAGATATGCTCGGATTGTTGGCCAGATCCTTGTGACATGCATCTGTCGCTGTAGGGGCAAAACATAGGCCGAGAAAAGAGACATGCTGATGAGGTTCTTGTAATGGAGTGAGCAGTTGCTCTTCGCATCATCCAACCAACAATATTTGTCGACTCACGGTAACTTCCGTCGAGATTGATGAGATTGTGTTTTTCGCTCGACGAGGGCTTCCAGAAAGTTTTCGCGATCCTTGAGAGATTGGTCGAATGTACGCGCTCTTCCGGGACGAGACTGTCGCCGACTTTTCAAGCGTCGAGATGACCCTGGCACCATGGCGTGCAAAAGTCTCTGAATGCCAAGCCCCCCAGTAAGCATAACTTTTTGGTGACAGATTTTCAGAGACTTTTGCACGGGATGGTGCTGGTTTGTTGAAGACTTGTGCATTCAGCGGCTCGGCACGGACAACCTTATTAATGCCAACCATCGCATTACCAATATGATCCGAGTGTTCGTCCAACCTCTCACCGTCAAGCATGTAGATTTCAAAATTGCACCCATCTTCGAGAATGATAAAGGGATTCGAACGTTGTCAGGCCAGACACATGCAATGCTCGCCGTGCCCTCGGGTTTGATCTCGGACATCCGAACCGGGAAGGAGCAACTGTCCGACCGGAAGCAGAATCGATGACCACACTTGCCTGCAGGGGATGCATACCATTGGTTACGATGTTGTGTATATAAGGTCCTGCACTGTAGGTTCCTCAAAGTACTACATCGTCTTTCCATCACCTCACTGCCACGTACTTCGCCCAGCTTTGCACCACGAATAAGCACATGAGCCTTGTTTTTACTTCACATAAATCCATCGCTCGAACGACACTTCCTCGACTCTTGAATCTCTCAGCTTCTACAACCTTCAGATTTGCCAGAAGCTTCTCACACCCTCAAATATCAACCATGTCTCTCCCAAGCCCTGTACCAATCGCCCTCTGCGGCAAGAGCCAGACAATGGCCACCAACTTCAGCGACAGCATGTCAAAGGAAGGCTACGAAGGTTTGTCTTACATTTCTAATTCATCAAGCAATCGAACAATCAAGCATCAATATCAAAAACCCCCCAATCGTAGGCCACGCAGATCTAATACCTCAATCCAGTCGTCCACACCTGCCACGATCTCGATTCTGCAAAATCCACCCTCCCTTCCCTTCTAACCTCCTCCACCGGCCCCCTCGCCGTCGTAATCGGAAAAGGCTTCTACGAATCCGAAATGCAAGACATCATCAAGCATTGCCAATCAGAAGCAGGCAGTGCAAAGACTGTCTGGTTGTTGCCCGATGATGACAAGTTTACTGCGTATATGAAGGTCAAGGCCGTGGCTTCGGCCGGGACCATGCTGCCCGGTATGATTGCTGAGAGGGCAGCTGCTGCGTTGAAGGAGAATGGTGTTGTGGGCGGTGGTAGTACTGAGGGGGTTAAGAGTGGTGTGCATGGTTTCTGAGTGAGAAGTGGGTATCTCTGGCAGAGGTGTAGGGTGATTTTGTAGTTATCAGAATGCAAGAACCTATCTGATGTTTTGAACTCGTCCAGTGAGATAACTGTAGGGTTACACTCTCCGTGGCCAATTCTCTAATTCCAAAATATTCTGTGCATTTTGATGGCCTATTTCAGGGAGAGGCTGGATGTTGGAGAAGGAGTGAAGCTCTTGGTTCTCGAATAGCATGGCATCTCCTATACACCAGGGTATCAATATGACAGAAGCTCTCATGACAATCGGGTCGTCGGTTAGACTTTCCAGAAACACTGCTGCTATACTTCATTCAGTCAGTTCTCCATGTTTAGCACCCCTGTAGGGAGCGGGCGTCACTGAGGTGCCGTTCAGGGACGCGATGCGCGTAGCTGGCGCCCTTCCAAAGGGCATTTATATCTCTGTCAGACATTGCCCAACGTCAATGGCTTCCTCGACGGGGAGCCATGTCGAGAACTTGGGAAGAAAGGATGATTTCGAATTCGATTGTCGCAGATGGATCCTGATATAGCTGTTCTGATGAAAGAATATGAACAGGGCAGAACTTGTCGATGGATGGATAGTTTCTGGACTCTGATATGTCAGATTAGCTCTTCTTTGGAAGAAGAAATGATACTCCTGAGTAGCTATATCCTCTGGATAGGATGATCTTGTGAAAACGCCGTTTCGTCCGTCGGTCGATTGGCCCAATTGCCGATTGCAACACCTTCTCGACGACACCTAGTCCAGCTTAGACCTCGAGTGAAAATGGCACATCCCATCCTGACGGTCGAAAAGAGGCTCGGCATTCACACTGGTGATTAAAATTCAATCCTGGCCACAGCTTCTCCCAGAATTCTTCTCCAACGCGCACCGCGACATCCACCATCTACCATCCGACAACATGACTGAACGCCGCAGCGTAAGTCTTCTGAGGTTCTCCTTCATCATAACCCTTTGCTAATTCATCTTTCTCAGACCAGAAGGAGTGTGCTCCATGAGGAGTGGGACGATGCCAATGACCCTGACGATGATTCCGCCATGACAGAGGATGATATCGCTTTCTGCACCTCGACCATGGCAAGGTTCAACAAAGGCAAAGAGAACAGGTCCATGGCCGAACACTTCCTTGACACCATCCATGATGCTGCATATGAGAACATTCCTGCCGCTTCTCGTGTCGACATCAACGCCATCAATGGCAAGCTCCGCAACAGACAATACGGCAGCTTCAACGACTTCAGGAGAGACATTCAGGCCATCGTGAACAACTGCAAGAATGTCAACAGCACGACCAACGAACAACAACAAGCAAGGGCCGAGGATCTTAAGCTCTACTTCACCGTACAGTTCGCAAGGAGGAAGGCTAGATCGGCAGCCTATCAAAAGGCTCATCCACGCCTTTCTTCTCCTGCCACCACCACCAACCCTACTTCTGCCCCTCCTCCCCCTCCTCCCCCTCCTCCTACAGGCAGCAGTCAGGTCGTGCCCCCTGTCGTCGCCCCAGGCCAGACTGCTCCTCCGGGCCCTGTCGTAAACCCTTCGCGCGCTCTTACTTACCCTATCCACACCCGCACTCCTACTCCTGGACCCTCCCACATGACATACAACAGCTTCCAGGGAACAGCCAACCAGAACCAGACGCGCAACACTGCAGGTGGTCAGTCATTCGGCGTAGCCCCTCAGAACACTGGCCTCGAAAGTGATGATCCAGTCTTCCAACACAGCCAGAAGGCACCCGGCCATGATTCAGCACTGCAAGATGCACGCCTCGGCAAGAGAAAGGGCAGTCCTCTCCACGATGGTTCGCGCCCCAAGCAAGCTCGCCAAGAACCCAAAGAGGCCATCCATGGGTAAGCTTTCGCACATCTACTGTACTACAACTTATCAAAACTGACGGTCAGCAGCAACCTCCGCAAAACCTTCGCTGGACTGCTCAGAACGGAGAGTCGTCTCATCCACAGTGGCAAGTCAACCTTCGAGCTAAGCGAAGATGCGCAGTTTTATGTCGATTACCTGGCTAAGTTGGACACGGAGGAGAGGGAGGTGAAGCAGGACTTGGACCTGGATGAGATCAGGAAGATTTACGCCGAAAACTTTGTGGCACATTGTCTTGACTTTGTGCACGAGAGCATCAAAGACTTGATGACCAAGGAGGGCCAGGAGGCGCGTAGAGAGCCTACCCACACCAGCATGGAGGACGTTCACCATGATTCACCTCCCGAGGCCGACGTCAAGAAAGAGAGCAGGCGCTGAAAGGTATGTCGCCAGCGCGATGTTTTGTTACCTACGACGACCAAAGAACGCTGACTTGACGAGAATCACAGGTCCGAACCGACAGTCGCAACGACACACGAGCGTCTCGTAAGGGGTCCGAAAGCAGGGTTCAATCGAACAATAGGAGGCGGCATGGCAATTGTCATATGGCTGCTATCCTTGGTGAGCACTTTGCTGCATTAATCTTTGCTTTGTCGCATTGCACGAAGAGATGTTGATGGAAGGTGATGGAGTGATGGATCGAACGCGATCGTCAGGAGATGTCAAACCATCTTTTTCTGGGGAAGACGAGTCATCAGGATCGTCATAGCAAACATCAATCACCACAATTCAACTTTCTTCCTTCCTTCCACGTTCTACTGCGTACACACTGATCTTCAGGACAACAATTCACTGTGAAACACGGGACAAAATACATGCGTCGCTACTGCAATCTCCTTCCAACTTCTATCCGCCGTAATTTACCAAAGTAACTACCACGCACAGCCCTCTATAACAGCCTAGGAAAAATCACTAGCGCAGTAATGTCATCCTCCACACCCAATAAACGTATCTTTGCCCCCGGCGGCATAAACGACTCCTAGCAAGCCTAAAGTTGTTCTGGAGATGGTCGAGTTTTGGCATGGAAGACCCAGTCGCTTGCACGATCGTTTTAGATATTAGAGATGAGAAGAGTGAGTCTAGGTGGAAGGTTGACAGATTGAGTCCGTAAATCAATGCGATGCTTCTTTAAGCAATTATATTCTATGTGTATTAAGCGGCTTCTCTGTTCTATTCTAGGTTTGTCGCGATCGTTCATGGAAAGCATTTAAGGGAAAGAGCGAGGAGCTGAGTTGAGGTAGTAACTGCCTTCAGTCCGATCAGATGGCGTCCTTTTCTTGCATCTTCTCCACCATATCGGCAGACTCCCTGTTCTTGCCACCACGCAAGCCAGTCTCTGGGTCCGTGATGGAGTTGCCACGGCTGCCAGAGACATACGTAGGGTTTCCAGCTTGGAAGTCCGCGAAGTGCTTCTCTGCGTCCCAAACCCAGGGAGACGGTGATGAGAAAAGTATGTTTACCTCTTCTAATGTGCGTTGGTTGGTCTCCGGATAAACGGCCCATACCATAGGTATCGACAATATGTTGACCGCACCAAAGATGTAAAATGTTACCTCTCCTATCGAGTCAAACATGACAGGGCAGAGGAGGGTTAGCCAGCCATTTCCGATGGACCAGCCCACCACACCCCAGGCGTTTCCTTTGGCGCGGACCTCAAGAGGGAATATCTCAGCAGGGTAGAGCCATGGCACTGTCAACCAGGTGGCACCGAAGATTGCAGTGTAGATAAAGGTGAAACTGGCAGCCGCCGCTCCATAGCGTGCAGCCAATTCGGTGTTTCCGCTGTTGGTGGCGTTGATACCACCACGAGACATGCCACCGATGAGGAACATGGATACTGCTTGTGCTGCAGCACCCCAGTAAAGTGTCCATCTGCGACCGATCCTGTCCAGAGTGAAAACACAGACCAGAGTCGCGAACATGTAAGTCGTATCGTTCAAACCAGACAGCCATCCACTCTTCTGAGCGTCATATCCGGCGATACCAAAAATTGTGGGAGCGTAAACCGTGATACCAGCAATACCACACCACTCCTGGATGATCTGCAGCCAAATAACCAGTTGGACTCTGCGACCGGTGTGAAGACTTCCAGAGGTTGCACCACCGAAGTCGAGTAGCATGTTCCAGTATGTGTTCTGTTTCGAAGTGCTTCTCTCCAACTGCACGATGTTGATGATGTCTTGGAACTCGGCTTCGGCTCTGATTCTGTCTTCTCCTTCATCACCGCGGAGACGGGCGAGGATATGTCTTGCTTCCTTGTCGCGGCCGACCTTGCATAGCCAACGAGGTGACTCGGGGAAGAACCAGATGATGCCGAAGAGAACAAGCAGGGGAATGATTTGGAACTATGAGAATGATCGGTCAGTACAACTCTCGCAACAACGCAGGGAGAATGCTTACAGCAATGGGGAAACGCCACTGGAAAGCTCCACGGCCTCCATCAATAAATGACAGACCAAACTCAAGCCAGTAAGCCACAGCAACACCGAAAATGTTGAGAGTAAACTCGATGGCGATGAATTGACCACGAGAAGTGTGCTCAGCAGTCTCCGTAGCCCAGACAGGAACAATTGCGTTCAAGACACCAGTACCAATACCATTGACTGCACGAGCGCAAATCATCCAGACGTGGTTTTGAGCAGAACATTGCAGAGCTGCTCCCAAGATTGCCCAAATAGATCCAAGGGCGATTGTGCGAATACGGCCAGTCTTGTCACCAACCCAGCCACCCAGGAAGGCTCCAAATAGTGTTCCGAGGTAGTATACTGCAACGATGCCTCCTTGTAATAATGAGTCTGTGACGACGACACTACCAGTAGTGTCGTCCCTGTAGCCGAATCCCATCAATTCGGCATAGTCGGCTGAGGTGTTGACACCTCCCATCATACCTTGGTCATAACCTGACTATCGCGTTAGTGCCAGTATTGCGAGATAGTTGATTGGGAAGTGCTTACCAAAGAAGAAAATGGACAATGCAGCTGCACAGGCAATAGCATTTAACAGGCTCTTCTTGTACAGCTTGTCCGCTACACGAAAGCCACTGAGTTGATCCATGATGAAGGTATCAAATATCGCGTCCTGATTGTATCCAGAGTGTGACCAGAAAATGAAAAGTCCAGATCCTTTTAATCCAGACCAGAAATTCTATGAGCAAGTTTCGTCCGGCTAACCTCCGTCTACCGATTACAGAAGCACAAAACACAATCGACAGAGGAAAGCACCCGGCAAAACAGAGCAGAACCTACATGATATATCCTCACCTCTCCATCGGCACACTACTCTACTCCTAGCCATCGCAAATGACCCGGTAGCATCGCGTAGTGCCACAGACATCATTGCCGATTCGAATCCTTCTCCTCCTCCTCCGGCGGCTCACCCCCAAACCAGTATTCCGGAGCGCAACAACGAGCTCCACTGCTCCACAACATCCCCATCTCTTTGCTCCAACTGGAGACAAGGAATTGTGGATACGAAAAGACACACGGACGGAGTGTCGATCGCTGGTCCGTGGGAAAGAGTATGCCCGAGTCAGTGGGCTTGGCACTGCCAAAGTTGCTTGCGTTGCCTTGGTTTTTGCTTCACTCTCACAAGAATTTTAAGCCACGTCTTTCATGAGTCGCATTCGGAAGGCGCTTCGGCAGGCGTTTTTGAGCTCGCTGTTGCAATTCGGTATGACGATGCCGATATATACGGCCCGATTGGCTTGGAGATTTATCTCCGGCTTGACACCCACCAGGGCTGCCCCATGTCGACACTCACACCACCCCCATGGAGAAAACAAGTGGGTTACGAGGAGAAGGAATTGATCCAAGCGTATCTGACTCTTTCCTGCTTGACCTTTGTTATCTCAGAAGTCGGCGGCTGTCATGCGATTCTTGCAGAAAAGGATGGACGTTATGCAATGCAATGTACTCGAGTACCAAGTTTTTCAACGTAGAGATCGACAGGGCAGGCACACGATTTCTTCCGACCTCGCATATCGCTCTTTAAGGTGTCATTCACGGGTAAAAAGGCTAAAGAGGACAAAGCTGTGGACAAGCTCAAGAAAAACTGCTTTGTGTCATGTTTAAAGATGCCGATTGTATTTACATGCATCTTTAACAAACTAGTGTCTAAACTGCTAATCTCGAAAATGCCTTTGCTAACAAACAACAGAAGAAGGAAGAAAAAAACTGTAGGTGGTATCATAGCAACATAAAAAGAGCAATTTCTGCGAACGCTCAACATCTTTCAAACACGCGGTACAGTCCTTTCAGGTCTGCTACCTCGACGACTGCTTTTCTGAGGCTCTTGGTTGCGACGAGTCTTGTTCGGAAGGCTGGGAATATCGTGTTTTCAATCGCTCTTTCCAGGTGGGCACGATGTTTGTTGATTTCATCTTGCGCGTCTTGTGAAGCTTCAGTGGATGTGTTCACAGCAGGAAGGGCCTCGGGAGAGTAGAAAGAAGCCAGTTCACGTAAGAAGCTGTCGAAGCAATCCTTCTCATCATCCCAGTTGACATGAGGACCGAGTCGGAGCAGGAAGGTTGGTAGCTTGGCCATACATGGAAGATACCCCTTGAGCAAGAGAGGGATACTCAACAGCTCACCATCCTCGGAGATTTCGAGAGCAAAGTACTCCTTGAGCATACCTCTGCTTTGCACGAGTTGCTCCAAAGTCACTTGCACGACCTCATTCCAGTCCAGTTCTTGGTCGTCGATCGGTGTCCGTTTGCGCTCATACTCCGCTCCTATGCGCAAGAGATCTCCCACGCTCAGCGGCTCCTTGAACTTGATGGTACCGAAGTTGCTGAAGTCGGACAGGCCGAGTTGGTAGAAGAACTCCGCGCCAACCATACCATAATCAATCAGGAAAAGTTTGACGCCCGACTGAACAGCGGCGATCCTTTTGGTAGTATCCACAAGGCCCACAAAGCTGTGATTCGAGAACATGTCACTCAGACTACTGTGAAGCTCTTCCCTCACGGCTGCACGAAGTTCCTTAATCGAAGTGAGGCGGATGGTCGTTTGTTCTTTTTCAACAAACTCGTACTCCGCGTCCTCGGCAAAGCCCTCTGCCCTACTTCCCTTGCTTGGAGAGGAAGATAGGGTAGGAGGAAGCATGGATGTGATCTTGCGGACACGTGAGTCGACTCGAACCAGGTTGTTCTCGTATGGCTTTCCTGTTGTTCTCGGAGTTGTGGATTTGACAGAGCCCGTGCTGTCCTGGTGTTGAAGCAATGGTGTGGAGAACGACATTTCACCTTGGACTTGTGCTGATGGTGTTATTGGAGTCGTGGTCTTCTTCGATCCTAGTAATGATTGTGTCATGAAGGTACGGCTTGTGTCGACTGCGCCTAGTCTGGTACGGATCTCGTCGCAAATAACTGCGACAATCTCTTCCTCGTTCAAGAATCCGACTTCACGCTTCGTCGGATGAACGTTGACGTCAACTCTGGCTGGATCGATATCAAGACTGAGGTAGATAAATGGCTTGCCTCCTTTGGGCAAGAAAGTCGCATACGTTTGGTCGATGGCTTTGCGGATTGCCGTCGATTCGACTGAGCGGTGATTTATGAATAGCAAGAACGTTGACTTCTTCGCTGAGTAATTGGCACTGCTGATCAGTCCCTCTGACTTGAATCCCCAGCGATCGTTAGCGACCTCGAAAGATATCAGGTCATTTGCCACTGCGCTGTTGAACACTGTGCGAATGCGGTCGACCATACTAAGGTGACTCTGCACATTGAGACTTGTTCCAGCCTCACCATGTTTCTTGCAAGAAAACGCGACACCCTTGCAATGGATAGAGTACTTGCCAATGATGTCCAGAATCTTGGCATATTCTTCACTGCTAGATCTGAAGGCCCGTCTGCGAGTTGGCACGTTGTAGAAGAGATCTTCGACCTTTGTATAATTAGCTTGGTCACAACGACTACATGGTCGGTATTACTTACAGTGATCTGTGTTCCCTGTTTGCCAGCACAAGGTTTGGGGTCTGGAGTTTGCCCAGGCTTGACTGGTGTGAGATTCTCATTTGTGTAGTAAGCCTTCCATGCACAACTCGATTCGCGTGTCTTTGTAGTGACAGTAAGATGAGCAATGTGACTGATACTGGCAAGTGCCTCGCCACGGAATCCGTAGGTGCCGATTGAAGTGAGATCTTCGAATTCTTTGATCTTGGAGGTTGTATGCCTTTGACACAAGAGAGGCAAGTCGGCTTTCTGCTTGTAGTCAGAATTGAATTTGAACATGAATGTAGTATCCGTCTATCCTTACGTTGATACCATGGCCATTGTCGCTGATCTGTAGCAATTTCAATCCTCCGTCTTTGACCAGAATTTCAAGCATGGTCGCTCCAGCGTCAACCGCATTCTCGATAAGCTCCTTCAAGGCATTCCAGGGTGAGACGATGATTTCACCAGCAGCAATCTTGTTGACAACATCCTGGTGGAGAGCACGAATAGGTGGCGGTGCTCTGTTGAAGGCTTCGTCTGCAGATCTTTTTGTACCACGCGATGGAGATGGACTGCGACCAGTCATCTCCACATCTCCGTTCTCTTCCATCGTGAACAGTCAATTCTGGCAATGGTGTTGTCGAAGACTGTAGAAAAATGATAGAATGAAAGTATGGTGGACGCGTTCGATTGCGTCAGGGCCGTCACGAAAACGGCGCGTGCACGGGGTCATGATTGCCTGATTAGGCCATACGATTGGTAACCACCAGACCATTCGTCCCTTCTGCCTTTCATGAAATTGTGATCATTGCTTTGGAGTAGTGTTTTGCTTTTTATCACTGAAATCAGACATGGTGTCATGTTCTGTGTTCTAACTCTACATCGCCATTTCTTGCCGCTGCTCGACCTTCTGCTGATGTCCCAGTCCTTGGTGTAATACCTCCATCAGAATTTGATGGCAAGCGAACATGACTATGACGCTTCAAGAATGATAGTCGGCTGCTTATCCATCCAGCCGTCTTTCTAATGACTTCCCATAAACGGTCCTGTGCTTCTCTCAGAGCAGAATCGTCTTTAGGGTTCTCGTGAGCTTCTGCCTGGAACTGGTATTTCAGGCAGTCTTTCACTGTGATGAGTCCAGTGAGCCTGCCACGGTATTCGACAAGGATTACTCGAGGTCCGAGTTTCTTGAAGAGTTCCATCACTGTCTCCAGAGGGAGGCGAGGATGGACTGTAATAGGTGTAGCATCGATGAACTTGCTCAGGTCAACACTTGATTGATTTGATGATGCGCTCAGGTAGTCGAAGTGGACTGCTGGATTGGGCGTGGATGGTGTGATCGGTACATGCCCTGCGACTGGGGTGAAGAAGCATTTCGTGCGTGGTGTTGCCATCTGATCACGTCTTGCGCGGTCGAGAGCATAGCGAAGCTCAGTACGGCCAGCATAGCCAACCAGCATCATTGAAGTTGCATCTTCGACAATCGGGTAGCCAGAGTATTTGGTGTCTTCCAACAACTTCTCAATGTCTCTGACCTCTAACCCGGAGATAGGCAAAGCTTTCAACTCGCTAGTCATGGCTGTGGAAACAGGTACACCAAAGGCGTGGTCTTCTTTGTTATCCAAGAAGGGCATGCCGTTGAACCAGATCATACGGTCTGCAATACCGCCTTTTCCGAAGCGGTCACTAACTGCTTTCGTAACACCTACAACAATCTAGTGGGTGTCAGTAGGTGGAAATCTCATAGCGCGGTCTGGATAACATACCATTGTGGGTAGGATGTATGTCAAGGCTCCTGTCAACTCGAACATGATAACAACGACAGATACAGTGATATGCATGATACCGGACAGAGCAGCCGCAGCGCCCAAGAAGGCATATGTACCAGGTGTAATACATGGCATATCAGGCTGGCAAGCTGAGAAGAAAGCGGCGTTGGGGAACGCTTGTTGCATTGCCTGGACAAGAATACCGACCATGCGGCCGAAAGATGCTCCAATAGCCATAGAGGGCACAAAAATACCTGCTGGTACCTTGCATCCGTACGAGATGATGACCAGGAAGGTGCGAAGGACTGTAGCAATGAGCAGAGAGAACACAGACGACCAGCGGTTTTGACGACTGCTCATGGTTAGACTTGATACGAAAGACACGAAGACATTCCCAACTTACTCGCACAACCCATCATAGTCATGACCTCCCTCGCATTCGAGGAAGAGAATCTCCATACTCTCTGTCATGTCGATCCTCAAGAATTTGTTAGGGTAGCAAAGAATAGCTGTGGCTGTGGCGAGTATAGTCGCTTCGAGGATAGGATATTGAGTAAGGTAGCGCTTTCGGAAGGCTTGCATGCGGAGGTTCCATTTGATGACAAAAGCACCGTACAGGCCGCCAAATATACCTAGAATGATGTAAAAGAATATTTCAAAGAAATGCCACTGGCGGTCGTAGCTGACAGTGAACATGACGAGCTGTCCTGTACGGAAGGGGTTCATGGCCTAGAGAATGTCAGTCAAAGGCATTAAAGGGATGAGACTATAAACGTACGGACAAAACTGCTGTCGCTACCAGAGCACAGAAGTAACTCCTCCATAGTGTTTTGAGTGGGAAGTAGTTTGACATTTCCTGGCTCTATGGTTAGCTCTATGTTATCAAAATTCGAGGATTGTTGTTACCTCAAGAGAGAAGAGAACACCACCGATTGGACTTCCAAAAGCCACGGCTACACCTGCAGCAGCACATGCACTGAGAATCTCTCGAGTCTTTGCAGCATTTCTCCGGTACTTATCGAAGAAGCGGGAGATGACATTGCCTGTACACACAGCATAGTGAACGCTTGGACCTTCTTTGCCAACTGACAGGCCAGAAGCAATAGCAAGAGGTAGACCAATAGACTTGATGAGGAGCGTCCAGAAGCCGAGGAAGCCTTTCATGACGAAGCCTGCGATAATACATTTGATTTCGGAGATTCCAGAACCAGCAGCGTAAGGAGCATACGACTTGACGAGTCTGGCAGAGGTGAACGCAAAAGCGGTCTTGATATTGGGATTAGAACATGACGAGTGGTATTACAAGAGGCGGAGCTTACGGAGAAAATGATGTATATTACATAGCGGAAGATGATATGGGAGCTCCAAGGCCGCCATTCTGCGCAGCCTTTGAGGCGTCAGCAAAGTACGACTTGGAAGAAGAGAGAGAGACCGACCTTCCTCGGCACCCCAACAGCAGAAGCTCTCATTCAAATAAAAGGCAGTTGTACAATGACCCAACTTGATATCAGACAACCATTCGGTGACTATATTCAAGAAGGCAGCATTCAGACCAATAGCAGTACCAATCAAGGTGACAACCAGCCAGGCCTGACCAGCATCATATGCCTCCCATAGTCTCCTCCTCCAGCCTAAGCGACCTTCTCTTTCAAAGAAACCAGCTCTCTCTTGTCGCTTGGCCTTGCGGCGTTGTTGCTCCCTAGCTGCATCCCTGACCCAATCTATTGTAGTGAAGTCTTCATAGCGCTTGATCTCGTCAATCTCATCGGCGACGACCTGGTCTTCTGGATTGACGCGGGTGTCATCTCCTTGTTCGGCGGCCGAGAGGGAGAGTGCCGAGACTCGACGATTGAAGGAGCGTGAGCCAGCTGACGGGGCCAGCGACGGTCGGCGAGAGGGCGGGAGAGAGTTCATCGCATTTCTATCATAAGCTTCATCCAGTCATGCACTCTGCGATTGAATGCGACGGTCAGGTAGTTACTTGAAGACGAGCAGTAAGGAGAGCAGTCCGTCGGCCAGACCTCAACCACTTTCGGAAGGAGCCGTTGTCGCGCGCTGCCACTTCTGAAACGCGTCACGCTTCGCATCCATCTCTGCTCCCAGCAAGCAATTCTCATCGCATATTCAAGCCGATATCCTCATCTGTCGTCGATACTCAATCCTACACCAGCAAAGTCGCACATACTGATTCCTCCAAAATGCCGTACAACAACACCCCAATTACTCCCTCGTCTGAGATCACCGGCACCGTATCCCTTCCTCGTAAGTATAGGACATCAGTCAGACTATACAGTTTCTGACACAATGAATAGTCGCCAGAGTCAAGAAGATCATCCACGCCGACGACGATATCGCCAACTGCTCAAACAACGCTGCTTTCGCCATCACCGCTGCGACTGAGCTTTTTCTTCAATACCTGGTTGAGCAGACTCAGAATGTCGTCAAGGCTGAAAAGAAGCCCAGAAGAAACATCCAGTACAAGGACGTCGGTTCGTACACATCTCGACTGTCCAACTTAATGTTGCATTGCTGACCCTTTCCCAGCCAGCGCAGTTGCCCGTGTCGACAACCTCGAGTTTCTAGCCGATGTCGTGCCCAAGACTGTCACATACAAGGAGCACAAGGCTAGAAAGCAAAGAGATGAGAAGGAAGCCGGCCAGACAACTCTCCCTACCGTCGCCACTACTGCTACTGCTACTGCTGTTCTCCCTGCCGATGCTGTCATTCCTGCTCAGTCCGACCCCGTCCCTGCCCCTGTCCAGGCACAACTTCTGGATCCCATGGACGAGACTTCTTGAAACATCTTCATCACTCCACCCACTATCATATCACGCCAGCTACGATGATGCATGGCCACGCAAGCTTTGCTTTCGAATTGCTCGAGCCATCTCTCGCACACCCTTGACTCGCAGTGCTGCCCCAGCCACATATCCGCCTGATATCAGCAATATGAAGGACCATCACATAGCGCCTCACTACACCTCACATCACATGGATAGATGAACAAGGACTTCGGGCCCGCTGTGACACCCGTATTGTCACAAGCTGTTTCTATTCCTTCTTCAGCCTTGCTCTGCCAGGTACTGACAGCGCCATGAGAGCATGCGCATCACGATATTATGTTTGCTCTTCTGCAAACAATGCCTCGAATTCATCACAGCACGTGCTAGAATTATCATTATGAAAGTACGCAAATTCAAATCAATCTTCTGTCACGTTCCACAGTCCAGCATCGTGTTTGCTGACTGTCTCTACCAGCGTATAACTATCGCTGGCCCCATTTCACATGCTTCTGGCCCATCACATATGCCTCGTCATCCGCCTCTTCACTGGTCTATACCGCGGAAGCATGTGCGTCTCGAACTATATATTCCCTTTGGGTGCAATGTGTTTCTTCCTTCCACCAAGCACAACAATCACCAGTTGCATCACCAAACCAACTCGATATGTACCAGCCTGATCGGTGTTCAGCTCAAACTTCATTAGCAAATATCGATACTATACGAAATTGTTACATCGCTTCTGGACCTTCCAGTCACAACAGCAAGCAAGCAATGGCACTTGGAAAGTCGCCTGACAAGACGAGGCCCATTTCACGCGCTCTTCCACCAATTGCACTTTGCGAGTGCCGCGATCGTGTTGATGGCATGACATTTGCACCGGGTGAGAGATTGGAATGGCCGCTCCTCTTGCAGAAGACCCTCCGTGTCTTCCCTCGCTTCTCCAATCCACTCACACCTTGCGACTGGGGTCAAAGGGAGACCAAGACGGACGCTAGCGGCCATACCTGGGAGGTTCACCATCTGGAGATCAAGGAGTGTTTACCCGCGCCCTCCCACACACCTCTAGCTCCAGGAGTTGCACCTCAAGTCATGCTGCGTGGAGAAAGCGCGACCAGAATGTCTGACGCGCTGGAGAGTATGATGCAGATTCTTGATCAACTGCCTAATGATTGGAGACCCAGTGCTGGAGTTCACAAGCTTCCTGTTCGTGCTGAGAATCTTCCTGCTTTTGAGAGTTGTTGCTCAATGTGTGGGCTTCCTCGGAAGGATCTCAGATGGGTGACTTCTAAGAGTCCTACAAGTCACAAGCTCAGACGCTGATGGCTGCATGTCTTGACGAAGCTATGACGAGAAACGACTTGATACGAAGCTACAAGACTGATGGATCTATACACCGACAACAAAATACGGTGGCATCCTTCAGGGACTCTTCTCTACAGATCTGAATGCATGATCAACTCATACTCTCAAACAAAAATGCAAAAACCTTGACAATTCCCTTGATCTCCGAGTACTTGTGACTATTTTATTCCTGTTTAGTGATTACCTGACCTTTACAGTAGGCTTAAATGTAGGAAGGACATGGAAATCGGGGCTCGATTTATGGTATACCTTTCAGCCAGGGTCATACCCCAGACAAGCTCTGCTGACACAAAATGTCTTCTCAACTCCGACGCAATAGATCTATGAGTTTATTGTTGGTACTCACAGGTACTTGATTACACCTTCTGGTATGTGTGAACACCACTAAGTAATATGGATTGATTTGGTGGAGGTATATGTCATTTTCTTGTTTCGATTACGCTCGTGCTAAGACGTTCATTGAGATCACTGCGATGGCATGTCAGCTTCATGATCGAATCCACATTACTGCATTTAAACTGAATTCAGTCAGAATAGGTTACACCCATAGGCTCAAGAGAACAGAACAGAACAGTGATAAGAAGTAGAATACCATTCAAGCATGGGCTCTCACACATGTAACCCCGAAAAAGTCTCTCCCAAATTCAAAAGCACCACACGCACACCTCCCATCATGCCTCCCCATAACCCACCCAACCCACCTACTCCTTCTCTCACATAATCGTATGTTCCTATATCTATTTCCAATCTTGATGTACCCCAATCACACCCACAATTGTATGTCCATCCCACGTTGACTTATCGAGCAGTATCGTGGGGCATAAACGAATTATCGCAAGACCAGTGGAAAAATAAATCAGGGTGAAGAGGAAGTATGTTGTTCGTGTATATACATCAGGTTGAGCCATCTAACAGCCCATGTACCTGTTCTCAACCCATCTCTCTTCATAATCGTCGACGACTCTGCAGGCGACGACGTGGATGTCGGGGAAGACAGTCATGAGTCTGTTGAGACCTCTTTTGCCGGCGATGTATGTAACGAAGACGATTCTACTCTCTTCAACACCGTGATCCAGCAAGACACGAACGGCCATGAGTGCAGCACCGCCACTGGACATTTGAGGATCCAACAGCAAGACCTTGTTGTGTGTTGAGACATCATCGGCCATCTTAAAGTAGTGCAACTCAGGTTCGCCAGTACGGTACGAGGTCTGAATGAGCATACGCCCAGTACGACAGTCAGGAATGACACGTCTCAGACCAGTCTCGAGGATGCTACCCCCACGGAGAATAACAACAGCGCTGACTTCACCCGACATGCGCAAGCCATTGTAGGGATGGCTGCGAGGTGGTGGTGTCTCAACCGTGACGGGGTCGAAGTCGGCATTCTCAGTGGCACGCTCGACCAGGAGAGCAGCCAAACGATCGAAGTAGAAGACAAAGTCCTCACGTGTTGTGTCCGGCCCGCTGAGGAGGGTGTTGATGCCTGTTATTTGCGACGGACCGTCCAGAATTGATACGTTTTTGGAGAGCGGGAGATCCTTGGTCTCTTTGCCTAGGCGCTTCAACTCAGCACGATGCTCCTCGGATTTGAGGTCCAGGGTCTTGTGTATACGGTCGGCTACCATGTCTGGAAAGAGTTAGCAAAGGCTTGTGTTTGAGCACGGCAGGAGGACATACCAATAGCGACCTTGTTTTCAATACCGCGAGGTACAATGATATCTATTTGCAGCAGTCAGCATCCATCAAGTCAAGAGGAAGACTGAAGTGTGTGATTTGAGGTGATAGATCAGATAGGAGCGAAAGATGATGGTAATGTTTATCAACACGATTATTCTGTTGAACTATGCTATGGTTGTTGTATCATCATGAAAGGGTGGGGGTGTGAAAGAAAAGAGAAAAGACATACCAGCTACGTTTCTTTGAGGCTCAACAAACTTGTGGAAGTTGGGCTTGACGAAGCCAAACCACTGTTTGATGCAGCCTTCAATGTCACGACCACGCTCCTTGATATCTCGAACGAGTCTTCGTGAGAGACAGAGATCTGCATCTGCCTCGCAGAAGATTCTCAGATCGAGAAGATCAAGCACGCGCGGATCATGGAGGGCAAAAATACCCTCGAGGATGAGCACGTGAGGAGAGTAGATCGTGGTAGTCTTGTCAAGACGAGAGTGTTTCTCGAATGAGTAGACGGGGATCTCGGCCTTTTTGCTGCGAAGAGGTTAGACAGGGTCAATCCGAAGAGTTTCAAAAATACACACCCTTCCTTGATGTCCTTTAGTCTTTCAACCAGAACATCGAAATCGATAGCATCAGGTGAGTCGAAATCGTACTCGTTCCTATGAGCCGCGGCAATCTGGTCCGGGGTGAGGGGTCGATAGAAAGAATCCTGGATGGAGTTGGTTCAACAATCCCTCAGTCAAGGACCAGACAAACGAACCATTGACAGGATGACAACCCAAGGCAGGCTCATTTGCTTGATGATAGCCAGAGCAAGCGATGTCTTGCCCGAACCCGAGCTGCCGGCAACGCCAATGATGCTCGTGTTGGCCCATGGCGGAGAGTAATGAGAGCGCTCCATCCTTTGGACGGTGGATTGGTCGGCCATGTTCAGTCGTTGACGTACAGCCGTGAGTCGACCATGACGAGCGAAGCAGAAGAAGCAACTGAACAAGCTTGAAGCAGGAGATGGAGTGACGGGTGCGAAGAAAAGTGAACTCGCTAAACTTCGGCTCTTCACTGTGGAACATCCCGCGTTGTGCTCGGACCCGACGCTTTGCGCGAAGCTCTTTTCTTCACCACATCACAGCTCTTCTTCCTTTCTCTCATCACCATCGCACTTTGCATCTCTGCTTTTTTCGCACATCCGTCTGTTGAAAACGAGAGCGCGGTTGTGAATTGTAGCTGCACCTGTCTGTCATCCAACCTGATGGACCATCGCGGCTCGACTCATCTACAACAATGGTACGTCACAACACGCGCACTTCTCAATGCGCATTCATCAACAAACATTGCGCAACAGCTGTTGACATGATTTGCGCAGAGCTCTTCTCTTCTACCACCACCTACGTCCTTGCGGCATCCATTTGATCGCCGCGTGGACGAGGTGAAACCATCAAAAGCGTAAGTCTGACCGTCCTCACCTACCCTTCACCACCCCTCCATCGAATGATGTTGATTACACTCAAAATGGGAATCTCTCCGAAATCTATGTGGAGAACTACAGAATTTTGTCCTTCTGACTCGACCCCTCACTCTTTACTCGATACAAACATCTTGGTTGTCGAAGTTGTTGACTGACGCGCATCAACAGAGACTTGAACTTCCTCATCATGGATTATCTGATCAATGAAGGCTACCCTGACGCCGCGAAGAACTTTGCAAAAGAAGCTAGCATCGTTCCTTCGGCCGATGGTGAAGCGATTCAAGAAAGAGTAGACATTCGTAACGCCATTCACAACGGTGACATGCAGCTTGCCATTGAGCGCATCAATGAACTCAACCCAAGGGTTAGTCATCACTCCTTCCCTCCTCCCCTTCACCATGTTGTTATGATTATACGGTTTTTTCATGCACCACGCATAGCTTCGGGCATTGATGATACAAACCTCACACACTTCAGTCCTCAGTATGACCCAACAACCATTCATTCATCTTCTTGTCGCATCATCTTCTTCTAAGACATCGACGCTGACATGTTTGTACAGATTCTTGACAATGACCCAACACTGCACTTCCAATTATTGCGCCTGCAGCTGATTGAACTCATCCGTGAAATTGTCAACGCCTCTGGGCCTCCATCACCTGCTGCCTTTACACCTGCTCTTGAGTTTGCAACATCGCAGCTTGCTCCACGGGCTCCAACTTCGCCTGCCTTCCTGCAAGATCTTGAACGCACCATGGCCCTGTTGATCTTCCCGTCGGACAAGCTCACTCCTCAACTCAAACAACTTCTCGATCTCAGCCTGAGACAGACAGTGGCCAGTCAAGTCAATGAAGCCATCCTGTCATCTCAAAATCAGAGACGTGAAGCGCGCATTCGTAATCTCGTTCGCTTGAGGGCTTGGGCTGAGCAAAGAGCACGCGAAACAAAGAGTCCTGAGTTGCCTGAGAAGATCAGCTTGGGTCTGGGATCCCAACTGGACGACTCTGCGGATTCAGTTATGATTACGTGAAAACATGATGAACCTTGAGTTGCTCTTGACTTGCTTTATTTTAGCGTTGGCGTTGGTCGGTCCGGTATATGCATAGATATTGCAGACATAGCATTGTTAATAACGACGTTCGTTGAACACTTTTCATACCACACTTCTTCGCTTGAGTATTTCCTGAGTGCATGCTGTTGCTGTTGCTGTCTTTGGTCTTTTACTCTTTGGTGATCCTTCTGCCAGGGCTCGGAAGAGAATGAGTTCCGCTGCAGGGCGATGGGATGCGGCTTGTCATCACATGCAAGGCATGCTCCGGTTGAATATTGTACCAATCAATTTGATGGTCACACCATTCGCCGACTGCGTCTGCATCTCAGTCAACCGGTCCTTCTTTCCAAGATTCGACAATTTGGTTTCACGCTGGCCATGAGGCAGGTGGCGCTTCAAGACACCATCGGAGTTCGGCCGCGGTATCGTACTCTAAAAGCAGCCTCGTCGTCACCCACATCTAGCGGTGTCGTCCTCGACGTCGGTATCGTGTCGACGACATGTAGAGGTTAGATTGTCGGTGTTAGCACGTAAAATCGTCATCGACAATTGTCGATATTAGGTTTTGAAGCCTCTAATGACTGACAAGGACTGATGCGCAGTTGATGACATTGAATTAACAAGCTATAGGACGAGGAAAGAAGAAGGAGCGCGAGGCTCGAAGAGGCTAAATAGGTGGTGTAGCTTGGCGCGAGCCAAGGACCACGGTTCGAATCGGACCTGAACCGTGTCATTATCCCCCCCTAAAAAAGCGCGAGCTCCGCGAGCTCAATTCTTCTAAATCTGTAATAATAACTAGAGCATTAGATAGTTATGTGTTTGTCTTGTTTGCTTGCTTAATCGCGGCGTACGAGAGCGTTTAATTCGTATAAGTCGTAAGAGGCCTTAGAGCCTAAGTCGTTATCGTCGAAGTCGCGGATAGTAGTAGAGGTATCGAGCTTATAGCTACGGCGCATAAGGGTATAAAGATTAGTGTATTTAGTGCCGTCGTCGAGGAAGTAGCTATAGTAGTAGTTAACGCGAGCGAGGAGGTGCTAGATCTAGTATTCGTCGTTAACGTTAATATACGAGAGATAGTCTTCGAAGCGCGCGAAGAAGTCTAAAAAGGGTTCGTTATCGCCTTATTCGAGGGCATTAAACTTAGACTAAGCGCGAGCCTTACGATAGCGGTCTCCGTACTAGTCGTTAAGAAGGGAGAGGCACTTAGTAGCGGAAGTAAGCTTATTAATGCGAGCCTTAAGACGGTTAAAGGGGCTAGAGGTAGTACGAGTAAGGATGTATTAGAGCTTAAACTCCTTATTAGTATAGCCGAGGTTAGTCTTAAGCTTAAGTCTTATCTTAACGAGCTAGTTATCGAAGGAAATAGTCTTATTATCGAACTTAGGAGGATTAGGAACACGAACTAGTAAGAGCGAGGAGGCGCGGCGAGAGCGCTAAACTTAAGAGGTCTAAGGAGCTTAAGGAAGCGCGTAGCAAGGGTCTTAAGGAGGTAAACGAGAGCTCTAAGCTTAAGAAGGTACGTAGTAAGCGACTTAAGGAGGTACGTAGTAAGGGTCTTAGAGGCGTAGAAGCGAAGGTGAACGAGAGCTTAGCTTAGAGCGGCGGCTCGATAAGCGTAAAGCACCGTAGAGCTAGAGTTTAAGCTAATCGAGCTAGCGGTTGCGAACTACGAGCTACGCGCGTAGCTAAGTAAGCTCGTCGTTGTTAGTACGAGGGTCTTAGAGGGTCTAGTTCTAAGGGCTCTTTATAGTAGCTAACTAGCTCTTATAATTAGTATATTTAAAGGGATAAGGAGCGCGGCGGCCGCGGCCGTCGATATAGAGGTCTTCGAGGGCGTTAAGAAGCGATAAATCGGCTATATTTATAATAGATCTAAGAGGGTCTTAGTAAAGCGCGTAGCTCGTAAGTATTATTATGCGTAAGGTGCCGTAGTAGACAAGGGAGCCGCTTCGTAGCAGTAGTTTAGTAGATAGCGCGAGCGCGTAGTCTTAGAGGGGCTCTTAGAGAGGCTTATTATATAAGGGATCTAAGAAGGTCTTAGTAAAGCGCGTAGCTCGTAAGTGTTATTATGCGTAAGGTGCCGTAGTTAACGAGGTACCTACCTCGTAGTCGATAGTTCTAAGGAGGGCGCTATAGCTAGCGTAGTTCGATAGTTTCGATAGTTCTAAGGAGTTTAAAGTAACGCGTAACGCTTATTAGAAGTAGAGGTGCGAGGACTCGGAGCTCTCTAAGGTGCTTATAATAAGACTTACTATATAGCTCTATTTCTAGTAACTAGTTTTAAAGGGAATACTTACGTAGCACCGTCGGTCGAATTAGCTTAAAGCGATACGATAGATATAATAGATACGCGCGTGCGATAGCTATTAATACGGATCGTAGTTAAGAGGGTATTAGTCCTATAGAATAATAAGGACTAATGCGCAGTTAATAACATTAAATTAATAAGCTATAGGACGAGGAAAGAAGAAGGAGCGTAAGGCTCGAAGAGGCTAAATAGGTAGTATAGCTTAGCGCGAGCTAAGGACTACGGTTCGAATCGGACCTAAACTATATTAATGACATAGGTAGCTCCTAGCTATGTCCTTTTTAAGCTCTATTTAAGCTAGTTAGTTGTTATATACCGATAATAATGCCTCTATTACCTAGGTTCGCTTCTACTTAGTTCGAGCCTCTTAATAATAGGGGTAAGACTACGATAGATCTTTATATATAGTGCCGACTTACTTAATAACCTTATAACTAGCCTAGGAGGAAGCGTAAGTACCTTATAGAGAACTACGAGCCGTTTCGCTTCTATCTTAAAGGGTTACTAGTACGATAGAGGGATAGAGATAACGCTACTTGGCGCGAGCTAGAAGTAATAGCTAACTTCGAGTTAGTTAAAGTAATTACGAAGAAGGTAAAACTACTATTTTAAAGACCTTTAAAGAAGAAGAAGTTAGAGATCTATAAGTTATTCGCTATAGCCTTATATAAAGTAGGGTTACCCTTTATAGCCTTTACAAATTTACTAACCTTTAAGGACTTTATCTATGCTCTTAATCTAGACTATTTATTACCCTCGCGCGAGAGGTTAAGCGAAGAGCTTCTTTAGAGCTACTATCTCGATGTTTAGGGCAATCTCGAGAAGGTTATCTAAGCTTAGAGACCTAATGTTATAGAGGGGGAGAAGGTATTGCCCTATCTTAATTTTATTAGCGATAAGTCTACGTCGACTAGTAAGGCTCGTATAGCGAACATCTCGCTTAATGCTAATAAAGGTTAAGCCTTCTATATCGAGACGACTAACACCCTCGATGCGACCTAGAGTTTAGAGAAACTAGCTAGTCTGCTCTATTAAAAGATTAGTAGGATAATAACTAACGGTCTCTAAGCATAGAATAGTCTTTATACGGATACCTATAAACTATAGAGAGGTATACATAAAATCATTAAGTCGAACCTATTAACTAGGTATGTTTTCTATGTTCTCTGTAATGCCTATAGTCTTTAGCTATATATCGGCGACCTAAGCAAGCAAATACCTTAGATTAGACTAGCTATAGAAGAGTTAAATAAGACTATTAACTTTATTATAAATTCTCTAAAACTTTAGTCGATCTACGTCGCTAAAGCGAGAGATAATAGGGTTAAGTTACGAGCTCTAGCAAAGGTAGTTGTTACTTAATAGGGAACCTAATATAACGGTCTAGACTTACTAATTACTAGTCGAGAAACACTAACATTGCCGTTAATACTAGATCGTAAGGACCTCTAGTTACTAAAGTCGAAGAAGAAGGAATAAGCTATTAGAAGGCGCGTTAATCGAAGGCTTAGAGACCTAAGGTTTTAGAAGAGACTTAAGTACTTATATTAACTTCTCGAGCCGATTTATAACGCGTAGATAGCCTCTAAGGCTAATAGGTCGACTATCGGTATAGTTCTTCTACGCTAGTACGACATGCGCGCTAATATCGAGTTAATAGATAGAATTAACGAGAAGGAGAAGGTCTTAGCGCTACTAGATAAGCGACTAGAGGTCTAAATAACTAACATTTACTTCGCTACGTACGCTCTTAATTATAATAATCTAAAGGTCTTCGACACCTTATTAGAGCATAAGAAGAAGCGCGCTATTCGGTTCTTTAAGCGCTATGTCGATAGTACTCGCTAGTACGAGTTCTACTCGTAATTCGCGTAGTTTAAAGATAAGACTAAGTCCTTCGCCGGTAACTAGCTCTAGTAGCACGACGAGCCCTCGACCTTTTAGTCCTTTATTAGGTCTATAGCTCCTAATCTAACTACTCTTACTAAGAGGTTAGCAAATACCCCTACTAATTTAGTACTAAGTGAACGGTCGTTTTCGAGCATAAACTTTATCTAAAATAAGTTTAGGAGTAGACTTACTAGCCTTCGAACCGACTAACTTATCTTTATCTATCGTAACTTACGCGCCCTTAGACGAAACCGTAAGGTAGAGAGGCGCTATAAGTAGCGCGCTAATATAAGAAGATAGATTATAAGGGCCTCTAGCGAATTAAGAAGGCGCCTACGTATAGAAGAACTCGATAACGTCACGAAACCCTAAAACTTAGATACATAGATTTCCTTAGATACGTAGATTCGTGTAGAGACGCTTAGGTATAGGGAAACCTTAGCATAAAAGTCCTAGATTTTAGTAAGCTAACGCTAAGAGCTAGCGCCGTACGGGCTAATACGCTCGAGTCTCTTCCCCTTCTACCTAGCAGCTAGGCTGCTAGCCTTATAATAGCTACGTACGAGCTAGCCCGCTTAGCCTTAAGCGTATAGCTACTAGCTAGGCTATTAGCTATATAACAGCCCTCGTACTTGCTAAACCCTTACGAACGGCAACTATACCGCATTATCATCGCTTCTATAGTTACTATATGGACGTAACATTACACGAAAAAACAAGGCACTATAGAGCAGAGGAACACGGTATTACAACGTAGAGAAGAATTCATTGCATAACTAGAACTCTTTATATCGAAGAGCCCTATAAGTAGACCTTATTAGAGTCTTCCGAACCGCCGTCCC